CTTTTTTTAAAATTTAAAACAGAAAATCTAGAAATTTTCTACTTTTTATATTTTTTTATTACAAAAAACATTCTATTTTTACTTTAGAGTAGTAGTTTCTATTTTATCTATAGAATATTTCTTTTGAGTACACAAATGGCATACCTACCATGTCGGCATAAATGTTGGCAGACTTTTGAATACGTTTTTTTTTTTTTTTTTTTTTTTTTTTTTGTAGATCCATTACATTCATGAGAAGTTCCTGACATCTACGGCTCTTATCGTAATTTTTTCTCATGGCTCTGGCTTTAGTTTCTGTATATATATCACAGATTTTAGTGATCTCCTGATTTTCCATATTTTTGATCTATGTTGGTGTTGGCCATACACACCTCACTGTTGACGAGTAGCACAAGTAGTCCCAATTCGTAAGAAAGGAAACTTAACTGATTCAGTCAATTACTACCTAACTAGCCTGACTACTAGTTCCAGAAGAGAAAACGCTCAAAGCATGCATCAAAGAACTTCTCCGAGGTAAAGTATCGTTCTTAAATACTGCTCAAGGTGGCTTTAGAGAATGCAAAAGTGTTCTTGACCAAGCTCTTTGTCTTTCAGAGATTTGCAGATTGTTTCCTCATGAAAACGCTCAAGACTGCTCGCTCTGTACTTTATTGGAGTAGCACATGAACATTTATGTATTCGCTTTTATCCCAAATCACCTCTATGTAACATGCTATCACAAATAATCTACTCCTTCTAACATCCAACCAAATGTTTCTATTTCTTCTCAGGTCACAAACAAGCATCCAAACATACCATTAGATTGACGCTCTCCTCTCTAACCCTTTTCTTCCCTTGTTCTCTTAAGATATTTTTAGCTTAGTATAGTCATTCTTATGAATTGATCAAGTCCGATCAGTCAAAGGCCACATTGAACCATGTGCTCAAAAGGACCTTTTCTATAAGATCAATAAATTAATAAACTTTAACTATAAGTCTGAAGAAATCAATACCAATGTGCAACTATGCTATTTGTGCCAACAGAAAAACATTTCTAGAAAATAAACATTTTTAGGCAAAAGAGATACACTCTCACTGCAGCGTAACCGGTTGCATTTTTCTCCATTTCTGAATGCATAACTCTTCCATCACTTATGCTGTAGTGTCTTTGATTTTAAAAGAACTAAAAAAAAAGAAAAATGTTGTTAAAAATGTTGTCAAAAAAATTAATAAATTTTGCATAAATTTTGCATAAATTTTGCATAAATTTTGCATAAATTTTGCATATATTGTCAAAAAAAAGGGTCAAAAGACTAACTTTTTTTTTTTTTTTTTTTGGTTTTTCTGTTTTCATAAATCCATTACGGTAAGGAGCAAATTAATTTTAAAAATCTAAGATGCATATTTTTTTTACTATACTACTCATCCATGCTATTTCTTGCTATTAAATGGTGTCTGATCATGAGTAATAGGCCTTGAATGATTTCCAATCTTAAAGCTTTGTGTCTGAGGTAGATTTACTCTGATTTTGAACGTGTTGTGACTCCAAACATAATTACATGTTAGACTTGCGTCTTTATAGTCTATCAGATGCGTTGGTTGTCGATCTTGTAGATGTTTATATATATATATATGTATATATATCTCAATAAAATAATCCAAATGGCATGTAATGATAAGAAAGAATACTCTAATTTAGGTGTATACATGTGCTTTCATGATTGGTATTTTTATCAAAACAACATACCATTGATTTTGGCTAAGCCATGCTAATGACAATGTACCTTTTGAGCTGAATGTATCTTTTACTGTAGGAAAAGTCAGCAACCAAACTAGAGTTGTAATTATATGGCAATTTATATTTTGTATATTGAGCGACGTAGAGCCAGATACTTACTCAATATTAAATACTTGGTGAAAAGAAACTCTTTTCTACTAGCTACAATGTGCAACGTGCTTTGAATGTAGATTTAAAGGCAATGTTCAAATGGACTCGGCTTTTTCGTCTCAGTAGACCCGTTTTCTTTTTCACGAGAGATACCCATAAACGGCTTCAGCTCACATCAGTTGGATCAAATCTACGTTGGGGGGTCAACCTGACATGTGATGTTTGGGTTGTGAATGAAGATAGAATAGAAGATAGAAAGAAAACAAAGAAATACAGTGAGATTGTTCAGTACTTCTTTATTCCAAAATAAAATTGATTGTTCTAAAATATATCTTTTCCAGGTTGTCTTTTATACAACCTGATTTATTGACTAATTATGATTACTGATTATTGATTACTTAACACCTTGACAGCGTGTGCCTGGGAATTGATTATATAAATTCTCCTTTAATTCTCCTTGTTACCTAAAAGGTACAATTATGGTTTCCTTATTTGTAAATATCCATATTATCCCAGTTACCGTTATTTACTGTCATTATACAGTGCTTACTTTATATTTATAATGTATAGTGCTATAAGTGATTATTCATTTATATGATGAAAGATTATTTATTATATTTTGTATTGAAAGTGCTCAGATCACCACATGACATTCTAAAAAATTTTGATGAGTTTTTCTTTTTTTTTCATCTTCAAAAGCTCTTGGAATCCTCCATAGGTCAAGAAAAAATGAATCTTACCCAACTGCCAGACCAATGATACCGTTTGATTTTTGGAATCAAAAGAGCATGTCTTTAATAATAATAAAAAAACGGACTGTTTCGATGATTTAGTTGTCGAGCAATGTCGCATCAAAGGTTGGCCTCATTGAGCTGTGTTTCGAGCATTTTTGCTCTTGACATCATATAAAACTTGTCGACAATGAATCTATTTAAAGCATCTTGTGCTATTTAGAGTGTCATAGAATATAGAAAAATAGAAAAATAGGCATTTTATAATATAAATGGGAAAGGGGGACAAAATTTTTTTTGTAGTTGGATTTTATTTACAATATTATTGATTAGTCACACATCGCAGAGAGGTGGGACGTCGAAAAACAGGAGTAAAGAAAGACGAAGTAAAGATCATACAATGGTCAGGGTTAGCAAGGAGTGGTTTTTTGTAGCTAAGGCTACCTGGTAAATTGTATCTGAAATGATACAAGAATGTTCAAAAGCAACCTGGTTGAGAATCAGGTTCCAATAGGATTTCCAGATGTTCCATTGAGCTATCGCAACTATGGATACAAGCTTGGAGCGGTTTGTAATGACAGGGGGGAAGGCTTGAAGAGTGAGGATCTTGTGGAGGGAGGAAGGAATAAAGTATACCAGAGGGTAGTAGCAGTTCAGTATTTCCAACCAAACACTCCACTTGGTAGAGCAGTGGGCTATGAAATGATCATACGATTCCGGTTGTGATTTGCACAGACGGCAGACAGGAGTAGAGACAGTACCAATCTTAAAAAGTTCGGACGCAGTGGACAGTTTCTTGTGAAGCACACGATACCACAGTGTTCTAGCCTGAGGGATCATTGGAGTCCCCCAAAGGGGGGGGGCAAATGAGCATAGGGCATATCAGATGGCTATCCTGCAGATATTGAAATAAAAGGCAACTCCAATCCTTCCCGCCACAATAAAAATCGGGCTTTTGCTTAGAACTATATAAAGATGTCGTTATTTGGCTTTAGTGCAGTAGCAAAAGCTGTAAATCTTGGCTTTGTAAGTCCATTGATGTAAAATACACAGCAAAGTTGCTGCTAAAATACTGAGTAAATAGACAAAAATGCTAATAAGGTTTTTTGTTCATATCTCATCATTTTTATAGTATGGTCAGCATGCAAACACATTCACCAAAAACTAGAGCTTTTAGCACACACTTTGAGTATTTAAGCTTGTCGATAACTCCATTTTTCTTCTTGTAGCGCTAAAAAGAAGATTTCTTTAAAATGTGTTTATTGATTGAGCCGCATACACTAAGAGTAATGGTCAAAGTGAAGAGGCGGGTGCAATTAAAATGAAAGTTAATAAAATAAAACGAAATATACTAAACAAAATAACTAAGCTAAAATAAAATATATAGAAAAAAAAAGTTACAGGATCGAATGGCATTGATCCTCTTCAATGGTCTGACGTACATTGAGTCGGATGCTTGCTAATATGGCTGTGGGTACAATGAAAGGGTCTTGTCAAAGATAAATCTCATATGAGCAAGCCAAATTTGTGAAAGAGTAATTATGAGGATTCTGTATGGTTTTATTCCTTTCCATTGGCAGTACAAAAGAAGATAAAGAGTTGTCAAAACAAGCAATTTTCATGACTAGTACCCTTTGGTCAAAAGACCAAAATGATCAAATTTTACAAGTCGCTTTTTTTTTGTTCCAAATCAACTCCAAAGTTATTATGAATGTTAGTGGACATTGTCTGTAGGTATCTGGAGCATTTACGCAGGTGTAAACAGGCTTTATGCTACCTTTATATGCCCAAAAAAGCAAAGAAAATGTGCATGGATTGTTGTCTTCTCTACTGTCGAAGCATTTGTTGTCTAGCACCTTTGCTGTATAAGCACATAATGTACTACCAAACTGTTTCTTTGAATAGAATACCTCGTCAAGGCACACTTGATTTATTGAGCTGGTGATTCTGGTGAGCCTGACAATTCTGATAATTCTGATAATTCTGACAACAGCGGACTGCTCAATAAGTATTCGATTGGAATGTATGGTCTAGGTGGTTTATACGGTCTTTAGGCTTACAAAGCATTATCCGCTTCATGTATGACTTGTTGAGGCCAGGGCTTCTTCGCTGCTAAATATGATTGATACCTGAAATTTTTGGTTCATATGTAAGACACTTCAGAGTCAAATTTCTCTATTTATTGATTACTGTAGTTGTTAAGGACCTTTCTTGTCATTGTTTCGCTAAATGAGTATACATCAAAATGGTCCTGAATCAAGAACAGTCACTTTCCAAATATGGAGCTATTTACGAAATTAAGCAAGTGTTGGCGTCATTTTTGATTGGGTCATGCGATAACAATTGAGTTTGTATAAAAAGGTTTTCTCTCCCACACTATCACTTTTAACCCTTTTTAAAATATGAAGTTCTTATCTCTTTCTTTATTGTCTCTTACTGCTCTTGTCTCTTTCACTAGTGCAGGTCCTTTGGGTGCTCTTGACCAACTCAGAGTGTTTCGTAGCAGTGAACCCGAACTTCGTTTGATACAATATAGGTAAATAAACATGTAACAAAATACTCCTAACACATGTTTAGTGAGGATTCTCCTGCTAAATGGATGACTGAATCAGATAAGGATGCATTGCTTCGTGCCGGTATCAAATATATGGATATTACCGAACATGCTAATCCTCCTGTTGCTATTCATTCTGCCTGGAAGCCCGGTAAGCACACACTCACATATAGAATATCATGCAAATACTGACAGAGCCTAGATATTCCCAAAAATGCTAAATACCAAGATGAAGTATCTCCCTTCATCGGCAACTTGACAACAGAGACAATGAAGGATAAATTGCAAGAATTCACAAGTTTCCGTACTCGTTATTACAAGTCAAGTTACGGTGCCAAGTCTTGTCGTTGGTTAATTCAGCAAATCAGAGATGTTGCAGATGGTTTTGATCATGTGTCTGTAAAAGAGTTCGAGCATTCTGTAAGTAGAAGTAACGTGTTTCACGAATGACTGATTTGGTCGATAGTGGGACCAGTTCTCTATTATTGCTCGCTTTGAGGGTTCCAACAAAGATCTTGAGAATGAGCTTGTCATTGTTGGTGCTCATCAAGATTCTGTTAATATGTGGTTGCCTAGCTATGCTCGTTCACCTGGTGCTGATGTAAGCAATGAGAGACAATAGAGAGATTATATTCATATATGCTTAGGATGATGGTAGTGGTACTGTCACTATTTTCGAAGCATTCCGTAGTTTAGTTCACAATGGATTTAAGCCTGAAAGGCCTGTTGAATTCCATTGGTACAGTGGTGAAGAAGCTGGCTTGTTAGGCAGTCAAGATGTTTCCGAAGCTTATGCCAACCAGGGTAAGCGTGTTCTTGCTATGTTGCAGAATGACATGACTGGTTATGTTGGCAATAAAAAAGAAGTCATTGGTATTGTTACTGATCATGTTGATGAAAAGGTATGTTGATCTGAAATGTGACAAGCTTCTCACCTTTCACAGTTGACTGATTTCCTTAAAAACTTGGTTGACAACTATGCTGATATTCCCTATGTTCTTACAAAGTGTGGCTATGCCTGCAGTGGTAAGACTACAAAAAAACCATACTGAAAATCTCATTTCTGTTTGATAGACCATGCTTCCTGGCGTAAACTTGGCTTCCCTTCTGCCTTTACTATTGAAAGTGCCTTTGACGATTCAAACCACTTTATTCATACAACTGAAGATACAATTGATAAGCTTTCTTTTGATCATATGAAGGAATTTGCTAAAGTAGCAGTTGGTTTTGCTGTTGAACTATCACATGAGCGCAAGTAAAAATACCGGGTTTTGCATTTTAAACTTTTTTTTTCTCGCCCATGTTATCGTCTCAAGAAACAATAAAGCTTTCTAAACTACTTTCTTATATTTTGAGACATGGTGCAGCAAAAGAAAAGCTGACCATGACTTCAGACGGTTTTATATCTGTTAAAGACTTGGTAAACAAAGTAGTCGCTTAATGTCTATTGATGCCAAATAGTTGAATCATCGCAAGTTTAAGAACATCACTTTTGAACAGATCCAATATGTAGTAGATGCGAATGACAAGAAACGTTATGAATTAACACAATCACCTACGGGTGAGTATTTAATACGAGCAAGCCAAGGCCATTCTCTCAAAACAGTGGTATCCAAAGATTTGCTTGAATCAGTCACTGCGCCACTAGAGACACCAGTCATTCATGGTACAACACAAGCAGCATGGCAAACAATCAAAAAAGATGGCTTATCCAAAATGGGAAGAAACCAGATTCATTTTGCAGTGGGACTCCCGGGAGATCCTAAAGTTCAGAGTGGCATTAGAGAAACAAGCGAAGTCTTTATCTACATTGATGTAGAAAAAGCTCGAAAAGGTAAATAATGTGTATTTGCTTGAATAGATAACTAACTCTTGACAAGACGGTATTTTGTTTTATAGATCAAGCAATAATGTCATTTTATCCGATGGCATCCAAGGCATTATTCCCCTCAATATTTTGAAAAAGTAACTGATACAGAAGGCAATCTTCTTGAAATATAATAAATGTATGCTTAAGCCGTTCATTGTGCTTTTCTTTTGTACAATTCTGTTTGTCATCTTGATTTGGTAACAAAGCAGCACTCTCTTGAACTTTTTTTTTTTTTCATTCAGGAAATACGCTCTTAAACCATATATTTTTCTGGTTTTAATTGAAAGATCACTATCCATCGTGGCTGTCTAAAAAATCGATAATGATTTGTCCTCTCGTTATCTGGCTGGGTTTGGAAAAAAAAAGGAAAAAAAAAGAGAGTGGCATCAAGTGAAAGTGTTACTTTACTCTTTTCTCTTTCCCTTTTTTTCCTTTTCTCATAAAATTTACTTCTGAATAGAATGAATATGTTTCTTTTCGACTCGAGCCAAAATAAGCCAAAACCAAAGAAACACAAAACTAAAAAATCAATTGAAGCAGCCGAAGCAAGAGCAGCAGCCAAAGCTAGGAAAATACAGCAAGATGAGATGGATGCATTACAAATTACCTTTTATGAAATAGAGTCATGGATCGAAAAAACGGCACCAGCACTCGAAAAGATGACAAAAGAACTAGACAAAGCATCCCAACATTTCACAAATAAAAAGAGAAAAGACAAACATTTACCCAACAATACCACTGCTCTCATGAACCCTACTGGCAATACAACAAGCATCAATTCACTATTGGAGCACTATCAACATGAACTAGCAGCCATGCAATGGAAACTGTCTTTTCAACCGGGAAATTCACTCAGACTTGAAACAAACATCAAGTCAGTCGAACAGCTAATTGAAGCTGTACAAAAGATACAACTCTTGGCCGAACCCTCTACCACTTTCAATATTTCTCGAGATTGTGACTCTGTGAATGAAGAAGATTTCAGTTCTTCGGGATCGTTTGTTGATTCTTGTATTGAATATTGGAATTTAGCTATGTATCGCCGCCCTGCCATATGTGTTAAAGATTACGAACATGATGATATGAGTCTCAAAAGCCTTACCGAAGACGTAACGCCAAGCGTTCTTGCTTATATCTGCCAGACCTATTGGGATTGCCTGCATCCCAAGTTTTCAGAAGACTGGTCTACTTTTTGGGAGAGTTCAGATGATCCAAATCGCAATCAACTTCGTATTGATTCTGGTTTAGCTATGGTTTTTGAACATATTGTTCGTCATGACAGCAATGCTTGTGCTAATGCACAAGCCTTGAGCCATTACTACTATGGCCGCGCACGTGAGTCCGTGATGGAGTACTTTGAATCACCTGATGTAGCGATCATAGAAACACTGCTTAATTTGTCTTTTGTCACCGTACTCAAGAAACATGACTTCCAATCAGGCATTTATATTGAATTTGCATATCGTATGATGCATCAACTTGGAATTCACCAAATGTCACAATGGCCAGAGAACAGGCTGATAAGAAAAAGAAATTTCAAGCTCTATATGGTGTTGTATTATAATGATACAATAATTTCTGTCTATTCAAGAGATCCACCTGTCCTAGACGAAACATCAAGCGATGTTGATTTTTATGAAATGATTTCGCTTAATGAAGCACTGGTCGAGCATGGAGAAGCCAATTATGATGAAAAGACGCTTGCTAGAGAGACATTTTATGTTCATTTACTGGAACTCATTCGTGTGTCGAAGCGTATTGACGCCTTGACCCGAGAATATCAGCGACAAAACTTACAACATCATCATTCAGGTACATTGCCTACTCGTTGGGCTAGAAAAGTGCAAGAATTAGAAGTCGCATTGGCTACTTGGTTTGATCGATTGCCTGTTATGTATCGTGTGGACCCAAAGCCAACAGAACTATTCTCCAAGTCTTACAAAAACAACTTACACAACCACAGTACGATGGAGATGGAACCATTAAGAGAGCAGTCAGCCCTTTTATTGATGCTACAATATCAGACACAATGGCTTAAGTTACACAAGACGTTTCTATCTAATAACATCAAAAAATCTTCAATTGGTCATGTTGTATCTGATGCAGACAGAGATACAGCTTCTTCAGAAACAAGTCCTTACTGTACTTATCGATCCTATATCATTTGCTCTGATGCTGCTAATCGCATAGTGATTATGGCTGAAATCATCACTGAAAGATTCAATTGGTGTGCTTGCCAGCAATTCATCAATTTTGTTTATCAAGCATCTACAGTCTACTGCAACCGAATATTAAACAAAGACGATGATTATAAATCAAATAAGGCCATGATTCAGCGTATCATGAAAGTATTGGCTTCCAGCAAAATCAATTATGAAGGGTTACCTGATGATCTAACTGCATGTTTAAATGACTTTTTAGCCGAAAATCATGATGAAACCCACCCTACTTCACTTACCGTGAATGATGATTTGCTGGATCAGATCTTTGCCGCATGTAATGAGCAACATAAAATAGTGACACATAACGATAACATGTTTAATTCGCCACACATGCATAAACAATGTCTTTTGCAGTCAATCACAGCCAAGTCACCCTCAACACTCAACCGTGAATTGTCTCTTGAGGCAATGTACTCAATTAAACTACAAAACCCTATTGCCGCACCTACCAGCATAGAAACTGATGATTATGAACAAAAGAATTGGAGGTAAATATCTACTTTCTAGGAAATGCTGTTATATTCATCTATTTTTTTTTTTTTTTATTTTAGATGCAAGTTCTCTTCATTCAATGTCGCTTCAAATCATGTCAATTAATACCAATCAAGTATTACCAATAAAGAACACGTCGATCTTAACCTTCCACTAACCATTTTCAACTCTCCTAAAAAAAAGATATGTTAAGCACGAAACATATAGGAGAGAACAACATCTATCTTTTGTAACACTATGTTAAAAGAGCCTTGTTTCAAATCGTGGTCTGTTTACTTGTTTAGGAACAAAAAGGGTCTTTTTATTTATTGATTGACAAAGAAAGATTTACCAAATCTTGTGTTCCAAGCCCATTTCATTGTTAGCAGAAAGGCCGACAGCAGCTCTAAAGATGTTCTCAATAGCAGAACGTTGTCTGCTTAAGGCGTTGACAACGGGAGTACCAGGTGTTACCATAGGAGCCTTCAACATGTAACTCAAGATAGACAAGACAGAATGGAAACTACTAAACTTGGTCATGTCAGCCGTCTTGTATTGAATACGAGTCATCAATTCAGCCATAACAACTAAATCAATAATAAGAGGAGAAGCCAAGAGTGAGTCTTCACAGACATTGTACATGGAAATGGATTGACGACCACCCATAAAGATGTCACATTCGTATTCGTCCAAAGCACGCTTGGAATCACCTACAGAAGGGACATACTTGATAACAACGGTGTGATCAGGATGCTCGTCTTTAGCGTACAACAAGTGGTTAGCAGCAACCATGTCATCAACGACAGTGGACTTGGAGATTTCCTTGGATCTGAATTGTCTTTGAGAAGACAAGTTCTTACCGTCATTGTTACCCAAATGATTGTAAGAAGTAATAGCAACAGGCTTAATACCAGCATTGACCAAGAAGTCAACTAAGGCAGACTTCATTTTGGTTTGGCCAGACTTGAAATCATCACCACCAATAAAAGCACGATGACGCTTAGCCAATTCGATCAAACCAGGCACGAACGTGTTTTGAGGAGAACCATTGATAAAAGGTGCGTTTTCTTCAATACAAGCCAAGGCAAAGATAGAAGAAGGAGCAACTTCCTCATGAGAAGATTGGACAGCAGCTAAGAAGTTATCAGCTGTATCATTGACACCAGTGATAAGTTCAGCAAAACGCTCAGTATTGGCAGTCCAGAGCACAATTACCTTGTCTAATTGATTGGCAGCCTTAAAGTCACGAATATCTTTACGGATTTGGTCAACATGAGCACGCTTGTCAGAGCCAGGAATCAAGTTATCAGCACGGTCTTCTTGGTTAGCAGCAATAAAATCAGGGTAGTAAATAGAGGGCAAAGGAACCATCTTGGCCATATCATCATAGACTTGACGTTGAAGGTCATATTCAAGAACTTGAGCACGTTCCATAGATTCGGCTAAATTCTTGCCAGAAATATCCCAGCCGCCTAAAACAAGGTCGGTAGGGTTGATAAGGGGCAACATTTCACTTAAGGGAACATAGACATCAGCACCTTGAGCATCGACACCTAAACGAACAGTGGAGGATTGAGTGACAGAGCCATAGTAGTTAGGCTTTTGGACACCATTCTTAGTACGCCAAGTTAATTTGTTCTTATGGGCCAAGATTGCAGCAGTTAAAGTGGAACCATTATTTCCACCCCAGCCAACCATCATGACACTGATATTGTATTGATAAGAAAGTTTTTTTTTATCATGAACCAACTTACCCGACTTTAGGAACAACACGTTCAGTCTTGAATTCATAGATAGTTTCTGTAGGTTCAGCAATCAAAGAACCATCGGATTGACGAGTAACCAAGGTGTTTTGATAGACATACTTGCTAGTGATATGTTCATCTGTATATTGGACGTTGGGAGAGTTAACTTTGAACAAAGGAGCGCGGACACCATGAGTAGTAGTGGTAACAGAGTGAGAGAGATCAGCGTTAGGAGGAGCCATGTTTTCTTGATTTTTAGGTTGATTTTTTAGGTCTATCACTGCACCTCTGGTATCCTCTGTATGGGTTGTGTGTGGAAGCAAGGAGATTAGCAAACTAAAGAAGAGGTTAGTCAAGTTAACTAGTTGGTTCCCATCTTACCGTTTTGAAAAGGGAAAAAAGAGGAGCGTCTATTTAAATTCGCGCCTCAAAAAAAAAAAGAAGAATCTAGTATTTTTTTTTTGTGAAAGAAAAAGAAAAAGATAGAAAAAGAAGAAGGTATATCTAAAAACCCTTTCAAATGCCCATGTAACAGCCCGGAAGTCTATACAGAGATTTCCTAGGCATCTACATTGTACCCCACACATAATCTTTTATCCTCCATATTCTCCGCTGGGATAAAGTAACCGTTGTGTACCACTGACAAGAAAAACGTGCCATCTTGTGATTTATTCATAAAAGAAGAGCTTGATAGAAAAGTAAATGACAGGCAACGCAAGAACAATACCAACAAAGGAAGTCAAGAAAAGGAACCTGTTGCCTTTATAATCAAACAAGTACATAAAGGCCAACCCAGGCAAAAAAAACCCCAGAATAGTCGTTGAAAATCCTCCAATCAGACTAAAGATCTTTCCCAGAGAAACCAGTGTTGCTCCAAAATATAAGATAATACTGAAAACAACTATTGTCACTATAAAGTGCTGTTTATCTGTTGACTGACTGTAATCATAATGAGTGCCATAGATCATCATCATGACAGACTCTCTGCAAGGATAAACACATAATCTACAGATAAATCAGCATTGTGTATGAAAATATCTATACTTGCGGTATACTCAAGACCATAAACAATCCAAGTGTCATTTTGGCAAGCTGAATACCAACATCATTGATTGGGAAATTTAAAAAGACATTTGCCTGTACACCTTTTCCAAAGCAAAGATAAAGGATAATAGCAAATACCATGTTGATCACAAATGCAATGCCTATAGCCAATGAACAAGTAAACAGCCAATTAGAGGGGCTCTTGTCCCTTATGGAATCATGAATACTAAACAAGTTTTGCGCACAACCAAAAGCAAGACTCATAATAGCAAGTCCTTGAAACATAGGTTCTGATAGTGTCAACTTATTCTCTATAGGTATCTTTTCATAGTAATTAGGTGACCGTACAAGAACACCAATAAGCATGAGAAACAACAAAACAACAGACAAAGCAGACCATTTGGCAAATTTAGCAGTCGACCTTGATAGGCTCAATGGTAATGTCTAATTTTTTTTTTCTTAATTAAAATGACAAGTCATTCTTACTTACAAAGCATAAACCAAACAAAAGAATGACAATGGTACGATTAGCCAAAGCTGGGTAATTAGGTAATACCCAAGCAATTAGACTTGGGAGTGTATCACCTAATACTATATGCAAGTCAATCTAACAGTATTGATAATGCTACTTTACATAAGTAATAAGAGATAGCAGTACCCGCTGTATGGAAAAAGACTATAAAGTTCATTATACTTGATCCAAAAGGACCCACCAGCCTTTCAACCAATGATACTAAACTGGTTGTTTGTGTTTTCATGCCACACACAATTGTGATATGCATGGTTAGACAAGAAAGACAGGCAATCAAAACAGAAAAGGCTACACCAAGCCAAAATCCGCACAAATGAAGTGCAAGAGGCAGTCCGATGATGCCAGTTCCCATCATGGCATTGACTAAATTCATAGCAGCACCTAGACTAGAAGACTTGTCAATCAATGTCTCTTTGCTTATAGCACCATAATCATATTTCAGTTCATGAGGATCTTTGGCTATGGAAGATAACGATGCTTGTTCTGATAGGGTATTTTTTAATAAAAGAGGTTGCTGTTCTAATACGTCTGAGCCACTTTCCGAAAGTGTTGAAGTTGAATCAACTAAAGTAGATGAAGAAGCAGTATCTTCTTCCACAGTAGGAATGCAATTGAAATGATAAAAAGAGGGGTATTCCTTCATGGAAGAGATTGTAGAGATAAAGAATGGAAAAATACAGGTGCATCTTTTTTATAATTGTGTATAAAGCGACAACAAACAATACAGCATAAGAGCCAGCCAATCATAAGCTAGTACTACCATAGTCAAATAAAGACAGCTTCCCCTTGTCTCTGTACACACACATTTTTTTTTTCGATATGTCAACTTTTAGTTTTCGAAACGCGATCGCAAAACCACTATCACAGTTGACACATATTGAGAAGCGTGCTATTCTTAGTGCACTGTCGACACCTAAAATAGCTACAGAGCAGCAGTTCAGTATTCCTATACCAAAACTTTTAGCTCACGTTGAACAAAAGCCTAACGTTACTGCCTATTGTCAAGAACTTGCTGGCAAGGTAAGATACAACAAAAAAATAACTGTGCCTAACTTGCTTGATTCTAGTTTGAGCCTAATGCCTACATAGAAAAAGCAACGGCTTCAGGGCCCTTTTTGCACTTTGATGTACGTCCTTTAGAGTACATCAAATCCACTTTGCAACAAGTGTATAAAGAGAAAGAAAAGTATGGCCATCATCAACAAGAGAATCCAAAGACAGTTGTGATTGATTATAGTTCACCTAATATCGCCAAACCTTTTCATGCAGGACATTTGCGTAGTACCATTTTAGGCAATTTCATTAAACGCATTCATCAAGTCAATGGTTACAAGACAATAGGCATTAATTATTTGGGTGACTGGGGAAAGCAATATGGACTATTAGCTGTTGGATTTGATCTGTTTGGTGATTCACAAAAGCTTCTTCAGGATCCTATTCACCACCTTTATGAAGTCTATGTAAAAGTAAACCAATTAGCAAAGGAAAACCCCAAGATTGATCAACAAGCCAACTTGTACTTTAAGAAAATGGAAGAAGGCGATGAGACAGCATTAGGTCAATGGAAACGATTCCGTGAACTCAGTATTGATTCATACAAGCAGATTTATCAACGACTCAACATTGAATTTGATTATTATTCAGGCGAATCACAAACAGAACCATTTATACCCCAAGCCTATGATTTACTTGCAAAACACGATTTAATAGAGCAGACAGAAGATGGTGCCTGGATTGTCAATCTAGAACAATACAATCTAGGTAAACCTATTGTACGACGAGCAGATGGAACCAGTCTGTACATAACGCGTGACCTAGCAAGTATCTTATTACGCCGACATTTGTTTGGTTCGTTTGAGAAGGCTGTGTATGTTGTGGGGACCGAACAAGAGCTGTACCTAAAGCAACTATTCAAAATTTGCGAGTTGTTAGAATACCCTATTCAGATGCATCATGCTAATTTTGGCCGTGTTATGGGTATGTCAACACGTAAAGGCACTGTTGTATTTCTTCAAGATATTCTAGACACAGCAAAAGAACATATGCTGGATAATGTACGTTCAAGCAATCCTTCCATGGACAGCGAAACACAAGAACAAATAGCAGATAAGTTGGGTGCTTCTGCTGTCATTGTACAAGATATGGTGGCCAAGCGTGTGAAGAATTATCAGTTTTCTTGGGACAGAATGACAACCGCAAAAGGGTACACAGGTGTTTATCTTCAGTACACCTTTGCACGCATGTGTGGGCAAGTATTATGCATATCAACATAAAAGGGAATTAATACTTTGATAGAATTCAATATAAAGCCAATGTACCTATTTGTGCTGATGCTGACTTATCTTTGCTTAAGGAAAAAGAAGCATTTGAGCTGGCCTTGACTATATCACAGCTGCCAGATATCACACAATCTGCTTGTCAAGCAATGGATCCTTGTATTCTTGTGCAATATTTGTTTAGATTAGCCCATGTGACAGGTCAAGCCAATACTAAACTGAGAGTCAAAGGCTCGGATGCAAGCACAGCAGAAGCTAGAATGCTCTTGTTTTGGGCTGCAAAGACCACTTTGGCAAATGGCCTTGATATGTTGGGCATTGATCCTCTTCATCGCGTGTAACAACGTCACAAAAAATTAAAATAAACCCTTTTTTTCTTCTTTTTTTTTTTGGGTAATCATGAACGAAAAGAGAAAGAGAGAAGACTCTGTCGAGGAAGAACAAGAGCCCAAACGACCTATCAAAGTATGATAAGCAAACATATAATGACACGTTGCCTCATACTAGCTGTAGCCTATTCCCGCTTCAAAACTACAAGCATTTACCATCGGAAAACATAAGAAATCAGCATTTCAAAAGCATAAGGAAGAAGAAGAATTGAAGAAACAGGCAAGTAGTATGGCATCGTTATTGTCCATTTACTCAGTATCTGTAGCAAGAAAGCATAGAGGCAGCCAGAGTATATGCTGAATTTGTAGCATCCTTTGAAGAACCCAAAGCATACAAGTTGGGCACAACATCATTTGTCAAATCAGGCACGCTTATGCCCAAAGGTAAAGAAAAGAACAAATGTTATGACAAGATCTCATGTCTTTTTAGATCATATTGCCGATGAATATAAACCAATAACAACAACCACTATAAAACCAACATTTAAACCAATGCCATTTGTCAAAGCAGGTGAAACAACAACACACCCTGCTCCATCCAATTTAACCACTATGAAGAATTCAACAAGTACTAAGACTATGAATGAGGCAGAATATTCGGATGAAGAAGACGATGTACTCTTGATGTGTAAAACGTTGTTCAGTATAACTAACTCCAACTCGTTCAGGCTTTGGCAAAGTTAAAGAATGCCACCAAGGCACAAAAGAAACTTAATCTAGATTCATTCCTTGAAGAAATCAAAAAGTAAGCAGCATCAAATTAGAGTGTATGAACTCACATCATGATAGAGGTCAAGAAGTGCGAACACGGTTTGATCCCAAAGCGAATCAGACTTCATCAGAAGCTACTGGTAATACTCATGTTTTTGTTATGTAGACATTTAAACAAATGTATGTAGATGACTTGATTGGGTCTTTTGATGATGGCAATCCAGACACAACCAATCTTTATGTTGGCAATATCAACCCTACTATGACAGAAACAGGTCTTTGTCATGAGTTTGGTAAATATGGGCCTATTGCTTCTGTCAAAATTATGTGGCCAAGAACACAAGAAGAGAAAGACAAAGGCAATAATTGTGGATTTGTGAGTTTTATGACAAGAAAAGATGCTGCTGAAGCTATTCATGCGCTTGACGGTAAAGAGATCAATGGATATACATTACGTGTAGGATGGGGAAAGGCCGTTCCTTTACCTCCTACACCCTTTTTTGTGCTAGACAAAAAAATATCTCAAGGCAAAACAAAGACAGGCTTACCATTTAATGCTCAAGTATATCCTGGCCCACCCGGTGTGGTAAGTTGCAGTTTATATATGCCTGTTGGTCTAAAGAAAAAAAGAATTCTAGGCCTCGAGCTGAAGTACGTGTTGTGAAGCCTGTCAATGTCAAATTATTGCGTATTATTCACCGTGTTATTGAGCGTGTGCTCAAGTATGGCCCATTATTTGAAGCTATGATTATGGATAGAGAATTCAATAATCCAACGTTTAAATTCTTGTTTGATAATACAGTAAGTATAGTTATTGTAGCATGCATTATTGACTTTATTAGTCTTCAGAGCACATTTACTATCGATGGAGACTCTATTCATTATCACAAGGAGACACAAATCAAAGGTGGAATGATGAGCCCTTTCAAATGTTTGAAGGTGGTCCTTGGTGGATTCCTCCTGAATTGCCTTTAATGGACAAAGTAAAAAAGAATGAATTATTGAACATTAAACTCAAATCTTATATAGGAGACTGCAGAACCCATGTTTGATACAGACGATGAATTGGCAGATCAAGATAATGTACCCAAAGGAACACTAGGCCAAGTAGCAAAGCAAAGACTAGGTGGTCTGTTACGCCAAGTGACATTTCAACGAGGTACTATTGCTCGTACAATGGCATTTGCTATTGACCACTCAGATGCAGCATCAGAAGTTGTGAGTGTGCTTTGTAAATCCATTCTTCTTCCAGGCATCCCATTTTCAGTCAAACTAGCTCGACTTTATCTTGTATCAGACATCCTTCATAACAGTAGTGTTCATGTCTCCAATGCTTGGAAATACAGAGAAGAATTCGAACAACAATTGCCTGTTGTGTTTGATCATTTCAACAGTATCTACCGGTCTATTAATGCACGCTTAAAAGCAGAACAAGTCAGAGTAAGTCAGCTAGCATTGTTACCATTGCTAAATGATTATTAGAAACATATTTCTTCACTTATTAGTATTTGGGAGAATTGGATGATTTTCCCCAAATATTATACAGATCAATTAACAGACATCTTTATGAAGAAAGAAAAGATCACTCAGGAACTACCGGGAGATGTGGATGGTGAGCCTATAGAAGAAGAAGAAGAAGAGGAAGAGGAAGACGTAGATGGTGAACCATTAGAAGAAGACGTAGACGGTGAACCACTAGAAGAAGAAGGAGGACAAGATGTGGTTCAAATGTCTATAGAAGAAGAGCCAAACTATATACAGGTTGATGATATGTTTGCTCAATAAAGTTTCTTTATTATCCAAACCGAGTTTGCCCAGTAGATTCCCAACTAAGTCCAGTTACTTCACTACTAAAACCTGAGCCATCTAAGGCTAAAACACCTGCTGAATCTGCATAATAATTTGTAGGTCCAGTCTCTGATATACCTTGATTTTTTCTTAAAGAAGTGATTAGCACAATAAAGCACTCGAGACATTAACTCACTTTTTGCGATCTGCTTCATCCATGGCTACAGCAACACCAATTGTCTTTTTTTTTATTCCCTTACTGCTTTTTTTATTCTGGCCATCACAATCAGAGGCATGCTCTTCAATCTCTTCTTTACTATAAAACAATTTACAGATAGGACATTGTATCCTTTCTGCTGCATTATTCTTTTTAGGACTTGAACTTGCATTTTGTTGATGAAATATCTTGTTTCTAGCATGAATGTAGTCAAGGAATGATACCATGTCTTCTTCATTATCTTCATCGAGAATGTCTGTAAACTCTTTTGCTTTTTTGATTTTAGGAAGTGAAAAGAATGAGTTTTCAGTTGATGCTGGTGAATGAACCATTCTTTTTTTTATTGCCGGTCTCTCAGGACTAAGTATTTGTGGTAGTGTATTTATTTGTTCTATTTGGCGCTTTATGACAGGTGGTTTGCTTATATTTACAGGGCGTGCATCTTCATGTTTAGGAGGAGTTCGTGTGGCGATGGGTGTTTTATTTTGAAAAATTGGTTTGCTGTTTTTCTTTTGAAGAAGCTTGTTAATATTGACTGAAGTTTTGCTTCTGTTAGGACGTAAAGAGCCTATAATACTGGCTATCTCGTCCTCTTCTTCCTCAATTATCTCAATTGTATTCTTGGAATGTGGTGAGTTACAGTTTGATATCATAGTAGGGCTTTTTGTAAAAACTGGTCTAAGGGGCTGTTTGTTCTTGGCATGTGGCGATGGCGATTCAGTAGAAGGTTGCGATAGTATAGAGTTGTTTTTTTTTGGCTGAGTTAGGCTTGCTTTGTTAACTTGTGCAAAATTTTGTTTAGGTTGAACTGATGTCGGTTTCTTTGAAGAAGCATGTTTGCCATTTGACCATAATGAAGTAGATTTAGGAGTGATCCTTTTTTTTGAAGTTTTGTCTGAAATCTCTACCTCATCTTCAGAGTCAATAATAATGACTACTTCATTTTCTTCCGAGGACATGGAAGTCTATTGTCTTTGTATTTAAAAAAAGAAAAAAGAGGTACACTTGTTTTGACAGATGTGATCTAATAATAATAATAATAATAATTCTGATTCAATCATGCAAACAGGTAATTGCATCTCTTTCTAGACACTATAGATTGAATGGGAGACTTCTTTTTGGCTTCTACAATTGAACTATAGTTATTCCAATTGTTCTCTTTTAGGCATGACCTAAAAAAAATTCCCCTCCACATTGCCTTACTAGGTCGTCTAGCAAACAAGATTGGTTTTTTATGTTCAAGAGAGAATTTCAACTATAGCTATGGATTCTTTTTCTTAAAAAAGAAGTATTGGGCTAATACATTTCTTCATGGTGTTCTTTTCTTTAGATATTTCATATAATAATCAATGGTGTACAGAAAGGAAGGTTCAGAAAATAACAGTGGGAGCAGTTTTGGACCAAAAAAAAAAGCCAGTCAATTTGTATGTACCAATTGATAAACTATCAAAATGATAATCTTGGGGATCGCTAATTTAATTCCAAAGTCTAGGAAGTGAGCAGTCATTCTCAATTACAAGCTGTTTATCAAGATGAAGCCAGTTAGATTATCATCTACGATCTTTATATATATATATATATATATATATCCTACAAACTTATTTCAACTAGACAATGTCAAGTATGTCTAGCTATAAAACATATCCATTCATGATATACATCAACAATTCTTTACCTACTATAAGAAAAAAGGAGATTCCTCCGCGCCTTAGGTTGTACCAAGATGCGATCGAAAAATGACAGTTACTTTTGGTTCAAACTAACAGTCATGTAACCAGATTTATTTCATCTTGAATTAGCTAGATTTTGTCAGACGTTTGAGTTCTGTCTGATTCCTAAAAGTCTTGGCTCATTTTATTTTGGACGGAGACGTCGGGTTATCTCAGGGAAAACAGAAAAGACACAAAGCTTATCTGATCAAGTACTCAGTAATCTATGGAATTAGATAATCAAATAGTCATTAAAAGCACGAGTTTAATTATTAGTCGAATATCAGATAAAAAAAAGTAAGCAGTTCTTTCTCAAATATCATGGATGACATAACGAAAAGAAATCTAGAGCTTAATCCTTTCAGGTAACCACAAACCTTGTCCTGTGTAAATGGAATCATTTTCTTGAGATAATAAAAGGATATTTGTTTAAGCTAAGATGAACAAAATTCAATCTGATAAACAGCTGCTTTTCAAATCATGGTACAACCTAAACGATGTGGAACTTGGTATGGTTGCACTAAACTGTCTAAAGTTTGATAGGCTTTATTCACCTTTATATTAACAATGACCACGCATGTCAGGTCTAACCATATTGATAGTAGTGCGTTTTTACGTCCCTGGGATTAGAAGGGTTCAATATGTTTATACAAAGCTTGTTTGATATTCCTGAAAGCCATGTAATTTGAATGATTCAAAAATCATAAAGTGAATGAAGGATATCAAAAGACAAATAAAGTTTAATGCATATTATAAGATTAAGAGAAGGGGAGATAAAAATAAAGAGAAAAGAGAACGAAAAAGATTATAATGGAAGGTACAATAATAATTTTGTAAGCAGTAGTTATGGAACATTACTTTTTAAAAAAGAAGAATAAAGGAAAATATAATACAACAATTTACGAAAACGAACATACAAATATCTAGGTATGCATGTCTAGAATTCAAAGGTTTCGTTGTGAACATCAAAGTGATGACGGACAGCTTCGTTGATCACTGTGCAAGTAAATTCATCTCCACCGCATGCATGAGCCCATACACGACGCTTGCCGTTGACTGTTTGGACCTTGTCCATCTCCATATCAATCTTGGGTCTTTCACCGTAAAAAACGCTGAAACCAGGCATGCCTTCAAACACATTGGGCCCCTCAGTCATACGTGTCACATATACATTGACATTGATATAGATGGGCAAGATGGCTGTCTTTGATCTTTCGTTCCAGTAAGAGAACATGTCGATGAAAGCATTGACTTCCTCTGTAATGAATAGCAAAAGAGTTAGCGATGAACTTGCAGCATTGTCTTTTTTTTTTTTTTTTTTTCAACAACTTACCAACTGATCTGATAGCCCACGTCAAGTACACGTTCTCAACAGCAACAGTCTTGACGCCGTTGGCACGCTTCTCAATAATGTCCTTCATGATCACAAGAGCAGGAGTCACACCGATACCAGCAGCAAACAAAGATACAACCTGATAGTCTTGGTACTGAAGTTGAGGACCGTAGACACCATCGACCTTGACTGTCAGCTTCTCATGAGTGGCAGCAGAGTCAAGAAGTCCCACGGTCTTTTTACCGAGGCCCTTGATGTGGAAAGAAGCAATCGTCTTGGCCTCTGATCCAGGAAGAGCAGTAGTACGGCGACGCAAGCTAGAAGTATCAGAGATAGAGTCAATGTCGGTAAGACTACCAGAGCCATTCTTGTGGTTCTTTTCTTTTTCGTCAATAACAGCAGCTTCGTTCTTGCCAATGACACGTTCTTCAATACCCCCATCAGCAGCTGAGCTGACACGGAAGACCTCAGAGATAGTGTAAGGGTGCCAGTTGGCATACTTCCAGAGCTTAAACTTACTCTTGGCCATAGAGACAAAGACGTATTGACCGGGCCTGAAGGCCTTCATCACATTGGACTCGAACAAGACACGAACGATACCTTCTTGAGAGTTGGAAGGGCTGACGACTTGGTCCACACGAACAGAGGCAGTCTTGACACACCATGATTGGTAGGAACGAATGACACGATCAACAGCCCAGAGAATGATAGCAGGAATAAAGAAGGCAAAGCATGTGTGCTCGTGCCAGCAGGCAAAGATGATGGCGACGATGAGGCCGATGATATGAGACCAGTAGAAGATCTCGAAATGGTTGCGACGCATGTACTCAAAAGAAGTGACGAACATAAGGAGGAAACCCAGCATAGAGATAGTACCAGTTGTTTGTTCTTCATTATAGAAAAGAGTGTCTGCAGCAATATAGGTCTTTTGGTAACCGTGCAACCTACGAGCTTTGTGTAAGGGTTATTGTGATAAAGAATTTAGTGTTGCACTTACATACGCCACACAAAGTGAGGAATAAACTCTGCTAAACCAACTCGTGCAATAATTCGATGATAGGGAATGAGTTCTTCGAATGTAAGACCTGACATCTTGGGCAAAACGGAGTTTCTTTGAGCCAAAAAGAAAACAAACCCCCAATTGACCATACCGACAAAAGCTGCACGACGATCAAAAATACCAATGGTAGTCAGAGTGTATGGCCCAGTCATAGCAAAGGGAGCAAAGAAAATGAAAAGAAGGTTGATAATAATGAATAGCGAAATACCAATGACATGTTTGACAGGCATCATTTCAGTCACAAAAGGAATACGAACAACATGGTCAAATCGATGTAACCATCTTGTTCCCGGCAGATTCTGCACTACATTGTCGTCCTTGCCGTTGATTCTGCTCTTTCTGACATAGTACACACGAAGACGGTTGATCTGATAGAATACACAGTAGATTGCAAAAAGAGCCCACCAGAAAAAAGCATAAGAAATGCCACAAACATAAAAAACAGATGTGGTTCTGATATCGTATACCATATCTGATTATGTAATTATAGTGTTTAGTATAATGACAGGTGAAGAAGAAAGAACGAAACTAATCAATCTACAATCTGAAACTTTTTTATACGAAATTTTTCAGTTGTTAAAAACACAAAATTAGAAAATGAATTTAACCAATTAAAAGAATGAAAGTGATCGCTAAAACAAATCATTAAAAAATTATCTGATTTCAGTCATTTTATCAGATTGCTCCACAAGGGTAGAGCTGATTCGGCTAGGGGCAAATGCCAGATTTGAAAGAAAGTTTTGTTACACCTTCTGTAGGCCCCGGTAATTTATTTCAGTTGTTTCCGTCTCCGCATAGAAAAAGTATATGTTGTATCAAACCATATTTCTAAACGTATTAGTCAAATAATTGATTTCTTAATTCGTTGATGGTAATGCATCCGAGAAATTTTAGAAGGAGGAAAAGAACAAGAAAGTTAGTAGGTTACGCGCTTCAAGTGGACTGTCCATAAAGACGTAATGATTGTACTACTTTTGATTATCTGATCAGTTCTATTTATTGAAAATTCAGCAAGTTACATGATATCCAAATAAAGATTTTCTTTACCTCCCCTTGTAATGTTTGTTCAACCTGACATTTTAGGTAAAGAAGGTTTTTCTTTTTTCAATGCATGTGGGTTTTCTCAGCCTTCCATACTAATTCGATTTTCAAAAGAGTTTATTATATGTGCAACCTATCAATGTTTACATAAAAGTTGTTTTTTCTTTAGCGTTTAGATCACACACTTTTTTTGTCTATCTTTTTTATGCGTTCCTCTAAACATCTTGGAAAGCTTATCCTGTTTTTTTAAAAAAAAAAGAAAACAACTTCATAACTCAAATACTCTTGTTGGTTATGTTGACACGGCGCTTGATATTATTTTTCTTTTTCAAACTAAGGAGTCAATTGGTTGTGTATCATGTTCGGGACAAAATGGGTTCAGCTATCTTCTCAAAAAAAAAAAAAAAAAAAAAAAAAAAAAAAAAAAACATTTGTATAGATGCACGTTTAAGAAAAAACAAAGACAAATGCTTGTCAGAATATAGAGAGATTAATAACTATATGTCATCAGTTAAATGTGTGTATAAGTATAGATTACACAAGTGGGTACTTTTCTTTTTCAAGGCATAAAGAAAAGCGGATTATAATTTCTAGTAATCAGATCTAATTTCGTGTGTTTAGGAGTTTCATCTGGGCTGATCCGCCGTGTGTGGATTAAAATCTGATAAAAAATACTACTAATTTCTTCAATTTAAACACACATTATCGACTTGATATTATCTTTGATCAAAATAAATGTGCTTATGCTAAATATGCTTTTAGAAAAGTTATCAGATTTACATATTGTTACTAATTTCAAAAGCAGTTTTTGATGTCTGTTAATCTAACCCTGTGATAATATCTTATCGAATAGTACATTATTATCTATTACCCCCGGGTTCATACATAACTGTCCAATCCTATAGACTTTGATTATCTGCATCAGTGTAACACATGCTACAGTAACTATTCGTCATTTCTTTGTATCCATTAAATCATGATTTAGTGTTTTATTAAGCAGTCAAGGCAGTCTTCTTCTTGTTATTCCTCTTCTTTTTCTTTGAGGGCTCGTTTTTTACTGGAGTATCTTTTTCATCTAAAAGTCTTTTCTTGGTGTTTTCTTCTTGTTCTACATGATCTAATTTTCTAACAAAGCAAGAGACAAAAAAACCATTCGTAAGGTCTTCAGCAGGTATTGTGCGTACAAGACGATCCGCAAGGTCTAAAAGGTACACTTTAATATTTTTTCTTGATCAAACTGTATTTATTTACCTTTGTTTCCGTCTATTTCTGCAGGAATACCTCTTCTATGCCATGTAGACAAGATGCTGTCACGAGGAGCAAGCTCAAACTCAGGATGTTGTTCAAGAATGGTCTTTACAACATGTTCGTTTTCTTCAGCATGAATAGAACAAGTAGAATAGACAATACGCTTTGCTCTAGGAACTTGTCTGATTGAGTAAAAAAAAATCTTTTTTTTTTTCATAATCTTACATTTCATGGCGTGTTCTATGATAGATATTTGAAATTCGGACAAGTTCTTTAATCTTTCTTCTTGTGTCTGTCCGTTAGCATCTTTGTCATCATCTAATGAACATTAGAGTTTCTGATTAAATACTTTGTGTTGACTTACTTTCGTCTTCATCGTCTACAAGATGATCAAGTCTACTGATAATACCAGAACCAGAACATGAAGGGTCTAATAATAAATATTCAACCTATCGTCTATATATTAGTACTTACTATCTCATAAAAAGAGTTGCCATTACCTGAGAAAAATGAGCGTCGTTTGGATCTGTTTCAAGAAAAGAGCCGTGTACAGGAATGATATCTAGTCTCTTTATAAGCAAAAATTTCATGAAATAATACACCAATGTTTACTTTTGCATCCAGCCTTGTTTGTCAGTCTTTTTAACAAATCTAATCGTCGAGAATCCAGATCAAATGCCCAAATTTTGCCTGTGTCTTTCATTAGAGCAGAAAGATGTGAAGTCTTGTTTCCAGGAGCAGCACAAGCATCAATAGCATGAGCTCCCTTTGGTGCCTGGCATACATGAGCAGGGAAACATGATGCTTTGTCCTTTGTTTATGGTTAGAGACACTTCGAAACGAAATAGACATACTTGTAAAATAATGTTGCCTGAGGTATACATGGAGTGTGCATGAAAATCTGTCTTTTGATGAAAAACAAGCATATCATATAAATGTCGGTCTACACAAAACTCCTTTTGCCTATCAAAAATACGTCAGTTGATTGAAGAGGAAATCAACAAGTCATACTTGAGATCACGAAGATCATCGGGATAGTCAACAAGCGTATATCCTTCATTCTGGAAACCTTTGATTGCCTTCTCAACTGTGATTTTGTGCTCATTTACACGGGCATAACGAGGAATAAGAACTAGATCATGATTTAAGGTTACATTAGCCGAAATTACGCATATATTTTCTTACCTGCATTCTTTACTTTCTGACTGACTAAATCGTCATTCATGGAAGCACCTCGCTTGATTTTGATCTTGGTTAATTCAGCCTTCAGTCTAGCTTGATGACGCATAACACATTGCTTGAGTGGCACATCATTTCTAACTGTAATACCACGCTTTGTAAATAATAAATCATGAATTAGAACTAGGGCTAGTGTTCTCTTCAACTATACTAGCAAATTAATACTGATACCGAACATTCTGAATTTACCTTCTTCTCGATCTCGCAGATCTTGGAAGCGTCAATGATCTCGTTCAAGACCTGTTTGTCTTTACAAAGAGTGCGGTTAGTAACAAGTAGATCTATAGATCTAAACTATATTTACACTTCAAGGTCTCGCAAACAAGAGCATACATCTTTTTTTTATCCCAAACTTTTGGGTCTCCAATAACAAGACCCTTTATGGTGCCTTCATGTCTTGCAAGTTTATCGAGAATACGGCCAGCATGTTGATAAAAATTCATTTTTAAAAGTGAAAAAAGAAATCAGAAAAAATTTTCTTGTCTCAATTGAAATCCAAACGCCGGATGTCAAAAGTTGGCATAAAAAAAGGGAGAATTTCAAATAAATAGTATTTATTACAAATATAGAATAAGAATATCTAGTCAATAAAAATGGTAAAGACAAGACCACCAAGCAGGCCACCCAAAAAAGGAGCAAACATGGGTACAAGAGCATAGTAGTGGTGAATACTAAAGACTTCAAAACCCCAACCACCAATGGCAGTGAATAAACGAGGGCCCAAGTCACGAGCAGGATTGATGGAGAAGCCAGAAGTGTAGCCCAAGCCTAAACTGATTGTCATAATACCAGCTGCAATCATGACACCTTGTGCAGTACGGAAAGGCATGTTATTGGGATGACCTGTGACCATGATGACAAGTAATAATAAGGCAGTACCAATCACTTCAGAAGCAATTGCAGAGCCAATACCAACATATAAAGGAGGATAGGTACCAAAAATAGAAGCAGTGCCAAGCTCGCCTAAAATTTGACGCTCACCATGATCAAATTGACTAATAGCAGGTTCAATCATGGTATATAAAATAGCAGCACCGCAAAATGCACCCAAGTATTGAGCAGCAAAATAGATAGGAACCTTCTTAGTAGGGAATCCACTGAATGCCCAGAATGTAATAGTGACAGCAGGGTTAAGATGACCACCCTATATGGCAACAAAAAAGATCGTCAGGGCTAAATTTCCTAAATATAGTTCTTTTTTTTAATACTTACAGAAACGTGTCCAGCAACACAAATAGCAATAAGGACAGAAAGACCTATTTAGTGTGAATACCTTGATTGCATTTTTAATTCGTCGTATTACCTGAACCAAGAGAGGAAGTTAACCAAGATCTGTTGACACCAATACCCAATACTTCTTCGGCAGAGGTACCACATATCAGCAAAACTAAAATTAATGTACCCATAAATTCGGCCAAAAACTCTCGGTTCTGAATGCAACATAATTTTACAGAATTTAGAAAATGCGTAATAAATATAAAACACTTACATTTGTTTTGAACCGCATAAAACTTGATGTAATTGTACCAAAGCGAGTTTTGCGGCCTGTACTGAGATCATCTGAACGATATTCGTAAAATGTTAGTGTTTGATTTGAAGACATTGGCTTTTTGTCAAATGGGCTATGGCTACCATCCTCAGGAAGATGGGTAGCAGATATAGTATGAACAGCAGTAAAAGAAGAACGACCGGAAGATGTCATTGTAAGAAAAAGAATGTATGTTACAAATAATAGAAAAAGAGAGGAAAAAAGAAAAGAATAGTTGTGTTTAAATAGAAGAAAAAGGGACAACAGATAATAATTAAAAAAACATGTGAGTGTGTATCAAGGCCAGATCTCTTATGAGAGGAATGGTAGCCCAGTGACTAAATTCTTAATTGTTCGTTTTTAACTTACCATGAGGATAGGAGCTTTGATAGTGACTATGGTGCTGCTCATCATTGGAAAGCAAAGGATCATGCTCAGAGGAAGCATCGGACGAATTTGATTTCCACCTCAAGGCCATTGTTTGTATATTTCTTTAAATTTGTTTGATAAAGAGAGAAAAGGGGGAAAAAAGCAATTAAAGTTGATTGATGCGCTAGTTTCGCTTTGGTATTTATACGCGAGAGTCACACTATTTAGCTTCTTTTCTAATAGGTCTCCGACATGGTTACATAAAAAACAACAATAAAAGTTTTGTTGGCATTGAGGAAGACTTACTTACTACCAAAAAGAAAAAACTTGAGCAGAACTTGTACTTCAATATAAGGATATATATCGTATAGTTTGTTTTCAAATTATTATTCATCATGATGCTCTCTTATTTTCCAGCGGAATGTAAATTATAATCTTTGCGACACTTTGATACCCCCTTTGTTAACAATTATAATTGTCCCTGAATTGTTTCAATAAAAAAAAGTAACATTAATCAAAAATGACCTATGGTATCATTTCGTGTACGTCAAAAGTGTCACAATAAGGGATAGAGTCTTGTGTTGCGTTTCAAAAGTATCTGTGGTTTGAATACAACCTTTGGCAACATTAAAAGTCGTATTAAAACTGCTTAAATGGTAATTTTGATCATCATTGTTTATTCGTTGTGAAACAATCATTGGAAATGGCAAGAAGAAAAGACGTGTATGTAATTGTTGGAGATGTACACTCTAAAAGCGAGGTTTAAAGTCGATTCTCAGATTGATAGGTCTTACGCCACCGTTTCCTTCAGCAATCATACCATCTCTATGCACAGAATCAAGAGCCAACGTCCATTCAAACTTGCGCACTAAATATTTGGTCAATTAGAGTTCTCTTTTTGCATATATCATTAGCTTACACAGCATGGCCAAAAACACACGTTGTTCGGCAAGACTGAAATTTTGACCAATACACACATGAGAGCCATATCCAAAGGGTACATATGATAGGCCTTGTTTCGTAGAAGTAACATCAGCACTTTCAAGAAATCGCTCAGGTTTGAATTCAAATGGATCGCTATAATTAGCCTCGCTCATATGCGTAGCAGCAATTTCAACATCGACAAGTGTCCCTTGAGGAATGAGGAATCCATCAACAGCAACGTCTCTTGCTGCAATTCTTGGTAGTGTTTTTGTGATGGGAGAGTTCAATCGAAGAGTCTATCATGTTTGATTCAGCTTAAATTAACTCAGTGTAACCTACTTCTTTGACAATAGCGTCTAGATACGGCATCTTTTTGATAGATTCGATAGAAGGTATGTCTTCAACATGATCACCTAGAATACTCACGACTTCCTCTCTTGCTTTCTTTTGAATCTCCTGATGTCTAGCTAGTTGGCCAATGGCAAAAGACATACCTGCAGCCGTTGTATCATGGCCTACCATACAAAGATGGTGAGATTAGCATTTGAATGACAACTTGGAAACGAACCAGCGAAAAAGAACATGACCATGTTTCTCTAAATCTAGTTTTAGTCACGAACCTATTGCGCCCACTTGTTATGTCTCACTTACTCTTAATTCTTCATCTGAAAGCTTGCCTTCTCCTGCAATCTCGGCCTCCATCATGAGTGTCAACAAATCCTTTTCTGCGTCTGATGTTGTTGAATAGTAGTCAAGCGAGCCTATCTTTTCAGTCACGGTGACACGCTTTAAAGCAATCATCTCATTAATTCTTTTTAAAAGGTGATCCAGGCGTTGATGAGCTTCTACTCGAGAAGGAAAGAGCCATTTGAGCTGATCATCAAATATCTGGAAAAGTACAAAGAATAGTCGAGTCATACTGTATCGAATAATATCGTACGTCTCAAGCCATTCACTATTAACTTGAGTGGTGCAATGGAAATCATAGCCTGTTTATAGGTGTAAGTCAGTCGTGTATGTGTGTGTGTGTGCGTTTTTTTTTTGTTAAGATATTACCAAAACCAACAAGACCGATTGTATCCATTGTCATTCTTTCACAAAGAGAGGTAGCATGAATATGATTATAACCGAGTTTTTTAATCATGTCAAAGACTCTTTGACTTAATTGGCCATAGATATGGATGGGAATGCCTCGATGAAAAGCAGGATTAACAATCTATACTGAATCAGTATGGTTCAGTGAGGTCTTTTATGCTTACTCTTCTGTGACGTTTCCATTCGTCTCCTTCAAGAGAAGCAAGATGTTTACCGCCAATAAATCGAGTCGTCAATCCATTTCCTTTACCAAACAGATGTACCACTTTAGGAAACAATTCTACGTATAGCTTAAGAGGTTAGTATATGAAGCAGAACCAGGTGGTTTATTGATTACCAATATCAGATAAAATCATTTTGCTGATCGAGGGATTCGTGGAGCGAATTTGCCATCCGATAGGAGTAGGTTCCTGCAGATTGGCGGGTATGTCAACAAGTTTTTTTTTTATGTCTGATTCTTACTGTATAGACGCCTTTGGCTTTTCCTAAAAGCGGGAGAACAAGTCTTTTCCTTCTTTCATACACAGTGTCACCTCTTATGAGTGATTTAATTACATCAAGATAAGTAATGCATGGTATTCCCTCAAGATGTTTTGGAGGAAGATTCAATTTCTTATATAAAAGACGAACCAATAAGGCTAATGTGACAGCCGTGCTGATAGAATAGACCGTCTTTTTGTTGTTCTTGAGCTTGAGTAAGTAGTTCTCGACTAGTTTATTCTTTAGAATCTCAAAATGGTCCATCGTTTTCATTTTGAATAAAGAAAAAGAGAGAAAGAGAAAACGAGAAGAACAATTGAGAATTGTACACATCAGGAACTGGAACCATTTAGCACATGTCCTACCTTGGGGACAAATAAGGTTTTTTGTGTATAGAACAAAAAACTATTTTGTACATTCAATGGAAGAGCCTTGACACATATGTAGACACATTTGCTACTGGGCACATTACTTGAGCTTGAGGTAAAAACAATGAAAAGAATGAAGAAAAAAATCTGCTTCCCAACTAATTGAATGTAAGGCAAGACTGTAAAATTAACTTATAGAGATTAAAATCAGCATACAGTATCTGTTTTGATCCATTACAAATTAGCAAAATAAACGAAAATTGACATGATAACAGGCAGAAAGTATAACATAACGTTAATTGTTAGAATATATGATCTTTTGAGACTTTTTAGGTGTAAAAAAGCAACATTTAAAAATCACCCATTTCGCTCGAGTAAAATGCCTTTTGATCAAGTTGAATCTCCGACGCTTTTGACTCTTTTTCATATTGTGACACGAAGAGTACAGAGAATAGCATGTTCAAGTATTTGAAAGCACCGCAAAAAGCGATTTTTTTTACTGGCCTTTTTGTTTTGACAATTCTACTATAAAAACAAATTGCAATGTCTAAAAAGCTGCAAAAGCAAGCTTGCACTTTTCTTCAAGAATTTATTAGTAGAATTCCTAAGATTTTTATATCTTTCGACGGGCAATTAAGAGATGTGCAAGTTTTGCCATAACGCCAAGAAGAAATAAGTACGTCCTGAAGCATGTCAATCAAAAGTTGAATTTAGCGATTTTTTCAGATGGATTTTTGAAAGGTTTAATTGCATGTCTTTTTAAACTCAGAAATTATTATTTGAAGGCCTGTTTGCTCTCATTTGATGCCAGCAAATTGACTGACTATAACTCTAGAGCAGTATCATGTATTCAGGACAACAAAAGCACACATAAATGACGTTCCAATACAGTCAAAACATGCAATTCCTTCACGTTTCTTGTAAGCAGCCCAAAAAAAAAAATTATCAGGGCCAAGCCACAAGTTTTCTGAGCCAATCATTGAAAAAAGTTTTCGATTAAGAACCCAACAGCCACTGGCAATTCTTTTGTTCCTTCTCTTTTCGACATGCAACTTTTTGTCAAGTCCCTTGCTGGTAACACCCTCGCTCTTGAGGTCGCTCCCTCCACCTCTGTTGAGAATGTCAAGGCTATGATTGCCGCCCGTGAAGGTACGAGTAGATATAAGAACGCGATTGCTTAAACTAACGCGCGCGCGCCCTCATCAGGTATTGATGCCGAATACCAATGCCTCTCTTTCGCCGGTAAGCCTCTTGTTGATGGTGAACTCGCTCTTTACGGTATTGCCAACAACAACACTTTGAACCTCAACGCCGAACTTCTCGGTGGTGGTAAGAAGAGAAAGAAGAAGACCTACACTACCCCAAGAAGATCAAGCACAAGCGTACCAAGGTCAAGTTGGCTATCCTCAAGTACTACAAGGTAGATGAATCTGGCAAGGTTACCCGTCTCCGTCGTGAATGTCCTAATGCCACCTGTGGTGCTGGTGTCTTCATGGCCAAGCACAAGGACCGTCAATACTGTGGCAAGTGTCACTTGACTTACGTCTTCCAAAAGGATCAACAAGCTTAATTTTGTGTCAAGTTTTTTTTTTAAATAAAAAAAATCCCAAAAAAGACAAAAAAAAAATCAAACAAACTATAAAACGATTTACACTTTATAAAGAGTAGAGTATCTTTGTCTAACAACAAGCTGTATCGTTTTCTTTTATATATATATAAAGTCAAGAAATGAAGGTAATATATACTCAAGATCCATTTGTTAGTGTCCTTCTCGTTGAACATATCCCAAAAAGAAAAGTCACACTATCGAGTGTTCCAGAAATCTCTCTTGCTGTTATGATAAATAAAAGCGCTTGATGCGACTCAATTTTTTTTTTTTCTATTCCTTTCTCTGATATTCTTTATTGAAACATGTCTGACGATAACAAACAATTAGCCTTGGCTGAAAAAGACCTCGGTAACGCAGCTTACAAGAAACGCGACTTTGAAACTGCTCTCTCTCACTATGACAAAGCCTACGAGTTGGATAACACCAATATCACTTTCTTAACAAACAAAGCTGGTAAGTTCATATTTGCGTCTCATTTGACTTTTGACGCTTGTCTTTTCTAGCTGTTCTTTTTGAACAAGAAAAGTTTGAAGAATGTATCAAGGTCTGTGAAGATGCTATTGACCGTGGTCGTGAATTACGATGTGACTACAAGTTGATTGCCAGGTAAAAAAAAAAACAGAAAAGGCAAAAACCGTGTTTGAGATACTAAACTATGAACAGAGCTCTTCAGCGTATTGGTAATGCTTATGCCAAGTTGAACAAATTGGATGAAGCCATCAAGTACTATTCTAAATCATTAACTGAACACCGTACTCCCGATACTCTTCAAAAGCTTCGTGATACTGAAAAGCTCAAGAAGGAGCAAGAAAAAGCTGCTTATTATAACCCTGAACTTGCTGACAAGGCTCGTGAGGAAGGTAATGCTCTTTTCAAGGCTGGTAAATGGTAAGTAGTCTTGTCCTACATTGAGTGGACTTACATTTTTTTTTAAAAAAGGCCTGAAGCTATTGAGCAATACACCGAAGCCATTAAGCGTAACGACAAGGACGTTAGACCTTTCTCTAACCGTGCTGCTTGTTACTTGAAATTGATGGCTATTCATGAAGCTGAAAAAGATGCTGATCGATGTATTGAACTTGATCCCACTTTTGGTAAGTAAAATATAAATATATATATATATATATATATATATATAGCACAGTGATCATTGACCTGTATATATATATATATAGTTCGTGGTTATATTCGTAAGGCTGCTGTTCAACTTGTCAAGAGAGAGTACCAAGAATCTATCGATACCCTCAAGATTGCTCAAGAACATGACAAGGACGGCAAAGCTAGTCGTGAAATTCAACAACAACTCATGAAAGCTTACACTGCTATGAACCCTGGCAGCAATAACGAATCTCAAGAAGAGACTCTCAAGAGAGCTGCTCAAGACCCTGAAGTTCAACGTATTTTGGGTGACCCTGTCATGCAACAGATCCTTCAACAGATGCAAGAAGATCCTAAGGCCGCTCAGGAGCACTTGAAGAACCCTCAAGTAGCTGCCAATGTTCGTAAGTTGATGAGTGCCGGTATCATTCGTATGGGATAAACTATCATGTATCATAATAATAAATAACTGTCATAATACTATTTACATATGTGTTTATTGTATACATCTATTTACAAAACAAGGAGATCCCTTTTAAAGTTCAAATTTAAACTTGTGTTTGATTCTGCTTGGCTTCTCTTGTATCTTATGCGATTGTTCTACAATCTTCTCAGAGAGTTTACGCGTCATGCCAAGAATTGTATCGCGTTTCCTTTTTTTGACTTGCACAACAACAATGCTGTCCTCCTCTTGTTTAGATAACGATACGGGTTTTAATACACCTCCTGTGCTATTGCTCCTATGAAATGTAGCGCGAAGTAAACCTAACGCCTTGCTTCGTTTACGATGCGGGAGTGGATGCATATCATCTGCAATACTGTTACTACTACTACTACTACTACTACTGCTGCTGCTGCTGCTGATACTGATACTACTATAACTATCGGTACTAGAGGATAAGCGAGTATTGACTTCCACAAGGACAGGCAATTCACAGGTGCTTTTTTCTTGTAATTTACGCTGAGATTTAATGACTGAACGATGAGAAGAGGGGAATGTACGGAAAGCGTTCAAGAACACAGGCAAACGATGGTGTGTTTGTTCAATTTCTTTTACTTTGACAGTAGGGTCCAGACTGGTGATCATTGGTTTAGGTTGCTTTGTAGGCAAGAGCACTTTAGGTTTTGTTGTCAATGATTTCTTGTGAGTTCTTTTGTATTTCCATCTTATCCGTTCTTCGGAAGGTGTTATTTTATGATAAGCAATAAAAATGATAGAATAAACCCAATAGAGATGAGAATAAACAGCAGCAAAAGATACAAATCCGATCACTGTATATGCTTTTTCTTTTGTTAAATCTGTTGTAGTCATTGCAGAAAGAGAGAAAAGAAAAGGAAATGCATATATGGTCTATATTTATATCCCTATATTGACCTGTGTGACTTTTGAGTTTAGTTAAATTTGGATTTGTCTAAAATGGATTCTGAGGCTGTTGCTGTTTTATCAAAACAAGTAAAATTCAGTTAATTACTGTGGCTCAAATTTACTTTATCTTGATAAAAAAGAAGTGTATTTGTTTCAATAGGATATTTACTGTACAACCATTAGCTGTCTATCCTTTGAACTCTGTTGAAAATGATGGTTAATTAGCAGATGGATATCAATCATCTGAGGTGCACTTTTTTATAAATGATGCCAAGCAAACCCTATTGGTAAAAAAAAAAAAAAAAAAAAAAAAAAAAAAAAAAAAAAAAAAAAAAAGGCAGTTTAACATATTTGAAGCAGGTGAAGATCTTAAAAAGTAGTATATATGTATGTATTAGAATAAATATTAAATGGTCTCCATCCAAATATAAGGTAAAATAGAGACACATGCAGTATAGAGTACAGTAAAGAACATGATAAAACTTTTATGAGCACCAGCCCATCCATTTGCCTTGGCTTCAATATAGATAGCATGAAATGCCACGGCAAAGAAATGGTACACAAGCACTAGAGGTTTCTTAATCAAGCCAGATAAGAGACCTACAGGCTGATTGACGCAATCCCCACCCATCTGGAAATAAGAGAAACATCCTCGCTGTAGCACTTGAAGATCGGTATCTAGCATACAGATCGTGATCAACACATAACACACAAACGGGTGTTTTCTAACTTACCATTATTCGCAGCAAACAGACGATAAAGAGCCATGGCTAGCACATTCACAGCTGTACAATGATTCTTTCTTTTCCAATGAAAAGATGTCAACTGCTGCTTGATCTTTTCAGTATCTGTGAAAGAAGGTACTTTATCAGGGGATAAGAAGTCTCTTAACAAGACCACATCGTTAAATGCAACTGTCATACCGCCTACAATGTGTAAACAAGATGGGACTCGTCAATGCCAGAAACCACTTACCACCAGTCAAAGGATGGCGTACATTGAAAGCATCGCCTAACAAGATCATACCTTCATGTTGGTTCTTTGAAGGAGGTAAAAATCCATTTGGCATAGATCTTAATCTTTCAGTCTCCAAAGCTTCCAAGAATTTCGTCTATAGATAATACATTGTCAATAAAGTAGTGTCAAATAGAATAACTTACACGAATATTCTCTGGTAATTGTGGAGCAACAGAATCCTTTAAATAAGCCTTGAGTTCACCTGTTGAAGCAGAAGGTAATTTACCAGGTATATCAACCAAGACACGAGTATCATGAGCTTCAATTTGGTACATCAAGACAGGAGCAGGTGAAGCAAGTATAACATGGCCATGGTTTGGTGCAGGCAATACGACATCCTTCATAATGAATCTATTGTCTGTATAAGTTGGATAGTTTTTTTTTTTTGTGTTGTGTTTCTTTACCCTACAAAGTTGGATCGAACATCAGGTGTCTTTACAGTGATTTCTTTACGAAACTTAGAGAATAAACCATCGCATACAATAGTAAGGGGAGCATAAAACTAAAAGAATGAACAACTCTATGATTGTGATCCATAGACACCTACTTTGAATTCTTCGTTTGATTTGGATTGAGTAGCAACACCTACTACCCTATCTTCTTCTTTCAACAAGGTAGTTACCGTAACTTCTTTAACGGTGACACTATCAGAATATATGAATAACCATTGTATATGTTACACACAGGACTCACTTTTCGGTATGAGTGGCAGCCTCTCTCAACTTTTGAATGAATCGACCGTGATGGAATGATTTGCCAGCTGCTTGTTTCTCTGTTACTTTGTCTACAGGATAAGGAATAAGGACAAATTCGTTCTCTCTAAAGACACCATAACCAAAGCATGGAACACCACCAATGCCTTCAATACAGTCTTGCATGTCCAAGGCTTTTAAGGCATTGACACCACCTGGTTGAAGTAGTTCGCCTACAATACGATCTGGTTCTGAGAGATCACGTTCAAGTAACAAAACTCGTCTGCCATCAGAACCAAATGCTTTAGCAGCAGCACAACCAACAATGCCTGCTCCAACAACAATCAAGTCGTATTCTTCAATAACAGATGTCATGAGATGAAGAAAAAAAAGTGAAAAAAGTAAAAAATTAAAAAATCGCCATGAATTTAAATAGAAACCATACTCCGTTTCATGTTCAAAAAGCGATCACTTGTTTTATTTTGACATGATGATATTCTATCGAGTACACTATACACTCTCTTTCTCTTATATAAACACTGTATATCTATTCAAGTTTATTATTATTATTTTTATTTTTATTATTATTATTATGATTGTTATTTTCATGTGATAATGCCTTTAAACGGAGCCTCAACAACTTTCATCGTCTGATAAATTTTCATATGTGTGCACTGGCCTTATTAAATAATCCTGAATATCAGTCAACATGTTTAATCAACCGGACATTGAATATTCTTCTTTTTCCCCCCCTTTTTTTTTTTTTCTTTCAATGTTTTGGCGGTTTGGGCTTACTTCAACACCTTCTGCTATTGACATACTACTCGAGAAAAAAAATGTTAGACTTGAGACCTTACTTGCCGAACCAGATATTATTCAAGAAACTCAATCACATAACCCTAAACTGATTGCATTGTAACATAATCTACTCCATCTTGGAATAGTTGTTCTAAAAAAAACACATACAACTTGTAGTCTATCCAAAAGAGAAAGTCTTCTAGACCTGGTCTCCTTGTTTTTCTGCTTGGAAATGGACCAACAAAGGTAAATCCATTGTGTGTTTCATTCGTTATTTACATTCAACAGACTCCCGCTTATTGCTTGTGAAATTCTTGCTTGTGAGATACCCGAGATTATAGATGCTATTGTGATAGACCATTTAGACGTGTTACAAGCATTTTGGAACTTTCTTAATATACCTTATTCCTCTCAAGCTACTTACTCTTTTCAGTCCTCTTATTTTTGCAAAATCATTACTGTTTTTATTACCAAAAGAACAACCGAAATGCTGTTGTTTATCAAATCTTCTCCATCACAACTCGACAAGATCTTGTCTCATCTACAGAGTTCTGCTGTCATGGAATTCTTGTTTAGTCTGATTCATTTAGAAGAGTTACCAGAAGGAAAAGGAACTGTTCAGGTATTTGTTTGAGATCGGGTTTATGTTGATCTCATCTATTTTTTAGTGGCTTCATGATCATGGTTTACTTTCCAACCTCATTCAGCGACTCGATCCAAATCTGGAGACAGACGTAAGTCAATATGCCAAACCTACTCTTTTTTCTTATATATGACTAGCAACATCATATTGCACAACAATGCTTATGTGAAATCATAAGAATATCACAAACAAGCTTAATGGACTCACCCAGTATAGGCACAAATGACCTTGTGCGTCAATTGATAAGGTAAGTCTGATAATTAAAACCATGGACTGATACGATGCGTCAATAGCAAACAAACCATGCAAAGATTGGTTGAATTTATGCTTGACAGAAATGCACCTCATTTGACTTCGACCTTGATTCATAGTGTCACTGTCATCATTGATCTCATTCGACACAACAACAGTGACCTAGATCAACAGACAGATACCAGTGCCATGCCTGAATCTCATGTGTGTTTAGCAGACATGTTGCAAGTCCTGACGAGTCATATCCACCGATTCAATCAGATATTAGTGGCAGATCAGACCAGAACAACACTTGGTTTTGATCGACTCAAGATATGTGAATTATATGCTGAATTGTTGCATTGTTCCAACATGTCCAGTCTAAATCAACAGCAGTCGAGTGTAGGCGATGCACTCAAGATAGAGTTTGTTGATCAAAAAACGATACCTATCTGCATTGTAACGAGATCAAGTTCAAATAAAGTGTGACTGACCTTGATTTAGGACTTGTTTTTTGCTTTTCCTTGGAACAACTTTTTACATTATGTTGTGTATGATACACTGCATCAAGTATTCAATGGTCCTATGGACAATCAACACAACTTACGCCTGGCTATTTCTGTATTTGAACAAGCTCGTTTGACAGACAAGATCATAGAAGCACAAGACAAGAATGATAAAGCATGGTATAGTAGTCTATTCAGAACAGTCCAGATTAACATGGCATTAGTGCTCAACCTAAAGGAACTCGTTTAGGCTATATGGGCCATTTGACATTGATTGCAGATGAAATCATGAAGCTTTTTGAAGGATACCCTGAAAGTGTGATTAGTGCTGTTCAAGATACTGTTGATTTGGATGCATGGTCCATGTACTGTCATCAACAGTTGAAAGAAACAAAAGCTAAAGACAGTTTAGTTTTGGGTCAAGTCTTTGATGAGACACACATCATACTGAATGAGTCTTATTGGATAAAGTAAGTGGATTGTCTTGAATGTGTCTAACAAGATGTGTAGTCCATCCACATTCAATCAAGTGTCTACTCAAGTAAGTTGTATTTGATTGATCTGTGTTTAAAGTGTATGTTAGCAAAAAAACCTAAAGAAAGATCTTGATCCATTCTCAACTGTTGAAGAAGAAAAAATATACACACAAAAGAGTGCTTGGGAAGAAAAACATGGTTCAGGTTTTTCAGATTTAGACTTGAGTGTGATTAGATTAGACGATCCTAAGAAAGACATCACAGCCAATGGTTAATCAGCATAAAATTGGCGAATACAATTATCATTCACTTGCAAATCATTACGAAATCTAGCACACAATAAACAAACCTGCATCAGACTACCATAATAATAACATTTTTTATTTTTTCTGGGTCAGTATTGCCAAGGATAGGATAGCCATAAAACCCCATAAGGTATTGACGCCATCCTGATTTGTCCGACATTTTTCGATTTGACTTGATGTTAAACAAAGGCTAAAGACAATACTACACTTTCCTGTTATCAGTCTATACTGTATCTATCTATTTATCCTATATAGACTGCATTCTATGCCGTCAAACATGGTTTTTGATGTTCGGTTGGGTGTGTATAGGACACAAGCGGAGGTTAAACATTCATAAATACCTGTGAAACCATTGTGGCAACTATATCAGTTATCTCAATGATGGTTTCCCCCTTTCTCTCCTTCTCATGATCACACTGCAGAAATCCCTTTTAATGCATTTCATAAAGTTGATTGGGCTTCATAAAAGAAGAGAAGAGAACAAAGTATATTCACTATAGAAACTATATACCAACCACAATATCACTGGAAAGAATAGAAATGACGTAATGATTAAATCAATGATTAGACGTAAGCTGCCTGTTATAAATTTGAATACCCGAATTCAACTGCTCGTCTTGTTTTTTTTTTCTTTTTCTTTCTCTTCCTTTTTTTTTTTTTTTTTTTTGCTTACTCTTTGTTGAATTAAAGCCTTTTATTGGCCAGAAAAACCTTTTTGTTAATTTGATCATTAGTTTCAATTCCATTTTATTAAAGGGTAAAGAAAGAAAGAAAAAAAAAAAGAGAGAGAGAGAGAGAGAGAGAAAAAAAAAAGATATAAGCAAGACTGACATGACACACAGAACACTCATTCTTTTCAGCAGCAAATCTATATATGAACAACAATACCATGAATCAAAAAGAAAAGGAAATCAGCCTAATGGCAAATACTACTACGCATAGAAAGTCAGTCGGTGATGTCCAGGTGGATATACCAGGTAAATATATAGATATAGATATAGATATATGTCTTAATTATGTCACTACTAGATGAAGCACCCATGGCTGTCTTGCCTTTGAATTCAAGTTCTAAATTAGATCAAGAACCTAACCCATTTGAACAAAGCTTTTCTGGTGCCACACCTACCAATGAAGAGAAATCCAAGGATAAATTGACACTTCCTCCTGTTGCTTCTATCACAAGCACAGCACCTTTGGTTAATCACTCTGTCATTGGCGGAGGTATTTTACCTAAAGAAGTGTCTAACCAATTCACTTGGGACACACTTCGTACGGGTCCCTTGTCTCCCTCGATGCTTCAAGGCCCTGCTAATCCAGAAGAATATTATGCTACGGCTAATATGCCTTCCAAGTTAAACAACAACTACCCCGCTGCTTCATCTTCTTCTATCTCAAGAGCATCATTTTCGAGTACAGGTGAAGTCTCCTATCCTGTCAAGATAGAACAATCACAAGATGTGTATTTGCATCCTACTGCAAAACCACCATCACCACCTACCAGACAAAGTACTCGCACACGACAGACTAGAAAGCGATCTTCTTCTTCTTCGCATCATCATCAAGAAGAAGATGCTCAGTCTATGGACAGTAGTGAGTATGTGCCACACAAAAAGACAACCAGAAGAAGATCTTCTGCTCTTACACAGGATTCTGATGAAGAAGACGAAGAGCAACAACATGAAAAGACAACTTCAAGAAAGAAAAAGTCTGTAAACAAAGATGAAGATGATGAGAAACGTAAAAACTTTTTGGAGAGAAACAGAATAGGTAATGAACTTTTATAGTCATATCACAAGTCAACTCATACCTCCCCTTTATTATATTTAGCTGCTTTGAAATGTCGCCAAAGAAAGAAGCAATGGCTAAACAATTTACAAGCCAAAGTTGAATTCCTAACAAATGATAATGAGAGACTTCAAATGCAGTCTGAATCCCTGAAAGAAGAAATTGTCAATCTGAAAACACTGCTGCTGGCCCATAAAGAGTGCCCAATTGCACAAGCACATGGATTCCATTCTAATGCCATACAAAAGGCTTCCATGTCTTCTGTGTTATCTACGCCTATTATGAGACAAAGTACTTCATCTTCTATGATGATGCAACCCTATTTAAACAATAGAACTTCTACTTCCAATCCATCATTACCGCAACAACAAGGCTCATCAGGTAATTCTGTGGCAGCCTCTTCTTCATCATCATCATCGATTCCTCAGTATCAACGTACATCCACTGCTAATATTGGCATGCCTATTCAATCACAACCTGCAGGTCAACAAGGCATGGTAGCTGGTGGTTCTTCAGGTGTCTTACGATTCTAAAATACCTAAAAACGATATTAAAAGTTTTTTTTTTTTTTGAATATGCATTGTTTTTATTATCTCTTTTTGAACCCAAATTTTTTCCGCTCATAAAATAGATCTGTTTTTGAAGAACCAAGGTTAATGATCTTCGGACAACCTTCACGGTCTTTTTCGAGTCGCGTACACCCAACGCAATAATAAGCATCGGATACACCTGGACCACCACAGACAACACAACGACCTTGGAAAGAACCTAAATCATTGACTATATAAATATACAGATATTAAAAACATCATACAACATACCAAAATTACATTCATCACAAATACGAACAAGTGTTGCTGGACGCACATAACTAAAAAAAAAAAAAAAAAAAAAAAAAAAAAGTAAGTTGATCAAGTACAGATGGTGTTTCTTTTACCTATCGCAAAGAACACAACGACCATCACACTTTTCACACAAGCGACCAATGGCAATACCAGGTTGTTTGCGACAAAAGATCAAATCGGGGTGATGCTTTGCCATTTTGTTAAAGGGACAAGAAAGAAGAAAATAGAAAACTACGCTTTTTAAGTCAAAGGAAAAAATGCTGAGTTTAAATTCCGAGATGAGTAACAAGTCACTTACTCTTTTGAATGATTTGAGGATGCATCAATTGACATGAATAAAGGAATATATTAAGTATTCTCTTGCTATCAATCAATCCAAACTGTCTATTTAGAAACCAATTCAATTGATGTTTTTTTTTCTTCTTTTTTTTTCTCTCTGTCAAATCAGACGAATAAAACCACGCAAAGACCATGGAATCAACTCTATCCATTACTAAAACTACAAGCATCCATGTCAATCCAAAGTGAAAAAAAAAGGCGATAACTGAATGTATTTCATCAAATAAAAAAGAAAAAAAAAAACTCAATGCTGCCATATTTCTTTTTTCAGCAAGCATCTTTTGCTTTTAAAAAGCCGCAGGAAGACGATTTGCTTGGCTGGCAACTTTTTTTTTTTTTTTGGACCCTTACCCCCAGTCTCTTCTTTTCCCTCTCTTTCTTTTTCATATACAAACAAAAAAGAAATACTGCAACTCTTGAGCTTATCTCAAAGGGAAACGCTGTATTTGTTTATCTAACCCATAACAAAAGACTACCCTACTCTATCTACTTTTTCTTTTTACACTATGTCTGAAACTATCGATAAACTTGAACATAAAAACGAAACCCCACTTATCAAACAAGAAACTGACTTGAATCCTTCAAAGCCTTGTCAAGAAGAACAAATAAACGATACAAGCAACAACTCTTGTGAAGAAGTAGCTGTGAAACTGGAAGCAATAAAGCAGGAAGATACCCTGGTTGAGTCCACAACGAAACCTTCTCCTATCACAGGAGAAGAAAGCACAACAACAACAGCAACACCATCACCACCACCACCACCTGCAGCAACAAAAACAGTAGGTACAACTATCATTGCTCCAGAAACAACTGTTTCCTCTATCACACCCATTGTAGAAATGTCTATGTCTGCGCCTGTGCCTCCTTCCCCTGTTGCTGTTGTTGCTTCCCCTGTGACCATCACTGTCAATACGACACCACCTGTATCATCAACAACAACGCAACCAACAACAACAACACAACCAACAACAACAACACAACCAGTAACAACAACACAACCAGTAACAACAACACAACCAGTAACAACAGTACCTATCACAGTGACTTCAGGAACACCATCGTCTGCTCCCAACATGGCCACCTCAAGACCATCAGACACAACGGCACCACATGAACCTCCTACAGCAACCAAAACTACGCCTACACAAAGCACATCTGTTCCTGCTGTTTCTACACCCATCACAACATTTGAAGAAATTCAAAAACAATTAAAAAACACACTCGATCATGTCGAACAAAGAAACATGGTTAGTGGATTCCAAACACTCAGTAAAGCAACAGGTGCTGTTGTGGACCATTGTGAACAATTAGGTAAGGTGGATCAAGTGCACTGTAAAATCGCTGATCCAGACATCATTAGGCTTAACTTCAGATGATCACCCGTACAATGCTATTGATCGAGAACAATTTTGGGCTGGACTTAATAATTGCTGGCTTTATGCATTAGCACAACGGCATGAACCAAGTAGTGATGCCGAGCGTATGACAGATCAGCACTTGTATAGTTTAAGAGAAATGGTAGTGACCTGGGCAGATAAACTAGAACGATATGGTCTTGTGGATTATGAGATGGGATGGTGGGAAGCAGATATTTTGGCTGCCATTGATGGTATTCTAGCCATGAATTATGCTGCTGCTCAAGCGGCTGCTCAAGCTGTTGTTGCACAAGCAGCAGCAGCCTTGTTTGGAGATGATGTGAATATGCAATAGATTTTAGATACTTTAGAAAGAAAGAAAGCTTGTAAATAATAATAAAAAACATGTACAATTCTTTTATATGTATATATATGTATATATATATATATAATCATTCTATTCATCCTCCAATTCATCAATATCTGGTATAGGAAATGTCAAAATAGCTGCAACACCTGTCAATTGATTCAATTCTATAAAATACATTAAAAAAAGAAAAGAAATAACCATATATTTAACTTACGCTCGCCAGATGGATGCATACTGGAAAATACATAGACTTGACCATTCTGAGCTCTGACTTGTTCAACAAGGGCCACATATTTCTTACGAGTAGTAATATCTGCAGATCGAAATAGTTCATCTGTCACAAGTAATGTGCCTACAGCACCTCTATCATTTGCCTTAGCTACATGATCATAACCATAAAATGCTCTATCAGGATCCATATTCATCATTTCATAAAACTTGTCTAATGCTTGTACTTCACGAGCTGCTTTTGTATCTGCCAATTTAGCCTGTACAGAAGGATCTTGCATGACTTCAGTCAATGCATGTTTATGCCCACTAGAACAATGGATCAAAATAAACTTTGATTTGTTCTCCAATACTGTCTTGTTACCCGTTTTCTAATTAAACCAAATCAGTCTCTTGTTAAGTTCGTCTTGAGGATGTGGTCCTTACTACAGCTTGATCAAAGATATAAGCATAGACTTGGTCCTTAACAAATCCAGGACTAGCAATCAAAATAGCCTTGGCAATATCGAAATGAACATGACGAAGAATGCCCTGATAGATTTGCTCATAAAACTTCTCGAGACCTTTATCATGGTTGGCAGTAGATCCTTTTCGTTTTCTGGGAATTGGACTTTCAATACGTTGGCGAACAATCGTCATGTGTTGAGTCAAAAAGCAAATGTTGGCAAGGCCTTCTTGACACACAATAGCAGCTACATCAGCTTGCTTTGTGATATCACAAGCATCATGTACACGCTCAAGAGCAATGGTATCCCATTCTGTCTTGAAGATAGTAAAGTTTCGATTGAGTTCAAGATCAATGGTGTGATAACTGCCCATCTATATATATTGATGCTTAGTTTCTCTTTTTTTTTGTGAACCATCTTGAGTTACCTTCACGAAATTATTTTCACTAGCGACTCGTCCATTGATACGCAAAAGACCTACATTAGGATCGAAATCCACACTCTCTACTGTGATTGTCAAGTTTAAGCGAACACGCTGACTTGTAACAGAGCCTGTTGAACTCTCAGACTGCAAACGACTAAGCAAAGAAAGTTTAGTCGAGACTCATGTGTATGACATACTGTTTTTTTTACCGAATAGTCGTTGCTCGAATCATATCGTCTTTCGAGATCAAGTTATATACGTGCCACATATCTTCAAGTTCTTCGGGAAGAAGTGTGACAGATCCAGAAGTGTCTTTCTCAACTTGTTTACTGATCAACTAATATAAACTGTAAGAAAAAAAAAAGTCCTCTTCCCTCTTTCTACATATATACTAAAAAAAACTTACTTTCATTTTATATTAACAGAACAAGAAAAATAAAAATAAAAAATAAAACATGCTATGGGACTATTTTACTGTGCCATCCTATTGTCATATGTCATAATTTCAAATAGCGCAAAAATAGAATAACAAGCTTATTTAAGCAATAAGTCTATTTGCTTCATAGTAAGACAAGGGGGTTTCAAGCAAATCCATATCAAGACCTTCTCCTAATAAAACAAAGAACACGATAATGAAATGATTCCAGAAAGTTTCTTTCATCTTGAGTTTGTCTTATAACGAAAGGTAAAAAAAAGTCAAATAGTATAAAACGATACGCTATCATGATAGACATCCAATGTTCTCATCTGGTAGTACTATCTATTGGTTGCCATCTAAAACTTAAAACCCCGTAGGTGTCGACATCAATAGTAGATATAGGCGCCCCACATACTCGTTGAATAACATCCCCTTTCGACTTACTCTTTTTTTATTTTCTTTCTTTCTTTTTCTTTTTTTTCAACCAGTGAAATGTCAACGACCGAGATGAACATGGATCTAGAAACAAAGACAGTAAGTTTAAAACACAACTAGCTATTTTCTCGGTTAAACAAAAGGAATTTCTAGTTGATTGGACTTATGAGCGAACAAGAACAAACAGGTACGAAACTGAATAAGAAAAACCCTTAATTTAAATAATGTGTATCTGATTGGACATGTTTCATGTAGATAAAGCAAGCACTCAAAATGCCATTGTAAATATAAACAAAATAGGATATAACCTAACATGTTATATAAAAGATAACTAGAACCTTGGCCCTAATCAAGCCTGATGCTATGCAAGCAAACCACAAGAATGCAATTATTGAGAAAATTAAGGAGCATGGCTTTATGATTGTTCGAGAACGTGAAATTCACTTTTCAAAAGAACAGGCTGGTTTGTTTTATGAGGAACACGAAGGAAAACCCTTTTATGATCAACTCACAGACTGGATGAGCAGGTAAATTTTTTTTTGTCTTTGTACTACTCATAACATTCTTATTTCGCATATACTAACACGTTTCAAGTGCACCTATTTATGCACTTGTGTTGGAGAAGCAGGATGCTATTCAGGCATGGAGGGATTTAATGGGCCCTACAGATGCAAACAAAGCAAGAGAGAGTCATCCTGATAGGTAAATTATGCAAGACCTAAAGTTTGTTTGTTTACAGTTTTTTTTTTGTATAGTATACGTGCACTCTTTGGCACAGATGGTTCCCATAATGCGACGCATGGTAGTGACTCGATCACTAGTGCAGAACGCGAGATAGATTTGATATTTCATGAAGCTGTAAACAAGCAAGGGGATGTGACTACGACTGTGCCTGAAGTCATTACTAAAGACACGAGAGACACACTTTCTGCCGTTTTGGTAGAGCCCTCTGTCTCTGCTGTGAAAAGCGACGTTGTTCCTGTGGATCCTCGTATCGCCGCTTCAAATGAAGATGTCTTGAGAGAAGACATGAGTTCAGATGAGGCTATTTTGAATCAAGAACGCATGACATCAGTCGGAACCGAATCTGTCACTGAACAAGACGCACCGACTATATCAGTTGACATTGTCCAAGCCACACTGTTGGAAGAACAACCAAAAGAAGCCGAATTTGTCAACATTCAACTTGAAGACAATAAAGAACAAGAATCTGCTCAAAAAGAAGAAGTTCAACCAGATGAAAAGGCAACAATTATTCAAGAACTACGAGAAGAACAAGAAATCATTATTCAACCTCAACAAGAAAACTCTGCTCAACTTGATAAGGAAGCTGCTGTACCAACTCAGGACAAGGAAGAAGAGACTCAAGAAAAAGAAGAACTTCCAAAGACAAAAGAAGGGGAGGAAACGGCTGTTGAAAAACACGACAATGAACAAAAGAGTGAAGAGAAACTTCAGGAAGAATCTGTTGATGACAATAAAAATGATGAAAAGTCTATTCATGACGAACAAATTTATGAGCACAAAGAACAAGAAGAGTCCATTGAAGAGGAAAAACACCAAGAAGAGAATAAAGCCAAAGAAAAGACTGTCCATGAAGAATCCAAGGAAGAACTTCAAACAGAGCCTAGAACCGAAGAAGCATTCGCTCATAAAGAACTTAAACAAGAAGCATCCATTCATGAAGAACTCAAAGAAGAAACACTCATTGATGAAGAATTCAAAGAAGAGATTTTGATTCATCAAGAACCCAGAAAGGAAGAAGAAAAGCTTACTCAAAAACAAGAACTTGAAGAACACAAAGAGCTTCAAGAAGAAAAGGAACACAAAGAAGATGAACAAAAAACAGTTCAAGAAGAGCATGTCAATGAACACAAAGAGGAAGAGTCTCATGAAAAAGAGAATCAAAAGCAAGATGAACACAAAGAAATTGAAGACAAAGAAAGCGTTCAAGAGTTGCACAAAGATCATAAAGAAAACTCTATTCAAGAAGAAAGTGAATCTAAACAAGATCAACATGCCAATCAGGCTAAAGGAGAATCGACCATCTCGACTCCTGTTGACAGTTTGTCATCACACTCTATCCTTAGCCATAGCGACAAGGTGTGTTCATTATTTATTTTAATAGATGATCTAAATGTTTGTAGGATCAACATTCATCATCTCAAAACTCCAGTGTCACCACAGATGATGTAAGTACTAAGGAGAAAAAACAGAAGCCTGTAACTGCAACCAAGAAGCAGTTACCTAAGCCTAGAACAACCACTACTGGTACTGCTGGTGCACGATCTACAACAGAAAAGAAGGTAGCTGCGCCCGTCAAAAAAGTACCTTCAACTCTTAAAAAAGAAGGAGATGTCGACAAAAAACCTAGTACTACCAAACCAGCTACTAAAATGGCTCGTGTACCACGCGTTGCATTACTTGCTAATCAAAAGAAAAAATCAGCTGAAGAAGAACAAGACAAAAAAGAAGAAAAACCAGCCAAAAAGACAGTTGCATCATCTGCTACAAAGAAATCTGTGGTTTCTAGATTGTCAGCACCTACTACTGCCAGTGCTCGCAAAAAGCCAGCAACCCCAGCTACAGAAATCAAGAAGCCAGCTGCTTCCGAGAAAAAGACTCCTGCTTCTGTAAAAAAGACAACTTCACCCCCTACTTCTACTCCAGTAAGAAAATTAATTGGATCTCGTATTCCTGCAACTGGTGCTTCAAAGGCCACAACTGAGCCCAAGGTTGCCACCAAGACTACCAGTGGCGAAAAGCCCTTAACAAAGACAACAGTTCGTCGCACCTCACCACCTAGTTCGACTGTTACAGCAAATAAAAAGGTAATATATGTAGTATTATGTCAAATTCTCACCCCCTTGAATCATTTTCAAAAATTTAGTCTGTTGCTACGAGTCATGTTACACCCGTGAAGAGAACAAGCAAGACATTGAAAACTACGGAGACCCGTGTCACAGCTTCTACTGCTAAGACAAGAAAGGAAACCTCGTCAACTAATAGCGTTGGTGCAATGAAAAAGACTCCCCAAATCAAAAAGAAGCCAGTAGAGAAGCCCAAGGATGGTCACGAAAAGCAAGAAAAGTTTGCCAAAAAGCCTGAAGAGTCAACTTCCCTTGAGAAAGTTAAGGAAGAAGAGCTAATTGAAACTGAAAAGCCTGAAAAGGTAGAAGAAACAGTCAGTGATAACACAGAGGTTCATGAAGAAGTCGAAAAGACAGAGGAACAAGCTATTGAAAAGCCAGTTGAAGAGCAAGTTGAGGCTCCAGTTCAAGAGCAAAATAAAGAACAAGCTGAAGAGCAAGCTGAACAAATTGAAGAGCAAGCTGAACAAATTGGAGAGCAAGCTGAACAAATTGAAGAGCAAGTTGAAGTACAAACTGAAGAACAAGCTCAAGAAAGCATTGAACAAGCAAAAAAACAAAGCGAAGATGTCCAACCAGAACAAGTTTCTATTGTTGTAGAAGAAGACGTTCAAAGTATTGCTGTATCTAATCAGCAAGAAGATGTTCATCAAAACATCAAGAACTCTGATGCGGAAATTGCTTCTATCACATCTCACAAACCTCAGATGGCTTCTCTCCTCAGTAAATTTGAAAATTTTAATACTAATGGTACTCAACCCCAATTACATACTACCTTATCAAAGGAGATTCGTGCCAAGTCTCCTAATCGTATTTCTGATATGATTAATCGTTTTAGCTAAATAAATGCATGCATGCTTGACAGATAAAAAACTACTTGTCAATCTAACTAGACGGGGTTTCAAGTCATTTTTGAACTAGCAGGGAGGAGACATTTTCTCTCTTTCTCTTTTTCATCAAGGAGTAATGAACACAAGAAAATTGATACAATTATTTAAAACAACAACTTTAACAGGAACGAGGGTAGCACCTGGTTATCATAGAAATTACTTTGTACCAGCTACACGACACTTCTCGACCAGTTTGTCATGGCGTAGTACTATGGCTCATGACAAAAAGTGTTGGCAGTGTCAAGCTACGAACAAGCCTTCTGCTCTGTTTTGCGAAAACAAAGTCTGCAATGTCATTCAGCCTATTCCTGCTTCACTTGACTTTTTCCATTTACTTCAGGCTGGTGAAGGCCAAGAAAAGTATGTACATTTTTTTTATCAATTTTTGCTGACAAACAATAGAAACAAACCCAAGTTTAATATTGATTTGAAGGCACTCAAGAAACGATTTTTAATTTTGCAGCAAAAGGCGCATCCAGACAGTTATTCTCAAGCAGCCAAGGTTAGAAATTAAATGAATGTATCTCATGCATATTTACTAATTTTTTATAGCAAGAATTAGACTATGCTCACTTACAATCTTCTATTATTAACAAGGCATACAATACATTGAAAAATCCTCTAAGCCGCGCTCAATATATCCTTAAGCAACAAGGCATTGAAGTCAGCGAAACAGACTCACTTAATCATCCAGAATTACTTATGGAAGTGATGGAGCTTAGAGAGGAACTAGATGAAGTTGGCTCAGAAGAAGAATTAAAGTCTTTAAAACAAAGAAATGATGGTAATACAACTTTATTCTGCATGTGCGTATATTAACTGCTTTTTAAGAAAAATACCAGGAAACTGTAGATAAATTACAAGCTGCTTTTGATCAACAAGATTATGAGAAAGCAAAAGAATTAGCTACTGAACTGCAATACTGGACAAGTATCCAGACTGCTATCCATGAATGGCATCCTTAGAACAAAAATATTTGTATATGTGTGCGCTTTTGTTTTTTTATGATAAACTGCCGAATTTTTTATATATAAAGAACAATGCATTTTCGTCACTAAAAAGCCCACTATTTTTAGTTTCTTAACAAAACAGCTTGAGATGATTGAATTTCCCTATTTAGCTCTTCATGCTAAGAGTTCCACAAAGGAGTCTCCCTTTTTTTGGGTCTTTTTTTGTTGTATTTAAAAGAATCCTCTCTTTTTGTTTTTCTTTTTTCCTTCTTCTTTTTTCTCCCTCCTCCTTTTTATATATATATAATTTTGGTATATTTTTGATTAAAATATGGCAACCAACCGAAGAAATCCTTCGGCCATGTCAGATATACCACCACCCTCACCTTCACCACTTAAACCAGTCAACACTGCTAGTAACAATACTTCGCCTGTATTATCAGCCACTACTACTACAACATGTACAAGTTCTTTGTACCATATCTGTCGCTCTGTATTGGGCAGATTAGCTTCTGTTGAGGGCATGGCTGAATATATTTATTCGGAAACATCAACCGACCCGCTTTCAAAATTGACATCCATTTGCCGTCAAGGTTTCCCTTTGTGTACCTTGTATAATGCCTTGAATCCTGCTAAACCACTTGGTGTAGAAAGTGATCCTAACCTAAATGCTCGCAATTCTTGCAAAGCCAATGTCTACCATTTTATTGTTGCTTGTAGACAAGATTTATTGTTCCCAGAAGAAGATATGTTTACTATCTCTGATTTATACCAAGATGATACCAATGGCTTTGTTAAAGTAAGCATCATTCTACATACGATATACTAAGCCCTTTTTGTTGTTGATAGGTCGTAAATACCATTCATAAGTTATTACAGCTATTGGAAAATCGCGGCATCATTACCGTTCGATCATCAAATAGAAACTCAGATAGTAATAATCAAAATATGGAATTAAACAACAATGCTCCAAAAAATACGCGAGATAAAGTTGTTTTGGAGTTGTTGGAAACAGAACGCAAATATGTACAAGATATGGAAATTCTTCAGGTAAGCGAACATATATATATATATATATATATATATATATATACAATAAATATTTACTATGACTAACAAAAATAACAGAACTATATGCGTGAATTGCAATTCAAAAAAATAGTTTCCCCTGATACGATACATTACTTATTTGGAAACTTAAATGCTTTAGTTGACTTTCAACGTCGTTTTCTAATTCAGCTCGAAGAAATCGCTGAGAAGCAACCGGAAGAGCAACGTATTGGTCACTTGTTTCTGCAAATGGAAGAATCGTTTTGTGTCTATGAACCTTATTGTGCCAATTATTATTCGGCTCAAGATTTAGTCGTGCAAGAAACCCCCCGTTTGCAAAAGCTGGATCATATTTTAAACCCAATATATGAGTTGCCTTCTTTATTAATTAAACCCGTTCAGCGTATTTGCAAATACCCCCTTTTATTGCAGGAGCTTGTCAAAAGTACCGATCCTTCCTGGCCTTATTATGCTGAAATGCAGCAAAGTGTAGACGCTATCAAACGTGTCACTGAAAAAGTGAACGAGACACAAAGACAACACGAAAACATTCAAGCTGTACAAGAATTAAAGAAGCGCCTGGATGACTGGAGAGAATTGACGATTGATGGCTACGGTAACCTCTTGCTTCAAGAAAAATTGTTTATCTCATGCCAAGCAACGGATAACAGTGAACGTGAACTCCATGTCTTTTGTTTCGACAAGGCTCTTTTACTCTGTAAAGAGTCTAAAGGAAACAACCTTCTACCCAAGAGTAACACTCTTTCGATCAACAAGAAGAAGCGCCGTGGCAGTCTTGTTCCCAAATTTATTGTCCAGACTTCTTCTATAGCAGACATGACAAGCCGATTTAAAAACAATGCTTGGTGGCTTCATATTGATTTGGAAAATAGTGAATCAGATCAATTGTCTATCAAATTCAGAAATGAAGAACAACTCAAACTTTGGGTAAATACGCTTACTAAGGCTGTCAAGAAAGCACTTGCTGATGCTGAATCAGACCATTTGATGTCTACTCAACTCACAAGTCCTTATTCAGATGACTATGAAGATGAGGAGGAAGACGACTTCTTTGATGAAGATGAAGAAGACTACATCATCAATCGTTCTCGTAGTAATTCAATCAGTCAACAACAACAACAAATGATTCGTGGCAAGTTAGGACCTGTCCAAAGTCACGACATGTCTTACAAGTACAGTAACACAGGTCGTCCCTATCATAACGTGCCTGGTATGAACCTGTCTCCTTTGCCTCGTTCCAATAACTATCATTATTACCCAGCCTCACCACCACCATCCAATCCTTCGTCGCCTACAAGTTCCTCTTCGCGCGTTCCTAGTAGCTCTGGATGGCTTCGTAGTGATAGTGGCCATGCTTATTCAGATATGTCATTGCTTGATTATCACCCAGATAGTCCTCAGCATTATCTCTTGACCACAGGACGTTCTCAATCTCATTCAGCAGCCAGTGGTAATAATACAAGACCTACTTTACCTATCAATCAAAACCGTCTTCGGTCACAGAGCAGTCCAAATATCATGAAGAACAATACACCCATGCCCATGATGACTATCTCTACCTCTTCTACCTCAACACATCAAGAGAAAATACCTCAAGTGCCTATGATGCGCCACCACAATCATAAGCCTGCTCCACTTGACTTATCACGTCCATCCAAGCTGGAAGCAGCTCAAATGATTCGTTCTGTTGCTTCTACCCCACGTTTGACTGACATTGCACTTGCTCATGCAGGATTGCCTCCTTCTCCCGGAACTATCAAAATCAAACTCAACTTCAATGATGGCATTTACGTGATTGTGGCCAATCATGAAGTCACTTTTTTCGAATTAATGGAAAGAGTGGACAAAAAGATTCGCTTGGTAGCCAATCTTAAACAGACTGATTTACTTCGACTCAAATACCAAGATGAAGATGGTGATTTCATCACTATCAATTCTAATGACGATGTTCAAATGGCCTTTGAAAGTCGTGGTATTCATAACACTGTCAATTTGTTTATCAATCTTTAAAAAAGTTCCTTTCCTTACACATCTCCCTTGCCACTCTTTTGATTTATACACCGCATTTCCAGTATTCCCCCCCTATATATAATTCATCACACACACAATTATATACATTTTCTTTCTTTCTTTGTATGTTACCTTATGTTTTATAGTTTTTTTTCTGTACATATTCCTTTCGTTTCTTTATATTCCCCCATTTTTGTGATATTACTTTCCTTTCTTACACTCTTTATATATAATAAAATTGTGATTTTTTTTCCAAAGTTTAACGGCGAAACAAAAACCCTTTTTTGTGATTTGATTTGAAATTCTGATTTGAGGAAAAAAGATTTCCCTTGTAAAATAGTCCTCTTAAATGAATTTGATCTATAATTTAGTTTCTCTTTTTTTTTTCTTATTTCTTGTATTATCTGATGGAACCAGCGAGACGTGTGTTATCAAACACATCTACAAGAAGCTATTTAGAGAAAGAGCTTATTTTGTCTTTGGATAATGAAGGGCCAATGATTGGCCCAAATCTAGAGACGATGGATACACATCATCAAGAAGATCGAGACACTATTGTAGAAAAGACACAGAATTTTTGGTGGAAAATGTCCCAAGACAAGACATTAGACCCTAAACAACTTCCCCCAATAAAAAAAAATATCATTTTATTGGTAGTTGCAATTAGTGGATCCATGTAAGTCAAATGATTGATGTTGGCTATGCATTTATATTATGTGTAGATCACCCGTATCTTCTACTCTTTATGTAAGCATATACGCATCTATATGCATCTTTTTAACTGTGTGTATGTATTATAGTATCCAGCTCTTGTTACAATGCAATATGCTCTTCATACTACTGCCACTGCCATGAATGCTTCTTGTAAGTCATTGCCGGTACTATGGATAGGTATTAACCTTATATTTGATCAGTATCTATATTTACCTTTTTCACGGCTTTTTTTGTAAGCAATACACATTCTGTATATTTTAACTTATTATTAAATAGCCGCTGGTGTGGGCCACATTTGGTGATCGATTTGGTAAATAGAAAAAAAAAGATAAATCATTTCTAAATATTTCTATGTAGGGAGAAGACGTATTTATATCATCTCATTCTTTATTGCATTGCTTGGCTCTATTTGCTGTGCATTATCTGTCAATGCAGAAATGTTTATTGTGTTTAGAGCATTTAGTGCAATTGGCTCTTCTTCTGTAAGATTCTAGACACACTATGATATTGAACTCACTTATTTTTTTTTGTAAGGCCATGTCAATGGGTGCAGGTACTATTGCTGATATATTTGAACCTCATGAAAGAGGGAAAGCATTTGCTTATTATACCTGTGGTCCTCTTTTGGGGCCTGCTATTGGGTAAGTAACTAGAAAAAAGGTACATTGAATCCAATTTTTTGTTTGAATAGACCCATTGTAGGCGGCTATTTGAATCAAGGTTTAGGTTGGAGAAGCAATTTCTGGTTTTTGTCCATCTTTATTCTCTTTCTTTGGTTAGGTATCCTCTTTTTATTACCAGAGACATGGAGAGCAACTGAAAAAGTAAGCAACGACAGTGAAGATCAAAAAACAAAAAAGAGAAATTTTGTAAATCCAGTGGGTGCACTTAAATTATTATTGTATCCTAATATCGCATTGACAGTTGCATTTACAAGTATCTTGTAAGTTTGCTGATGAATAGACAAGAGAGATTGATAAAAAAATAGATTCTTTGCTCTTTATTTAAACAACACGACATTTACTAGAACTTACACCTTGCAATACGGATTTGATTCTGGTATTGTAGGTATTTGCTATTTACCCAATGCAGCAGGTTCTATGTTGGGTGGTATTTTAGGTGGTCGCATGTCTGATAAAGTGTACAACAAAAGCTTAAATAAGGCAAAGGCCAATAACCAAGAGATATATCCAGAAATGCGTTTAGGTAGCTTTTTGTTCTACAGTATGATCTTGTTACAACTGGTTGCTTTTATTGCTTACGGTTGGTGCCTTGAAAAAAACGTTCATTTTGCTTATGGTCTTGTGTGTCAATTCTTTAGTAAGTTTCATTCTTTGAAATTCCATAGGCTTATTGTTTGCATATAGTCGGTTTTGCCTTGATGTTTCCAAACGTCACTCTCAATGCTTATATGGTAGATTGTTTTCGAAAGCAAGGTGCTTCTGTCACAGCATGTAACAACTTTGCAAGATATATTATGGCTGGCATTGGTTCTCTTATTTCTACTGACATTAATAATGCAATGGGATCAGGCGTTCTATTTACATTTTGTGGTGCCCTCTTGTTGATCTTTTCATTTGGTCTAATCATAGTCAAAAAATATACCCATAAATGGGCAGCACTTCGAGCAAACCAAGCTGCATAAAAATAAGCCACGATAGAGACAAACCTGTCACAGGCTTCATGTTTAAAAAATCAATGCCCTTTTTCCTTTTTTCAAACTCTTTTTTTTCTCTCTCTATTTCCTATTGTTTATATGGCAGACCAACAGACACAAGTGGATAACAATGCTATCCAGGAAAACCAATTTGTTATTATAGAAATGCCAAGTGGCAATGCTAAAATTGTGAATTTAAAACCAAACACGTAAAAATATAGACCCCTCCGTCTTATACTATTCATTTTTTGACACTTTTTGTTTAGTAATGTAAGTTTAGGTAAATTTGGTACATTCAAGTCAGATTATCTTATTGGTAAACCATGGGGTTTATCATATGAGATTATCGGTAAAAAAGGTGAAATTCAGCCTGTGCGTCATGTATCCAAGCATGAAAGTATTGGTAAAATATACACATACACACATAAATATACATGCTGACACAGTACAGAGGAAACCGATGCCAATAATCAAACCATCATTGACAATGGCTCAGTGCAGAAATTATCGCAGGAAGAAGTCCTCAAGTTAAAAGAAAAGGGACTAAAGGGTGAACTAGCAACCGAGGAAATTATCAAGATGATGGTTGATTCTCACTCTGAATTTGAAAAGAAAACTGAATACTCTAAAGCCAAATATATTGCGCGCAAAAAGAAGAAGTTCATGAAAGTTTTTACACCTATTCGTCCTACACTCAACTCGATTACGGATTACTTTTTCACCAAGAATCCAGACAAGATCAAGAATCTTCGTATTGATACACTTTCTCAGCTTTTGAGTTTAGGAAATATCCATGCTAACTCAAAATTGCTTGTGATTGACGATACACAGGGTCTCATTGTGTCTTCTCTTCTTGAGCGTATGGGTGGATTTGGTCAACTTGTTGCTCTTCATGAAGGTGATTTCCACAACTATGATATTTTACGTTACATGAATTTCCCCAAGAATATTCAGAATATTTTACACACTGTTCCATTTGCTTTAGTTGATCCATCTATTCCAGAAGGTAACCAACATATCTATAAGATATATACTAATCATGTAGAAACCTTTGAGGCATTATCCGACGAAGCCTTTGCTGCGCTAGGTACAGATCAAAAAAGAGCTTATATTCGACGAAAAACATCTTGGGAATACAAAGTCAACTCAAGGAAGCTTTTGTATGAAGGCAATTTTGACGGCTTAATTATATCTTCCAGCTACCAACCAGAAACGATTCTCAAGGAACTCAGTCAATATCTTTCTGGATCTCGACCTGTGGTTGTGTATAGTTTTAGTAAAGAAGTCTTATTGACAGCAGCTTATTGGATGCGTAGAAGCAAAGATTTCTTAAATGCTGATATTACAGAAAGCAGTTTACGTGAATATCAAGTCTTGCCCGGGCGTATGCATCCTCATATGATGATGAGTTGTGGTGGTGGTTATCTTTTGTCTGGTCTTCGTGTCATTGATTGTCCTTATGATCCTTCACTCAAAAGAACAGATAGTAATGATAGACGTACCAAGAAGAAGAAGATAACTGTGCAAGAACAAGTCACAGTAAACGATCAAGAGGAACAAAGCAAGGAATGAGACAAAGTTTGTAAAACGGCCACATGTAATTGCCCTTAAAACAAGCACTTTTTCGCCCTCCGCATAGAAAAAAAGTGACGATGAATTTATCGGTTGTCAAAATAAAAGTTTTCGTTCTCTCCCCCTTTCTGTTTTTCTCTCTCTCTCTCTCTCTTTTTTTCTCTCTCTTTATATATACACATCTATTAACGATGGCGCCTCAAATGATGGTAAATAGCACTAGACTTGCAAGACACGAAAAAGAAAGCGAAAAAAAAAGAAAAAAGACAAGAAGAAAAATGACGCGTTCATCATCATCATCATCTATGCAACTTGAGCTTTCTTTTCGTGTTCTGATGACAAGCTTGACTAACATATGTTCCTTAGCAACCACAAATCATTCTTTTAAAAGAAGGTACAGATACTTCTCAAGGTAAAGGACAACTCCTTTCCAACATCAATGCCTGTGCTGCTGTTGTCGATACTGTCAGAACCACATTGGGTCCCCGAGGTATGGATAAATTAATGGTTGACAGTCGTGGCCAAGTCACTATCTCCAATGATGGTGCTACTATTATGAAGTTGCTCGATATTGTTCACCCTGCTGCAAAGACATTGGTCGACATTGCTCGTTCTCAAGATGCTGAAGTAAGTTTGTAAGAAAGTAAAAAAGAGAGTGGGTCACTTATCCCCTATTGTCAGGTTGGTGATGGTACCACAAGTGTTGTCTTACTTGCTGGTGAATTGTTGAAGGAAGTAAAGAGCTATATTGAAGAAGGCGTTAGTCCTCATGTGATTATCAAAGGATACAGAGCTGCTGCTCGTTTAGCTATCAACAAAGTAAAGGAATTGGCTATCAAGATTGACAAGAACAATGAAACGTAAGTCTAAAGAAGCAGGACAGGTATTGATTTGATTTAATTGATTGGCTTTATAGTGAATTCCGTGATTTACTTTCCAAGTGTGCAGCTACTGCCATGAACTCCAAGTTGATTTATTCTCAAAAAGACTTTTTCACCAAGATGGTTGTTGATGCTGTCATGTTGCTTGATCAAGAAAGCTTGAATGAACGTTTGATTGGTATTAAGCGTGTTCCTGGTGGTGCCATGCAAGACTCCTTGTTGGTCAAGGGTGTTGCTTTCAAAAAGACATTTGCCTATGCTGGTTTCGAACAACAACCCAAATGCTTCAAGAACCCCAAGGTATTGTGTCTCAATGTCGAACTCGAACTGAAGGCCGAAAAAGACAATGCTGAAGTCCGTGTTGAACAAGTCTCTGAATACCAAGCCATTGTTGATGCTGAATGGCAAATCATTTTCCAAAAGTTAGAGGCCATTGTTGCCAGTGGTGCCAAGGTCGTGTTGTCCAAGTTGCCTATTGGTGATTTGGCTACCCAATATTTTGCTGACCGCGATATCTTTTGTGCTGGTCGTGTTGCTAAGGACGATATGGACCGTGTTGTTCAAGCTGTGGGTGGTGCTGTTCAATCCACAACATCTGATTTGCGTCCTGAACACTTGGGTCAATGTGAATCCTTTGAAGAAAGACAAGTAGGTGGTGAACGCTTCAACATCTTTGAAGGTTGTCCTCAAGCCAAGACTTGTACTTTGATCCTCCGTGGTGGTGCTGAGCAATTCATTGCTGAAGTTGAGCGATCTCTTCATGATGCTATCATGATTGTCAGACGTGCTATCAAGAACAACTTGGTTGTTGCTGGTGGTGGTGCTACTGAAATGGAACTCTCTAAATACCTTCGTGTTCATTCTCGTACCATTGAAGGTAAACAACAACTCATTATTGGTGCCTTTGCAAAGGCATTTGAAGTGATCCCAAGACAATTATGTGATAATGCTGGTTTTGATGCCACTGATATCTTAAATAAGCTTAGAATGAAGCATGCACAAGGCCATGTTTGGTACGGTGTTGATATCAACAATGAAACAATTGCCGATAATTTCGAAGCTTTTGTATGGGAACCTGCTCTTGTCAAGACAAATGCTATTGCTGCTGCCACTGAAGCAGCCTGTTTAATCTTGTCTGTTGATGAGACCATTAAGAATGCTCAAAGCGAAAAACCACAGGCTGGTTTGCCTCGTGGTGGTGGTGGTCGTGGTAGAGGTGCTATGAGACGATAGTTTTGTTCTTTTTTCTTGTCTCTCTCTTTTTTTTTCTGCATATATGTAATTCTCATAAAAAAATTCATTCCCTAAACAATAAAGTTGTTTAACAATTAAAAGTATTTTAAGGTGCTTTGTAAATGAACTTTTCTCTATCTATTGTTGAAGCGTTGTCATTAGGATTTGTATTGTCATGAGGAGGAGGAGGAGGAGGAGGATATAAAAACCAAAGGAAAAAAAGGAAAGATATTGGTATATGTAAATCATTCTTTTCTTTTCTCTCTTTTTTTCTCTCCAGTATGGTGAAAGAGCAATCTACCCACTGTTTTAAGAGTGACCATGCCTCTACTTCAACTTCCACTCCTCCTCCAAGTGTCCCAAAAATACCTCGTCCTTTAAATAGTTTCATGATCTTTCGTCTTGAAAAGCAGCGTGAAATTTTAGCGCAATGTCCTGGTGCCAATCATTGTGACATCTCTAAAATTGTGTCTAAATGGTGGAGTGAATTAGCACCTAAAGAAAAGCAAGTTTATATTAAACAAGCCGAGACAAACAAGTTGAATCATAAGAAAAAGTAAGATATTACTGCAGACATATAAGATATTTATTCTGTGGCTAGATATCCAGACTACAAGTATAATCCAAACAGACGTCGGGATGGTAAAGGCAAAAGAACGTATAAGACTCGTCCTAAAAACGAGATGATTGCTCGTGATTTCGACAAGAAGCAACACTTACTCTCGCTTTATCATCATAAGAAAGTTTATGCTTTACTTGACAAGAAAGAAAAAGAACAAATGCTTAATCTACTCGAACTCAAAGTGAACAATGGCAAGAGACCATGCGATATTATTGCTGAAAACCAAGCAGAGATGGAAAAGACAAGCCCTGAAATTCCTTTGTTTACTCAGCATGATCTATTGCCAACCATAAATGAGCATGGCTTATATTATACCAATTCTTTTTCGACAGTTACTGCTGACACTGCTTCTTTGTCTTCTTCTTCTTCTTCGCCTCTCTTTTATTGGCTTCCTGATCAATATCCGCTTTATGACTATGGTCTAGCTAACCAAAACCTCTACAACTTTTACGAAAATTGCAATGCTTTAGATGAAGCTGATCAAATTCTTCAGACCATCAATTTCAGCCAATATCTTGCACCAGAGTAATGCGTTCAAATTTCTTTGTTTCTTTTTAGAAAGGTTTGTATCTTGAAATATATATAATTGTGGCATAGACAATGATCTTTCTATCAATATAAATAGATCTTTTATTTATTTATTTATTTATTTGACAAATAAAGCATGTCTAGGCTGTAATTGATTATTCCTTTTTTCCCCCTCTCTAGGAAACATTCTATCAAGTTGAAAAGTAGGTACTCTATACATTTTTACAATTCATAGTTATATTTTTACTTTTACTTTTATAAAGCAAACACTTGTCTGTACATTATGCAACCAAAGACGCCTTGTTTGAGTTTGAAATACGGTGTTGTCAAAATTGCTTGTCCTGATCCAAAAATCAATTTTTTTAGAAGGTAAACTCTCTTTTGATCAAATCAAGAAAATTGGCTATTTTTGCTACTATTATTAAATACACTTTTTTTTTCTGTTTAAATCTAAGGATATCAATACAGGTTTGTAGGCGATGATGATAATATCGACGTATCATACAGACAAGACGGGGAATAAAATGCGTCTTTTTCTGGAGAGGGTGTTACCACTTCTTCTATAGAATCCCAAAGGGCTTCCTTTATATCAAGCCTTGCAAGTACTTGAGCATCCTGAAACAGTTCAATGTCTATATTCGATACTTGTAGCCGTGCTTTTTTAATACGATGATGCAGTTGTGCACTTGCTTCTAATGCTGCCATATCCTTTTGATGATGTGTTAAAGTGGGTTCTGTTGTTGCTCGGCGAATACTTAAGGGTGACTTGAGTTTTCTGATATCCATTAAAGGCGTAGACCGACTTTTTGAATGAAATAGAGTGGGCATCAATGAAGGTGTGGTTATATCTCGAATATAAATCTTGATGATTTGATCAGGATATTCAACTGCAATACGACTATAGATCTCTAGATCAATTTCACCTGAATCTCCCACCAAAATAAAACGACGCTGGGGGAAATCATGAAGAATTTTAAGGATAGCATCTCGTTTTGCCTGTCCTGGTGTTTCTACTAAGCGACTGATGAGTTTGCCATCATCTCTCAAGTGCATTGAACCTGGAGGGAACCGAGCATCTTTTAGGAATTTGTCCAGCATAGGCATCAATTGAAATGGACTATTGGAAACATAATGAAATGAAGCACCTTGTGTATACTAATGTATGAATGTTAATAGAGTTCACAGTCATAGGCTTGTTTACCCATGTCATATACACATCAGCCATGCCTGATACATCTTGTGGTGCTTCAAAAAAGGTTTTGGAGAGTACAGTACGTGCACCAGATAGAATACGGGTATCTTTAATGGTATCATCAATATCACTAATGATAGAAACACCCTTCTGTTCAATCAAATTGACAATGCCATAATTAGGCATGAATTTGTGATGAGTGTCTGTAGATACAGACTGAACACGAACCAGCCTTGGATTGTCTGCCCAATTTAGAATTGTGTCATGAGGCACAAAAAATTGGCCCGATAAAAATCCAGACCCTTCCGTGATAAGGTGAATACCAGAGCAAGAGGTAGGATCTTCCAGCGAGTCTAATTGGCTATTGATAGAATCCATCAACAGGTTCATCATTGCTTGTTCTAGTTGACTCTGCTGTTCTGATTGATATGCTTCCAATGAGATGGTGCCAATAGCCTGGATATGAAATGGCTTATGGCGTTTGTTGTTGGCTAGGAAATACTTGAAACGCTGCTCAAACATGTGTGAAGCATTCGTATCGGTCGAAAATTTGCCTGCTACACTTTTAGTAAGACTCATCATCATTTTCTGCTTGGTAGCTGAACTGTTATGCGATAATGCCCATCCCTTGACATAAACAATCCATTGACTAGTGTCTATTGAACTATTAAATTCAGAGTATACATGTATAGCATACCAGAAGGATTTCTTTTGGCATAAGTAGGAAACAATAGACATTCTCGGCTCATTGTTTCCATTTTATACAAATAAGAAAAAAAAAAAAAGTAGAGAAAAGGGAAAATAGATAACAAATAAATAAAATATAAATAGGGTTTCACGATACATAAAAATAAGACTTTTATTGCTTATTGTTGGGTGTTATTTTCTTGATTGTACCAACCTGACAATGATTCACCTAACAAACACAATGAGTCTTTTTTTTTTTTTTTTTTTTTTTTTTTACCTTGGTTGCAAATCTTAAAGAGCAAAGACTTTCACCAAAATGTTCTACAAGTGGTGATACATTCACAAACATAAGAGTTTTACAATTACCACCTAAACAATGAGTATACAGTTCAAACACATATACGAAGTTACCAAGTGAATTTCTTAGTAAATAAGTTAATTTTGAATTTCGATAAGGTATATGACCTCCTTCTTTGTTGTTCACTAATGCATGAATTACATCACCCAGACAACTTAGACTTTTGTTGATAGCCTGTGTTTCCTTGAGTCGATCACCTACTGAACCAGACATAGACAATCGTTCGGATCCTGCCAAATCAATCAAATTCAAAATGCCTGTTGTCTGTTCCCCTGTGGTTGTGTTCTCACCCGTCAATCGGAGTGTAAATACACTATGGCTTCGAGAAGAACGCTCATTCAGATTGGTTGCACCAGTAGCTCGGTTTTGAGATGCTTTTCTTAACATAGACTTGACTTTGGAAGGTGAATCCAAAATGACTATATTGTTTTTCATTATGAGTCTTTGGTTTTTATGTGTGTGTGTGTGTGTGTGTGTGTGTGTGTGTGTATTGTACCTGTAGTCATGTCAGTCACAGTTGTCTTTCCATTCTTTTCATGGTGAATATCATGCTTCACTTTGCCATAACTAGCAGCATCACCCAATAAATCATGGATAGTCTCATTGTATATTTCCAAAAATTGACCTTCCATTGTATAGTGCCAGCCAAGTTGCTTTAGTTGTTGAGCTACTCGATAGATCTGATTGACTGCACGGGGTATCATGCCTGCTGTCTCTTCTGAGGGTGAAGAAGGACCTTGCATCGTAAATGTCTTACCACTGCCTGTTTGACCATATCTATTCAGAGCATGAGTCATAATAGAGTATATATTAGTCACATACGCAAAAATGCAAACATTGAATCCATCCAATGCAGATTGGACGAGTTGTGAAATCTCTTCAAAACAATCCTTTTGTGTAGAAACAGGACTAAATACACGATCAAAGGTAAATGTGTAGGATTTGGTCGATGTCTTGCCAAGGGTGGAAGACACTTGCTCTGTTAATTCCATACTTTCATCATCTTCTCCAAAGAATCGTATACTAGCTAAGGCTGAATCATCCAATCCAGGTCTAACTCGACAAAACACGCGAATGTTTCCTTTGAGTTCCTGTAGTTTATCATGGTCTTTTCTTCTTGCTTGTTCATGTTCGATAATGGCTCGTTCTAGATCCCTTGTTAGATCTAATCTCTGTTGTATTGTCTCTGACAGTGCATGCGATTGTTGTTCTGCTTCTTCTAAAGCCCTTTGTTTACTGTTCTTTTTCATACGCTTCTCTCTTAGACTAGCATCTGCTTGAGCATAAGACGATTCGATGCGTTGTTGTGTAGCCTTAAGTGACTGATGTTCTACTCTTTCTTGTTCTAATGCCTGCAATGTCTCTTTTGAACGCTTTTCTAATGTCTCTAGTTCTTGCAGAAATCCATCTAATCTGGATCGATGTCTATCGTTCTGTAAAATAAGGTCTTTGTTCTTTAGAGCAAATTTGTCATGAACACGTTGAACTTCTTGCTCATGCCGCTCTTGGGTTGTCTACGACTATACGTCAATAGATTTGTTTGTTTGCTTGTATCTACCTTGATATTGTTCTCTAAATCTCTCATTTTTTGTAAAGCTTGATCCAATAATGATTCTGTACTCAAGACAGTAGATTGGGCATCATGATTCAATTTTTCAATTTCATTCACTAAAAGAACTATGATCTATCTCTCTTTTTTTTTAGTCTGTATATATATATACCTTCTTCACCTGTCTTTTCTAATAGGGACTGGAGCTGATTTATTTTAGCTTTTGGATCGAGATGAGTATTGGAACGAAAATTAGGCTTTGGTTTGGTGACAACAGGTCTATCTATAGAGGATCGTGAACTACTAGACGATCTGTAAGGCACAGAAGGTCTTTTGGCTGGAGATGGTTGTCTTTTATCAGCGGAACGACTGGCTATTGTTGACTTGACAGGAATACGAGGCCCTTTGTCTGTTTTTTGTCTTTTTGCATTGGTTTCTGTCGAACTCTTTCTCTTCAAGTTGGTATTGTTCATCGTTAAGAAAAAAAAAGAGATGCTTGAATATCAATTGAGGTTCCGCTCAGGTAAAAAAAAAAAAAATAACGCGTTAGTAGGCTCCACAACAAGCATGGTTTGACCTATCTTATTTCTTTGGCTTTTTTTTTGTTCTTCTTTACAAGTGACGCGTCAAAGAATTATTATCGTATTATCAAACACGTTTAGTTGGATATATACCTTTCGTTTCTTATACTGAATGGTATTGTATTTGGGTGGCTGAGCTTACACTTGAAAAATTATTTTTCGGGGGGCAAAAGGAGCAACCCAAGTGTATCTTATTTTTTTTTCTTTCTTTTTTAGTTTCGTTGATAATGTCTACTACAGAGGAATTGCAACACTTTGTCTTGACGACACTTGACAAGTCCAACACAATTGAGGATTCCAAGGACTTGACCTTTCAAGGTCAACCTATTGATCAACTTGCTTTGTTGGGTGCCCTTAACAGTTTAAAGTCCAAAGAGGTAACCAAAAAAGAAAAAGAGATCAAATCAATATGTATATATATATATATATTTATAAAAGTATAGATGGTTGATTTTACTCCTATTGAACGTATCTTTTGGGTCTTGACTGAAGAAGGTCAACAACTTGCTAAGGATGGTAGTCACGAAGCCCGTGTTTTTGAAGCTATTCCTGCTGGTGAAGAAGGTCTTCCTATTGCTGAACTCCAGGTAAAGTATAGAAAGAAGCATTTTTCAATCGCTAAACTTTTATCTCAGGCCAAGTTTGGTGCTTCTGCTAAAATGGGTCAAGGTAAAGCTTTCAAGAACAAATGGATTTCAAAAAAGGGTGCCAACTTGGTTCGTTTGGTGGATCAAATTGTCGATGAAACACAAAGAGATTTGAAAGAAATAGAAGCTACTGGTACTCTCAAGGACGCTAAGACACTTGCTGAATTAAAAAAGAGAACCTTGGTGGATAAACAGTGAGTCATTTTTTTTGTATGCGCGCGGACACTTAAATTTAATATCTATGATAGAAAAACCACCTCTTACAAAGTAACAAAGGGCCCTGATTTCTCTTTGGAAATTAAGAAAGAGGCTACTGATATTACTTCTGATATGCTTCAATCGTAAGTTATGCGTAAATAAGATTGTGTGCTGATATGTCTCTTGTAGTGGTGAATGGAAGAATGCTACTTTTAAAAAGTACAATTTCGAGGCTACAGGTGGTGTGCCTCCAGGTGGTCATCTTCATCCTTTGATGAAGGTGCGTCAAGAGTTCCGTGAAATCTTTTTTGAGATGGGTTTTGAAGAAATGCCTACCAATTGTTTTGCTGAGTCTAGTTTCTGGAACTTTGATGCTCTTTTCCAACCTCAACAACATCCTGCTAGAGATGCTCATGATACTTTCTTCTTGAAAGGTAAATATGATACAGTCTGACGCATTTTGCTCATCATGATTAGATCCTGCTACTTCTGACCGTTATCCTCGCGATTTGATGGAAAAGATCAAGGTAACTCACGAACATGGCGGTGATACTGAATCCATTGGTTACAACTACACATGGAAAGAAGAAGAAGCTCAAAAATTGATTTTACGTACACATACAACAGCCGTCAGTTCTTATATGCTCTACAAACTCTCTGAAGAGACCAAAAAGACAGGCGAGTTCCGTCCTGCCAAATACTTTTCGATTGATCGTGTCTTCCGTAACGAATCTGTCGATGCCACTCACTTGGCTGAATTCCATCAAGTTGAAGGTGTGATTGCCGATAAGAACTTGACATTGGGTGACTTGATTGGTTTCATGGATGTCTTTTTCAAAAAGATGGGTATGGACAAGATCCGTTTCAAGCCTACCTATAACCCTTACACTGAACCCTCTATGGAAATCTTTTCTTACCATGAAGGCTTAAAGACTTGGGTTGAGATTGGTAACTCTGGTATGTTCCGTCCTGAAATGTTGCTTCCTCTTGGATTGCCTCCTGATGTACGCGTTATTGCTTGGGGTCTTGGTCTTGAACGTCCTACCATGATCAAGTATGCTATTTCTAATATTCGTGATCTTTTAGGTCATAAGGTCAGTATTGACATGATCAAGGATTACCCTATTTGTCGTTTAGACAAGAAGATGGGTAAAGAATTGACAGGCCTAAGTCAAGATTGATAAATAAAAAAATAAAGTGTTGTAAATTTTAGATGAAGTGACTCTTCTTTTTCCAAACCCATGTCTTTTCGTCTCTTTGCTACTCCTCTGTTAAAGCAATCTTGTTTGAGTCATTCGCTTAACAAGAGTCTAAGAGTAAAGCATGTTGTGCCTTCATTTGTATTTCAAAAGCATCAACATCAATGTACAACTGTAGAGAAGAAGAAAGAGCGCATTGTGTACCATAACTGGCTTGATCATTTACCTGCTAAAATAGCCCCTTATGCATTTTTAACTCGTATTGACAAGCCTATTGGTACCTGGTTACTATTTTGGCCTTGTGGTAAGGGGTTCTTATGGCCATCATGATGAGGGACGCTAATCACAAATTAGCCTGGAGTATCTCAATGGCATCGTATCATATGGATGGATCTGCTCTCGATGCAGCTAAAATGATGGCTTTGTTTGGCACAGGTGCCTTAATTATGCGTGGTGCAGGATGTACTATTAATGATTTATGGGACAGAGACATTGACGACAAAGTAGAGAGAACCAAGATTCGACCGATCACTTCAGGTGTCATTCGTCCTTCACAAGCCATTGCTTTCCTTGGCCTTCAATTGTCTGCTGGTTTAGCTGTATTGACCCAACTCAACATGTACAGCATTGCATTAGGAGCTAGCTCTCTTTCCTTGGTTGTCACGTATCCCTTAATGAAGCGTATCACGTATTGGCCACAAACTGTCCTTGGTCTTGCTTTTAATTGGGGTGCTCTCTTGGGTTGGTCTGCCATGATAGGTTCATTGGATTTAGCTGTTGTGGGCCCTCTTTATGTTGGTGGTGTCTGTTGGACATTGGTCTATGACACCATCTATGCGCATCAAGACAAAAAAGACGATGTCAAAGTAGGTGTCAAGTCAACTGCTTTACGATTTGGGCAAAAGACACCTGAATGGCTTGCTGGATTTTCATCCGTGTTTGTAGGCATGACCGCTTTATCTGGTTATATGAATGATCAGGGATTACCCTTTTATGCCATCAGTGTGATGGGTACAGCTGCTCATTTAGCTTGGCAATTAAGGACTGTGAATTACAATAGCCCTGCTAGTTGTTGGTCCAAATTCAAGAGTAATACTTGGACAGGGGCTATTTTATGGTCTGGTATTGTAGCAGATGCTGCTCTTTGTTAGAAATGATAATAAAAAAAAGTTTATTGGTAATTGGGAGGATAGCCATAGGGTTCTTGTCTGTTAGACAATGGGGGAGGATAACCGTGTTGATTTGATGGATAGCCTTCTGTGGATGGGGGTGGAGGATAGCCATGTTGATTCGATGGAGGAGGATAACCTTCCGTGGATGAAGAAGGAGGAGGATAGCCTTCTGTTAATGAAGGTGGAGGATATGGTTGAGAGGGAGGATAACCAGATGAAGAAGAAGAGGAAAGAGGAGGAGGAGGATAACCTGTGTTGTTGTTACTGGGCGGGTAGGCAGGATGAGGATAGTCATGAGAAGAATGAGAAGGCGATATAGGTGGATAAGTAGAGAAACCGCCTGGTTGAGGATAATTAGAAGGCGAACTAGGAGGATAACCACCACCACCAGTAGATGAAGGGTAGCCAGTAGGTGGAGGATAGGTCGAGTTGGGCACGCTGGAAGCAGGAATTGGTTCAGGAAAAGCAGATGGAGGAGGAGGAGGAGGAGGATGATGATAACCTGCGCTAGCATTCTTGGGCGGTAAAGGAGGAGCATGGCCTGGTTGAGCAGGTGGAGGGGAAGTAGGTGTACCACCATAGAAGGATCCATATTGTGCCAAAACAGGATCATGACGAGAATCGCCAGGACCATTGGTAGTGGAAGAAGGAACTGTGTTATTGCCTACACCAGCAATCTTGCTATGTTCAGGTATTTGCTTTAATTCAGGTGGTACACCAGGTTCTGCACCATAACCTAGTCTAGGCTGACCAAATCCTTCTTTCTTATGCAGAGGAAGTGAAGTAGCAGCCAAATTAAGTGCACCTTCAAATTGTTGATAGGGTTCAAATTGCCATAGTTGATTCAAGTTGTCTGTGTCTTTACGCTTATATAACAAGACTTGGGCACCTCCTTTAGCACTATCACCCTAACCATATAATGAGATTGTTTATATAAATATAAACACTTACTCTGATATCGAGTACAAGACTTGGGTATTCCTTGGAGCAAATAAAGCCTTGATCATAAATCCACTAAACATACGACAGTCAATAGTTTTAATTGAATTCTAATACTTACTTCTTGTGATTGTTTATTGGCTTTCATCTTTTTCTGAACAATGATTTTGTCTTTTCTAAAAGCACCTAGGCTTTGTTGATAACAATAGAGGATAAGACATACTTACTTGAACTAATATCCAAAGCTATATCATAGTATGAATGACATGATGTAGAATGAATCAACTTACCATGACCCGATTTCTTATTGATTAGACGGCCATGATCAAATGACCATAATCTGCAGTTCTATAAATAACCCTTTCTTTTCTTATTCAATGACTTACTGGTTATCACTGTCTTGAAACTTTTGAGGCCAAACAATGATGTTGGCATCTTCCTAACAACAATCATAAGCATCTCATTATAACAAAAAAAAAAAAAAAGGACTTTACTTTTGTTTGTCCATCATAAACATCAAGTGCAAACCCGTGTTTTCTGGACAAAATATAAAAATGGCCTTGTGGAAACATAGCGAGAAAAAATAAAGAACAGAGAAGAAAAAATGATTAATACACAAGCATTTACAAGAATAGATATTCCACCAATGGCATTGTTTTAAGGCGCAGTTTATTGTCTTGAGGCTTTACGTAAATACACCACAAAAAAGATGTCATTGGCTTTTGTGGCTGTTATCCTTGATAAAGAATTTACTTGCCATTGGACCTAGGACAAAGCACCCAATGATGCTTTTTTTAGGCACCTTAGTCATGATCTCTTGAGAGCTGTTGTGGCCTACTGCTGATGTCATAGTTCGAACGTATATATTTATATATGATGCTTTTTATATTACATGCGACGTTAACATCTCGGTTCTAATAGTTAAAAAAAAAAAAAAGAAATAAGAATAGAAGCATTCAGCAGGCCTACTTTCTTGGTTGCTTGAACGATGCTTTTTCTTTCTTTCTATATGTGTCACAAGTTGTTTAGCTTAAAATTAATGACAAATGTACGCTTTTTCCTATTTACCTGTGGTTGCATAGACAGACATTGTCAACCCTTCCATTACAGTGACAGCAGGTAACAATCGTTTCGAATTCATCCACGGGAATCACAATGGCATGTTCAGTAATAGCTTGTTGTTCTTTCTGTTTATGAAATAATACAGTTAGTTATTCCACGGATATAAAAAAATGATTGCTTGCCCTTACTGGTACAGGCGTGTAGTCTTTATAGCTTCCTTTTGAACCAGCAGAGCCATAGGCGACTGTTGTTCTTTGTGGATCATCATGTCTTAAATCTCCTTCAACAAATTGACGTCTGTATTCTCTTCTCGACCTTTTTCTTCACTGAGCAGAAGACACATGAGCCAGCTTGAACCTTTCATTTTTTTGTTTGACCTAGAACGTTATAATATCACGTTTTGCTTTTGTATACTTGATTATTAGCAAAGAGAAAAAGAAAGCTTATCAAAGTAGAGAGTACGCCTAAAAAGAAAATTGGTGTCTGAAACATCGAACTCTCCTTTTGCATGACATTCGTTGCTTATCATGTCCAAAGCTTATCCTTTTGGCTTTAAGAATGACCTTTATTATAGCAAGACTGATTCTTAAAAACTTTTTGAATCAGATAGTATAAAGAAAAGTACTCATTTAGTGAGCAATATGTACTAAAAAGGATTTCTTTTCTTCCAATTACAGTGTACAATGAACTTTGAATGCAGATTTGAAAACAAAGCTCAAGTTGAGTCACCTTTTCTGTCTCAGTAAACTCGTTTTCTTTTTACTGGAAGCACCTAGACATGGCCTTGCCTGATTTCGGTGGGATCAGACTTACATTGGGTCATTCCAAAAATTTTCTGATTGAGTTTTTTTCATCACGAACCTCCGTGAATCCCCCATGGGTCAAAAACATAAATTTCACATAACAGCCAAACCAATGATACCATTCGATTGTTTGGCTAAAAAAAAACATGCTTTAAATGAAAAAAAGAGGCCATTTTAGTGGTCTGGTTGTCGAATAATGATGGATCAAAGAATAGTGCATTTAAGCTGTGTTTTGAGCAGTTTTACTCTAGATACCATATAAAGTACGCTCTCAATTGATCTCTCTAAGGCACCTTGTGTTTTTTTGAGTGCTAGAAAACATGGAGAGACAGAAAAATATGTATTTTATAATGTAAATGTAGAGCAAGTAAACAAAGTAATACCAGATAGCTATGTTGCAGAGATTGAAGACAATTCCACTTCTTCCCACCACAATAAACATGTAGCTTTTGCTGAGAACTGCATAAAGACGCGGTTATTTGGTTTTGGTGTAGTGACAAAAGTTGTAGATCTTTGCTTTCTGAGTCTATTGATATAAAGAACACGACAGTTTTGCTGCTAAAATACTGATCAAACAGGCAAAAACGTTTATGAGGTTTCTCTCTCATATCTCATTATTTCTACAGTACAGCTATTAAGCAAAAAAAAAAAATACATTGATCAAAAACTATAGCCTTTGGCGCGCATTTTGAGTATTTAATCTTGTTAATAGCTCTATTTTTCGTCTTGTAGCGTCAAAAAGAAGATTACAAGTTTAAAAAATCAAGATTTTCACGACTAATACCCTTTGGTTGAAAGGCATATTTTGACCATTTTACACATGTCGCTTTTTTTTTTGGCCTAAATCAGCACCAAAGGTACCATGAATGTTAGTAAACACTGCTTGTAGGTATTTGGCAAATTTGACAAAGTGTAAATATGCTTTCTGCTCTCTTTATGTGGTTGTGCAATCCTATGTATTCGTCTGCTCTTTGATCGATGTAATCATTATTAGTTGAACCAATGAATAGAAAGAATCTGCATATATATATATATATATATATTGATAGAAAATGATCATTCATTTCAAGAGGTAGAATGTCTTTTGCTTGATTTGACAAAAATCCAAGCTTATTTCGCTAAAAAAAAAAGGAGGGAGTCTTAGGGTTATTATGTAGTATCAAAATGCGTCTTTTTATGGGCAACATAAGTAGATCGAAAAAGTTGCATCTCGATCAACTTCAAAATGTCCCACAATGTTGTACAACATTGTAGAACGGAGATTGGATGAATGGTAATACTTGCACCATTTACAATAAGAAAGAAGGGTATGTTAACAATGAGAGGTACAGATTCCGTTTTTCTCTCTTTTTTTTTTTTTGATAGGATATAGAACACACCAACATTTCATTAGTAGTCAAAGGCTATCGAAAAAAGACTCATTACAAAGAATGGATTTTTGTCTAAATGCAGTATCATGAATCCTTTATTACTTGTAAGCATTGATCAAAGTAAACACGACCTGACAGCTGGGATAGTAAGTAAGCGCTTCTTATTCGCACTTGTAAGTAGCATGATTATTTGACTATTCATCTTGATTTTATTGGGGCTTTTACATAGTATAAAAATCGAATCAAATAGTAATTCAACATTGCAGGCGGAAAAAATTACTTTATACCTGAAACATCGTATAGAAATATGCACCCATACACAATTTTGTTCAGGAAACTTTGTCTTTGTGGTACCACCAAAAGTACAGCCAAGCTCACTGATTTGGGGTCTTTATTACCTCTTGATTTCAGTATCATAAAACTGCATTTCTGTACCAATAAACAAGCTTCCCTTGATGATTTCAGCAATACCATTTTGTCATTGTCAGTTTCTTGTTTCTCTTTTATGCGGACAATGAATTTTTGTTTGCCACGTTCTTGTTTGCTCAATGTGTTACCAGTGCTTTTTTTTAACCTGTTGCCTAGGAGCGTATAAACAACACAATTTATAACGAAAATAAAGAAAAAGCAAAAGAGAAAAAACTGTCTGACTAAAATGATAGTGAGCAAAATCAGTTTCAAATATGCACCTTCGAAGTCAAACATATATATATTTAAGGGGGAAGGAGCAACAATAGAGCAATTCGATCTGATTGGAGGAATCATTTATGAACTCAAAAAAAAAAGTAATATTTTCTTATTTCTTTTTTCTTCCTTTTTTTGTTTTTGTTTATTTGGATAAACATCTTTATTAATTACATGTTGATATGGCTACAACAGCCAAATTCCCCAAAATTATATGTCGAGTAAAGGCATTGTATGCTTTCTCTTCAACAGAAAAATCATCTTTATCTTTTGAAAAGGGCGAATTTATTGATGTCCTGTCACAGCTTGACTCTGGTTGGTGGGATGGTTGGTGTAAGGGCAACCGAGGATGGTTTCCTAGCAACTATGTTCAAGTCGTTGAAGTAAATCCCGAGTTCACCAAAAATAAAAACACACCCAACAACCTTAAATATCAAGAGCATGAAAGCGATGACAGCGAAGAAGAAGGCAGAACAATTAGTTTGATTCAAAACATGAACATATCACGACCAACTTCGCTCACTCTGCCTCAAGCAAGAAGCAATGATAGGAAACATAAACACCCAAACTATGTCAATTCGCCTGCACCTTCTTATCCTCAGGAAGAGGAGCAAGAAACAGAACATTTACCCGAGGGCTGGACACTTCAGATAGCTGACGATGGTCTAACTAAATTTTACTTTAATCAACATACGGGTGGTTTGCGTTGGAATCACCCTGGAATCTCAGATTCAGATGACGAGAACTACACAAGTGCAGATGAGTATGAACAACAGCACCACCAGCGCCAGCATCAGCACCAGCATCAGCATCAGCATCAGCACCAAACATACAAACACCCACTCGAGAATTTTGATGATTATAACGATTTTGGAAAAACTTCGAGACAAAGCAAACATGACTCTTTTAAACCACCAGACATCAAAGAAAAACAAGTAAGCAAATGCGCTTTATTCCAAAACTAACTCTACATTAGCTAATGGACTATTGGACTAAGCGTACAACACCTCAAGGAAAGGTTTATTACGGAAATTCAATCACTCATGAAACAACCTGGAACTATGATGATATTGATCCTGCTACTGGTCGCTTGGTAAGTAGTAGTACTTGAAATATGATCAGGAAATTTAGATATTCTATAGAAAAAAAATGAATCAGATATCGAAACGAAAACTGAGGAAAATGATACAGCAAAAGTTGAGGAGAATTCAAATAACCAAAAAGACAACAATACGCTAGCTTTAGTTGGAGATGAAGATGTTCCAATGACTTGGAAAAGTATTGCTATTGAAATAGCACAAGCTGTACAAAATCTGAACAAGGTAGTTTCACAAGGTGGAAGTTCTATGGTCTATCGACAAAAAATAGCTGTAGTTGTCGATGCTGTCCGCCTCATGCTTTACTCTTCTCGATCTATGGATAAAGATGCACCACACCTGCAAGATCCTGAAGTCAAAGAACCACTGCGTGTTGTCTTATCTTCTTTGGCTAAACTTATCTTATCCGCCAAAGTTATTAACGATTCAAACTTGGATATAAATAGTAAAGTACAACGTGATGCTGGGGATGTCTTGAACGCTGTTCGAAAGTTCGTATTGATCTGTCAAACAAAGGAAATCAAAATTGAGCAAATCAACCCGAAATTCATCTTGCTCCATGCAGATATTTACCCTGATAGCTTGGAGGAAGGGTCAGAAGGTAGAAGAAAGAGTAGTACTATCTCTACAGTACCATCAACAACACAGAAAAACAAGTATCCTCTCAATCAAGACTTGATTGTCAGTTTACAGACACACGCAAAGCAGATTGTAGGTTCTACTGACGCCTTATGCAAAGCATCTGCCTATATCTATACATTAGAACAAAAGAAACAAGATCCAGAATCAAATTCGTCTGAAGAACAATATGTTACATTGGATACAAGAGCAAGATCAAATGTCATTTTACTCTTCCAAAATCTATCTTCACAGATTGGAGGCTACCTTGCTATCCTGGGCGATATTGACATCAGCCATATTGACTCTACTCAAGTGCAGTCTTTACCTGAATTTCGTAGCAACAAACAAAAGTTATACAACTACATTGGATTATTGTTTAGCGCTGTTCAACGATTGACAGACTCGCAAAATGATTTAATGGTCTGTGTAACTACAGTAGAAGAAATCGTTGGAAAAGTAGAGGATGCCATTGAAAGCATTTTCTCAAATATTGTCCAAATGGTTGGTGAACGCAAGATTTGGTTAATGAGAAATGGTGAAGGTGGTAATATTCAAGACAGCAACAGCCCTCGTTCTCCTGTTCAAGCTCAATTTGATACAGATATCAAAAAGGGTCGACCTCATCGTGGAAGTATCAATGAGTCCGATAACAGCTCAGTGGAAGGACCCGGAACACCTATGCTTAACCGTATCTACAATCGACAGGGCAATAACCAAGGTCAACAAACATCTCAGCATAGACCGTCCATTAGCACAAATTCACAAAGTCCTTCTTCTTTGTCTCGTCCATTGGATAGCAAGGCACTTAAGCGTCAATTTAGTTTTGGTCATGGAGCAAGTGCTCAAGAAGACAGACCTCAGTTCTGGTTCTTAGGATATGATTATGCTGAAGGCGATATTGAATTTACCCAAGATAAGAGTATCAAGGGTGGTACATTGCGTGCCCTTGTAGAGCGTTTAACACTTCACGATTATATAGGTAAGTCTAACAAAAGGAAGCTTGTATACTCACATATATAAATTAGATATGAGTTTTATTGCAAACTTCTTATTAACATACAGATCTTTTTGTACAACCAAAGAGTTTGTCGATCTGTTACAAGAACGTTACAACTTGGCACCACCTGAAGAATTAACACCTGACGAACTGGAAATCTGGACAGATAAGAAACAAAAGCTTGTCCGACTTCGGTAAGTACACCTTGCACAACTTCTCCCTACTCCTCCCTATGATTCTCAACGTTTTATAGTGTCTTCAATGTCATGAAAAACTGGCTTGAAAATTATTACAATGATGAAGATGAATTTATTCTTGATGAACTTCAAATGTTTGCCAACACAGTTATTTGTGATTCCTCTTCGTTTTCTGCCGAACAGTTAAACCGTTTGATTCGAAAGCGAAGAGAACTAGATGCCAATGGTGGGGGTCTCAAGAAGCTTATTCCCAATACAATGTATGGTCCTATACCTATTATGCCTAAAAACATGCAGCACATTAAGCTGTTGGATACAGATCCCTTGGAACTTGCTCGTCAATTGACCATTTTGGATTTCAAGCTTTATAGTTCTATTAAACCTATTGAATGCCTCGGTAAGGCATGGTCTAAAGATGACTCTGATGCAGTGAATGTGAAACAATCTATTGATTATTGTAACCGTTTGACGGCTTGGGTCACTGGTAGCATCTTGAATAACAAGGAAGCCAAGAAACGTGTGGTTGTGATTAAGCATTGGGCACAAGTCGCTAATGTAAGTAGGATATTTTTTTAGAATACGTGTATTCACAATCGTAATAGCGCTGCCTTGAATTAAACAACTATAATACATGTATGGCTATTCTTTCTGCCTTCGATAATAGCGCAATTGGTAGATTGAAAAAGACCTGGGAACTTGTCAGCAGTCGTACAAGTAATTCTCTTGCCCAAATCAGAAAATTGATGGGCTCTAATCGAAACTTCCAAGAATACCGTATCATGGTTCACTCTGTAAATCCACCCTGTATCCCATTCTTGGGTATTTATCTTCAGGATTTGACATTCATTGAAGACGGTAATTCAGATTTCCTCAAAACTTCCAACAGCTTGATCAACTTTGCTAAACAACAGAAGTCTGCAGAAGTGATTCGTGAAATCAAACAGTTTCAATCACCACCTTATATTTTCCAATACGTACCTGAAATTCAAGACTACATTAAATACCAGCTAGAAACCAGTAGAGATGTTGATTTCTTGTACGAAAGAAGTTTAGAACTTGAGCCTAGAGCAACAGCAATTGATAGCACAGCATAAGAGCAATAATGTAAGAATAAGGAGCTGTGCCTTTTCTTATTGAATTATTTTTTGTATCATATAAAAACTTTTTTTTGTAAGACTATTTCTCGAGAAATAAAGAATACAATTATGCAAGTTTTAATTGTTATATCTTGAGATTATTTAATTATAAACTTAAAAAAAAAAAAACTAAGAGTATAGCTAAAATGACTATCTAGCTCCAAGATACACATTTGCTTGCGCCAATGTTTTTGACATTCAAAATGAGCAGTACATGCATCGTTTGAGTACAGCACTTTTAGTGTCGTATAAAGCCTGGATTTGGATGCAGTATGAATAGCTGCTAAGTTTCCGCATACCAATAAAGTCATATTAACGAATGACCAATTATCTTTTTCAAGACCAATGTGATCGCTATAATGCTTTTGTATATCAAATCAAACTGATGGTTTGCTGAAAATTAATGTATGATATACTTCATATTCTGTCAATTTATTGTGAAGCAATATAACATAATGAAAACATGCAAATCAGAATTATATTCATCTGAAGCTGAAATTTATTCTTCTGAAAAAAAAAAACAATACTCGGTGTTTGACCAAATTTGGAGTAGGAAGAGTAAAAGCTTAATTAGAATAAGAAGACTCTTGTACATCCTGTGTTTGCATTTTTCTTCTGTTTCTCTTCTTTTTTTCTAGTCCAATGCAAGAACTTATAGTGGTTCAAAGACGCCGTTATTTGGCTTTACTTGTTTCTTTAGCTAGTTGCTCTTATATTGTCAAGACATTCTGGCGAGCATTTGTTGTACCAAAGGCTTTGCGCCATTTGCCCAAAGTTAACACATTATCATGGTTTTGGAGCGTCATAAAAGGTGAAAGCCATGATGTGAGAGTCAAAAAACTCATGATGCCTCATATGAACGAACACGGCTTATGCCTCAAATACATTCTTGGTCGTTGGACTTTGACTGTTGGCGATCCTATCTTATTGCAGAAGCTGTTAAAAGATGTAGATACCTACCCAAAAGAACAAATCTCCATGGATCCTGTAAGATATTCTTTGAAGAAATATGAAATATACTTAACTAGGGTTAGGATCTTATTTTAACAAATCAGGAACCAAATATGGGAAATGCCAATCATAAAGACTGGAGAAGACAGCGAGGTGTAGCAAACCCTGTGTTTCATAGAGCCATGCCTCTAGATACGTTTGGTCAAATTGCATCTCGAATGTTTAAATCGATGGAAACGCAGTATCCAGATGGTAAAGTTGATGTAGCTGACTATATGAGGAGGTAAAAAGAAAAAATGAGCGATACATTATAATGTGATTAACCTTGCTCTAGATATGCACTTGATTGTCTTGGCCTTGGTATTTTTGTAAGCTTCGCCTATCAATACGTTTCCCTTTCTTACTAATGATTTTATAGAATTTTGATATGGAAGCTGTGACAGACCCCAATTCTCCTTACGTAACAATGTACAAGCAAGCATTCAGTATGTACAAGATAATCAATATAGCTATATGTGCTCATTCTTTTTGTAGGTATTGTAAGAGATCCTTTGGTCTATCTTTTCCCTGCATATGCTCGCATTCCTTCCCGATATATCCCCTATCGCAATCGTGCTCGTAAAGCAAACGAAAACCTTCGCAAATTACTCTCAAATATCATTCAAGACCGCAAAAGCAAGATACAAGATCATGTATCAGAAGAAAAGGATTATAAGCCTGATTTGCTTACACTCATGATCATGGCTGCTAAAGAGCACCGCAGTGTGGATAGTTCATTCTTCTTGACTGATGGTGAACTTGTTTCTAATCTTGCAGTATTCTTCGTTGCAGGTAATATGGTTATTATCTATGTGAACCATACTAAATGTAGATGTAGGCCATGAGACAACAGCTAGTGCAACTGCTTCTTTCCTTTATTATTTGGCTGCTCATCCTGAAATTCAAGAAAAAGCGCGCGCTGAAGTGTTGAACGTACTAGGCGATTTGCCTGAGGAAATTGCTCCCAATGATGGCGAGTTGCGACAAATGAACTATTTGAACAATTGTATTCGTGAAACTATGCGGATTAACCCTCCTACTTCTGGCAATTTACCTCGTATTGTAACTAAAGATACTGATCTTGGTGGATTTTTTATTCCTAAAGAAACTCGAGTAGCTATTGTAAGTATTCAAGATATGATTTGATCTTGCTGATTTAAAACTAGGAACTCTACACCGTTCACCATTTGAATCGTTATTGGTACAAGCCTGAAGAATTCAATCCGGATCGATTCGATAAAGAAAGCTCTAGTTACCGTGAAGAAGCTGTATGGATGCCATTTGGCTATGGCCCAAGACAATGCATTGGTCTCAACTTTAGTTTATCAGAACAAAGAGTACTGATGGCTATGATGTTGAAAAGATACACTTGGAAGCTTGTAAAAGATAGCGAGCATCAATTAGGATTAAAGAATGCTGGTGGTGGTGGCATTGGTTTGTTAGGTCCAGAGTCCTTACAAATTCAATTAGAGAAGAGATATGTATAAAATGTTGCATTATTAATTCTTTGTATTATAAAGTGATAGCATTGTTATATATATATAAGGGATTTCGATAATTTAATTTTCTTTCTTTACACTTGTACATCTTCATCTTCACCTTGCCTTGTTCTTTGTTGTGTTTTTGGTGGGTTTCCACATCGATCTTTTCCATAATTAATATGAAACTTTTTGTATTCTTCTTTTGATTTGATTCCTTCAATAGCCCGAGCAGCAGAAGCAATGCTTGTGAAATTGACAAAAGCACACTTCTTTTCTTTCAGAGTGTTAACTAGTTCAATATCACCATATTCTGAGAAATCGTGCTTCAATCTTTCTTCAGTGATAGAGTCATCAATGTTGCCTATATATACGTTACGAGATCCACCATTTTGAACAGCCTGAATGACTTGTATTGGTAATGCAGAAGGTTTCCCCCATCCTATCTTTAAGCGGCGGCCTTTGACAATTAAACATTGTTGTAAAGTTTGGGTTATGAATAAAGAAGCAAGATTTGGATCAACAAAGGTAATAAAAGCAATGTGTTTTTCAGGCAAAAAACGAATTTGCGATAAAATTCCACCACGAATCACATTGCAAATGTCTTCTGCTGTAGTATCTGGATGTATATTGCCTAAATAAACTGTTCTGTTGGCTAAACCTGTTATTAAATCTCTGCGATTCTGTTGCTGAAAGACCATAGGAAGACCTGAGAATAGCTCAAGAGGAGAATAGATAGAAGAATGAGGTTGATATAATATCTTTTGTTGAAATTGGTATCGAGTACATCTGTCTTTACCAAAGTTGACCCGCTTAAGATGCCATGTACTTTCTGTAGGTAATGTATTGACACACTTGATCGCATTTGTTATACATAGAAAATGAACAAATGCAATACGCTTTTCGGGAATCATTCGAATGTGCTCAATGTAACCAAACCGTGATAAATTATCTCGTAGACTTTCTTCTGTTGTTGACTCATCCAACATACCCAAATAGACATTGCGAGAAGCGCCATTTCGCAAGGCATTCTGAATAGCAAGTGTCATCGTATTGGGCTTTCCCCAACCAATCTTTAATTCGCTTCCATGCAGAATGTGATGACTGGTTATTGCTTCATTGTAAAACTGAGAAGCATCTGAAGCGTCGACAAAAGTGATAAACATGCCGTTCTTTTCAGGTAAAGGTCTAATTGCTTGGATTGGGCCTGTTCTCACAAGATCAATAACTTCAGATATACTTGTTGTACTGTTTATATGTCCTATATACACTGTGCGCATTGCATTGGATTGTTGCTGATAATGTTTTTGTATTGAGCTTATTGGATAAGACTGATTTACAGGTAACTGCCCATACATTTTACTAAAAATTACATGAGAAATCAATTTAGTTATTATTATTTACCTTTGGCACTCTTGACTTTTTATGTCTAAATTATATAAATTTGACAGTGAACAGTGTTGGGATTGCTCTGTCGGAACAGAGAACATATTTTAGATCACTGACAAGGAAATGAATCGATTTGAATTCTTTCTCTCTATAAACAAGATTTGTTTTGATTGTAAAGTACAAAGAAAAAAAAGAGAGGGAGGAAGAAAAAGCTTATTCTATTGTGCGTGTGTGCGTGTGAATGTTTATTGTCCTTCATTTTAAAACTCAATGCTTTTTCTGGCATCCAGTGCAAGATCCTTTCCAAACACTGCCGTCTTGATACACTTCACGCTTCCAAATTGGGCATCTGTCTTTCAATTCGTCAATAAGATAACGGGCCGAATCCATTGAATCTGCTCTGTGCTTTGATGAAGTGGCCACCACCACACTGACTTTCCCCACAGGCACCACACCTGTTCTATGATAAATAGATACATGTTTCAAGTCCCATTTACTCCTTGCTTCTTTTATCAATTCCATTAGTACTTTTTTAGCCATGGGTATATATGCTTCGTATTCTAATTCTACAACTGTCTTGTCTATATTACCATGAGCTTAAAACGCGTTCATTTATACTTTATGATTTACCTTCAAACGTGTTCCGTGTTGTGCCTGAGAAAGTAGTGATAGCGCCCGCTGTATCATCTTGAACAAGACCTGTGATATAGTCGAGTGTTGGAAGTGGCTCGCTCGAGATCTCGATAATGTCTTTAAGACTCATATAGAGAAAGAAAAGAGAGAGTGAAATAGTTCGGAGTTCTTTAAAATCAGCATATAAGATGTCCGTGAATTCAATTTAAATGCATTGCTACATTGATTTGAGGTAAAACAAGATAATTAAATTTGGATGATCCCTTTTTGCCTATCAATTAAATAATATCAATTGAAGAACTATGTAAGTTTACTAGCTAGAGCGAAAAAGAGAGAAATTGAAACAATAACCAGTTTAGAGCAAGAGAGAAACAGTGTTGTTGTAGCCAGAGTAAAGTAAAAAAAAAAAAAAAAGTATGCTTGCTTATCTTGGTAATGCAATTGATAAGAAATGGACCGATTCACGATAGCTCATTTGTGCAAGATTTCAGCAAGAATTACTAATAAAGGTAACTAGTTCACTCGAAGAAAAACCAGTCCGAGAATGTGTTAGGGTGTGTCATAACATTGAGTGGCTTATTTTGATTTGATATTATAATTAGTTTTTTCGTACCCTGTACCTTTTCTCTTTTTTCTATTATTTACAAATAAGATGGCTGCTCAAGTCGAAGAAGCTACACAAAAGCTTAGTATTGCTGAAAGTAGGATATTTTAGTGTATGTTGAACAAAACTAAATGTCAAATTTAGCTATTTATGTTGACGAAGTTGCTGGTTGTGATACCACTGGTAACGGTACCGAAGCTACTCCCTTCAAGTCTGTTTTGAAGGCTATTGAAGCCAAGGGTGACAGTATTAAGATTCAAATTAAGAAAGACGCTGAAGGCTTTAAGGAAATCTCTGGTGCTGCTTTCAAGAAGGCCAAAAAGACATTTGCCGAACAACAAAAGAAAGCAAAGAAACTTGAAGAGCAAAAGAAGAAGCAAGAGGAAGAATTAAAAAAGAAACAAGAAGATGAAGCCAAGGCCCTTGAATACGCCAAGTCTGTTGTTCTCAAGGAAGATGAGTCTCTTCCTAAAGCTCAAAAGGTAAAACAATAACAAAGACGCGTTTTTTTTAACTATATATGTAGATCAAAATCCGTGATGGTACTGAAAACAGAGGTAAGCGTGTCAAGGTCTCTGGTTGGGTCCATCGTCTCCGTGTTCAAGGTAAAGACATGATGTTTGTTGTCATCCGTGATGGTTCTGGTTACTTACAATGTGTCTTGACTGGTAAACTAGTAAGTTTTTATGGGTTTATGATCATGTGTCTAATATGACAATGCTAGTGCCACACCCTTGATGCTATCACTCTTTCTATTGAATCCACTGTTACTATCTATGGTGTCATCAACGAACTTCCTGAAGGTAAGACTGCCCCTGGTCAACACGAATTGACCGCCGACTATTGGGAGGTTGTCAGTAAGGCTCCCAGCGGTGATGAAGCCTTCACCAACAAGGTCACACCCGATGCCGATCCCTCTTATCTTTTGGATAACCGTCACCTTGTCATTCGTGGTGAAACTGCCTCTGCTGTTCTTAGAGCCAGAGCTGAGGTCATCAAGGCTTTCCGTGCTTTCTATGATCAAGAACGCTTCACTGAAGTTACTCCTCCTTGTATGGTTCAAACCCAAGTTGAGGGTGGTTCTACCTTGTTTGAATTCAACTACTATGGTGAAAGTGTAAGTATATAGTTAACTGCAGAAGTAATGGGCTGACTTTGTGCAATAGGCTTATTTGACCCAATCTTCTCAACTTTATCTTGAAACTTGTCTTCCTGCTCTTGGTGATGTTTTCTGTCTTGCTGAATCTTACCGTGCTGAAAAGTCTCATACCCGTAGACACTTGTCTGAATACTCCCACTTGGAAGCTGAAATGGCTTTCATTGAATTTGATGATTTGTTAGATCACCTTGAAAATTTGATGTGTTTCGTTATTGATCGTGTTCTTGCTGATGAAGAAACAGCCAAGTTGGTCGAGCAATTGAACCCTGACTTCAAGAAGCCTGCTCGTCCTTTCCTCCGCATGAAGTATGAGGATGCTATCAAGTACTTGAAGGAAAACGATATCAAAAAGGAAGATGGCTCATTCTATGAGTTTGGTGAAGATATTCCTGAAGCTCCTGAACGTGCCATGACGGATAAGATTGGTCGCCCTATCTTCTTGACTCACTTCCCTCACGAAATCAAGGCTTTCTATATGCAAAAGGTACCTTCTGATAGACGTGTTACAGAAAGTGTTGATGTTTTGATGCCTGGTGTTGGTGAAATTGTTGGTGGTAGTATGAGAATGGATGATAGAGAAGAATTATTAGCTGCATACAAGACTGCTGGTATTGATCCCTCTCCTTACTACTGGTACACTGACCAACGCAAGTATGGTTCCACCCCTCACGGTGGTTATGGTTTGGGTGTTGAACGTTTCCTTGCCTGGCTCCTCAACCGTTATACTGTTCGTGACTGTAGTCTCTACCCTCGTTTCACTGGTAGATGTACTCCTTAATGGACTTGCTTCTTTTTTTTCCCTTCACATTCACACACACGCACATACACACTTTTTTACACATATACACACACATCCTATATACTGTTTATTTCTTTTTTTTTTGAATATTAATGATCTTGTCTGTATTTTACAATAAAAAAACCAAGACTAACCATAGAAAGCATACCAGAAAATGTGTATACATTAAGAGTGATCATGTTAGTCGTATGTTTGTGCTCACTATTTTAATTTTTGATAAAGATTAATTATGTAAGCATAATTTTGCGCTCTATGTGTCCGGGACCTGTTTTTGTTCGGTGCCTGGACCATCAATGCCTCTTTTATTACGATTGAGAGTGAATTTATGCAGTTTAAGGCACACGTGTAATTATCACGATTGTACAAATTAACCCCTTAAAAAGTTTGTGCTATTTTTTCTGTTTAGATCATAATCGAACATTTTAGAAATGAACTTTGTATTCAAAAGAATCTGACAGAACAAACTTAAAAAACATGCTTGTATCCCAAAATGCCCATTTTACTTGCTTTTGATTTCTTGAATGACGACTGTATGATGTATGGTCAATCATAAAAAGACAGGTTTTTTTTTTGTTCATTTAATTTTTTTTTTTTTTTTTTTTTTTGCTATCTTGTTTCTTTGGTTTTTAAAGTTATTCTTTACATTTTGTTATAGAGAGAAAAAAAAACCATTTTCCCCCTTATTTTAAACACTGAGAATTAAGAAAAAAAACACAGATATGGTAGCATCCTTCTAATGAGAAGAAAAAACGAACATGTATATTGTTTGCAGATTTGATTTACAGGATGTATTGCTGCACTGACCACTTTTCATTTGACTCAAGAAAAAAAAGGGTGACTTTAAAATTTTGTCAATTTCGCATATTGACGAATATGTAAGAATCCAAAAAAGTATTGTGGGGTTTTGGCATGTTTACCACATAGTAAGACAAGAGAGGTACACAAATTTAAGGAGAAAGGGAAACAAAAGGAGACGAGAAATAATAGAATAATTGATCATAAAGACGCTTATTAAAAACAACTTTTTGGCTTTATAGTATAAAAAAAATTGTATCTGAAGTTCTAATGAGGAATCACCTCTTTTGTTTTTTTTTATTTATTTCCCCACCCCACCCCCAATGCGAAATTAAAAAGAGTTCGATCTGAAAGATGACATTTATTCTATAAACTCTAATTTTCCCTCCCCCTTTCTGTTTGAGACCGAAGCTACATATTGATAGAAATTGACTTCTTGAAAAGTATAAATTGTTGAACATCGATTTACTTTTTTTTTTCTTTTTTTATTTATCAGTTATCTTCCATTCGTTTTGTTATGTCTGCTACTGTCTTTTACCAACAAATAAACACATTTAAGCAATATCAAGCACCATCATCTTCAACACAATTACAACAAAAAAATAAAGACTCAGCACCTAGAAGACGTTATAAGTGTCCTTTGTGTGTCAAGTCATTCTTTCGCTTAGAGCATCGTACAAGACATATCCGTATCCACACAGGTGAAAAGCCTCATCATTGCACATACCCTGGGTGCCAGAAACGATTCTCTCGTTCTGATGAATTGATAAGGCATGTACGTACACATGAAACTACTACTACTACTACTACTACTACTACTACTACTACTACTACTACTACTACTACTACTACTGGTCAAGAAGAAAAGAAAGAGCAGCAGAAGCAATCCGCCCTGACTCCTTCTATGCACTCTTCTGATGTGCTGTTACCACCTCTGAGGACTTTTTTTCCCTCCAATAAGCCCCAACCATTGGAATGTAACGGCATTTATAATGCAAACTATTTGTGTCCTACTCGTTCCTTATTTGATTGCAAACCCCTCTTCTCTTCTCCCGTTCATAATTTCACTAATTCAAGTACCCAAACTAATACTCGTCATCATTTAAATTTGCCTTATCCTCCCTTAGAACAGTCTCAACCATTACCTTCTATCCGTTCATTGTTTTCATAACACATTACACTATATATGTATATAGAATCGACGTAATAAAAAAAAATAAAGGCGTGCCTCTTTTTTTTTTCCTTCATATATTTTATTCTCCTTATACACTTTTCACCGAAAAGATCAATAAATAAGCGAATCTGTTCGTGTATATCCAAATCTCCTCTTTAGTGTGTACATATATGAAAAAAAAAATTCTACCTTATTTGAAGACACGCATATTCCATAAAAACACATTGATTCCGAGCCTTTATTTGTCGTATACACAGATCGTATTAAGGAGGTGTTTACAAAAACAAACAAAAGGAGTAGATGATTTTGCTTTATATCAACAATATAAAAAAGGTTAAATATGATGCGTTTCTATTTTGCGTTTTTATTTATGTATATTTTTGTTTTTGTTTTTAAGGTTTATGGTGTACCAGTAACTGTATATGGAAGAAACTGCCAAATCTTTTTAGGAAAAAAAAAAGAGTAGCGCAAAACAAATCAAGGACCAATATTATTTTTGAATCAGCACAATATTTAATAAAGGAGAATGATTTTTTTTAACTAAAATTGACTAAAATCGTGTGCACTACCACCACTATTCTTGCAGAAAAAGGATGATCCTTTAGATCAGTTCACACATCTAAATAAAACAGTACAGCACTCAATTTAAAAAAAAGGGTACGGGTTCATTGTCACTCTTGTACATACTATCAACAGTATAAAATGTTTTGGGTTACACGTTAAGCGTATCTTTTGTGTTGCTCCGAAGTCTCTTTAGATTTTAATAAAGTTGCTCTTTTGATTACCAAACGTTTGATTAGTGATACTTCTCAGTGTAGTTACGCTCACTCACCATTGGATCAAAATCGCTATTTAAGCGTAACACCTCGATCTCCATTGAGTCTCGATTGTTAGGAGCACTGTAGACCTAACACTATTAAGTTTAATTCCCGACATCAACAATCTTGTCCTGTTACCTTTTATAGTCGAAGCTCGACTTACTGGCGTTCTAAGTGAACCAATAAAACCAGAAGCATTACTAAATTCTGTATAAAGTGTATTGTTACGGAGTCAAAGCTCAGTTCCCATGCTATAAATTTGATTCAGCAGAACTAAAGTTTACAATCAACATGTGTAGAATTCTCCAATTCAAAAGTAAATAGTGAATTTGCAGGAAATAAGAAAAAAAAAAAGGCAAAGAAATAGAGTGATGCTTAGTCTACAGTCATTTTAGAAACGACACCACAGCCTTTATTTTGAGAGTTTTTGTAAAACATAATTCAAGAAATAGCAATAACATAGGGAGGTTATTCTGTAAATATCCTTTCATACATGAAAGAGTTAATAATAGTCACTAGTCCTTCAAAGTGGCCCAAAAAGGAATTTTAATTGATAAGCAGTTATGTCCAAAAGCTCGGGCATAGATTGACCTGAAGAAGGGAGAATATAGTTGAAGCATCCCTTCTGTTAGCCTGCATCACTCTAACCATAATAATAGATATAGAGATTTCGATATCTAGTCAGAATTGTTCAATTGTCGTATTCTACATAATAGGTATAATAGACAATTGAACAAACATGAACCCGTTGCTTAAGACTGCAAGAACTAAATGTATATAGACGGGTTTTCTTGTGTCTTTTGATACGCTATATCTTTAATCAACCGTAAATTGTAAGCTAATCATTTTTATGAACAACCAATTGCGATACTATCAAAAACAATCGATTGTAGTTTATGAGATATACTTTACTGAAACACTTGTTAGTAGAAAATTGTATGCTTTTCATCCTTGAATAAGTTCCTCAAAGCATCATAGTTTAACACTGTAAGCCGTGTAGAATAAAAGTTTAGGTTGCTTAATCAACAAAAAAAAGAGAAGGAACTAATGTTTGATGTAACCACTATTAGCATCAATCGCAGTTTAGTATCAGTCGGCCATATTGTCCTTCAAGTATCTAATAGTATCAATGTAATGAATTGAAGCAATTATGCAATTGACAAGATAATGGTATTCAACTACCTCCTCATATCCGTGTAAGTATTTTGCATATGCTTATTAATATCTGTTACTAATTCGTTTCTCTCTTTTATCTTTCTTTTATTCTCTACTCTTTCTTATAATCTAATGTAAATACTACTTATGTATCTCATGCTCTGCTTAATTTCTAAAATTTAAGTTTTTCCAATAAAGTGTAAAAAATTGCTTAATTCAGGTACAACAATATGTCTGGGGATATCGTGTTCAATCTCCGCTGACAATCGTGTTGACAGAACCACTCTTTTTTCTTTACCCTTTTTTTTTTTTTTTTTTTTTTTTTCAAGACACGTATCATGACCGTTCTTGGACTATTGAGAGGAGCTAATAAAAACAACAAAGACTTTCGTAAAAAAAAAGATATGAATCTCATTAACTGTACTCATTCCGAATCTTGTTAGTTGCAACTATTGAAGACGGCAACGTTATGACGCTCGGAAGAAACGAAGAAAGGTATGTGTATTCAAAATGTATCGTATCTTATACATTCTTTTTTTCTTATAGTGACATCGTTATTTCTTGGCCCATCATAAGTGATTTGCACTGTGAGATTCATACAGTAAGCCCGAAAATGAATAAATAAATAACCTAATTTGCATAGTAGACTTGGAAAAATAATATCGCCATTGTTTATCTCACTGTAAGTTATCAAGCATATCAAGCATTGTATTGATATTGTTTGAGTAGGACAAGAGTATTAATGGTACTTATCGTAAGTATGCTGGTATTCTCCTGACATTGTATTCATATCTTGGACAGTAAATGGATCATTGATTGGCTTTGAAAAGACTGTCATCTTATTTGCTGGTTGCATTATTTCTTTTGCCTCAGAGCATCTCAGTTAAGTAACACGATATCAAATACAAACAACTTATTGTTTAGATCTGATTTATGTCGAAATAAAAAGTAGTCAAAGTAGTTTGGTGGATCAATACACAATTGTAACTAGACAACATTGTTGCTTATATAATAACGTTCAAGTAGGACTTTGATTCAGAAGCCTCAAAGCATAAGAAGAAAGTGACAACAAGTAACAAACGTATTGGATTCGGAGGTCAGGCAGAAGCACTTTTAGCTTATGACTATTATCGCACTCGACACGAACTGGTTTGCAGATGTGTCTATTCTAGATCCTATATTAACATTCTATATGGCCAATCTTCAATGGATACTGAAATACAAGTCTTGAAAAAGTTTAAACATGTACGTATGTTGGCTTGCTGAATTATTTCCTTATGGTCATTCTATAGATCAATGTGCTTTCCATGATCACAACACATCTTCACCCATACGATAACAGAATAACATGTTCCTTCTTCCCATTGTAAGTAGATTAAATCTATAAGCGTATTTATTGTATTTTAGATATGCTGGTGGCACACTAAATGATCGCATTGAAAGAAAAGGATCGCTTGAAGAAAGTGAAGCTGCATTTATATTTTATCAAATTTTAAGTGGACTTCAAGTAAGTTTGATCATATTTAAGTCTAAACTTATTTTATTTTTTAGTATATTCATAAAATGGGCATTATTCATTGTGGTAAGCATACAATTCATTTAAATAACAAGATACTCACTTTCTTTCTTTATAACAGATATCAAGGTAAAGGTATAGACAAAACACGCATTAGCTTATATCTATCTAGGTGGAGAATATCTTCCTTAGTAGTCAATCAAGTAAAACTAGAGCAGTGATTGCAGACTTTGGTTTGGCTATTGAACAATCAAAAAGACAAAAAGAATGGCGTGATGATGAATACGGAACTCGACAGTAAGTTCTACTTTTTTTTTTTCTGCACCAAACTAATCTATATAGTAATTATGCTCCTGAAATGATTCAACGAAAAGAATTTGATGAACGCATTGATGTTTGGTGTGCGGGCATTGTGCTATATCGTATGCTTTGTGGCTCTCATCCTTTTATGAAAACTATAGAGACACGCCATTCAATCATTGACGACTGGAAAGTCTTTAGTACAAGAGTATTACAGATGCATCCCAATATGAAAAGAGAACGTATCAAGAGAGTGAGTGATGAAGGTAAACATATCAGCTAGCCGTTATGTCATTGATAGTAGACATAGGCAAGTTCTTTATATACAGTCTTCTTGAAAAGGACTTTCGATGTAGACCTACCAGTACAAAAGCATTAAGAGACCCCTTTATTCTGTGGCAAATATCGTTAAATGATGGTGAATTCTTTGCTAATTATGACACCTATGTTCGAAAAGACTTTGTTCAAGAAAGATCACGATGGTTTGACGATGAGAAATACATAAAAGTAGACAAAAAGCCTGATTATCATCCTGACTGGAACGAACAAGATGTTGAGGACATTAGATATCACAGAGCATCTGATTCACCTGCACCCATTTTTACAAGCAAGAAACCCGTTAGGTTTGATGTTGGATATGAAGAAGAATCATACAATAAGACAATGGCAGAAAGGTTTCCTAAGCGTAGTTTTCTGGAAAAGAAGAGAAAAATAGAAGAAGGATATCAACAAGAAGAGGAAGGCTTTTCGGTTGGCAGTTAAAGACTGACTTTCAAACTGCATTTGTCAGCAGCAAAAAAAAAAAAAAAAAAAGACTATCCATATTTCTTTTTTTTTTGTATATCTTTTACTCTTTATCCGATGTTTTCAAAGCTTTTTAAAGTAAACCTTAAGAAATAACCGAGAATAAAATTAATAACGTTTTGTTTTTCTGTTTCATCGCGTAGACCGAGTTTGCCGTTGAAATGACGTGCGAGGTAACAAAAATAGAGATGGGTTAGTCATGGCACTCATACTGTATAGTCTTGCGTTAACGACGTAACCAATGTCATGAAAGATGTTCCAGGTGAAAAGAAAAAAAAAAAGAGGAAGAGATTTATTTTGACTGACCCTGCTGGACCACAGGCGTTACTTCATTTGACGTTGACCTAAAAGAAAAAAAAGTGATTGTGGAAGGAACAGGTAACATAAATTTAATGCATGCTTATCTAATCAAAAGAAAACAAGCGCCTCCTTCTGCTATTTCAAAAGCATTAAAAAATACTGGGCGTACAGTCATTGTTCGTGGCCAAGGTGTCCCAGATGGCCAAGGTCATTCTGGCGCTGCTGTCTGTATCTTTGATTGCTATGGCGCAGATCCAGCTGCCAAATTGCCTACTGGAAAATCAGGTTTAGCTCGTTTTGTTCAAGTAGATAATGATACATGCTTAATTGACTTGACTATTCAGGGTTTGTCTCCTGGTAAGCATGGTGTTCATATTCATGAATCAGGCGATATTTCAAGCGGTTGGCAATCTACAGGCGATCACTATAACCCCACAGAAGTTAATCATGGTGATATGGATCATGGTCATATAGGCGATCTTGGTAATATTGAAGTAGACGAAAATGGTTGGGGAGATCTTGTTGTTGAGAGTACGCGTATCAAAGTCTGGGATATCATTGGTCGAAGTATGGTAGTAACAGAAAAAGAAGACGATTTAAAGAGCACCACAAAGGACGGTAATAGTGGCAATGGTATCTTGTGTGGTATTATTGCCCGTAGTGCTGGTGCTTTCGAGAACACAAAATTAGTGTGTGCCTGCAATGGCAACACATTATGGGAAGAAGCCCGTCTTGTTGAAAAAGAAGTAAAATAAACTATCATTATACTTGAAGATATATTTTCATTCGGCATCCAATCAAATCTCTCTTTAAAGCTGCAAAAAATATAGCACCACTCAAATATACATAGTATTTTTGTAGAAAATCACTAGTATTTATCTTTTTTATATATCTTCTCTTATCTCCCTTTTGTTTCTTTCTCTATAATGGCTACTTCCTTTCAACGTCGTTATTTGCTTATCAAAGCTCAAAAGGCCATTCTTTCCCCTCAACACCAACAAGCACCTGTTGAAGTACTTGTAGACCAAACTACTGGTAAAATAATCGAGATTGCACTCGATGGCAAGACTTGCACAACTGTTATCGAAGCAAACCAGACAGAAGTGATTCAGCTAAAACAAGACCAGCTATTAATGCCTGGTTTAGTTGATGCACATGGTAAATAAGCAAAGGGGATAGAAATATATGTATTTACTTTTTTGTAGTGCATTTAAATGAGCCTGGGCGTACAGAATGGGAAGGATTTGAAACAGGTACCAAGGCTGCTGCTGCTGGTGGTATCACCACTGTGATTGATATGCCTTTGAATGCTATTCCACCAACGACAACCGTAGCTAATTTCGATACAAAGCTTCATGCAGCTGAAGGTCAATGTCACGTTGATGTTGGATTTTGGGGTGGAGTTGTGCCTGATAATGCACACGAATTACCTGCCCTAATGGGAAAGGGTGTGCGCGGTTTCAAATGCTTCTTGATTGAAAGTGGTGTTGATGAATTCCCTTGTGTGAATGAGGCAGAAGTACGTCTAGCTATGGATAAAATGATCCACTCTGACCGTGTCTTGCTATTTCATGCTGAAATGGAAGGTTGTGGAAAAGTAGAAACAGACGAAAAAGAAGATCCCCGTACGTATGCTAGCTTCTTACATTCTCGACCTCAGTCACTCGAGACCAATGCAATCGATATGATTATTCGCCTTACAAAAGAGTACTATGAACAAGGTAAGCCTGTCAATACACATATTGTCCATCTATCTGCTGCGTCTGCTGTTCCTGCTATTCGTGAAGCAAAAGCTGCTGGTGTTCCCCTGACAGTGGAGACTTGCTTCCATTATCTCAATTTTACTTCTGAGTTAATTGAAGATGGGGCTACTCATTACAAGTGCTGTCCTCCTATTCGTGAGGCTTCAAATCGCGAGTCGCTTTGGGAAGCATTACTTGATGGGACCATTGATTATGTTGTGAGCGACCATTCCCCTTGTACAGCCCAACTCAAGAGACAAGATACAGGTGATTTTGGACAAGCTTGGGGTGGTATTGCTAGTGTTCAATTTGGTTTACCTGTCTTATGGTCGGAGGGACGCAAGCGTGGTATTACGTAAGTATTTGTGTTTGTTTATGGATGGCTGACATTTCATTAGTCTCCAACAGATTGCCAACTGGTTTAGTCTGGCACCTGCCAAAAGAACCAAATTAGAGCATAAAAAAGGTGAAATCAATGTTGGCAATGATGGTGATTTTGTTATTTGGCGTCCTGAATCTACATTTGAAGTACAAGTATCCGATATTCATTTCAAGAATAAGCTATCGCCTTATATTGGAAAATCATTTTATGGCGTTGTGGATCAAACTATTGTCCGTGGATCTACAGTCTATCATCGAGAAGCCCCTGGACTTTTTGCAAAGACTCCTTTGGGTCATTCTTTACTTAAATAAAACTGCAGGTTGACGTAATGACAGCTCTTTTTTTTTAAAGACCGTATTTGCTTTAGTCGTATTCTTGACAGCTCCTCCTCCCCCCGCCCCTTCATTTATTTTTTTCTTTATCCACTATGCCTAGTATTCATGACTTAACACTGAAAAGATATGACCATGTCAGTCAATTTCTCAATGAAACTAGACCCTTTCTTGAACAACAAGAAATCAAAAACACATTTGTCATACATATGGCACAGCAGGCAGAAGAAAAGAAACATTCTGCCACAAGTTATTATTGTGGTACTATTTGGAACAATAAGGATCTCTTGTTTGCCATCTTTGCTGAAAACGAAGGCTTTTTGTATGCTTCCTGTCTTTTTGATGAGACAAGACCTGATGCGATTGCCATTTTATTCAATGATGTAATTTCTTCTTCACTTGATGACATTCAGGGCCTACATGCTTACCAGCCTGTGCTCTCTACACTAGGACATCTTTGCCAATCACAAACTGGCCATGAACTACAACGAAAGAATCCTGTCTGGAGTCACCAACTTACTCAAGTGGATTGGACACCCCGTGCTCTGTCTATATCACAGCAACAAGAAAGTATGCTACGCATAGCAACAAAAGATGATTTGGATTTGCTACGTCCTTGGACAATTGCGTTTATTAAGGACGTATTTGGAGATACAAATGTCATTCTGGAATCTGTAGAGAGTATTTGTAGAGACATGATTGAGTCTCGTTCAGTCTATATGCTGTGTATAAATGGTGTGCCTGTAACAATGGCAAGAAAAGTGCGACCACTCAAATACGGTTGCTCACTTGCTTATGTCTATACACCAGAAGAGCATCGTCATAAAGGCTATGGAGAGGCCTGTGTGTCCATGGTAAGTAACCTGCTTCTCAAGGAATTCCAGTACGTCACTTTGTTTGTAGATATAGAAATAGATCCTCATAACAATTTATATACCCGTGTTGGTTATGAGCATTATGGTGAAGCAGGTCGCTTTGTACTTTTAAAATAAGAATAAAAAAATGAGCATATTTTATAAAGTTTATTGAGTTATTGTCGTCATTCTAGAGTACATAAACTAAAAAAAGAAAAAGAAAAAAGGTGTCTTGATTTCAGTCGGGCCTAAAGAAAGAAAGAAAAAAAGAGTGGTGCTTGGTTTTGTCCTAAAAGAAAGAGAATTCCATGGTGTCAAGTAAAGGAAGGGACAGTGGATTGACGGGTCGTTGCGTTTTAGGGAAAGGAACGGGAAAGAACTAGAGTAGTTATGATTTTCAGTTCAAAATGCTCTTTTATAAATGACAGGAAGCAAAGTCAATTAAGTTTGATATTTAGTGTCACCAAATTAATGATGATAATAAAAGAAGAACCACGTTGCAGCGTGTGTTCCACAGATGAATCATTTGTTTTGTTTTGTTGTAATTAGTTTATCAGAGTACGGCGCTTATTGAAGAGTGAATAGACATTTTAAACTGGGGCCTTAATTGTTCATCGCGTCATTGAGTTATAGTCTCAATTTGTGCTTCGATGCCTAAAAAACGATAAGTCTTGCACTTCTGAGTTTCTTGTTGACATACGAATCAAAGTTTGACATTGGTTTGAAATGAACATTAATTGGCTTTATTATCATAAGCTGTAAGCATACATTCAGCGCATGAATCAGTTCTCAAGAAATATGCCATATTTGTCAAAAGAACAAGACTTGATAAACAAATACTATCTGTAATCGACATTAAATATTTTGAATAGATGCAAATCGTGTATGAGTTTCTTGGATATTATGAACTTTTGTACATATTAAGTCTCTGATGTGCTGAATTCATTATACTTTCTACTTTGATTATTCTGTCTTCTTTCAAAGTCTTGATACTTTCCAGCTCTGTTCTTTGCTTTACTTGAGTGATAAACAGTTTTTGCACTATCTACTGCTAGATATACTGTACAATTGTGCTGCTTGATTATAACGCTATCAATTTCAATAGTAAAATTGACTTTGGAACCTGCTTAAGTTTTTATCAATAGTAAATATGAAAACAACCGCATTTTATGCGATCTGTTTCATACAGTGGAGAGCGAAATATATTACACGCTACTTGAAGTTGTTGAATCAGACATTAAACTATGGAGTTGGTTTCAAGAGGCACAGAGATAGAGAAGGATTTTTCAAGTGCTTGTTGTTCACATATTGTTTGCGCAGTCTTTTTATCAAAATCATTTGACTCGGAAACGAATATCATGACAAAGTCCTACTGTAAGAAGATTGCCGATATCTATCAATGGTACAGTGGTATTGGTTACCAAAAATGAAACGTTTATTTGCTCAAGTGAAGAAATTAATATAAATCTCTTTTATATTAGCTTTTATTTTCAACTGTGATTTCCTTTAACAACTCAATAATCTCTTCATATTCTATAGAGCCATTTATTGATAAGCCGACAAAAGTATATACACAGTCTCTATCGTTGTACATGTGAATGGTGATCCCATAATTACCTACTGTTTGTGTTTTGGGCTACCCTAATGATTGACCATTCACACTCATGATTACCCGAACTAGGAGTTATCTTATTTCTTGTAATGTTCCCTTTCTCTTTCTCTCTTTTTAGTAATTATTAATGGTCTAGTTGATTATAGATTGCCTTTTCTTTAGATTCACGTTATATAGTCAAGTTGATTTGAGCGTGGTGTTACAATTTTTTTTTTTCGTAAATCAATACCGTAGTACTAGGGCCTTTCCATAGTGTTGAACGAGATGGTATTCTCGTGCTGACATATACACACAGAAGTTTATTAAATTATTATTTTCGGCTTTAAATATTTATATTTAGTCATCCTATCTCGATATTTAATAACACTTTCAAAATGTGTAGTATTCGAGAAGCTTTTTTCTGGAATTCAACTTTTTTTGCTTTGTCGTACATAGCAATATTAATATAAACTAGTCTGCCTAGGTGCGTAGGAGGCTTGGCCCTTATAAAATGCTATAGAGCCAAGAACTTGAGTGAAACTGTCTCACACAATGAAAGCCGCGCTAGAAGATCACTCTGAGCTATTATTTTAAGGTAAAGATTCGATCATAATCGACAATTTCCTTATTGAATAGAGCTGTGTAACGGTCTTTGAGTTTTGTGTATACACGTTCATTTATCTGCACTCAATTTACCAAATCTTAAAAAGTATAAGGCAAAGACCAACCGAGAGCACTTTTTCTTTCTTTCTTTCATATACCTATTTAAAATGGAAAAAGCTACTAAATTTGCGGAATCAATTCGATGGCCATCTCGTATTGACAAAGACAACGTTGCCTTGCCTGTGATCAGCATTGCTGCTGCTGCAACATTACTTTATTCAACTTATCGCCTAGTGTCTTCTAATAACCATCAACGCAATGGCAAGTATACTAAAGAGATTCCTTCTCCTGGATCTTGTTATCCTTATGTTGGCCATATGTTCTCTTTGGGCCAAGTGCCTTCTATCCCCGTCAACAAATGGCATAATGAACTAGGTCCACTTATCAAACTTCAAATGGGTCGTAAGACTTGGATTATGGTGAATGATCCCTTTTTAGCGCACAAAATTTTTGTCAACAATGGTGCAGCAACCTCTTACAGACCCCATACTGTTTATGGATATCATTACTATGGCATGGATGGAAAGTAAGTTTTTTTTTTTAAAAAGAGAATCCGAAAAAATCAAATGTGATTAATATCATAATAAGGGGTGTCGTCTTTGCTCAGCCTGGTGCCGGCTTTAAAAAGAACCGTGCAGCAGGTAACAAGAAATAACTCTTTCCGTTTTATCTAACAAATTCTATTTGCAGCATTGTCCTTATTAGCTCCTAAACAAATTGCAAGTTTTGCACCTAACATCAAAGAAGAATCCACAAATCTCGTAACACGCCTGATTGAAGCTACGGAAAAGTACGGCAGCGTAGATCCTCTCAAAAACCTTGAGTTGAATGCTATGAATGTCATTTTGGAGGCTACATTCGGTAAACGTTTCAAGTCCGTTGACGATCCTGAGTTCCGCAAATTGTCAGAGATTGTAGAATTGTCTATGAAATATGCTGGTTTAGAAAACGACTTATCCAACTTTTTGCCCATTATTTCATTTGTTGACAACTATACCGGTCGCCAATACAAATGGAGAAAGTTCATGACTACAGAACGTAACCCAGCGTACGAAGAATTAATCAAGCAAGCCATGTTAAAAGACAGCCCTAATTTGATGAATGCATTAGAAGAAAATGGATACCCAATGACAATGGATGAAAAGATTGTGTTTGCATGTAAGCATACTTTTGTACATGTTTGAGGATACTTATTGTGTATTTAGCGGACATGGTTGCTGCTGGTACTGATACAATCTCGGTTACATTATCCTGGAATTTCGTATTGATGTGTCACCATCCTGAAGTTCAGAAGAGAGTTTCTGCTGAAATCGATGCATTTGTTGCAAAGCATGGTCATTTACCTACTTTTGAAGAAAGATCAGAAGTTCCTCTCTGTATTTCTGTTATCAAGGAAAGTATGAGATTTAGACCCGCTACTTTCTTTGGCTTGCCTCATACTCTTCATGAAGAAAGTAAGTGTTTTTGTCTCTTTTTTTCTCTATCGACTGATCCCTTTCTCTTTTTTATATAAACAATAGTTGAGGTGGATGGCTATGTTATTCCTAAAGATGCTACTATTCTTGCCAGTATGCATAGTATGCACTTGAATCCTAACTGTTATACCAATCCTGAAAAGTTCATTCCTGACAGATTCATGGACAATTTGAGAACAATGCAATCTTGCGCTAATGGACGTATTGAAGAACGAGACCATTATAACTTTGGCTGGGGAAGGTAAGTGCATCATGATATTAGTCACCCGGTATAAATACTTATCCTATGATAGACGTGTTTGTCCTGGTATTTCATTGGTAAAAATGACACACTTTTTCTTTGCATAAGATTACTCATCTCTTTTGATAGGCTGAAGCTGAAGTTTTTGCCAGTTTTATTCAAGTCTATTCTCGATGCTTTATTGAACCTGCAGATGGAAAGACTATGCCTGATATTGAGACATTGAAGAACGTTGGTCTTACTGTCTTACCTGCTGCTCAAAAACTCAAGTTCACAAAACGTTTTTAATAGCTTTTTGTATTTATTTATTGATACTAAAAATTAAACCTCAAGAATGAAATTGTTTGGAAATACTTGTACGCTTTAGAGATCATCTTTTACTTTGTTTTGTTGATTAAGTGCACCGAAATAGCGCGTCCTTTTTTTTATGTGTGTATTTATCGACTATGGTTGAGTTTCCGCTTAAGTTTGAAATAACTGTTTAGCCTTTGGATTAATTCTGTTTCCCATCTTATGACTAAAAGCAAAACCAAACTTGTATAAATCGATCTACTGAATAGGATGCATTGTTGTATAGCTATTGCAAACCAAGTACACTAGTTCGGAAGTTCATTTCTACTTATAAAATTATGTGTAAATGGTCAATGATAGCATTATCTTACGCCACTTCTTGTGCAAATATACACTTCATTGTATGCGAAATAGTATCAATAGCACCATTTCACTTTTTGTATCATTTTGACGGCCTGGCACCGATAAATTACGGGTTGAGCAGATCATATCCCTTTAGAGTGCATCCATTCAAGTGCAATGAAGAGGCGATTCATTCTCAACAGTGTTGAGTGGTGCATCTTCAAAATCGACCAGATTTTAAACAACAATGCTTTCTTTTGAAAACTGTAGTGACCCAATCTGGTCATATCTTTAAGCTTTACCCCATATATCATTGCGAGTGTAACTGAATTGAGCGTTATTGGGGTGATAGCAAGCATATTGTTCGTCAAAACTGTGATTATAGTTTTGCAGCATTCAATACCAACATTGGTTCATTCGTGGGTCGTGTATCTTCACCAGGAGAGGCTCCATTAAAGATAAGACGTTATGTAAATTGATGTCTTCATTATATTAAAGCATACAGTCAAAGCTCAGACGTTCACCAAGCAAAGCTGCAAAAATCACAAAGAAAACTTAATTATTCTCTTAGGAGAACATACTTAGGACAAATATGTTTCCAGATCAACGGAGCCGCCAAATTTTATAAAGCCTGATGTTCTAAATCAAGCGAATTACCTCCGTTACTTTCTGAAGTGCAATACACTGCAAACATGGCTTTTTTTTTTCAAAAGATCGATAGAGTATTCTCTTTCTATTGACAAGCACTATCATACTCCGCCTGTGGTGCTTGCCATTTGCATACACAACACTTCGTCTGATCTCATGAAGTCAACTACAGCATCTGATGCTTTGCCTTTTCTGTTAGAGTTGCTTTGTCATGGTTGGGCACAAGCATATTATTTAATGAATGCTGGATTTATTGCTAGTCACCTCCAAGACAATCCTCTTAATCCAATTATTGCAGTTGTTTATTTTCTTATTCAACCAAAGCCATCATTGCTTGATATGGATAAGCAAGGTGATGAAACCATCATCATGTTATATGAACTTGGAAAGAAAATATTTGAGATTGCAAAGACTAAAGTTCAATCCATTCAGTTTTTTTTTAGCTTAAACATATTACTTGACTTTATTTCTTTCTGTATAGTTTGGTAGCATGGAGCTGTTTTTACAACCAGAAGTAGCCCTTGCTTGCTTTCCTGTCAGCGTGGTTTTTGGATGGTTCTACTACCATGTTACAATTCTTCCTCCTACGTTTGCAGGTACATACCACTTTTCTACAGGACCTACAGATCTTTGTTGTCTTGCAGACGACATAGGTAACACTACTGGGTTACTTTTCTCTGGACTTATCTCGGATCGACTTTATGCTAGAGCCATAAAGAAAAATGGAGGTGTTGCAGTCAAAGAATTTTGCTTGCGACCTATTTATATCGGTATTCCTTTCTTTGTAGCAGGTTCTATCATGTATGGCTGGTTTCTACATGCCCATGTTCATTGGATGGGTTCCTTTGTTCGTTATACAATGAGTGAGTCTTTTATATATGACGAATATGTTAATACTAACATTGCTCACTTTTACAAGCATTTATTTTGGTTGATTCAAATCATACAAAGGCTGCATCAGGTACAATCCATATAATATGGCTTAAACTAACATTTGCTTCAAGTGTTGTCCGTCAGCAATGCTACTAAAAATATTTGTGGTATGATATTTGCTTTGACCGCGGTATTCATCAGGAATTCGCTTGGTGTCAATTGGTCTTAGTAAGTAGTTTTTTTTTGCTTTGTTTTGAATACGACTAATATGATACACAATAGTACATTGGCGGGGATTATGCTGTTTATATTTGATTTTACAAAAATTTGGTCACAATGGAGAGAGAGAGAAAAAAAAAAAGAGAGAGAGCAAAACATAAGCTGTTAGTAGAAGCTTTCTTACTATCAACTTGCTGTTGTAGAAATATATACGTATATAACTCAAAAGTGAATATACTAACTTACTTTTGTAAATCAACGATAACCATTTAGAAAACTGTATAATGTCTCATTCTCATTTAATAAACAAGTAGTTGTTGATTGTGATACTCTAATGAAAGTAATGCACATTTGTACGATAGTGTTGCAAAAGCTTCTACTAAATGTTGACTGAATAAAATTCTTGAGCCTATAATCATACGAAATATTTGAATAAGGCTTTAAAACTTAACAAAAGTGCCAGTTATACAGAATCATCATGAGCCTTCCATATACCGTCTTTTATCTTGAAAATGTTATAAAAGTCGTAATTTTTTTTCTTCAACTTCTTGCAGATATACACTTTTGTGCTTTTTTTTTTTTTTTTTTTTTTTTTTTACTTGTCTAGATCTACAGGTTAACTACTCATCGAGATTTTCGTGCATATTCAAGTAGATCAAACTTAAAGTCCCGGACCTAAAGGCCTCCTTAGTCCGGATCGAAATTATACTGTACGACCGAACTGGCAAATCCTATCATTCATTCTCAGAAATGTATTGATATCATTAGGAAGGTGACCAAATATAAGTTCCTCCTCTTTTCGCATACATCGCTTGTCGAAATGGTAAGTAGATGGTTGGATACATGGCATATATAAAGATGGAAGGGGAGGGCTGGAATTAGTAGAAAGAGGACGGATTGATGGATACAATAAATGGATGAATACGAAAGAAAAGAGAAAGATACTGATCTGAATCTACATTAGCCTTCTCAAAAGTCTTTCATTACCAAGGTCAAGCTTGGCAAGGCCAAGAAGCAAAACCGCCCCTTGCCTCACTGGTTCCGTCTTAAGTCTGACACCAAGATTCGGTAAAGCGAAATAACAGAAATAGTTTAAACAAGCATACTAATCTTTTGATGTAGTTGGAACGCTAAGAGACGTAACTGGCGTCACACCAAGTTGAACATCTAAGTTCACTTCACCAACTTTTTCAGCTCACCCTGTTTCTTTCTTTTGTAAAGTTAATAAAAAAAGAAAAGAAACGTTTAGCGATGACTTGTATATACGCAAGGTAGCCTGTCAACTTTTTTTTATGATTGTTAAATATAGCATAATTTGATGTGACATAAGGGGAAGTGTTTGTGTGTGAGGAGTTGATCTATGATGTATTCTCTTTATATCTGTCAAGGCACACAGACTTAACAGAGAGAGAGAGGGGGGGGGAGGTGAAAGATCATTCTGGGCACTTATAAATTCCATGCAAAAAATAACAATAATAATGAAATGAGATATGAAAGATAAGCTCTGTATGAATTACTGCAGTGTGAATAACAAGAATAAAAATAAAACGAGCACTTGTTTTGGTATGGTCTGCATGTGTAAAGAAGGGGAATGCTGTTTTTGTTGATTTGTTATGACGCCTAGAACCCCATTACAAATGTCAACAACAAACGCCAAATTTAGTGTCTTTTCGATGGAGAAGTTCAAGATTATCGCACTGCAGCGGCACAGTTCTTGTTATCGATTGACCCATGATAATTGTCAACAACAAAATGTAGAAACGCCAACTTTGTGATCCCCCTTAATATTGTAAAACTATATAAAATAAAAGGCTTCATTTCTTCTTCTTCTCTCTCTCTTTTTCTTTCCATTCAAATGTGGTGCCACGGTGACAATTCACTGAATTCTGATTCAATTGTCAAATCAAACTCGGTTGTCAGTTCATCTCGTAGCAACGTTAGTCATAGCAATACGATTCCCTTGACAAACATGTCTTTTGCTATCAAGCCATTGAATTTGCAAGGCGGTCAATGGTAATTTATCCTTCTATTATGCTCAAACCTTATTCTAATTGTAAAAATCGTAATAATAGCACTTGGTGCGGCAAATATGGTCATAAGAGACTAGCATGTCCATTGTTAAAGTAATTTGTTTATTTACGCCAAACACTATTATGACCCTAACATCTAAGCATGTTCAAGAAAAAAAAAGCACTTTATAAGATATTAACATTTGCGCGCAAAAAAACACTATGTATTATATACACATACATTCACACACATATATATATATATTTATTTATTGAAAACAGCATCCTTTCCTTTCCTTTCCTCTCTCTCTCTCTCTCTCTCTCTCTCTCTATATATATATATACATATACGCTTGAAAACAATACTCCAAAAAAAAACCCCCTTTATGTCCCATTTCTCTTTCTTTTTTTTTATTCTGTATTAACAAAAAAAAGTTACTCTTGCTCAATTATGTATTACAACAACAAAAATAAAATAAAAACTTGCTACTTTTTTTCTTGACAATGTCTAAAAAGATAAAAAATTAAGTTATGTCCGAGCGTTCAAATGTATGTATGAAATCTAGACTATGAAACCTTCTCATAACCTTCCTTTTCTCTCTCTCTCTCTCTCCTTAATAACAGTGCAGTTATAAATAGCTATGGCTTTTTCTTTATTTGTCGAGAAAAGCGACTCTCTAAAGTCAAGTGTTTATATGTAATGGATATGAAAAAGGACTACATCATGTAAAATCGATCTTGGGATTTTACATGATGCACTTTATACTAAAGAGAAGAAATCATGCAGAGAATATAGATCAAAACTCATTATGTTAATCGGATAAAAATCGTCATTTGTTTTGTTATAAGCAACATATCTTATAATGAAAATCTTTCAGAAAAGACTAGAACAAGATACAAGCAAATTCTATCAGGATTCGGGGGAGGGGAGGATGACAAGAAAGGGGTTAAGGGATATTAGATCGAGCCATTTGTCAAACTATTCTTAGCCTTGCTGCTAATTATATTTTACTGGTTGGCTTGAGCGTTTCTGTCTGAGATTCAACAGCCAGTCCAATGCAGTCTGCTTTTTTTTGTTTCTTATACAACGCGATGGAGCAAGATGAGATCGATCCAGTCTTAGAGATCGGCCAACGTACTTCGAGAAGACATAGGCACTTGCCTACTTCCGTTACCTCGGCTGTTCCAACCCGCTCCCTAAAGGGTTACAAACATACGCCACTACTTAAAATGTCATATCGCCCAGTTGAGAAAGGAGAACAAGAAGGAAAAGCAACAGGATACCAGAAGCACACAACAGATACCTACCAAAGACGACGAAAACACCAAGATAAGTTGAAAGAAAGAACAAAGCGACTCATAGCCACCGATACTGCAATCAAAAATAACACGAAAAAATACACTATATGGTGTATAAGTACATTATGGATCTTGTTTTTATGCTACCGCATAGTAACCAGTATGCAGAAAGAGAATTACGAGCAATTAAGCGTAGTCCATTTTATTACGAATATCATCAAGTCAAGGCTTGGTGGTACATAAAGGAGGGGGGAAAATAGGGGGCTACTTGGTTTCGTCAGTATAATCAATGTACGTCTATTTTGATTGTTATACTTGATCATGAGGTTGTCTAAAACAAACAACAATAAATTCTGTTTTTTTCTTATTTCCTTGTGTTTCTTCTTCTTTTTCATTCTCTTTTCTTTTCTGTATGAGCCACAATGTTACAATCAAATAACAACTTGAATAACATGATGTACAATGGAGCTATGGCTTCAGACTGGTCTGAAGAACCACCACAACAACAACGTCCAGAGAAAATCACACATCCAGAATGGGGTGTCATGAAAGAACAGGACTTTCGGCCACTTACCTTAAAGCACCAAAGGGATCTTGAAAACTTGCATCAAGCAGGTAATTTCATCAAGGATTTTTACTTTTGGCAAGCTAATTTGGGTGGATACTGTATGGCTGATATGATACAAAGTAAGTGTTGTCTTGTAAATATATTGTGCTAAATGTATGTATAGATGTCGTGATTTCCTCAGAGGGTGCGTTTGTGTTAGTAAGGAAAATCGTTGATGGTGCACCACATCCTGGCAGAAGAAAGAAGAAGAAGGTTTAACTGTCAAAAGCTGTGGTGGATCTGGTATTCATTTCGAGCATGTAAAATAATTATGTTAATAAAAACACTGTATTGCTTTCATCAAGCATTTTCTTTTTCAAAAAAGTGTGTTCATTATTCACTTGTATTACGATGGCACTAAAGTAAGGGGTTTGTTAAAGGAAAGAGTACTTGGTTATTTAAAAAAAGGGAGAAGGGAGTATAAACGTAATTTCTATTCAAAGAGGGTCTTGTTTTCTCTGGTTGACAGAAAGGGATAATGGAATAACTTCTGCGTCTGGCTAGTAAACATGCTATGCAAATGATTACATGTTGAACGAGTTTTTAGGAATCTTGACTTGGCTACTGATTTACACAAAACAATCAGTGTAAGACAAGTTGAAAATACGAGAAGGATATGAGACAATAAATGCTATTTTCCTCATATTCATCAAAACAAAAAGGCAGCTTTACATCCTGAGTCTTTAGAAGTCAACTGAGGATATATTTCACTAAAGCAGCTAGTGTAACAATCTTGCATTTTTAGTCTTAATCGACATCTATTGAAAGGACAATTTCCATCAAGAACGATGTTGCTGCAAGAACAACCATGGTTAGTGAAGCATTTAAAAAAGACTTTGAACCCAAAGATCCGCATTTGTCGATCATAAGGTATTTTACATTGTATTCTCTTTTCAATAGATAGAATCAGACTGATGTGTTTATTTACAATTCAAAAGAACAAGACAAATTCTTCATTGGCATAGAAGAAAGTAGTTATTTTATTATTGTCAAAAAGTGTGATAGCCAGAAGTAAATTTTAAATAGGGTTGATGCATATGCTTTAAATCGAAAAGATCGAGAAGGAAAGGGGGAAAAGATGCTCTAAGAATATACGTTTGTTAACGATCTCTGTTGAGAAAGCATCGAGTCCATGGCTGTGGAGAGAGCGACAAAAAGAATATTGTATCTCGCTTTAAATAATATGACCTACTCTGTCATGAATAGATAAGTGCTCTGATAATAAAACATGACGCTTTTTTTTATACAACTAAATGGCGTCCAAAAAAGCAATTAAACTGTCTCTCTTTTTTTTTCTTCTCCTAGCATAATAAAATCAGTTGGCAAATGCTTACAAGAAAAATGAGAATAGAACTGCCTTTTGTGACTAATGATGTTTAATGATTAGATTTGATTAAAAAAGGAGAGGAAGAGAAAACATCGTTACTTCTTGCAACGGAGAAAGAAAGAGAAAAAGGAAATGATTTGCGGTTTATTTGATAAAAGCCTTTATTCAATTGCCAAGGGAGACGGTGTTGTCGCAAATAAGAAGCTTGCAATTGCACAAGCGTTAATCCTAGATGGTAGCTGTTTATGCATAATAATTAGTTTTGCTTGTCGATTTGAAATGCTATACAAAAGAAAAAAACTTACGTCGAGGTAGTGTTTTTCTTTAAATAGTTTAGCCAAGTATATTTAGGTTTATTAATGAAGTGATTGTGTAGGGATAAATACTTTAGCAAATATTTAAAGGCAGGTTTTAGACTCAAGATGTAGCTTCCCTTGTTTTTTTAAGGAGAGCACAACTTAATGTTAGATTGTAATTTAAAAAAAAGAGAGAGAGAGAAAGAGAGAGCTTCTCTTTGCTGTTGCATGAATGTGTATTAACCATGTTGATATGTCAAAGGAATTATTTGAAGTAGTAGTACAAGAGTTACACTAAAATAGGGAGAATGTAAGGCAAAGAGTACAATCTAATATAGATTCAAACATTTTGGTACGATCAAGAAGAAACAATATTCATTAAGGATTAAGAGTACAACCTATATTATGTCATTTAAATAAATATATTGACGACACAATAAATTCTGGGTTGGATTAGAGGAATGACAAGCGTTACATAGGATGAACAATAGACCCATCGTCATAAAGTTTAAAACGCCTGTCTATTTTTATTTCTTCTGACCAAGAAAAAGTTTTGGCCAAGAAGTACAGTGTATCTTCTCATGCCATAAGGCATCTTTGTTGACTGATCGATATTCAACGCCAACACAAGTATACACAGTTGAATAACATTTCTTTTTTTGACACCATGATAAAGAGAAAAAAAAACTTGCAGTGGTTACTCAAAATTGTAAGTTACCTTTTTTGGGGCTTGTCAGATGAAAGAATGGCTATGTCAAGTCCTTCTCTCTTGCTCGCTCTTTTATGCAATGGTATGCCATTGCACATAAAAATTAAAAGATAATGTTGTATACAATATTTAATAATCAAAATACAGGGTATTTAATCAAGATACATTCTCACCTTGTTTACGAAAAAGAAAAGAAAAGGGAAAATGTGTTGTTCTTCAGCCACACCTTAGAACTTTTTTTGTTGTTGTTGTTTTTCTTGGTTATTTCTATTATGGATTTAATCAATACTTGGTATCGACAAATAACGTAAATACCAACGAGATAAAATGACAGCATGTAACATGGAGAATGAAATTATATGAAGCCATGAAAGATTAGAAATGGAGCTTCATATTATTTATATTTCTTGCTTTAAAAGGCAAGTGCAAAAAAAACTATATTAAAGATCGAGTTTAATTATCTCTTTCTTTTCTTCTTCTTCTGTATTCTTTTCTCTCTCTTAATAGAATGATAGGCAAACAAAAGCTAGCAACAGTGTTTCTGACAACACCTGTGCTATTTGTCTTATTTGGCTGTTGTCTAATACTTGCAGCAATTCATTATGTTATATTCTTTTTCAAGTCAGCGGAATCGCTTTCCAGCAAGATGCAGAAATTGATTGTTCAAATACACTGCTTGTTATTAAAAAAGGTACAAAAAACGCATATAATTAATGTGCCTGAAGTTTCTAATTTTATGTCTTGTATATAGTCAGTGACAAGAGTGTTAGACCATTATCTACATTTAAAGCAATTCGGCTACTCGTGCCTTCATCAATTTAATTTAATTGCCAACAAGAAAGGAGACACTAATATTATCCCAGACACTTTGTATTCCGAGGTTCAAACCCCAGAAAATAGCAACAGTGTTCAGCCAGTTGATAAAGAACAACCAAAGAAGAATCATGCCAGCGCTATGCTCACCAACAATAATGCATCGGAGAACCTAAAAAGCAAATATAATAAACAAATAATTAAAAATAATCAAGCCTCCTTGAATCAGCATCAACATAAAAATACGGACGAGAAAAACAAAGAGAACGGTGCTTCTTTCTCTTCCACCTCGATGACTCATAAAGATGACTGGATCCTTGTCAACGCAAACAAAAAACACAAAAAAGTTATCGCCGTTGAACAATCACCAAAAGCGTCCACCAAGTCTAGCAAAAAAAAGAAAAGAGCTAACAAAAAGACACACTCTGAAAGACAAATCACCACAAAGCCATCTTCTCTAGACAACAGCACTGTCTCGTGGTCTAGTGTCGCAAGTAGCAAACATGAATATAAAGAACTCAAAGAAACTGGAGAACCAAATGACATGGATGTACCTTGTCTAAGTGATAGCGATAGTATTGCTACCAGTAGCCCTTCTGGATCTCCATGTTTATCAAGCTCACATTTACTGCCGCCTTTTGAAGAAGAAATTCAAATGAAGTACTATTCTCCATTTTCTTCAGGTTTTGATTTTGGTGCTTCTTTTCAACAACCACAACAACCACACAAAAGGTCTTTGTTAGACTTGTTAAACCAAACAGATCATGTCAAGACAACAATCACAGCCAATTCTTTTAAATATTTTGACGATATGATGATGTCCACTTCTTTATACAAAACAAATCAGGAACCTAAACTTGATCCTCTTATGATCAAGATCAAACGAGATTGGAATTCTATTCCTTATTGCACATAATTCCCCCACTTTTCCTCCCTTTTTTTTTTCGAGAAGAAAAACCCATACCCTTTCATTTTCTCTTTTTCTCTCTTGCTGTTTATACTCCACAAACAAATAAACTTAATATGTGATTAATGCAAAAAATTTATGGTGTTGTATTATCTCTAACTTTTTCAAACTCTAAACGCTTCAAGGCACGGTCTGCTTCTTTGATACACTCTGGTTGTTTGAAATCTTTACCGTGTTGCTTGGCACTTTGATAAAATTGCTCGGCTTTTGCTTTGTCTTTTGTTTGCTATATAAAAGCGTGAGTGACTCTCAATTTCCATGCATTTCCATTACCTCAAACAACATGCCCATATTGAATAGCAAAACACCACATGTTTCATCACACACTTGACCGTCTTTGTTTATCTTGGGAGTATTAGGATTGCGAGCCAAATCTAAACCTTTTTGACCCCAAGTTTTGGCTTCTTCAAATTGGCCCAGACCAGAATAGGCTTCAGCCAAGTTGTTCATCAATACGCTTGCTTGACAAGACTCCATACCAGTCAATGACAATGCTCTTAAATAAAGATGGATAGCTAGCCTTTATATAACGATCGTTAGTAAACAATAACTTCTTTTTATGGTATTACCCTGGCTTGTTTTGCGCTGCATAAAACCCACCCAGGGCTTCTAAAGCACCGCCCACATCTGTCTTTGTTAGCCAATCAGGCATATGTTCTTGATCAAACACAACTTCTGTTGTATCACCATAAGCAGATACAGGCTTCGAAGAAGATTTCAACAGGTGTTCTACAGACCAGACATACCATTTCTCGGCTTCATCATCTCGTTTCATCAAAGCAGTAATATCACCCAGTTTCTGTGCAATGCCAATCATCTTTTTTTGTTCCATAGGCGAAAATGAAGAGATGTCCAACCCTTGTGCAATCTTCTCCATCATGTCCTTGTCTGTCTCGTCGTGTAAGTTGAGTGAATGGCGCAAAGCCATTATCAATGTCTGTCTGGCTTCAGGTAATCGACCGAGCTTTTCTTGTAGAGCGCCTAATTGGATCATAATACCCGTCAAAGGAGCTCCATTCTTTTCAATTTCAGATGACTCGAGTGCAAGGCTCAATGCTTCTTTAAAGTATTTGAGTGCTAAGGACATGTCTTTGTTTTGTTGGTAATAGAGTGCTTTTCGAAGTGCTTGTCTGATAGGTTGAGGAAAATTCTGAATATCGGATGTCAAGTGCTCATAGAGTCCAATACCGAGACAAATAAAACCTACACTGATAAGAGCAACGGGTAGTGGTGGAATACGGATAAAACGAGGGGCTGGTTTGGGACGTGTATGGGTTGCATAAGAAGCAGTTTGAGGTACTGAACGAGCAACTGCTCTGTTATACCCAAAACGATAATTAGTTGATACAAAAAGTGAACGCGTTCTAAAGAGGTTTCGTAAAGACATGAAAGTATAAAACAAACAAAGAAAGAGAATGAAAGTGAGAGTCAACTAGCATTTAATAAAAGAGTAAAGTGACTGCGACAAAGTGACATGCGTCTTACAGCATTGTTACACATTTGTATGCTTTGACAGCTGTAGGTCATTGTCTTTTTCTAAAACAAATTGTACAAGTTAGACTGTATTTGATTGTTAATTCATGGAACAAACAGGGTCAAGATTTTTTCTATAATAATAGCACTTTACTCCTTGATAAGATTAAATCAATGTTTAAAAGGGGCTTTGTCTGTATGATAAAGCCAAGCTTCTTTATATCAGACGTTGCCCTTTTACTTTTAATTTGAAATAAAGACTGCATTCATATGTTGAATCTTTGGGTATTCAAAACCAGAACATGGTGTCAAGGTGCAAGATTGGGCTTTGCAGTATCAACACTAGCACGTGATTTGTGCTTATTTGGTCTTTTTATTTTCTTGCTTTTTTGGCCCTGACCTCGTTCTCTTTTACTTCTTCTTTTCTTTTATATATCATGCCAGAGACACCAGTAAAACAGTCTCGAAAACCTGTGGGTATGTTACTAGCTTTTATTTTTTGTTTTGACCTTGACTCATCTCTTTATAGACGGTCCCTTTAGACAACAAAAGCTACCTGCTTGGCAACCAGTGCTTACACCTCGAACAGTGATACCTGCGCTGTTTGTGATTGGCGTTGTGTTTATACCTATTGGTGGCTTGCTTTACTGGAATAGCGGCAATGTAAGTAATCATTGTATGTGCTTGAGACTTATAATAAATAGGTGAGCGAACTCATGATTGATTATACCACCTGCAACCAATATACCGAGCCTATTTATTTAGACAGCACAAAATACAGCCTTCAATTCTCGACAGGATTTAATCAGTCAAGTCTAGAATCACCTGCATTTCATGTAGAAAGTGCTTCTGAGTTTCTTGATTCGAGCTGGAAGAATCCAAACAATTTAGTTATTCAACGCTGCATATTGGATTTTACTGTGCCTGAGACAATGACAGGACCTTTGTTTATGTATTATCGTATGACTAACTTTTATCAAAACCATCGACAATATATCAAAAATTATGACGCTACACAATTAAGTGGCGATATTGTGGACCAAAGTACTTTGAATACCAATTGTGGACCTTTGGGTGTAAATCAGGACAATCTTGTTATTTATCCTTGTGGATTAGTAGCTAATTCCATGTTTAATGGTACTGTCTTTCTTAGGATTGTATATGTTATTCATGCATCTATAGACACAGCTTCAGACCTAGTTTCTGTCACATCCAATGCAAGCTATAGTTTTCAACGAACAGGCATTGCATGGCCCACAGACAAGAAAAAATACGGAGTGACAAAGTACAAAAATTCAGAAATTGTACCACCTCCGAACTGGTCTCTTCGTTATCCTGATGGTAAATACACTGATGAGTATCCCGCTCCTGACTTGAGCAATATGGAAAGGTTGATGGTATGGATGCATATGGCAGCCTTGCCTGATTTCAGAAAGATTTGGGGACGCAACGATGTGGATCCATTACAGGCAGGTCGTTGGCGAATTGCTATTGATATGAGTAAGTGGAACAGCATGATTATCTTATCTGATCATAATAGATTTTGATACAACCATCTATGGTGGTAACAAATGGCTTGTGATTTCGACAACTTCACCTTTAGGTGGGCGTAATCCTCGTTTGGGTATTGGCTATATTGCCATTGGTGTTATTTCTATCTTTTTTGGTATTTTGTTTGCACTTCGCCATTGCTTTAAGCCTAGGTAAAAAAGAAAAAGAAAAAAAAACCCCCTTTGTGTACTTAATTTTTTTCTAGAAAACTCGGTGATCAATCTTATCTTTCATGGAATCAGCCTGGCGGTGGTCTTCCTGCCACTAAGCGAATTAAAAAGACCTTACATCAAAACTAAAATAAATGTACGGTTTTATTGTTTTTTTTCTTTAATCATCCCAATCACTTCCATCATCACTATCTGAATCATCGTCAGATTGAATGGCCTTCTTTCGGTCATTCAATGCTGCTAATAAGCTTGTGGCTAAATCACCACCAGCAGCACCACCAGCACCAACAGCAGCTCCTGAGGCTGCATTACTGAGTGGATTACTACGGTCTCTACGTGCTTCTGCAGGTGTGGATCTTAAGGAGGAAATACCGCCAGCACCACGGATGGCATCTAAAAGAGCATTACGAGAGTCATTGACAACGGGCAAAGAAGATGATCCAGGAGCGGGAGAACCAGCCATAGGAGGAGGAGGAGGAGGAGGGGGAGGAGGACCACCAGAGCCCATGGTAGGAGGCATAGGGGGAGGAGGAGGAGGAGGAGGAGGACCACCAGAGCCCATGGTAGGAGGCATAGGGGGAGGGGGAGGGGGAGGGGGAGGGGGAGGAGCGCCAGAGCTCATGGTGGGGGGCATGGGAGGAGGAGGAGGGGGCATTGTGTTAGGACGAGGTGCCATAGGTGGTGGAGGAGGTCCTCGTTTATCACGATTAGGCAATGGAGGAGGAGGTGGAGGCACTGATCGATTGCTTATTGGTGGAGGCATGGGAGGCAAAGGTGGGGCATTGGTCTGTGGTGCAGGTGGAGGAGTAGCTAATGGTGCTTCCGGAGCATCATAAAATTCATCGTCTTCTGCACGGTTGTATCCTATCTCCTCTTGTTGATATCTCATTTGATTAGCTCCCATAGGTGGAAGTGGGGGAGCACCAGCATTCATAGGAGGCATTGGTGGAGGTGGAGGTGGAGGAGGAAGTGGAAGAGCTCCGCTATCCATCATGGGTGGCATGGGAGGTGGAGGAGGCACAAATGGTGATGTATCAAATTCTTGTTGTGGAGTAGAGAATTGTTCTTGCTGAGAAACCATTTTATATGGATTGTTTGATTTTGTGGTAGTAGCAGTAGTAGTAGGAGGAGGAGGAGGAGGAGGAGGAATTGAGCGGCTAGGAGGGCTTTCCGTGTGTGGTCTGTGAGGTACAGGAGGAAGTACAGGTGGCGGAATACTAGGAGGTTGTGCTGAAGGATAAGGAATAGGTGGAGGAAGTGGAGGCGCAACAGTCGAAGGTTGATAATGCATTGTTTCTTGCTCTTGAGCATCATGGTAAGTTGTTGGTTGTGGACGAGCAGGCGGGGGAGGTGGTCTAGGCGCAGTAACAGATCTTGTTGGAGGAGGAGGTGGCGCTGATCTTCTGCTAGGTGGAGGAGGTGGAGGCGGTCTACGACCTAATGTAAATAATTAGATGACAGATACGATAAAAAAGAAATCACTATCATATATACCTCCAACAGGCGGTGGTGGTGGTGCTGCTCTTCTTGAAGGTGGAGGTGGAGGTGCACGATTCATGCGAGTAGAACCACCTGTTGCCATAGAACTCACTGGTCTTTTTGGAGGTGGAGGTGGGCCACCTCTTTCATTAACAAATTCCTTAATAAAGTCTTCATTTTCATGAATTTCTTCTGGTGAAATGCCAAGGTCCTTCAATTGATCAAATAAACCATTCCATTCAGGGCTTGTGTTTTGTACACTAAATCCTTTGTTTGGTGTGTAACCAATATGGCCTAAATGCCTATTTAAACAATCAACAATGTGTGCTTTTTTTTTATTTTTTTTTTGACGTACCTGAATTCTGAAGGCAGGCCAATCTGAGATTTATCTAGTTTTCCTCTAGGCTTTTTGCCATTGGATTCTAAATAAACAGGTGATACAATAAGTATACAGAGTGAACATTGCATCATTTGTTATACCTTTCTTTTTATTCTTTGCACTACTCTTTGTTATTTCTCTTGTAGTGATCTTTGTATAAAATATATTGGCATCATCCTCATCTGCAAATGATAAGCCTGCCATATATTCCTATTGTAGACATAAGAACGTGTCTAGCTCATTTTTTTTCTATCTTACATCTGTAGCAAACGAGAAAAAGAAAGGCGTATGTTTTGCCACTTCAAATCCATCATACAGCTCTTGCTCCCAAATAATGCCCCTATGATTCTATAGAATACATGAATTAAATGCAAAACAATTGAGTTGTTCCTACAATCAAGTCTATAATTCGAATATAATAGGAGTGTTTTTTCTTGTCTTTCAGAAAAGCAACAGCTCCCCATATATTAGAATAAGCCCATTTGTTTGGATTAGGATAAGCTACATAGAGACGAGCTACTGTAGCCGCATAAATTTTCTATTTCAGAGAATAAGAAAAACCTTTTGTTTTTTATATTGTTTTGTCCTATTTACAGCTGTTGGTAAAGCACGCCTAACTTTGTTCTTATCTTCTGCAGTCGATAAAGCGAGTGAAGGCATAAAAAAGATGAGCAAGGAAAAGAAAGAAAGAAAAAAAAAAAAAGAGAAAAAGAGCTCTCTGGGATGTACAATTACTTATTTTAGTTGAGTGCAAACGACTCGTTTTGAACTACCGAAATGCAGTGAGACGGCCATTAAAGACACCAACCCAAAAACCAATCACAGAACGAACCCTGATGACGAAGTTACTTGAAAAAATTAACCGTCAACATAGTTCAGTTCATTGTTTAGTTGCTTATGGTACAAATTTGAATGCTTTTCAATAGCCATAGATAGGCTTAATTAAAACTTGACGTTAAACAAGGATAATAGCTTTAGAGATGCTTGATTAACAAATGCTCTTATTTTTAGTTTTAAACTCTTGATTGAAATTCATAGTTTTAACCTAAGTATGCTAAACCATGGAGTAACATTAGCGTATGCCTCCACTCTATCTAAAATGCCTCTTTGTAGACACAACCAGCTTTAATCTTCATACAATAGCATGTTCCGTTTGGAATTATGCTTATTCGCATACTATTGCACTCATTTGAATTATAAATAAACACATGAATGTCTTTCTGAATTTTACTGAACCATTGTCTGTACTTGACATGACAGCAGTTTGTTCATTCATGTTTGAAAAGTTAAATGAAACAGATGAACAATGCGTTTCGTTGATGTAAAGTTATATGTGACTTAATTTCTTTCTTTAGTAAGCCACACAAGTTTACCCCCGACTCAAAAGTTCCCCTTGTCAGCCATTCGCTTTGGTTACTTTACCCTTTGATTACACTGTCAAATGTTGCGCACTTTTACTAAATCAACATCACTTTTGACAAAGCCTCTTGCTTCTACCAAAACAGGTATGTGTATCTATAAAATACATAAGCACAAGTATATTTATGCCTTTTGTTAGCCACTCGCGCTTTTACTGCTTCTATTCACAGTCCATCTATTTACAACACTGAGAATGATCAACAAACAGCTCCTATTGTCGCTCTTGGAGCACGTCTTGGACTTCAACTCGATACTGCTCTTCTTAAACAAGCACTCACTCACAAATCAGTTACCGATGCCAACCATAATGCCAGCTTAGAATATATTGGTAAAAGAGTCGTTGGTCTCTTTGCTACTGAGCACTTGCATTGCAAATATCCTTCTTTACATCCTGAAGCATTTGGCACAGCTCTTGGTGCTTATGTTGGAAATAAGTCTATTGCCAAACTAGCTTCTGAAGTTGGTTTGCAACACACAATTCAATGGAAGGCACCAGAAGACAACAGTGTTAAATTGGGCCACAGTACAGTAATGGCTGATTGTATGAATGCTTTAATTGGTGCTGTCTATCAATCTCAGGGACAAGAAGCAGCCAAGAAGTTTGTGCATGATTTTATCTTGTCCCGTGATTATGATATTCGACCTAGCATTAAAGTAAAGGAACCCAAGCGTCATTTAACAGCCTTATTGAAGCAATTAAACAAGAAGCCTGCTGTTTCTCGATTGCTTTCAGAAACAGGTCGTGCTTCTTCAGCTCCTGTGTTTGTCGTTGGTGTCTTTTCTGAAGACGAAAAGTTAGGCGAAGGATTTGGTAGTTCTCTAAAGATGGCTGAATTCCGGGTAAGTTTGTTTGTATCTATATACTTTGTTAACATAATGTAGGCATGTCAAGATGCTTTAGTGTCCTTTTACGGTAAAGAACAGAAACATTTCACATTGCCTTCAGATGCCGAAAATGTAGATAAATACACGCCTAGTCCTTTGGGAAACACACAAGCTATTGTTTAAACCTGTCTACATTTTTTTTTTTATTCAGTTCAATTTTTAGATGCACTTGTAGATGATAATATGAAAAATAAACTGTATGTTAATTGTATTGAAAGCAAATTCATTTTTATTTTTATTTTTTTGAACAGCGCTATCTTATTTTGCTGCAAAATAGACACCTTCCTATGATCTATGTTAGCCATGAAAATATTACACATACACTTTACCTGTGCCATCCACTGTGTGTTTTTGGATGCACTCTTAGATGCAGCTACTTCAAGTTGACCAGGAATAGGTTGACCAAATTGATAGTTAGTAGAACTGCTTAGATAAGCAGAGGTATCTTCATGCAACAATTGAACTGGTTCTTCTCGTAACCATGATTTTTTATCACCTGTCAAACACTCTACACGCCAATTATCGCCTGTGTCTTTGCCGTCATAGCAACTGACTTCTTGTTGTCGAGAAAGTGGCGATTGATGTTGGTGACTATGAAGATAGCCTTGTGTATTAGGATGTCTCAGGCGAATCGAAGACCCACAAGGGACAATTTCTCTGTCAGCATGCGTTAGTATGTACTATAGCCTTTATATCTTACCCTCTCTTGCATGACTTGCCAGATGCTGCTTCAATAATCCAAAAACTGTTGGCATCATCTGTATTAGGGAAACAAGTAACTGATTGTTGACCAGATCCACTACCTTTTTTTTATGATTATCATGACACTTTTTGTTATTCTAGTTTTACCATAAGTTACGCCATGAGAATGTAATTTATATCCACTGGCTTTGTTGGTCAGTTTAATGGTGCTTCCACAAGTTACGTGTTCGAAACCTATGTCAAGAGCATAAGACTAATTATTTGTTTTCTTATTTATGCTTGCCTTCTTCTATTTCAGGGACTTCATTAGATGCCAATAAGACAGGCAAAAAGGCAAGATTGAACAAAGCGAATGCAAGTTTCATTAGAAGAGAAAAAAAGCAATGGATATGTAGAACATGATGATTGGCTGAGCTTTATATCCCATATCGGGCACACATTTCGTACAAGGCATACAAGAACTTTAGAAGAAGTGTTTTCATCAACAAGAAGTCGTCAAGTCCCATATAAAGTAAATAAGCTTCTTAGGTTCATCATAAAGAGTGCTTATGTGAGTTAGTAAGATGTACAAATAAGGAGCGTGAATTTTGCTTGATTTTTCAAATTTAATTCTTCTTTATGCCTATCAAACTACCTTTGGAAATTGTTGAGCGCATTGTTCGTTTTCTACCAAACAATGACCTTATCCAGTGTTTATTGGCATGTAAAGTGTATTATGTTTCATTCTATCCTGCCCTTGTCCGGTCAGTTACTATTCAACATAAAAGAAAACTAAAGCAGTTCTTTTGTATTCTCGTTCAACACAATCTTGGACTCTATGTTCGCGAACTCTATCTAAAGAATCGTGTAGGCATCACTAAACAAGATTTTGAGTTTCTCAGTCAACATTGTCCCTATGTAGAGATTCTCAAATTCAACGATTGGCGGCATTGTACACGATCGACACTCGCTTCATTCAAACAACTCAAACAACTAGCCAAGATATACGATACACCGAAAGCAAGTGAAGTCCTTTTAGATGCAGGGTCTACCCTTACTCATCTTGAATTATCGCAGAGAGTTGTTCGTGCACTAACAGTAACTCATACATTACTGCCATTGCTGTCATTGGGTACTCAATTGACTCATTTGACATTGGATGGATACTTTAGCCCTAGTATGCGTGAAGAGCAGTTAAACTTCGATCATGTTCATTGGGACACACTACATCGAGCATGTCCTCATCTTGTGTATATACAGATGCTGACAGTTCATCTAACAGCCACTTTGCCACAAGTGAAGCACATGACAGAAAACATAGATGTAGTCGATCGCATAAAGACACTCATCTTAAGTGACTTGTGTCTTGATCATCCTGTCTGGCTCATCTATCTTGCTATCAAATACCCTCAATTGACTACGCTTGAACTTCGGTTTGAACTCACTGCTTTTACAAACTACGATGAATCTGAAGAGAAACTGAGTAGGGCCGGGTGTTCGGCTGCTTTCTTGGGCATGGCCAATCAATTGACTCAACTAAAGACGCTTAGTCTGCAGGGCCTAAAGGATTCTCATTTCCCCGGTGTATTGTTCTTTGATACATTGGCACAGAAAGCCATTCAATTGCAAGACCTGATCATTCGATACAATACAGACATCTTTTTACAGCATGGATTGAATGAGCGCGTTTTATCTGCCATTGTGGCCGGACAATCTCATTCAATCAAGTCTATTCATATGGATATGTGGGTCAAGGCGCATGATCACTTTTTTGACTTCTTGAGACCATTGTCATTGTGTAGCCAACTCGTAGATCTTTCACTGGCCAGTGATGAATTTGGCAAGTTTAACTTCAATCCTATTCCAATCGACATGATTCTGGATATGTGTGTACATTTAAAAAAACTGGAATTGATCAGAACAGCACTTGTGATTGAAGACAAGCACACAGTCAAGCGAACTCACCCATTGAAATCGTTGCGCATCGCTATTTCAAGAGTGTCTGAAGCACTCTTTTGTTATCTCACCAGACGATGTCCCTCTATCAGTCACTTGGAAGTAGTCACAAGCTATTGGATGCCTCGAGAAATCCAGATGAGGATTGATATGCCAAATAACCAATTTGATTATGTGCGTATTTCTGATCTCAACAAACTCAACGTTCCTTGTCTTGAAGGCAACCTTAGCTTTGGTACTTCTGTCAACCTGTTTGGCGTGCATCAATTGGATCTTATTGATAAACAGAAAGCACGTTATGAGCAAAAAGGGAAACAAGTTCAGCAAGATTTAACAAGTTGGTATCATTTGTATGAAATAGAAGATCAAAGACGCCTAAGGTATCCTCCTTGTTTTATAAGAAGACTCCATCCAGAAGAAGTCAAATCATTCAAATACTTGGTCAAGTTTTATCAAGAAAATTATTATCGAGAACAGCCCGGTACAACAGGCTTTATTGTGGATCGGTATGTGTCCAAAAAGGATTGGAGAGATGATGTGCGGTTTGGACACGTTCTTTTAACATGTAAATCTGTAAAGATATTTAAATACAATTACAATGTTATTGATTGGTCGAAGAAATAAAAATCCATTTGCATCCATTGTTTGTGTGAAAACACACTCATGCCGCAAAACTGAATACAATAACAAACAAACAAACATACAACCAAGAAACAAAACTTCTTTATATAATAGTGAGACACTAACCAACATTGTTTTCTTTTGTTTTTCGCTTCTTCTTTTTTCCTTCATTTTGAAATAAGATAATAATTACATGTTATCTTCATCTCAGCAGTGTTACACCAAGCAACACTTTGTTTTCCTTTTAATAAAAAAGAAATGCCAAGAGAATACATATTTGTAGCTTTTTTTTCATGTCAATCCAAGACTAATTTTCTTTCTTTCTTTTTTGTATTCCACAAAAAGTCATTGGTACTATCTCAGTTACACATCCCTTCATACTTGCATGTACTGAATATGACAGGAAAAAAAAGGGTCACTTTACTATTCAGTTACCGATAAAAAGGGTCTAGTCCCTTATTTTGCTTTTTTATACGTCTATTTTGTAAATACAAAAGAGTCACACTGCATAACATATATATCACTTGAATCAATGTAAATTGTATAGGTAAGAATAACTAAAAAGGAAACTACTCGACTTTAAAAAGCGGTTCCGAAGAATTCCCTTTTGAAGTGATTGACGGTAATTTTGATTAAAAGAGCGTGTGAAGTTGAATGATAATAGCGCGGAAAGAAATAACGTGTACTTATAATCTGATTGGGTAACAAATGATTAAAAAAAATAGCTGATTAGTTATCATCGCTTTTTTCCTTTCTAAAAAAGAGATCTTCCATTATAGTCAGTTTAGATGCCACATCAACATCAATGTGTCAATCAGGATAATTCAGAAAGTTTCTTTCTGTTATTTTAAACTGTACAACCTATTAGGCAACTTGTCTTTATTTGTACCACTACGATAGTAATAGATGGAGAATGGGTAGATAAGTGTAAAATCAACGTTACATTTTTTTGAATGTGTTTCTACGTACGCATAATAACTTATCAAAATAAAATAAAAAAAAAAACGAATGATGCTGGGAATTTTCCAAGGTGCTTTAAGGTTTTTTTCTTTTTTGTGAAATGTTGTTTCTCTTTCTACTATAAGAAACACAGATAATTATTTAATAATTTCTGTAGTAATGATGATAGAGTTGCAAAAAAAAAAAAAAAAAAAAAGGTGAAGAAAAAAAAGTAACTAAATCTGGTAAACAGTTTGGGAGTTTAGTAGTGAAACACATAGAGAAACCTCATACAGTGCCCTTTTCTCAAAAAAAAAAAAAAAAAAAAAGAGAAACTCTTTTTTTTCTTGTGTGATTTTTCTTTTTCTCTCTCTCTTTTCTTTATTTCTTTTTGCTTTTTCTTTAATTCCAATTTTTTCTTTATGTGTGTTTGATAGTCATGGCCACTGTAAAAATAGAAAATCAACAACACAACAACAGAGCAATCAAAGGTTGGAAATTCATACAATTCTATAAATTTCTTGTAATTTACACAGCCTTTTTATAGTCAAAGTATTCTATACATTACGTGGATCAAAATCAACTCGACTCACCAGCTTTCCTCTAAACGATAATGATAATAAAGCGAGCGATTTGTCTTCATTACCCATTCCTTTAAAAACCTGTTTATGGTCTATTTGCTCTTCTAGGTAAAGAGTCTCAACTCCATGTGATATGCAACCTTAAAACTTACAACCATCATTTAAACATTCATTTTATAGCCCTGATATCATATGTAGGGATCATGACTTGTCTATCTATACCGCCAATTTCCAAGAATCAGGGCTTGGTCTAAGCGAGCCACAAGAGAACCTCAAGCGCGATTCTTTTATATGGGAAGGCCATGGTCTATTGACTTGGATCATGGACCAGTCAAAAGAAGAATTGTTTATTTATGGAAAGCCGTCTTATGAAACAGATCCTTGCCTTCAAGTCTATTTGGAATTACAACCCGTAAGGTCAAATATGAGATAGATTTAAATGACTCACTTCTATTTAGACAATGAAATGGCAAAAAGAAGACTTTTTTTCTGCACTAAAAACAAAATCATTTGAACAATTTAAGACATCTTCACAATCACCTAGTCACCCAATATGTAATTGCTATTCTACTTTGGAAGATCAATATTTGAGAAATCCACCTGTATCACCACCTCCTTCCTCTCATTTCAAAACAAGTGACACTGAATTCGACCGGTATTTACGACATCGAAATCAAGATGGAGATAATGCTAGTCCACCACTGCCTTCCCGACTACCTTCTTTATCATCTTCTGTACCAGTATTTCGCCCAGAACCGATTTTCCCATCTTCATCTCCTTCATCTTCAGCAACACCATCCAGTAATACGAATGACTTTATCAAAAAGCGACCCCGTTTATCTTCCCCTACAAAAGCTTACTATAACAACACGACTGATGACCAACATCACCCACATTACCATAGTGATATGACATTGCCCATTCCTTCCATGTCTTATTCCAAAAAGCCAGACACAAGCAGAAGATCAGCATTTACAGTAGCTTCAGTTGATAAAGAACAATACCGTTATTTGCCTTCTAATTCAACTTCGTCCAATTCTTCTTCTGGTTCACCACCGCCAGCATCGATGTCCCATTATAACGATCAACAAAACGATCATACCATGATACCAGTCATTTATGCTCCTAGTAATAAGAAGAGAAAAAAGAATCTTGCTATTATGCCAGCATCAGAACCATCAGAAAATGAATTGATCTATCCTAAACAACAACAACAACAACAACAACAACAACAACAACAACAACAACAACAACAGTCACAACAACAGCAGCAAGTCAACACGATTGTTCGTACTTATTATGAAGTAGACAAAGATAATAAGGGTGATTATATCTTGCCTGTTGAAATTGATTCTTGGACAGTTGTCGATCTTGGTACAGTTATTTATGACAGACCTGCCTATCATAACCAACGCTACATTTACCCTGCGAATTATACAGTGCGCAAGTAAGGTTGACCCAATAAGATGGAATGGCGCTAATCTCATTTTATTTATAGATGGTACAGAAGTATGATCGATCCTAAAAGTGATACGCAGTACACTTGTCGAATTTTAGAGAACGGAAGAGAACCCAAATTTGAAGTAACAGCTGATGATTGCCCAATGACGTATTCCGGGCCTACGCCTACAACCGTTTGGACAATCATTGTTAGGTACTGTTGTGTATGTTGTCTATATATATCAACTGATTTTATGTATAGACGTGCTTTTGCTATCAGAAACCAAGAATATGGACATAATCCTGTTGGTCCAGATTTCTTTGGACTAAGAAAGAATACGATTGCTAAAATGATACAAGATTTACCAAATGCATCCAAATGCTCGCAATATGTTTGGCAAACATTTGAACCTGCTCGGTTTAATAAACCAGGGCGTAACAGACGCAGAGCAGATTCCTCCTTACCGGGCTCTTTATTGGGTGGCGTCAATTATGGATTGACCAGTAGTCGATTAATGCACAATACAAATTTAGCCCCTACTCAGCAATCTTATCATAGAAACAATGCTAGTGATAACCAAGACAATGAAAAAGAAGACAGCATGCATCCTCGTGATTCTAAACCTATAGAGACTGCTTAATCTTTTTCTTAAAAACATTCCTTATTTTCTTTTATGTATTTGATTGCTATTTATTATGTCTACATTCGTTTTATTATTATAATATATAAATATGTGTAAGCGATACCGTTGTGAAAAAAATCAAATAACTGAGTCACACAATAATTTCAAACTTTATCCACTTTAAGATTCTCTCTAAAATGACAAAACAAGTAGGGTCACACAAATTCAAGAGCGATAATGACAATATTCAAATGAACTAGTTTCTATAGTACAAGATGCACCTAGAGATAAAAAAGGAATTGTTTGTCACATTCATTTCTATTCGAACTGATTTTTTTTTTTTATAAAAAGGTACATGTACAGTATTTTCGGTTATATTTGCAAAGGTTATCATCTATAACACTATCACGAAAAAAAAGGAGCACAATGCTTCAAACTTGGCGTCAAATGTACAACTCCATTTGCTTTTTGTCTGTTTATTCACTACAGATACACATAATAGAGAGTTTTATTTAGTTGACTTGGTTCATTTTTTTTTCTTTTTGACATGTCGTAAATTAAGTGGCTGACAAAAAAAAAGATCACATCCTTCTAGTATTGCTCTTTTTTTCTACATCCAATTATCACTCAATCAGTCAAAAATATATATTACAAATCCACTTTCCCATTTTCGATACAACTTGGCGTCTAAAGACTTCAATGCAAGCGCTCAGACACCAAGGAGTACAAAGAGTTACTTAGTATATTACACCTGTATTGAAGCAATGTTCCAAAAGTTTAGCGGTAGGGGAAATGCACGATATGTAAATGGTATGGGTTGTGATATATACAACCAAGAGCGTTTAGTTATGGAATCGTCTGGTGGATCAATCAAGGAAAACATCCAGCACACAAGCAATGATACATTGAAGCAAATGCATAGTTCCATTGGCATTTTAAACTCTGATATAACGCATAAAATGGCAAGCTTTATCATTATGAAAAAATCATTGGCTATTAGGATACGACTTGTAAAAACTACGATAACTTCAGCAACGGCTTTCAATCAAAACGGAAATGGCTTTTTACTAAGGGATAGAAACTTGCGACATCCCAACTTGCTACGAAAATTGAACAAGGTGGTTACGAGTATCTGATTTAATATCAAATTTAATGGGTATTTTAAAAGAGTAAAATATCATGTATAATAAGTTGAAGGTTGAGCATGATGGAGTGATTGAAGTTGATGGAGATAGCTCTTCTCTTGTCTGTTCCAAAACGGTCGAAGAGTTAGCATCAAACAATCGGATCAAAAAGGCGATATGGACATGAAAAAGCTTTTTTTTTTTTTTTTTTTTTTTTTTTGATTTCGCTTTTCCTTTTTGTGCAGATGTACTACCTGAAAGAATTGTCCCATTACTATCATTGAGCTGGTTTAAAACTTTATGAACACAGTTTGTAGAGGTATGCCACAAGCTTCTGCCACTTTTGATATAGTGGCCCCTGTTTCCTGTAATATGTGTATAAAGCGTATCATTTGCTCAGGCCCATACTTTTTATATGTTTTGATTTTAGTAATAGTCATCTCTTCCAGCTCTAAAACCATTTCCTCCATTTTTTCCTATTCTGCACTCTGAAAAATATCTTCTACGAGGTACTCATTTCCCCTAAGCATCTCTATTCCCTCAGTCATAAAATCATTGTAGTCTTCGTCTGGAATATAGTTAACGCAATCCATTTTTAAACAGCCTATTTCTAAAAAAAAAAAAAAAAAAAACTACCTGTTTTTCTAAACTAAAAGAGGTTCGTTCTCAAATTTTTTGAAGACTTCCTAAAAATAAAATATAATTTTCAAAAGAAACTTCAATTGGTAACCGAAAATACTGTATCTTTGTTTTGAGAACCCGCATATTGAACATGCTGTCATTTTTTTGGATGATAGTGGTACAAATATCTGGTTACAAATCAAGTCTTTTCGGATGACTATTAATAAGGAAAGGATTAATGAGATGTGGGTCAAAGCAAGTTTGTATTTTTGGGAAAAAAGGTGCCTCAGGTCAAGTGATAAGAGCACTAACCTCTTCAATGTATTCATTTGACATAAGTCCCAGAGTAAGGGTTACACCAAAAATATGTTTTCTTCATGATCTTTTAATGTGCTACAGACATTGAACTGATAAAGATAAAGTTAAATATATAATTTGTCTTTGTGATATAGGCCGAGAGAATGACATCAATTGTAAGACATACTATGGAACAGTGACACAAGTATGCATGTCTCTGTTCATTATGTAATAAGTTCTCTTTGTATACAACAAAAAGATTATCTCGAAAGAGAATGACCAAAAAGTCAAATTAGGACATGAAAAATTAGAAATAAGGAATCTGTTCATTGCTTGAGCTCTATTAAATGTATGTATACTGTAGGGAAGCTGTGACATAAAAGTAGATAAACGATAACAAGTAATGTTTGTATTGTTTTCTAGAGCCCAATTTAGAATCAAAACAAACATATAAGGTTGGTTGGATTCACATCCAAAACGCATCCGTTTCAACAGTCTGTTTGTGGAGTAATGGCTCATTAAAGAATGGCAACTGTATGACTCTTTTTTTAAGCTTTTGCTCGTTATTACTACAGTCAATGCTTCGGTTATTTTTCATGTTACTTAAGTCAGCTATTTTAGATATGCAAGTTTTATTGATGTACCTATTTACAGTCTTTTTGACTTTTTACGTCTTCAGTAGCATCAAAGTATCATACACACAAAAAATGTCTACGGCGGAGACTGAAACCCGAAGCATTTCGATTATCTTGAACATCAGAAACTAAGTTTTTTTTTTTTTTAAAAAAACAAGCTTTTGATGAGAACGCCACGAAGACGTAGTTATTTGGCTTTGATTTACTGAAAAAAATTGTAGATCTAAACTTTTCGATCCTATTGGTATAAAAAATGTACCAGCTTTGCCGCTAAGATATTGGACTAGAGGGCAAAAATGCTTTTACTGTTTTTCGCTCATATCTTATTGTTTTGATAGTACAACTATCAAGCAAACACATTTACCAAGAACTATAGTATTCGACGCGCATTTTGAGTACTTAATCTTGTTAATAACTCTATTTTTCGTCCTGTAGTGTCAAAAAGAAGATCACAAGTTCAAAAAAAAATTTTAAAGTGTTTTATTTATTGCTCCACGTAGACGAATGTAAACTATTGTCAAGAAGTGGGCGCAAATTAAAGTGTTATAATATAAAAAGAAAGAAAATAATTGAGGTAGAAATAGAAGAGGTCAAGTATGGGCTAGATGATTTGGGTCATCTAGTTTATCATCTATCTATTAAAGTCTTGAGTTTATGTGTTTCTCTGCTATTTGTAGCTGCAGATTAACACGAGTTTGTTGCAGTAATCTTTGGGGATCAAATGGTACACGATCAAAGATAGACCTCCAGTGAGCCTTCCAAATTTCTGTTAATACGGCGAAAATTACGTCTTGAACAGTCAGATTGCTCTTTTGACAGTACTTGATAGGACGAAAGTCCAAGGATTGTATTGCCATAATTATATCGTCGATTGTACATCTTGGCCACAGGAATTCAAAAATCAGCTCACGCCAACACAAGTTCAAAAAAGCAAGATTTTCACGACTAATACCCTTTGGTTGAAAGGCATATTTTGACCATTTTACACATGTCGCTTTTTTTTGGCCTAAATCAACACCAAAGGTACCGTGAATGTTAGTAAACACTGCTTGTAGGTATTTGGCAGATTTGACAAAGTGTAAATATACTTTCTGCTCTCTTTGTACGGCTATGCAGTATTAAGTAATAATATGGAAAAGACATTGTTATTTTTGAGTTAGGTCGACTTTTTTATTATCAGAATATCCATATATCTTCTAGAAATATTGATTAAACCGATAATGCAATTACGTTCAGTAAAAAAGCAGACTGATGCCTAGAGATGTGTGTAAAACATGCTATACGTCAAGTATACACTCTCTCATGTAATTTCTTTTCATTATGCAACAGTTTCAATCGCATCAATACAGTTGCTCCTTTCCTCATTTCAACAGCCATAATAGAGCCAAGTAATAAGATTGAGACTCAATTGACTATCTTACGACTGTAGTTTTTTTTTTGAGTTTTGCTTGAGCCAAATACTTCTTTGGTTTTCTTGAAGGACTTTCTATATTACTAAACAATTCATTCAACAATCTATCCAAAATCCTTTTATAACAACTCGACATAGTCAGCACATATTGCTCTCTATATTTTGAGAAAAAACCCCCCCCCCTAGAGTGCATTTTCTTTACATTTGATAGAAACGTAGCCAATTTCTATTATACCGATTTTGACAGAGCATATTTACATATTACTGTAGAATGCACTTCAAATATTTGATCCGAAGAACATTCCATTTTATAAGGCAGGTAAATAGCCTGCGTATCATTGTTTTCTTTACAGCTTCAGGTGTTTCACATTAATATCGATAACTCTATTTTTTTATGCACTCTTGATCAATAGCAACGCTTCAATTACTAAAATTGATTGGTTCTGATCTGGACCTGATTTGAATAAACCTTGTAAAGATCAATTCACTAAAATAAGAAAAATAATATCGATTTATTGGACAATCCTACTGTGGTACAGAAAAAAGCCTTTTTTTATTGATAAAGATAGCAGATTCTACACTTTTTGAATACCTCAAACTTCTACCCTGAGGAGTTTCTATATAATTTTTTTTTCTCTTTTTTTTTTTCTCATCTCGAGTCTTTACAATGTATACAACACTAATCGAGAAACGCCAAGTTCAACACAATGACCGAGATCTTTCGTCATATACTAACCCTAATACGACTGCTGGTAAAGATAGTGATTTTGTATAGCTGTGTTGATTAAGCCCATAATAGCAGAGTGGATCATGTGTGATAATTTAATAGAGAATATGAGCTACAACTGCGAAAAAAGACCTTATATGACGATAGTTTTGATTGTCACTATACTCATTTTTATTATTTTAAGAAAATCATCTTATCTTCATGTAAGTTACTCCCCCCTCCCCCTTTATTGGACTAAACATGAATATTTTATTTAGAATTGGAGCTCATCAACACATCAAAGTCGACTTAAACAACAAGAAGAAGAAGAGGAAGAAGAACAAGTTGGATTAATGCAACGAGTAGTAAGTCTTGTTTGACAGTTTCAAGTGTTAATAACTACTCTAGTTTTAACAACCTCGGCTTAACTGAATTAACACATGATTCAATACCCTTTTCTTATCCCTTCATGCACACACATACGCACACATCCCCCTCACTTTTCATTAATTCACGTCATTTTTTCTATTAGACTATCTTACTTCTCTCGGCGAAGAATAGACAGTGAGAGAGGGAAGAAACAAAGAAAGAGGAGGTTGAATAATTTTTTGTTGAACATCCGCTTAATAAATGTGTATATATTTATACATTTCTATCTTTTCTTTTCTTTTCTTTTTCATTAACCATGCTTCAAGACATTAAGAATAGATTTAAACGCTCAACACCTTCATTAAGATCAATAGAAAGGGAAAAAGCTTCTCTTCCTCAGTACAGTGCTTCCACGCCAGTCTTAAATACAATGGCACCTACTCCACCTCGTCATATCGTTTCGCCCATATCCGCACGAAAGCTCGAAAAATCACCTGTCAACGCGAGCAGTAGTAGTAGCAGCAGCATTAGTAGAAGTAATAGTAGTATACAATTAAATGAATCTCATACTCAACACAATCGAACGAGCCAAAGCTCAGCTACTTCTAGTTCCACTAGTCTCTCTATGCCCCCAACTCCACCTATGACAGGACAAAAACCTCTTCGATACCCCTCCAATGTTAGTTTACCCATCTCCTTCAACAGTGATTACCTTATGAACCATAGCCATCTTAAACCCGGCAATAATGCTGAACTTTTATCTTATGACAAAACCATTAATATGTACCGAGAAAATGCCAAAAAAACCAATGACCCTAATCTTCAATGCGATCTCGCCATTTTTATCTATGAATCATGTAAAAGGAACCAAACTGCCTACATGGCAGAAGCAGTCAAGATGCTCAAGACACTCGCATTACGTGGCCATGCTGAATCTCAGTACTATCTCGCTAATATCTATGCATCCGGAGCCCTGCACAAATCTGGTGAACCTAACTTTAATAACGCATTTCCTTTATTTTTACAAGCTGCCAAACATCAGCACTCAGATGCTGCCTACCGGTAAGTTTATTTGTATTTGATTATTTATGCTCATCCTTTTTAAATAGTGCTGCTAAATGTTATGAAGACGGATTAGGTTGTCTCAAAAATAAGTCAAAAGCTGCACAATATTACAAGTATGAATTGAAACACAGTATAAAAGCGAAACTGTACTAAAAACAAACTTTTTACTAAAATTAGACTCGCATCTACATTAAATCATCCTGGCGCAATGTATAGACTAGGCATTGCAGCTATTCATGGCGATCTTGGCTTACAACGTAACGTAAGAGAAGGTAACAAATGGCTTAAAAGATCTGCCGAATCAGCTACACCCGAATATCCTCATGCACTTCATGAATTTGGCCTATTGCACGAAAAGGGATTGGATGGTATCATTTTTAAAGATCACACTTATTCCGTCAAACTATACAAAAGAGCAGCTGAACTAGGCTATTCACCTTCTGCTTATCGACTTGGTCAATGTTATGAGTATGGCTACCTAGGTTGTCAAAAGAGTGTAGCTACTAGTATATCGTATTATCATATAGCTGCAAGCCAAGGGCATCCTGAAGCGTGTCTTATTCTCTCTGCTTGGTATTTAGCAGGTGATCCTCCACAGTTGGCACCTTCTGAAGACAAGGCGTTTTATTGGGCCAAGATAGCAGCTGAGAAGGGGTTGCCCAAGGCTGAGTTTGCTTTAGGTTATTATGCTCAAGCTGGTATTGGTAGACCTCAAGACCCCCAAGAGGCCATTGCTTGGTATCAAAAAGCAGCCGAACATGGACATAAAGAAGCACAAAAGAGACTAGAAGACTTGAACAAGGCACCAAAGAACAGCACTCCATTAGTGCCATCTTTAGTTGCATAAAATAAAGTTTTATTTCTTTTTTCTAGGAAACCAATATCGCTCTAGACTAGAGGGACTATTATTGCTGGGTTGAGTTGTATTGTTTCCTAATGATTCCATCATATTAAGCACACCAGGCATAATAGATGCTGCACCCATTTGAAATAAACTTTCACCTTCATTACCGTTATGTGCTGTTCGTCCACCTAAGAATGGTGCCACTTCTACTAGACTCCATGTCTCATTTTGATTTGCATGCTCTTTTTCGCTGTCTTTTCGTTCTGGTTCGGATTGGTGTTGATAATGAACCATCACATCGTCTTCATCGTCGCTGTCTAGATAGAGTCCTTCATACTCTTCTTCATATTTTTGTTGAGGTCGCACTTTAAAGTATGCATCGCCCACTTGTGTTTTGATAGTCGTGTCGGATAAAAAAGCATGTTGTAGACTACTGCATCGATATCGCAACGTAGTAGCTCTTAATACTTGTTGGAAATCAATAGGGAAATCTAGATCACGCAAGCCTTGGTAATACAATGCGTGTGATTGGCTGTCAAATGAGTCAGTTACTAGTCTATCCATCTTTATGGTACTCACATGCCTAAGCCAGGTGCACGGCAACAAGCCATTAGACTTTGAAGCGTATTGACTACTTGACTCACTGGTATTTTGACACCTTGTGTATGGCATAGATAGGCCAAGTTGTAATTTAACATGGCCATGCCTACAACGAACCGCTTGAAGTTTTTATCGTCTTCCTCAAGAAACAAGGGAAATTTTCTAAAGAATCATTAGACTAGCTAAAAATACACACTTAGTCTACCTTGTACTGCTCCATATCTGCGTATTAGGCGGAATCATGCGAATATAATGCTGAATGCCTTTCTGAAAAATCATGAATGGTAATTTAATGCCTAAATAACGAACAACAAGGCCAAGCATATGAATGACAAGGCCAATAGGTGCATTCAATTCTTCTTTAGGATATTCTGGTCATTGCTTAGTCAATATACAATGTCAATGAGGGGACTTACTAGAGACATCAATGAGTCTTGTAGGCAATGTAACTCCACAGATATATAAATCATCTTTGCCTTCCATTGGCATCACAGTAGGCTGACTAAAAGGAGGCAATTCTACAGATGATTGTGGTGCAAGAGGACTCTGCAATGCTTGTGATTCTTCTACAACACCTGGTTTCAATTCAAACAAAGAAGTCACTTCTTTGACCAGAATACGTCGTGTGCCCACTGTCATTTTATGCGTCCTTTGCCATGCTTTTAATACTGAACTGGTATCTATATATGAGTCAAAAGAAGCCCTTTTTTTGCTATCTTCTAATAATCTTTGTTTTTCCTTGACTTGTCTCTCAAGTTCTTTTATAAGTTGTCGCTCTATAGACTCAGTTTTAATGTATACTATATATACAAGTCTAGTCTTACTTTTATTGCACTCGTTTGTCAAAGTAAGTTGGTTTTCTCTAATAGTTTCTAAACGTAAAGCTTTATGGTTTTTCTCAGCAATCAGACTTTGTATTGAAGTTGCTTTCTCAAGGAACCTATTGGCCTTTATCACTGCGGCATCCTTTTCTGCAATGAGAAAACCAATCTGTTCATTGTGTTTCTGTAACCTATACGTTGTATAAGCTATATTTAATACACTTTGTTTCTTACTTTTCTTTTATACAGTCTGTACAATAGAATTTACGGTGTGTAGTAAGACAATAATCACAGTTCATAATAAGAAAAGAAAAAGAAAAAAAAGAGGGCCGTTTTTTATGCAACTTTTTTTTTTATATGTGACTTTATAAATAAGAATAATAACTATGGTTTAATATTGTTGACAATCACTACTTGCTTATTCGAAGTACATGCTGCTATTTTATCACCATTCTTGTTAAAATGTACTTCAAATATACCACCATTTGCCTTGAAAGTCTTCTTGAGAGTACCATCCTATCCCTTATTAGTTTATAGCTAATGTCATCACATTTACCTTTGTATCCCACACATTTAACACTTCATCGAAACTACCAGAGGCCAATAAACGAGCATCAGGGCTGAAAGAGATGGAATAGACAGCCTCACTATGATTCTTCAAGACATGAAGACAAGTGCCTTTAAGTGCATCCCAAAGACGCACAGTAGCATCAAAACTAGCTGTAGCAAGTATTCTCGGTGAATTATTCGAATAGGGTGCCCATTGTATTGTGTAGATCTGTAGGCTGTGTCCTTTAATCTCTCGAACAGGCTCATCTGAGGACATGCTCCAGATCTTGGTAGTCATATCATCTGAACAAGAAGCCAAATACTGACCAGAAGGGTCCCAGCGGACAGCATTGACTTCATCTTCATGGCCTACCCATTTCTTAAGTGGTTTTGTTGATCCTACTTTACAGACATAGATCGTTTTATCAGAAGAACATGAAGCAAATGTTGTGTTATCCATCCAATCGACGTCCAAAATAGCCACTATGATTGTTATCAACGAAATAAGCAATAAGATACTTACAGCTATGGATATCAAATTGTTGTTTCATTTCGCCTGTTTCAGGATCCCAAACAATGGTTGTTGTGTCTGCACTACCACTCAATACGAGATCACCTCGCATATTCCATTTTAAAGAGAAAATAGGTCCACTATGATGTCCCATCACAAATCGCAATTGTCCCTTTTGAGTCCAAATTCTTGCTTGTCCATCATATGATCCAGTAACTAATAATGTTCCGGATGGCTATAGAGAAAAGAATAAATAAGTAAATAAAGAAACAGGGTAGTATGGTCATCTTACATTCCAATCAAGTGTAGTAACATCCTTATTGTCATTCAAGTTGGGCAAATGGTTTAATACAATAGGTTCCACTGGTTCTTCTTTGTTTGCTGGAACATTCCACAATCTAGCTGTAGCATCTCCAGAACTAGTGACATGATCAGTAATATACATGGGTATTTTATAGCTTACCCAGAAGCTAAAAGAGAAGGTAACACTGGATTCCAAGCACACGAAAATACTTCGCTTTGGTGTCCTTTGAGTACAGTGACACTCTCTTCTTTGATTGTAGTTGATTCTTCTTTTACAGATTCTTCTTCTTTAAAAGACGAACCGTTCGTTTCTTCTTTGATACGATCCTCTGTCTCTTCTTCTATCGTTTCTTTTCTGGCTCGCTTCTCTCTATCTTTTTGCTTTTTCTCTTCTTTACGTTGTCGTTTTGCTGAAGAAGTAGGTGGTGGTGGTTTCATGGTCGTCACAGGTTCGCTGTTGAATGTATTTCCAGTTAATTCGCAATGGTGAGGTTCTAGTAAAGAAAATGGCACGCTACACTCCACTAATTCACCTTCCTACAGATGATATAAGCTTTGATATATACAGAAGGTAACGTACCTCGTTCATATGAGCTTCGATTTCCATAAACTGTAAACCCTTATGAATAATGTTGATGAGCGCACCAGGCTGTATCTGAGCATCTCGATAAGTTGATTTTTCTACTTGACTTTCGTATTGGAAAGCAAAAGATGTATGTCGAAAGCCTGATAATGAATATAAATATAAATATATAAATGATGTATATGTTCCTATCGTATTTCTTACCTGATTCTTGTAGATATTTATATACAATGATATTAACTTCTTCACTTGTAAGTACCATTTTACGCTATATTTATATACACAGTTGAATATGTATAAAGTATATAAAAGTGAATGTAATATAGAATAAAGAAAAAGAGAGAGAAAAGAAGGAATAGACATTGCACGTTGGTTATATTGGAAAAAAACACAAAACAGAGTCACTTTTTTTTTTTTGTATGGGAAAAAGATCCGGGGCACTCTAACTTGAGCGGGTTGAAGGTTGTTACTGACATGCTTTATTCTTTCAGTTGACTATTGTAAAGAATGTTTCTCTTTATTGATGTCTTGGGATTTATTTTTGCTTGAGACTATGATGTAGCAATCCATTTTCTATGTCAAACTACAAGCTCATTGTGTTTGTCAACATTTTATCAACTTAAGCTTCTAAATGATTAGTTGGTATTGTTTGAGGTTAGGGAGATAGTAGCACTGTTAAGTGTATGTTCAAGTGTTTAAAAAAAAAGTCTATTTTATCAAATCAAGGCAGAGTAATTCAATAGGCTATATTTTTTTAATTGAAGAATCGCGTTTCGTTTGCTTGTTTATAATACTGTGCATTTATGAAATCAAGTAAAAGTTATCTTTAATGAACATATACATATATATATACATTTACATTGTCTACGAGAAACTGTTGTAAGTTTGATTTATCGGTTGCACAAATGATGAGTGCTTTTTTAAGACTCAGTACACAGTTTAAAAACGGAATGGGAGGGGAAGGGAAAGAATCTTTTTTTTCTTAGTTTTATCAACTGTCAAATCTTAACACGATATGGTTCAGCGTAGGTAATCTAAATCATGTAATTTGCATCTAGCTCATCGCATAATAGCAAATATCAAAATATATCCTCTATCTTACATTTCCTACAATGCTTATCAAGAACTTGAGCCCAAAGTAAAGTAAGTAGACACCCTCACTTTGTACGAATGATTTACTAATAATAGAAATAAGAGAACTTGCTAGAAAGACCAAGACAGAAATCAACTACAGCTTTGAAGAACAATACTTTGATGTTAGAGGGCGTTCACAACAAGCCTGTGATGATACGCAAGTATTTATCCTTACGCTTATGTATTTTAACACGCTCTCTCTTTTTTTTAAAAAAAAAACTATAGATCCAAGATTATCGAAAACAATCTTTTGCCTCAATTGGTAAGTGTACAAAACCATTCGTCTACAGCTCACCCTTTTTGTAGAATACTGTTGTTGATGAAAACAAGTTTATGGGTACTTTTGAGGACCTTGAATGTATTGCAACCACACCCATAGCTAGCCCTTGTACTTCCAGTACACCTGTCAGTCGTACATCGCCTCAAATGCATTACGCGGTTGGAAGACCTTTAGATTTGGATGCAGCTATGAAAATGAACAGTAGCAATAGAAGATCCAGTTACTATGAAACAGAAAGTGATGGATCCGACGAAGATGATGGTGAAATTGTGGAGACTTTTACTTTTGCAAAGAACATCCCCAACCCTAGAGATGTCTTGACTGGTCCTCCTGTCAACAATGCACGTCCTGCTGATTACTTGCGCATCATTGGCAACGATACAGATACTGAATGTAGCTTGATTGATAGACAAATCAAGATTGTAGGTACAAGCGAAGAGGCAGTCAAAGAAGCTCTCGAAAGATTTAGAAATCTTCAAACTATCTATAAACGTCGCAAACGAAACACAATTTGCGTACCTTGTATACACTGTCCTGACGATGGAGCACCTCCTTTTGGACTCTATTTCTGCAGCTTAGAAAGATACGCTCATCACCTTCATTTTGCAGATCTTTTGGAACCTCCTTCAGCACCTCTACATGTTATCATTCCATCCTTCAAAAACAATGCTGGTAGTTTCCAAAAGCCCTTTGAACTTATTGATGCGGTTCCAAAGACCATAGCACCTCTGCAACAACAATGGGTTCAACGTCAAGCACCCGTACGTTCTTCTTCTCAACAAAAACTCTCAATTGATGAAAGAATGAGGTTGGCTTCTTTGGAACATAAAAAAGCTTCCTTTGGTAATCCTAATTATGGTATGGCTCCTGATCAAAGACCTTTGTGGGGCGAAAACAAGACTTTTGTTGTTAATCCAAGTGCACAAAGTATAGCTAAGCAGCAGCAGCAGCAACAGGTTTCTGCTGCTCCTGCTGAGCCTGTTGATGATTTCCCTGCACTTCCAACTGCTCCTCGTGTAGCTATGCCAAAGAAAGGTTCTGCTCGTCGTGTGATGCGTTTAACAAGCCAAAAGGCATCTCCAGCTACTGCAAAGCAATCCCCTCATAACCATCTCAAAGCGTAAGTTGTTTGTCTGTTGATTATTGTATACTCACTATTGGTATAGTGTCAAAGAATACAATCTCTTTAATATCAAGTCTGCCTTAGAAGATGGGTAAGTTTAATTGTTGTTGTGAAATCATGATATTTATTCTTTCGTTAGTCTTACAGGCGTACGTGGATTTAAGGGCGATATCAAATTAAGTGCAAAACTTGGTAAAGTCTTTTGGAATAAAGTTACGCCCGAAATACAAAAGCAAATATGGAATTTCCAGGATTTAAAAGACATTTTGGTTAAAGAACACGGTATAAGTCCCAAATTCAATAATGTGTAAGTCCTTACAAACACGAATTGGCAAATACTTATTTCCCTTTTTTATTAGAACTACTAAATCAGATGATATTATTGCCAAAATGTCTGATATCTTGCCTTCACCTTACAGTCGTACTGCGTATTTTGAAATTCATGCACAAGCGCGTAATCAACCTCTTGTCCCTTATCAGCCTGTTGTGATGTACATGCACCAAGGTGTTGTTGAATTGAAAAAAGTAGTGACAAACACGAACAAAATTGTTGAAATCGATTGGGTATCACTTAAAAGGTATATATATATATATATATAAGCATTGTTTGTAACAAGATACTGATTTATCAAGTAGAAAATTCGACTTCCAAATGTTATTAAAAACTGAACAAACAACTCGAACTGATGTAAAGCCATACACTACTTTTATCAAGAAAGTCTCTGTCAGTCCTGTCACTCGTCAGATCACTTTTGAGAATGTACCTGACTTTTTAGAAGTTGAGTACATCTTGTTGAAGCAAACAACAAAATACAGAATTCATTTTCCATTTGTTGTTGAAATCACTCGTGTTGAGAAATTGCCTTTGTCTCCTCAAAAGTTTGGTAATTATGGTATTGATAAGATTCTGGGTGATACTGGTAAAGGTCAATTTTGGTACGATATGGAGGTAAGAAAAGAAAAATAACACTTGTTGGAGTACGTTTTACTTACATATTCACAGGTCTTTTATTCTACATATGACGAAATCTTTAAATCAAACCATAGTTTGCCTACTGGTAAACTTGCTTCTTGGACTGTACAAGACGTTTTAGGCAGTGGCAATGATGCTTCTGATGCCCTTGTGGAATACATTCGTTGTTTGTTAATGATTGTTGAGAAATGTGAAACTGCTGTAAATGCTCCTTCGTCTCAAGAATAATTAAAGTTTAACTCGATTGATGATATTTTATTACTGTGTTTGTTATACAATTTTATTATTTGTCATAGGTAAAATGATAACAAGGGAAGGAATACGCCGGGCTAAGGTTTCATATTCCTGTACTATCTTTTGTCAATTTAAAAGTAATGGGATTGATTGCCTCTCCAAGTGTAGGAAGCTGTTACTTTAAATAGGTACTTTCGGACAGAACCTGTTCATATTCTCTTTTACATTGTTGCCTATATTAGGCACTAACACAATATTAAGGAATTCGTTTAGTTGTTCAAAGTATGATTCAAATAGGACTTTCTCCGGAGGACGAGAAACTATTCGTCACGCTGGAATTTCGTTTATTTTCCTTACATCAATGTAAAAGATATTCAATATTATATAGTACCTACTTTTAAGAATTGCTTGATAAAAGCAAACTAACATTCGTCGATAATGATTTTCAGCGCTGCCAGAATTCCATGTAGACGCTTGTGATAATTTAGCTTTATTCTTACAATGTCAGTGTTAGGCAATCTGCTTGAGACATTCAAGAGATAGAATTTAGGTCTCTTGAGATCATGTAGTTGTCGCTCGGTTTAAAGATAAACAAGAATCTCCATGTCTATAAAGTAATTGATTATTCCAGCTGGTATAATCGCAGAAATAGAAAATTAGATAATAAAATGTTTTTTAAAAAAGAGCTAACATAAATTGTTGTTGAACGAATGCTCTACCAGTTAGAAAAAGCTCAGCAAGTAATTTTAATATATGAAAACCCATTTGAACAAATAGATCATATAGATAAAAATTTCTATTTATGTGTACTCAAGATTTGAATTCACCCTTAAATAGAATGAGAGTATAGTGGTATCAATGCTAAGGACGCAGCTCAGTCTTTAGAGTTTCGCCTTTAAACAGAAAATACATTTGAATCGAACGGCCTTAAATCAAGTGGCCAATATATACAATCCAAAAGGATTATAGCAGTAAAGAGAAAGTCTCTAACCAGCAACATACCTTACTTGATCACCCCATAGGCACCTGAGAAACCAGCCTAAGTGGACTGGTTAATCAGCAGACGTATAGACATAAATTGTTATGGCTAGTTTTTGATTACATAAGCTTCAGTGCAACTTCATATTTAAATATCGCCAAAGAAGCAACGCACTGAGCAGACACAGCTACACTGCTGGAATGCACTGATCTTCCAAGTATACAGAGAGAGAAAATAAGAATACAAGCTTTTTGAAAGTTATGAACTTGCCTTGAAAAGAACGTAGGAAGAAGACGGGGATGATTTTTTATAGAATAAAACAGTGCCACATTTGAAACTGAGTGGCTTAACCAATCAATCTGCTGCCCTGGCCATTCTGAAAGGTGCAGAGATAAGTGATGATCTATCGCCTTCCTTCTTTTTACATTAAAATACGCTATTCTTCAACTTGTATATATATATATGCAAAGTTTTACATGGCAAATACTATAAAATATTCCTCCTAACATTTAGGTGTTTTGAGATACGAACGTTTAGTAGGAACTGCTTCAAGGTTTCGTAAAACCTTTTTTTTTTTGCTTCTTAATTACAGCCGACGAAACTAGGTTGGGCCAATCATTTTTTTTTTGGTCATTTCCAAATTAGATTGGGACAGAGGTGCAAAATTGGGACACCAATAGGAAAATGGGACAGAAATGTGAAAATGGGACGCTTATGCGAAAACGGATCAAAGTGGAGCAAATCCAGTTTTAAACAAGATGTTAGTTTCTTTGTAGACCTAAAAAGATTATATGTTTCGCTCACCTTTTGTAGACGATACCAAAATGGAAATCAGTCAAAAGAAACTTAGACATAAAGAGAAATGGTTTTAGACTAAATACAAATATAATTATTTGTTTCCTACCTGTAGTATCTTTAAGTTAGTCACCAAAAGGGCAACAAACAGCCACGTTCTATGTGGCGCTTTGCCTATTAGGTCGAGAAAAAAACAACTGGTCGTCCACTTCCAGACCAGATCTGTGCTGAAATATATGTCATGTTTTTGCTTGCTAAAACATCTCTATTCCAATATATATTACAGTTGTTGCAAATTAATATACTATGGAATGATATGCCTTGATCACGGTGATTGCGAACGTTCATCTGGTGGCATGTGTCACAAACTTATGTATTTTATGCACAAGAATATTCAGAGTCAATGCAATTTAACAGTATGTTAAAAGACTTACAGATGACGTACGGAATTCGTCTATGTCCAACACTGATAGCTCGCCTAACTTCTCTCGTCTTTTTGAATGTCTGTATATAATTTCAGAGACACCAACACGCTTTCTTCTGAATCTGACATGGCTTTTTCCTTTCATGCCGTTACCAAAGATTATTAAAGGCATTTTTTCCCCATCCATTTCCGTAAAATCATTCTTATGTAAGGGCCGTCTAAGTTGGAAGAAGCTTAATATATAAACACTATAAGTAATAGAATGCAATTATGTTACGTTATATCAACTGGGAGGTGGGGAATCCTTGGATTTCGCCTGTTGAGTATTTTCTTTCTTTTTCGTCGGTTGGACTTTGTTCTTTTCCTTTATACTGGATTGTACTTTTTGCCACCATTTAACAAAATATTAGCAGCTTCATCTAAGGCACATTGTCGGCCAGCGTAGTTTTTCCATCTGATTGAGGCCGTCCGGAAGCTGTAGAAACCAAAAAAATTGGGCAGGTGTGTCGTCATGTAATTTACATGTACCTCATAGTTATCCACGCTTGATGTTTTTGGGGTGGGGATTCTTGTCTCCAGCTCCTTTAGCTCTTGTATTGTCTTCAACTGATCTTCTTTTTCTGGTCGGTTAGGTGATCCTGACATGGAATAGTATTCTTTGCTAGACAGTTTCCTGACTTGATTCTCACCATAATAGGCGATATAGCGACTGTTTCTATTGGGGTCCAAGAAACAAGGATTGAAGTGTTCATCGATTCCGCCCTGGTTAAAGTCACTAAGCTCTGACACAATTTTATCTTCGTTTGGAACTTGAGGTATATTTCTCGCGAAATTGATACGACAGGTATAGCCATCCGTATATAAACTATTGAGAAACATTTTCCCTTTCTGTCTTGGAAATTGTTGTAACTCTAGTAGGCTATTGTTATATATCATAAATGATATATTAGCTGCCTTTTTTGGTGCATTTAGAAGTGTAAGATTACCTGTGGATCTTCAATTTCGTAAAATCAAATAAATCAAAAAAAAAAAAAAAAAAAAAAAAAAAAAAAAAAAAACGTTGCGCAGCAAGTGAAAATTGACTCTCGTTATTCTCTTTTGGGATTTTGGCTTCATGAAAAAGAACATCAATATCTTTGCGGTCAATTTTAATGAAGCGCCATTTGGAACTCGGGTTCTGGAAAAGCGAAAACAAGCGAGGTCGTTGCTCTTCTGACAGTGTCTCTTGTATTTGTTTATAGTATTGCAGTATATGTTTCATCACATTCAAAACTGACAACGGGTTAGTGGTCACTGTCTCCCTTGAACAGGGTAAGTAAGGTATTCTATTTTTAATGGGCTAGATTTCGGTGTTCAAGAACAGTTGAAGGTCTGGTGCGTTATCAAGTTCATTTTGAGTCAAAAAGTCTTCAGGCAAATCAGATCTGGTAGCGTTCGTCAGCACCTCGTTCAAGATATAACGGTAAGTGATCTTTTTTTATGACGGACATGTTCATATCCTAATAAAATTGGTTAGATTTTTAAACTTTTTTCATGTGAAGTAAGTACTTGCAGGATATCTGATTTTCAATTTGAACAGAAAAAAATTTCCAGCATAAGTTTCATAATTTTCAACATAGAAATTACTGTAGGCAGTTACTAAACTTTCACATGCAGACGATACTATTTGGCCATAGCCCACCAAGCCACCTTTTTGTACAAGCATATTAACATTTTCCAGATCTTGTAAACGGTTGAAAATTGCCTCGAGGTTGGGAAGTGATGGATAATAGTTTTGGAGTTGGTGAATATTGATGTTGCAAAAGAGTTGATTAAAGATATATTTGGAGATATGTTCCACACTGTTTGAGTGTACTAATAAATAGTAATTAACAAATATTTGTGCCTGATAGATGACAGCACGAAGGAAAGTAGACTGTCTAACGATTATGTTCTGGTAACGCTCTAGTCTTTTGGGGTCTTCTTGTTTATGCCTCAGGAACAACTTGAGAGTTAAAGAAGTTGTGTACCTTTGATGGGAGTTAGGAAATGCTCTCTCTAAAAGCTCTTTTATGCTGAATTCGTGATTGGGACAATCTCGCGAGGTAGCACGTGTATGCCCTGACTGCCCGCAAGATGTACACACGGTATTAGCTCTTGATGAAGGCCCCGCCTCTGATTCCTTTCTTCGTTTTCTTGCGTCCGCTTTAGCTCTCTTTTCTTCGAATGTGTCTTTTCTTTTTTGACCTATAAAATGGCTTAGATAATGTATTACACGATTCTTTTAAGAAAGTTTTACCTCTTCTTCATGCTGGATCACCCGTATTTCTTTGTTCTTGCACTCCTTCTTTGAGTTTCAATTGTTTTTTGTTTCGTATTAGCTCTTCGGCTGCTGGGTAGAGTACTGGTCTCATGTTGTTTTTTTTTATAAAAAGGAACAAAACAAAAAAAAAAGGAAAAATATTGATTTATTATTTGGTCTAAAACCATTCTCTTCAGGGAGAGTCAAATACTTGTAGAGTTCAAGTTGTAGGGTTTTATTAGTAATATTGTATTAACCAATAAAATTACATTTTGTCGGTTACTTTTTGACTCTACCTGTAGACTTTCTACATCGCCAACAAGTTCTTTACCTTCCAGCCCTACTTTTTCCAGGTTTGTCTCGATCTTCTTAGTAGCTAGGTCTTTCAAAGATGCTTTTGGCGTAATGAAATAGTATTAAAAATATACACCAGGGGAAAACCAGTAACTTCGAAATATGATTTTAAAGCTCATCCCAAGTCAAGATATGATCTTAAAAAAAATAGTATTTTTAAGGATTGCTTAACTTTTTCTGATTTTATTGAATTTATTTAAATTATATAATTACCAATCGATCTGACGGGTTTCTTTGAGCAAAGAGTAAAAAGGTTAATAATAGATGCCTTTTTTTTCCTCTTCTCTTACACTTTATTTCAATTTTTTTTTTTTTTTTTACAAAACTTTTATTTCAGTAAAACAATTAACAGTATGTTTATTATATTCCAAAAAGTTTAATCTTATCACAATAATTGTGAATCCAGTAACTAGTTTATAACATGTATTATCTAAAACAAGTACATAATATACTAACGGGCGTTAATTTAGCATTCGAAAGAGCTCGATAGAAATAAATAAGGATCGGTAATGTTTTTAATGAAAGCAAAGTTTAATGAATAACTTGTTTAGAACTCGCCTTTTCTCTTCATCTATTATAATTCTTTATATATGCATACCGCCAAAGGTATGTATTAAGTCTGTCTTCTGTATCGGATACACGTTTGAACTGTGAGTGTCATTTTTTCTTCGTTTCAAAAAAAACATTTTCTGATACTTTTCTTTTTTAGTCTGATCAAGAGCTTCCGGTTGCCCTGACCTTATCAATTGTATTATAAAGTTTCCGTTATATTGAAACTCACTCATAACATTAGAATATATTTTGTTTATTATTGCATTGCAATATGCCTTTTTGTTCCTTTTTTTCTAAATAAAAACCAAAATTTGCAAAAAAGCATTCTATTCAGTCCATTTTAATTTTGGCTGTGACCAATTTTTTTTTGGTTTTTTTTTGGTTTTTTTTTTTTTGGTTTTTTTTTTTGGTTTTTTTTTTTGGGTTTTTTTTTGGTTTTTTTTGGTTTTTTTTGGTTTTTTTTTGGTTTTTTTTTGGTTTTTTTTTTTTTTTTTTGGTTTTGAGCGGATGTCTTATTCCATGAGCCAGTGATAAAAGAGTGTACATGGATCAGGTTCAGGCGCAAATTCCGCATGCGGTTTGAGGCACATCTGATTGAGAAGAAGTAAAACGTTAAGGAGGTTAGTTCATCGTGGCTTCCAATATTGGAGTAAGAGTTGCTTGCCAATTTTCCAAGTAATAGTAGCAGACAAATTGTATACAATTATTATCTCATTATTATTTTAGCAAACATATAAATAGTCAATACAGTTTTTCTTCGCTATACAAACCGTCAAGTTAAAAAATTTAGAGTTTCAATCCATCGACAAAGATAATCTATGTTGCAAAATTGTTGAATAAATTAACTCTTTAGCTTATTCATACAATACTAAAGCCTGCGAGAGTTACAATAAACTTGTCATATTCACTACTTCTACATCCGAATCTATTGGTGTGGTTGCGGCTAATCGTGGAAGTCTCTTGCATTTATTTATTATGATGTACTGTTATATTTGGGAGATATTCAAGCTTATTAAATATGCAGGGTTTTTGTTCATTGAGTATCAATTGAACAACAAAAACTGCTATATTATTGTTCGAAGAAAATCATAGCTAGAATTCTTCATGTGCTTTTTAATTATCACACTTGAAAAAAAAGCACTCTTTTTACAGTATAAGTATTTTGTTTTAGTCAAGAAAAAAATCAAAAAAAAAAAATGTTGTGAAAAAATCAACATGAAATTAGCATAAAATCATTAAAATATTAATAAAGAAAATAATGTTTTTTCTTAAAGCTTATTATTATTGCTCCAAGTAAAGTTATTCTAAAGGCGCTCAAGAAGGGGGCGCAATACATAAAGAATTATATTAAATTGATATGTGTCAAGTAAACTAGATAGAATGAAAGCAAAGGTAGGCCACTGCTATGAACGGGATAAAGTGAGAGAAGGACTACGGTCGTATGTACACTTGCTTCTGATCTGCAAACAGCCATAAAACATTATGTGTTTTTGATAGGGTCAAGTAGGCATTAAAGGAGATGTTGTTAAAGAAAAATCTCCAGTGTGATTTCTAGACTTGCAAAAGGGCGGTAATGTCAACAACTGTTAAGTTTTTTCTGTGAGAAATCTATTTTGGAGAAGTTTAATGTAAGAAGTGCTTGATTGATATCCTCGACAGTACTCACAGTATGATATAATCACCAATAAAATGGTCAAATCAATAAGTCAATTGGAATCAGAATGGCCAAAAAGAAGTTACTTTATTAAAGGTTATATTTGTATTGTATTTATACTGTTTGTATGATGATTGATTATCCCTGATTTGGAACTAAGTGTGTATACACTAGCTAATCGGTTGAATGGATTAAGATACACAAGAACTGGGTACATGATCAGGGCATAGACCACGTCTACCACTGGTATTGATGCAGATGTCAGTTTGTGATTATGTGATGGTCTGATCTTTAACATGTTTAAACTAAGATAGAAGACATCCATCGAATCTGCGGATAAAACTGTGACTGAAAGGTATATTTATACATGACGTTAGTACTTGGTCTTTTAGGATACAACTAGTGTAAGAAGGGATGAATAATGCTGTGTATACAACACATAGGCCACAGAAACTCAAAAATGAGATTGCAAAAAATAGTGTTTTTTTTTAGGTTTTTGTCAGTGTTCCGCGTAAACCCACTCGAATGATAGTCGGAAGGCAGCCACACATTCAAAGAAAAAGAGAATTAAGTAATATATAAAAGAAGGTATACCATGAGACACGAATTATAATCTTGTACTCACATTCTTTTCCTCAGCAAAGGGCAACAAGGCAATACGAGTTTTTGTAAAATAGAGTAGGCATCAATAAGGACTTGATCAAAGACAATTCTCCAGTATGTTTTTCAAATTTGTACGAGAGCGGTGGTAAGAATTTCAATGACATTTAAATGTGGTTTTTGAGAGTAGTCAATATATGTGAGGTCTAAGAAGAGGAGAGCTTTGATGACATCCTCTATAATGAACTTGGGACACAGAAATTTGAAGATCAAGGTATTCCAGAAGAACGCTTTAGAGATGTCAATAAATTAGGAAATGTTAGTCGTCTAGAAAATAGTATCAAAAGATGTTAACGGCAAAATATTTATTTGTTTTGAAATTCGCTAACATTTATGCCGACATGACAAGTATGCCATTTGTGTACTTGAAAAATATTTTTTGAGAAATAATAAAAAACGTTATTTCAAAATTAAGACCATTACTCTAAAATAAAGCAAAAATATTTTCTGCGATGACAAACAATAAAAAAAGAAAGGATTTTCTAATTTTCTGCTTAAAATTAAAAAAAAAAGCTTGCTTTTCTGTTTTTCTGTTTTGAATTAATAAACGAGTCTACCAACCAGTAAACTAAAATTCTGAAATTACTATCCAGTAGACTTGTTTATTAATTCAAAACAGAAAAACAGAAAAGCAAGCTTTTTTTTTTAATTTTAAGCAGAAAATTAGAAAATCCTTTCTTTTTTTATTGTTTGTCATCGCAGAAAATATTTTTGCTTTATTTTAGAGTAATGGTCTTAATTTTGAAATAACGTTTTTTATTATTTCTCAAAAAATATTTTTCAAGTACACAAATGGCATACTTGTCATGTCGGCATAAATGTTAGTGGAGTTTAAATTAGTTAAACATTCTGAAGATAATGGGGGGGGTCTGGTGTATCCATTAAACTCATCAAAGAGTTCTGATATGCTATTCTCTATCAATACAACGTAATCAATTACATTTTTTTTCATTAGTGAAATAAGTCTTCTATTGAATGCATTTTTCTTCCATTGCTTGCGTTGTAGTGTATTGGTGTCAACAACACTTGTTTCTTTAATTTCCTAGAACCAATCTCGAGCGCACCTGTCTAATTTACTGGCGACTGGTTTGACTGCCTGGAGATAGCCCTAAGTTGTGTTACTGTGGCGCATATCTCTTTCATACACATGTTATCCAGTACCTTAATATGTATACTATGCTCAACCAACTCACAGCATGTGTCAAATAAGCTTCTGTACATTTCCTTCTATCATAGATGTTCTCCATAAATCATGGTGCTGCGAATGCTTTGCTCTTTCCGACAACCAATTAGCTATTTCTCTTCCTTCTTTGATTGCAAACATACATCCACAAACATCATTAAATCAACACTTTTTTCTCTGTGCGTTTTTTATCCTTGTTTTTTTAAAGGGAGTTTTAGTCTTAGTCTAGTTTGATTTAGTTATTCTTATGAATTGACTAAATTAAGCCGTGTCATCAAAATTGCTTTTCATGTAAAATCAATAAATCTGACGAAACTTATGCAGATACACAAGTTTACCATTTGTGTTGATAAGAGAAAAATAATTCTAAAGAACTAATTCCAAGTGAAAGCCAATTTTCCTTTTCTTTTTCTTTTTCTTTGCTTGAGTGAGATCAAATGGAGACATAAAATCTAAATTTTTCTAATTAAATTTTTATTTTTTTACTTCAAAACTATAAAATAAAATGCAAAAAAAAAAAAAAAAAAAAAAAAAAAAAAAAAAAAAAAAAAAAAATTGTTGTTATCTGCTCATTCATGCTCATCCATGATTACGTATGCTTATCCATGTTCATCCATGCTATTCATTGCTATTAATTACCATTAAATGACATTTAATGATGAATAACAGGCCTTGATTGGTTTTCAGTCCTAAAGATTGGCTTTTAGTCCTAAAGCTTTGTATTTGAGGTAAAATAATCCTATGTTAGACTTGCATATTCGTAGTCTATCTGATGCAGTGGTTGTCTATCGTTTAAATATACATATATATCTCAGTAAATTTAAAATTCAATAAAATAATGTAGTAACGAAAAAAAAAATACTGTGAGTTAGGTGATGTTTTTTCAAGACAAAATACCATTGATCTCATTAAATCATAGAAAAAATTAATAGCCAGATTGGAGTTGTAAGTATATGGCAATTTATGTTTTGCGCATTGAGAGATGTAGAGCTAAATATTTACTTACTAGTCAATGCTTATTGAAAAGGACTTCTTTTCTACCATTCACTGTGTACAGTGAGCTCTGAATGCAGATTTGAAGGTAATGTACAAATGGAGACAACTTTTTCATCTTGGTGAACTCGTTTTCTTTTTCTCAAAAGTATCTAGAGATAGTTTCACCTCACACCGGTCGGATCAAACTTACATTGGGCCAATCTGACATTTCAAAGATTTTTGAATTGGCTCTTTTTTTTATCTTCAAAAGCTCTTGTGAACTCGCTTCCATGGGGCAGACAATAAATTTCATTTAACTACCAAACCAATGATAGCCTTTAACTCCCAAACTAAAAAAAAAAAAAAAAAAAAAAAAAAAAAAAAAAAAAAAACATGTTTTGAACAACAACAAAAAATAGTCTTGTTGATAGTCTAGCTGTCGAGCAATGACGCATCAAATAATGGCATGTTCAAACTGTGTTTTGAGCGTTTTTACCCTTAGAGATATAGGCATTTTGTAGTCCAAATGGGGGAGGGGGTAGGCGAGCATATAACATATAGAATAGCTGTGTGATAGGAGCCAAAATAGAGCAATTTTAATTTCTCTTCCCACTGTACCCAACATGGGGTTTTTGCCTAAACTGCATAAAGACGCAGTTAATTGGCTTTGGTGTAATAATAGAAGTTGTAAGTCTTTGCTTTTTGCTTTGTTGATGCAAAGAACACAGCAAATCTGACAGTAGAATGTTGAGCAAATAGGCAACATTGTTTTTGAAGTTCTTCGTTATTACCTCGTCATTTTTACAGTAGGATTAGCAAGCAAATACATTCACTAAAAACTGGAGCATCTGGTGCATATTTTGAGTATTTAAAATAGTGGATGATTTTATTTTTCGTCTTGTAGCGTTAAAGAGACGATCTGAAGTCGTCAAAAATTTTTTTTTCATAATGACTAATGCGATTCATCGTCTCTAAAGTTGTCAAGTTGGACATTTTTATGAGTAATACCCTTCACTTTTGAGAGATTTTTGGTTATCTTTTACAAGCCACTTTTTTTTGTCCAAATCAACTGTAAAGGTACCATGGATGTTGGTAGACATGGTTTGTAAATATGATAGCATTCATACCACCTTTATATGTCCAAAGAAACGAGAAGATTTGTATGCATTGTCGTCTTTTTCACTGTTGAAGCATTTGTTTGTCTGATGTCTCTATGACATATACAAGTAATGCACTTTCAGCTGTTTATTCAAATAGAATACCTCATCAGAAGGCACTTGATTCCTTGGGCTTGTAAGTCTGGTGATAATGAGTATTTAATTGAGACTTATAGCTTAGGTGATAGCACTCCATCTACTGTTTTGAGGCTGTTAGCTTCATCATTTTAGATAAGAGCTACATCGAAATCTTTGGAAAGTGTTGAAGTACTGAGTCAGAAATAATGAAACGGTAGATGCAGAAGTACTTTGTTAAAGAGTAAATGAAGGCAGCGAGAACGCTTTTGCTAAACATATACAACATTTCATTTAGCACTCGACATATGCATTCCCTAAACTCTTAAATAAGAAGCCTTTGTAATCGTTCTGATATTTGGTCAAATCATCATCATCTCAAAAGCGAGCAATTTATTTTTAACACTCATTCTTATTGTAAATTAGGCCATAGCTCCTCCCTTCCTATACCGCCTGATCCCTGCCTATCACCTAACTGGAAACGCTTTTGGTCTCTCAAAATCCCTCTCCCTGCTCGCAATGTTCTTTACAGGATGCTTCACAACAAAGTCAACAACCGTTTTTACCTACATCGTCTTATGCCCCATACAGTTCCTAATAACTTTTGTATCCACTGTCCTTCAAGTCTCATTACTTCCATTGATACCCTTGATCACTTTTATTTCTTCTGCCCTATCAAGTATGCTGTTTGGTCTCATGTCTTCTCCAAGTACATTAATCCCAACATCCGTGCACCTTCGGTCAATCTCCTATGTCAAGTCCTCCTCCTTCGGGTTGTTATCCCTCGTGTTTCTCTCCTCCATTTTCCTTCCTTAAGTACCTTCCAAATCTTTGCATGCACTGCTCTAGCCCTCTGGCAAGCTCACTGGCAATCTGATTTTTCTGAAAACCCATTCCTCTCCAAAACTATAACCAAGACGGTTTCCCGCTTAGCAAATAAGCTGCATGATGAATCCCGCCTTGATTATGAACCGTAAATTCTCTCCATTTCAAGTATCTATCAAGCTCTCTTAAACTCTTATTCTTTTCTCAATTTCTTCTACCACAGGCTCATTTCCCTTTCCTTAGTCTAGTTCTTATAATACCACAGTCTTTTCTTCCACTCTTTTGACGTCTAAAGGACTTTAAATAAAATTGGAGCAAGTCTCCCTAATAAAAAAAAAAAAAAATATTTTTAATTTAATCTCGCACAAATTTCCAAAAGTATTCAAAAAATTGGGTCATATTTTCAAACATCGAGTAGATTGAAAATGAGAGCACAGTATGTGCTTGATTTAATCAATCAATAGGGCCCAAGCATCAGCATATCTATTACATGTAAGTGTTTAATGAGCCTTTTGTATGTTACCTTTTGTCGTCACCAACATAATCTTCTACTATGCCAAACTTCAAGCAAAGGTCGCCACTAACGTTGTTCTTCTCACTTCTTTTTGCTAGCTGATAATATGCACTGTAGTTGTTGGGATCATTGTAGTTTCGAGGTATTCCATCTGAAATGCCTTGGTTGTTTCTATCAAAGATGTTCTTGAAAGGAATCGAGACTTCTCCGAGAAAGTCTCTTCCAATAGTATCTTTATCCCATACTGTAAATGATAAAAGTGTAGGCGTCTTTTTAGGTGACATTTTAGTATCGAAATGTGCGTCCCAAACCGGATTCAATGTTTGCTTGATTGACTTTGTCTTGTATTTTTTGTGACTATATGTGCGTATTCACATTACCATACTAATGCATCATTTTTTGTTGTTGTTGTTGTTGTTGTTGTTGTTGTATTGATCACCAACTTACTTTACTCTTAAGACTACGTATGGATCCGAGAATCCTGTCTTATCTCTAAATAGGAGTAAATAAGTATGATAAAAAAGTATTGGCAACTTACGCAGCTGCAAGGCCTTTCGCATTAAGAACACCAATGCGAATGGTTATTTCCGACATCGTATTTTTATAAAAAGTAGAAAAAAAGAGGAAGAGATATAAATAGGTTTTTTTTCTTGTTTTATGCAGCTTTTACACTAAATTCAAACGATGTTAGTTTTTTTCTAGACGAATCAAAATTAATCTTTAGACTTTTAGCTTACCTTTTTTGGACAAAACGAAAAAGGAAATTAGACAAAATGGAAATTAGTTTTTTGATTTGTCTAAAGAAAACTAACATCGTCTGAATTTAAAGTGAAAATACTGTATTCCATCTTCAGCCCTTTCTTTTCACTTCAGCATTGGAAACTTCTGCTTGGCAAATTGAATAGTGTAAACACTCTTTCTCAAACTATATGCTATTTATATTCTGAGGCTCAGAAACACGCGTATTTGAAACAGGGCCATAATAGAAGTAATAACAAGTACCGAATTCGCTTTCTACTTTCTTTTCATTTTCACAAAAGTTGGTAAAACTGCTATGAAAACAAAAATAAAATCTCTCCTTCTTTGGTTCCTTAGAGACCCTTTTCCGTTAAGAAAGTCCTCAACATCACGCATAGCTTAGACATGAGTACCATACTTTATTTGGTGTCTTCGAGATTCCAGAAAGCCCACTGTATTATATTTTGATCAAACTAAAGGCCTAAACAGACTTGATTTACTTCGTCACAAACGCCGATCTATGTTTGTGTTTCATCGTTCCGCGCTTCCGATCCTTTCCACACTACGAACTTGACTTTTGACATTGAAATTTAACCTCAAGGAGAAAGAGACCATAAAAGAGAAAGATCTAATTCGTTGGAATGGCATGGCCTACTTTGGATTTATTTTAAGGTGAATATACATGTCACTTGTACAGTTTTATCGCTTGATCTTTCAACGATAAATCTTATTTTTAGTAGGATTATTTTTAGCATTGCATGTCTGTTCAACCTGCAAAATACAGTATATAACTACAGCAAATCATACCGCACGTGCCGGTTTTCTTTCCAGTCACAGGCTTCTCGATGCTACTACTTTGTTCCTGGAGATCCTTTTTATATCCTGTTGTCTGTTTTTTATTCTCTCCTCTTTTTAAAAAAAATTTTTTTTCTTTAAATAAATCAGAGCTTTTCTTTTCTTTCTTTTTATTCTTTTCTTCTTGAAATATAAAATGAAAAAACATTTAATTTTATTTCTTTTTACGACCCTTTTATGGCTTGCCATTGCCAATGGTAAGTGTCAAATGCGTAATTATTTCATACTCAAACCATTGTGTAGGTCAGGATGATGGACAAGATAATACAGATACTCAAGACACTTCAACAGGAATTGCGACTACTGATGTTGTTGCAACAACAACCGATGCTGGTGTCACATCAATCACAACAGATATTGCTAGTGCAACAATAACAGCTGATATGCCTGAGACTACAAATGAAGTATCGATAACAACCGATTCAATTATGTCGGCTACTGCCACCACAGACCTTGTCACTTCTACATCGACTGATATGCTTCCTACTTCAGTAGAAACCGAATTACCTGATGCCAATATCACCACACCTGAAAACAACTCTACTAGAACTGTAAATCCAAGTGTATGTCAGGCTCTTCAACAGTGGTATAATTCGCTCAATGGCAAAAACTGGATTCAACACTCAGGTTGGGACTCTTCCAACATGACCTCTTGCTGTAGTTGGTATAATGTGCATTGTAACAAGATAGGCCAAGTCTTAAAAATGTAAAATAATGTTCTCCTTTCTTTCTTTCTCTTTGCTCCCCTACATAAAAGAGAGAAAGGAAACAAACTTTTTTAAACTTTGTATATTGACCCCTTCTTTTTTTTTTTTTAGTGATCTCTCATATAACAACCTTGTTGGACAACTCCCAAACAATCTTGATCAATTGCCAGACCTTCAAAATATGTAAAGAAAACTCAAAATAACTGAAGAAACGACACATACTCATCGACTTTTTTTTTTCTTTAGTGATTTAAGTTACAATAATATCACTGGCTCATTTCCTTCAAGTGTTGACAAACTTGCCCATTTGCGATCTGTGTATGTCCTTGTCAATCATTATCGTGCGATTATTGATAGCCTTTTTTTTTTTTTTTCTTTTTTCTTTTTTATAGTAACTTCGATGTCAATTTACTTTCTGGAAACTTACCTTCTGGACTCAGCGGCCTCGTTAATCTCACGAACATGTAAGTCATCATCACTTGATTTACAGAGTTGCTCATTTTCTTCAAGTCATTTCAAGAACAATTCATTTTCTGGGACTATTCCTAATAGCTGGGCCAACATGAAGGCTGTTGAAAGCCTCTACCTCAGCAACAACAATCTGACAGGACCTTTTCCTGGTGTAGTGGCTCAATTATCGGGACTTTCATCATTGTAAGAGAAAATAGACGGATAGATATTTTCCAATTCTTACATGTCAATAGGTACCTAGATAACAATGCTTTCAGTGGCTTCTTGAACATCAGCTTCAGTGGCCTTTCTAAACTTACTCAACTGTAAGCGAATTCATAATATTAAAGAAAAGCAAGAAACGCTAATCAATGTCTTTTGCGTAATAGAAACATCAAAGGAAATCATTTGCTGGGTAACATCCCTCCTTCCATTGGCAACTTAACTTCTCTGAAATCTTTGTGAGCAGATAAAAATAGATTGCTTTTGTTGCACAAAGTTCTAATTGTCTTTGCTTTAGGGTTATGTCACACCAAATGTTGAATGGAACTATCCCTGAGGGAGTATTCTCACTTGCAAATCTTGAAGTTCTGTACGTTCTCTATATAAAAAAAAGACAAAGCCTTTCTAACTAACCATGATTACAATAGAGATCTTTCCAACAACAGAATAACTGGCTCACTTTCTTCAACAATTGGAAATCTTGTCAATCTTAAGCGATTGTAAGTAAATCATGAACCTGTTGCTTATACTCATGCTCTTATAGAAATCTTGGCCATAATGGTTTTTCTGGTCCAATTCCTAATGAAATTGACAAATTAACAAAACTTGAAAGTCTTAGTTTGAATTACAATGCTTTTAATGGTCAATTTCCTTCTGGTATGGCTCCTCCTGCACTTGGCTATTGTCACATGACACCTAATCAATTCCAATCTTGTCCTGATCGAAGCATCATTACTAACCCTCAAAGCTTGGCCTTCCAATGTTCTGTGGACTGTGCAGTCAAGACGAAGAAGAGTAAGTCTGCTGCTTCTATTCAATTACCCTCACATAGTATCATGTTCTTGATTTTATCTCTTATTACAACCGCATTTATGTAACTTAAATTAATTAAATTGGCCACTGTATATTTTTTCTTTTATTGTTCTGAGTCATGGGAGACTAAAAAAAAAAAAACCAAGTTCTCGTCAGAATAATGATGCTAATTTATGATGTACTGTTCTAAAATGACTGGCTTAAGATCTGCATCGATTAAGAAGATTTCAGACAATTGACAAATAAGCTTTGTTTCTGAATGTTTCTCTCATTCTTATACTTTTCAAAAGTATTCTGGTAATTGAACTAGATCAACATTCATTCAAGCAGATCATATGATTGGTGATTGACCAGGTTTTTTTTTTTTTTTTTTTTTTTTTTTTTTTTTTTGATAGAATAAGGCGGCGATGCTTTTAGGACTTTGAAGCTCATACAAAAAAAAAAAAAAAAAAAAAAAAAAAAAAGCCGGTCACTTGAAGAAAGGTAAAATATCTCCTTTTTTTTTCTTTGAACCACTGTCCCTTTAGAAAGAAATATGTCAACCACCGTAGATCAAGTGCGTGGCTTTTTGTCTGAAAGTGGCTTGAATAAAGACAAAGACATGTCTTTTCAATCGGCTCTTGATCTACTCGAGATCTTACTTGCTCACAAGTGCTGCTCTCGTTGTTGTCTTCGGTACCTTGGTTGCCCAAGTTTTGGGCTTTATGTGGTTGATGAAAAGGTTTTATATATATATATACCATTCTTTTTGTCTTAACAATATCTGTTCTAGGAAACACACGCATCTTTCTGTCAAATTTTACAAGCAGAACGTCAAAAGACATTTGAATTTGAGGACGAAAGAATCTGTACAGCCTGTGTAGGATCAATTCAGTTTGCAGAATCATTCGCAGATCAAGTGATTGAGAGAATCAAACAAGAAAACTACCAAGTCGATAGCAGTGCTTTGTTCTGTACATTACCTATCAGTATTTTGCACCGTGATCATTTTCTTAAGTTACATGCAGTAAACACTCTTCTTGCAGAACCTAAGGAATATACTGAAGCGTTTATTCGTCATTGGCAAGAAGCATTTGTTCGGGATCCCAAAGACTTCTTTAGATATATTCTTGCTTCACAATTGAAGGAAAAGATCAATTTTGTGTTAGACGCTGATTCACCTTTGCGTATGACAGTTGTGATTGGACATCCATCTTCTTCTAAAGAACATTTATTCTTGACCCAATTAAAGCAGCCTTTGCTAAATGTTCGAACCATTCGACACAAGGTAACCAAAAAAAAAAAGGGGATGTTCTTTGACTAACGATGTTCATGTAGAAAATGAGAATGACTGTAGGTGATTCAAGACCTAATATTACAGAGGCACTTAAGAAACTAGACAATATAGAAGCCAAAGAGTAAGCCAATATATTTTAGAATCGTGTCTTACTGAACCTTATTAGACTCACAGCCATTCCTCCTGTCTTTGTGACTGAAAGAGCCACATTTGAATCAGCAACATTCTTGAACAACTCGTGTTATGTAGGTGGTCGTTACCTAAAGTTTTCCCGAGAATACAGTCAAACCACATGGATTGTACGAGGACAAAAACTGACCGAGAACTCAGTCTCTGAAGTCTTTTCTGACATTATCAAGAAATACCATCGTGCTGATGATACCAAGTTTTGTACAGCTGGTAGAGAAGATGCTAATGTGCGTATGTTGGGAACAGGCCGGCCCTTTTATTTTGAAATCGTGAATCCTAGAGTACCTCAATTAGCTGATGAAGACTATAAGAAAATGCAAGATGAAATCAACAGCCAACCACAACACAAGGATCATGTTCAAGTACGACATTTAAGCCCTGTTAAACAAGAACATCTTCGTATTATCAAAGAAGGTGAAGAAACCAAGACAAAGCAATATAGAGCACTTGTCTGGCTTTCTGAACCATTGACAGATGAATTAGTCGAACGTATCAATCAGAGTGGGTCTTGTCCTTTTACTATTCAACAAAAGACACCTGTACGTGTATTTCAACGTCGTTCAGCTGCTGTTCGACCTAAAGTGATTCACACGTCTACTATTTCAAGGCTTCATCCCGATGTAGACATGAGCAGCCCTCAAGCTCGATTTGGTGTATTGAAATTACATACACAAGCAGGCACTTATATCAAGGAATATGTCCACGGTGATCTTGGTAGAACACAACCCAATTTAGCATCTGTAGGACAAATTCACTCTGCTGATTTGTTAGAATTAGATGTGATGGATGTAGATTTAGTATGGCCACCTGTATTTGAACAAGAGCCCACTTCAGGTAGAGTGACTCCTAGTGAAGTGTCAAATGAGAACAATAAACGAGTATTAGTGTAATAAATTATGCAATTCATTTCTAAGGTCTTTTATTATTATTATTGATTTGTGACGGTTGGATGGGAAACTCCTAAAACTGATCAACCACCTCGTGTCCTATTTTCTATCTTTTTCTTTTTCTTTTTCTTTTTTTTTTTTTTTAATCATGGCTGGTAAAGGAGTTGTACGTAGTATGTAAGTAAGTAACAAGAATAGGTCAATTGGTTTTTGTATAGCTCATAAAAAAAAAATAGAAAAAACATTGCAAAAGGCTTTAGTGACGTACAAATCAAAGTACGAGAAGCAACTTCAAACGATCCTTGGGGACCAAGTGGTACTCTTATGAATGAAATAGCACAGCTCACATATAACGAGTAAAAAGCCTAAACTATCTAATCAATTTGTCTAATGTATGTTTATGTAGAACGGACTTTATTGAAATAATGGATATGATCGACAGAAGACTAAACGATAAAGGCAAGAATTGGCGTCATGTTTTCAAGGTAAACAGCGATTTTTGTTTTATTTTATTTCGTATCTAAACACTCAGAGTTTCCCTAGGCTTTACTCTTGTTGGATTACTGTTTGCACGTGGGATCTGAAAATGTCGTTCTGTACGCCAAAGAAAACATCTATGTTGTCAAGACACTCAAGGAATTTCAGCACATTGAAGAAAATGGCAAAGATGTTGGTGCTAATGGTAGGTTCATGCTCTTGGTTTCTTATCTCATGTTCTTTAGTTCGTCAAAAGGCCAAAGATATTACCAATTTATTAACAGACGATAATCGACTTCGAGAAGAAAGACGCTCAAGACAAGGCATGCGAGACAGAATGGCAAGTGTAGGTGATTACCTGAACGAAACTGTGCGCTACTACAATGGCCTAAATGGAGGCACTGGTGAAGGTCAACCATGGGACGATGAAAATGAATTGAAGAAAGCATTGGCTGAAAGTAAACGAGTCGCTGATGAAGAAGAAAGAAACAGACGTCAAGGTGATGATGATCTTGAAAAAGCCATTCAATTGAGTCAACAAGAAGCCATGGAAAAAGAAAAGAAAGAAAGAGAAAAGCTTGAAAAAGACAACATAGACAATTTGTTTGGTCTCTCCAACAATACTTTTCAATCTTTTTCTCAGCAAAACTTGAATCCTGGCATGAACAACCCATATCAGCAACAACAACAACAAGCTCCTCTTCAGCTCGAATGGTCTCAACCCAGTATGAGCAATCCATTCCAAGCACAGCAAAACCCCTATGGTTCTACTGGCCTTCAGGCTCAAATGACTGGTTTTGTTCCTCAACAACAATCTACACCAGACTTTTTCTCTCAACCTCAACAAGGTCTTCAAGCCCAAATGACTGGTTTTGTCCCTCAGCAACCAATGTATCAAACAAGCATGGCCACTGGTACTAACCCATTCTCCCAAATGAATACACAACAACCCCTTCAACCACAACAAACTAAATCCCATGACTACACTAACTTGGTATTTGGTAACCAGCCAGCACAACCAGCACAACAACAGCAACAAGATGCGCCTTCTACTGGATTTGCTTCAAACGCACCCGACTTCTTTGGTGACAACAGTTTTAGTACTACAAATGCTACACCTGCATTGCCTGCTTTTGCTTCTAATGCACCTAACTTTTTTGGTACTTCCAATACTACAGCACCTACTGCCAATGCCAATAATGGTTTTACATCTTCCCCTGCCTTTGCTAACACGAGTCCATTTGGATCACCATCTAAAGAACAAGATGTAAAATATGCTAAATTAAATGCTTTATTGGCCAACAAGGAGTAAGCTATTATTCACATATCTTCAAGTATAACTCATTCTCTGTTTATATGATTTAGTGATGGTATGGACACTTTTGGCAATCAAGGCAATTTGCGCATTCCCCAGTAAGTAATAAACAACATGTCGGTTTGTTTTCTGACCATTTGATAGTGGTACTGGGTTTGCCAATAGTTTCAAGCCTTTCAACTCAGTGGAACAATCGCCTGCGAATGGTTCTCCCTTTGTAAGATTTCATCATCGCCATTACATAATCTCACCATTTTTTAATTAGATGACAAGTAAGAATCCTTTTGGTAGTCAAGTAGGAACTGCTTCACCTCAGCCTCAAAAAAGCTTGTTAGACTTGATGCAAGAACAAAAGCAACAACAACAACAACAACAACAACAACAACAGTTTCCTATGATGACAGGCTTTAACAACACGAATAATTCTTTCTTTTAAATAAATAAAAAAGACATGACGGAAACAATGATGATATCTACCTCTTTTTGTTAGACTACACCATTTAAAGTTTCGGGTTAAAAAGGGTCGAACAAAGTTACACTAAATCAAGCAGTTTTATTGCGGGAAAAGGTGATGAATGCTTCTTTTCATATAAAAACGGGGAAAAAAAGGGATTTTTTCTTTATTCCTTTCTTTCTTTTTTTTTTTTTCTTTTTTCTCTTTTTTTACTTTTTTCTCTTTCTATACTATGGGCTTCAACACATTTCCTCGTAATGAAAATAAATGGGGTAGAACAGATTGGTCTCGACCTTCTTTCACAACAGTAAAGCAAGAACCAATAGAAACAAAAGAGTCTAAACCATCCCAACCCCGTTTTAGTGTGTTTGGTAAAAAAGCCAAATTCACTCAAATAAACAAGGAAGAACAAGAAGCAAAGCCAATAGAGAAAACGACCTATAAAAAGAACACATTTCAACTGCATCTTTCTACAAAATCCTCAGCCAACCATAAATTTCAAGAATTCAATCAAAGCCTACCAGTCAAAAAGAAAAGACAATGCGTTCAATTCGAGCCCATCTGTCTAGAACGAGTCTGCCTCTTTTTGGAAACACAACCTCCCATAGAACTTAAAGAGGCCCACGATAAACAGCTCACGAACCCTTCTTTTCGTATTAAATGTCCTTGTTGGCCACACCCAGAGACTTCAGACTATTATGATCAAAAAGTAGTCATCTTGAACAAGAAGCATTTCTCTATTGTGGATAACAAATATATCAAAGGCAAAGTCATGGTACGCAATCTGGCATTAGATAAAGCCGTTTTGATTCGATACACGTTTGATCATTGGACAACCGTGTTGGATGTAGATGGCGTCTTTTTTGGTCCAAACCCCAAGAATATCACGTTTGACATGTTTGACTTCACTCTGGACCTCACACAAGGGCAACTGGCTGATCATGGTGAATTACGTGGCAAGATTGAGTTCTCTATACGATATACAGCTGGCCATATGGATTACTATGATAATAATGAAGGTCGTAGTTACCAAATCAAGGTCATTTGTGATCCATTAAATGACCCTTGGGCTACAGTAAAAGAACCAGAATCAGAACATGAAGAAGAACAAGAACAAACACATCCTGAAGATGACGAAGAAGAGGACGACGACGACGACGATGAAGAAGAAGAAGAGATAGAAAAACACAATCATTTTGCAAATGCACTCAAGGACTATAAGCATGATACATCATTTCATCTCAAACGACGTCAGTTATGGCTTAGTGCAAGATATGATTTCAGTCAGTCTTTGTCTCTGGCTAAACAGTCATCCCATCATGACACAGTCTCATTTGTAGGAGCAAAAGATTATTTTAGTACAAAACCTGTATATATTCCTTCTGACTTACCTAGTCCAAAACCATCTCCTACCATGTCTTCTGCATCACTACCCAAAGGCGATATGGATTTCAATTCAAACTATTACATGGAACTACTCAACAAATATTGCTTTTATAACAGTGAAAAAGATGTTCAGTTATCCATTAACAATATTTAAATTTTGATATATATATGTATATATATAGATATATATGATACCCTTTTGAATAAACAAAAAAAAAAAAGTTTCCCCACGCACTGTTTTTTCCCGCATAAATAGATTGGCGGCTTTTTTTTTTCGGCTTAAAAGATGTGTAACATGGGAATTTTTCCGTAATTTATCCATTTGTTTTTATTAAGCAGCATTCACTTCTTCTTGATCTTCTCGTTTCTTAAGAACCAAAGGTTCACCAGTAATACGGCGCCAAATATCATGAACATCTTCACAGACAGTTTCAAAGTGAGATGTGGCATCATAAGAACGAGAAATAAACACCTTGTCTTGTTTACCATCTTCAATAGGCACTTCCAAAGGAGATTCAGAGACAAACGTTTCTTGAATAGGACCCAAGAGTTTTAATCCTTCCTTGATTTCGTCAGCGGGGTTGGATGTCTCAACAATGGTAGAGACAATAGCCAAATAGTAGCCCTTGGGACAGACCATATGGGCATCACTGACACAGGCAATGTAAATATCGTGTTTACGGCCAACTTGGCTTTGAGGGATCACAATTTGACAAGAATCACTGTCATTGGTACTAGGGATGGGGTGTGTCAAGAGACAGATGGCACGAACAACAGAGCCAACCTTCTTGACATTCAATGGTGCATAAGAGGGATCACAAATAACCATCTTGGCACGTACAGTGTCTTCACCAGCCTTGACACCAATGACTTGACCTTGTTCATTATAGATCAATTCTTTGGCATCTGTGTTCAACATATATGTACCACCATAGACAGCAGAAAGTCTGAATTGAGGTCAATACGATGTTGTTTCCTTTTGCTTGACTTACCTGGCAAAGGCTTGGGGCAAATCACCAAGACCATACAAAGGATAGATATAAGGAGACTTACCATAACGAAGAACTGAGGCAGCATATAGTCTAACCTTTTCAACAGTATCACGAGCAGGTTGGCTCAAGTAACTGTCATCCAAGTGAAGAGCCATAGCATGGCCAATGAATTCTTGTGTACCAGCAGCCAACCCAAACTTCTTGAACACATCAGCAACTGTGACGCGATCAATATCAAGACCTTGGTGTGTAGAAGGATCTTGATCCTTGTAGGATTCGGCCCAAAGCAAGAAGTTCTTCATGCGACGCTTTTCGAAAATGCCCATCAAAGGACTGGACAAGGCCTCAGCACCATTAGCAGGCACTTTGCTTACTTTACCTCCACTATAAACATAAGAACCTGCAATTTGCTTGAATTCCAAGTAACGAGTGACGTCTGTGTGAGTCAAGAAGCGGACAATCTCACCGTTGGCCATCATGAATTTGGGAATCAAGTCAATGTTCCAGTCACGATCACGGCCCAAAGCTTCAGGAGGTGTTTGACCAGGTCTGAACTTGTTAAAGAACTTGCTGGATGTAAGTAAAATAGAAAGTGTTTTCAGTCAAGAACTTACCTGAGTTAAGTTTAAAGAAGCAGATTCGGCACCGTAATATTCGTTACGGTCCATATGAAGGACCTTTTTACCATCAACTGATAAAAGGCCTGACAAGATACATTCAGTTAAACCAGTACCTAAAACAATAACATCGTATTCTTCATCCTATAGAACAAGTTAGAGTGTGTTCATCTCTTTTTATCATCATCTTTACCATCGTGTGTATTTAATATAGAGATAAAGAGAGAGAAAAAAAAACGACGAAACCCAAAATATATATGACGCACGCGTGCATTTAAGTCTAACCAATCAACATCCTTTTTTTTAAACTACGAAAAACTTTATTTAGTGCATGAATACACTGTACGTGTCAGATCAAACAATGAAATTTGTCAACAGAATGTCATCCTACAATGAATTAGCAGCATGATAATAATAGCAAACTATTCTTATAAAGGACTAAAATAACACTAAAAATAATTTTGCTGATATTTGAAATAAAGTGAACTTCTTTAAATGATCCTAACAAGACCATATAATAGTGTCATTGAATCTATTGCGAGGATAGCATTTTAATGTATATTTGGAAAGGAAGTTTCGCAATTGTGCCTGAATATCTTGACAGAACAAAAAAAAAAACGCAACGAAAATAACCAAGTCAAGTAAGCCACACGTATTATTTGTTCCTTAAATAGTGTACCGTTTTTTTTTTTTTTTTTTTTTTTTTTTTCATCTTTTATTTATCGATATGGTACATTTGGCAGCACTTGTGTCTTTGGGCTGCACACTATGGAGCCTAGTCAGTGCAAGTACAGAAGATCGTCGTATTATTGCTTTAGGTGATCTTCATGGAGATTTGCCTAATACACTCGAGATTCTCAAGTTTTCCAAGTTGATTGATGAAGATCATCATTGGATTGGTGGAGATGCTATCTTTGTTCAAACGGCAAGTAAGTCTTCCTTTTACCAACAACTAACACAAATTTTATGATTAGGGTGATGTGGTTGATAGAGGAACAGATACGATTAAACTTTATGAACTTATCCAAAACTTACGTGATGAAGCACCTCTTCAAGGTGGTCTTGTCATTCCTTTACTCGGCAATCACGAAATCATGAACTTGATTGGTGATTGGCGCTATGTCTATCCAGGCGAACCAGAGACATTTGGTGGTATTGAGGCACGCAAAAAAGCATTTGAAGCAGATGGTTTTATTGGTGAATATCTGACTTTGTTAAACATGACCACCAAAGTAGGTTCAACTGTGTTTTGTCATGGTGGTATTACACCTTATTTTGGCAAGTTGGGTATTGAATGGATCAATGATCAAACACATCAAACAATTGTACCTTTTATGAAGTCCTTTGGACATCATGGAGACCCTTATGGTATTTATGGTGTAGAGGGGCCTACATGGTATCGTGGATATGCTCTAGATGATGAAGATACTGTGTGTGACTTGCTTGATCAAGCATTGGATCTTATGGAGGCGAATCGTATGGTTGTGGGGCATACAGTACAACATGATGGTGCTATTCATACACGCTGTGGGGGTAAAGTGGTCTTGATTGATATTGGTATTTCAAGTGCTTATGGTGGACAGAAAGGGGCATTGGAAATCCGTGGTAACGAAGCAGTAGCACTCTATGCTGATTACAATGAAACACTGCCTACACCTCCACCTTACCAAAAGAAATTTGTAGTTGCTCATGAAGAGCTATAATAGAAATATATATGTATATGTATATGTATAAAGAGTTTATTATTAAAGTGATTATCATACGAATCTATTTTATACAGTAGTAGCATGTTCTTCATTCATAGACTTCTTTTTTCTACGGTTGATGAGGTCAGCAATACCATCCCAGCCACGCAAGATTTGGTATAGGAGAATAGCAGAATAAGTAGGAAGACCAATGCCATCTAATTGGAAATTGCCCCATTTCAACGTCGTCTGCATAGCTGCACCAATGATCACTGGAACACCGGCAACCAACATGTTTCGTGAGTCTTTGAAATCAACTTCATTTTCAACCCAGATTCTAGCACCCGATACAGTAATCAAACCAAAAAGAATGATGGACAAACCACCAAAGACACCTTCAGGAATAGTATGAATAGCTGCACCAAATTTTTGAATAAAGCCAAGAAGGATAGCAATCACAGCAGCAACCAAGAAAATCAAAGTAGAAAAGATTTGAGTGACAGCCTATCCTAAGTGAATATACAATAATATAGTACTTGATGGTCTGCTTACCATGACACCAATATTTTCAGAATAAGTAGTCGTACCAGGACCACCACCAGAAGCAGACACAATGGTTGCAATAGCATCACCAATAATGGCACGAGCCAGATACTTGTCTAGAGGCTTTTCAGCCATGGCACCCACTGCTTTAATGTGACCCAAGTTCTCGGCCAACAAGACAACACAGACAGGCACAATGATACTAATAGCCTGACCTTCAAATCGAGGCTTCACAAAAGTAGGGGCAGCAAACCAAGAAGCTTCGTATACCTCGGTATAATCGATTGCAGGACCATGACCGGACCAGCCGACTCCAAAATAGATAAGATAGCCAATGATCATGCCAATCAAGATAGGAATACGCTTCAACATGCCAGGAGCATAAATACTTACAAGGGAAATCAACATGACAGTAGTGAATGCCATCCAACCATCAAAGGAAGTTCCAGTAGCACTTTGAAAAGCGGAAGTGGATAAATGAATACCAATCGTCATGACTACAGTACCAGTGACAACTAATTAAATGTCAGTTAAGGTTCAATCGCCGTTTAGAGTCTTGTATTCTTACCGGGAGGCATCACATATTCGATCCAACGATGGCCTGCAAAATGAATAGCCACGCCAATTGCTAGATACACGATAGCACAGATAATAATACCACCAGCAGCAACATCGACATTTTCATTTCTTCCAGAAGTAGGCGAATAATTGTAGCCTGTAGCAGATACAACTACACCAATAAAGCCAAAGGAAGAACCAACATAAGAAGGAACTAATAATGGAGTTTAGTCTATATTTTTATTTCTATAAATCTTTTACCTCTTCCACCAGTACAAATATAGAAGATGATCGTCCCAATACCGGAAAAGAACAATGCGGCTAGAATAAAGATAGGTAATCGTGAGCACAGATAAGCTTTAGTAGGAAAATACTTTACTATTTGTGTCAAAACCCATCATCAATGGAGCTATGTAAGAGGGTCAATAATCATACAGTGATTTTATTATTTCTGCTTACCAAGCACAGTAGAACCAAACATGGCCAAGACATGTTGGATACCCATTAAGAGACATTGGTGAATAGGTGGTCTTTCATCAATGAAAATAGGGCCAGATCGCTTGAGTTTATACCGAGGAAAGTAATTGATGATAGTCTGCTTAGAAAAAAACTTGTGCCCGGTAGAAATGCCTCTTGAATCATCCGAAGACTGACTATAGCTTTCAGTCAAATCGTGCTTGGTTGGATCAAAATCATGAGGGTATTTTTCGATTGAATTCATATTATTATTATTAATTTTTTTTTTTTTTTTTTTTAGTTTTTAGCAATAAAACAATAAAAAAAAAAAAAACTTTCAAGAAGTAAGGATCTTGATATGAACAAAAAAAAAAAAGAAAAAGAAAAAGGAAAATCAAAAATTTGACAGAAAAGGAACTACTATAAAGAGTTTAGTGAACCAATCAAAATGATTCTGGCTTTTTCTTTTTTTAATAACATCAACAAAACAAAGAATTACATGTACAATGTGAGAAATATATGCTTTATATATTCTTAAATGGACTCTTGTTGATTTTGAGGCTATAGTGTGTTAGTCAAAGAAAAGAAAGTAATAAAGTAAACTTACCTTGTTTTGTCTATAGTTATAATTATTACTGTTGTTGTTACGATTGTTGTTGCGGTAATAGTTATTACCACCACGGTTTCCACGGTAACCACCACGACCTCTATTGTAATTGTTTCGGTATCTCGATTGTTCAACAGTGGCTTGTCCAAATGTTTCCATGTTCAATTTACGTTCTTCTTGGAAACGGCTGCGACGAGAATCACTAATGTCATTTAATTAGTATTAAAATTGTTTTTTTCATATGCTTACCCTTGTTGTTGTTGATGCTGTTGTTGCTGCTGCTGTTGTTGTTGTTGTTGTTGTTGTTCAATACGTTCTTTTGACTCACATGAAATGTTATCAAAGAAACTCGAAGTCTATACAGTATCATAAGCATATTCCTTCTCTCTTATGTGAGTTACCTTGTTATAAAATTCATCAGGTTTAGGAATTTCGATTTCTTCTTGATCATGAATACCATCATCCTTCTTGACAATCTCATTCTTATCAAATTTAGCATTAGAGGCTTCAAAGTCAAATTCAGAAGAAGGAATAGCTAAATCATGCTTGGACTTGTTGCTGTTATTGCTGTTGTTGTTATAACGGCCACCACGGTTATTACGATAGTTGTTTTGATGATTATCATAGCGACGACGTTGTTGTTGCTGTTGTTGTTGTTGTTGCTCTTCCAATGGTTTGGAGCTAATCACCGTGTCTTCATTAGGATTCAACTCACTTACTTTCTTGGCTAATTGCTCAATAGCAGCTTCATTAATAGTAGGCTGTGAAGCAGCACTTTCTTCAAGTTCAGCCTTTAATTCATCCAATGTATCCTTTTCAAGTTGAGCTTGATCTAAATCACGATCCATAGAGAAAGTAGAAGTAGCTGGAGCTTGCCAATAGTTATGGTTATTGGAGGAAGTAGTGGAACTGGGTCTATTCAAAGACTGTTGTTGTTGTTGCTGTTGTTGCTGTTGAGAAAGTTGCTGTTGTTGAGGGAGCTTTTGGGGCTTTGTTTGTTGAATAGGTGGCTGAGAAAGAGGAGGTTGCATATACATGTTGTTGTTCATGTAAGGGTTCATGGGAGGATAACCATTCATGCTCTTCAAAAGAATGAGTGAATAACACTTAGATATAATCATACATACCATAATAGCAGGATCCTGAGGCATGGTAGGTTGAGGAGGAGGGGGAGGAGGTGCTTCAAAGACTTGAAGATCCTTAATGTCAGAACCACGAAAGACAACGTAATCAAAGACATTGTCAGAAGGAAGAATCTCTTCTTCAGGCTTGCCACGTCGACCTTCAGTACCAAAGGAGCGAACTAATAAGACGCGTCATAAGCACATACTTCTTCGCATACAGCTTTCTTTTCTTACCTTGCTTCAAGCCAACAGTAGAGTCTTGAGCGTTGATACTATGAAGAATACCAACGTAACGAATGTCACTTAAACTGATGAGCTATGAAACTATAATAAGTCATGTTTTCTTTATAAATTAAACAAAACTTGTACTCACAGAGATTTTGGAGCCAATGTAGTTTTCACCAGCCATGTTGTTTTGTTGATGTGTTAAAGGAAGGGAAAAAGTGGCAATGAATTCGTCATGACCTTTACGTGCTGTCACGTGCTCGATACCGGACATTTTGAGCTCAGAATAGTTCAAACCGGACATCGAACAGATGACGCGATCAACATTTGCCACGTATGGTAAGCTACCTTCATTGCTAAAAGATCAAGTGTACGATATGATTTGATGGTGAAACAAGCTTGAGAAAATATAAAAACAAGAGAAAAAAGTCGTTTTACTCACTTTGGATTCATTGGTTCATTTCTTTGAATTCATGACCATACTGATTGATTTCATTTGATCAATGACATACTTGATTCATCTCAATGAATGCGTGCGCACAGGCAATAAACAGAGATCGTTATCATTGTAGAAGATCTTGTGCAACAGAATATGAGCTGATGTGACTACAAGTTCGGGATCTCACTATAAGAATATGATTTAATTGTCTCGTAAGAAAAAAAAAATAAGACGTTTTTCTTTATCGCTCCTTCCTTTTTTTCTCTTTACTATGATGGACAAACATACAAAAGATCCTGTCTATGACAATGAGTCTGTTACTACCAAGCGAACCATCCATCGAGGTAGTCGAAAATCGTTGTATATGGCAGGTATCATTGCCGCAGGTGGTGGTTTTGTCGTTGGTTTTGATACTGGCGCAGTCTCGGGTACAATGGTACTTCAACCTTTTATGGATCGCTTTCTGAATGTGGATGCCACTTATCGTTCTGCTCTTTTGGTTGCCATGATGTTACTTACTGCAACCATTGGTGGTCTATGGTCTGGCAGCATTTGTGGTAATGAAAACCTTGTTTTTTATATATCTTGTTTGCTTATGACTTTATATAGATTGGATCGGTCGAAAGAATACTATCTTACTGGGCACAGGCGTTTTTGCCCTCGGTGCACTTTTTGAAACCATCGGCTATAACTTTGGTTTACTTATGGCAGGTCGTCTCTTGGTTGGTTTTGGTGAAGGTTTCCTGACAAACGCCATTCCTTTGTATCATACTGAAATTGCTCCACCTGATATCCGTGGTCGTTTAATTACGTTGTTTAGTGCCATGTCTTCCATTGGCACCATTGCTGGCTTCTTTGTCAATTTTGGTACTTCTTATCTTACTTCTGACTGGGCATGGCGTGCACCCTTTTTGATCCAAGTAGGTGTCTGTGTATTCTTGATGTTGGCCTACTTTTTGCCTTACTCTCCTCGTTGGTTAATTGACAAGGGACGTAAAGAAGAAGCTTTGCAAGTTCTCGCTAAACTCCATGAATCCACTGTGGATGATCCTGATGTGCGCAACGAGTACTTGTGCATTTGTGAAGAAATTGAACAAGAACATGCTTATGGTAATCGTACCTTCATTGAATGTTTCCGTGGTACAAATCTCAAGCGTACTTTGTTTGCTCTTTTTACTGGTAATGGCGCTGCTTTCACAGGCACGTATTCCATTACTTACTACGCTCCTCAAATCTTTCAGCAAGCTGGCTTGAGCGATACTGGTATCTCTTTAGTAGCAAGTGGTACAAGTAATATTCTTGTATTGATTGTCACTATAGTCACTCTGATGGTTATTGACAAGTTGGGTCGTCGTGGTGTGTTTGCTTCAGGTGCATTCATCATGGGTGCTTCCATGTACATTGTTGGTGGTCTATTCCAAGGCTACAATGTTGAAGATGATGAAGGCAATGTGTATCTGTCCAGTACCAATGCACGTAACACGGCTATTGCCTTTATCTATATTTTCCAAGCTGCTTATGCTTACAGCTGGGGCCCTGTTGCCTACATCTATCCTGCAGAAATTTCCAACATGCGTACACGTGCTAAAACAATTGCTCTTGCCTATGGTCTCAATTGGGCTATTGGTATTTTCATGACCTTTATCCTGCCTATCTTCATGACAAACACAATCTATGGTGGTTACTACTTTTTTGGTGCTTGTTGTACTGTTCTCTTTTTAGGCAGTTTCTTTTTGGTTGAGACGAAAGGAAAGACATTGGAAGAGATTGATCGCATTTTCAATCCTATTCAAGATGACGGTATACCTTCAAACACAAACACAAACTAACTCTCTCTCTCTTTAATAAATCCTTATGGCTGGGCCTCTTGCGCGTCGTCTCTGGTCCTCCTTCTTCCCCTGGGGTCCAAGGTTTTAGAAGAAGAAGGGGACTATGCGTTGGCATTGGCTTCTTTTGTTTTCTCTTTTGTACAAAAAGGACAATCGAGGGGTGCTGGCCTTGTAAAAAAAGGCCGGCTGAGATCAGACCCTTATGAGCGGATCATGTTAATGCATGCGTCGCCACGAATTCCCATTTGTACTTTTTTTTTTGCCAATCCTTTTTTTTTTTGCCAATCCTTTTTTTTTTTTGCCAATCCTTTTTACGTATAGGTTTCTGCTGTCATAGGATAAGTATTTCTTTTTTTTTTTTTTGTATTTTTTTAGGATAGATGTTTATATTCTAGGTTGGCTATTTTTTCTTTCTTTCTTACATTTGGGTTCGTCCTTTTTATTTTTCTCGCTCGCTCTGTATCTCTACCTCGGTGGGATTCTTATTTTATCAATGTTTGTTGTCTAATGTGTGTGTGTGTGTGTGTGTGTGTGTGTGTGTGTTCTATTGAGTTGTTTTGTTTTGTTTACTCTTAAAATAAAATCATCTTGACTTTCAAAATACTAATTTGCCTCTTTCCACTTTTTTTTCTTTGTTTCTTGACATTATGACTACTCCAAATGATAACATTATACTACAAGACGAATATGATTATCTTTGGCAAGCTTTACGCGATAAACCAGACGATTTTGACCCTTGGGAACAACTTATTCGAGTAGCAGAAACACCACCACAAGGTCTGACAAAGACCTCACCTCCCGAACATATGGTTCGTTTAGAAAATGTCTATGACAGTTTCTTGACCCGATATCCTTTATTCTATGTCTATTGGAAGAAATATGCGGATTGGCAGTTGGCTGTTCGTGGTGAAACATCAGCCAAGAAACTAAAGGATTGAGAATCCAAAAAGATATCTTTTTTAACCTGTCTCTACTGAGTAGGTCTTTGAAAGAGGTGTTATTGCCATTCTCAATTCGATTGACCTTTGGAACCAATATATTGATTTTAAATTGTTGCACAAAGCTTCCAATGATCAAAAATCACATATAAGAGGCACAAGCTGATGTAGTTGAATTATTTTGTTTGAACGTGCAGCTTCATGTATTGGATTCGATTTCCTTGCTCATCCATTTTGGGACAAGTACACCGAGTTCACGAAAACGCAGTTGGCTGATCCTAAGCGTTTATTGGCATTATTGGACCGTATTGCCGTCATTCCAATGCATCAGTACGCTCAGTATTATGAACATTGGTACGCCCTACGCACTCAAATGACACCAGCAGAGACCTTGGATCCAGATACACTTACCCAATGGACTCAAGACGTTCAAGAAAAGAAAGGCAGCTTGGAGCAAAAAAAAAAAAAAAAAAAAAAAAAAAAAAAAAAAAAAAAAAAAAAAAACTGGACAATGCGCTCAAAGAAAAAATAAAAGCGCAGACGAAAACGATCTACAAAAAGACACAAGGAGGCACTCATCAACGGTGGATATACGAGGCTGAAATCAAACGACCTTATCTCCATTTCAAACCATTAGACAGACCTCAACTTCAGAACTGGAGTCGATGTCTTGATTTTGAAGAGTCATAAGGAGACCAACAACGTATTCGTGTTCTTTATGAACGATGTTTTTTTGCTTATGTAAATAGATTTCAATGATAATATAAGACTTATTTGATTGGTAGGCTCATTATGAAGAATTCTGGATGCGTTATGGACAATGGTTGGCTGAAAGAGCGGCCTATACATTTCTTTCTTGTGAGCATACAATTGTTAAAATAGCACTTGCTTTGGTTTTAGAAAAACAAGGGAAAGCAGATGATGCCAGACAAATTTACTCTACCTTATTAGAATCAAGTAAATGCAACCAGAGTAAGCACATCTTGTTTCTGATTTTCTCTCTTTTTTTTTCTATTAGTGCCCACACATATTGAAGTCATTTTGAACTACCTTCACTTTGAGTGTAGACAAAACCCCAATTCCTTCCATAGCCTAGTCAACAATTAAATTTATTCCTCCCAATTGGATGCATCTACCAAGACATTTTTTACCATACAATACATTAGATACCTCCAGAAAAACAATAAAATTGACAGAGCAAGAGAAACTTATTCATTATCAGCGACTTTATACCCCTATAACAACTTCCTTTGGCTGAATTATATCAATTTCGAGCTTGGCTTTAACGGTAAGTCAAAGACAACACATCCTAGCCAGTCATTGGTACGCTTCTCTCAGACCAGCTTTCAAGCAATAGAATCGCACAGGTATTTAGACAAGCACGTCAAAATCTACCCAAACATCCACAACAAGAAATTGTTGTCAAGTACAGAGAATACCTTTTAGAACGCGGTACTTCCATTGTTGCACTCAATAGACTTCATGTTTTTGTTTCAACAGAATTCATAAGCGAAAGCAATCTTAAACGCACAATAGACGATAATAGGAGAAATATTAGTCTTGCTAAACAAGCTCGAACTTGATCTCATCGTTATTGTTTATTAAATTCCAGTTTATTTATGATGTAAGCGAATCTCTTTTTCATATGCATTCACATCTGGTATGACAATATCATTCAATACACTCAATGCTCGTAGTGCTGCTTGACGTGGCTTTCTTTCATTGACGAACCCCTTTGTGTCCTCATCATGATATTCTTCATATATAACTTGAGGTTCTTGTTCACAGGTATAGTCTTTCCATAAATCCACAATATGCTGAATCAAAGGTGTTTTGCCTACTGTACCTGCCAGCAAATGATTATCTTTGGGAATAAATGTGTAGCGACGGTCAGATTGTTGGTCTATTTTCTTCCATTTGGCATAACATTCCTCTAGCCATAAATGATTCACAAGAACCACTTGAGGATATTCGTTTGATGATTGGTATTTTTTACCAGAACCACTAGAATAGACACATAAGTCTTGGTTGATAGAACTAGGCTTACCCTCCACATATCAAGTGAGTAGTGTCCTTTTGAAGTTCTGGCGAATATCTTGCTCCTGTTGCTACAATCAATGTATTAAGAAAGACTCTTGCTGCTCCTTTAAATCCTGTCACACAAATCACACAATTTTTCATTTCAGCAATACCCATCTTGGGCACAGGATAATCCAACAAGACATCGAAAGGCGGGCAATAATACTTTCTGATCAACGTATTGGATAACCACCAAAAGCTTGCAATCACTTTGCTGTCTTTAATGGCCTGTCTGTATTCAGCTGAAGAGCGATATTTAAGAATCACAATGGTCACTAAATGATGGTTATATTCAGACACCACTCGGCCCCCTCCTGCCTTAACATAGTCTGCTATAAAGGGGATTATGGCTGTCTTGCGTTCGTCTGTCATGATATCTTGGCCGAAATAGATAGTTTCATCCAGGAATGGTCTTGTCTCTTCTAGTTGTTGATGTGATGGAAGAATAGAGGACAGGGTTTTGATATCCGTGGGGTATGGGTGAATGGTGGCTGTAAACGGCTTGTTAGGGTAGTAGACAGAGGGTATTGGAAAACGATACATGTTGTAGTCTAGCTTACAATGATGTCGAAAACAATCATCTAACCATTGTGGAAGTACTACAGGAATACTTTTGTCTATGCACTCATTATAATGTGACTAAAGGAAATTGAGTTGAATACTACAGCAAAAACTATAAACTTACACCTCTTGGATCAACGCATATTAAGCATGTCATATCTTGAGTCAAATCATCCCTACATTGACCACCATATTTTCTTATTTGGCTATAGATTGCCTCATTCTCTTTTGGCAACTACAAGTGGCATTAGTATATGATACAGTATTTAAGCAGTTTACATCAAGTAGCATGAAAACCTCGCCTGATAAGAATTGTTCTTGATCTGGTGCATAATAAGCAGTACTATACAGAAATTAATCTATTGAATGCTAATGTATTGTCAACAACATACTTATGTACAAATCCATTGCTAATTGCCTTTTCAACCCATAAAGGCTATTTTCTCTATCGATTAGACTAGACAATTTAAGAAAATAAAGAGCTTGACTTGCCGTGACAGATTCTTGTATCTCTAAATTTCTGTGTGTTTGAGAGACAAACAAATTGGGCTCTTTATTTCCATATTGTTCGGAATAAGCTTGTACACCTCCATTGTTTAGTAATATGTTGTTTAGCTAATACATATGTATGGGTCTATACGCGCAGTAGTTATTAAGCAATAGACGCTTACTGTTATTTGAACACTATGGGGTAAGGTTTCGTCTATAGTATAAATAACGTTATCAAAAAGACGTATTGTCTTTTTGTCGTTTATATGTCTTCCAAGTTTAAGTTTTTTATTCTGTTCATGAACACTGGACATGACAAACGAAAAAAGACAAAACCATTTTTTTTTTTTTTTGCTTTTTTGTATATATTTATTTATTTTCTAGGACGCGCACTGGGCCAATCAAAAACTAGGTGTTGAATCCAACGCTATGATTGTAAAGCGAATAACGATTTAAAAAAGAAAAAGCAAATGATTAGGATAAACTCCTTTTTTATTACTATTGTACTCAAAGAAAGGAGGAAGATTAATAATGAAAGAATGAATTGTGTTATCCTGCATGAATAAAAAGAAATGGATTGCCACGGAGAAAGAAACTAACATAAAGACATCATTAGGTCTTTTTAAAATCAATAAAGCCGAAATAAAATAAAACGTGGTGTATATAGCATCATATTCAATTTGTCATGACTGTTCTCAAGATGAATTTGGTGGTCTCGATACGCTCTATTATGGGTGTGTTAATGCAACTGTTGAGTCATATGATCGGCAATGTACCTGATGTCCAGTAAAATGATCTACCCGTGCTTAATGGAGTATCTTTTGCCTGTTTATCTATAGTTGATTTGAAGGTGAATATGGCTGATCATATAGTTCGATACTTTACCTATTGTAAGCGAAGATTTTCCTTGCTTTCTCAGTCTATTCAATATAAACATCCTATATTATTATCATTATCATTATCATTATCATTTACCTTGATTTTCTATGCCTCTTTTTGCTTTCTTTCTTTACTGTGTCATGATAATAACTGTTCTTTTTATGAATCGTGTTTAATTTTAATCTGATAGTCAAATTAGGCTTGTCTTGTTTGATAGTGTACATCGATAAAGGAATGGAGAAGAAGAGAAGGAATAAAGAAAAACAAAAAGAGAAAAGAGGGTAATTTAAATCTAATAAGCCGTGATCATTTTATTTACTCCTTTTTTTATATATATAAGCAAACTTTATTCATTATTTTGCTATTGTTGGTATTTTGTAATTAACCCCAGGTGAATTACCAAAAATACCTAATAACAACATGATATGACACGCTACTAATGTCCATGAGCTTTTTACTGTTGAAGGAAATGTTAGCCAACAGGCTTCAATAGTGACAAATATCACAATTCGTGATGTTGTCTGAAATCCTTGCTTAGATGTTTGCCAGGCACATTGCCATAACAAGTAAGGCAGTGTTTGGAAATACCATGAATAAAATTGATAATGAAGTGATCGTGCAAATAAAATACCGATAAAATTACTAGTAAACATCATGCAAATAATATCTATTGCCGAGTAAATTAATTGTGTGCGTGCCTTCTGTTGGCTTACCATCGTTTGATATCATTATACTTGGTTTCTTGAATGAAAAGCCTTGCTTGAATACATAGATTAAACCCCCTTTACTATACAAGAGAATGAGTGATATGCAAGTATGATGATTGAATACATTACGGTGGACACCAGATACAAACAATAAACATCAATAAAGTGAACGCATGTCCAGCAAGTAATTCTTTAGCAAACCAACTCGACACAAAGGTTTCCTCGCTCATCATTCGCCAATTGACTGTCCAGGTATAATCAAAGACTCTACTGAATTCAAATGCTTTTGATAGATAGCTTGAAGAGTATTGACTTAAGAATGGATAACCCAATCCTATCTGGATAAGTACCATGAGACCCAATTGTGCTATTGTCTTGTATGCACCAATGGTTTGCCATAATAAGATACCATAGGCAGGAAAGAAGAGCAATACATTCATTTTGATAGACAAAGCTAAGCTAAACAAGACTGCACTTACTGTCCAACGTCGATAGGTCATGGCTAAAATACATCCTAGCATAAACATCATGGCTACTGGATCATTAAAGCAACGGAGTAAGAAAATAGAGTGAAATCTCTTTGAGCATCCAAGCAAGAGTATTACATAAGGTGGCACTTTGTTTGATTGGTGATAAATAGCACATGCCAAGTATTGACTGATTAAATAAATACCCTCAAACACATACTGAGCTAATCGAATGTTTGTGCCTTTGTTGGTTAGATAGTATAATGCTGAATAAAAATAGACAAAACCAGCAGGATACCTATTTTCTTATAAGTAATGCAAAGTAGATAGCGTGTTCTGATGTTTACACAAGTGGTCCTGTATCGCCTTTTAGTTTTGTATAGTCGCGTTCACCTTGTAAAAAACCTTCTACTTCTTGCATATATGCAACCCAGTCTATTTCTGTGTCTATTGAACTGTCAATTCCTTCTTCTTTTGTTGAGATCGTATACGATCGATAACTTACATGATACTTTCTTAATAATAACAGTGCTCAAGACAAACTCGCCTAACAGCAACATAGCAGTAAGGTGCCAAAAATACTTGGGATGACATAAGAGTTGAACTGGTAGTTTAATGATATCTTTAAATTTGTATATCTTTCTATCTAATTCTCTTGTTTTTTCTGGTTTCTTTTTCTTTTTTTGGTGTTGGTTTACTTTAATCATTTTGTGAAAAAGTAAGAAAAAAAAGTTCAGGTTAATGGCTGCCAAATAAGGCGCAATCTCATTTCATGAGTTGAAGAGCCGCTTCATCTCCGAGAATACTTGCATTATAACTACTTGTTTGTAATAACAAGTGGGCATTCATTAAGAAACTATATCCTGCTTAATGTTTCTAAGTTTGATTTATTATATAAGGGATAAAATAACTGATTTGCAAAACTCTCTGAGTAGAATAAATACTGTTTATAGCACAGACAAATTTGACCACAAAGAAAGACAGACATTAGTAGTAGTAGTAATAAGTGGCCCAATCAGTCTTGGTGTGGCAACAATATGGGGCCTTTTGTGGTAAAAGAGAGCGAGAGAGAGCTATCGTGGTGTTGAGCCTTATAAAAAGTAATAGGTATAAAGACAAAAAAGAAAACTATGCTTACCTAAAGCTCAATTTTATCACCTAGGATGGCTTCTTGGACTACTGTTCACACTGAAACTGTGAACTTCAGAGCCCAGAGAGTAGGGAAGCATGGTATAACAAGTAGAAAAATGGCCAGTAAGATTAAAAGAGGTGGGTTGATACGTCTCAGAGAGAAGGATACATTGAATCTAAAAAGCTTCGAAGAATATTTTGAATGAGAAAAAAAAACAGAAAAAAGCGTTTTTATATTCTTTTATTTATCAATATTCAAGTCAATGGGTAACAAAAAACTGCTTTTTTCTTGTTTATTTATGTGAGTCTAGTTTACCTCATATTCACATGTTTTTCTTGATTCAAAAGCCCCGAAAGCTTCCGTGCTATAGAAAAGGGACTTGCTATATCTTTTGTAGCCTCTATGTCGATCTCTTGTATTAACTGAGCTACTCTAAAGCAGTTACACGAATTTTTTTATATCGCTTCTTTAAAAAAAGTCTTGAATAGTCTAATTGACTTTATACTGATCAAGCGAGAAAGAAGACTATGTTTATCTATCTATTGTTCAGATGAGAATTAATCGAAATAGTTGATAGATAAATATGAATGCAACACCCATTACATGAAGTGATTCTCAGTTTATTTGGTGGCTATTAACGCAAGTTACATCATTTAAACGCACATAACATGTTTGAATATTCTTCTCAATTAAATAATAATTTAAAAGCAGAATTCAAGAAAATAAAATATGAAGAACTTTAAAGTATGAATGCAAACAGTGATATTGTCACATCAGGAAAAAGAAAAGCGTGTGGCTTACAATCACATAATGAGGCTTTATTGTCAAAAGAAGGAGATGCATTATCCAATGTTAAACAATGTTTAATTGGTAGATTGAAGGTACACAAGCCTTTTTTTTTGCTTTTTCAAGTAACCGTCAAAATTGGATCACACAAGTTTTTATTTTATTATAACGTTGCCTTGAGTATATATATCCACTTAAAAAGAGAGAAATGATGAATCATTCATAATAATAGTTATTTTTGGATAAACGTTGTTTCTGTCTCCATACATCGTTCAACTTGTTTATTTGAAACACAAACTGGAAAAAACCGGGCAAATATGTAGTCAAAAAGCAAGGTTAAGTATGTCGAATGTTACACAATGATGTCTTTTTGATTTGTATTTAAGCCTTTTTTTTGAATTCCAACATTTTCCCGAGGCTCAGACATATTCACTTCAATGAATACATAGAGAAATAAAACATGAAGCATGTGCCTACTATCCCGACTCTATATTTTCTTTATCAGAAGCTGACTTGTAATCCTTTGTTGTAGGACAAAATCTATCAATTTCTCGGGGTCAAGTGCACATAGTGATCATCCCCGCTTGTTAAGGGCTAGCAATTTTTTTTTGTCATCTGAAAATGCGGGGAAGGAAGGAAAATAATCATAGAAAAAGCAAGAGGTTCCTTTTTTTTTTTTCATTGCAAAAAGTATCGAATGATAATTTTTACTTGTTTATCTTTGGTGCACATTCATGTGATTTTATCTCTCTGTCATCCTCTTTTCTCTCTTTCTTTTTTGTTTTTTTAGGGTCGACAGGGTATAAGAGAGAGTGTGTCCCTGAGGACAATAGGGTGACTTGTTAAAACGTCCCGCATTAAATTAATTTTTTTTCAAAACAGAAAAGGCTTTGATTGGTTTTTTACTGAGGATGGCTAATCGTTTAATCGAAAGTATAGAATGATTTTTTTATCAACAACTTCCAATTTATGGATATACGTTTAGACTCTAAAATCTCAGCTTCCCATCTTTTTTTTTTGTGATATCTCTCAAAGACAAAGTAGTCTCTTTACAAGTAAGATGTATGATCCAATGCAAGTGAAAAAAACTATGTTCATGTGTATTTCTTTTTTATTTTTGCTGATTCAATAAAATCACATGAATCACGTAATAAAGAATACACACAAACAATCAAATGGCAAACGGCGGCAAATCATGGGTAAAAAAAAAAGAGAAAACTCTCGCTTTTTAACTCCGAGGACATTTTGTCAAAGTAAATGCATGTGATGACGAACAAAAAAGAAAGTAAGAGGAAGAGAGAAGGGGGAAAAATAGACATATACACAAGATCGATGAAAGAGAATGTAGCCAGTAAGGAAGGTACAAAAGGTGAGTCAATCTGGGTAAAAATGATTATAAATAAAAATTAGTACCATTCCGCAGAAATCCCAGGTTTTTAATGCTTAAATTTAAAGGAGAAAAAAAAAAGAAGATTTCTCTATCTCTTTCTCTTTCTCTTTCTCTTTCAAAATCCATAAATGAATATTAAATTATCCGATAAAAAAAGGTCTTGTTTGCCTTATAACACTAATGATACACCACCATTATATGATCTACAAGAGGTCATTCAGCAATATCAATCACAACCTGAGCTTCTAAAATTGATCCTTACAAGCAAAGTGGAAGAAGATAAACGTAGAGCCGAAGAAGCTAAACTTCGTGCTAAAGAACTTGATCTTTATTTACAACACAATAACCAACCTCCAAGCCCAACCGGATCTCCTCCCACTACACCACGTTTAGAGTCTGAGGAAGAAGAAGAAGAAGAGCCAATTGTCCTTGAAGAACCCAAAAGAAAAAGAAGCTACAAGGTTTTACCTACAACATCTAAAAAAGCTCGTTCAGTCCCTTACCCCTCACCTAACCCACCTGCCAATTATAACTCTTCATTTTCATCTGGCTCATCCATCTCATCTTTATCTTCAGAAGAAGAAGACATGGATCAGCACCAACAACGCCGCCACTCTGCCGCTGCTGCCATGCTGGCCATGGGAGGTAGCCTGGTTGAAGAATCAAGTGCATATCCATCACCTACAACTGATCCTGTTGAAACAGACGAAAAAGAGGACTCAAATAAACCTCGCAGACGAAGAGAAATGCAGGCCATTACAAAAATTGTAGAAACAAGGGAGTTTCCCTATGTTGATAATTACTTTTGGAAGAATAATGGCAATACTGTTCAAAAGAAGACAGGTTGTAAGAGTATTTACTATAAATGTTCAAACAGTAATAAGGTAATTTTTTTTCTTCTTTCTAAGCGGGATTTGGCGGGGAAGAATTGGATTAACGGGTTTGCCCGATGTCTTTTACATATGAAATTCATGCTTTTGGAGTTCACACGAGTCTATCGGTTAATTTTACTAATTCCATTCCTTAGGGATGTTCTGTAAACAAGACAGTGACAGCAAGGCCTAATGGTGAATATCTCATCAAGTATCGTGGCTGTCACTTACCGGAATGTGGTAGAGTAGAACGCATTCGTGACTTGTAGATAGCGCATTAAGCAACAACCCATATACCTGTTTATATCTTATGGATATAATCCCTCTTTATATTGCATATCAAGCTGACAAGTTTCTCTTTCTTAACCTACTACATACTCCTAATTTGTTAATTGTTTTTTCGCACGCTTTTTTCAATTCATTTATTACAATGTCCTCTTCTTTGTCCCTCATAAGGCGTCACTGTCCATTGGTTGTCACTGTCAATGTCTGTTTGTGTCTATTCTTATTCAACATAAACTTCTCTCTCTCTCTCTTTTTTTTTCTGTATGTGTTTGTTGATTCGTTCAAGTAAATAGGCTTGCGTAACATAATTGAGTGTGTATGTCATTCAAAATTTGCCCTCTTTTTTCCCTCTCTCCCTCTCTTGTTGCTTTAGTATGAAATCACGAACAACCTTATTTGTTTCTGGTTTTGATGCAAAGACGCGTGCCAGAAATCTTGCTTATGAATTCGAGAGGTAAAGAATACACCCTTATGTATCATTCAACCAATATCCTATAAGATATGGACGTCTTGTTCGGTTAGACATACCCGCACCAAAAAGCTACAACTCCAAACCGTAAGACGCGACTTTATTCTTAATCAAAGACTCATAAGATAACAGATATGCCTTTGTGGAGTTTGAAGAGAACCAAGATGCCGAAGACGCTTTTCAAGAAATGCATGGCCGAACTATTGATGGCTATACATTAAACATACAAGTAACATTTTATGAAATCTCTTTAGGTGACTAAATACTATGTAGTGGGCAAGAACAACACCTGCTTATTTACAAAACCAACATCATCAACAGCAACAGCAACAACAACAACAACGCCCAAAATATAACAACAGAGACAGTCGTTCTCGGAGTCCTTATCGTAGAGAACGTTCTCCTTCATCTCCTCCACCTCGATTTGCCAACGATTCTATACCTCGTCGATTTCGGTCAAGATCTCGATCTCCCAACAATTATCCAAGACGATATTCACGTAGCCCTCCTATCAATTAGGAATAAAGTATAGCTTTTATTGCATTTATGTTACAGAAAAAAAAACAGAGAGAATAGGCAAGAATACAAGTGTATGCGTGTATATGAGTATGGTGTGTGAGAGAGAGTGTGTATAAATATGTATAGGTTTATAGTTGTCTACTTAAACGAGCCAAGTGGTAATTGATAGTGTTGGAGTGCTTTGTTCTATGAACCTATGATTTGAAAAGAGTAAATATACATGCTGATCTTGACAATTTTTTTAGACTTACAGGCTTGCCCATACAAGTAGTCAAGGATTGAGCAATAGCTGCACAACGCTTATCATCGACACCAGCAGTTGCCCAACATTCAAATAAGGCACCCATCTCAGCAAGACAAGGGCTGGCTTCCAAGATCTTCTTGGGTCTAACTTTGAGTTGCTTCAACTTCATGTTTGAAAGTAAAAGAGAACGAACAAAAAATATTTTATTTTATATCAAGGGGGGACGAGAGGGGGGTACCGGACATTAAATGATAAAACGTCACTGAACATGATTTAGGGCTTGAGTTGTACACCGTGTTCAACAAACGACTTAAGTACATCCATAGCAGCCGATCGAACTACTTGTACTTGAGCATCTTTGACTAGCGAAATAAGCTTCTTGTCTACATTCTCTTTTACCAAAGCGTCGACTGCTGATTTGCCCTTGTGCTGTGTCAATAAACGAATCACCTCAATACCTCTATGTTGTACATCGGCTGTTTCATCACTATCGATCCATCGAGACATTCTTTCATAGCATTTGTCTACTTGTACAATCATATCACAAGTGCCCGGACTATTGGCTAGAATAGCCAAGGCACCAGAAGCAGCCCTTCTTGTGGCAGGATCCTCATGATCTGACAGTATCATCAAGAGACGAATGCGGTTCTGCGATTTGGATGGATCACTATAGCGTTCAAACACTGGATCACAAAATGTCATGTTGCAGACCATTTCAGTAGCTGCGCGTTGGACCATTTCATTGTTTGACAATTGCAAGTTTTCAAAAGTAGTCATGCCATCTGCATTTTCTACCAAGAGTCGTACACGATCCTCAACAGAAGCCAAGTTGGTTAATGCCATTAAACCCTCGAATTGACGCAATTGATTGGTATCTTTACAGAGAGCAAGGAAAGGTCTGACCATATCCAAGATAGTATCACCTTGAAATGCAATACGAGGGTCTGTTGTAATGGCTAATTTGGCCATCGCTTGTGAAGCAATAAGGCCAGTGAGTGTGTTTGTATCACGAGAAAGAGGTAAGAGAGCTTTAATAATGCCCTGCTGTAACAATTGGCCTCGTGCGGATTGTGGTGTGACAAGTTGAAGATAAGTTTGTGCAGCAACAGCTTGAATATTTACACTGCTGTTCTTGGACAAGACCATCAGAGCAAGGGCCACACCGTTCTTGATGGCTTTTTGGATACGGTCTTCTACTGCACTATCGTTTTCTCGAGGATCATCTTCTGTTGGCTTGTTTTGTTTGGCATTGGCGAGATCTCGAAGCTTTTTCATCTGCTTTTGCTGCTCATCAAGCACAGGTCGGTACATGGTTAGGTTAGCAAAGATAGTACCAATACCAAACAAAAGTGGATTACTGTTAGCAGCATCTTGTTGTGTAGTGCTAATGGTCAGTGTAGACAAGCACTTGAGAAACTCTTCATCATTGCCCAGAGCAGCTTTGATCTCTGGCTTAAGTGAAGAATAAGCCAGTCCTTCTACTGCATTAAGCAGCAAGTTGGCATCAGAAGACTTGGACTTGATCACCTGTGTAAGTGATTCAACCAGCATTTCGTTCGAGAGATGCATTCTTTTCATGGCTTCTTCTAAATCAGATCCGTCCGCGTCTTGGTTTTGTGTAAAGTTGTCATCGGAAGGCATATCTGCTTGTGCACGTAATTTGGCTAATGCTGTACCTGCTGCTGCTTTTAACTGAGGATCTGTCTTTTGTTGTCCTGCTGTGTTCACAAGCCAGTTGACAGCATATTTCAGTATTTGCTTTTGACAGCTCTTGTCCGAAGAAGCAATGATCAACACGTCTGTCATTGCAAGTTGAACAGGCAATGCCTCGAATTCAATGACATCCATCATTTCTTCTACTGTTCCTTCTTGACTGAGAATAGCAGCACCTACTGTCATACTTGTCTGGAAAATAGCATTTAAGGTACGATAAGCTAATAGCTTGGCTTCAGTTTTGCCTTGATCGACACAATTAGAGAAACAGGCAGCACATTGTTCAATGATAAATGGCATAGGGTATTGCTCCACCTTGGTATCAGGATTAAATAGACGTGTCAGGATCATAAATGCAAGACTCTTGATACGAGGAGGAGTCTCAGGTGTACCACAAGCTGTCAAGACAAGCACAAAGTCATGAGAACTAACAAAGGCACGAATAGCGGATGTATCTTCAGGATGACCAAGTAAAGTTAAGTGCTTTTGAAAGAGTGCGATGCGTTCGATTTCTTCTTTACTACCTGTGTGTGTTGAAGTTGTTGCTGGACGCTGGCTTAAACGAGCAATGAATGCTTGTGCTTCATCTTTTAGATCAGGATCTCGTTTGATGGCAGTCTGGATGTCATTGGTTGCTTGAGTTATTTGATCAAGAGACTCATAGACAGCTGCTCTTTTCATCAGTGTGCTTGCTACTATTTTATCATTGTCACTGTTAGTTTCAAGTTGATGTGTTAATTCTTTGATCTGGCTTTCCAAAGTCTAGAGCGCGTAAGTCATATCTGTATGTGTTTATCAATAGTCAATATCATACCTGTGTATCTTTAAGAATATGAGTCACTCGGCTTTTCTCTTTTTCTCAAGACTTACCTTTACTCATAGTTTACTTCTAAGCAAAAAGTAACTCTATTCGTGAGCTGTTTAAAAATACTAAACATCGGACCAGCAATTCAGGGAAAATTGACTTATAAAAAGCTGTCTTGATCTACCATCCTATTTCAAAAAAAGAAGACATGGCTTAGCCTTCCTTTGCTATTTTCAATAACAAGGTTCACTTGGGATAAATGCTCTATTGTATTCAAAAAGACTCAAGACAAAAAAGTATCAGCTATGTCTTTTTTTTTTTAGCTAAACAAAAAATAAAAAAAGGAAAAGATAAATGATGCATAAATTTAATCTTTGGCTCTTTAGAGATCGTTAGTCATCTTTTCTTGTTAAAAGAATAATAGCCAGAATTTAGCGTTTTGTTTGCCTTGGAAGACACTACTATCTTTGAGTATGTTTATGGAATCAAATGTTATTTTGATGTACCATGTTGATAAAAAAAAAAAATATGTGTGTGTGTGTGTGTGTGTGTGTGTGTGTATGACATTTGAATAAGTTTTAACCCCAAGCTATTAAAATGCATAGACTTCTTTTGGACACTTAAATAAATAAATTGCTTTCTTACAGTCGTTCTTTATTAAACTGCTAAATAGTATACAATTAAACATATATTAATTTGCTTTTATTGCTAAAGAATAGTGTTTGTTTAACTACCTACAAAAAGAGAAAGACTGCATAAACAAGTTGACTTGCTGTTTGCATATAAATGACGTTGTAATTTAGAACCTTTGTTTTTTTCCCTTTTTGTGTGCTTTTTTTTTTATCATGTTCAACCGACAAACTCCTCCCACAACAGGTGGTGACTATAGTCGACTTGAACAACACGATGAAGAAGACGAGGCCTTTTATGAACATCTTTTACTACATCACCCCAACTCTGTTCTTGTTGCCAACCACCATGGCGAGTGCAACGTTGTCCCTCCCTTATCAATACAGCACATACACCACTCTCCTCCTCACTCGCCTCGAGCCTCTTTTAGTGCTACGCGTCGTTTCTTTCAAGACAAGCTACCTACTGTCTTTCGTAAAGATATGTGCTGTACAACCGCATCATTTTCTTCGTTGCCTGCGGTTATCGTCGCCGACCTTCAGAGCGGAAACATTCCCCTGAGAAAGCACGGCGAAGAAAGTCAGACAGGAACCGATCAAGGCTGGACTATTATTCGCCGTCGTCGATACAGAGGAAAACATGGCATCGGTGAGGCGCGGCATCCAAATGATGTCTCCTCGCCTTCTTCTTCTGTCTTGATAGATGAAGAAATTGATCCTTCCGATCAAGTCACTTGCTCAGTATTTGTCAAATGGCAACCTTTAGAAGAACAAGCAGAATATAGTATGGCAGTATCGCCTTTGCTTCATGAACTGCCTCATCAAAAAGATAAAGACGAAAGGGTAAGAAAGAAGACGCTTGACTATGTACTCATGTTCTCCTAGTCGTTTGATGACCCTATTCCAGTAACTGAAGAGAAATTTAAAGAAATCATCAAATCTGTTCAAGAAGCTATTGAGAATAACATGCAGCCTACTCGTATCAGCCAAGGCTCAAGCGGCTCTTATTTCTGCAGAAATAGTTCTGGCAAGATTGTCGGTGTCTTTAAGCCTAAAAACGAAGAGCCTTATGGCCGTTTAAATCCCAAGTGGACAAAATGGATCCATAGACATCTTTTTCCTTGCTTTTTTGGTCGCTCTTGTCTTATTCCTAACTTGGGCTATCTTTCAGAAGCAGGTGCATCTCTGATTGATAGGAAATTAGGCACAATGATTGTGCCTTACACAGATGTCATTTATATGTCTTCCCCTAGTTTTCATTATGACTATCTAGACAGAAGATCGCAGCATGGCCTTCCTCCCAAGATTGGCAGTTTTCAATGTTTCTTGACAGACTATAAAGACGCCACTGTCTTTTTCAGAAATCACCCGTATCCTATCAACACAGAACATACAGAAAGCATTAACAGAAAGTCAGTCTGGGCTGGCTGTCTAGGCAGAAATGAAACAATGCAAGACGAATTTGATGAAGAACATCTCTTACCTGAAGAAGACGATAGTGACCACACGCATGTTACACCCAATCACCAGCCTTCAAAAAAGCATGATTTTAGATGGACATATCAGCTTCAACACCAATTTTGTCGTGAGTTTGAGCAACTGGTTATTTTGGACTACCTTATACGTAACACAGGTAAGATACCATTTTATTTGTTTGTTATTAACTGACGACTAGACCGTGGATTGGATAATTGGATGATCAAACACTGTCCAAGCCAAAGAGCTTGTTCTAGTAAAAGCAGTCTTTCTGCAGATGAACCTACATATACCCCTCACAAGATACCACTCAAGACAGGAGGCCATATCCATGTTGCCGCTATTGATAATGGCCTTGCCTTCCCTTATAAACACCCTGATCAATGGCGTTCTTATCCATATGGCTGGAGTACTATGCATGAATCTCTTGTCAACCGTCCGTTTTCTGAAGCGACACGCAAACAATTTTTGCCTATCCTTTCAGACCCACTATGGTGGCGCGATACTGTAAGGGACATGCGAGCCTTGTTTGAGTTGGATGATGATTTTGACGAGAAAATGTTTCAAAAGCAAATGGCTGTACTTAAAGGACAAGGCTTCAATATCGTCAGAACCTTAAAAGACCCTCATGCTGGGCCTATAGATTTAGTGACAATGCAGCGAGTTGTCATTAATCAAGAAGAGATTGTGATTGAATATGATGAACGAGCATTAAGTCATGTTGATTCAACGCCTATTGTGTCTGATACCAAGCGAAAACAACAGAGGCCGAGAAAGTTGCGTACACAGAGATCTACTTCATTTGATGTTATTTCGACCACAAGTTCGCCATTCAGAAATATCTTGGAAGAGCGCCATGAGAACAGTGAAGAGGATGAAGAAAGTGTGAGTTATTTCTCTCCACCTCTTCCCCATGCCACACGCACAACTCTATCAGCACCCACACAACAACAACAACAACAACAACAAAAGAGACCTCGTTGGAAGGATCGAATCAAGAGTGGACTCAGTATGGATTTAGGTCGACATGGGTTATTTGGAAAGAAAAACAAAAGCAAAAAGAACAGATACCGTGCATTTGATAGTGATGGCGATCTATCAGACGATAGTGAAGACTCAGACGATGACAGTCAAGCACCCGTTCTAAAGCGGGTGACAGTGATTATGGAGACTATAGAGATTGTCAAAAGTAGAACTTATTTTACATGTTGGTAATTTATTATTGCTCAAATACAATTTGTTTTTCAAGCTCTTTTTGTCGCTGCCATTCTATCAGCAATTCGTATTTCTGTCTTTTGGAGGCTTCTACATATTGCAATACTTCAAGCAGTCTTTCTCTTGCTTTTTTCATATTGGGCTATTTTTTTTAAAAAAAAATTGTTTAGAGAGCCATATCATAAGAACATTTCTTACCTGAAATATATGAACACCATACATTGTTGTAACCACTAATTCATCAAGACCATCTCTATTGAGGTCAAGATGTGTCAATCGATAGATAGGATAAGCAAGTTGTCTTTTCCAAAGCACTGTATAAATCTGTGTTCCTGCCACTATACTTATGTGAATACTCCCTATAACACCATCTTTTCTTACCTTGCTTGTAAATCAGCACTTGTCTACCATAAGTCCCTATCAAAATCTCTTTTTCTCCATCCCAATCCACGTCCATAACATGAGAGCATAAAACACTATCGAAATTGCCTGACAGTGGCAGTGTTTTACTTTTATCTAGCCCTTCTTTTTCTATCGACTGATATACAATGGCTTGTTCAATAGCGCAAGTGACTACAAGATGTAGCTCGTCTTCAGGATGTGCTATCAAACGATTATTATACTTGTTCATGTTATTAACGTACTTTTACTAGACGCTCTCGGTTGAAATACGAGAACAGAAGTAATGGGACTAAATATACGTATTGCATGCGATTTAGTCTCTTTTCCATCTATCAAAATCTTAGCTAAATGTCATTCAAGCCAGCATAAACTTACCCTTATCATAAAAAGCAAGAAATATCTCCCCGTTTTGTCCTCCTGCACACATAACCCGCTTTCCATTAGGTTGATCCAACATATGCATAAACAAGATCCTGTGCGTTCATTATTGTGAATTGACAACAGTAATATACAATTCACTTACTTGATGCGATGATTCGAAATCTTGCTCATCAAAGGAAAGAAAGTAGCTGAAGATTGCTCAGCAAACTCATGATTTTCGTCCTAGGGTTCGTAAGTTATGACAGATTTGATATCGATAGACTTATTACCTGAGCAAACAGGTGAACAATGCCATCCATCGAAGTCAACAAAAAGCCCGTTTTATGCTGAATTCTAGTTATAGATGTTAATTCGAATCATACATTGGCGACAACATACTGTATGTGCGATAATTGCATTGGTGCAGATGTAAGGGGTATTGTTTGACATGTTTCTCCAATAGAAAACAAAGCTTGCTCTAGAAATGGTTTTGTGTTTGGCTTATTGCCATAAATACGTAAACTATAGGCTGAATGGGGTTCGTTTTTCTCTTGCTCTATTTTCTATACATGTTTTTTTGTATAAGCAACTTGATTTATTCATGGCTGAATCACCTCTGCAACAGCAAGAGCAAGAAACAGTTTGGCCTTGTTATCCTTGCCAATGGATTCTACAGCATCGATAGAGATGATCTCTGTCTTGCCCGAATCAATGCCTACATCAATGGACAAGCAATTCCAATATCCGTCTCGGGATATGAATGCCGTGATTTCAGAGGAGGAAGTAACAATAAAATGCCGCACAGGTTTAGATAAAGCTGTACGATAGTTAGTCGCTAAAGACAACTGAGCGATACAGTACGTTGTGTGTATTCAGGCGGTGGAGTCAGTGGTAGTGTGTCGAAGCGATTGGAAGGAAACTCTTCTGGTCTGTCAATATAGGTCAAGAGTCGCGAATCAAGTGTCACTAATCCAAAAATATTTCTAGAATAATGTATGAATAAAAAGTTATAAGAACGAATGGTATTTACGTTCTCTCGTAGCCATAACGTGCATAGTGTGTCTCACGAAACAAAGGATCATCGTCTGTTAATGTGTGATCATTATGAAGAGACATGGTGCTAAAGAGAGAAAAAAAAAAGAGATTTCAAACCACGCTTCTTTTTTCTTCTTCGTTTTGTCTATAGTACAGGTACTCATTGGACTTTGCTACAATGACTTGATGTTAATATAGTATTCTACTAGTCATGACGCGTTTCATCATTGTATTGTGTCTCTTTTTCTATATGTGTCAGATGATACTAGCACAAGTAAGCTCATGATCTTTTTCTAATGTAGTTTTTCTCAATGGTTTTGTAGACATCAACCACATTAACTGTTTATCATCAAAAAGATGGTCAATACATCAAACGCGGTGAAATTGTAGGGCTTCCTGGTACACCAGAATACATTCCTTCTAAAAATGAAGTTGTTGATTTTAAGAAAAAGCGAGATTATTTGTATCAAGTTAAGGTGCGAGATGAAAGAACAGGCAAAATTCACTTGCAATCAACAAGAATGGTACTGAGCGTTGTTTATTCTATACGATAACTGACTTTCTTGATAGTGCCAGATGGTAGCAGGCAATTGGAGCGATGAATTTATTTTGCACTTAGATGACAACAATCATTTCTATCATTTCGACTATTATGCAGGATCAAACGCATGTCCTGACATTGAGGTAGATAGTAACCATACTCATATAGTCATTGATTTCTTGAGTTAGTATCCTGTGCAAACACAACCATTCTCTTCGACTATTCGTGTTGCCAAAGCTGTTCCTGGTCCCAAGTAAAGTTAACATAGAAAAGCAGGGCATGTAGACTAACAACATAAACCAGGCCTTTAGTAGGTAACTTTGCTCAACAAAAGCCTCAGCAAGCCAAATCAAAGAAACCTGTGGCCCAAGTCAATGATGAAATTCCAGAGAATAAGGAGATTGAAGAAAAGACTTTCTTTCAAAAGTACTGGTATTTGATTTTGGGTGGTGCCATGTTATTGATGAGTGCCTCAGGTGCACCACCTGAAGGAAATGCTCCTGCTAGAAGATAATAAAATAAAATAAATAAATAAAATTTATTTATCATGAGGCTGAAAGTGTTGCGAGTCTTGATGGATTAGTTTGAGCTCATCATTATGATTTACTATTCTAGACTGCATTGGTGGTGGAGGTGGTGGTATAGGAACTGCCGTAGGCTCTTGTTGAACCACTAAATCTTCTACTTCACTTGCTTTGTCTTGTTCAGTACTATAGACACTTGTGCTTGATTTAATACTCAATGGTTCTAAAGGAAGCGCATTGAAGTTATGTTGTTGGTGTCTTTGATATCTTGTATCTTCATCGTACAGTTTGTTTTGAAATGAGGGTATGGGTTGAGCTAGATATTCATGAATTGATGCTTGGTTCATTTCTGTAGCCGCATTGATTTCTGAGGGAGTCAGCAAATTACGTTCATCTTCGCTGAGTCGTCTTTCTTTCTTCAATTTAATGCGTTTCTTTGCCAAGACAACTGTATCACCGCCACACATAAATACATTCTTCAAAAATTGTGGAATATAGGCCAAGTAACCATCCCATACAGCTTCAAGATAGCTATAGTTTGGTTCTTCATTTTCATATTCTTTTAGCCTCAACCCAAAATAGACTTGCATTAACATGGAAACGACAGCCATTGTTGTACAGATAATCAAGACATAATAACCATTCTTGATAGCTGCTACTGTCCAATAAGTGCCTGAAGTAGTGCTGTAAGGTATGTCTTTAATGACATTAAAATAAGTCAAGATGGCCAACAAGATATCACCAAAATAAAAGATGACCATGATAGGTCCCTTAACGCACCAAAACATCTTGTGGGCTTGAATATCACCCTCTTTCCATTCATTCTCAAAGACTGAAAGATATGTGAAGAGAGCCATAAGGATAATAGACAACGAAATAAATTGTATGACTGTCAAGTAAGTATAGGCACCATGAACACTAAATACGCCATCACAATAAACGCCTTTGATCTGTGCAAATATAGACACTAATGCTGAAATGATATTCCTAGAATTAAAGTTGCTTTAGGAATCTCTTTTTTTTCGTTTTTGCTAGCTTACCAGATTGGAAATTGGAACACAAGAATGTCAATGATCACTCGAAAGTGAAGACCCCATTTGGATTTTCTATAATGAAAATCAATACCATTTAAACAAGTCAAGTAGTTACAATTTAAATGTAAAAAGACCAAACACTTTGGTACTAATTGATTCTTTAACGCCTTCATTTCTGTCTCGGTAAGGCTGTAAATAAGACTGAAGGCACATGTACAAGTTATAAACTGCAAAAGATTCAAACAGGCGAGCAAAGAACAAGATCACTGTCTCATAATCGTATTTTAAATAAGACAACCAAGCCAAAATTGAATATGCTGCTGGATAGGCTATCACTCTGACTTTATGCCGTTGTGTTTCTGGTGTGTAGTAGTGGTGCAGGTGTTCGTTGATCGTATGAGACGCGATCGTAACTGTAACTAAAACAAGGAAGCCTGAAGCTAACCAGCCCCAGACATGCATAGAGTGGCTGAACTGAATAAGTTTATTTTTTTTTATACATATATGAAATCCATATAAAGAGAGTTACCTACTTAGGATTCAGTACAAGGTCTTTTAGATCAAATTCTGGATTGCTATGAGTAGAAAGATAAGTAAAAAAACATATATAACATGTTTTGTTCTTACAATCCACTCTCACTCAATCCTCCATGTGTAGGACATTGTTCAGACATGATTTAAAGTAAGAAGAAAAAGAGAGAGAGAGAAATGTAAAAATAGCTTGTTTAATTTAGATTTCTTTCTCTTTTTGTACAACCTAGCAATTAAGGTCATATCACTCATTGTTTATAGGTTTTTAACTTCAGATGGTGAGAATACCAATATTTGGTTTACCACTTTCAATCAGGCCACAGATAACTGGTAAGGATACGCCTGTCAAAACCAGCCTGTCCAGCATGATGTTCATCAAATTTTTCAACTTTATTTTATCATTTAAGAGAAGCGCTGCATTCACTCTAAAAAAAGCGATAACTTTTGCGTATACAGCATTTGATAACGAAATAAAAGAAAAAAAAAGCAAAGTTTATATTTTGATTCTGCAATACTATTATATGGTTGACATCTAAGTCTTTTGACATGAAAACTATAGTCAAATAAAAATTAGGGTGATGCTAAGCCAAGAATCTTGTGATGAATTTCCAAGGCTTTTGTTCCATTTGCGTCTCTTGGAAGTTCAGGATAGGGAGCGAATCCCATATTTAACTTTTCCCTTTCATTTAAATCTTCAGGTTTAGCTCTGTCTTGAACATTTTCTTCAAAGTGATTGCCTGGAAAGTCTGGAGGCGTGCTATTCATATATAAGACATCAGACAAATACTCAATAGACACTTACAGGCCTTTAGTGAATGCGTCCCTTTGTCTTTTCAGGTATTCAGAATTGACTCGACAAATTGGGACAGTTGGGATGTAGAGAATAGATGAATCTGTTTCGCTCTTGTTTTCAGGTTCAAAAGAATAGATTTGATCGCAGTGCCTATAAGTGCATGTCAGATGAATTTTTTTTTGTTATTATACCAAAACACAGCATCGCCAGGTTTCAATTCAGGTGCAGATACCATATTTTCAATGATTTGAGGGTAACCATGTTTAGTAATACTATGGCATAAACCTGGAGAGGCACCAATGAAATCACTGTGGCCAAACATGAATCGTATATTCATGAAAAAAAGATGCTTACAGTTGTTCAATGTACTCCTTAGTCAAGGGCTTCATCATAAATAATGCAGTTGCCTCTTTTAATAGAGGACAAGTACGAAATGCGCCTGAATTAGCTTTGATGTCAGAGATAGCAACACAGCCTTGAAAGTTTCTAAAGACAGATCGACCAGCGAGAGAACTATAATAATCCATTCGAGCTTCAACACGATGTGTCGCATCAAAAGGATCATGTCTCTAAACGCTTCTGTAAGTCAACACAAGGAGCACTATCTACTTACTTCCCATTCACCATTCAAGATATGTGTATAGCACTGACGATACTCTGGATCTTGCCAGCCTATAAATTTCAATTCAAAAACTCATTGACAGGTGGCCTAGCTTACGTTCAAGAGAACCGTTATCAACATGTGCCTCTAAATCAAAAAAGACATCCCCAGGTTTATGAATCTGAAGGCGATCACAATAAGCCATGTTTTTAGACCAGTCAATCACTGTGTCTTCATCTGCATGCCAAAGTTGATTAAGTGCCATAGTCGCTAATTCAAATCCTGCATGGCTTCTAGCAGTCACTTGTGATTTAGTCCAATACACCTCAAATACTTGCGGATTATGCTTGGGATATCCTTCAATATGGCCAGAGACACAATTGACTCGTTTAATTTGATATTTATTGACATATCTCTGAATCTGTTGCTTATATTCACAAGCTTCTTGTTCAGGAATGACTTGGCGGATAACAACACAACCTCGACGTTGAATTTGTGCCGCTATGTCTTGAGGAAATCGACCACCATTTGCCTTGATCTCTTCTAGTGTGATTTGTGGGATTATGGACGATCCTTTTTGTTTGATATCGACTGCTTCTTTTTCTATACTTTCCAAAAGACGCTGGTAAGCATGTTGAATAGTGGTTGGATCTTGAGGTGTAATTTGTTTTTTAAGCGTCAATAGATGAGGCTCCAAAGCATTTTCTTTTCCACCGAGATGAGAAAAAGCGGAACTAATGTCTCCTTTGGGTCTAATAGGGATTCGCATTCTTTGTTATCTTTTTTTTTTTCGTTTTCTTTCCTCTTTTTTTTATATACTGATCTTTGGTACTACCATCTAATCGGTAAAAAGATTTGTAGACTGTGGGAAATCCCTATGTATTCCGAGGAAGAGTTGTTTTTCCATCAATGTTTTTTTGATTTACAGTCATATGCCTAGTTGAAAAGAATACTTAAATGAAAGAAAATGCATAAAGTTTTTGGGAAAATCTGGGATAGCTGGCGTTTTTTTTTTTTTTTTTTTTTTTTTTTTTTTTTTTGTAAGTTTCGGTTGCAGTACCTTTTCAGTGAAATTTTTTCCCAAATTTAAGATTTTTGTAAGTCTTCATTCACTTGAAGAGTGATTGCTTTTTGTGTGTAGACTAAATGATACAGTTTAGACTCAATTGACCATACAACTAAACCCAGGTATGATTGCTCATTCAAATTGATCTTTGGATAGCTATTGCACTTTAGGTAATGACAGTTACGTACACTATAAGTCTCTTGAGAGCTCAATAGTTTAAAAACACAATGGTGTTAACATAACCGCAACAAGTAAAGACGCTTTTCATAAGGCATACATTCTTTTCAGGTAAGGATGCCATTGATTTCATCATATCATGTAAAGAATATTTTATTTCTTGAAATGAGTGTACCTTTTCTATCGTAAAAGTGTCTAGATCCTTTTTGTGCATCGACTTGATCAATAGTGACATTGTATCCAAAAATAGAAGTGCAAGATATATAGCATCGGATAGCCATATAAAGTTAGCATGAGGCCTGTTCATACACTCATAAATACTTTAACTACAAACCATGTTTATTAACATAGAGTTGATTTGAACCAAAAAAAGCGACATGTCCAAAATGGCCAAAATATGCTTTGCGGTCAAAGGGTACTGTTGAGAAACACTTGGCACGTAGAAAACAGCTTTTAAGCAGAGGCGGGTCCTAATTTTTTCTGCACTGGGGTGCTGTTAGGAGCCTTTCCATACAGGGGTGTGCATAGGAGCAGGTTCTCTGCAAATTGACTTTTATCAACGATTTAAAATGTTATGAAAAAAATAAAAAAGATGGCTGCCAGACATTACATAGCTATGAAGATGTCTGGCTACTCAGAAATCTTATTCGGCCTCCTGCTCAATAACTTTTATGTACGCGGTATGGCACTGTTTACAATTTAAGTTATCATCAAGCACATCTTCATATTTTGGGTAATGTAAGAGTTCACGACTTTCTCGTATCTCTCAAAATCTATAGTCTTCCTCTTTGTAGGCAAAAACAGCTTGTTATTATTGCTCATATTAGGTAGAAATAAAGAACTTCACTCATGTTTTCTGACAGTGCAACTTTTCTTAAATCGTTGATAAAAGTCAATTTGCAGAGAACCTGCTCCTATGCACACCCCTGTATGGAAAGGCTCCTAACAGCACCCCAGTGCAGAAAAAATTAGGACCCGCCTCTGCTTAAAAGCTGTTTTCTACGTGCACCCCTGTGCGCCAAGTATTTCCTGCACTGTTCATAAAAATTCTCGATTTGACACTACAAGATGAAAAATGGAGCTATTGACAAGATTAAATGCCCAAAATGTGCATCGGAAGCTATAGTTTTTGGTGAATGTATTTGTTTGTCAGCTGTATCATGAATATAGTATGATGGGAACCAAAAGCCTCGTAAGCATTTCTGCTTGTTTTCTCATTTTTTTTTACTTGTGCATTAGATGTATTCTTTATGTCAATAAGCTCAGAAAGCAAATATCTACAGCTTTTATTATTACAACAAAGCCCAATAACTGCGCCTTTATGCATTTTTAAGCAAAAGCTTCATTTTTTTTAAAGGTTTTTATTTTTTTGCTCCACGTAGACTATGACTAAAGTCTGTTAAGAGGTGGTCGCAATTTTAAGAAATACAAAGGGAAAATACCTAAGATAATTAATTATAAACGTTTGTGCAAGTGTTTCTCGTCAATCAGAGAATTGAGAGAAGCACGAGTGGATGAAAGAAGTAGAGTTGGATTAAACGGAATTTCATTGAAGATGGTATTCCAATGGGCTTTCCAAATTTGACCCATGCCTTGGAATACTATTTCTTGAGCAGCTAACTCACTATTCTGAGTATAACGAATAGAATAGAAGTTCATATATCGGAGTGCTTGTATGATATCATCAACAGTAGTGGTTGGCCATAAAAATTCAAATATAAGCTCTTTCCAAAAATGTGTTTTTGGAGGGAATGAAAAGAGCATATGGTTGTCATTTTCAGTATAAAGACCACAAATTTGGCATAAAGGAGTTGGAAATCGTTCAGGCAAGAAACGATTCATACGTATCGTTGTAGGCAGCTTATAGTTTATATATCGATACACCACATTTCGCACAACGGCGGTAAGGGACAATGTCCAAAATGAATCCCAAAAAGTAGAAGAAATGGCTGACAGGGCGGAAGGGGCAGTATGAGACTTCAAGCAAGTCATTCTATATACCTTAGAGCTGATCCCATCGCTCGGTCTCTTGGTAGATAGAACAGCAAAGAAGCTCCATTTTTTGATGCGGTTGGAAGAATTCGAGTTGCTCTATTTTAAACTCCATCAAATAGCCATCCTGTGCAAACTTTCTGGAGGTTTTCATACAAGGATCGATTGTAAGCACTTGCAATTGGTGATGCTAAGGACTTATAGAAATCGTTTTCTCGTTAAGCTAACTCTGACCTAAAGCAGCCAAATGGGTTAAGCAGGAGGGATCAAGGTGAGCGACACACACATATCCTAGTCATTGCTCTCAGTAAGGTTTAAATGTCTTTATGCTCCTAGAAACTTGTATTGCCCATTAAAACACTCTTACTACTTTTTTCTCTTTCTGTTTTTCTAAGAGGTGTTCTTACATGTATTCCGACATATAATGCACTTAGGAAAAGTGCATTTAAAGATGTTCTTGGTAGTCTCGTTAGATCAAAAAAGTATGAATCGCCAACTTTAATGAATAGGCTTTCGTAAGTATTCATGATGAGGGTTTTGCTTTATTTATTTATTTATTTTTTTTTTTTTTTTTTTTTTTTTTTTTTTTTTGCTTTTAATTGTAAATTGTTTCTTAAAGTGTATGTTAATCCAATGTTAGTCTAATATGATGAGCATTGATTTCTATTTTTATCATTGGCACCTTTTGTTCTGCTTTTCTTATGGTTCAATGGTATGATCTCCAAACCTAAATTTATTTGATTAAATACATGATGCATGTGGATTTTTCAGCTTACCATTTACAATTGAAATCCCAAGTAAAACGCCAAGTAGCAGCGATACACTGCTTTGTGTTCCAAGGCTGTGCATAAGTGATTGGTATAAAGATACGGTACACGAAAATGATGGCAAACACACACATGATGGTAAGAGGCCAACGTATACGTGCTGAAAGTCTTGATATCAGTGATTCAAAAAACACACCTGTTAGTAAGATAGCCATATATAAAGAAGGCATATAGTGATGTAGAAATAATTGGCGATGCATCAAATTGAAAGGGAAATAATGAAATGCCCAGCAGAGGAAAAAGAAACCAGCAGCAGTATCATGTGTAGTAAATCTTGTATCAAGTAATTCTAGACGTCGCTTCTTGCCAATCAATATACACATCTTAAGTAGAGCATAGCTTAATACGCAAGCAGTCGAAATCATATAAACAAGGGGGTTGCCAAGCAAATATATCTTTAACTCATCTTTTGACCAAAAGCTGATTCCACGCTTAAGACGAGGCCAGTCCTTTACAAGAAAATGAATATGTAAGCTAGCATTGTTCTAACTTTACCTTGGGTCGGGAAGCATAAACGTGTGTTGATGAGAGTCCTTTATTGACATCCCACATGACTTTGTTCAACTCCAAAAATTTGGCAAAAAACCCCTTTTGTTGATATGTTGCCATTTCAGATCCTTCAGGTACTGTGAAGTCGCTATTAGAGAAAAATACGTGTACATTCCACTTACAAATATCTGTTTCAGTAGTTTCAATAGTCCAAATCGTCTTGGGATATCTAGCATCTTTCATGCATGTCACTTCTTGTTGTTTGAAGCCCCATTCAGGCAATTTATGCTTGCGAGAAAACAAGGCACAATTCTGGGTGACTGAAATAAGTCTGAACTGAGAACGGCGAGCACGAAGTCTGTTGCCTGCATTTGGATCTGGTCCTTTATAAGGTAAAATCTCTACTCGCCAATGATCATTGGCATCGCCTCCAAATCCCTTGTAGCCATAAGCGCTAACTTCATGCTGATACTTTTCATCGTTCGTAATAGGTCTAACATCGTGTGTATGTAGACGTCGATGTGTCTTGTAATGCTTTAAACGAACAATATCGCCATTTTTTACATACTCTAGACTATTGACTTCGTCCGTATTTGCCTTATTGATGATCCACCAATTATTACTGTCAATGTGAGAGTAAAGTGTTATTTGCTGTTCTGTTGTTATGGATTTAGTCTTTGGCTTAATATACTGTCTAGATTACTTACGATGACTACCTCCAGGATAGTCATGCTCGTGCGAATGTAAATAGCCTCCATTTGTGTCCACATGGCGAATATCAATTTTGGCTCCATAAGCAATATCTATCATTTGTAAGAAACAACCACTCATGATCTTTTTTCGCTTTACCTGCAAAAGTATGCTTAGGAAACTTGACTTGATTTAGAGAAACCTGAAATTCAGGTGACATAAAACTATTCCCTGGTCCTGATAGTGGAAGCATGTCAAAATGAACCTTGAAGGCAGCTAAATAGATGCAGAATGGAATGATCATCAAACAAACGCCATATGCCACCATATGTTTCACGAAATTATGCTGAAAATAAAATTAACATTGTTTTGCATCATAAGTGTACACTACTTACATTGGTCACTCCAAGGTCTCCCCAAAAATGCCATAGCCGTATAATTACAGACATACCAATAGAAGCAATGGTGAACAAGCCAACCCATTTAGAACTTACTGTTAAACCTAGACCAACACCTGTCATGGTCAACCAAAACCACCAATGGTAATTAAATGCATTTCGCTGACGAGAGAGGTTTACCCAAGCAAGCAATGTGAAAGCTGTGAAACATAGCAGGATAGAGTCAAGCAAAATAAGTCGATTGTTTGTCACAAATCCGTTCTCTATCCATATGGTTAATAACATGCGATATGTTAAGCACATATTACCGTAACAGATCATCAATGCTGTCAAAACACAAGTGGCTACTGAAAAATCAAAAGTACGCATTGTCCAATACGCCATAGGCACTACCACTATGCCATGCAATGCACAAAAAGCTCTGATCTGAACATAAGGGACTTTTGCTTGTAAATAATCTCTAAAAGTTACATGTTAATCTATATAGCAATTTATACATGTGGTCCCTACTTTCCAATCTCTTTAAAATCAAATTGCCCATCAAATCCAACGACTTGAGCAGCCCATGTAATCAAAATTTTGGCCAACTATCAAATCTGAATATTGACTCATCTTTTCATTTGCTTCACTTACTGGAGGATGAACATCCATAAAAAACTTTTGATTTATATATTTACTTGCAAATCCACCAAAATGAACTTCGTCAAATCTATCGCAACGCGTTAAAATTTAAAGAGATATGAGTGATATATTACACAACAGAAGTAGGTTGGGATATTTTCCATAACCTAATATAACAACTCCATACACTCAACAGGAAAGAGACAACCCAGTCAACTCTGTCTTGTGACAATACGGGGTCTTTCGCTCTTGCTGGTTCTACCGAGACAAAGTTGTCTTTCTGTTGTTTTCGATGTTGCCTTAGGTTTTGCGAGGATGCAATCCCGGTGCTCATCTCAATAAAGGCAGAAAAAAAGTAAACAGTAATTAAATTAAAACTTAATCTTTTTTTTGTAGTTTATTAGGTAAGCATGCTTCCATTTCTTTTTTCTAACTAGTAAACAATTAGACTTCAGCAACATATTTGCCAGTCTTGATAGTCTTGAAACTATTACCCATCTTTGCCCAGATCAAAGAAGGAATGCTTTCTCCTCCTTGTTCAATATAAGCATCTGAAAGCAATTGATCCTTCATTTCAAAGCGAACGGCAATGGGCTGAGGTTCACCTTGTTCTGTTGTACCGAATTGTGCCTTAATGACAGATTCCTGTGGATGATCAATACGCCCGAGCTGCCACTTCATTCTCTTTTGTGCTAAAATCAATTCACCATCTGGAATGCTGGATGCATGTTGCACATTACCAGTGACCATGGTGACAAAAACAACATTGTCTAATGGAGGACTTGTTGCAAGGTATTTGATCAATAAACGACTTTTGTCTACTTCACATTTCCACATGGGCTTAACAAAAAGAGGAAGACGCTCTTTGTCAATTTTGGTTTGATATTTGATACATACAACAGCCTCTGAATGGAATAAATGTGTATTGATTTTGAAGACATTATCATGGTCTTCTAATTTATCCACATATTTCGTTGTTTCCAAAGAATCAAATGCTTTGTTGGCCTTGAAGCAGACAGGAGTAAGAGTTCCTTTAGGTCCGTCGTATTCAATGCTGATTTCACCCCAAACAACTGATTGTTCAGCTAAACCTCCTTTTGAAATCACATGTAATGTCTCTGTTGTATGAACATGAATGGTAGGCAGCTTTTCTTCTTCCTTCTCCTCTTCCTCTGTTATCTTTTCTTGACTCATTTCAAATGGATTCGGCAATAAAGGGCCTGAAGAAGTTGTGCTTGGTGTAACATTTGAAAGTTCATCCTTGTTGGACATGCTTTGATCTTGTTCAACCACAGAATACAACTGTGTCGCTCTTATTTCTCTACGGCCACGAAGTCTTCTTGTTGTGGGTGAATTACTGGAGTTTTTTTCTTTTAAAAGTGTAGCTACTCGGGTAAGAGCTACAGCTGATTGAGAGGCATCCTCTTCAGTTACTGATTCGTTCTTGATGTCAACACGAATACGAGGGCTACTGAGCATACTACTGTCGTCATTTGGATTAGATAACGATAAAGTAAATCTTTTTAGTTACCTTCCCGCATCAGAATACATATCATCTGTATCTACTAGAGAATCATTTGTCGTGTTTGCATCATGAGGCCAAGCTGTACGGTCTGGAGGAGGAATAGAATATCCTTCTGAATCAACTAAAATGAGTGGCTATTGAAACATAAGTATTTTATAGACACAGTAGCATACATACAGGTTGCTGGGAAGACATATGAGTAAGGCTTTCATTGATGCTAGGTGCATTTCGGACAGATGCAGAGTGAACAGAAGTAGGCGAGCTTGGAGACGTCAAATCAAAGTTATTACTTGGTTTGTCAAATTCAGATTCATGATGTTGTGGTTCGGTTGTATTGTGCGATCCAACTGAATGAAGTGATTCCACAAAACTTCCTGCATTACTTGCACTTCTTTGACGTCCATTATGAAATAGACCTACACTTAAGCTATTGCCATGATGAGCGTCTGACTTAGGCTTACGTCTAATAGAGACAAGGGAAGAGAAGACTAGAAAAGGATCAATAAGACATGTTTTTGTCTTATTTTACTTTTACTTACACTTTCTTCTATCCTTTTTGCCTGAAGAAGGTGTTGGAGGAGTTGAAGAAGATGCTGGAGGATTGGAACTAATGTTAGAAACTGAAGGCTCAGGAACAATTTGATCAATGTCTATCAATGATGAAGGTTGTTCTGCGTCTAATGCTCTTGTTTGTTGAGCTGGGGAAACACCATCAGAATGCAAAGCACAAAAAATAGCCACCTCATTGTTCGCATCAAATTCGCCAGCAAATGTCATCAGACTTTCCGACATCTATAGAGTAAATATCAAGCTGTTCAATAAAAATGAAGTACCTCAATAATCCTATGAGCATGTTCCTGTTGAACAACTTGAAATTGGCGAACGATAGATTTCAGGTTTTGCCAAAGATCTCTTTCTATTGATTCGGCGTCCTGTACACACAAAAATATAAGCCTTTGGTTGGATTCAGCACACTACATACTTTTAAATACTTAGGACCTTTTTTCTGCCATGTAGCCAATTTAGATTCTTGTACTTGCATATACTCTGTTACTTTTGAGTCACTTTTTCCAGTTCTCTTAACCTATAAATATGTCAACCACTGCTTTCCAATAACAAACAAAAGCATACTTTTTGGATTTTGTTTTCAAGGTCTTCATATTCATGAGCAATTTTTTTGAGTTCTCTACTCGTCTATGTATACACGATTAGGGCTTATGAATATCAATTAAGAATGATTACCTCATAAACGGATACGAAGCTATAAAGCTCGGAAGCAGCAGATTTCAATGGTTTTTCAATATTATCAACAATAGATGTGGCATACTCAATGTGGTTTGTCGCTAATTCATTCATTTCATCACAAAGCTTCTCCCATAATGGTAGAAAGGTTCTGTCGATTATTAGTTTTCTTTTGCTTGTTATTCTAACATACCCTAATGTTGATTTATTTGTAATATAGGTTTTTTTCGATAGTTTAGCAATGTTTCTGGCATATGTTTCCTCAATGATAGCTCTTTTGTATGGTGAGTATAATTTTTTTTAAAAAATTGTACATGTACCTGTCTCTAAAATACTCGGCAAGCTCATCACTGAGTTTTGAAGTAGCCGTTAAACGAGTATGAATAGGTTCAACCGAGAACTTAGTTGAGTCATTCTATTCATTAGTGAGTAGGGCAGTTACTTTAATAACACACTTACGAAAAAGGTTTGAACATAAAGACTTGCTTCTTCAGATTTATTAGTCATAGTTACAAGATGAAGAAGTAAGAGGGAAAAAAAAAGGGGGAGAGAAAGAATGGACTGGGAGCTACTAGGACAATAAATAAGTGAAAAAACAATGTAGCAATAAAATGGGAGGCGATTATAACTTGATTAGGACATTTGACTTGGATTCTGTAACGAGAAAACGTGAAAATCCCGCCAAACAGTCCCCTTTTTTGTGTTCATATCCAAGTTAATTCTAGCACGCTTAATCTAAAAGGAATCTCTAATCTCCTATTTCAGATAAGCCAAGTTTTAGGAATATATAAAACACAGTTATTTGTTGCACCATGTTCATGAACTACGGAGTACATAGCCTGATCGTTTAGACTGTTAATAGTCAAAATTCGAGCCAGTATAATGGAAATAAAGAAAGACCAGTGGTGAGAGCGGCGTTGAAGGTTGCTTGAAAGGAAAGGGAAAGAAAGCATTTGGATTTGAAGTGAGATTGTCTGGTGGCAGCGGCTCAAAAATGTTCCGGGGCGGAGGAGACATGCTTGGAAAATCCTTATTGTCTATTGATTAAGATTGAGTTGCAATGAAAATACAGTCGTTCCACTCCCAATGTGAGGATTTTGCGAAAAAAAGTATGAGCTTTCAAATAAATATTGGGGTCTCACTAAAAAAATTCGTTGATTGTTTGAAGTTCAATGTAACTTTAGACAAGAGAACATAGAACAATAATCATAAATTGCTGCTCCAGCATAAGAAACATCAATATCCTTCAGTAACATAAAAAAACTCTTGATTTTGTTCTTCATCATTATCATCAGAACTTTCTTCTAGTTGAACAATAGGTAGATCTGCCTCAAGTACTTGATTTGTAAAGTCCACTGTAGACAAGTGCTCCTGCCGGTAATGGTGCTGAAATGTCTTTAAATCAAACCAGTTACCCAGAGTTTGTATACCTTCAATAGATATTCCTTGTTTTAACGTAATAGAGGATGCAATTGAGCGCACACTGACTCTTGGTTCACGCGTGGAATGTCACAGTACCTTTCTTAGCCAAGAAGAAATGGTGGTAGTTTTGACCGCTTGTTGACAAATAAGACGTTAGACTGTCGTTTGACTTTAGCCACTGGATGATCTTTTAAAGCTTGAAAAGATAACACTGGAAAAATGTCCGAAACTTGGTGAGGATGAATAAGTGCTGGTTTGATAATACTTTTGCCTTGTCTAGTTTCTTTAGGTACCACAATATCAAATAATAGGTTGTCATGCTTGTCCTGAGTTGCTGACAGAAGAGAAATATGCTGTAAATCAGAAGGTCACAAAAAGGCTGCCATCGCTACCAGAAACGCTGTCTTGATTTGCAAATTTGCCAATGAACAATGCTTGATATCGATTTTGGATACGAACTGTATGCCTAGTTTTAAGTCAATTGCTGGACGATATATTGCCAGAGATGGAGCTTGCTTAGTAAGTGCATTCATGAAAACCTTTAGAACATTATCCTGTGTAATTGAATCCGCGTGTGGATGTAACTGTAGAACTGCTGGTCGCCATAATTTAAGCGTTGACAATTGAAACTGGTTTTTTGTTTTCATATCTTGCAAAAAGTTTACTAGTTGTGCAGCGGTGAATGGTGAAGGAGCCACTTGATGTCTTTGAGCCCAAAGGACAAACTGCTGTAGTGGCTTCTGATACGTGCGATTAGCACTGATGGCTGTACTGTACTGCTGATTTATTGTATTTGTGGCGGTGTTTGATAGTTGCTTGTCATCGAATTTGTTGTGGATAAAAACCAAACGGATAGCTTCCAAGTCGGTTTCAACGGTCAAGGTGTGTTCTTTCTGGGGCAAGCCAGATGCTGGGTGCTCAGAAAGATTGGTGCTTGTACTGCCAATTGTTGAATTACCGGAAACCATAGTGCACTGGTCCAATATGGGACTACCAACGTTGCTAATGGTATCTTTTCCTTGGTTATTTTCTGTAAGCACTTGCTGGTTAAGTTCCATGGTGAGTTGATCCAAGGATGGCGAAATTGGCTCCATGCTAGGCTAAAAGCGTCTGTTGTAAAAGCTTCAGGATTTGGTGTCCATGATACAAACTTTTTTACGAGGGCTGTTGTCCTGTTCGCAAAGAGGTCGATGTCGTTTCTTCCCCATTGTTTTTGAATTTGATTGTGTGCTTGTCGCCGTATCATCCAATTGTTCTTGCTGTATTGTCTTCTTGACTCTTGATCTGCTACTTGGTTGTGTTGACCTGGAATGTGTTTGGCTTCCACCATGATATTGCGTTTCAGACACTACTTCCACAGCTGAGTTGCAAGCTTCATCAATAATAGCGATTTTGTTCCCCCTTGCTTGTTGATATACGTCACTGATGTTGTGTTGTCCGTGCGTAGCAAAATCTTCTTGTTGTGTAACTAAGGAAACACCTTGAGAGTGAGATATGCTGCTTTGAGTTCTCGCCAATTTATTGACCGGTCGACTTCGTCTTTTGTCCAGTGATCGTACGCAGTTAAATCACCATGATGACAACCCCACTCTGTATTGCTTGTATCGACATAGACTGTTTCGGTTGGCTCGTGGTTGATGAAAGACTTGCCGTTCCACTTGCTGAGGACTTGCAACCACCATTGAGTTCCTGTACACACTCCTTCGGTAATTTTCTCTTCTAATCCCAGTCTTGATTGTGATTCACTGTTTGATTCTTGAACCGCATCAGTTGGTTGCTGTATAGGCGGATTGGTATGATAGCAAAGGTTGCTGCTCTTATTTTCATTGTGAGGCTGTGTATTGATCTTCGTGTTTTTTGAGGTTGTTGAAGTGCTGTTCTGATGATTTGTCGAATTAATTTCGTCTTCTTGTCGGGTAGACAAGCTGTCATAGATTTGATGTTCAGTGTAAAACCTAGATGTTCTATTTGCTGAGTTGGCTGAAGAGTCGATTTGTTGAAGTTGATTATCCATCCCAATTGCTGTAATTTGTTAACTACCAAGTTGGTGTGGTACAGTGCTTGTTGCTTGCTGTTCGCTATGATAATCCAATTGTCGATGTATGCACTGATCCTGATCTCTTGCTGTCTGGCCCAATTTGAAATTGGTCTGCAGATTTTTGTGAATAACCAAGGGACCATTGCCAATCCAAAAGGTGTTGTGCAGTATTGAAATACCTGTCCTTTGTACTGGAATCTGGGGTATCTCTTGGATGCTGGATGTACCGGCATGTGTAGAAAGGCATCTGAAAGATTTATAGATGTCATGTAATCGTTTGGTTTGATTAAAAGAGGTATCTCCTTCAATGTCTCCATTTTGAAGTGCGGTGGTGAGACATATTGATTTAAGGCTTTGAGGTTGAAAGCTGGTCTCAGGCCTTTGTCCTTCTTGGGTATTACAAAGATTGAGCTGTAATAACCTGATGTTACCGGGCTCACTAGTTCTATGGCTGCTTTCTGCTGAAGTTCTTGAATTGCCTGATCTAGAAATTGTTCTTACTGAGGTGTTGATGGTTTTGTTGATTTTGGAATTGTAGTGAGTGGAGGAGCTGTGTGGAATGGTATCCTGTACCCGTTTTTTATTATACTCTTGAGCCATAAACTGTTTGAAAGCTGGGTCCACTCTAAATAGTACTGGCTTAGTCTGCCCCCTACTGGTTGTTGCTGCTGTTCTTCTTGTTGTAAGAGCAATTGGTGCTGTTTTGTTGTTTGCTGAATGATTTCTGAGGTGCTGTTGATTTTGTTGAGTTGTGGTTGTTGTAGTTGCTGTAATTGGGTTTGTGTTGAACATAGGCTGTTTGGCTGGGCTGAAGTTGGGGATACCGAACCAACGGCTGTGTTTCGACATGGTTGCCAGAAAAAGACTTTTTGTTGAACTTTCGTGCTGCTTGCACGGCCTTTGCTGTGCTAAACTGGTTGTTTATCATGTTGTGGAATTCATCTTGTACCATAATATATTCTGTGTTGTTTGCAGCAGATATTCTAAAGTTTGGACTAATTGCCTTGAGTGCAATTGTTCAATCCGATGATTAAACAACAATATAATAAGAAGAAAAAGAATGAGGAAGTTCGTGAGATTCAAGAAAAAAAAAATGATTGTCCTTTATTCAGTTAATTGATGAGTTGTATATATAGACAAATAACTTGTAGTTAAGTTAGCAGATTAGTAGTGATGAGAATGATGTGATTTAGAAACACGGAATTGAAGGAGTGTTTGTATGTGACCATCGTTATTTTAGATGATAAGTAGTTACTATATGAGTGTATGTGTTTACTTAGCCATTGGACGCAATTGCATGTCTAACCCGTTAATTTTTTTATAACATATGTATTTAGGATGTGTCACAATGTAGGTTGCAATTTGTCTAAATGAGAAAGAGGAAGTGTATGTTTTATGAGTAACATGTTCAATGCGTATTTGTTGCTTAGCATATGTTTTGTAAAGATGGTCATAAGTGTAATGCGTATCTGAATATTGCATATCTATGTTTGTATAGAGCAGCAATGTTTTTTCTAGAATTTGTCAAATCATAATTAGTATGCAAAACTAAATGTCCAATGTCTTTAATGATTTGCAAATATTTGTAAACATTTGGGTTGTCGAATTCAGTACTGATTTCATGTGCCAGGATATCCAAAGGTCTGAATATTGCTGAAGCAACATATTGATGGTACTTGAGCATCTTGTCTTCCATTTTTTGGTCATTACTCATTCTTGCATATGCTTCAGACATGGTAGCCAGTGGTTGGTAATTGACTCCTTGAATTGCAGAATATCTTTCAATCAATTGTTTACGTTGGTTGTCCGATATTTCTAGACCTGAAAATAAATTACATTCCAATCTCAATAATTGCAATAGTTCTTGAGAAGGGCTCCAATCATAATGAGGTCGAATCTCAAATGAATGCAATTGTTGAACGTTGAAAAGTGGGTCTTCTGCTTCCATGTATTGTTCCTCTTAGTTTTTCTGTTGCTGTTGTTGATTCTGGAGCTCCTGATTTTGCATGATTTATTCTATTATTGCTTGTTGTGCCGTCATTTGCTGTTGCAAGGCTGTCAAAATGGCATTGTTTGGTATTTCCATTTAAATACAATAATGATGTTTCAGAAATGTACTATGAAAAGTGAGCGACAAAAAGAAGATCAAAGGACAAACAATATTACTTTTACATATTTTATACTTAATTTTAATTTCGACTTATTTTAATTTATATATTCATCGAATGAAACCAAGAAAATCACAGTAATTTATGATTATTGTTCTATGTTCTCTTGTCTAAAGCTACATTGAACTTCAAACAATCAACGAATTTTTTTAGTGAGACCCCAATATTTATTTGAAAGCTCATACTTTTTTTCGCAAAATCCTCACATTGGGAGTGGAACGACTGTATCTACAAATGACGTTCACTAAAAGCAGTGGTACAAAGGGTAATAAGAGCAGGAGAGAGAACAGCAAGGACCTAGAGAAGATAATTTCGAGCAGTTTTCTTCTTTTGTCAGTTTTAATATCATTGGGTTACTAATATTGCTCAAGCTATTAAACTTTATAGGACTGCATCTATACTCGGCTTTTTCAGTGATCTTTTCTTTTTTAAAGCCATGATGTTTATTATGAACTTGTTTAATGAATACTATTCTAATCAGAGTGTTAGTTGTTCTATACATAAGTACAAGAGACGATTACCTTAACCTTCCAATAAAATTGAACTAAATCAGGTAGAAAATCTTCTTTTTATTAAGGACTTGGCCTAATCTGGATATTTGCTTCTCTCCAAAAGCCAAACACATCTTCATTCTGATGACATAAACTCTAAATACGTATTTCAGAAAAGTAGAACATAGTGTACTATTTCCACACATCAAGACTTTACCAGCTGCGTGAAAAAAGAACGCTTTCACCTTGATTAATGCTTTTAATGTGGCTTAAGGGTAGCTATCGACTAGGAAGCATTCCGCCTACACCAATGTCCATTTTAAGATGCAATAATTTATGCATAGCTATGCCTCTTTTAAGAAAGAGCGACCATTTATAAGAAAGAAAAAATGATTTATTTGAAAATTTAGTAGCATATGAATTTCCATTTCCTGAGGGACTCAAGCTAAAAATTTTATGGAGTTGGCATTGGGAGCGACAAGAACACCAGAATTGGCTTGCCCTTCAAGTTGTATAATAACAGTCATGGCCTTCTCATCAGGATTTCGATATTGAATCTTGACTTGGTTCTTGTTTTGAGTAACCTTACCATCCTTGACAGAATTGATTTTGATACCATTATTTGTCTTGAATTGAAAATTGACTGTCTTTCCAAAGGACTTCTTGTCAAGCCGACGAGCATTAATAACCGCATTGAAATTACCATCAGTAGAGTTAGAGACAGAGAATTGCACAATCATACGACTATTCTTGTAAGGCTTGGCTTCAGGGCCAGAAAGCATTTTGACTATTTTCTTGTGTGCAGCCTGAATAATAGTTCGATCATTAGAGGGTAAGCGTAAATTACTAGCGGAGCATTTGCTTTTAGATGTGCCTTGACCACAGTAGACAGAAGAACCATCAGTAGTAGAGAAGCAAGTGAGACCAGATGGACATCCACGAAGCATCCATTTACCATGATTACAAGTAGCAAATGAATCTCCAGAACAAACAAGTTGATTATTATTTGAACATGTTTGACCTTCTTTCACACAATTTCTAAGCGTATCTGTGGGATGTATTGTAGGTGCGCTAGTGCTAGTCTTACTCGACTTTATTGTTTTAGTTCGAGTTGTAGTAGTCTTTTTTCTAGTCGTAGTTCTTATTTTTGTTTTTGTTGGATTATTATTACCTTTAGACAATGTGTGAACCATATTAGCAACAGCAGCTTGGTAATTCGGATGAACTTCAGTATTACCATATGAAGCAGAAGCGTCTATCAAAAAACTTAGCAATTGTTTTTCCAAAAAAAAAAAAAAAATACCCCAAACAGTGACACCACCAAAACTAGAATAAGTAAGATATACATCTTTCACAATGGGCTTAAGGGACTTGAAAGGGACGTAACCACTTCCTGCAGCTGTGCTCGATCCAGGTATGCTCAGCATGACTTTGACTTTCTTATTGGGTGATGTCTTCTTGGCCCATTTATCCCAAGTATCAAAATTAAAACTGCTACTTGTGGTAGAACAATAATTGTTATAGAATTGAACATTGACAGCATCAATCTCAACCTTGTTAATTACTGTTTCCAGCATGGCATCTGGATAAGGGCACTGGGGAGCAGCAGTGATATAATATCTTTTGGAATTGTCCTTATCAAAATGAGAACGAAGACGTCTCACCATGGCCTATCCATCATATTCTGTTAGTACTCATCAGACTAAGCAAAATTATACAAAAATGCGCACAATATAACCAGTAGAGCCACCCCCTTCAATGTCAAGATCAAAGCCATCAAGAACTGCATCTCCAAATGGACGAGTCTTGCTTGAGCCGCCACCAAACAAGTTCCAAAGGGTATCAGCAAATGCTTTAGCATCCTTATCGTTTGAGAATCCATAATTGCCAGCGGCACCCCCTAAAGACATGAGCACTGTTTTGCCCTTTTTTTGGCAAGTTTTGATGTCTAGAAAGAGAGAGAGTTCAATAAGCTTTTTATGGTAGTCAAGTGTTTCTGTTTTTACCTTTGCCAACATCATGACATTTCAAAAGAGATGTGCCTGGAAAAGCTGTCCCTGTACAACTATTGGCTAAATTGAGTGTAGGAAGGCTGCTATCTTTGAAATCAAGTACAAAGGACATGATAATAACATCAGAGGAACTATCACAATAAGTGGCAAGAGGCTTTTGTGTATTAGAACCACTCCTCGAGTTCTACGAGAATACAATTAAATGCATTGCTGATGATGGGATTGTTTACTGTACCTGTCCCCAATAAGTGAAAACACTAGGTCTATCAAGGAAACTGGCTTGCACACTTGAAATGGCAAAAAGCACCGAAGCTGTTATACCAAAAAAATTATTACCAGTAAAAAGCATGTTTGAAATGTGATATGTGGTTAAGTAATTGAGTGATCTTTTCTTTTTGCGATTGACGACTTTTTATACCTCATCAAAATGTATTTCCAAAAAAGACAAATGAATATTAAATTATGCTATTATACCTTTAAATTACCTCGTTTTGAATTGTGGAAATTGTAATTTATTAAATATAAGAAAAAGAACTATTTTGATACATGAAGTTTCCCGTTGTAACAGAAAAAAGCAATAGATCAACATTAATTAAATGGACCTATATATATACAGAAAAATTAGCGTAGTATAGAAATACTTGAGACGTATGTTAATTATCATAGCGTACTGTTCAATTATTTGTTGAAATACATAACAAAGCACTTGATTCATTAAGTTCATTTTCCATAAAAAGTATAATTTTCAGCAAAATCAGGATTTGTACTACATGTCTTTCACTTATACATATTTGGAGAAGCGCACCACAAAAAAGAGACCTCGGCAATATAATACATGTATATAACTTGTCATTATATAGGCATAGCATCTAGAATATCACATCATAGCATCAACTGTCACATATACAAAAAAAGATTTATTGGTACTTGTAGCTTTTATTTCCTCTTATTAGCTTCGATCATTAGTATAGAAGGATATTACATCATTGTTACTCAGGCTCAGAAAAATATCAAGCAGCAGTGTCTAATCATTTTGCGTAACACATTTATTCGAATTTTCTCTTTTTGCTCTTATCATTAGCTATCGAAATTTTTAACTGGAGATTAGTAAAGCTAGATTGTATCTAATATTAAAAAGCTTCTAGAGTCTTCTTATTTTAAGAGTCGTTGTGTAATCTTTATCTTCATTCTGGTTTATTTAAATGTGATGAAAGAAAAACTAAACAACTCATAACTAAAATGCTCAAAAAGGGACCCTCTTGACAATCAAAAAGTTTTTCCTGTCGGGAAAATGTACAATTCATGCATCACCTTATTCGAAACTTGTCCTGTAGATTTAGCTCCAGTCTGAAAACTCTATTTAAATAATCGGAACCTTGGCGATTTCTTTCTTTTTCCATTAATTTTGCTACGACAATGAAGACTTTCCACAAAGGTGAAGACATTACCTTAAACCTCAACGTCTCCCCTTATTTTCGCGGAATTCTTCGAGGATTTGCTCACGATATATCAGAAGGATGTACACTTGATGGCACACTTATTATGAACGTTCATCATCCAACAAAAATTAAACGACTAGAAACGAAATTATCAGGTCAAGCTCGAGTCAACTTTCGAACATATAACTCAATGGGTGTTCCAACAACAGACGGTCAAGAAGAAAGAATGATTTATCTCAAGATAAATACTTACGTTGATCAAACAAAGGCTTATGAACCAGGCACATATTGTTTCCCATTTACATTTCATATTCCACCGACTGTTCCTCATACATTAAATTCCAAATATGGACAAATCTATTACACTTTAAATGCAACAGCTTCTCGAACGGTGCTCAAGTCAGACGTTCATGTCGAACAACCTATTTTCCTACGCCGCTGCTTAATGGACGATCTTAATCCCGTAGCACCAGCAACACAAACAATAGTTGGAAAAATGCACCCTGAAATTGTTTCGTATTCAGCAACAGCACCATCTATGGTTTATGCAGAAGGTGGGCTCCTGACACTTAATTTTCAAGTACATCTAAAAGATTTCAATAAATACTCTGTACGGACAGTGACTTGTGGTCTTCAAGAGAATCAGTATTTTAGAACAACAGGCCGATATTCATTAACAAATCAAGCGGCGCACTACAACAAGAGTTTTTTCCCTCTTGGATGCAGTACCTTTTTCCCTTCCAAGCATCCAGAGTATAATCCTGCTGAATTACATCACTACAATGCTTTATTTCGATTATATCCTCGCGTACAAACAGACAACAAATCAAAACTGATAGCAGTTCAACACCAACTCGTAATTTGTATGATTATTGACGATAATGAAGTAGCAAAGACACGCTCAAAAAGAAAGCGTTCGATAGACAGTATAAGCAATAGTATTAGTAACATAAGCATCGGAAATACTCGGTCCATTCTGTCGCACTTGACATCAAAGCAGCAGCCTGATCGCCAGCAGCATCCTTCTTCCTCTTTCTCTTCACCTAGCTCCGAAGCATCCGCTGATGTAGTAAACTACACACCGCCTCTCAGTCGGTCTCCTTCACCAATATTGGAACTATCTGGAGAAAGATCAAGAGATTCCTCTCCCTCTTTCGCATTTGAAACAGAACAACAAACAAGTATTGTCAAAGTAACAAGCAAAACTTTATCAGTAAACGATCAACAAGACAACAATAACTCATCAACATCAATGGAAGATAATGACGGAGGCCATTCACTTACTCTTCATCATCATCTTAACCCATTCAAGTTTTACAAGAATTACACAGAAGAAGAAGGTGCCTATGAATGTCGTTTGACAATACCCATCACTGTAACATCACGAGAAGAGTACCGAGAAGGCAGCGTACCTGCTTTACCTGATTACGACTCGACGGCAGATCAGCCACCCAATTATATATCAACAATTCAATCACTCCCCCCTGTGCCTATTTATCCATCAAATGAAGCATCGTGAGTTAGGAAGATTGTCTTGCCAATGCCTTGTACAACTATAGTGCATAACTTAGAAAAGTCGTTGATGTACTTAATATGTATTTTATTTAAATAAAATTAATGATAAATGAACATGTAACTTTAAAGTTGAACTGTCTATTCAATTCAAAGGAAAGCAAAATAAGCTAGAAATCCTTTTAAGACAAATGGTAGATTTGCTGTTTGTAATATGCATTTTCGGTTTAGTATTTAACAATTGAGAAGCAAAAGTAAATCATCAATGGTGTTACACGAAACATTCGTGATGACTAAGTTAGTGTTCTTTGTTATAAGAGCAATACCGTTTTTTAAATCATTGATTGATTGAACTGCTGAATGTCAATCAAAAGTCATTGAAGGAGGATTTTTTCCACCGATAGAAGAAAAATTAGTTGCTTACGCTGTGGTGTACGATTGCTATGGATGCTATGGCTGAAATAGTTGCAATGGTTGCTATCATGGTTATAGACATTTTCAGCCTTGAAAAATCGTATCTTATTGATGTCTTCAATTCAATATCAGCTCTACATGAAGCAGCAACAATTTACTGTCATTCAAGAACAGCTTGATAGTTCAACTTCTAAACTTATGCAGCCAGCGATTAAGACTGATCTCAGAACTGTTAACCCTTCCTTCTCTTTAAAATCAGGCTCAAAATTCAACTACAATCTTCTCTTCGACAATTAGAGCAAATTCTAATCAAGAAAACGGCAGTTAAAAATCCTATTTGTAAAGCAGCTATCAACCATCGATAGCGTTTTTGTTTCCCAAACGACAGCGCCAGCAATTCGAGCTCTTCCTTGAATGCTCTTGATTATCAGTTCCTAACCAGGTTTCTTATTGAAGCAGAGCAGTTATGCCAGGCATAGCAGGCATAGCAATCGTACACCACAGCGTAAGCAATTAATTTTTCTTTCATTGGTGGAAAAAGTCTTCCCATTGTTGATGAAAGATTTCCGCATTCAATAGGAAATTTCTTCCATCGCTTACGTTATAGTGGTAACTCCATATAAAAGGTAGCTAGAGTGATAAAAGAAATTGTGGAAAGACTCGTAGACCTCAGGCTTTTATGATCAGTGTGATAGACTTACAAAAAAAGAAGAAGCAAGAAAAAGACATTTTCAGAAATAAAAAAATATTAACATTTATGCCGACATGACAAGTATGCCATTTGTGTACTTGAAAAATATTTTTTGAGAAATAATAAAAAACGTTATTTCAAAATCAAGCCCATTACTCTAAAATAAAGCAAAAATATTTTCTGCGATGACAAACAATAAAAAAAGAAAGGATTTTCTGATTTTTCTGCTTAAAATTAAAAAAAAAGCTTGCTTTTCTGTTTTTCTGTTTTGAATTAATAAACAAGTCTACTGGATAGTAATTTCAGAATTTTAGTTTACTGGTTGGTAGACTCGTTTATTAATTCAAAACAGAAAAACAGAAAAGCAAGCTTTTTTTTTAATTTTAAGCAGAAAAATCAGAAAATCCTTTCTTTTTTTATTGTTTGTCATCGCAGAAAATATTTTTGCTTTATTTTAGAGTAATGGGCTTGATTTTGAAATAACGTTTTTTATTATTTCTCAAAAAATATTTTTCAAGTACACAAATGGCATACTTGTCATGTCGGCATAAATGTTAGTGGAGTTTAAATTAGTTAAACGTTCTGAAGATAATGGGGGGGGGTCTGGTGTATCCATTAAACTCATCAAAGAGTTCTGATATGCTATTCTCTATCAATACAACGTAATCAATTACATTTTTTTTCATTAGTGAAATAAGTCTTCTATTGAATGCATTTTTCTTCCATTGCTTGCGTTGTAGTGTATTGGTGTCAACAACACTTGTTTCTTTAATTTCCTAGAACCAATCTCGAGCACACCCGTCTAATTTACTGGCGACTGGTTTGACTGCCTGGAGATAGCCCTAAGTTGTGTTACTGTGGCGCATATCTCTTTCATTCACATGTTATCCAGTACCTTAATATGCATACTATGCTCAACCAACTCACAGCATGTGTCAAATAAGCTTCTGTACATTTCCTTCTATCATAGATGTTCTCCATAAATCATGGTGCTGCAAATGCTTTGCTCTTTCCGACAACCAATCAGCTATTTCTCTTCCTTCTTTGATTGCAAACATACATCCACAAACATCATTGGATCAATACTTTTTTCTCTGTGCGTTTTTTATCCTTGTTTTTTAAAAGGGAGTTTTAGTCTTAGTCTAGTTTGGTTTAGTTATTGTGTCTCGTACCTAACACAATAGGCTTTGCCTTCACTCCGACGTCAGAAGTGGTTATAGGCTTTCAAGCCGCGCTTTATTTTCAGTAATGATATATATAAACTTAAAGTACAGTTCAGCTGGCTCTAGTTTGCCTTGAGTTGGAAGACTTTTTTGACTTGATTTTTTCAGGAGCAACTTCCAAAACAATCATTTTTCCTTGTAACATATGTGCTGTGATATGGCAATGAATAGCCCAAACTCCAGGATTATCCTAAATCAAAAGGGATGAGTTTTATACTCATTTACTCATACAAACTTACCGTAAAGATTCGGACTTTTGTCCATCCACAACCAATAGAACCTTCTGAAGTACGAGGATAAACAATGCTGACATCTTTAAACAAAGGTTCTGAAAAAGTAACAACGTCTTTGTCTGATTTTGGATCATAATCACCAGCTCCTTCAGCCAACAAATAATGAGAATAGCCATGTGTATGCCAAGGATGACTCACGCAAAGCCCAGGTGGGGCAGGTGAAGGCAAAAAGTGGTTTTGAAAGACAAGATCGATAATCTTGTTTTGACCTACAGGATATGTGTGGTGTTTTGGATCATAGCCATCCTTTTCCAAGATGTGAACGTCATGATCCTTTTTTACCATGTCTAGTAAGGAAGTGGTAGCGCTTTCCCAAGGGTTTTCCATGTAAGGACGATTATTATTGATGAATCGTGTACGATTGTCTGGGAGTATTACTTCTCGCATATTGATATAGAAAGTATGATCTGGCTTTGCATCAAGAATTTCTGATGGGCATGATTTGTATGGCTTGACTTGAGACAGAACCCAGCCTGGTACATTAGTAGCATTGTAAGGTGGTGTCTTGGGTTTACTTAGAATTCGAAGGGCTTCTTTTGCTTTATGCTTTGGATTGATATATCTAAGATAGCCGTAGCCAGATTGGGTATAACCAGGATTATTGGCATCATTACGCCATTTAAACTGAGAGAGAATAGGAAAGAGAGAACCAGGTTTATGATTTCCAGTTCGAATCAAGACAGACATGCGTTGACCAGCATCAATTTCAATAGATTTTAAACCAAAGGGCTTGACATATTCACCGTCAATTTCAATCAATTTCATGTCATGATCTTTAATAGATATTTCCAGCATACGAAAAGTTACAGCACCAATGTTACGAAGACGATATACCTTGTTAGGTTCAACATCAAAATAAGTAAAGCCTTTGCAATTCTGGTCTTGTGACAAGGTAACATTTGGATAGACTCCCTTACCGTTCAACAAGACGCTATCTGGACCACTGTCTCCTGCAAAATTAGAACCTAAATAGTATGCTTCTCTATCTTGAAGAGACTGATGCCACCAATGGCTCCATTGAAGAGTGAACTCCTCATCGTAAGAATACGGTCCATCACATGCCTTCTTTTCAAGCGTTTCTTCAGACTCATAAATAATAAAGGGACCTTGAATGGTGTCATCCTGAGTGCTCACATGAGCATGATAAAAATAAGTACCTGACTGATCGTCTACTTTAAACCTTTGAGTATATTCTTGCCCAGGAAGGATGGGCAACTGAGTAACGCCTGGAACGCCATCTGCATAATTAGTATATAGCTGTTTGATACCATGAAAATGAATGCTGGTAGATGCATTGTGTGATGGATCATTCTTAACCGTGACATCAATCAAGTCACCTTTCACTACATGAATAGCAGGAGCAGGAAATTGATCATTAATGAGCACAGCAGCAAAAGATTCAGTAAAGCAGTCTGGATTGATAGAAGCTGGCTTGATATGTAGTGTGATTTTTCGAATAGATCTAGAGGTTTTGCTAGGAGAAGATATTACTAAACTGATGAATAGCAATAAAATTAGTAGATAGCGAAGCATTAATGACAATGTGTATCGATTCATCTTTCAGAATTTATACCATTTCTTTTTTATCAATCACAAATCAATGCAACATGCTTAGAGCGAGTTAAAGAAATTATCTTTTTTTTTCATAAAAGGATTTCTGAGCGAAGAAGCTCAAACAGAAAGCACAACAAGTATTGCTAGTCGTACAAAAAATCCATAATATCAATTGAGTAAACGTGCAAACTTCTACAGTAATTTTGGTGATAACACTTTTGATTTATGATGCATTCAATGACTTAAGATTGTTTATAGACAAGTAATGCTTTCTCTTTCCTTTTTTATGTATAAACCATAAACTGCAGCTTTATTTGTTCCCCTTTCTAGGTTCTTTACCCAGATCGATTTCTCCCTTTTAATCTGTGTAAGAACAGTATATTGATCAAGACTTGTTCTAGTTTTGATCAAGATTTATATATTGTTGAAATACTGATGAAGAATTTTATGTGAAAATTGAAATTTTTGTTTAACTCATTGATTTAATGATTCTTTGTTTGTTTTCTTCAGGTTTTTCTGACCGGTTTTAGGAGCAAAAGGGAAAAGGACTGTTGATCAAGATTAACTGATCCCTAAAAACTACCTTTGCCTGGAATAAATAAAAAGAAGCATGTGAAACTTCTATTTCTGAAGCTATCACTCATGTTAATGCACAGCTCTTTTATTCATTTACTGCGTCTCCTCAAGAAGGAATTATATCGATTTATTTTCGTCTAAATGTATATCAAAAAAGCAAGTGATTTCTCCTTTATGCTAGTTTTTTTAAAAAAATCAAAGATGGCTCGGAAGTGACTATGTGACTTGTCCACTGTTTATCTATATCCAAATTATCTAAGAATCCTCTATTGTCTAGAACCAAACCAGCCGCATAGTGTAACAGTCTCGTACTTTCTCAGTTGATACATGCAAATCTACTGGATTAATACATCAAATGGCTTTAATTTACTTTTTTCAAGTTTTCCATGTCAAAGCATGCATAGAAGAACATTCTCATGCAATAAAATGACAAGTTTTGAGATGACCAAAAAATCAGCGTCAGGCCTTATGATAGGTCGACAATTTCTCTAAATTTTATAAAGTTGCGATTTGTAAACGACACAACAACATTTTACTAATGCATGTATTAGCAAAAAAATAATCTTCCGAGACTAAACAATACAATTAAAGTGTCAGAATTGAAAAAGCATAATATAAATTGTACATTATGGCTTAAGAACGTTATATATGTTTTTCAAGAATTACCAAAAACATAAAAGTAGAACCTATCACTTTTCTTGAATCATTTGATGCGCCTTTTTGAGAAATACAAACTTTGTCTCACAATCATTTTGATATCTCTTTGTTTCTGTATACTTTTGATTAGCAAATGTAAAAAGTCACGATTTTTTTTATTTTTTTGCTCCACGTAGACTATGACTAAAGTCTGTTAAGAGGTGGTCGCAATTTTAAGAAATACAAAGGGAAAATACCTAAGATAATTAATTATAAACGTTTGTGCAAGTGTTTCTCGTCAATCAGAGAATTGAGAGAAGCACGAGTGGATGAAAGAAGTAGAGTTGGATTAAACGGAATTTCATTGAAGATGGTATTCCAATGGGCTTTCCAAATTTGACCCATGCCTTGGAATACTATTTCTTGAGCAGCTAACTCACTATTCTGAGTATAACGAATAGAATAGAAGTTCATATATCGGAGTGCTTGTATGATATCATCAACAGTAGTGGTTGGCCATAAAAATTCAAATATAAGCTCTTTCCAAAAATGTGTTTTTGGAGGGAATGAAAAGAGCATATGGTTGTCATTTTCAGTATAAAGACCACAAATTTGGCATAAAGGAGTTGGAAATCGTTCAGGCAAGAAACGATTCATACGTATCGTTGTAGGCAGCTTATAGTTTATATATCGATACACCACATTTCGCACAACGGCGGTAAGGGACAATGTCCAAAATGAATCCCAAAAAGTAGAAGAAATGGCTGACAGGGCGGAAGGGGCAGTATGAGACTTCAAGCAAGTCATTCTATATACCTTAGAGCTGATCCCATCGCTCGGTCTCTTGGTAGATAGAACAGCAAAGCAGTTCAGAAAAGAGGCAAAGCTGAATCCTGCAATTATGTCTGAAGAGATGGCCTTGGAGGGAGAAGATATCGCTAAATGGCGTTGAAAAAGGGAGCGACACCTATAGTCCTTCTTGCTAAACCATGAACTAACCTCTGTTGAATTGTTTGCAACTCTTCGGGGATATTTTGAGGGAGCTTCCAAAGAATAACCTTGGAAAAATCATCGTACACCATGAGGTCATTAACTTGAATTTGACGCATAGCAGGAGGCAAAAAAGTTCGTTGAACATTCGTATAATGCATAACCAGAGATTGATAGTACCATACAAACTGCTGTATTGAACTCCATAGTATCAAAGTTTCTAGGAAGTCTATCTATAGACGCATAGAGCAGTTGAATCGTACTGACTTTGTTAGTGGCGCCATTAGATCGATTTATAAATTTTCTTGTAGATGGGAAGAGCAAAGGAACTTGTACATGTGAGGCCCCTGGGACATTATGCATATGAAGCCGAATAATTTTCAGCTAATGTGCTGAAGAGTGATTCAAAAGCAAAGAAAAAGTCCAGCAAAAAAAAAAAAAAAAAAAAAAAAAAAAAAAAAAAAATGCGCCTCTCTGTAGTAGAGGGCCCAAGATACCCAATCTACCCTTGTCTTTCGGAAGTATCCATGTTGACCAAGCTATTCGAGGGAAAATCTGTCTATTCAAAAATTGGCTTGCCAATGATCGAATACGAGACAGCTCTTGTGTACTGAAAGAAATGACTCGACATAAATACTAGCATTTAGATAGGATCAACGTGTTGGTGATGGTGGCACGTCCTACACACGAAAGCAATCTACCCGAATGCATCTGGAAATGAGAATAAATCTTGACAAACAGGGTTTCGAAAAATTCTGTCGTTGAGCAATTGACTGAATGAGAGGAAAGCCTAAGTATATTGCTGGCTGTAGATCGTCTGCGAAATATAGTTTTTCAATTTGCGTCCGGACAAAGACGCTGCTTAAACTTTTGAGTAGTTGATCTTCGCATTTGATGCTCTACAATAGCACTCAATATGCTGCATCACTCGCGTCAAATCATCAGGATCGTGTATAAAAACCATCGCATCATCAGCATAGCACAAAATTTTGGTAGCAATTGAGGTTGGCCAGACAGTGATTTGATTTCGAAGCTCGGGCCTAGTCTTAGTTGATACCCCTCAATCGCTTCGTCTTGAAGAATAGCTCGTAACAAAGGATCAGAAGCAAGGTTATACAAAACAGGGGAAATTGGGTCGCCTTGCTTTAGTCCACGCTTCTTGACAAATGATGGTGTAAAGAAACCATTGACATTCACTTTGATCTAATTACCGGAAATCAAGTTGTCTATGGTGTTTACTTTGGAATCCTAGAGTCCAAATTTTACCAAAACTTGTTTGAGATACTTTAGATTCACACGATCATACGCTTTCTCCTGGTCTAGCATCAGTGCTAAATCATAGTCTCCTTTTTGACGATTATTCCGGGCCTCAATCCAACGCTGTTGGGCATTTTCCATAATCACTTGAACTGCAAGTCCATTTTCAGCAATATAGCGTCGAGGAAGAAATCCCATTTGACAACGACTAATGAGCATCGGTGCAACCTGCATAATACGACGATTAAGAATGCGTGTAAATATCTTATAGTCAGAGTTTGCTAAAGATATAGGCCGATGGTTCTTTAAATCTGACAAATTCACCTTTTTTGGTAATAGCACCATGATGGACTCATTCCATGAATTGGGAAAGACACCTTCGAGCGCTGAGTTGTATATCTGTAATATAATGGGTTGAATCATTGGGCATTGGAGTACTAAGCGAAGAATTTCATACGGAAGTTCGTCTGAGCCTGGGCTACTCTTTCTGGGCGACCGCTTGGATTCTTCTATAATTTCGACCATACTAATGTTGGCTGTCATATGCGAATAATGTTGCTCGGTGAGACGAATATGATATGAAATATAAGATACCATTCTATTCACTGTTCGAGCGTCCGCACTAGTAGGCGTATATAATTGCGAGTAGAACTCTTTCACTATCCGCTGCTTAGATTCTTGGTCATTGTAAATTTCGGCAGTTATGGGGTTTGTGAGATCTCCAATCGATTTCTGCTGTTCCCGTTGTTTCACCAATGACTTCAAGTAACCGGGTGATTTCTCACCCTTTTCCCTCCATGTCTTTCCAGCACGAAGCATGGCTAAGTCGACCTGCTCTTGTTGTAAGCTTGAAATTTGCTGGAGATGCTTCTGTCTACGTAACATCATATTACGTTTACTTTGTAAACGAGTGAGTTGTTTTTCCGCCAATTAATAATTTCCAATTGAAAGGATTTGATGAATGACTTGACCTTCTGCTTAATCCAATCCCAGTTCTCTTGAGGAGTATGAATGGACTGTCGTTCAGAAAGTTGTGGTTGTAGCTGCTCTAAAAATTTAGCTAGTTGTTGTCTAAATTCTTTTCTTCTAGCAAGAAAGGGGTCCGCTTTCCATGCACCTGGACCTTTTGTAGATTCTACCGTAAGGTTAAATGTAACAGATAGCATGACATAATCAGTCCATTCGGGTGACAAATAAAGTTGCTCTGTTCGATTGATTGAGAATCTAAGTCGATTGCAACAAAAGATATAATCGATGATCAAGCGTAAATCTCCTCTTTTAAATGTAGTCTGTTTCTCGTCTTTAAAGCAATCATGATATTGCAAGTCCAGAAAAGAGGACCATGTTGGAGGAGGACCACGTACTATACCATCCATTGTTCTTACATCATAGCGATAGTTTAAATCCTCTAAAATCACGGTGCTATACAATTCGCTATGTAGGCATTGGTGCAGAGTGAAGTCATTTAATACAAAGTGGAAAAACTGTTCTTTGATTCGTGCGCTGCCGGTAGCTAGCGCATATATACTAAGAATCGAAAGGATAGGAAGGGGGCGGTTGATTTCCTCTGTCATGGTGTCAGTTGAGCAAACTTCTGCCAAAACATATCTTCCCAAAGGATCAATGCATATTGATCGCATTATATATTTGGGATTGAGAGATACTATACCGCAATGTTGAGTCCATATACTAGAGTTTGTTTGAAATTGAGTATTGAGTTGTTGAATGATTGAATTGTTTTCTGCATGTGTTTCTTGGAATGCAAATATGTCATATTTCAATAATCTTAAGTAACGTATAATTTTTTTGTTGTAAAGGAGAGTGTGCTTTGCGTAGGCTGCGCCAGTTGAGTGTCGCAACAGTTATTCGACAAGTATTAGATATTATAATTGAAATAGTAAAGGAGTTAATGTTGTCCCCCACCCTTATTCCCAGTTATTGTTGGAGAAGAAGAAGGGAAAGAGGCAGCTGATTGCTGAAGATTCTTTCTGGTGTCGTTGTGTTCATTGCTTACCAAGTTGTGAGGACGTCCGCTAATAACATTGACATGCGAATTCTGTCAACTGATTTTTTGCTGCTGGATATCCTCGGCATCTCTCATACGATAGTCCATTACCTCGCTTTTTTTTTTTCCTTTGGAGTATCAAGCTCCTCCACTTCATTCATGACAGTATCTTTTACTTTAGCCAGTTCAGTGCTAGGTTCCTCATCCGTTTCAATCATGAGTTGGGACTCTTTTTCCATCACAGTTTCCTTAGCCTGATCTTCCAGTGAAGGTGTAGTCTGCTTAACCTCTTGGACTACTGTAGGTCTAAATACTTTTCTCTCCTTATTCACAATCCGTTTCTTGCTAGGAGCAGTGATCGTATCAATCGCATTGTTTCGTGGACATTGACGCATGCGATGTCCTCTTTCGTTACAGTTGTAACACTTTAAAAACTTTTTGTGCCGTGGTCAATCTGCTCTACAGTGATCAGAGGCTTGACATATGCGACAAAAATCAGGCATATCCTCCCATTGGAGTAAAACATGCCTTTCCTCTCCATCATCTTCTGTCCAAAGGATTGCTCGTTGCAAAGGCTCAAATCGAGTATCCTTATCTCCTGGAAGAGATAGGTTAAGAGTGGCATAGCCCTATCCAGTAAAACATCCTTTAACTGTAGTAACTCCTAAATCCAAGATTTGACCAAAGCGTGATAGTTGGCTCTCCATATTGGCCTCCAATAAGCGGAAAGGCAAACAAGGGAGTCTTTTCAACTTGGGTTTGACGATACGAGCATCAGCAGGATAACTTGGAAATCTTTTAACGAATGTCCCGTCTGCCAAGTAAATCCCTTCATTTACAATAACGTTTCTTCCAGGACAATCTTTGAACCAGAGGGTTTCAACGTATTTGGGCCTAAAGTATTTTCTAATTGTAGGTACTCGACCGAGATAGTCCTCGTAACCTCCATTTTCTTCCATGTCCTTATTGAAATTCTGTAGTGCATCAAACAAGGTTTGCTGATCCTTCAAATCTGTAACATCGATTAAAATGCTGTTTCTCTCGATTCCTTTCAGAAAAAATAGTACGAGCTGAATAGGTGAGGGAATGTTGGATTCAGAAGTCAAAGGCACATCAGTAGTAACTGTATTTGTTGCAGGGACACTTGGAGTAATCATAGTAGATCGAAAGGGCTGAATCTTACGAGCACTAATCGACACTATTTTAGCCCAGGAGGAGTATCCGGTCTACTAAGATGAGTTTCTGTCAGGGCTTATTGCTCTGATTGGAAACGTATGGTTCTGATTTTTACGCGAAAGATCCATGGAAAAGCAAGTTACAAAATTCAGTTAAGAATGAATCTAAAGAAAATGATCGAATTCAAGGTCCGATGCATTAATTTGAGTAACTTTGAACTGACATTTTGAAACGGTTTTCTTTGACATTGCTACCTCTAGCGCTGAGAAAAAGACAATAGATACCCGCTTTAAGGAGTAAAAAACAAAAACCTAAATTGGTACTTTCTCTTTGCAGAGTTATCACTATCATTCAGACAAATCAATGTTGCATGCGCTTATTCTTTGTTATTTCAGTATCAAGATAAGAATCAATCAGTATAAATAAGAGTCATGATTGCAAATTATAATGAAATAGATCTCTTTTGACCATCATTGGTTCTGATTGGTCATTCGTCTTATATTCATTGTTATAAGGATTGAAAGAGAGTTATAAAATATTCAATAACCAAGACTTTGGCTTGCAAATTAAGACTGCTAAACAAGGTTGGAAAAACCCTCTAATCTAACAAAGTGCTGAAGCCGTTGTATAAGCCGGTGGATCAGATAATGAGCCAGGTGTATGTTGTGCTGAAATTGATGAATGTGCCTCTGGTATCCAGAAATGTATTGCTGAGATATTTGATGCTATCAAGGTCAAGATAGTTAGTACTCAATCCAATGATCAAGAAGTGCTGATTGAAAACTCAAAAGACAAGCTATCAGCAACGGCAATCTCTCTCTCTTTCACAATTACTTTGTCAATATACTCTTTTTTGTTTCAAAGCTAACATCAGTCAATCCAACACTGATTTTATCAACAAGACAATATCCTTCTATACAAGAAGCGATGCGCTGGCTGGGCGCGCCATAACCGGGAAGTAAGTACTTATTCCAAGTTTAAAGTTTTCGCTAACTTTTTTTAAAAAAAACGTCAGTATAAACAGATACAATCTAAATTAGAAACCCCAATTACTCTTTTCAGTGGATTTTTATGGTCTTGGTATCAGTTTCAAAGCTCATACACTTATTTTGTATAAATAGATCCAATTATAATCTAAAGCTCATAGATATAATCGCAGTTCGTGTAATTGCTTTTGCATGTTTTGACTGACACAAGAGATTGACATAGCAAAAACTCTCATTTTTATCTATCATTGTAGTAAAAAGCTTTGTGTGTGTGTGTGTGTGTGTGTGTGTGTGTGTGTTTTTTCAATGAGAATCACGCGTGAGTAAATGATAAACAAGACTTGCATAAATGACATATTTTTGATAAAGGAAATAACATAAAAAGATATGTCAGAATGAGCTTTTTTTCCCTCTTTCTCTTTGTAAAGCTATACTTTGCTCAAAAATTGTCCTTTCCTCGGTCTCAGATACAGGCCTCTTTCAATGTAAGGCGCGTGTGCTAGTTTGATGGTCATTCGTTTTATCATTTAGTATCTAGTGCATCTAGTTTTGAGAATGATAACACCAGTTTGGAATACGAAACTGATGAAATGATATTGAAGCTTAGGTAAACTTATATCTCTTTCAACATCTATACTAATTCTCTTTTGAGATAGGACAATATGATAATACCTATTAGTGTTTGTTTGATTGTTTAGCATCTTTACTATGATGCCAACAATGATTAGCCCTCTTACTACTACTACTACTACTACTACTACTACTACTACTACTACTACTACTACTACTACTACTACTACTACTACTACTACTACTACTACTACTACTACTACTGTTATTATTATTATTATCAACAATTTTTATGCCCAAAGCCCCTGAGTCTTAAAGACTTATAATCAACACACATTTTTTTACATGATCATCTTTTTAATGTTGGTACAATAGGATTGAAGCCCTTTTTTTTTTTTTTTTTGTAATACTAGCATAAACAACGTGGCAAATAACCTTATTCGCAATCCCCGCCTATTTATTCAGATAAATAAGAATCAACCTACTTTTTTTAGCGCTTTTGCTTTATTCTAAATAAAGATATGACACGTTCCTTTGCTTTCAGCCAAGACGATCTCGCTCAAGAGTGGGAAGAGGCTTACAACAAAACCAATTTACTTAAGCGACAAAATAAACCTCAGTATAATGCAATTTTCAGTGACGACGAAGAAGAACCTGTGCCTGTTTCACTTACGTCGCGTTGGTTTCATAATGGTCAGGACAATACGGGATACGTTGATCCAGTCATTAGTTCTTCTACCTATCATATCCATCAAGCAGACAATGCTCTGCTGACTTTGAAACATATTATTCTGGAAGACGGATGGAAGAAGGCCTTGAAGCATAAAAGTGGAGTGATGGTTCATATGAAGAGTGGAATACATAAAGACAAAACACCCGTTTTTAAGGGCGAGGCAATCATCCAAGGCTTCTCGCCTCAATCTATATTTTACGTGATTGGTATGCGTAAATTATGGGATGAGCAGTAATGTATCTATCAAACATCACTTTATACATGTTGACTCTTATTTAGATATGAAGATGGTAAACTTGTAGAGAACCTAAATGATACAACATCATTGACTTATGAGGTAATAAAATCGACATCCTCAAGCAAGTAAGAACATGTTTTTTTTCTATATTGATTGCGTATTAAATACAATACTTCCCCTTATTTGATAGATGCAGAGATTTAGCACTTGTTGAGAAGATAGAATGCACACCCAATGGAGTGATCATGTTTGCTTGTACAAGTGCAGAGACACCTCGAATACCTAGGTTCAGTGGAAGAGTACGGGTGAATATCAAACTTCAAGGCTGGATACTTGAACCATTACCTTCATCAAGCTCACATCCAGTTACCAAAGTTACTTTTGTCATACAAGAAAGCATGAAGGGCTGGGTTCCTGGATTTGCAAAGAAATCACTAGCAAGAAGACCTCTAGTCATTGCCAAAGTAGCCGAATATCTAGAACGCAAATCAGAACGAATACGAACTCAACAACAACAACAACAGCAACAACAACATATTCAGTCAGGGCATAGCCGGCGCCCTTCTGTCATGTATCCCACTCGTCAAGCATCAATTTTAATGCCACCTTCTTCTCTAACAATTGCTCCAAAGAAACACATTTCTTTTGCTGATCGAGACAAGACTTATACACCTACCTATATACCAGAAAATTCAATCGATAACAGTAGCACAGCTACTCTCGAAAGCCCTATACCTTATAAAAAACCCTCTACTCCACCTTCTTCAAAAGGCCATCTCTACCCTTCACATCGTCATTCACTTCAGAAAATAGAAAGCTTGCAATTACTTAAAAAATTGACATTGTCCACAAATCATTGGAAACAATCCAAACAGTTTGAAGATAATACATGCTATACGTTGAATTCAGACCTACTGGACAAACAAGGACGAGGATCGTTTATGCGTGTCGATGCCATAATTTCAGGAGGCTGGACTGCTGAACAACTCTGTAGCGTAGTTCATTGCTTTGGATCTCGAAAAGTCTGGGACGCCACCTTTGAAGATGGCAAGATCATGGAAAGGTTTAGTCAAAAAGACTATCTTGTCCATTGGATTCTCAGTAATGACACACTACCTATTGCAAGTGTTGATCTTGCTGCTATCACCAGTATTGAGACAGATCCAGTCTCAGGTACAGTTTACACAGCAACATGTAGTGTGATTGATAAAGACATTCCACCCGATGACAATTTAATTCGCGCTTCAAGTGATTTGTATGGTTGGGTATTTCAACCTGTCTTTGACACTCAGGGCAAAACAAGTAAAGTCAAGGTCAGCTTTGTCTATCACTTGGATTTTAAGTATAACGTGCCTGTACCTGTACTTCAAAAATGGACAGATATGTCTATGCAATCAATTCAACACGTCCATCATTATTTGACACAGTATGGTTGTCCACCTTACATCCGACGTGTCGCTGGAAAAGTAGTGCAGGAGACATTTGATGCTGCAAGAAACTGCTATAAAGTGATTCTCGTCACTAAACATCAGCCTTCAAATGCCTACCGAGCACGCAAAAAGACTTTTGAACAGCAACAGCAATTATGGTGCACAGACATTCGGTTTCATAAGACCATGTTTCCCCATGGACTTGATATCCATGTTGAGCCTATGGACATGACACGAATTCAAGTGTCTACAAAAGAACAAAAGAGCCTCAAGCTTTTCACGACAGATGAAGCCATAGATGGTAAACAAGTAACCTTGACATTAATGCCTTTATTATTGGAGCATGAACATCAAGATGCTCATACCTATCGATACAATAATCAACTGTTTCTTAATAAACCTAATATCAAGCAAAAAGAACAACAAAAAGAAACAAAACAAGAACAAACTCCATCATTATCATCACCACCACTGCTTCCATTCCAGCCACAACAAGAAAAAAAAGAAAAAGGTAAAAGATATGTAAATATATAATGCTTATCAAACAATAGAGAATGTATCAGTTCAATTACCTAAAGGATATCTACTTGTGCCTGAACAACACACGAATAATATGGTGATGCTTACAGAAGAACTATCATTCAATGGCCAACAAATCTCTGTCATTTTTCTTGCTATGGTCATATGCTATTATATGGGCAAATTCACTTCTTGTAGTTGTTAAAGTTTTCCACTTTTTTTTATGTGTTTATCAAAAAAAAAGAAAAATAGTTGTCCTTGTTTATGTGGATGTCAATGAAATATATATGTGTTGGTGTTTATATGGGTGCTGTTTGTCCTCTATGCCTTTACTTCAGTAGTTTTATCATCAATAATGTTTAATTTAGGCAAGTTGGAATTGGCTGCAGTCAAAGCATCTTGCTTGGCTTGGGCAGCTTTCTTTTGGGCTTGTTTCAATTCTTCTGTCTTGATGCGAGTAATACGGGCAAATTCTTTAGTGTGATGAAGACATTCGAGATAGTCGTCACGTTGGTTAAGACACTGTTGAGGAAGATCAGCAGAGGCATAACACTTGTTGAATTCTTGCCAAAAGTGGAAGCATCGACCACGACCTATTTTGACATTGAATATATAATAAAAAAAAAACGGAAAGAAAATAGGGTTATTTACCACCGTCTAAACCGAAACCAGAAGCCATTTTAATATAAGAACAGGAGAGGGAAGAAAAAAAAAGAAAAGAAAAAAGGCTGTTTTTATTATGATTTTGTAAATGAACAACCCCGCGATAATAGAACAGGGATTGTGACGTCTCAACAAATTTAAAGAGGAGTAAACTAACTTGTCAGTTACACAGAATACGATTTAGACAGACTCACATAATTACTAGGCACAATACCAATTGTACCATCCGATTTCTTGGCTTGCCACCAATTACCACTCTTGTTGATGATTTCTAGTACTTCGTCTTTGGCAAAACTGAGCTCATTTGGATCTTCTGGATTAGCAGTGTCTATAGAGTCTTAATATTGATATATGATAAAATGAACTTACATGGATGAAGTGCAGTGGCTGTTAATGGCATTGGTTGTTGTTGTTGTTGTTGTTGTTGTTGTTCGTGTTGTGGAGTGACAGGAATAGACTGATGTATGCTTGGAACAGAAGCCATGTTTTGAACTGCTTCAGGAGAAGATAAATGTGCTTTACTTTCAATATGGCTTGCATGTTGTGACACGGGAGGAACAATAAAGTCAGAATAAATAAATTGATACACAACCGACTCTTCTGCACAAGAAAACAGAATCACCCAGAAGAACTAGAATTGAGATTAGTTGCTATCAGCCATTGTCTTGTTATTTTTACCTGCATCACAATCAAAATGACAGCACCTGCACCAGATGCTTGACTTCCACCTGTACTGTAACTCAAAAGCCCATTGATTGTTGTTGTTAAAAGTGATATACTTACACCCAAGAAAATCAAAAACTGGATAAGAATAAGTACACAAGAAATTGATGTTGATACTTTACTGTTGTCTGATAATGGTGGAATACTTGTCTAAAGATACTGAATAAAATACTGCCTACTAGCAATAGTTCATAAATAACAATCCACCAAAGTAAGCCTGCTCTTCCAATAACACAGGCACCAATAAACATAACGAACCAGCCTACCTATTTGATTGTTATTAACATAAACTTACTTCAAAGCAACTTACCACAGCCATAATAATAGACACGAAAATGAGTGGATTTTTTTTTACATGTTTTGAATTTAATTGCATTTTTCTTTAAAGAAGAAGGAAAGGAACGGGAGTGAAATAAAGAAAGAAAAGAGGGAGAAGAAGAAGAAGAAGAAAAACAAATGTAACGCAAGAAAAAAGGCGAGTTACTTTATGGATCAAAAATAGGAGCAAGAAAAAAAAAAGAGTAACAATCAAATACGTTTTAACCTCACCATTCATTCATGCTGAACAGAAAAAAATTTTTCTACCTTTTAACAAATGCAACAGTTTAAATATGGCTTAAATGTGTCTAAAAACAAGACACCTACTCATCCTAAGCTAAAGCAACGTACAAATGCTTTTGCTCATGCAAGTGATGATGAGGATGATGGGCCCCAAACCCATGATGTTAAATCAGCAAAAACACAAGTCAATAAACAACTCTCGAGTTATAACACAATGACAAAAAAGATCGCACAAGAACAAGCTAAAGCACTTGAAGAAGATCCTACTATTTTTGATTACGACGCTGTCTATGATGATCTAAAGGAAATCGAGAAAAAGAAACAAGAAGCAACAAAACCCAAAGATAAAAAAGCAAAGTACATTCAAGGCTTATTAGAAATGGCAGAAGTGAGAAAACGAGATCGTGTTTTGGCAGAAGAAAAGAAAGTGGCTCGTGAAAGAGAAGCAGAAGGAGAAGAGTTTGCAGACAAAGAGGTGTTTGTGACTGAATCATTCAAGAAGCAAAAGGCAGAATTAGAACGTATCGAACGCGAAGAAAAGGAACGTGAAGCATTGGCCGAGAAGAACAAGACCATGGACTCGTTTTATAAACGAGTGTTAGAGAAGAAAGAAGCAGAACATCAGGCCATGTTAAAAGCCATGGCCGAAAGAAAAAAAGATCGGTCTACGTCCTCTTCTTTGGATAGAGAACAGACAGCTACAGATGCTCAATTAGTAGAGGAAGCAAAGAAAGAAGGCAAGGATGTCATGGTCAATGACAACAATGAAATTGTTGACAAGCGACAATTGTTGGGTGCAGGTCTTAATATCAAACCAAGGTTTGGCTCATTGGGATCACTGGCTGCTTCTGATGAACGTATCAAAGAGCGCATGGATGAATATGAAGAATACAAGCGCAAAAAAGTAGCAGAGTATGAAGCACGTAAAAGACAAGGCAGATCAAATGATGAAAGAGAGCGCCTGAGTAAAGAAGTAGAGCGACAAATGATGCAAGTACAACAAAAACAAAAGGAAGAACAAGAGCAAAAACAAAAAGAATTTGAACTCAAGGCTGCTGCTAAGCGTACAACTGATGATGCAGCCATGAGTGCTCGAGACCGTTATTTAGCAAGAAAGAAGCAAAAAGCACAAGAAAAAGAATAAAGATTTTATTATTATGTTTGCGCTTCTTTAAGGATAGCATGATAATTTACAGTGTTGCGCTTCAGAATGTCCATGACAGGTCCCAATAGTCGAATAAATGCTGCTTTTCCTAATGTGACGCACTTGAGATCACCTTTGGCAACCACAGTAGCAGCTCTTGGCTTATCATTCAACAATGCAAGTTCTATATGAATGAATAAGATGATATCGTTCTATCCTCAATTACCTCCAAAATAATCACCCTTTTTCAGTTGATTTACTTGTTCTGGTTGTCCACCTGGCTGTTGACGATAACAAATAGCCTCGCCTCTCTCAATCAAATAGAAATTATCACCAGGATCACCTTGTCGAAGTACAACATCACCATCGCGGAACCAAACAGGCTCTAAAGCATCTGCAATTTTATGCATCTCAGCCAATTCAAGAGATTTAAACAATGGCACATCTTGCATGAATTTTTCATGCATGTTTCGCTTTTGAGCATTGTTTTCCATCAAAATAGACCGGAAAGAGACACGATCCAAGGCCCATAAGACAGCATCCGATGTGGCTTGAATAGAAGCTGCTCTTGGTGCATTGTACATCAATGCCAATTCACCAAAGCTACCACCACGCTGGTACTGTGTAACTTTGTTTCCGTTCACAAAGCAATCGAGTGTACCACTTGAAACAATGTAAAAGTAGTCGCCCACAGCACCTTGTTCAATGACCCAATCGCCTGACTTGAATCGCATTTCTTGCATGGAATCAATGACTTCTTGACGTTGTTCTTGCTCTACTGTTTGAAATAAGAAATGACTTTGCAAAGAATGAGAAATAAGATCTATCTCAGCATCTGGTTTTTTGGGCAGGGATTTCTTTTTATAGGAAGAAGAAGGTTGCATGGATTCTGCACTCACAGAAACTCGGCGGTCTTTAGGAAATTTTGGTTCAAAATGAGGCAAACCTCCAGGAAATGAATCTTGCTCCTCCTCTTCTTCTTCGTTGTCTGGACCCGTCATAGTAATTATAGGCGTTGTTTCTCGCATAAATGAGTCATTTGGATGTTCTACAGAATAAATCAACAACATAAACAAGTATGTCATTTATTTACTTATTTTTTTACCTTGCATTGGTTGCGTATGTCTTGTCTGTGATCTTTCCTGAAGTAAACGTTGTAAAAAGAAATTAAAGCAAAATTGAAGTGTATCTTGTGGGTTATTCTGAATTACTTGTTTATTGAGTTCATTAATTAAGACTTGATATTCTTTGTTTTGTGTTGAAAATGGATGAACACTTTCTTTTGACATGATAAGAACAAAAAGAAAGAAATAGAAGAAAAAAAAAACACTCGGTCATTTTATTACCATTATTTTTTTCTCAAACCATTCTACAAAGGCATTGAATACGTAAAACTTGGCCTATCAAACCACTTACTTTGGCAACTTAAATTCCTCGCCTTGGAGTACTTTGGTATAATAAATATAGAAAAAGTCACTATAAAGTGCTGTCTGAATCATACCAGCAACCCAAGCAACCCAGTCTGTATAACCTTCATCCAAGTAACGATAGATCCAATTGAACAAATAAAGCGTTCTATATGCACCTAATGCAAATAGATAATGTGTAGTAATCGTTTCTGCTTCTCCTGTTTTCTGTAACATAAACAATTGGGGTAAAATAGCAACAGATTCAAGCCAGATTGAGAAACTCCAGAATATCTATTGTGACCTAAGCATAAGACAATAGAACAACCTTACTTACCTCAATTACAGTGTAGATATAAGTAGACGCAACGCCCATAATAATAGATCCTACTAATAAATATTCAATGCGAAAGGTATCTAGACTAGCATCATAAGTAGCTTGGTATTTGAATCGCATTAAATAGAGAATATAGAGCGAAGAACCAATAAAAAAGACTTTCATGACAGTATTGTAGATGGAGATATGCTTAAAGAGCAAATCCAGATATCTTGTTAAGAAGACAACAGAGTACAACAATTGTGACTTAAATGAAATACCTATTTATTAAGGTAAGATGGACACACTACGAAAGAGATGATCTTACCAATGCATGATTTTGTCTTTCTGATTTTAAGCAAAAGTATAAAAATGGATGCCAAGTGCATCAAATCTGCTGATAGACGAAATATATTCATGTTAAAGAGAAAGACTAAAAAAAAGGTGGAAAGAGAGAGGGGAACTAAACTAAATGAAATAAGGAGTTCAATTACGTGTGCATTTGTTATTGTTGTCGATAACAAAATCAACTGGTGCATATTTCACATTTCCACTTTCAAAAAATTTGATTTAGAGTATTACCAAAAAGCTTATAAAAATGTCGCAATCCCTCTGGTTACGTCTTGTTACGCCAGATGATTGAGTTCAGGGTATCCAAAGCACTTCATTTTTAGATCAAGTTGCGCAATATAAACATGCGTTCACATATAAGCTCTGTTTTTTCTTATTTAACATCTATCTTCTTTTTCTTTGTTAAATTATCATGACTACAGAACGTAGACCTTTGATAAAAAAAGGCTCTTCTTCAACTGTTGTCGTACAAGACGAAGGGTCGAATAATACATATAAAACCATTGAAGAAGGCCAATTGAATTCGAATGAACAAGACTCTTTCCAAAATTTGGGCAATACTTCCTTGCCTATGATTGTATTATGGTATGCTACTTGCTTTTGTACTCTCATCTAACTCAATATTTATTGTAGTTTATCCACAGGTAGCTTCTTGGCTTCTTTAGATACATCAATTATCATTACCATCTTTAATGAAATTGGTACTGAATTTCAAAGGTAAAGATTTGACATATCAATACATGTATTGATTGTTTAGTTCAAATCTCTCGGTATGGATCATGACCTCTTACATGCTGAGTACTTCTGCTATTCAACCATTATGTCAGTGAAAAGAAAAAAGAAGAAAGAAAAAAAATAGTATACTTATTGCTCAATGTAGATGGTAAATTGTCAGACATTTATGGTCGAAAATCAACATTGGTGACCATCATCTGTTTCTTTCTTATTGGATCTTTGCTTTGTGGTGCAGCAGGCTCAATGACTCAGCTGAGTATTGCTCGTGCCATTGCAGGTCTTGGGGGAGGAGGCATTATGACTATGGCTTCTGTTGTTATTCATGACTTGGTGCCTATGCGTCAACGAGGACAATATCAAGCTTATGTCAATATGGCTCAAACAGTAAGCTATAAAAGTTCAAACTACAATAACTTATCTATGTATCTATAGATTGGTACGACAGTCGGTGCTCCTTTAGGTGGCCTTATTAATGATACATTGGGATGGCGTTACTGTTTTTACATCAATATCCCCTTTTGCTTGTTTATTCTCTACCACTACATCTACAAATTAGAGAATTATAATCTACAAGATACAAAGGTAGACCAAAAGCTGGAACAGATTGATTTTGTAGGAGCAGCGTTGTTGTTGATGGCCAATGTGTGTTTTGTGACAAGTGCTTCTTTAGGGGGTAATACTCGTCCCTGGGACGATCCCTTAATTATTATTCTAGGCGTGACTGCAGCTACTTTGTTTACTGCCTTTGGCCTCTATGAATTTTGTGGTGCCAAGTACCCTTTAATCTGTCGTGCGTTGATCAAGAACAGAAACGTGATGGCTGTTTGTTTAAATAACTTCTTTTTATGTCAATCTACCATGACCATGTCTTATCTCATTCCTCAGTTTTTCATGGTAAGATATAAAGTTATATAACATGGACTCATATTCCTCCTTCAGGGTATATTGGGTTATAACCCCTCTTCTGCAGGCTTATGGGTCTTTCCTCGGTCTCTTATGGTCGCCGTTGGTTGCTTCTATTCAGGTCGTCGTCTTACATTAACGGGTCGCTATAAACACTTTATCAATGTAGTCATGCTGGTTCATGTCATAACAGCTATTGGTACTTGGATGTGGAAACCAGGACAACCTCTTTGGTACTACCTTGCCTGCATGAACATGGAAGGCTTTATCTTTGGTCTTATTTTTGTTGCTACCATGGTTGCATTGGTAATAGACATTCATCATGAAGAGACAGCTTCTGCTACATCGATGATATTTTTGTTTAGATCCACAGGCTGGTTATCAGGCAGTACAATTTCAGCAGCCATTATGCAATCAAGATTCAAAAGCTATTTACAGCAATCCATGAAAGGACCTGAAGCAGCTGATGTGATTGAATTTGTGCGTACTTCTATTTCCAAAGTGCGTACATTAGCACCTGAAATTCAAGTCATTGTACTTAATTCCTTACAAAGATCTATTCATACGGCTTTGTTGTTTGCTGTTGTCACCTCTTTCCTTTCTTTCATAGTCACATTTGCATTGAGAAATTGTCAATTGAGTAAATAAGTTAATAAAGAGATATACTGCTTTTTTTATTATCATTTTGATGATTCTACAATTGGTGTTTATCGTTGATGAGCAGCAACAAATCTCTTTTGTTCTTCTGCAACAGCGTGTTTGAATTGTTCGACTTGTTCCCAACAGTCCAAAGGTCTAGTTTGGTTGTTTCTATAAAAGAGTGAGTATAAAATGATTTGATTGAATACATACTTGTAACAGACAATCAATGCTTCTTGTTTCTCGGCAATGGCAGCAGGTATATCTGAAGGAGAGGATCTAATAAAAAAAAGGGGGGAAGGAAGTCAATACCTTTCATGTCTTGTCTACACTCTACCTTTTTAACTTTTGAATCATGTTCTCGATATCTTCAGTCATGGCAATAGAGTTATGATCGTTTTTAATGTTTTGTTTTGCCAATTCACCATAAGCACGTTGGTTGACTTGGTCTTGTTGTTGTTTGGTACGCTTTAATTCTTCAGCAACACGCTCACGAACAAGCTGCTCGATTTTTTCATTTGAAACATTGACAGGTTGCTATACATATAGTATAAATACATTGTTTAAAAGCGGCTTATTTGTTTTATTTTTCTAACCTTCTTGCTTTCAACAGGCTCAGTGAAGCCTTGAGAGAACTAAAGCGAAATTCAATTTTATTGATATAAATAAACAGGCTCTTACCTGAAGAGGAGAGCTTTGGTTATAAAAGATCACAGGTTCTGAGGCTTTGGATTGTGTTGCTCCCATTCTATCTAATACAAGAAGAAGAAAAAAAAAGAGAGACTTGTGGAGTCTTTAACAGGGACATTTTTGTTGTCCTTTCTCTACGTCACTCTTGACTGTGTATTTGGAACTCTTTTAGCCAATCAAATACTCTTGAAGCAAATGCATTGCTGTTTATGCATTATAGCTCTAGGTTTATTGTATCTGTCAAAAAGAAAACCCAGTTATCCTACATATATAAAGTCGCCAAACGTATCTCAATGAATACTACTATGGCAAGTAGTAATAATTGAAGAAATACTTGCACTGATTGAAGTCTCTTACTCCTAGCTTGTAGGCAATCTGTCGTATATGCTTGTTCGTAATCTTGTCGACTGGAATATTGAGTTCTTCGACAAGTTGTTTGAATGCGATTTTCTCGTCTTTTCTCCAGCGACCACAATTGAATAAGTTGTACCGACAATAAGGTAATAGACAGCAAATAGCATCTAGTTCATCTTTTGGAAGCTTGAGTTTGACTTCATATGCAGGGTTTTTAGATGTAGTGGGTTTGAGCATGACTTTAATGGCAGTGGTTTTGGGTACTACTTGAGATGCAATATGTGTCAACTTTCTGGTAAACATATTTTGGGATATTGTCTTGGTAGCAGAGGTGTTTATCAAGAAATGCAAAGATATCATTGCTAGTAATGCTTAGAAGTGTGTTTAGTACCAAGCACATATATATATACATGTTAATTCATTATGTGTTTGTCTTTTGTTCGACCTTTTTAGTTATATTAAAAACGTCGCATTTCCTTGTTTACAAACAATTATTTGACAGCGTAAGCCAAAGCAAACAACCCTTTCTTTCTGAGAACTTTTTCTTAAGCTGATTGCATAAGAAAGGGTACATGTGAGACGTCAATACATTCATTCGGGCATATTGAAATGCAACTCTCTCAATGCATTATGTAAAACGTATCTACTCATAGCACAAGAGCAACTTTTGTTCTTTTTGACATTAAGCAAAAAAAAAAAAAAAAAAAAAAAAAAAAATTACTGCTTCTCTGCTAAGAATTCGAATGAAAAAGATCTACTAGTTGTGTAGGTTATTAAGAGATGAACGGGTATGAACGCAATTTAGAGAAAAGAAAAGAAACCATATAATTCATCAGCTAGCAATCCATTGACTTTCAGAAAAAAAAAAGGAGGCCCTTCTCTTGTGATAGAAGAATGATGCATGGAAAGGAAAAGAAAGATCTCTAATTATTGTCATGTTTACATTTCTGAGATCATCTGTTGGAAGTAGCTGAAGCTCACAAGCCAAGCATATCCATAACGAGTTAATCCATGCCATTTTTGATCCATCTTTCCATATTTAAATACTACTCATTTTCTCTATCCACTGCTGTTCTTTCACACGTAAAGAGTTGATCATGACATACAAATGAATATGTATTTTGTGGGTATCATCATTTTTCTATATATATATATATATATGTGTGTGTGTATGTGTGTGTATGTGTGTGTGTGTGTGTGTGTGTGTGTGTGTGTGTATGTGTGTGTGTGTGTGTGTGTGTGTGTGTGTGTGTGTGTACAACACTTTACTTGTGCTTGGCAACCTGTTCCTTAGCAGGGAAGCGCTTGCGTAACATTGCAATCATTTGACTAAACCACCAAAAATTTAAACAAGTAGTCGCAAAATTAGCTGTGCCATAAACAATCCAATCTAGAACACCATTGATAAATACGTCTGATTCAAACATATAAAACCACTTACATCTTAAAGGAACATCGTCTTTTACAGTGTAAATATCATCTAAGAAAAATATAAGTCATTACACAAAAAAGTTTTTTCTTCCCGCTATCTCTTACTCCATAATTTGTATGACATGTATGGGCCAAATACGACACGAGCACCAAAGAAAGTTGACAAAAGAACAATACCATTCACTAATTGAATCTTGGAACCAGTCCAACCCAACTTGTCCTAATCATCAAGATGGTCAGATTCAAAAAAGCTATTCATAGATATACACGTTACCATGAACCAATGAAAGTTCAGAAAGATGGTACTGACTTCATACATAAGGAAGACTGCACCATAGTAATTAATGAAAGGACGCTTTATTAGGAAATGTTAGTTACTTGTTCGTCATTGTGATATGCACTTACAAAAGAGAAAATAAACACAGAGAAAGAGGCAATACCGTGAATAACCATACTGATGCCTTGGTACTTATAGAAATAAATAGCAATAATCGTATCCCATAAAAAGTATCTAAAACAAAAAGATGGTTACTAATTCCTTCAGAACAGTATGCTTTCTTACCCGCAAGAAATTGAATAAATATCGGCAGCCCATCTCACATATCCGAAAACCCGATCGTGAGCAAGGGTGTTATCGGCAAAGATAAAAAACGATCCTGTAACAACTAAGAAACAATGGACAGTAGACACAACATGGACATGCCAGTTTGGTGCATTGTACTAGTCAAGTTAGCACAAGACAAAGGGGGACTAAACTTACTCCTTTGAAGAACTGAAAAGTCTTTGGAAACAAAATAGGTGAAAAGATTCGAGAGATTTCATAAACAATGGCAAACATGAATGCCGAAGTTAGTACAGTTTGCCAATGATATCTAAGCGTTGATAGCGACAATTGATCTAAAACATAGCCGAATTTGTCCATTTTAAAAGTGAAAAATAAAAATGAAAAAAAGGGAAAAAAGGTACAAAGTTATCTCGACAGGTCTAAGAAATTTATGCCCTTTTGGGATCAAAACTTTAATTAACGGAGGTTGATACAGAGGTACGTTTTCTTTTTATAAACTGAAGTTTAGAACTCCTAAAAATTAGGAGAAAGTTTTCATTGGATAGTGGATGTTAAAGATCTTCAACTTCAGTCATAAAAAGTTTGATCCAATCTTTAGAGAACCTCTGTTAAAAGCTCATTGACCTTGTCTTTGACTTGATCTCAATAGGGTTGTTCAATTTGGTCTATTGATAACGTAATTTCATTCTTGTTTTGTACACCGTAAAATTGAAGAAAAAAAAGTCAACACTTGTTGGGTTAAATTCACATGAAAAAAGAATGCATATGTTTAGAAAGATCCGCACATTACCATTACTTGCAAAAGAAGCCACATGATTCGAAACAATAGGAGTTTTATTAAGCAGGCATGTTGGAAAGACTGTTGTATGTCGCTTGTTTAATATACTACAAGCACTTGTACAGGTTGCTCTTTATCTTTTACCTGTACTTTAAAGATGTTTTTTTTGTGAATCTTCAATTTAAAATACCATAAAACATTCAGTTATATATGTAGAAGAATGGAATACATTTTTATTAGGTAATCACTATACAAAAGAACAAATAAACATAGAATAGATAGATACTTAGATCAAGCCCTTGGCAACAGCAATTTCAGCATTAAGAACAGAAGAACCAGCAGCACCAAGAACAGTGTTATGAACCAAAAGAACAAACTTGATATCCAAGACAGGACAAGGACGAACACGTCCAACAGTAACAGCTTGACCCTTCAAATTTTCACGGTCAAGACGAGGTTGGGGTCTATCGGCATCATAGGTTACCACAATAGGCTTTTCAGGGGCAGAGTGACAGCCCAACTTTTCAGCATCAGAAGTATATTCTTCCAACACTTTATAAACTTGCTCGATACTGGGACTGCCATTGGCAAACTTGACAGAGACAGTCTCGAGATGACCGTCCAAGACAGGCACACGGGTACAAGTGGCAGAAACAACAGTATTGGGTAAATGAACAAAGGATTGCTTATCTTGAGCAATATCACCCATGATCTTACCTACTTCCCATTCCATCTTTTCCTCTTCACCGCCAATGTGAGGCACAACGTTGTCTAAAATGTCTAAGCTAGGAACACCGGGATAACCTGCACCACTGATGGCCTGTTGAGTGTTGACAAGGATATGAGTCATGGGACCAAAGGCATCTTGCAATGCCTTTAAGGGGACAACCAAACCGGTGGTTGAACAGTTGGCATTAGTGATCAAGAAACCCTTCTTGAGGTTGTTGAGTTGACGTTGGTAAGGGATCAAGTCAAAGTGATCAGCATTGACAGTAGGAACAATCAAAGGAACATTGGGATCACGACGGTAATTCTTTGCATTAGAAAAGACAGCAACATCTTGCTTCAACATGGCCATTTCTATGCAAAGACGTCAATAAACATATCCTAAAAGATCCTTGCTTCTCTTACCAATATCACCTGCAACATCGGCATCAAGGCCTGAAAAGACGACATCACAGTCATTGAAGAGTTTGGCCTCACAAGGCTTCACAACAAGTTCGGCAACGTTTTCAGGGATGGGTCGGGATTGCTTCCAACGAACAGCATCTTTGTATGCCTTGCCAGCAGAACGGGCAGAAGCACCAAGAGCATGAATGGTAAAGATAGGATGCTCACTCAACAAGAGAATAAAACGTTGGCCAACAGTACCTGTTGCACCAAGGATACCAACTTTTTTTGTAGGAGCCATCTTAAATATGAAAGGATAAATAGACAAGGAAGGAAAAAAAAAATATGACTTTTGACCTTTTTTTTATATCTTTAAATCGCTTTATTCCTATTGGATGTTCGTGACTCATCATTAACTAACTTTTAAAATTTTGTATTGGACTATCCATAGAGTTGAAGGAATATTAAGTGGTGCTTAATTTAACCTTCTCTATCTGTACAAAATGCCAGAAAAAAAAAGACTGGTACCAATTACTAAATACGGCATGTGTTAAGAAAAAAAATAAGAGGCTTTTGGCATAAACTTTTTTTTTAATTTCATATGTAAATATGACAGAAACAACAGACGCACAAAAGCTTATCAATGCTGTAGAAGCAGAGAAAAATTATCGATGCTATGCTCATCTTCGAGCTATTGTAGATAGAAAAAGAGCTGGTGTTATCATAGGCAAAAAAGGTCTTTGTATTCAGTATCTAAAGACTCACTATAATGTATCTGTCAACTTAAGTCGAGTGGCTTTGGACCAAGACTTGGGAAGATTAGTGCATATTCATGGACCACACAAGCATGTTACAGACGCCTGGAAATTTCGCCTGAAGCGTGAAGAAAATAAGGATGATGAAGCAACGGTAAGGATAACAAACATGCTACACACAATATGAAAGTCAATTGGTATCCATTTCATTCTACCAGACGCGTTTATTCAATATCTGCAATACCGTGAACAAGACTCATTTATGTCTATTGTGAGAGAAACAAACACAGAAATCATTATCAAGAGTGACTTCTTGCCAAGATCCACTGAACACCTTGTATACATCTCTATTCCTACGCTAGACCAGATACATGATTTTCATAAGATAATTTATTTATTGACCAAGTATTTAGAAAAACATACTGGAATTGCCTTGTCTTTTCCAGGTAATTCGTTTTATTTACAAGAAGAGGACGATTCTCCAATACTAGAAGAAATCATCACGAATTTAAAACAAAGTGACACTATCTTACATAAATAATAATAATAATAATAATAAAAGAACTCTCATTCATGTGTGTATTGAACAAAAGTTTTCTTGACGCGAAAAAAAAGAGCTTGTCTCTTTCTTTGGAATAGATCCGAAATTTTACTTTTGGACTTGGTTTGATGCGACGTAAAATCAAACATGGAAGAAGTAGAAGTGAAACGCATCATATTGTTGTGCTTGGGTACACGTAATGAAGCAAAACTCGGCCTGGTTGTAAACATTTCTTTTCTCCCTCCTTCATCGTCTTCATCACTACTATTACTTTGCTTTTGTTGCTGTTTGAACAACAAATTCCACCGATCAGGAAAAGAAGTTGAAGTCGAAATTGATTTTCTTGATCTGTTTTTTGTTGATTTGAACTGATGTGCATAGGTTTCTTGATACCAAGGCAAAAAAGAATTTACTCGGATTAACTCTAAAATAGACTCTGCTGCTTGGTCAAAACAATCAGGCGTGTGATTATTTAAAAGGTCTTGTCTCATGTCGCATGGTATATTGATCTCTTGAGGAGCATTCGCCAAGATGTATGTCTTGATCATCTTTTGGTACTTTGTAAAGGTTGGCTTTAATTTATAGACTTGAACATCTTGCCAAAAGTTGTAATTTTCTATGCAGTAAGTATGGTGTAAATACATGATAAAATTATCGCAATATTCATTTTCTGATTCTAATACTGATTCTAATGTCAATGAATGCAACTCCATATGTGCTATTTAATACATGATTTAACTGTGGTGAAGAAAGATAGAAAGAAAGAAGAAGAAAGCAAGAGGGAAAAAGGCTTTTGTTTATGTGTTTCAAGAAACGCACATGATAACGTAGGACAACTAATTTGATGTATAAACAACGTGGCATCCGATCAACAAAGAACAAACAAGTTTTCAGCTAATTGACAAAAAAGAAAAGCTCCTTAAAATGAATAATATATTACAAAAAAAAATCTATAAACAATCTATAAAAAATACTATAATACAAGTATGTGTACACAAACAGCTACAAATTGATCTTTTTCTTTCTTCTATAATTATAGCTCTCAGGTGATGCTGACGATGTCGATAATAATATATTAGAATGACTTGCGGTACGTAAGATCGGCATCGGTTTAGCCATTGTGCTATTCTTAGTAGCGACCGAAGAGGAGGAAGAAGAGAAAGCGATAGTATTGCGATGGCTATTCGAGTCGATAGGAAGAGCAACAGTACCAGCAGGTACATTGACTTTTCCAGGAACAGGCAAAGAATTTTGTTTGACGATATGAGTTGGCTTGAGTGAAAGGCGTGAGGAGAGATAATAGTTTGTGATAGAAGTAGCATAGGGACTCTGTTTTAACTTTGTCCATTCTTCACGATTCTCTTCCAATTGATCTATAAACACGCGGGCGCTGGGCAATAAGCCAGTCAGAGCTTCAAAATAAGGTTTGACAACAAAATCACCAAACTTTAAGCTTATGCTTGCTTGAGTGGCCATATTTCTATCCATTCCAGGAGAAACCGCTAAACCTGCTGCCTTTTCTGCATCCCCCTGACGGAAAAATTCTTGTACAATCAAATCTGACCATTGCTTTGAGATAGGCCATGCACGGACAGTATTACTGATATCGGTAGCATGCAATAGGATGCAACTGAACGACAATCGTTCAGGCTCGTCTAATGGGGAATAAAAAGTGACACTGCTTTCTTCATCCAACAGGTTTAAGTCGTCGTTGTGGTCAAAGATAAGTGTGGATTTTAAGGGCGTTCCTAAAAAAGAAGGTTGACGATGGAATGAAGAAGGCTGTCCAGCTCCTATCGAATGGGTTTCGGATACAACCAAGCTTTCCATATCACTTTCTATCGATTCCTCGTCCCATAAATTAATGCTCGAGAATGTGTCTTCTAATGCTCTTGCTTCTGTAAGTAAATCATAGTGGAATGTCATATCTGTTGAAAGAATAAGCTTTTTAAGCCATACTAGACATTTCTCTCGTTGATCTTGAACTGATTCCAGAATATGATGCTTTTGAAGTAATTCAAGTGCAATATCAACAGATAATGATTCGAGAACAGAAATTGAGTTATAGCGAATGGCGTGTTCTGTATTGAACTTGACGTGATAATCATTATTATAGCCAGTCTAAGAAAGAGTTGAGTTTATAATAACAGTGACAATAACAATTACATGTCCAGCGTCATGACAGATCGCAGCCAATGATAAAATGGAAATTTCCAAGTTGGTCAGGTATTTTTTGGCTTTCAAGTCGCAAAGAATATAATAAAGAACAGCAACAATATCAGTAGCATGATAAAAAGAATGATATGGCGTATCGTTATAAGTCTTTTGTATGTCAATCAAAAAATCAAGAAGTTGTGAAGCTGAAAGGTGCAAGGTATCTATAACTTGTAGTTTGTCAAGAATACCCAACAGATAGCCATGTAAAGCTGTGCTACTACAGTCAAGCACATTGACCTCAATTGTTGTCGATGAAGAGTCGATCCAACGTAGATAATACTATACACTGTATGTTAGCCATATTGTATATTTAATCAATTGATATACAGTACCCTTTCAATCTCTATTAGATCGTTTGAATCTAGCGAATTATGTTTCAAAAAAAGCATAGGTTTGCAGACAGGAAAAGGAAAGAAAGAAAGAAAGACGCAGTCTTTTGTGTTTGTTTTGATAAAGCGGTTTTTTAACGCTGAGTATTTCGCTGATTAAATTTCTTTGTTAGCCAGTGACTGTGAACGAAAGGTATGGAGAATAACAATAAAAGCCATTCATAATTAATACAAAGAAAATGAAAGATACAGTGCTTGATATTCTTCTAATCAATTGCTTTGATTGATACATATTCGAGGGGGGGGGGAAAGCATAGTAATATCTTGAAATTTTTGATTAAATTTTTTTAAGATCTACATGTCCAGGACTTGGCAAATTTTTTTAGGTCAAAGTTGACATTTTAAGAATCTGATAAAAATAACAATTACTTTTTTTGACAGCAAAGCAAAACAAAAAGGAAGCTATTTTCATATTCATTGAATTGATACTTAATAATAGGCAAAGATAACAAAACTAATTGAATATCTGACTGTTCCTTGATGTTCGACAAGATAGCTGTATTTAATCAGTGCCCTTGTTTTTGAAGATATCGGCTAATTAGATGATCAATATGTATGACGCCATATTTTATCATGTCAATGTATAAAAAGGTGTATTTGGTTTGGATAAAGATATAAAAGATACTTGCTTAAATTATTTTGCAATGACTATAAAGCTTATTTTAGATTTAATTTGTGTATTTACATAAAAAAAGTATATAGATGTATGTATGTGTGTCTGCATGTCTATGCTGGTATTTCGATGTTGCAATCTTTGGTATGGTTTGATTCACTCCATACTCAACTCCCATTTTCGCTTTGTAGAAGCAGAGGCTTGTTGGATAGCATTCTTTTCCAGAGCAAGTAAATCAACATCGCCAAAGCTGTCAAATTCATCAAATTCATCAAATTCATCAAATTCATCAAATTCATCCTCAGAACATTGTTGCTGTTGCTGTTGTTCGTGAACTGTATTAGCCACAGCAATTGGATGCCGCCGTTGAGTCAAATCTTGGACTGCACGAATTGGCGTTGAAGTCGCAAATACATGATCTGGAGACCACAAGTAACTCTTTGCATTCTGTGAACTGGGCGTTGCTCTTAGAGGTGACTCCATAAAGTTGGGTGTCAATAAGCGCTTAGGAGAAGGCAATGAGGAGAGACTATAGAACATATTGCTCTGTTCCGTTTGACTCAATGTTCTTTCTTTTGGTCGATCTTGAAGGATCTTTGTCCAATGGTATATTTCGGCTAAGCAATCATCTTCTATTTTAAATCCTCCACAACGAATTGCAATCTCCTTGTCTTGATACAGTACTATTTTACCAAAGACAGATAATAAAGTAGAGAGATCAATTGCATATCCATCTCTTCTCTTTAGAATTTCTTGCGAAAAAATGGCTCGAATGACGCCTGTACCATCATCTAAAGGAGCATTGAGAAAAAGAAAGGTCAAATATACAATATACCTAGCCAAAAATGACGCTCACTCCTATCTGATAATGACTCCTGTGCAACAACAATTCCATTCAATCTTAATCGTATTAGATCACACAGACTTTTTTTTCTATTCTAACCTTGCTCTTCTATAACTGAGACTAGTGAATTTAGTTTTGAAACAGGCCCGCGATGAGTCAAAGGTTGAAGTTATCACGTCTTTTATGAACAGAAAGTGGTGACAGTGTAAGTTTTCTTCTGGTATATCCAGGCACATATTTTTTTCAACAGGCATATTTTTCTTTTAAAGCTGTGTAGTATTTTCGTATACTCGATACAAAAAGGAAATAATTGTAAAAATAAAAATAACACTAAAGAAAAAAAAACACACACTGAACGCGATTATTCTTTTGGCTAAAAAAATTAATTAAATGAATTCGCGCGTGTGATTTCGCCACACAATTTATAAACAGCCAATCATTGAAACAACCAAGAGGACAATAATTCTGGTCAGCAAGTCATAATAAAAAAGAAACAAGAAGCTAGTATCTCTTATTTAATACGAATACACGTGATCTATGGCATCGGCAATAAATATATATATTGAATCATCAGGAAAGAGCATACAATTTAAGGTTGCATTTTAAATAAATGAGATGGGACTATAAAGTGACCTTTAAAGGTGGAAACAGTGGTCAAATCCCCTCTTTTGGAAACACTGTACCTATTTTATGTGTGTGATACAACAGCGTAAACTACAAAAGGAAAATGAAAGTATGTTGTCCTCTTTTGGACATAAGATTCTTCTTCTTGTTTTTCTGATTAAATTATAGAGATAGAAGGGTTTTGTTCTTTTTGTTGCTTGCAATTGCAATATCCAATTGGATTTGGTAAATAAATAAAAAATAAAGAAAGGCACACGATAGAAATAGCGGAAATTGGTCTTGGAAACACAAAGAAGTTTTAATAAAGCAATGCAATCTATTACTTGTCCTACATTCTTTCCCGCCTTCTATTTTTTTTTATATTACTACCAAAAACAAAACCAAAGCTTATATAAATAAACTAGTTTTTTATTACGCTTTTTTTTCTTTTCAACTGTTTTTTTCTTTTTTATCTCTCAAAAAAAAAAGCCCCTTCCTCTCTTTAATAAAACCTTAATTTTCTCGATCCTTACAACTCAAAGCACAGACACACATAGGCACTGAACTCAGAGAATCAACAATCACAAAAAAAAAAACGTTTATTTAGATGCACATCAAATCTCTTTCCTTAGCTACACTCGGTCTTCTTTTCCTTACTACAGGAAAATTCGCTCAAGCAGAAGCTACTACTAGCAACAACCTCGCTCTTGTTCATGGCGGTGTCGAAGTCGCTGACTCTTATCTTTCAGTCTTCAGCTCTGACGGCAGTGAAGAAAACGATTTCGAATTATCTGATGAAGTTGATGAAGAATCTCACGTTTTGACCAAGCGCGCTGACGATTGTACAAAGTACCATACTGGTAAATACTTGATAATGTGCAATTGTGTACAGATTTATAACACTCAATTCTATAGTCAGCGGTAGCGACAGCTGTGTTAAGCTTGCCAAGAAGTATGATATTACTTTGGATAACATTTATGACTGGAACCCTCAAATCAAGAGTGGTTGTCCCAACCTCAACAATGGAAAGAAGTACTGTGTTCAAAAGTCTAACAAGTCTAGTGGTAGCAGCAGTAGCAGCGGATGCGCCAAGACACACAAAGGTATTTAATCACAGCATCAACTACTAAAAAAAAAAAAAAAAAAAAAAAAAAAAAAAACTAATTTTTATATATTAGCTACTGATTCTGATACTTGCGCCAATTTGGCTAAGTCCAATGGCATCAGTTTGAGCCAATTCTACAAGTTGAACCCTCAAGTTCACAAGAGCTGTGACAACCTCAATACTGGCAAGACCTACTGTGTTAAGGGTGGTTCTAGTAGCTCCACTAAAGTGACCAGCTTGGCTGCTAAAAAGACTACCAAAAAGAAGACCACTAAGAAATTCGCTAAAAAGTCTTCCTCCAAGGAAACCCGTAAAAAGTTACAAACCAAGTCTGCCTTCACCTACTATTGGATTGCTCAAGAAAACGACTATTCTGGTGGTAAGAAGGTTACTGTCAAGACCTGTAATGGTAAGGCCATTGCTTCTGTTGGTGAAAAGTATGCCGATGCTCTTGTCATGGAAGGTACTGGTGTCGTTGGATCCAAGATTGTTAACCTTGGTGGCTGTACCTGTTCTGATTACAAGTGTTTCGAATTAGTCGACAAGAAGACTGACCCTTATGGTTTGACCTCTTATGGTTCTCCTCTCCGCCCCTATGTTACCATTGCTTCTAATGATATCAAGAAGAACACCAAGATCTATGTTCCCGCTCTTGTTGGTTGGTCTGTTCCTGGCTCCAGAAAGAAGCACAATGGTTGTTTGTTGGTTGATGATCAATCCTGGAGTTTCAATGGCAAGCACATTGATTTCTACGTTTACTCTATGGATAACTACGAAAAGTTGGACAAGGCTCATAAGATCAACAATGTCGATATCTACCAAGGTGGTTCTTGTAAGCTTCTTGACTACATGTCATAATCGTAATAAACTATACATATTTTTTCCTTTTATCTTGCATTTCCTGTATTCAACAACAAATTTCGAGTAACATTAAGTAGCCATGAATGCTGATCTATGGCTCACTTTTAGGGAAATTAAACTTGAGGTGAATCAATTTTCCCAATTTTCCATTGTGGTTTTTCAATCTCATTTTATCTTTAGGCAAGTTAGATCTTTTTTTTTCCTTAGGTCGCTTTCACAAATCAAAGTCTATCTTTTTCTATGATAACATTGTATTTTCTTACTGTTAAGTCTGGTATTTATTTTCTCTTGCTCTTCTGATTGAGTTATATATTGGTTACTTTTGTTAGATAAAAATAATAGTTGTACGACCTTTTTCAATTACTGTTCCTGACTATTTTTTAAAGACAGAAATATTTTCCATTTTCTTTCTCCCTTTTGGTAAAAAAAAAAAAAAAAAAAAAAAAAAAAAAAAAAGAGCTGTCAAAAATAAAATAAAAAAAAAAGATTGCGTTTCATATCATGTTAAACAAAGTTTATAGCTCAATTGCATCGCATTTGAAACAACTGATGTTGTATTTCTCTTTTGCGTAATTGGAGGATAAATTATAGTAAGAAACTATGGCCCTCGCTGTGTGTTACCAAAAATAATGAAGGTTTTCTGTCTTTACACAGAAAATGATTAAACTTCAGACTATGAGCAATTTGCATGCGAGAGAATTGCAGTAAGATGCTCTATTCTGTACTATATATTTTTTTTTCTTTTTTTTTTTTTTTTTTTTTTTTTTTTTTTTTTTTTTTAGTTTTAGATTAGTATAGTAACGATTTCCTACTAGCCCTGTTAAACGGATGCTAAAAGACGAGCACGTTCTTTTGCCTTCTTTTATTTCTGGTTTTGTAAGCTCACAATTCCTATTTTGTGTATGTATGGAGTAACCTTTAAGGACCTCATTAATATTATATAAATACCATGCAACATCATACACACAGTCCTTTTAAAATTGACAATTAAGCCAAATTTTGTGATACTTGATATATTCCTTGACCACTTTTTTTAATATTCTATCGATTTTATTTTGTATAATCTGTATCCTTGGCATTTCTCTTTCGTCTGTGGTTGTACACTGTCCAACCTACCAGACCCCATATACGCCTTTGAGGATTTGTCGATGCGAGCTTTAATTGAGATGCTCAATCATTACAAGCTGAAGAGACTTAAGGTTCAAGTCAGCTTTATCAATGAGCAATTTTTTTTCTTTATATTTTAGAAGCCTTTCTTCAGATCAAAGAAAGCACGTTTTGGGCATAAGTTGTCTCTCTCAAAAAAAAAAAGGACAAATCCTAGTCCTTGTAAGCTTGAAAGAATATTAAGTCAAAATAGAAAAAAATAGAGTTTAATGAATAAATAAATGAGGTCTGAACGTTAATCATGAGGCAATATTATGATACTTCAGGTAGTCATTTTCCACATCTAAAAAAGAAGATTTTGCTGCATATTTACACTATCAATACAGCTAGTCAACGCTTGTTTTTTTTCTTCTTTCTTATCTATTTTGGCTGTTCAGAACTCATGTATATCATGTAGGAATTGAGCGCATAAATGTTGAGAGTGTTATAATTATTTATCGCATACAAGTCGAACGGTATATTTAATGCTGCGGTTAAATATCTCCATAAAGGATGCAATTGAAAAATACTCTTATAAAAGTCAAGCTTGTTTTCTTTCATCCTTTCTCAAGGTGTAAGGAGCTCGATCAAAGCAAATGAGCTTGGAGTTAATCAATTACCAACTAATAGTCTATAGAAAAAGAAATTAGATATTGTGCTTGTGTCTAGAAAGCAATCTGCCTCAAACTCTATTTATTACGAGCCCATATAAGAGATATAAAGTCTGAGGCTATCGTATTTAAATTGTTTTTATTGATAGAATTTATAAATAGTCCTTTTGAGCGCACGACCTAATTTGGCCTTTAATCGCTCGAACTCGGTCATTTCATAAGAAGGACTAATTAAACTGAAAAAACCCTTAGAGGAGCAAGGATAAAAAAAGCTTGTGAAAGGAGAGTGTTGGGCTAATGTTTTTGTGGGCATAGGTTTGTAACCATAGGAGGAAGGGCGATAATTGATTGGTTGGAGTAATGTTCAACGGCTCCATGTTAGCATGTTGTATAGTGTCAATTTGTGATAGAAGTGTGTGGATTGAGGTCCATTTGACACCCCAGTAAAGTATTGAGCGGTTGTTCTTAGGAGGTATTATAGGCAAGCGGTTTAAAAGGCGAGACAAAGGATCGGAAACAGTTGTAGGTTGGTTTAGCATTACATGCATACTGAGGCAATTGATAGCATGGGAATGTGAAAGATGTTGACCACAAGAACACGGCTTAGGAGAGCCCTCAGGTAGCCACCCAAGACGCCATCGTATAAGACGACTCCGTTCAATGTTGGTCATGGGCAACCATAGGATAGGATCAAGGGAAAGGAATGGGCGACAGAGGGAGAGCATTTTTGTTTTTGGTAAGGTAAGCATTTTGGTGAAATTTGCTTCCAAGTACTGATGTTGATACTCTTGGAAATCTTTTCAAGGCATTGGTGTCAGAGGTTGAGGGAAAGATTTGCAGAAAGGAGTGGACGAGAGTTTGTGCCAGTGCGACGCGGTAACTGAGGCTATCGTGAGATTATAAAAACAAAACAAAACAAAATGTTTGGCTTTGTTCTCGTTAACATGAAAGCGTTCATGTTGGTATATATTGTCACGATACAGATTCGAAGCAAAAAAAACTGTAACAAAGTCTCGACTAAAAAAACAAGCAATTTCTTGTTAAGAATAAGCTTTTTTGTCTGGATCACAATGCAAATATTTATACTACAATGACAATGATAATCGTTTCAACAGTTTAATAACATTCTATAAAAAACATTCTACGAAAAAAAAGAAACAAACAAATCTATTATTGAGGGGCGTTGTGGAATAAATAAGAAACAGATTCACCGTTGTGAGTTCTTCTAATAGCCTCAGCAAGCGTAGGTGAGATATCAATGATATCCAATTTAGGACAAAGAGCCATCTTTTCTTCAGAGGGAATTGTGTTGGTAATCACCATCTTTTCAATAACAGAATTGTTAATGACCTGAATAGCTCTGCCAGAAAGGATACCATGAGCAACAATAGCATAGACTTTTTCAGCGCCGTTCTCCATCAAAGTCTTTGCAGCCAAACCAAGTGTACCACATGTGTCGGCCATGTCATCTACCAAAATAGCAATTTTGCCTGTCACATCACCCACAAGGACCATTCGAGAGACTTCATTGGCCTTCTTACGTTCTTTATGGATAAGGGCAAAATCCAACTGTAAATTATCAGCAATAGAAGTAGCTCTCTTGGCACCACCAGCATCGGGAGAGACAATCATGGCATTCTCCCAGTTAGGAATTTGAGTCTTAATGTATTGAATAGTAGAAGGCTCACAATACAAATTATCAACAGGAATATTAAAAAAGCCTTGAATTTGAGAAGCATGGAGGTCCATAGTGATAACATGGTCAGCGCCAGCCACGGTCAACATATTGGCCGTCAAACGAGCAGTAATAGGAGCACGACTCTTATCCTTCTTGTCTTGGCGTGCATAAAAGAAACAAGGGATAACTGCAGTAATACGACGAGCAGAAGCAGTCTTGCAGGCGTTGATCATGATAAGCAACTCCATCAAATTATCGTTTATTTCACCACAACCTGACTGGACAATGAATACGTCTTCGTCACGAACAGACTCTCCAATTTTGACAGAAGTTTCTTGGTTAGAAAACTTTTCAACAGTGGCTTTGGCAAGTTGGATGCCTAGTCTTTTTGCGACCAATGCGGCAAGTGCAGGAGAGGCATTACCTGAGAAAATCTTGATGGAGTTATCGGCTGGCATATTATTATAGTTTAGAGGTAATAATGCTCATTATAACGTAAAACAGAAGAAGACTTGTCAAATTGACTAAATTTTCACATCATATCAATTTTTTTTTAGTACGTGACTTATTTTCGGAACAACATCTGTGATTTCACAAGCCAGGAAAAAAATTGACATTTTATTAAGAGTATTGGTATGCATGATTAGAAAGGACAGAGAGGATTATTTACAGAAGAACTATAGACAACTCAATTAGTCGTCAAAGATAGCATTTACAGAAGGGGTAAAGACAGAAGCCGTGTTTTCATCGCTACTGGTGTTGATAGAAGCAGAGGTAGAAGAAGTAGAAGCAGGAGCAGGAGTTGAGGTGTGGCCTTGAGGAGTATAAAGGGTAGAATCAGTCAAGGGAGCAACTTGATGATGAGCCTTTTCAAGTTGATAGTTGGCTTCTTGATGAGAAAAGGCAGAAACGCGAGAAGCAAAGTAAGTACGGACCAAAAAACGCTTAGAGATAGTAGCAATAGAAGGACGAACGACTTGAGGGATCATTTTGAGAGCGAGAAATAAAGTAAAATAAATGAAAAAAAAAGCGAGAAAGTTGAACGTATTTATATATGAATAGGCATGGCATAAACAAGAACTCATGTGATACGTCTCCTATATTTTCCCTCTTTGCACACCGTGGTTTGGGAAGCAATCTAATTGGCACTCTTTCTGTTGTTGGGGGAAACTAATGGAAGTACTGCCAAAATAGGCTTTCTCTCCTTTTGGAAATACTCAAGACTCGTCGGAGCAACCAACCGATTCGTGATTTGCTCGTTGGGATGAAATTTTATAGATAAAGTTGAGGAGGGTTTTGCATTAAAATAACATACAAGAAAGGGAGATACGCGCTCATATTTTCTGCGTCTTCTATTTCATGATGAATCATGTATTCTATCCAATCAAAATCAGATATATTTTAGCTTGGAGACGGTGAATTATTATTGTCTCAAACTGCCCATTTTTATTTTTATTTTTATTTTTAAAAGTCTGGAAACTTATCCCCATAAGGATCGTCTGCCGGGAGGCCATATTGTTCATTTGTTTCGGGATATCTATCAAAATGACTAGCGTCACCATCACCTCTTATCTGAGGAATATAAGGTGCTCGAATTTGTCTATTGGCAACACGGTCAAAATCCACACCTTGGAACCAACCATGATGTTTGATATCATCTGCTCCATTTTTAAGATTACCATAGCGACGAGATAGATCAGATGTTAATAGATTCTTGAGTAAATCTTTAGCCTGAGGATCAAAATAAGCTGGCCAGCGAACCTTGCCCTGCAAGATTTTCTCATACAACTTCAAGTGATCATCATCATAAAAAGGTGGGTAACCAGCCAACATTTCAAATATCAAGACGCCTAAGCTCCACCAATCTACTGCTTTGCTATATCCTTTTGATTGAATTACTTCGGGTGCTATTTTGGTAGTCAATAATGCAGCAGAATACACTGTATTGTTCTTACCGAGATAATCAGGTGTGCCACACAATGTCCAAGTGACATCAGGAACAAGCTTTGCAAAACCAAAATCTGTAATTTTGATATGACCATTCATGTCCAACAATAAGTTCTCAGGTTTCAAATCACGATACACAATATCTTTTTTATGAAGATATTCAATGGCCAATGTCACTTCGGCCGCATAAAATTTAGCCACGTGATCAGGAAAACGCTAATCAATCAATTAATACAATCCCAATCAATTTCTTTTTCTCACCTTGCTTTTTCTCAAGACACTAAACAATTCACCTCCAGGCACATAATCCATAACCATATAGAGATTGGAATCATCTTGAAATGTACCCCACAAGTTGACAAGAAATGGATGAGCAACAGATTCCAAAATGTGCTTTTCATTGTTCGTGTGCTCGACTTGCTTTAGTCGAACTACTTCTGTTTTTTTAAGAACCTTGATAGCATAATATCTACCATTGTGTCTGGACTGTGATAAATGAACTCGACCAAAAGAACCTGTGCCTAATGTACGTAAAAGGTGAAAGTCATCTAGTTTAAGTTTGGGCCGATTCTTTCGCTGATCTAGAATGGCTGTATCATATTGTTGATATCTGTTTTTTTGTGCTATTGTTTATAAGAAGCAATATCAATAAGAATAAAATAACATACCATTCTGTTGTTGAGCCATTTGGTCTACAATAAATAATAAATAAATAAAAATATATATAAAATAGTAAATAGATTACCTGGTGTATCGATATCCATGTTTTGATGTAAATCTTGTGATTGTCTCGGTGTGACATAACCCGTTGCATAATGGTTGGACTCCTCTTGAACTTTCTGTTGTTGAACAGACGATGAAGTAGACGAATGTGGCGTTTGTAGACCGTGGTGAGGTTGCTCGTCCTCTTTTCCTTGATGGTCTTTGGTGTTTTTGGCTCTATCCATAATCTTGTTAAAGAATGACATGTTGGAAAGAAGAAGAGAAAAATAAAAATAAAATCTTCTTTAGTTTAAAAGGACTGCGATTTTTTTTTTTTTTTTGTTTCGGTCAATTGCATAAAGCAAGGGATTCTGCTGAGATTCTATTTTTGGATGAAAATGAAATCAAATTGTAATTAGAAATATGATCATTAGGAATGCATCTTTTGTAAAATCAAGTCAAGCTTATTTCCTTTGGTCAATAAAGAAATAATTATAAATAACCAAACTTGTTTAAATAGACAACAGTTTATTCTTTTTTTTTCTGGTTTTTTTTTATTCTTTAACAAATGGGGTTTAATACGATATTGAAGTCAACAAGTGAAAAAGCAGAAAGTGTGCTTGGTAGAATTGGGACTCCTATCAAACCACATTTACCGGCTCTAGGTCGTTTCTTGGTTATAGCCACTTTTTATGAGGATGCTTTACGTATATTCTGGCAATGGCATGATCAAATATTCTATCTTGAGAAAGCAAGGTTCTTTCCTCCTTATACAGCTCCTCTCTTTTTGGGATTCAATGCAACAGTAAGTTGATTACATTTAAATTTGTATTTTGATCTACGTAGTCTATGATTGTGTTTTCGACATGCATTCTATTAAAACGACATGTGGGAGTTGCTGTTGCTATTTTATGCAGTGTAGTCTTGGATCAAGCAATTGCTTATGGCCTATTTTTTGATGTGGTAAGTCCTAATAGTGAAGAAAGTGATGGTTGATGTTGGTTAGATGTTTCTTTTGCGCAACCTATCAGTGACAGGTGGTTTATTGCTTTGCATGTCAGAATCTATTTTACGCAAAAAATCCAAAAACAGATCAAATATGTTTGCCTCGCTACCTCAACTTACAGTCAGTGAACGACACAAATACTTTCAATTAGCAGGTAGAGTTCTCTTGGTCCTTTTGTTCTTGGGCTTCATCTTCAACGGTGAGTGGAACTATTTGAGGTTAGTTGTATCTTGCATTGGTGTGGTTGCTTGTGGTATGGTCATTATTGGCTTTAGAGCGAAGTGGTCAGCCACTTTCCTTGTTTCCTTGCTCTGTACTGTTAATCTGTTAGTCAATAATTGGTGGTCAGTACAATATTCAGAATACAAACGTGATTTCCTACGATATGATTTCTTCCAATGCCTAAGTATCGTTGGTGGTTTATTATTACTGGTTTCTATTGGGCCTGGTGGACTTAGTTATGACGAAAGAAAGAAAGAATTCTAGCATAACATACCAATTACACAAATAAAACAACGACCTTCATTAGCTTATTACATCATGCTGTGTTCTAAATTCTTTTTTCCTTTTTCTTTCTTTTTACTATTATTATTTTTTTTTAAAATGAAACTTGCGCCTACTTCGTTTCAAACAAACAAAGCACAAGTTAACTTATCTTATAAGATAACTGGTGATAAAAAGGTGATTCAGCATAAAAATGAACTTTTGCTTCCAGAACAACCTTATAGAAATCAATACCTTCAAGTCAGCTCAAAAGTAGCTCCTCATACAGACGGAAAAGGAGGATATATCCTTTCACTCAGTATCAAGGCACTCCAACCTCTTGAGCTTGTCAACTTCGAGACAACATTCATGACAGACCTTAAAGACCAACGTATGATGGCAAATGGGTTTCAGAGTTGGAGTCAAGCGCGTGAGTTTACAAAAAACGATCGAATTCCTGCAATTCGATCAAGTGTCGCTAAATATACTCAACTTAATCTTCAGGGGTAACTAAAAAAATTAAATTGTATGGATCACTGATGCCAATTTAGCGATTATGATATTTTTCAACATTCTGGAGACAAAGGTTTGATCCATTCAAGCAGCTATACTCATTTTCGCGACTTGAACAACGTTGTTTCCTTTTTTGGATCAGTGTCCGAAAACCTTGGCTATACTTATTTCAAAGGTGATTTCAATAACAACACTTTCAGTATCTACAAAGACGTGGTGGGTAAGAAAATGACCGAGGGCCAAGAAATCGAATTTGTACGTGTGTTTATGGCACAAGGTATTCATGCTGAGGCTGCTATTTGGGATTCGTATGCCGAGTTTTATGAGGACCGTAGAGCTATTAAGAATAATGAAGATGCCAAGCGTCATGTGAATGGCTGGACTTCTTGGTACAATTACTATGGTGATGTTAGTGAGTCTATTGTTTATGAAAATGTAGAAGCATTACAAAGCTATCAATATCCTATCAACATTTTCCAAATCGACGATGGATTCCAGACAGCCATCGGTGATTGGCTTAGTATCAATCAAAAGTTTCCAAGCGGCATGAAAGCAGTAGCTGATAAAATCAAAGGTGCTGGTTTCAAAGCCGGTCTTTGGTTAGCGCCATATGCTGTAGGATTCAATAGTCAAGTTGCTAAAGAGCATCCAGATTGGCTTATTATCGATCCCGAAACAAACAAGCCTGTAGTGGCAGGACCCAATTGGGGCGGATTTTATGCTTTGGATATGTACCACGTTGACGCAAGAAAGTATTTAAAGAATGTGTTTGATATTGTGCTGCAAGATTGGGGATTTGATATGCTCAAACTTGATTTTTGTTTTGCTGCAGCTATGATTCCTCGTATGGGCAAATCACGTGGTGAAATTATGTGGGAAGCTATGGAATTGATTCGTGATTTTGTTGGTCCTGATAAGCTTGTCTTAGGCTGTGGTGTGCCTTTGGCCTCTGCTTTTAGAAAAGTAGATTATTGTCGTATTGGATCTGATGTTGCACCATGGTGGGAAGGTATGCATATATAAACAAGAAAGTTTTGCTTATTCTCATACACAATATAGATTCTAAGCTCAAGTTGCTCCATGTGCGTGAGCGTGTCTCAACAGCAAACTCACTTGTTTCTACTCTGACTCGATGGGTTATGTCTGATCGTATGTTTGGTAATGATCCTGATGTAATGATCCTTCGCAAGCAAAAGAACAAACTTACTGAAGATGAGAGATATACACTCTGTGTCTTAAACAACATTCTGGGTGCTCTTGTGTTTATCTCTGATAATGTTCGTCTTTATGGTCGTGATGAACATTTATTGTATTCTGCTACTTTTCCCAAAGTGATTGCCCATGTCTACAGTGTACTTGAATCCAGAACCAATTGCTTTGTAGTGAACTATCTCGTCAACGATAAGCACGGTAGACAACGTCGATACACTACTTTTGCCAACTTGGCAGAAGAAGAACAGACAATTTATTTGCCGGAATCCTCTCACGATACTCACTTATTGTTCGCAACAGACAACGATATGCACATGAGCCAAGCAGATGAATCTGAAGCCTTATTTTATCATCCTTCTTCTGCTGCTAAGCTCAAGGTTCATGAGACAAAAACATTTATGCATATTCCTTTGGTTTCCGATAAATCCGATCTCATCTTTTTGGGCTCTACAAGTCATATTGTTCCTGGTGCTGAACTGGATGAGTTTAGTGTTGAAAAGAAAGATATCAAAATTACTTTTAGAGAAGAAAACAAACGTCGTCACCGTGTCTTGATTGGTTATGGTCCCTTCCTTCATGAATCTCGACAAGTGATTCCGCCTGAATGTACTATCAACGGTAAACAAGCTAGACATGAATGGATTCCAGTGAGTGGTTCTGGAGAAGGAAGAAAAAAGAGTGAAGTGTTGGCATTAGTTTTAGAAGAATTTTAGTGATAATTTATGCTTTGAATTTTATTGGTCAGCTAGCACTGTCAAACAAATAAATCACACGTTAGAGAATTAACGTCATCAGAAAGGGGAGAAGTCTTTTTCTCTTTCTTTCTTGTTGCTCGTTATTTGATTATATAAGCATACTATGTCAAGAACAAAAAAGCAGCCGAAACACAATAATTCGCGACAAGCAGCTGTTTCTTTTCTATCAAATATCACATTAGGAAACGAGACCGATAAACTTTGTTTTTCACATAAAGATTTCTCCGTAAAGAAAACGAACAGTAACACAATCTTTACTCGATACGGGACCCTTTTAGTTGGAAGAGATAATGATACTATTTATGTCGACACAATAGTGAAAGATAATGATGAAGATGAGAGAGTTCCATTGTCTACCAAAAGACCAACTTACTATCATCGATTATCAAGTAGTGATAGCTCTGTTATTGAACACTATAAACTCACAAGACAAGACAGTAAACGCCCTATTGCTTATGAAAAAGTGAAAAAGAAAGTAGAGCATATGCTATCACAAGATGTACATTCATGTATGCCACTGTCATTGTGTTGTACTCATCTTATTTTTAAATAGGAATCAATACCACCTCACTCTAAGGGATTCATGGCTTTACTCACGTCTTATAAAGGAATAATTCGACAAACAAAAGGTCGCTATTACCTGTAAATATGCTCAATGCAATACACTCTCTTCTTATTCTTTTTAATTAGCCATCCACATCTTGTAAATACTTCATATAAACAACAAAAAGGCATATCTTATGGCTGTTTCTTATCCAATGACTCAAAAACACTTTATGATCCGTACTATTTAAATTATGATTTATCATTGGAGGTATAAGCGACATAAAAAAAAAGAAGTATATTATCAACATTTGTTTAGGATAAGACAAACCAAAAAGAAGTCATGAACCAACTATTTCGTCAATTATATCCAGAAATCAATATTTCTTTTTCTAAAATCAATGCCATCAAATCCCATTTACTCAATATTGCTCTGATCATGGATCTTGAGCTTTCGAGCCTGTCTCATGCCTACGTTTATTTTGAGAAACTAGTCCAAAAACAAGCTATTAATAAGGAAAATCGCAAACTAATAGCAGGTAATATTTCGGTATTTTTCATGTACTCATGCATCATTGCATAGCATGTTGTTTGTTTCTAGCCACCAAGATAAATGAACCAAAGGATCTTAAATTTGGCAAGTTACTCGAGGTAAAAAGAAAAAGAAAAAGAAACGAACCAAATTTAATTTATTCATGCAATACATAGACAATGCAAACAGAGTTAAATATCGATTCAACAGATGTCAGAAACAATGAATTTGCAGTTTTTGCGGATCTGGAATTTGATCTGTATGTGCCTCAAAATGAATTTATGCCACATCTAGATAAGATTACTCGGGACTTGGGCAAGGATGCTGCCAATTAAATCTGTTTTTTTTTGAACAGCCTATATTTTCCTTACTGCCTGGTTGGAACATCTACAGTTGAAATAAAGCATTATCTTGACTCAGCTCTACTTTGTGAGAGTCTTTCACAGTAAGTGTTTGTATACCCTATCTTACCTTGGCTGTCAGAGCGCTTCCTTATCTAGAATCAATGTATTATTTGTTCTTGAATCATGCCATTTGCGCTTTGACTAGAATTCCTCAATTGCATTCGGATGAGGAAAGTAAGGAAGGAGGTGCAGACATCTTGCTTATAAAAAGCGCCAAACAACGGGAAGAACATTACTTGGCAATGAGTAATGCTTCAGCGAAAAAAAATGGTCTAAAAAAATACGCCATTGTCCCAATCTCGAGATAATGTAATTATAGCTCGTTGCTTTATGTAATAGGTGCACTTTATCTTATAAAAGGGTCTCATTCAATAAAATATCATCTCTTTTTTTTGTACATAATGAACAACAAATTTAGAATTTGAATTCAGCAGTCGAATTAGTGCGAAAAAAAAAGAGACAGAATAAGGCGTTTGTTTTCTTTTTCTTTCTCTCTTTTTTCTTTTGCTGTTTTATTTAAATTTAGACTCTAGAAGGTATGGGAGAACAGTTACACGACGAGCAACAGTCTTTTCAAGTGTTGAAAAGCAAGTGGGCACAACAGGCGATCCCTCGACAGGAACAGCCAAATAGCACTAGTGCAAGTAGTGTTGTATCACCACCACCTATTCCACCTAAACCTGTGCTTTATAATAACAAACAAGACGACGCCGAGCAAAGAGAAATGGATAGAGAAACAGCAGCTAAACGAGTTTCGCTTTTGACACAACAGTTTGAAGGTGTTGGCGTAACACCCGGAAATTTCTCAAATACTTCGCCCCCACCAACATATCATACAAACCCCAAACAAAATGAAGAAGACGAGGATCCTTTTGATGAATCAAGTGATGGAGATAGCGATATGGAAGAGGAGGAGTATGAAAAGGAAGAGGAAGAAGATGAAGCAAATATGGACGGCGATAATTGCTTGATTGAACAAGTCCAGAAAGCACATTTGCAGCATACAAAATTAGAAGAATCACGTTTTGTTGGAGCGCCAGGTGTTCGAGGTCATGAAGCACCTACGCCTGCAACAACAACAATAGAAATGCATCATGTACAGCCTTCTCCTTCTGTTTCTTCTTCCTCTAATAAATCAACAGGCAAAAGGCCTCCTCCCCCACCACCACCCAGCAAGAAATATCATAGTTCTGTTAGAAACAGCATGAATGCTGCTCATGCACCAGTCGCTTCACCAATCATACAGTCACCACAGCCTCCACCTGCCGTTGTCAATATACCCGTGCGTTCTACACCTAATCAGCCTACTGAGACTGTTGAGGCCGTCAATGTCTCTCCTCCTGTCTTGCCTCCCCGTCCTATAGGAAGTCCATTAATGCCTCAACTGCCTCCCCGTCCTTCTCAATCAACACTTGCCCGTGCTCATACTATCGCTTCTGCTCCTCACAGCAAGCACCCACTACAAGGATCTTTTACTGACACTCCCTCTGAATTGGAAGATGATCCTAGCCGTATAAAACGAGCTAACACTGTCTTGAACAAACAAAGAGCCATGTCTCGAACAGAACTGTTAATGACAACAACAACATGCCCAGATTTCTCCCGAGCTACACGAAACGCACCATTGATTGTACTTGAGAAGCCATTTTCAACAGGTCATAAGAGTTCATTGAGTGCGTTAGCCGTCACTCAAAACGTATTAATCACAGGTGCCAGTCTACTCCGAACATGGGATGCTCATACAGGTACTGTCACTGGTACTGTTTTGACTGAGAATGCTGCCAATAATAACAATGGCAACTCTCAAAACCCAGATAGTGGGGATAAGGTACGTGCAATTGCAGTGGCACCGAGTCGTGTTCCCGCAGATGAAGGCCGATATATTTGGGTAGCTCGGCATGACAACTCAATCTCTGTGGTCGATATCCGAAATGGTGCCAACAAGATTCTGAGTAAACGCCATGATGTTCATATGGCATCTATCAACTTTCTTCTGCGCTATGGTAATTCCGAGATTTGGTCAATTGATGAAAGCGGTATTCTGAATGTCTGGGATGTGATTTCAGCAGATTATCATGCACAACACAATCCATTGTTGACTGCCATGCCAAGAAGATACCATGTCACTTCACATGCTGTAGCTGCTACCATCTATGGATCCAAGCTCTGGATGTCTTCTGGACGTACATTGGCTGCTCATGCTATTCCTGTAGCTGGTTCTCAACAAGGCAGTAATGATACAAAGTCGCAGACACCTGTGCGTATACCAAACGATTTAGGCAACATCACAAAGCTGATTACAATTCCTTATTATCATTCTCGTATCTTTGCTTCTCATGATGACGGTAAGATCAGTGTATGGGATGCTAAGACTATGGAGCGTCTTCAGGTTATTACGGTCTCCATGTACGGCATCTGCACTATGGCTAGTGTAGGTGAATATCACGTATGGGCGGGGTATAATACAGGCATGATTTATGTCTATGATACTCGTCCCGAGAAATGGGCTGTTCTCAAGATGTGGAAGGCACATACAGGGGCTGTAACTCAATTAGTCGTGGATGAATCTAGTTTGATATTGGATGAAATCAAAGGTCGATTGCAAGTCGTCAGTAGTGATTCGAATGGATTTGTTGGTGTATGGGACGGACTTTTGATTGAACATTGGAAAGGTAAATGCCTTCATATGTGTCTAATCTTAACTCTTTTTTTTATCTTAGATGAACATTTGCAAAAGAGATCTAAGGAATACTGTTCTTATGATGATGCACGCGTCATGATTTGCTCTTGGAATATTGATGCAAACAAACCTGAAAAGATTGTTGGCCAAGACGACAAAGCAGTGCGTGAATGGTTAGGCACAATGGAAGATCCCGATATTATTGTTGTGGGCATTCAAGAAATTGTAGACCTCGAATCAAAGAAACAAACAGCCCGTAAATATGTTTTCTTTTGATGATAATCAACATACTCAACTCTTGTCTTGCTTTAGGCTCTTTATTTGCGCGCAAAAAAGTAGATCCAAACGAAACAGAGGATGTATTGACGCACAGATACAAATTATGGCATGATTATCTGATCCGTATTATCAGTGAAAATTATGGTTACCACAATTACACTGTCTTAAAGACAGATCAAATGGTTGGCCTGTTTAGTTGTATTTTTGTCCGCACATCGGATCTAAACCGTGTGTTTGACGTGGACTCAACTTCTGTCAAGACAGGCTTAAAAGTCATGAACAAGAGTATTCATGGTAACAAGGGCGGTATTGCCATTCGTTTTGTTTATGATCACTCTTCTCTTTGTTTTGTCAATTGCCATTTAGCAGCTGGTCAAAATCATATGCAACAACGAAATGCAGATGCTGAAGGTATCCTTCAAAGTGCTAGCTTCCCTCGTCATGATTATGCTGATGTATTTGTGCATGGTGGTGATGGTTCTATGATACTTGATCATGAATTTTGTTTCCTCAGTGGTGATCTTAATTACCGTATTAAGATGGCCAGAAAAGATGTATTGCGTGTCTTGACAAGCAACGACAAACAAACAGCATGGAGCAAGCTACAAGAACAAGATCAACTACTTCGACAAAGAATCAACAATCCTCTGTTCAAGTTACTCACATTTGAAGAAGCACCTATTCAATTTGATCCCACCTACAAATATGATCCTGGCACTGATTTCTATGATAGTTCAGAAAAGAAGCGTGTTCCTGCTTGGTGTGATCGTGTATTATACAAAGGAAAAAATATCAAGAATCTGTTTTATCGCCGATATGAACCACGCTGTTCAGACCATCGACCCATTGCCGCTGGCTTTAGTTTCCAGACAAAGATTACAGACCAAAAGAAGCGTGATGTTTTGATGAGTAAGATTGAAGAAGAGTGGCGAGAACAAATAGATCGATTTATCAAGGACAAAAAGGCGAGATATGTAGCTGATTATGAGTTGTGTTCACTTAGTGAAGCCTTCAATAGGCTAGAAAAGTCAGATTGGGATGTTAATGATGCTGTTATTAAGCTACTGGGTAGCATATAACACTTGCTTATACAATAAAATTTACGGATTATAAGATATTACGGTTTTATTAATACTAATTATACAAAAATAAGAAAAAAGAAGGGTGGATATACATAATTTTTTTAGACGAGCATACCAGCAATAGAAGCTGATAACCATGTACTTATACAACCACAGATCATTGCAGAGACGGCCAAAGAAGAAATTTCACCAGCTCTCTTGGGAGCAAGAGAGTTCAGGACACCCACTTGCATACCAACAGAACTGAGGTTACCGAAACCACAAAGAGCATAGGTAACAACCAATTGAGATCTGGTTGAAAGAGTATCCTTGTAAGTACTGGTCAATAATTGATAGGCAACGAATTCGTTAGCCCAAACTTTGTTGGCCATCAAAGTACCAACAGCAACAAGATCCTTGTCATCAGCACCAATCAACCAAGCAACCTATCAAATATGTAAGTATCTGGTAAATATAGTTTTTGTAAATATTTACGGGTACAAAGACATAACCAGTAATCAATTGAAGAGTCAAGTTTTGAATAGTAATAAAGTTACCGATCCAAGTCAAGAGAGCATTGACAGCGTTCAAAAGAGCCAAAAGAGCAATCAAGTTGGCCAAAATTAAAAAGACAATATTGATACCAACGGCAGCACCCTTACCGGCAGCATGAAGAGCATTGGTAGTATCTTTATCGTGACTAATTTCGTTAATATGAGCAACCTTGGATTCTTCGGATTCGGGGTATCTAATCTTGGAAATGGCAATTGAACAAGGGATAGACATGATACAAGAAGTCAACAAAGCTTGACCAGAAACACCCATAGCAATGTAACCATAAAGGGTAGAACCAGAAATAGTGGCAAAACCACATGTCATAATTTGGTGGATTTCAGACTTTGTCAAATGAGGAATCAAGGGCTCAATCAACAAGGCATTTTCACTTTGACCAAGGAAAGGCTATTTGATCGGATAGATGTTAGATGAATGACACACGCAAATTTTTTTTTCGGACTTACGGAAGCAATAGCAACGACGGATTCGGCACCGGAAACGTTAAGAACTTTCATACAAGCAGCAGAGAGATGCTTCAACAAGAAAGGAATAGCACCAATATAATATAAGATTTGGACAGTAGAGGCAAAGAAGATAATAGCAGGGAAGACAGAGACAGCAAAGATACCAGCATTAGCAACGCTATCACCAAATGTAAAGTCAGTACCGTACCAGGCCTTGGAGAGATAACCTTCAGCAAAAGTGGCTAACCAAGAAAAAATATCATGACCAGCAGTAGATCTAAATACGAAGAGAGCCAACAAGAATTGAATCAAAATAGCAGTACTGACAGTGTTCCAGGGAACAAGCTTACGGTGCTTGGAAGAAGCAAAAGTGGCAGCGATAAACACAAACAAACCAAAGCAGGAAATCAAACGACGGACACGAGGTGATTCTTCTTTTTCAGGGAAGGAAAAGACAGTGGCAATAATGACAGCACCAACCAAGCAACCATAGGCGATCATTCTCATACGAGGACTCATGTGAGTGTAAATAAATGTAGAAACCTTGTCAACACAAAAGTTCCATGGTTTACTGACAATTGTTGTAGGTGCAAAGACAAAGAAGACGTAGAGAGTAAAGTAAAGGTAGACCAAACCCAAAATCAAAAGTTCTTGGTTGTAACCCTTTGGAATCTGCAAGACATATGCAGCAATCAAAAAACCAGTGAAAATAAGCCACATAGCAGGACTTTTATAAAAATAAAAGGATTAGAATGCATGTTCATTGACGCAAGTCATTGATATTTACAGAATCAATTTACGGTATTTTTGATACAAAGAGCGTTTGCTTGAACCCTCTTTGTGTTCGTTGTTGGGTTCGTTGGCATCGTAACTGGCTTCTTCGACAACGTTCATTTTGTCAAACATGTAGTCTTTGTCTTGACTAGAAGAAGAGTTGGTTTTCTTCAAATCATAACCTTCATTTAGTGTATGATGTTCAGGAGGTGAAGTGACTGAATTTTTCTCTTGATCCATTATGTAATATTTACAGTGAGTTGAATCAGTAAAAAAATAGAAATAGATTAAATTAGTGGTATAGTAATGGAAAGAGAAGAAAATAAACAACGAGAGTTGGAATGAATTAGGCTCTTGTTTTATATACGCAAATTCAGTTCCAATCATACTTCCAAATTAAGCATTAAACGTATTGCAAACCAGTGAAAATTTTTTTTGAATACCAAGATAAGCTCACTATTGGTTTGTGTTTTGCGGTGTTATCAATAGAGCCCACCAACAAATAAATTTGATTAGTACGAAGCACAATAAACTCCGTGTAAAATTAGGAAATCCTGCACAAAAGAAGAAATAGTAACTAAAGAGAAATAAGAAAAAAAAAAAGGGATTTTTCATTCAAATTTCTCACGCTCTTTTTTTTTTTTTTTTTTTTTTTGAGATCTATTTCATGTTATTTATTGTCTTATTCCAGCACGTTGGTAAAGATATGAGTTGTGATTCTAAGATTTGAAAGGTTAGACCGAGGCATTGGTACTATGAAACTTTATTTTCGAATGGAATTTCAATATTAAAAATGTCAAAACTGATTTTCAATGACAGAATTCAAAGAAAGGATTCGTCCCATCACACACAAGTGTCAAGTTAATACATTATATCGATCAGAAATAAATCGAGATTATTTTTTTATTTCCTTGTATATATCCTTTTTTTTTTTTTTTTGTATTATAAAACCAAAGACATTTTTTATTGGTAAAGAACCACGAAAAGTAGTCTCAGGGTTTGGTTAAGATAAAGCTCCATTACTGTTTTCGAACTTGATTTGTGTAACATTACCGTCAATCATAGTAATACAATTCGAAAGGAAAAAGACCTCCCCGCCTTTTCGTGAATTATAAAGCCAATAAAAATTCTTTATGAATTTTGCACTGCATTCTCGTACATTGATAAATAACTTTTATTTCTTGATAGAACAACAGAGGTAAAGAAAAGTGTATTCAAGTAAGACACCATGTGACACCATATAATGAAAATGGGGAGTTCTTATTGCGTACACTTATCTCTTATGATTCTTAACAAGCTTGTATCACTTATCCCCTTTTGCTGTTGTAGTCTTTATCCTTTTATTTAGATAACTTCTTTTTTCACACTAAACAGATCACGGTACTGACACAATGTCAGGAAAAGATATGATAATGTGAGATATACAGTGTGTATCCTTTTGGATTCTTATCAAACACGAAGCTGCATTTGTGAATTTGACGAATTTGATAAATTTATCTTTTCCAAAAGAGATAATGAACAGAAGTCCTGAAGTTATGGCTTATCGTTCATTCTTTCTTTTTTTGTTCTCGGTCCTGAGTTGTGCGAGGATGTGGGATGATTTACTGCTTTTTGTAAAAAAGAATTTCGAGCCAAATCATGGCTATATTGAGCTTAGTCAAATCTTACTAATACACCCCTGACTTAAATGTTCTATCATTTATATAGAATACTACAGTAGTTCATTCTTTCTTTGCGTTAAGCAAAAATTGTATAGAAGTTTTTTTCCAGTTAAAAATAGTTCAAGTTGCATGATTCCGCGGAAATGAACAGGGGGAAAATAAAGAAAGGTTTCTTTTTAATGAAAGTAACAGAGTATTCTAGTTTAATTCATCGTGTTTAGTCTAATACAATCGTCTGCCCAAATGCAGTTGTAGTAAAATGCGTCTCATGATTTGGTCGACAATCATTCCAAATTTGGTTCAGAACTTCTCTTGGCGCTAGATAATGTTCATCCGACATCATGAATGTAGCCCAATGGATGCCGATTGATAAGCGAGGACTGCCTAAATCAAAATGTACCTTAACGGCATCTTCAGGGCCCATGTGAAGATGCTGCATCAATTGTGTTGGTAAAAAGCTACCAATGGGAATAGCTGCTAATGTAAATGGAGCGTACAGGTCGCCAATGGCTTTGAATAATTCGGGTGCATATCCAGTGTCACCACTTTATAGTTATCAATGAACAAATTCTTGAGTACGTTTTTTTGTTTAAACTTACCAAAAAAATATTTTATCGTTTTTTCCTTTGATAACATAACTACACCAAAGTGTATTGTTCTTTTCAAAAGGAGTTCTTGACCCACTCCAATGCTTAAATATAGATTAATAATCCGCTCATGCATCAAAAAATCTTACCATTGCAGGGACACAAGCAATCTGAATGTCTGGTCTTTGTTGATGCTGCAATTCTTGCCACCAATCCATCTCAATTACGTTTGAGATACCTCTTTTAACAAACCAGCCCTTTAGTCCTAAAGGAATATACCAAACAACTGAGTTTCCTAATTTTTGTACAGCTGCTTCATCTATATATTTATGTTAGATGCGCTATAGTGCTGTATGTTACCTAGATGGTCAAAATGGTCATGAGAGACAATGACTATATCGATAGTATCTATAAATTCTTCTAATTGACAAGGAATTGGTCTCAATCGCTTTGGTCCGAAATAGTCATTGACTGAACATTTACTGAACACCGGATCAGACAAAATAGTCAATCCGTCAATTGTCATAAGACATGTTGATTGTCTATAGTTTTCTGTCAACAAACGAATGCATTATTTCCTTTTCTCCACTTTACCCAAACCATGTAAATGTTACTGAGTCTGACCCATTTTTGATTTTCTCCAAATTAGGTTGCACAACAGGCAAGGCTACTTCAAGTTCCTAAAATGAAAATCAACGTTTGTTTGTTTGTTTAATTGTTTTTATAGAACAAACCTTTATGCTTTGAGGAATACCATTTCCTTTCCATCTTCCCAGCCAAAAAAGCAATGTTTTGTAAAAAGGAATTTCTGTCCATTCTTCAAAAGGATTGACAAACCTTTTCTCAATCTATCAGGTATCAATTTCTTCATGCTCATAGCAAAGAATCTTACCTTTAGACTGGCATATTTCTCTTGCGGTTTTTGCAATAGCTTTCTTTTCGAGATTCCGTTTTTCCTTACCATCTCGATTGCACGACTCGATCGTGCTTGAGTTGTCTGAGTGTAAAGATAGTAAAACAAAGAGCTAGCTGCTGCTGTAACAGTAAGGGCCACCAAGACATGTTGATGATTATCAAAAATTTTACTAAAGAAATGGCTGCCCTGAGCCTTTTTCATTGTATACGAGCAAAAGAGTGAAAGAGAAGAACCTGCAAATAATCTTTTTTTTGTGCCTGAAATTTTTTTAATCTTTTCCATCCCCATTTTATGTGTAGCACAATTATACGAAAGAGAGAGAGAGAGAGACAAAAAGAAAAGGAGAAAAGTGGTTTGCTTATATAGTAACATTGTTTGTTTTTCTTTTTCGAGAGCAGTGTTTTTTATAATGAAACAGGGTCAGGTTGAGTATCGTTTCAGTTGGGACGGTAAGGGAGTTACTTCTGCAAGCGACTTGTTTGATAGCATACGAGCAAAAGATTCTAATAAATGTTGATGTTCCTATTATCCTGTTAGTAAAGTTCTACTTCAATTGTTCACACTATACTTTGTTGATAAAAGTAACTGCCCAGCTACGCTCTTGCTTGGCGTTTTGCATCAATGGCTTTGGTAGGACAGCACGACCAATACGATGTACATAATCATCCAGAGTGGCAGCCATGTCATAATTGATGACCAGTCTCACAGTCGGCAAGTCGACCCCTCGGGAAAGTACATCCGTAGAAACAACAATATCCCATAAAGGATTATCCTGATTAATACCTTGAATCACCATTGCCCTTTCTTCTTGTGTCTTATCACCGTGCATTGACATAACTCGCAGATGAGGGCTCTTCTTCTTGATGGCTCTTGTTAAAAATTCAGATCCAAGTCGACTGGCAACAAAAATTAAGATAGGTACCATGAAATACTTGGGGTTTCGGAGGATAGAAAACAAGCGTTTTGCTTTACTCTTGTTTTCGACCCAAAGGACTGTTTGTCGTACTTGATCACTTGCTTCTGGTATCTTTTTATCTTGAATGGGTTGATTTACTTTGATTTCTATAGGTGATTTCAGTTTGCGTAAAAGGTACTGCATGGCTTTATCGTCAGTCATGGTAGCAGAGAAATAGGATGTCTGGCGCACTGTCTTGTCAGGAAACTTGCCCAAAATTTGACGCACTTGAGCACCAAATCCCATTCGAAACATAGCGTCTGCTTCGTCCAATACAAGCATCCGAATCCTCCACACACGTAGTAGCTTTGGGTGATGCGTAACCATCTCCAAAACACGCCCTGGTGTACCGATGATAATCTGTACTCCCTTTTTTAATCGATGCAATTGGTTTGGTAAAGGCTCACCGCCAATCAACAATCCTGTACGCATACTTTGGATGCCTGTAGCTAATCGCTTACAGACAGTCTCAATTTGACAACATAATTCGCGTGTAGGAGCCATGATCATGGCATAAGGGCCTGCACGTCGCTTATGGTTGTCCACAGCAGATAGTGACATACAATGGACAAGGGTGGGTATCAAGAATGCGCCTGTTTTACCTGAATGTGTAGGTGCAATGGCCAGTAAGTCTCGTCCTGCGAGACCTATAGTCACTGCTTGCCGTTGTATGCCTGTAGCCATGGACCATCCTAATGACTCAATATTCTCTAGTAATGTTTTTCCTAATACGTGTTGAAGTTGATCATATGTACAAAAAGGTTTTGGTATCTTGCTTCCTTTGACTTGTACTTGGTGTGCTTGCAACATTTGATTTACTTGCTCTGAGGACATAGTAGCAATCGAAGAAGGTTCTTGATAGTTTGTTAGTTTAGCATGGATGTTTTCAGCTACATAGTCGTGGAGGTGCGTCAAAATGACGGTTCGAGGCTTCTTTTTAAGACGATGTCGGTTTAGATCTGTGTTGACTGTTTTGCATTGAAGACTATACATGTATTAAGGTATAGTTTGAGAAGGTAGAACAAATACCTGCACACATCATGATCTGTCTCATCGTTAATGTATTCTCCATATTTTCCACACACAACACAACAAGGTTCGTCTGGGAGTGCTAGTCGTTGATCTGAAGAAAACTGTTTGATAATGTCTTGATCATCTTGTTCAATCTGATCATGTTTTCTCTTTTCAAAGACATTCATTCGAGAACAGTAAGTAGCAACTCAGATTAAAAAAAAAACAAGTTTATTAAGAAGATGTGGGGTCTAACTATACATGGGGTTGTGTTTTATGCAGTTTAAATCAAGTCAACTTGGCCTTCATGTCCTTATTAAACTGTGCAATTTGGTCTTGACTGACAGGACTAAAACTGATTTTAGTACGTTGTTGACGCACAAAGTTTGCTTTTGCTTCAAGCTATTGGATATATTAATACATGTCATACGCTTATATATTTTACCTCTTTTGCTAATGTAACAAGTTTTCCTTTGCCCTTTATGCTCTTTGATTTCTTAGTAAATCGCTTGATTGTTACAATATCAGCATCCACCATCTCAGGAAAAGAAATGTGATGGCAATATTCTTTATAATAAGTCTTTAATGCCTTGGCACATTGATCCAGCACTTCGTCTTGATACATGCGACTATGAACATTCTTGATAGGCACTTTTAAGACAAGGTCCCAATCAAGAGGTGTACCACTGTTTGTCTTTTTGGCCTTTTCCATACCAATAGAACTATCAAGAACTTCTAATACAAAAGTAGCCAAAGGAACATAGACACCTGTATGATGCACCATTGAAGTTAAACAGCGAAGTACATGGAATCGGAGAGGATAGTACTGAGCAGTGGGAATCAATTGAATTACACCAATAGCAACTTGCGTTAAAGGGTAAATCAATGCCTTAAGAGGGGATTCTACTTCTTGTTCAGTCTCTTTGTCTACCATAGGGCCAGAGTAAGCATTCAACACATCTGCCCAAAAATCAATACAGTGAACATATTGCCAGTTATAGACCATGTTGTGGTTTTTGGTAGAACGGACCTTCATGGCTTGTCTTAAATGGATAGCCAATTGACGGATATAGACAAAAGCTTGTTGATAACTTAGAACAGGGTTAATACCATAGAGTTGAATGGCCAAATTACGCATCAAATTGATAATAGGCAAAGTATGGAGACTAGTGTTTTTGCAATGTTTGACGAAAGTCAAATAGACATTCTTAAGACATAGATCAAGGTATCCCTTGCCATTTGTTTCTTTGCTGGCATGAACGGGAATAACGGCCAAAGATTTGATGCTCAAAAAGGCTTGGACACGGACAGTATCAGTAGAGCCAGCATTAGACCATGCATTCAAGAGTGTTTTGAGGTATTCTTTAGCAAGACGATCAAAACAGACATAGAGATTGGTGACCTTTTCTGCTTCACGAATAGTCATACGGAGCATATCAGCGTCTGTCAAGTTTTGCAACAAGTGAATTAAGTTATTAAGGTATGATTTGACATAGGATTTAAAAAAGCTCCATTTGCTGGAAGTCAAAGGTGATCCATTCTCTTTCTTGGGCTTCAAGTGATGACCAAATACAACAGGCGCAAGGCGAAGTGTTGAAATAATAACCTTAGAAAACACTATAGACCGCTTAGAGAAACAAGTATATATCTCACAAACACTTACCTGCAGGATCCTCAATTTTCACTGTAAAGGTAATACTGTCATCTTCTTCTGACATTCTGGCAGCAGTCTTGAAAGCAGATAATAATTTCTTAAATGTCTTGAAATCATGGTTTGATTTGACAGTGTCAATCCATTGGTTCAAAGTGGCTTTGTCAAGGACTGGGACAGATTCTTGAACAGCTTCTTCAGGGTCTTCCATATCACTGTATTCTTCTTCATCATCATCTTTTTCTTCTTGATCTGATTCATCAAAATCCAAAAGACCTTGGTCTTCCTTTTCCAAGAATTTATAGAACTCGGGATCGCGCTTTTTCAACTCTTCTAATTCTTTCTTGTGTTGACTGATGTCTTTGTTTAGTTTTCCAGCATTTTCTTCTTCATCATCATCGTTGTCTGAATCAACGGCCATTTCTCTCTCAAACTCAGAAGGCAAATCACTATCGCTTTCATTTACTTGATCCTCATCTTCTTCAGCTTCTGAATCGTCTTCATCCATAACGCTTTGTAGTTTCTAATCAAATACATTAATATACTGGCTTTATGAAGCTTTCTTCTCTTTTACCTTAAAGATATCATCATTGTCGTCTGAATCAACGATATCTTCCATAGGTGAGTCTTCTTCTTCGGGTTCGCTATCGCTTCTATTGTCAGAAATATAAGCCTCAATTGTTTTATGAACGTTGACTTACAGTTCCTTGAGTGCTTTCTTGCCATTACCTATAACAATATTCGTGTGAGCACGATCAGCTGTCAAACTTTGTAAATTATATTTTACCCTTTTGTTTCTTTTCGACAAACTTGCCGTTAAATTTCTTCACCTTCTTGCTTGCAGCAGGTTTTAATTGTTTCTTGTTGGCTGTCTTTTTTGACTTCTTTTGTACTGCAGGAGCCATAGTTATTTTGTTGAAAGAATATTTTTTCTTTACTCTCGACCTGAAATAATCAAAAAATTGTGACTTAGTCGTGACTATTTTTACTCTTGTTGCACAAAGCAAGCAATGGATAAATAGTTTGAAAGGTATGGGCAAATCAACTCAAAAAACAGAGATCGCATAAGGTTACGATAGTTGCTATTCTTTATTTGTTCTTATTATCAACCTCCTTTCTCTCTTAAAGTCATTTTAAGACTTTTTCTTCGTGCTCTGACTCTCTGCTGTTTGAAGGATATTCATTCAGGGCTTAATAATTTTTTTAGTGTGTATTTACTTTTTTGAGTCTTCTTGTTTGTGTTTGAGAGTCTGACCAGCTCTTGTTCAGACAAGAAGAGAGGATTTGAAAAGGCTTGAATGCCCTGATCAAACCCATAATATGTTTGTGTTGTGTATATCCTTTTTCTTTGTTGTCTTTGTTGTCTTTGTGTAATAAAAGCTATACATGCAATCCACTTGTATAACAGCTGCATCTGCTTGAGTCTGTTGCTTTATTGCTGTCTTTCATCTTCAGTATGAGTTGATCAGGGCTGATTTCAATTGCCAAACTATGGTGATGTTGTCTTCAATATGCTATAATATTATGTTTTGCTTTCGTATACTTGATTTCTGGCTGCTAGCTTTTTTGTTTTACTTCTTCTTCTTCTTCTTCATCACCATCTTCTTCTTTATAATAACTCAATTAAAGTGTGGTTGCGGTTTGCAACTATTGGCAAAGAAGAAAAAAGAATGCTCATCAAAACAGAGAGTACATTTGGTACGCCAGGTAAAAAGAAATAGGGGTTTGAAACACCGAGCCCTCCTTTTGCATGATGTTCATTGTTTGACATGTCCAAAGCTGTTCTTTTTGACCTCAAAAGCGTCATGTATTATGGTAGGCCTTACTCAGAGATACTAAGCAGTATCTACTAAAAAGAGCCTCTTTTATACTGATTACAGTATGCAATGAACTTTGGATGCAGATTTAGAAGTAATCTTCAAATTGAGTCGATGTTTTCATCTTAGTAAACTCGCTTTCTTTTCTTTGGAAGTACTTGAAGATGGTCTTACTTGATTTTGGTTGGATCAGACTTACATTGGGTCATTCTAAAAAATTCTTGATCGAGTTTTGTTTTGTTTGTTTTTTTTTTTTTTTCATCTTCACGGACCTCCGTGGATCCTCCATGGTCAAAAACATAAATATCACCCAAGCGCCAAACCAATGATACCATTTGATTGATGGGCTCGAAAGAGCATGTTTTAAATGAGAAAACGGGTTGTTTTGATAGTCTGGTTGTCGAGCAATGGCGGATCAAAGATTGGCTTGTTTAAGCAGTGTTTTGAGCATTTTTAAATGATTTTGCTCTAGATGATATATAAAATGTATTATAAATGAAGTTACAAAAGATAATATATATTACTTATAGTTCCAAAAAAAAAAAAAAAAAAAAAAAAAAAAAAAAATAGAGAAATAGAAAAGTGTGCACTTTATAATGTAAATGTGGAGGCAAACAAACAAATGACATACCAAAGGGCTATATTGCGAAGATTGAAATGGAAGGCAACTCCAGTTCTTCTTCCCGTCGCATCAGAATCGGGCTTTTGCTGAAAACTGCGTAAAGATGCAGTTATTCGGCTTTGCTGTAGTAACAAAAGTTGCAGGAATTTGCTTTCTGAGTCTGTTGATATAAAGATCACAGCAGCTTTGCTGTCAAAACATTGAGTAAAGATTCAAAAATGTTTATGAGGCTTTTCGCTTCTATCTCATTGTTTTCATAGGACAATTGGCAAGCAAACATATCCACCAAAGACCACAGCCTCTAAAGTACGTTTCGAGTATTCAAGCTTGTTGTTCGCTCTACTTTTCGTCTTATTGTATCAAATAGAAGCTCAAAGAGTTGTTGGCTTGGTGATTTTCATGAACAGTACCCTTTGGTCGAAGGGCATATTTTGGCTCAAATCAACTCCAAAGGTGCCATGGATGTTAGCAAACATTGCCTGATCATTTTCTAAACGTTGATTGTGCTATTACATACTTTGTTTTGTTGCGTTATACTACAAAAGTGTTGATTGACATGCATGATTTTTTTTGGTAGAAACTATACAAAGGACGCAGATGAATCTGGCAATTATTCATTGATTATTACTTTTGTTGCGGCTTGCATACTTCTCTTACTTCTTTTTACGCTTTTCGCTCGACTAGTTGTTGCTTCCCTTTATTTAGCGTACATGGGAATCAAAGTGTATTTAAATCTATTTATTTTAGCCTATTTCTTTCACCTCAAGAAAAAGTACTGAATAGTAATACTACTTTATATTCATAGTGCTGAAACACCTTGATTATATCTGTTGTCATTGATAAGAGCAATAATCTCATCTATTTTATGCAAAAGACCATCTCTATCACATGCTAAAATTATAAACACCGCCACACAATGCTGACGCATTAAACAAACGCGCAGCAAAAAAAGTCTTTTTTCTTTTTCCTTATAGAAACTGCTACAGAAATGATAAGGTCTATCATGTACTTGTGATCTTTAGGTCCTTGTACGTGCGATTATAGACTGAGGCATTTCAACCCCCAAACCTTCCTCAAGTAGTTTCTGTTGTGATTGCTATTTTTTTATAGTTCAATGAGAGGTAGAGCTGTGTGGCAGCAGCATATTCTGCGAACACCGCGCCACAGCAACGTTCAAGGGATGTGCATATTCTACAAAGAGGGAGTCTCTCGCTTCGTGTCTGTACTGGGGTTAATATTGCTTCATTTTATATGTTGCAGTACGCCTAACCGTCTCCTATACGCGTCTGTGTATTAGAATCACCTCATGTACACGTGTCGACCTCAGTTTCTTGGTGATTGTACTTTTTTGATACCGCTCTGTTAGTCTATGGCCACACTGTACCTAACACCGTATTGCAATCCTCGCCGTTATGCTTGGATCGTCTTCATTTGGTTTAGGTTCTCTCGCAAGAGGGGATTTTCTTCGTCATAGTTTTGCACACGTCTTCTTCCTCATCAGGTGGAACGTGGTAAAGCGATTGCAAATCAAGTGTAGCTGTGATACAGGAGCAAGCATGGTATACCCGTATACTGTGTCTGAAACCCTCTATTGTGCGTCAAAGCGAGTGAAGTTGCTCTCGTATACCTACTTGTCCTTAGCTGGAAAAAAGGGGCCTGGTGCCGTCTGGGCGGAGCCTCACGGCAAAGCTGACGGGTACTTGAGTTGACTTGCTGGTTACTTGCGCTTCGTCTAGTCTGGCTTTGCTAGTCTGGATTGACAAGATTCCCTACTCGTCCAGTACAATACCGTAGTCAAGGCGGGCTTGCTTTTATGCGGATAAGCTTGACACCCTCTTTTTTTATATACTTGGGCCAATGTATACTTGTATATTCAATCATCAATGAAACCGGTCAGCCGGGGCAAGTCGTGGGTCATGGTTCACTACCTGATGGCTATCTTTGGTTTGCTGCGTAGACATTTCCATTAGGGAATGGCCAAAAGCTATGAAACACTAGTCTTTGAAATGTCGGTATAGGGGCATGGTGTGATATCCTGACTTCTCTGTACTTTGGGCTGTTTGTGGCTAATTGGTGTTATGGGCGGATCCGACTTGGTTTTCTTTTTTTTTTAAAAAAACACTGGTTAGTCATGATATTGAAGCCTAAAGTCTGGCGTTGTCTTGTTCATTCTACAAAGTGAATCAAAAAAATCAATTCTCTCTTTTCTGTCTCTTTTATGGCGCAGTACACTTGCAAGGCGGCATCGATTTGGTTGTTTCTTGGTGCGTTTGGGTGATGCCAAACGATGTTGGTTGTGGTTACTGGGTCCACTGCAATCAAGATCAAAAGCAATTGAATCGAGTTTTCTGGTGCCTAAGTTGGGGAATGTCTTCCTGTAAGTTAGCTGTTGGTGATTCAACACTACGCAAAGCATTCTCTGGGTCGTGGTAAAGTCATGCAAGGACATTAGTTTACCCTACAAAGCAATCATAACTTCATTCCTTTTGGGATCAGATGCACTTTTACCTTCTCGTGGTTGATCCTGTTAGTATCAAAGCTTGTCTTTGAGAACCAAACAAAGTGCTCCTTTTTTTTTATTTATCAATAAAATAACTTTATGCTAAGTATATTCAATTCATATGTAAAATAGGATATGTTATGAGGGCTTATTTTTAATACCAAGTCTGACGTTCTTTTTTTTATATAAAATAGAGAGTAAAGTGCAAAAGGACTCGTTGATTTCAAACGATATGCTCATAATTTATACACAGAGAATTAATTTCTTTCAGCTTTAAGGTGTCATTGGTTTTATCAAATGATGAAAAGGACATTGTGCCTCATGAGTAAATACACAAATCGTCTTGGTATATTCATTTAGCCAACAACGAGATGGCATTCGTTAAAAGGAACAGACAAATAAATAGAAGTGCATCAACACACAGAAATAGCGCAAAGCCTGTATATGCTCTAAATACCTACAAACTGTGTTTGCTAACATCCATGGTACCTTTGGAATTAATCTGGACCAAAAGTGACATGTCCAAAATGGTCAAAATATGCCCTTCGACCAAAGGGTACTGTTCATGAAAATCACCAAGCCAACAACTCTTTGAGCTTCTATTTGATACAATAAGACGAAAAGTAGAGCGAACAACAAGCTTGAATACTCGAAACGTACTTTAGAGGCTGTGGTCTTTGGTGGATATGTTTGCTTGCCAATTGTCCTATGAAAACAATGAGATAGAAGCGAAAAGCCTCATAAACATTTTTGAATCTTTACTCAATGTTTTGACAGCAAAGCTGCTGTGATCTTTATATCAACAGACTCAGAAAGCAAATTCCTGCAACTTTTGTTACTACAGCAAAGCCGAATAACTGCATCTTTACGCAGTTTTCAGCAAAAGCCCGATTCTGATGCGACGGGAAGAAGAACTGGAGTTGCCTTCCATTTCAATCTTCGCAATATAGCCCTTTGGTATGTCATTTGTTTGTTTGCCTCCACATTTACATTATAAAGTGCACACTTTTCTATTTCTCTATTTTTTTTTTTTTTTTTTTTTTTTTTTTTTTTTTTGGAACTATAAGTAATATATATTATCTTTTGTAACTTCATTTATAATACATTTTATATATCATCTAGAGCAAAATCATTTAAAAATGCTCAAAACACTGCTTAAACAAGCCAATCTTTGATCCGCCATTGCTCGACAACCAGACTATCAAAACAACCCGTTTTCTCATTTAAAACATGCTCTTTCGAGCCCATCAATCAAATGGTATCATTGGTTTGGCGCTTGGGTGATATTTATGTTTTTGACCATGGAGGATCCACGGAGGTCCGTGAAGATGAAAAAAAAAAAAAAACAAACAAAACAAAACTCGATCAAGAATTTTTTAGAATGACCCAATGTAAGTCTGATCCAACCAAAATCAAGTAAGACCATCTTCAAGTACTTCCAAAGAAAAGAAAGCGAGTTTACTAAGATGAAAACATCGACTCAATTTGAAGATTACTTCTAAATCTGCATCCAAAGTTCATTGCATACTGTAATCAGTATAAAAGAGGCTCTTTTTAGTAGATACTGCTTAGTATCTCTGAGTAAGGCCTACCATAATACATGACGCTTTTGAGGTCAAAAAGAACAGCTTTGGACATGTCAAACAATGAACATCATGCAAAAGGAGGGCTCGGTGTTTCAAACCCCTATTTCTTTTTACCTGGCGTACCAAATGTACTCTCTGTTTTGATGAGCATTCTTTTTTCTTCTTTGCCAATAGTTGCAAACCGCAACCACACTTTAATTGAGTTATTATAAAGAAGAAGATGGTGATGAAGAAGAAGAAGAAGAAGTAAAACAAAAAAGCTAGCAGCCAGAAATCAAGTATACGAAAGCAAAACATAATATTATAGCATATTGAAGACAACATCACCATAGTTTGGCAATTGAAATCAGCCCTGATCAACTCATACTGAAGATGAAAGACAGCAATAAAGCAACAGACTCAAGCAGATGCAGCTGTTATACAAGTGGATTGCATGTATAGCTTTTATTACACAAAGACAACAAAGACAACAAAGAAAAAGGATATACACAACACAAACATATTATGGGTTTGATCAGGGCATTCAAGCCTTTTCAAATCCTCTCTTCTTGTCTGAACAAGAGCTGGTCAGACTCTCAAACACAAACAAGAAGACTCAAAAAAGTAAACATGCAGCGCCATTTGCTTCTGAAATCAATCTGATGAAATAAAATAAAATAATAATAATAATAATAATAATAATAGCAGTAGCATAGAATAAGCTGAAGTAATGAACTAAATATATAATGTTACTTTTGTTTTCATGCTTGGTCACTGCATATTTCTTTTTTTTTTTCTTAAAATAAATGCCACTTAGAAACAAGAAAAATGCTGAGTAGCATATAAATGTCTAGGATGTTATGGTTAAAGAAAATGGTCTAAATTACACATAGCAACAAAGAAAAAGTGTTTTTCTTATCTCAGGTGCTTATTTGTGCATGAAACAGTGCGTGAGTTTTTTCTTTAAAATACCATATTCCATTGATTTCGTCAAGTCAGATAAAAGGCGCTTTTACTTTTTGAGTTGAATATCAAGCACAAAGAACTCACATTTAAGCAAGGGAAGCAGTGTCTGGAGTAAATAGGGAGTAAATCTTTTTATGTATGCATTCATCAATGTCACATGTTTATAATTCATTCATCTTGATCTTATGTTCGAAGAAACAAACAATCAAAACAGATCTTATGTTCAAAGAAACAAACAATCAAAACAGATCTTAAGAGCATAATACTCAAAACACGAATGGATTCATTTTTGGATATATAAAGCAAACATTATCAATATGAAGTTTTCTCATCATTCAATAATGTCTATCTTTTCTTTCAAGCTCACTTTTCTCTGTATCGCTGCTGTTTACCTCATTGCCTCGGTTCCTGCTGTCCCACTCCTTAATGATAACTGTAAAGGCGATAATGCCTGTGCTAATGCTGGCATCTTGACTAACCCTCTTGGTGGTGGAATTTTGAGTGGAGGATCTTCTGTTGGTGGTACATCTAAATCCAAGCCTTAATGAACAACACGACTCCCAAAAAAAGTGACCTTTTTTTTATATTGTGTTGTTTATCAATTAAATAAATATTGCTTTTTGTTATAAAATGTACATTGTTCTAAATGTTGTCTACATAGTGGGCATAGGTTCATTTTCATTTGTTAGAGTTACGCCTACTACAGTTACAATGATGGAAAGAACAATACTGACAAACCAAATATGAAAAAACATTTGCTAATTCGATTACGTTAGAGCAGCATAAAATAAAGAAACAATATACCTTGGTATATTTCAATACATCTGGATCAATAACACTCGTCATATCTTTTTGGCTTTCGAGATCTGTCTTCATATCAAACTTTTCCATCTTGCCTTGGACCACATAATACTGATCTATCTCATACATAGGTACCATACGGATTTTCATCATGGCACGGATAGTACAAAAAGCAGCACGAGCAGACAAAATACTGAGAGCGAAAAGAAATGTAAAAGGAAACAAAGTAAGGCGATACCAACGAGACGTATGGTTTGAAAATGTATAGAGTAAAATCATAGGCAAATGTAAAAAGTTAAAGACACCACCGACATAGTGCAAAATGACCCAGCTGTATCGCATATTCTGAAGTGCATGATGAATAAAGCTTTTAAGACTCGATGTCTTCATGATTTGATAGATATGTTCATGTACATCTACAAACACATCTGGGTGCGTGGTTTGGCAGCCATAGAAGACGGTATATTTACTCATCCAACCTTCAATATTGAGTTCTTTGTAAGAATCAACATGAAAAAAGGTACGCAAGACAGCATTGACTTCATCTCGGAAAGGTTGGTCTGGATCTGTCTCGTATTCTAGTTCAGTGGGCACACTTGGCGTATCATCAAAGGATTCGTATTTCTCCTTTGTTTTCTCTTTTTCAGAGTGTCCAGTGGTAAGTTGTAGGAAGCAGGTGTTGCTCTTTCTTTGGGTGGTGGAGATTTAGCCTTTTCATGTTCTGGTAACTTATTGAACCTTTTGCAGTAATCAAGATACCAAAAGTAAAAATCAAGGTTTTCACCTGAATGTTCTTTGTTTAGCAAATAATATCTAAAGTCCTGCAAGGAAATAGGTTGACAAGTTGTGCCATTCAAAATATGATCTAAACTTAAAGTTAGGCTTAAGCTATTTCTACACTTAAACTTTACCAATATGTACATTTTTTAAGTCGCTTCTTGATCCAGCAAACCAACGCTTTATAGATTCATTGAATGAAGTAAAATAATCAAGCATTTTTATAAGGAAAAAATAAAGAGTAACAAAGATGAAGAATAGGCGTCAATTTGCTTGTATAAATAAAAATTTCTTTAATCTCCAAGGAGAGAAGGTATTATGCATCTTTAGACATTACCTTCCTCCTAAGTCCCTTTTTTCATTTGATCGATCAAGAAAAAAACCCTATTCACTGTTGTCTTTTTTATCACATTTAAAGATCCGCTTTCTTATGGACCCGCCCTTGTTGTTTTTCTTTTTCTTTTTTCATGTTTCACTCAATAAAAGCTATCACTGTAAGTTCAAGCCACCTTAATACTTTCTCCTTAAATCCTTTTTTTTTTCTAAACTGCAAATAGGCACCTTTTCGAGCAGGGGTAAGTCAAAAATAATAAATAAATAAATGTGTATTCAAGCATCAATAGTTGCATACACAATCCTTTGATTTTCGGCGAATAGGCACAGAAAAGAATGCAGGTGCTCTTCAGGATTTACTAAGACGTGTGATGGAAATTGATGCAGATATTACCAATACTCCTATTGCCGAATTCAAACCAAATGTAACTAAAGACGGAAATAACTTTATTGTTGATTCGTGTATTAGACTATGCAATGCAACGCATTTTGTGTAGCAGATCATTTTGATTTGACACACATTCCCTCCAGACTAGAACAAATCAAGGGGTTCAATATTACCTCACAATTAGACGGTTTTGTGAGTGTATTAGATCAAGAACAAGGTGGAGATATGTACATGTTTAGTAATGGAACCTTCGTTTCTTGGGGCATAGATAGCGATCGGCAACAATCCTTTTTAGACACTTTTGTGCAAATGTCTGATTTTAAGGCCACAACAGAGACTGTAGAATACACGATTGATGAAGACGAGTAAGAAAGCAATACGGTTATTTTATTATCTTATAGTTGATTAGAGTAACTGATATAAAGGGCAATGTCATCTTGTTAAATCCATATATGCCTTCCATTGAACTATCAAAGACTGCATTTTCATATGGTCTTGGACGTTCAGCCAAGTTGAAAAGCATTGAAATGGACTTGGAAGACCATTTGGCGCAGCTCAGTGGAGTACCTGCGTCATTTAGTGACGACACACAAAAGCATACACTGAGTCGTGTCCATATAAGCCAGTTGTTCCGTATTCGTCAAAGAATGATGTATGGGTCAAATGATGGGTTTTTGGGAACGGCTGATTTTCATTGGGCAAGACCTGAACTTGAAGGTAAAATGACATTTTATTTACTGATACTTATATCGAATATAAGCCTATGTTGACAAGATATCAAAACAATTTAATGTGCGCACAAGAATTGAAACAATCAACAAAAAGATAGGTAAAGTATACACACATAGTATACATGGCTGATTGCTTTTTTTTTTAAAAATAGACTATGCCAATGACTTGCTAAGCACAGCTAAAGCATTTGATCTTTTTATGTAAATTACCATAAACAGAAAGTGCTGAGTCAAATACAAAAAGTTACTTGGTAAACATATACTTCAAGGCATTATTATGAAATAAAGAGCTACTAGATGGTTGTTTATATAAATAAAGTACATTAGTATAAGAACAGTACCATTGTATGCCATTGTAAGGTAAAAAAAACACTGACATTATGTATCAAACAGTTAGATTTAATTTAAAGGTCAGAAATGTTATATTTTTCTGAAGTTTCTTTTTTTTTTTAATTCTTTTTCTTCTTACCAAAACAAAAATTATGAAACTTGCTTTAAAGACATCGATTGTGTTGATTTATTGTACTTTATGTAAGGGAATTGTTGTAAATATGTATTTTCGAGTATTGAACTTTATTGTTATTAGCTGTCCTTGCTAAAGGTGGTGGTGGTGGCCGAGCTGGAGGTGGAAGCAGAGGTGGAAGCAGAGGAGGAAGCAGAGAAGGTTCCAGTTCAGGCAGAAGTGGCTATGGTGGTACAGGCAGTTCTACTGGAAGAGGTGTTGCAGGTAAGACACTCTATCATGGTTAGTCTCTTATTCACACATATACAACAGGTACTGGAAGTACACCCAACAGTGTAGCATCTAAAGGTGGATCTGGCGGATTTGGTGGCTCACCTCCACCTGCTTATGCTGCCACAAGAAGTAAGGATGGATACAAATCATATGTTACTGACAAAATCTTTAGGTTCTTATACAAACTATGCCCCAGCTTATGGAGGCGGATATACATCCACTGGACGTTATGGTTATGTAGGACGATACAATCCAGTTTTTCCTTATTTCTTTATTATGCCACCCTTCTTATTTTTGGGCTATCATACTGCCTATCATCGCTACAATTCAGAGACTGGTTATTATTATGCACCTCAGTTAACTGAGCAAGGCAGCAGCACACAGAATGTGATCATCAATGGCACAGCTAATTCTGGCAAAGATGAAAATTACCATTATACGTTTAATATCAGTACAAACAACCAATTTCCTATGGTGGATCATGCCTTTTTTTCTACTTCAGACCAAAGTGCTCCTATCTCTGATTTTGTCTATCGTCTCCAGTTTACTCAATTGGTTGAATTTGAAGATACAAACCAGAACGGCTTTTATGATCCTAATGAACAGATTTACTCAGTATCTTCTCTGCGTAATTTAGCATGGCAACCCTTCCAAGTGTCGAATATAACAGTACCCAATAATGCTACTCAATTTTATTTGCAGACCAGTACATTTGCCAATGTTACTTATAACAATACAAGCCCATTCTTTACTGTCCGCATTACTTACCGTACCAGTAATATTCAATTGAACAATACAGCACCTATTGTGATGCAGCCCAACTCTTTAGAATATGATTTTGCTATTGAAGGATTTCCCAATACACGCCCTAATGCTCGTTTGGCTGTTGCTCAATTGGTCTCTACTCCTTCTGATGTGCCTATCAATTTCGATGTGAACATGACAACACCTGTCGATGTAGCTAACCAAATCAAGACAAACATGACTTATGGTCTCTCTATCGGCGATTACACAGAAGGAAGACTAGAATACCAAAATACAGTCAATATTTCAGATGTATCAACAATCAGCAATGACTTGAATCCTCAGACATTGGCTTCTATTCCAACCTATACTGAAGATGACTGGATTTGGGGATCCAATGCTTCTGCTGCTAATCGAAACAATAAGCTCTTGTTTGTGACTATGCCTTTTAATGGCTCTGGAAGTGCTTCCTTCTCTGGTTTTGGGTTTTTAGATACAGATGTTATGAGTGCTATGGCTGCAAGTGCTGGTCATCGTCTTGTACAATCCAGTGCCCATCTCCTGCTTGTTTTGAGTGTCGCTGCTTATTTATTTCTTTAAATAGAATGTTGCACACAGCCACATCTCTGATTACGTCATGGTCAAGACAAACACATCCCATTTTAAGAGCAGATATTAAGCCAGTTTAATAGTAATGTCGACATTTTGAAAAAAAAAAAAAAAAAAGACGCATCAGGAAGTGTGATGCTTTTTGTTATATTGATATATTTATCTAAGCTGTGTAGTGAAATGAGAGTTGGACGAGATTGAGCGTTCAGAAGTGAGAATTAAAATATCATTTAGATGGCTAAGACAAGATTTGAAAAAATCCCTTTGTTCGTGAGGATCATCCAAGTAGGCATTGAATGCTGCTTTCACATTCTCAGAACCATCAGAAACAAGCTGAGAACTTAGACCAGAACTAGTTTCTGTAGGTTGTTCAGCAGCAATTTGAACCCTTTGAGCTATATGAGAGGGAACTACTAATAAGAATAATTGTAAGCATAATCCGAATATTACTATCGAATGCATTCCTGATGATTTTACATATTTGGGTAGATAATAATGGTAGGCTCGACCCGTTTCAAGAGATGCATGTGCTTGCAAGATGTTTGGTTCCATTGAAAATCAGCACAAGAACAGCCTGTTATGACATCCTTCTCTACGGCAATCTTGTATTTTACCTCTTCTGTGGTAAAGGAGGCAACACTGTAGCATCTTGGTCTTTCTAATGCCACCATTAACGCCAAGGCATTATCGTTAATGGCTTCAGTATTAATTCCTCTTCTTCTTTCTTCAGGATCCACTCTGCCCACATTTAAGAGCAATCTTGAAATGTTTTGTTGGTAGTCCTTTTGGATATAATCTCTGAATAGAAACTCTGGCGTCTCTCTTTCTGTAGCAATCTGTTCTCAATCAACGATTTGTTGCTTTTTAACAGAGAAAGATGTTGGAGAAGAGCAAGTAAGAGCTAACACTGTGACTTGCAAGAAAATCAACTGCTCTAGGCTTTTGAAGGTATTTTGCTTGATAGTCCAAACACTGTCGATTTCAGTTCTTAAAGCATCATAATTATACAATTGGCCAGCCTGAAGACTTCGAGATCTATGATAGACATATTCCTTTGTCCTTCTTGGCGACATGTCTTTTGTAGACCCATTTGACATCAAAAACTGCTTCAAAGTTTTTGATCTCTTCCTTGTAGTTCTCGATGACATGGGTTACAATGGTTGTAAGCAAAGGTAATTACTTCTTAGTAACAATACTGTTGGACTTTTTTTTTTTGCATAATAAAATTGAATGATTTTTGAAATTGAGTGTTTCTTGAAATTAAATGCTTATTTTAAGTTTGAACGCGCTTTTGACAGATTTACTTCTGTTGACTATTTTAGAAATTCACTAAATAAAAGTCACAAACTTGGTCAACATTACTTAAAATGGGCGATATAAGGATGTGCCCTTTCCTAGTGCTGACGTCACTTTCACCAGTCGTCTAACCGGAGTCATGGGCCTTCAATACATTTTTTTTCTTAAAACTCTTTTCAGTAATCATAGCTTCTTTCTCCCCACTCTTCATATATACATAAAATGGCTCAAGATTTGCCTCCCGCCCAAGGTTTCCCTGAAGTTAGATACCGTCGTTACTTGCCCAAGCGTGGACCTTCCGGTCTCGTCACTCTTCTTGGTCTTACTGCTATTTCAGCTTTTGGTTTCTACAGAGTTGGTCAAGGCAATCTCGAAAGAAGGTAAATTTTCCTCAAATTCTCCAGTTGATTTATGTTTGATTAAATAGAGAATTGAAGCGTGAAAACATTTGGTCACGTATTTACCTTACTCCACTTTTGATTGCTGAAACTGATCGTGATAGCTATCGTCGTTCTGAAGCCGCAAAGGCTCGTGAAGAAGAAATTATGAAGGATGTCGAAGGTTGGAAGGCCGGAGAATCAGTTTATAACAACACCAAATACTACACTGCACCAAAGTTTGTTATTGTTCCTGAAGAGAATTAAAGCAATTGTCAAAAGCGATATTTTTTTTTCTATTTTTTTTCTTTTCTTCTTTTTTTTTTTAGATGTATCCAGCCATCAACACACAATTGTTTATTTTCATTGCACTGGAAAGCAGATCAACAAAAAGGAAAAAGAATTGACACAACAAAGTAATATATTTGAGTCTATAGTCTATACAAGGAAAGATGGCACAATGTTTATAGATTCAAAAAATGTAAAAAGACGAATACGAGAGCATAATACATGATGCTCAAAGCAGACAATGTAGAAGCAGCATTTCCGTCAGTGGGTTCAGGTGTATTGCTAGTGCTGAATTGAATGTTTTTGTAATAAGTGTAAGTATCGACACTTGTAGCATAATCAGACGAACCACCACCAAAAAATGTGCTGAACATTAGACTGGAAATACCAACAGAATCGCTTGAGCGAAATTGGATATGCTGTTGGTTAATCATAAGTGAACCATCTTGCCATACTTGTAAGATTCCATTTGAATTTGAACCTGAATTTAGCTTGATATAAACTTCCATACGAGTCCATTTTTTAGTAGAGAATTGAATGACACCTCGAGAAAACGATGTACCATAATCGGTATTACAAATGACTTGTTTACTGTTACAGAGACTGTCAGAAGTTGGAATATAAGCATACGCTTCGCCTGCTCCTATAAAAAGAAGTTTGTAACTATAAATAATACAACTACTAATTTACCATTGGCCCTCCACATCAGTCGCACTGAGAAGCAGTTGGACCCTGTTGCCTTTTCACCACCTGAACATCCTTCACCAGGAGGTCCTTTATGCCTTATTTAGTTTTGATTGCAAGTCAAATTAAAATTTACCTCCAAAAATGCCAGGAAGCTTCCCACCCTTTACCCAATTAAAATCAGAATCGAATGCAAGATCGTAACTTAAAAGAGCTGTGTTATATGTCTTTCCGTCGTCAGGCACAGAAAAGAACTCCACACCACCTACAACACCATCACTTGTTTTTGTGCCGACGGGAGCATAAGAACCAGTAGGATATTTGACTTGAAGTACAGTCTCATTTCCTGTAACTGGGTCCTGAACAAAACTAATGTCCTCACTTCCATAAAAGCTTTTGCCTGAAGTTGCCCAATTGGATGTCACATAATCAACAGCGGATGATTGTGCGTTTCCTGGCATAGGCGCATTCCATGTCTTGGATAGCCCTAATGCTGCTGCTCTCGATGAAACAGGGTCTGCTAAAGAAAGCAGAATAAATTCACTAGTACACAGCGTAGCTAACAAGCTACGCAAAAACATTTCTCCTGAAATAACAAAAAGAAAACAAAAAAAAAGAATTAAAGGTAAGAGCTATTTTTTGAACAGTTAAAAATAGGAGATTTTTGTTCATAAGCCAATAAGATTACCTTATTTGAGCATTCTAAGGTAAAAATTTATGTCATCATCATTCTCCTAATAGCATGAATTGGGCGTAAAGCAAAAGAATGTGTTGCCAATACTATCAGATTAAATGAATACATGATGCTTTTTTGATCATATGCAGTGCCTTTTTTTTCCTTTTAATTTTGTATCGTATTCTGAGGCACTGTTTCAATTGCCGTCAACCTTGAACTTCTCTTGTCCTACATGTAAACTTCTTTGAAAGAAATAGTTAGACTAGGTGTTATAAGAAATAGAACTGCATATACATACAATGTGTTGCAACATTCTGATTTTTTTCTCATTAATCTCGACTGTAACTAAACTGTAAAAAGATAGCTTGCCTTTATAATAATATCCATCTGTAGTCTACATATGAGTAGTTTAATCATTATTAACGACAGAGATATCGTTCCTTTGTCTATGGTCTTGGCACTAAGAATGTTTGTTTGTTTTTTGGTAGATTTACAAATTTGGAGAAATGTTACTGCTAGAATTATGGAGCGCTCTTTTTCCTCGTTTAATGGCAAGCATCCGTAATTCTTTTCCTTCAGGCAACTAAATCTACTTCATGTTGTTAGAATTAAGCGTTTTTGTACCATATAAACTCATAAACAATATAGAATTATTAAAACAGGCAGATTTTACATTGATATTCCCCAACAAAGTTCATTCACACAACATAATACTTTTCAATTCATGTTGAAAGACAATCCATATGTTGACTTTAATGTCACTGCAGTTTCATATAATTGAGGGTTTTTGTTTCAAATGCTTTTTGTATCTAAAATTAAAATAATATATTTTATTGATATTTATTGTCTTGAGATCTTTTTCTATATCTGCTGTTTAAACAAATGAACAGGACTTATTTTGAGAACCTTGGAGACAGATAACAGAGGAGGACAGTGATAATAGTCATGTCCGTCCTCAGCTTTTCCTCCGTATGCACAAGGGATTCTAGCAGCAAAAGAATTGACAAGGTAATCAGGCATGCGTGAATGATTCTGCTTAGCATAGACAAGTGTCATGGTGTAATCATTCCTATCAGGACAAATATTTGGTTTGTATTTCGGTACTGTGGCTGATGTGTTGTTATAGAATCCAGTAACGCAAGTATATCTACAACTACCAACACTAAGGCACAATCTAGAGTCAAACACATCCAGACGATATTGACGATCATTAGGAATAGCAGCAGCTGTAACAAGCCGAGAAACAATTAAATAGACAAATAAAGCAAATTTCATTTTATTTAAGAGACAGAGAGAGAGAAGTAAAAAAAAAAGAGAAAATAAAGTAATTATACCTGGTATTTAGGCGTGCTTTATTACCTTTTAAAATTCTTTTCCTTTGTTATAAAAGAGTCTGTATAAGTTATGCAATGAATCTCTCCCTCAAGATACTCAGATTTGAATAAGGTTCAATTAATGAAGACATCTCAACATTTACAAGCTCTTTTAATTGAAAAAAAAAAAAAATCCCTTCCTGTTAAATACAATTGTACAAAAAAAAAAAATACAATTCAATATAACAGGAGAACCGTATTTTTATTTTCAATTGTTTGTAGATCCGAGAGAAAAAGGAGTGACCTATGGCGTTGTTCTAGAGTCTACATGCCATACTTTATGCCTTTTTTTTTTAAAAAAAAACAAAGCCAAGTTCCACAAATGTTAGCATGAACACCCAATGCTTAATCGTCGCATTTTCTTTTGTATATATGTGTGACATAGTGACTCATTGAAAGCATATGACTCCTTTCTTTTCATCAAGTACAAGCTTCTCTTGGTTATTTTTGATAAAAACAAACAAGATATTTTTTTATGATAGAAATTCAATATCACTAGCCATTCATTGTCTACAACTTAGAGTTGACATCAGACTAATTAGGTAAGCGAACATTCAATTGTAATCCAGAATAAGAAACAATGTTTTGCCCTTGTTTTTTTATTCTTTTCTTCTTCTTCTTTTATAAACAATGGAAACAGCAGTAAGAAAAGCAACTCGACTTGATTATAACCCCCTAAACAAAAGCATTTATCAAGTAAAATGATAAAACTATTTGATTGTACAGTTTTACTTACTCTTATTAGCATTAATCAGGTTAACTTTTGAAAGTCCTGGTAACGCAGCAACCATTGTTGACTTGTTAAAGGATAGACTGAGAGAAAACTCTTGGATCGTAAGCAAATAGTTGTAAAAAGATCGCGTCGCTCATTCGATAAGATCATATTTAAATCACTTATCACGATCCATACCTTGATGAGACTCGGGAATGGTGAAAAAGTAATAAGCTATGTAGAGACACAACCATCAGCTTTAGATACTAGTAAACTTAGAGAGAAATCTTCAGGTAATTAAGCCATGTCTTGGCGTTTATTTACTAATTAAATAGGCGTTGTCCATATTCAAAATATTTATCTGTATACTGCTTATTTGGAGCAAAAAGTGATTGCATATCGACAGTTACGATACGACTACGTCAAAAACACAATAGGCACCAAAGAGAGTAGACTAAGACATTTACCAGTCAATGAAGGCCTATTAAAAGAAACTGTTATACTTCAAAAGCAAATAGGCACTTTATTAAAATGCAATGTAAGTTGTATTATGCACAATTCAGACATTTATACAAAGTAGTTTATTTTGGACGATGTAGACAACAATATTAGTATTTATGCTTTTCGTTTATTAGTCGAAGATTTGCTTGTCTTATTCCAAGTCATGAATGAGTCTATTGTGAATATATTAGAGCATTATTTTACTATGGAAAAGCCTGATGCTCGAACAAGCTTAGAGATTTACAAACGATTTGCGCGGCAAACACAGGATACAACCTCATTCTTGGAAAGAGCACGAAAACTACAGCACGAATTGCGCATTGCTGTTCCATCTGTTAAACATGCAAGTGTTTTGATTTTCATTCTATTTATGCTCATCATTTGAGTAATAGGCACCTTTGTCCTTAGCTGCAGCACTTCAAGAATATCTTGATCAAGACAAAAACAGCAAACCACCAGTCGAACCCCCTGTTAATATTGGTAACATTTCCAAACCAAAGTTTAGTATTAATCTATCGTTTAGTCTATGCACCGCCACCACCACCACCGCAGCAACCATTAAGCGATCCATTTGCTCCTTTGACAGATCCACAACCACGACCAAAAGAATTGGTTGACTTCTTTGCAAGTCTTGAAAATGAGACAGTCAATATTTTTTATAATCCAATTGTTCAACAGCAACCAATGCTTCCTCCCCCTACACCTGTGACAGGTCATAATCCTTTTCGAACAGAATCCATGAACATTGTACCTCAACCATCATTATCGATTACATATGGCAATTCAAATCCTTTTAGAGCTAACACAATGCCTCAAGCAAGCAATTCAACACCTTTAACTTATTTTGGGGACACAGCTGGTTTTACTCAAGTAAATAACAACAATCCGTTCACTTCGAGCAACAATATGATGGTAATATCACCTAGTGTTGTGCCTAGCCATAATCCATTTAGTAACCATACAACCAAGCAACCTTGGGGTTAATAAAAATAAAAAAAGATGTACATAAGCCACATTTAAAAAAAGAAAATTATTTATTTAAAATTATGATTACAAGAATCTAGAAAAGAAAAGTTAGAATAGAGTTTGACAGACAAGGTAATTTTCTATCCTTTTTCTTTTGATCAGATAAACGACATTCGACATTCTATAATGAGCTTGTACAGGCTCGAGTCCGTCCGCCCGTCGGTAATGTATCATCATAAAAAAAAAAAGAAAAAAGAATGCGTACTGGATAAATATTTACCATGTTCAATTCTTTTTCGAACGAGAAGACCAAAGGATCAAAGAGTCGTTGCAAGAAACATAACTAAAAAGAGAATAAGTAAAAGCACAAAAAAAAAGTATACGAAAAAGAACGAGAAAAGGGTCAGACAAGGCTGATAACTTATGTCTTTAAATAGGCAACACAATTGTAATTCAGGGATGAATATAATTCGGACATTTTATCTTCATTCCCCTTTCTCTCTCTTTTTCTTGTTATGATATTTACCTTTTGATCAAATGGTCTCCCGGGAAATAGGAAGAAAAGAAAAGTGAAAAAGAAAAAGACATGCCTTGCAAATTTATACTTTTACTAGAAAATTTTTTCAATTGAAGTGTGCGGGTGACTGCCAAACTTGTGTTGCCCGAAGAATCAAATAAGTTTTTCAGGGCATTCAAAACTTTCCTGTGTAATGTGCCTTGATTTGGCTCAATGATTGGCTTGTTCTGTTCGTTTACAAGAAAATCAACCCAATCAACTTAAGCATCAAGCGTGTATGTCTGCTTGCAATCCTAGAATGACTCTTCAGATGATATCCTGTTTTCTTTGTTTCTTCTTTATCTCATTTGAAATGCTAAGATTTAAGCAAGTTATTCAACAACCTGTTGTTCAGTTCTCTTTCTTATTTAGCTTCTTTTTCTTCATTACTAGCTTCTATCTGTGTCGATACTATATTTACAAGCATAGTCAACAAGAAAGAACAAGAGAGAAGCAAACAAGCTGGATTTTGACCCTTTGGAGTAGTTTAGTTTGTACTGTTGTTTCAATTCCTTTTGTGATCCAATTCTTTAATGCTGATCTGGATATGCAACTATTGGGAATTGATAACTCATTTCATACGGGCTTTGTCTGCTTCTTTATTACCTATCTTATGCTTGACTTGACTTTAGGGTCTATTTATTACAGAGAACGTATTACACTCATGACAGGATGGGTCCACCATATGTTCTATATGGCCCTTTTGTCTTATTTCTTGCGTCTTCAGGTCTCATCTCTATTTACAGTCAGTTCTATTTTAGAACTACCAACACTGATTTTAGCTATTGGATCCATAGTGCATGAATGGCGATCGGACCTTTTGTTTGGATCAAGCTTTTTTCTCCTGCGTTTGGTGGCACATGCCTGGATGACAGTCAATCTCAAAAGGCATCATCGTATTGAATTCATGTGGATTGTGGCTCTTATTATTTATCCACTTCATATCTATTGGTTTTATGGTAAGTCCCCTTTTTTCTGTCTACATTGTTCATTCATTCAACTTCCCAATAGGCATAATTCAAATACAAATAAGAAAGTTGACTGCCTATCGAAAGATGCAGCGACTTGCTCATAAAACCAAATATTTCATCTAAACTTTTTGAATAAAAACCATCACATATAAAAGGCAACAAAGTAGATTGTTTATTTTGAGAAAACATCTAGTTCTTGTTGGAGATGATACCATCGAAACGGTTCTTGAACCATTCTTGGGATTCTTCCTTCTTGATACGGTGGTTAATACCAACCTTGGACTTGCAGTGCTTTCTGCGGGAGACACGGTTACCAGGACGACCCATGACAACGTAGTAGTCCATACCGTAGATACCAATGGAAGGATCGTACTTGATACCCAAATCAATGTGTTCGTCAATACCGAAACCAAAGTTACCAGTTTCAGAGAAGTTACGGGCCTTGAGTTCGTATTCCTTGACCTTCAAACCACGTTCGAGGATTTCTTCAGCCTTAGGACCACGGACAGTAACGTGAACAGAGATCTTTTCGTTACGACGAATGGAGAAAGTACGGACAGTGTAACGGGCCTTGGAGTAGACGGGAGTTTGACCAGTCAATTGTTCAAGAACCTTGGCGGCACGAGTCAATCTATCACCAGATTCACCAACACAAATGTTGAGAACCAACTTTTCGATTTGGAGGTTTCTCATGGGGTTGACAGCAGTCTTTTGTTCAGCACTCTAGAGAAGATAGGTTAGTATATCATACACAAAGGCACACACAAGAGAGAAAGAGAAGAAAAAATGCAAGTATTCATTGAGTCGATATGATGATAAAGCGTGTTGTATATATGACATGTTGAACTAGGCTGCTTTTTTTTAAGTGCTGAATGCAAAGAGATCGATCCATTCTATAATTCTGTTCGATGAGTTGTGTGCCTGAGTCATTTGATTTTCAACCTCTGTTTGTCCATCCATCCATCCATCCATCCATTTAAAATTGATACGTCCAGATGCTATTCCCTTCCTAACTCTCTCTCTCCCTCATTGTATATCTAAGCTTACCATCTTTGTTGATTATAGGCCCACGAGGATGGAAAGAAGGATTGACAGTTTGGGCGATATGGGATGTGAGGTTAGTCCTCACATTCAAGGGTAAAAAAAAAATTAAATAGCCGACATATTTTTTATTTTTTTGTATGCTGATGCTCTATGGTATGAACAGCAAAAGAAGCCATATCTTGAGCAGAAGTGGCATCGGTGGATATAACAAGAATACGAGGATCTCTTTTGGTTTCGTCTAAAATATGCTGATTCCATTTAAGGAATTGAGGCCAAACAAGTTGGTCAAAATAGCCTGGTGGATCAACCCAATAGCCTTCTAATGTGACATATCCCGGTCGACTCTCTCTTCTCTGCTTCAAAACTTGCCTTGAAGCATTACAAAAGAACATTGTGTCTAGATTGGCACAGACCTTTTCGTCATAAAATAGTAAGAAGCCTTCTACAATAATGAATACAATGTCTTTAAGAGCATCTAGAGAATCGAAAAGATGGGCAAAATCTTGCTTTGACAATAGATCAGATCCATGATGGTTGTTTTGTAAGAGTTTGTGGGGCTCAGCCAAAAGACTAAGTGGATCTGATCTTGCTCTGTTGATAGCTTTATTAAGACTGTCAAAATCAAGAGCTTCAGGTGATTCCCAGTTAGCCAAACCTGTAGTTTCATCTTTTGGTATTTGGCTATCAGGCTGTCATGGTATTATTAATCACTAGGCGACATGGGTTGAAATAGTTACTTTATAAAACTCATCTAGGTTGATAGTGATGACATTTTCTAACAGTTTCTTTAAAAGTAAAGCTAAAGTCTAACAAAGAAAACAGTAAGAGAGAAAGTTGTTTGGAAAGAAACCCTGCTTACTGTTTTGCCTGAGCAAGAAGGCCCACTAAGTAATACGACGTGTCAATCCAAGTCATAGCCTATTTCGCTTACCTTATGCCAATAGTAACTACTTGAGGCTTTTCCATAGAAAAAAAAAGGAAAAGAAAATAAAAAGGAATTTGAAAACACAACAATGGATTTGTCATGCATAATTAAGCATGGAGGTAAATGATAGAGATCCCTGCATAAATTGAAATTGTAAATCTTGGATCAAAACAACAAGATAAAGTAAAAAAGTGCTTTCAAACTTACTTTGTTTATTGTAGGCATTTACAACGTTTAGTATCTCTTTAGTGAATAAAAAAGAGGGCTTAACTCTTGAATTTACTTATGAATAGCAATCATTTGTATAGAATGGAAGGTAGAGTTAAGAATAATCTATACAATATGGAAGTTCTTCAAGCAAGTTACTTTACAATGCTTATTTATATGAATGATGATTTACATGGTATAAAAGTAAATTTGATTATATTGATAAATATTTATACGAATTATAATCTGTCACAACCAGAACGGGCAACAATTTCCTTGGGACATGTCACTTGTCTGAAAGTCATAGTTGGGTTATCAGCACCCTTGAACCAGCCAAATCTCCATTTACAGCCAGATTGAAGAGCAGCAGGAAGTTGAGAACATTGTTCAACAGTGTCAACACCACCGTATCTCTTACCCCAACCATCAGCAGGAGCACCCCATTGAGCACTACAAGCATTGTATAAGCCTACACCACCGCCTGGAATGTTAAGGTCGAAAGAGTTGGGTCCTCCGTCAGAACCAGTGTTGGTAATCTGGACAACCATTTTTTTACCCTTGACAGCAGTGGAAGTGAAGGTAAGTTCCATACAGGCACAACACCAGCCATTTTCAGTAGATTTGGCAAGAGTAGCAGCGGCAAAACCATAAGCCAAGTTGTCATTGACAACCCAAGGTTGGTAGTTGTTACAAGTGTAACCAGCTTCATGTAATTAATTTAATATAGTTTTTTTTAATGAAGGCAAAACTTACGTCCATCAGCGCCGAGATCGCCACCACCACCACAAGCACTCTGAGTGTTGGCATCCAAGATTTTGACACCATTTTTGGCACACACATCCACGGGAGATGTCACCTTAGCCTTACCGTTCCAACTACAGGATGGCTTACAACAATCCCAATAACGAGTAATGGTACTGCTACCACTGACACCACCCTTGATCACTGAATAGCCACTAGTAGCAGCTTCAGCAGCAGAATTGATCAAAGCAAGAGTAGTAAGAGAGGCAATGGCAACTGAGAACTTCATTGTTGGTATTGTTTTAAGATGAAGAAAAAAAGAAAGAAGAAGCTTTTCTTATTTATATCTAAATAGATTAGTTAGAGTAGGAGCTAAAACTTCAAGTAATAATGGTACAAACATTAATGATGTGCATTGTATTTAAGAAATAAAATTATAGTGGTTTCTCTTTTTTACTGTTACACTAGATCTTGCATTAATTATGGAGGCAGATGAAACCTGCAGAGCGTAACAAGACTGAGACATTTATATTTTTGCATAGATAAAGTACTATCATTACAAGGAAATGGATTCCTCTTTCTCTCTCTTGCGATTCTTTGCAAAAAAAGAAAGAAAGAATACACATTAGGTCTCAATGTATCGGAGTGTCTACTTCAAATAGCGTTAATAAAGACAAATTTATTTTACGTTTCCCATTCACAGAAAGCTCCCCTCACGTCACCTGCATGAATTTTGGGCTGTCTTTTTTTTTTTTTTTTTTACGTTCCAGCTCAGTCTGCTTCTTTTTCTTTTTTATCCTTTTGTATCACATCAGCTTTTCTATGACAAACGATAGTCAACTTGCTTATTTGTTAAACTTGGGGTTTGAAATAGAACTATGTCAACAAGCACTTGAAGAAAACGCAACGCTTGAAGACGCCACAGAGTGGCAAGTATTTTATCTTTACTTGACGGCTACTAAGTTTTCATGAAAAGGATCTTAAACCCGAGTCGTCCACCTACTCTTATAAGACAAGAACTAACTTCTTCAAGGCCTGTGTCTTCTTCAAGCGAGTTATCAAAGCTAGAATGGACAGATAAGGTAGTTTTTTTTTTTTTTTTCACGAAATATATCCTCAACTTAGTTTAAGCAGGGTGTCACGGATCGAGATATCAGACAGACCCAAAGAAAAGAATTCAATAAAATAGCTAGTGAACTGAAGAAAGAACGACAGCTTGAACGAGAAGCAAGGCAAAGGGCATTGAGAGAAATTCAGGAAGACAAAGAGCAAAGAAAGCAAAGAACTCATAAACATGCTACAAACAAGATAGAGACAAAGCCAACCCAAGTTGCTAGCAACAGCAGCAGCAGCAGCAGTAATGAACAGCAAGCATTCATTCAAGTATGTTAGCTATTTATCATCAGACAAGTATAACAGAAAACATAGTTGAAATTGACAGATTCATCCACGATACGCCAAACGTTTCCTGCCCAAACAACCATTAAAGAGCTCGTTGATTTTGTGTCCAAGAAAGAGTCTAATCTGAATCAAAATAATGTAACACCAAGCTTGATTTCTCTTGTCAATGTAAGTCAAGTAGTTAAGAAGATAAGGGTTCTTTAACTGATTAAAATTTAGGTCTTCCCAAGAAGAACGTATACCAATGAAGATGGTTCGCTTAGCCTCAGAGATGCAGGATTCTTGCCTAATGTATCATTAAATGTACATATTTCGAAACATGTTGTGGATCCAGAATCCGAGGATATAACCGCGGAAGGGGACACGGATAATCAAAGCCTGAATGAATCAATACAAGGCAATGACTCAAATAGCGACATGGTAAAACAAAAGGATAAAGTTTTTGTTTGATTCACTGTTATTGTAGGATCCAATGGAAGTGGACGATACTGCTGCAATGGATCCCCATCGCCCACCTGCAAACAATGCCAGTCGTAATTGGGCAAGACGCGGTATTGGGCATCGATTAATAGATCCACCTTTTGAAGCAGAAACCCCAAGTAAGCAGACTGTTCTTATATCTTTAAGCTTATGATAGAATAGCCATCACCACTGGTCAAAATACCGACCAAGGAAGTATAAGTCGACGCTCGCATTTATTATCTGCTATTGAACAGCGTGCCTCTGTTAATAACACTATGAACCGCGAAATTGAGCAACAACGAGGCGGCCTAGAACGGCATTCAAAGGAGTTGCGTGATATTTGCACAAATAATGTATCAGGTACAGAAAAAAAGTTAAAAATAGGTAACAGTACTAACTTATTGGTTTAGTGTTGCTGTCACAACACTCGACTGCCTCTAATCGATACTTGAAAAACCTTTCTGATGTTTCTTCTGATGTAGCAGAGAGATTAGTCAAGAATTTAAAAGAGAAAGGAAAACTAAATGCTTCAACACTAAGAAAATTAACAGACCATTGGCAAGTAGTATTCAAAAGTATTGAATTAGTGTTCATAGTCTAATTTTAGTTATTTGCAAAATGTCTTGTTGGATTCATATACTTATTGTACAGATTCTTTGGTTGAAGACTTGTCCAAATCAAACTCTTCTATATCCATCACCAAAGTCAGCCTTCGAGGATGCGATGTGATTACGGATAATGGCATTCGCTCTTTAATAGGTTTGTCTGTCCTCTTGCTATTCATTACTCACCTTGCAACTATTATTCAGGGCTAAAGAACTTGGACTATCTGGACTTGAACAACTGCAAAATAACAGACAAAGGATTGAAGTCGCTTGAGCGTAAGCCTACTCTCTTATTTCGTGTTAATTGAATCATTGAATAGAACTGCATTACCTTGGCTATTTGAATTTATCGAAAACAAAGATTACAGACAGAGGTATCGCTTCTATGATATCAAATTCAAAATTCAAGGAACATCTTCAAGTTCTACTTTTGGATGGTTGTAGCAATATCAAGTCTTCAAACACGCTAGTGCCTGTTGTGAATGGTAAAGGGACAGACCTTTCGACATCGTTACTGACAATATCTGAAATAAGAATTTCCAAACTTGCTTCAGTTATCTTTGGCAAACACTTTAATTGGCCAGCAAGAAACATCAGTTAAACTGAGAAAGAACGTCATGTTGGAGCATTTAGATGTGAGCCATACCGGCATAGATGATCAAGTTTTGATCCAAATCATTAGTCAGTTTAAGCAACTTTCAGCTTTGAAGCTTTCTGCTTGCCTTGAGTTGTCTACAAGAGCATTGTCATTTCTTCCAAGAGGTTAGATTTGCTTTGAGAATGATTTTATAGAAAAAGAAGCTAATATTTGATAGAATTGAAACGCTTAAAGCAGGTTCAGTTTCCTAACCGAAAGCATGAGCTTGATGGAGTTCTAGCAAGATATAGAGGTAACCTCCAATGGATTATTCTCAGTTGTACTCATTTTCATGACACCAGATCTGCCGTTAGAATACCTTGATTTAGGCTCTTTTGATATCACAGATGAGGGGGCTCAGCATATTGCTTGCATGAAACATCTACGCTTCTTGAGCTTAGAAGGGACAAAAGTAACAAATCAAGGAACCAGCTTATTTAAAAGTAAAACAAGACAGTGTGTCTCTTTACTGACAACTATTTAGATTTGGTTGAACTTGAAAAGCTCCATTTAGATAGAACAGTCATCACGGATGAAGGGGTTGCAAGCTTAGGAGGTTATAAATAATGGGGCACCGGAGTTCTGTATAATTGACATTTTACGTAGGAGTTTCTAAGTTAGATACGTTGTCACTTTGTCATACTGGTGTAAGTAACGCTACGCTAAAGTTGTTTGGGGATTATGAGAAGACGGCTTTTACTCGGTGCTTGAGAAGTTTGAATCTTGCCCAATGTATTCTCATTACAGATAAAGGCATTCGTCATTTGAGAGGTAGAGTAAAAATACTTAAAGTCACATATTCATCAATATAGGGATGGTCAACCTTACTAACCTAAATCTGGACCATACAAGCGTGACCAAGAGTTGCCTTAAATATCTAAAAGGTAATTCATAAACACCTCAAATTTCCAGTCAATTTATTTGTGACTTGCTTCTAGATTTAAAGCACTTGAAGCCTGTAAGATTGTTAGGCATTGAAAAGGAAGAGGAAGAAGATACAGATTAGAATATGGACTAAATTGTATGTGAAGCAATCAATATTGTGTGACAAACTTTCCAAATGAGAGAAAAGATTCCAATGTAATGTACTTTTCAGTTTCTTCTCTCAAATAAATAAAAATAAATAAAAAATAAAAACGACTTGGAGTCTGTCAATGTCAGACTCTTCCTTTAAACTACTAGGTTCTATTAAAATAGTTCAAGAAGTTTCGAGATCGCCGGCACGGCCAACACCTGTCAAGATCACGACTTTAGTTCAACAACCTCATACAATAACAAGTTGGAAAACAAGAAAAAAAAGATATCAACATGAAAAAAAGACTTCGTATTATCCTGTCAAAAACATATGCCAAACGAAGCAGAATTTATTGAAGAAAAATAGAATTGAAAAGAGCAGATCACATAAGTCACTCTGTTTATGGCCTGTACCAAAAGTAATGCGATGCATCATTGTTTTTTCAGCAATTGTATCCTTGTTGAATTTTTTTGGCATTGTTCAGTTTACATGTTCTTCGCCAATTTCTGTAATCTATAAACATGAAATTTTGAACTTGTTCATGGCACCTTTTTTTTGCACAATATCCCTAACAGACATATTTATGTTCAGTTGGAATTTGCTTGCTTTTGGTCTATATGAATGGATTCTTTGCTCCGGTATTTATAGGCATTTTTTTGTCTACTTCTATTGTCCATCAAGGCCTGGGTTATTTGTTTTCGAGAGGCACTGGATGGGCTATACCCCGTCTATTCTTTCATGGTTTGCTACATGAATGCAGTCAAGGTTTGTAACTTTCTCTAAAACGTTTCTCAAGAAATTCACGGATGGCTGTTAGGTCTATCTCCTTTTTTGTTTTCATTCCTTATTATTCAATCAATGGATATCCAAGACAACTACACCTTGACGTATGGTAACCATAAAAAGTTTAAGGTTCGCAAAATCATAGTACAAGCCATCATATGCTTTTTGAATTATGCTACCAAAAATATACTATGGTAGTCCTTAACTGGTTTGCTTACAGGCCTTATTATGACATTTCTTATTCAATTATGGTTGCTGAAAGACAAACATTGCGATAACCAACAAACTGAATACCTTTGGAAAGCATTCAGGAGTTACCTTGGTGTTATTTTTTGTATCTTACCAACATTGTTGACTTGTAATATGCTTTATTCTCGAGAAAGATTTGTGGGATTAGAAGCATTAGACCAACTTTCCAATGATCCACCTTTTCTGACACGTACGCTTGATTCTTATCTAAAAAACTGGTCTACATCAAAAAAGCGTCTATACAAACGCATACAAGCTTTAGTTTATACGCATTTTACTGAACATACTGAATTTGATCGAGCTAAAGACATGTTTGAATCAAGACAGTATCTAAAATGGGTTCGTGAAGAAGGTCATACTTTGGATCAGTGAACACATATCTCAAAAACACTTGATCTAGCAGTAAAGGACTCAAGTACGTATATAGTACTTGTAGAAGGTGATTTTCCCCTTTGTGGGTCCAAAGCATGGCATGAAGTTCTGAATGTAATTTATTCAGCATCCATCAAATCGCCTAATCATTGTGGCGTATTCGTTGGTACTGGCGGAAGGTAAACCAATAGAAAATGTATATACTTAGCTTATTGTATTATTTAGTGGTTTATTTATGAAGCCAGATATTACAAAGCTAGTATCAAAATTATTATACAAATACTTGGACTTACCGCCTGATATTGTTATCCAACAATGTCTTTTGGGAAAGTTGCCTGAATGCAGACAATGCTCTCAGACATTGGTGATCAGTAAAATACTACTAATGTATCACATTGGATATGATACCTCAACAAGCTTAGACAAATCTTATGGAAAAGACGAGCTTCAATGTGGCTGGAGACATACATCTGTAAGACTTATTTCAAATCATGCGTCTATTCATGCTTACTCACTCTTTTCATTTTGTCAGAACGGTTACATACAGGATTATTATAGAACAATGGTATAGGGATTACACTTTATCTTAAATTTTATGCTTATGGGCATCAACTATAACAATACATTGATAAATCAAGTTGTACAAAAAGGTTGGTTTAGTAGATTAGCCTATTGTTAGAGGAAAGACTACCCCGATTGAGTTACATAAAGCATTGTGTACAAGGGCCAGGCGACTACCAGTACCAGGATTGATTCTTTGTAATCAATTACTATCACTTGATTAATAAATTGTATTGTCCTTTGATTTGAAATAGTTGAACTGTTTACTTTGAAATGTGTCTTGATCTTTGGGGCTATCTCCAAAATGAACAAGATCAGAAAATAGTACTCTCTTCTCCTTCTTTTTCTTTCTCGTCAATAGTATCGATCATTGTTACAACAATACTCCCTTTAGGGAAATGACTACTCTAACAGGCACTCCCCACTTTGACCTGCCAAAGCTTTGTGTAATATGCATACAAGATTTACCAATAACAAATACAGTTATCATGTTGGTTCATTTCTCGATCCGCTTTCAATAGTTATACTTTAGCAACAGGGCTTACCTTAAAGTAGCTTTAGCTTCTAGATTTTGCTATCGAGATTTGTTCTTTTTTTTATTAATAAATCAACTATCATGATGTCTTGGATATATGTAGTACAGCTACTTTAACTTTTTCAGACTGGTTACGATTGCAATGTAGATTATTGATATCAAATTGACGTTTTTCTTTTCCTTGTTGACTTTCATTCATCAACTTTGTATGTTTTTTTTTATTGGAAAAGAAAATTATTGGTATGCCAAAAAGAAAAAAAAAAAACTCAATGGGCAAAAAATAAATAAATAAGATTGGAAAGCACAATAGGTAACCTTGACCATTTTAGGGTTTCTTTTCCAAATAATCAGGCCATTTTCTTACACTTTACAATTAGGATATTTTCTCTGAGATTGAATTTAAATAGAACGAGATTGACGAGTCAGTGAGTGAGAAGGGAGGTTCTTTCTTTTGTGTTTTATCTTTTTTTTTTTTCCTTTCTCTTTTTTACTATTTTCTTTAAAAAAGATGGAAGCATTTGCCCCAATCCCAGTAGATTTATTTGCTGACTCAAATGCAATACTGGACGAAGATCAATCTAATTACTTCTCGCTTTCTCAATTCGACTTGGAACTACAGCAACAAGCACAAGCTGCACTTCTTCAGCAAGATTCTTGGCAAGATTTCGATAAGTACTTGCCTATGGATAACCAATTATTCAACACAAACAACAACTTGAGAAACCAAGAAGCTCAGCCTATTTTTATGAACAACACCAATTCAAATTTCAACAGCGACCCTACATTATTGTATGAGCCCTTGGCTGATTTATTACCACAACAACAATTCAAGCCTATTTTTGATGCAAATGCAACAAACCTTGATAATAATAATAATGTGAACATTAAACAAGAATATGCCAGTCCAGAATCACTGCCTTATTCTCCTCCACAGAGTATGCAGCCAAATCCTTCTTTATCTCCAGCTACAAATCAACAACAAAATGATGTTCCATTGTTTCAACCAACAACTGAAAGAAAATCTCCAAAGAGTGCGCCAGTAGTAACAACTACCACACCTGCTCTTGATTTTACAAATTGGAATTCACCTCCTTTTGATTCAACACAAGGTAAACAAAAACAGAAAAAGTTTTTATTATGAAACATATCTAACCAATCAAATTTTATAATTTCTATTTAGCCAAAGTTCCTATTCAGAGACTCAAAACCAATAGTATAATCAATAATGCAGTCAACGCAGCCTTGAATAATTCAACACCACCTGCAGGTCGCCAACACAAAAAGACGGCACATAATGCCATCGAACGTCGTTATCGAAACAATATCAATGACCGCATTGCTGAGCTCAAGAACGCCGTACCAGCACTGCTGTATGCCAAAGTCAAGGACAGTCGTACAGGCAAACGTGCTCACCGCGGCGACGATGATGATGACGAAGGCGAAGACGGTGAAGAGTTTCTCGATGGCGTTGCTGTGGCGACCAAGCTTAACAAGGCAACCATCTTGAGAAAGGCCACTGAATATATCAATCACTTGAAAAAGACAGGCGAAGACATTCGTCGTGAGAATCAAACCCTGCAGCACATCCTAAGCCAACTTCCCGGCGGTCACGATGTATTGCAACGCTATCATATGCAAAAGCAACAACGCGAAAAAGAACTCCATCAGCAACAGCTATTAGAACGTCAAATGCAAAAGCAACAAGACCAGCAACGTAAACTGGCCAACAGGAAACGTGCTCGTCATCATCCCTCACACGAGCACTCTGATGAGTACGAATCTTCTTCCAGTTCTCCTGGTTCGCTTGATCCGGTCACCCCACCTGCCATGGCCAATCGGGTATTCATGGCCCTGTTTATGTGTATCACCTTCTTTTCAACGTCACCTTTAACTACAGGACCTTCTTCTGAAAAGTACCAAGCACACCATCATGTCTCCAGAACAGCCCCTGTTCCTGGTAGCGACACAGCTACTCAAGATATGAACAGCCCAAGTGCTGCTCCTGTAGCTTTTCTTGACTCTTTGTTTAACATGAATGACACATGGTACGTAATTTCCAATTCATAATTGAAACTAATTTTAAATCAACAGGTCAACTATTCGTACAATTATTTTTGTTGTTTGCATCTTCCAACTCTTCTTGCCTTATATCAAATCCATAGCTTTTGGTCCATCTCTCAAGCTGAAGCGCGTCCAAAGAGCAAGACGTTCAATCTCCTCTTCATCTCAAAAAGAAATCCTAAACAATGTGGTTACACCAGGTGATCTAAAAAACAGACAGATGTATACTATTCTCGAAAAATCCATCAAAAGTCATCCAGACGACTACCTTCCTTCTGCTTCCTTTGGCCTTTACTTTTCTCTCTTTAAAGAATGTGCTCGCATTTTTTCTCGCCATGTTCTCGGTTACGAAATTATGTACGGCGACCAAGATGACATTGCACCAGAAGAAGAATGGGGCAAGGTCTGTAAATGGATCAAGTTGAATGAAACTAGATGCGTCGGTGGTGATCCTTATGCATCTCGGTTGTCTATGCTTTATTCCTGCTTCCGCATGCTTAATTTAGTGGATGTGCTTGATGAAGATGTTCATGACCACGTCATTGAAATTCATACCCGTGCTTACGCTACTGCTGCTATGCAACTACTCTTGGTTCTTCCTCGATGTTCTATTACTGATAAAATATCCAATTATTTCTGGCAGCATGCAGCAAGCAACAGTAAGCATGGTCATAATGAAAATGATGAAACAGAAGAAGAAAGCAGCCTTTGGATGCAGTCACTTGCCTGGACAGACTCTGAACAAGACTATGATTCTATTCATGATATGCCCCTCTCTCGTGCTTGGTTTGAAGCTATGGAAATCCTTCAAACTCAAAACTCTTTGGATGTAAGCTCAAAAGGTCACCCACATCTGGGCATCTCATACACTGCTCCTGTTGTTGCCCCTATTGCCATTTTATCAACACTCCATTTATTAGACAATTTGCGTATCCAATTTGATCGTCTTGTTAGTACTATGGGATCTGGAGGTGAAGGCAGAAATCTTGATCATGGTTCAGAGTTGGCTTTTATCGATATCATATTATTGACTAAATCCAACTCGCTTGAACAGGAAGACAGTACTGATCAGCAAAGGTTGGCTCACTGGTTAGCAGCTGTTGGTGCTATTACCGAAGGCTTATGGAAGAACAAACTTGAACAGGCTGAAAAATGGTTGCCTACACTCATTCAGAGAGTACCTCGCTCCATGTCATGTAAAGCCAATACAGTTCCTCAGAAGGCTGCTTCAAGTCAACTGGATGAACTGATTAAAAAGACGATGATTCATGTTCTTGTTGGTGCTACTTTACTTAAGAGCTCAGATGTCGAGAAACAAAAGCAAGGTCTAGTTGAGCTTGAGAATGCTGAAGTGCTTCGTACAGCTATCCGTAAGCTCCAAAACAAGCTACGCCCTCTTCATGAAAATGGCGAAGTTAGCCTTGAATTTACTGTGATTGCTCTAGCTGAATTTGCCGTTTGCTTTATTGGTCTTGAATCTTGGATTAATGCGCTTAAATTAGAAGTTTCTCCTGAAAAAGAAATCTTAATTGATGAAGAAGTGCGTCAAACTACTTTGAATTTGCGTCGTATGATGCGTTATCTTTCCTCTCAAGTATTGACTGAAAGCCAGGCGATAGTTGATCGATTAAGTCGTCTTGGACGGTTTATTGCTCATCATCCTGGAGATGCTGATTCTGCCTGTGAATTATCCGATCAAGAAGAAGATGAAGAAACAAGGAGAGAAGAGGAAGAGGGTCAAGTTTCCCAAGAAAATACGAATAATCATAAAGCTTTAACCAGGAGAGCTGATAGAGCTCAGTCTATTCTTCGCGGTTTAGCATAAAAAAGATATCATTACACATTCATTATTAACATTTCATTTAAACACATACACTTCATATAAATATTTGCTTGCTTTTTTTTTTATTATATTATTAATTGCTCTCCTTTTTCAATGAAATGTTAAAGTTTGTATTTCGAATGACTTCACCAAAATGCAACAAACTCAGTAACTTTTGACCAATGAATTGGTATCCTGAAAAGTTGCCTTTTGAAAGACGCTGAATATCAACACTAAACAGCCCCGACAAATTCTCAAAGCGGCAGATTTCTACAGAAAACCGAATTTCATCTCCTGTGTCAATGCTTGGATGACCATAAACGGGCTGAACCATCACGGAAGCAGTGTCATTACAGTTGGTTGATAAATGGTCCATGGTGTCTTTCATCTCACTTTGTTGTGGCTCAGCACGTCGAGTACAATGCAGCTTGTATCCACCAACATTTTCAACTTCAATGCCAAGGATCAGCAAAACCTTAGTAATTTCTAGCAAAACGTCCATAGGAGGTTTTGATGTAAGCACAGAACGATTCATGGCTCCTTTATGAACACGTAGCTCGGATTCAATAGAGAGATTGTCAATATTTTGTTGCTTTTCCTTATGCAAGCGGCCTTTGCGTTGCAATGATAAGCTCGTAGGCGTACGTTTAACTTGAGCGGATGTTGAGCGCATTGGTCTAGCTATAGGTATAGTGGATTCTTCTTCAGGTATCATGGCTATCTTTGCAGAAGAGGAGTGACTACTCTTACTGCTGTTGTTGCTGCTATTTGTAGTACGGGAATCTAAACATAATACATGAGTCTTGCTTTATAGACCAAAATAAACTTACTTTTTGTTTGTGGCTTTGATTTTTTTAACCAAGAGATTAATCTCTCACTTTTTGAATGCTCCACCAATATAGGTGATGCAGGTGGGGTTATTGGAGGCAAGGCTTCTTTAGTAGTGCTACGGTGCACCATCATTTGCCAAGAGTGTCTCGTTTTATTTACTGGTTTGTCCTTAAGAGGAGGCGTTGATGTTGTTTTTATAGGAGCATTATTTGTACCAACTGAACGTCGCTTCATACTTGAGAACAATTTAGCTCGCAAAGATAGATTGGGTTGCTGTAGCTGTTGCTTCTCTTCATCTTGTTCTGGAGGTATAATAACGTTTGTTACAACAGCATCAATGGCGTTACTTTCGCTCGTTGTTTTTGTTGCACTTAAAGGTGGTATTGTTTTGTTTGCTTTAGTGTCTTGAACTGGAATATTTGTTAATTGATCTTTGCCTTCATTGTCTGATAAAATAAGCTCTTGTTCTGGACCTTGTGCAGCTTTAACATTGTCGGATGGCATTACCTCCTGATCGTCATCATTGTCGTTTCCAACAATCATAGTAGGTTCATGGTGTTCTTGCTCTTCAATTACATGGTCTTCATTTTGTGTGAAGGAAAGAGGATAAGAATAAGATGACGATACGCTAGAACAGGACTCATTATCGCAATCTGATTGTGTTTGATTTTCTGAAATACTCAAATGAGTGGTTGATTCAATTCCCTTGAGCAGTGAGAGTTTTCTTATAGTTGCTTCTTGTTCAAATGTTTCCACTGACTCTGCAATATCGCTTTGGTATTTCTGCAACCATACATGATTCATGATTGTTTTTATATCACATCTTTCGTTGGGAATAGGAACGAGCATCTTCCCAATGATATCTTTAGCATCGTCAGACAAGTGTGGAGGATATTTAGGTTTGTGCGACATGATATAACGATAAAGACGCCCAATATTATTGCTATTAGGATTCTTCACATCATCGTCGAAAGGCAAATAGCCACAAAGCATAGCATAAAGGATGATACCGCAAGACCAAATATCAACACCTGTGCCAGCATAGAGTCTTCCTGTCATGACAAGTTCAGGAGCTGCATATACAGGAGATCCACACGAGGTAGACATCCAATCGCCTGTTTTAGGTGTGAATTGGTTTGCAAAGCCAAAATCAGTGACAATGATATTGTGTTGACGATCCAAGAGTATGTTTTCCTAAAAGATATAAGTAGGCGTCATAAATATTCGTGTTGCTCACTAGTTTTAAATCACGGTGTACGATATTCTTTTGATGCATATAATAAACACTGCTTATCAATTGAGAAAAGATACGTCGTGCTTCATTTTCTTTCAGGTAACGTTGCCGATAAATGTATTCAAATAGTTCACCACCTTAAAACAAGTTGTAAAAATTAAGTTTGAATAAATCATAAACTATTTTACCTTCCGCATATTCTAACACCATACCAATACTAGTATTAGTTTCATTGACACTCAATAGCTTAACAATATATGGGTGATTTAAAGTCTATATGAAAAGCATATGGTGTTTATTTGTTTTTTTTTCTTTAGAGTTCTCTCCTACCTTTAAAATATCAATTTCCATTCTGATTTTGTCGAGTTGCGAAGAAGAATCAATATTCTCTTTTTTGACCAATTTGACAGCTACCTATGAACCATGTTAATTAATCGTACATTGATTATTTCTTACTTGCCATTTGTCCGGTTTCGATATGCTTTCCTAACTTGACTTTGCCAAATTCACCAACACCCAATGTCTTTAGAAGTAAAAATGGTCCTAGTCTGGATATCTTTTTGGGCTCATAGTTTTTTGAGTAAGTATGTATTTCTTCAGCAGAGACAATGGTATCTTGATGCGTATTGCTGCTTTTGATTTCGTCTTCTTCCTCTTCCTCCTCTTCGCTCGTTCTTGTTTGAATTAAAATCCTGCTGTTGTCGTCTTTTTCTTTTGGGGATGATGGATCCTGTAATAAATTTAATATTCCTTCATCTTTGTGAGGATGAAATAAAGCAGCAGTTGTCATAAGGGATAGTAGTAAAATAGTAAAAATAATATAAGAAAAAAGAAGAAAAGAGAAAAAGAGAGGGAAACAACAGATTAATTTATAAGTGGCAAATTTAATTACGCCTCCTTTGTTGTTTTGTTTTTGATACTATGATGTCTGCTCAAACTACATAGCTAGAAAAGGGCGGGAGAAAGGTAATACAACCATAACAATCGACCAAATTTAGCAATGTGTATTAACACAAGTTGAAACGTATAAAGCTGTAGCACAATGACTCTAAATCCTTTGCGTTTTCATGACAATCGCAATGACAAATGTAGCCTCTCGTCATTAAGTCTCCAAATTACTTAGTAATCAGCTAACTAAGCTGGTTGTTATAAAAAAAAAAGTCTCGGAAGCAAGGTATATTAAGTATTACAACATGCTTATTTGGAAGGTTTTTCTTGTTTACACTGCCATGCAGAAAGATATTTGACTTCAACACTTTCAGCCAATTCTTTCATAGAGCTCTTTTTTTCTTATTCTAAAACATTTATTAGCTGAAAATCGGGTACTGTATAGTCTAATTGCTGAGCAATGGCTCATTAAAAACGAGGTGTAATTGAGACTAAAGTCCTCTTTTGAAGCTTTTGATCCTTGTTTCTATAGTGAATAAACTGATATTTTTGTAATTTCTGAATCAGTTGTATCTTTAGTGCAAGTTTTGCTAAGCATCCAACCACAGTCTCTTTAGCTCTGTGTGTCCTAATTAGCATCAAATCATTTTCATGCACACATATAAAATGACTATTGTTCGAGATCGAAAACGACAAAGATGAAAGCAGTTCGATTTTCTTGTGGGACATCAAAAATCAAGTTCTTTGTTTAAAACTGCATAAAGAAGCACTTATTCAGCTTGGATACAGTGACAAAAGCTGTAGGTCGTTGCTTTCTGAGCCTAATGGTATAAAGAGAACAGTAACTTTGCTGTTAAAGACTTAAGCAAATATGCGAAAATGTTTACGAGGTTTTTCGCTCATATCCCATCATTTTCATAGGATAATTGATAATCAAATATTTTGATCAAAAATTACAGTCTTTGACACGCATTTTAAGTACTTAAGCTTAAAGATAGCTCTATTTTTGGTCTTATAGAGTCCAAAAGAAGATCAGAAGTTTTCAATTTTTTTGTGTTTTATTTATTGCTCCATATATTGTCAAGAGGTGGGCGCAAATAAAGAAAACAATTGAAGTAGAAATAGAAGAGGTCAAGTATGGGCTAGATGATTTGGGTCATCTAGTTTATCATCTATCTATTAAAGTCTTGAGTTTATATGTTTCTCTGCTATTTGTAGCTGCAGATTAACACGAAAAAGTTATTGAACGAGCTTTTTTCATGACTAATACCCTTTGGTCGAAAGGCATATTTGGCCGTTTTTTACAAATCGCTTTTTTCGGTCCAGATCAACTCCAAATGTACCATGGATGTTAGTAAACACTGTTCGTAGGCGTTTATAGTGTTTATGTGGGTTTAAACAGCCTTTATATTACCCTTATGTAGTCTAAAAAAAGGAAGAAAATTTGTATGAATAGTAGTCTTTTTCTCTGTTGAAGTATTCATTAGCCTGGCGTCTATATTACATGGATATTTTATGTACCACCCAATGGCTCATCCAAGTATGACACCCTAGTAAAAAAAAAGACTCGTTCCTTTTTGAATCAAAGAAAGAGAATGTTTGCTCATGGAAATGTCAAAGTGCTGGGTAACTTTATGTTGACTTTTTGATGCATGGTGTATGAAAGGCGACCTTCAGTATATTCAGTAAATGCGGTTCACAGTACTATTAATTCACAACTTTTGTTTAATTATAAACTTTTTTTTTTTTTTTGCTACAATCAATGTACATAAAGCTTAAAAAGTATAGTGACATTTGCATAATTGAATGATATGTTATCTTGAGAAAAACTTGATCAATATGTATTCATATACCTAACTGAGATATACATTACAAGTTTGCTATCACTACATAGTATCAGTATCTGTCAATATGAAACTCTATCAAACTTACAGCCTCGTTTTCCCATTCTTCACCTTTACAGTCGCCCACATCAGAAACAGCATGAGGAAAAAGCATATGAGTTCTTCCATGGACAAGTGTTGCAAACACAATGATTGAAGAAACTACTAAGGAAAGTATGCGAGCCATGAGTACAAACAATACCAAACTAGATACCAATTCTCTTTTTATATGCGACTTCTAAAATGTGTACATGGAGACAAGCATTCCTTATAATGAATTAAAACACGCATATAACTGAGTGACATGCATTGATATAATTGTAGTAAACAACAAAGTATTTATTCTGACAAAAAACAAATAAACTGTGCCTCACAAACTCAAACCTTATCCTTTTTTTTTAAAAAAAAGAAGAGAATAAGTATCTTGGGTAAATCAAAACAGGTTATGGTTATCTCTGTTCGTCTAAAATATATAGACTGATAATTTTCCTATGTGTACAAAGGGGAAAGAAAGGAGGGTCTGTGATATGCAAATGCCATTGATAAGCAGCCTTTTATTCGGATGAACTAATATCCAAACTTTTATTACGTCTGTGTGCCTTATTGTTAATTAAAGTTTCTGATACAGTTGAAACATGACATTTGTAATACGCTTCCATCTATTGGTCTTTTGTCTTATTTCAATGATAGCCAAGGTATGTTTGATTCGATAAAGCACCGGCTAAACCCATTTTCATATAAACAAAACTGAGGTTCAACAGTGATTGTGTAACATTTCTTAAAAAAAGGTGGGGATTCTCTTTTTGTTCAATATGACTAACAATTTCGAGCGGGGATTGAGGCAGTCTTGAGAACAATTGGGCACGCTTGAACTGTATTCCGAATAAAAATAAAAAACTAGCTTGTGAATATTTAATATATTTTTTCAGAGCATAAAAACCAAAAAGAATTCACTAATATTGGTTTCAAAATGATAGTTGTCACCTCGTAAATGTAATAGACAACAAAAAGTATCAAATTAGCTATTATTGTTAGATAAATTAGTCCCTTTTTCTCCCCACATACACAAACGAAGCATTTTTTTTTATCAGACGATAATAATTTAGCAGAGTTGCACAGGCATCAAGTTGTTACTGTGGCCAACATCCACATGGAAAATGTTACTATATACTGTTTTAGGAATGTGATCAACGCTTTAATAAGTAAGAAGTTTGTTATAATAAGGAATGTTAGAAGCACTATAAGACGTGTATCCTGCAGCTTCTTGAACATAGGTACGTCATATGAAGCATGTATAAACAAAGAACTTGATATGTAGATAACTTATCTTACAATAAGCACAATACATCAACAGGCGCGTCTGTAGTATTTTATTAAAAGGTTCCGCTCATGGACCATTTTATCTTCCGAGTACACCTAAAGCCAAAACTTTTTTTTATATCGGCCATTCACGGAAACATCGGAACACCAAATTGAAAAGGCTGTTTTTTAGAGTGATTTTTTACTGAATCACAAACAAGTTATATACCTTGACTTTAGAGTTAAATTATTTGTAGAACAGTCTAGTTTACTTGTGTCAAAGAATTTTCTTGATTTAATTTACTGAAGACGCATTTTTTTCGAGTAAAGTTTTTTCATATTGTTACACACACGACCGTCATAGACTAAAGGCTTTTGTTGGAACTCAATTTGAATCATAATGGCCATCTTTGAATTTCCGATAGGCCTCTTCAAACTTTTTTTTTTCTTGGACTCGTATAAATATTTCCCCACTTTTTATCTTTTATTTTTTTTTATTTTTTATATAATCACACTTAGAGGCTAGCTCCTTACAAATTGACCACATTTTATTTTGTAACGTCAATTCATATACATATTTTTTGATTTTGCTATTTTATGACCTACACATACTCAGCGTGCAAGATTATTGACAATCACTGATCCAATAATTTTGTTCTTTATATATTATCGCAATGAGCCTCTCTCCAACCACTTTATTACTGCAAGATCTTATTAGCGCACCCAATAAGGCAGAATCCATTCTGGAAGGCCTTACAGCTGATCAAATTGCTATGATTGAAAATACCATTAGTCGAGTCAAGAGAAGAAAAATGGACAAACAACCCAAAGAAGAAAACTCCTCGGCAACTGTGATTGCTAATGCCTTGGCTGCTGCTATGGTTTCAGCTGCTTTGCAAGCATCTCATTCTACAACCAAGAACAATGCATCTGGAACAGTTGCTCCTTCAAAGACAGTCACTGCACCTGTCAATGCACCTGTCACATCAAACGAACCTATTGCAGAGATCAAAGATGGCATCGAATGGGTCTCTTTTGTCTACTCTCATAATCGTACACTCAAGCGTTATTCGATTAGGACAGATATCCAAACTGTAGCATTGGATGTCGTGGACGATAAATTTAAGGCCGATAATTGTGTAAGTGACCCAATTCGGTGGCTGAAAAAATTTTTTCTTCTTAAATGATCTAAACGTTCTGTTACAGGTATATCCTCGTGCTAACCTTCCAAAGGAAACCTACAAAGGCAACAGATGGTCTTATGAGACAGAGTGTAATGATTTGGGATGGAAGCTTGCATGGCTTAATCAGTCAGAAATTGCTGGTAAACGAGGTCTGATTCAACGCGCGGTAGATTCATACCGTAATCGTTATCCTAATATGAGATCAAGACGCGTTGCTCGTCAAGAAAAACTATTGAATGGCACACTTCGTAAACGAAAGAACAGAGATGATGAGGATGAGACATCCAATAGTACTTCTGTAGCACCCACACCAGTCACTGCTACATCCACTGTTCCTCAGCCTTTCCCTACGAGTCTGGAAGCTGCTATTGTCAAGCCTGCTCACCAGCCAAAGACAATTGCTATTGATGATCCTATCAACAACACACGCTATCGTATCAAGATTAACATTGAGGCAGTCTCCTTGGATGAAATTCCTGATGAGTTTCGCAAGCAAAACTGTGCATTCCCTAAAGCAGTAAGCGTTGACCCTGAGCACTATGTTGGTGGTCGTACAAGATGGTTGGAAGATTCGATGATAAATGAACTTGGTTGGAAGTTGGTAAGTGAACGAGAATAAGTGACTTAATGAACATGTTCTTACGTGTATTTTTATAGGCTTATTTAAATCCTCGAGTGCTGTCAGGAAAAAAAAACTTTCTTCAACGTGCATTGGATGTCTACCGTACCAAGTTTATGCCTTTGCTTCATCCTCGCAAGAACTCTTCGCGCACACCAACTAATAGAATGATTACTACACCAACAGATACAATTGAACAAGATCAACTGTTAAAGATAATGCCGCCTTCCATGTCTACGCCATTAACTGCATCTGCTCTTGACGCTCAAAATGCTTTATTTGAAAAGAAAAAAAGAAGAAGCAACAAAACAACAAGAAATCAAAGGATAGCACTCCTTGTCTTGATTTTGGCAGTTGCTTTTCGCTGGACGATAAAGCACCCAAGATGAAAATTGCTCTTAATTCTTCGCCATTGAGTGATTTGCCTTGTAAAGCAAATCAAGATCCAATGATTTCACCTTCTTATGACACCATGTATTCTGATGCTCGCCTCTCTCCTTTTGACGAGTCCAATAGCCATTCCTCTTCCTCTGCCAACAGTGTTGTCTGTACGCCTAGTCCACCTGCTACTGCAGGTATTTTTGGTTTTGCCGATTCTGATCTTTATGACTCGTTCATGCTGCCACCTGTGAATGACAGCTTTATGCTGCTCGATAATAACGATATGAAACCTTATGATCCTCTTATGTCTCCCTCTCTTCCTTCAACTGCAGCCAGCCAAGACTTGATCAAGCTCGAAGAAGATTTTCACGATAATTTCAATAATGCTTCTCATTTATTAGATCCCCTTTTCTAATCATCTACTTACCATTTCGAACATGTAAATAACATCCTTACCCTTTTGTCATTCATACGCATATATAATTCCTAAAAAAAGTACCCTAAATCTCATTTAAAAGAAAAGAAAAGTATCATATGTAAACCACCCTTCTCTCCCCCAAAACCCAAGAAAAAATATCAGTGTATAATAAAGATGTATTTAAAGCTTATTGTGACGTCTCTTTATGCAGATAGACATCTCTTCTTTTGTTTGTTTATTTACCTTGTCTTGTAACACTTTTTTTTGTGACTTGGAAGGGGATGTCCATGATGTCTTTTTTTAAAAGCACCCTTTCTTTTACTTCTCTCTCTTTTTTTTTTTGTTTAACCAAATAACATGGTCAGAACTAAAAAAGAAGTTCTTAGTTCACTCTCCAAAAATAGATTGGCACGTCGTATTGAGGGTAAATTTAATGATGTCTATCTACTTTCTTAACGCGCCTTTTTTATGAATAGAAGAATATCAGCTGATTATGAACGACAAGACTATGCAAACTATGGCGACGGACCTTTATACTCCCAAGTCACCAGTAAGTCCTACGCCTTGTGTATGTTGAGTATTAAATTAAGCAACCATCATTTATTTATTTGTGCCATTAGACAATGGAAAGTTTACCAATAATGAATGATTTTATGAGGTTCGTTTTCTCTCTCTCTCTTTTTGACATGAGGAATAATACTCTATATAGTCGAAATAATCTTCATCAACCATATGCTATCATGAACGATTATTGGCCATCATCTACTACGTCCACATTTGCAGCAAGTATAGATGGAAGCAAAATATCGGCTATTCAAAAGCTACAGTCCATGTTTAAAAGCTTAAACGCTTCAGAAATACATGAAATGCTCACTGATTGCAACTTTAATGAGGCAAGTCTAATAAGGATATACTTGACAGAGTAATAACCCCAAGCAAAGGATGAAGTTATTTCACGCTTAATCACCCAAACTTATTATCTGGAAGATATACGTTGTCGCGTTCATCAAAAGTCGAGTGTTATAGGCCCACATAGTGGAGCAGGTAAAGATATCACCCCCTTTTTTTTCAATGTGCCTGTATATTGATTCTTTGAATAAGCCTTTCCCTTATCTGAACCTCCAATAAATACTAACAAGGACATGGTTGCTTTTGTAGCAGTAAGCCAACATGACCCTAAAGAGATTCGGGCACCTCTAGAGGAAGAAGCAACAGTACAACAACAGCAAGACACAGCAAGCGAAAACAATGCAAAGTCAAAACCTGCCAAGAATAATTCAAAAAATACTAAATCAAACAAGGTAAATTCTAACAAAACTAAAGCAAGTTTTTTTTCTTATCTCCAAGTTGTCTAACATATATACAATTCATCTAGGTAACTTCAAATAATGCACCAGAACATGATCTTGTTTTGGAAAAATACAAAGGAAGAATTAAAGTACATCGAAATCATCGCCGACCTGAGGTAAGAGGACGTCTCAACCTGGATGACGCTTTACAACAAATGCAAGAAAACCAAAACACACAAGATCCATTTGAGGGATGGTCTGAAGCAAGACTACGAGCCTACAAAATGTTAGATAAAAATCCCAACAGTTATTATTACAGATTTAATGCTCCAGGTGAACAACAACAAAAAGGAAAATGGACAAAGGAAGAACATCAGCTTTTTCTTGACAGGCTTGAAGAACTCGGTGCTAATTCTCAATGGGGAATTTTCTCTATGGCCATTCCAGGAAGAGTTGGGTATCAGGTACATTGGATATTGTCTATCATGTCTATTTGCTCATGAATTTTATTAGTGCTCTAACTATTATCGACAAATGATTGAATCAAAGCAAATATATGATCCAAACTATGTGTTAGATGAACAAGGCAAGGCTCACTATTTGTTTGATAAGAAAAACGGTGTTGGTGTAACAGAAAAGATATTTTGCAAACACAGTAAACACGGAAGTGTACCTGCAACCGACATCACTAAATTACCAAAGACAAAAAATAAAAAGAGAACCACAAGTGACGATGAAGATAAGGATTTATTCGTTCCAAAAAAGCCTGCAATCAAAAAGAAGAAGAAAATCAGTAAAGAAAGGCCAGTTAAAAATGACAAGCAACATCCTTCATCCAATATCGAGAAGTCTGTGATTTTAGCTTGTCCTGAAGGAGGCAGGATTACCAGACAAAGATACCAAAACTATAAAAAAACATCAAAATAAACAAGTTATGAAACATTACGTCAAATTCCTTCAAGATCAAGCTTCTCAGTAACACATTGTTGTACTACATCAAACGCCATGCCGTCTTTCTTTCCTGATCGGAACATGAAATGACTTTTTATGTTGCATAAAAATGCTTGATAATGCACTAGTCAGCAAAATAATAAAATCACACACACACCTGTCTATTTAAAAAGCAACAAAGAAAAGGGGAATAATTTTTTTCATCTTGTTATTCTCGATAGATAACTAAAGCATATCGTATTCGTGGTTTTTTATAGATGGTCCCAACGTCGATCTGTCGTCATTTCGATTGCTGTGTAACCAGTTTTCAGATGCTGGTAAATGTCGGTACGCATAATCATTAAGACACTTTGTCAACACAAAGAAGAAGAAAAAGAAAGAAAGAGAAATAACAAAGCCAAGTAGAGTTATGGATGAATATATAAATTGCGTTGCACGTCATAAGTAAACACTATAAACTATCACAGGTTATCACAAGCTATCAAGGATAATAATAATAATAACAACAACAAAGGTTACTGGGAAAAAACAAGACGGCGTTTGTTTATAAAGAGGTCCAGATTCATTTTGTTTCTCTCTTTTTTTTTCTTTTTTTCTTTTTCTTTATCTTAATGAAGGGGAACTATAGTAGAAAGCATTCTTTAGAAAGACTTGATTATTACTATCAAGTTATTAATACCACTGTCTTATCTAAACAGAATGCTGCAAGTGGCTTGATTCCTGCTTCCGTTGCAATCACTGTAAGTACCAAATGTTGATATTCAATGCCACTGACTATTGTTTTAAGACACATGGTGATTATACAGATGCTTGGGTTAGGTAAGAAAAAAGAGCTGCGTGAATTTTCGTGTACTAATGAATGGAATAGAGATAATGTCTACTCGATTTATTGTGTATTTGGCCTCGCCCTTGCTTACAGAAGAGTAGATGATACCACTGGAAGAGCATGTAGGTTTTCTGTGTTCTGAAATGAGATTAACTTATGTGTACCTAGTTGAGCTTGAACACGCTGTTGTAAAATTGATGCGTGGTCTTTTGTTCTCAATGATGCGTCAGGCACCCAAAGTTGAAAAGTTCAAAAAGACAAACAATATTCTTGATGCTCTTCATGCTAAATATAAAACCGAGACTGGTGCTACTGTTGTAGGTGACAGAGAATGGGGTCATCTTCAAATTGATGCTACCAGTTTCTTTTTGGTCGCTTTAGCTGATATGACCACAAGTGGACTCAGTATTATCTACACTCAAGATGAAGTTGATTTCATTCAGAATTTGGTTTTTTATATTGAACGTAAGTGAAAAAATCAAAAGGGGAACTTGTTGATAACAGTATGTGTAGGTGCTTATCGTACACCTGACTTTGGTATTTGGGAGCGCGGTGATAAGGTCAATCATGGTGAACCAGAATTGAACTCTTCTTCAATCGGTATGGCTTATGCTGCTCTTCGCGCTATCAATGGTGTCAACTTGTTTGGTGCTCGAGGCAGCTCTTCTTCTGTAAGTATCGCATACCTTTTTATGTTAGCTTGCTGATTTGATGTATACAGACGATATATGTTTTACCTGATGAAATGACACGTAACAAAATCACACTTCAAAGTGTATTGCCCAGAGAATCCCATTCTAAGGAAATTGATGGTTCTGTCATGTCTGTCATTGGTTTCCCTGCATTTGCTGTAGAAGATCCTGCTTTAATCGAATTGACACGTTCTGAAGCCAAAAAGAAGTTAGAAGGTCGTTATGGTTGGAAGCGTTTCTTGAGAGATGGTCACCAAACCGTTTTGGAAGATCATAGTCGTCTCCACTACAATGAAAGCGAATTAAAAATCTTTGAGAATATTGAATCAGAATGGCCTCTCTTTTTTACTTACATGGTTTTGGAAGGTTTGTTTACCGATAATTTGGAACAAGCAGATGAATACCGCAAGAAACTTGAGTTTGTCGCTATTGATTCTGCCTATTGGGACCCTGAAAACCCTCGTCCTCCTGAAGACTACAAGACAAACAATAAGCGTCCCACTGCTCCTTGTCGCACTGCTAGTCTTGACCTTTCTACTGCACCCGCTGATTTGCATATCCCGCTTATTCCTGAACTCTACTATGTTCCTAAAGAATCCATTGATGCTGAGAAAGCAGACCCTCATTCACAAAAGAGAATTCCTAATGACAACACACCCCTTGTTTGGGCTCTTTCTCTCTATTTGTTGGGTAATTTGATTTACGAGAACCTTTTATCTGCTTCCGAACTTGATCCTCTTGGTCGTCGTTTTAATGTGAAGGGTGTAAAAGCTGATAATGTAGTTCAAGTAGTCCTCTTGTCCGAAAACGAAAAGTTACAAAAGACTTTATCCACCTACGGTCTTGAAACACAATCCATTGACCAAATTTCTTCCAGCTTTACTGTCTTGCCTCCTCAAGCACTTGCTGATGTGTATGGTGCATTGGGCCAAAACTCCAAGCTAGGTCTTTCAGGTAGACCTAATCGTCCTATTGGTACTTTGGCTACATCTCGTCTCTACCGTATCGAGGGCCATATTTATGCTTTTACACCTCAATTCATGGATGTTCATTCTTTCTATCTCAACTCGGACCCTGACTACTTGGTCTCTACAATCGAAAACGAAATCAGCTCTACCAATGCTCACTGGACTTTCCCTGGTCGTCCTACAATCACGATTGTCTTGACCAATGCCATGTTGGGTGACATTACTCGATCTGAAGTCATGCCTGCTAATCGCAGTAAGGCTCTTGTCAATGCTCTTTTGACCTCTGACGCTTCCAAGAAAAACTTGCTCAACTTCTTTATGAACTTGCGATCTGGTGAATGCAATGGTGTACGTTTACGCTTATCTCGTCTTACAGAAACGGTGAATACAAGCAACATTGAGTCTTTGGACTTCTTGATCAACAAGCCTGATGTGGACTGGAGCACTATTTTGTCTAACAATAAGTCTTATCATCACAAGCATCAATCACATCGCCGCCTTGGTCTTGACCAAAACTCTTCATTGAGTTCCCCTGGTGGCGCTCTTACTCCTGGAGGCGCAAGAACACCTAGACGCCGTAGTGTGTTCCATGGCAAATCCTTGGATACACCTTTGGATAAGATTGATGGCCGTGATAGTTACTTTCAAGATATTGTTACAGCTTTGGAGAGAATTAATAGTGATGGTGTCACTGCTTTCAAGCTGAAGGATCATGAAATTGCTCCTGAAGCCAATGGTTTGAATGGCCCAGCTAATACCAATCAAGCTAAATCAGAAGAATCCAGCGAAACTAAAGGCCCTTCTGCTCGTTTGTCTGTTGAAACAGGCGAAGCTAGTGGTAGCGAAATGCTCTTGTCATTGACTCTGGGTGACATGTCCCAATTTGATGATGCTATTAAGAGTCTTCAAGCTTCTGTCAATCTCTATGATCAAATCGACTTGTTGCAATACTTGACTTCCTGTAAAAATTTGGACGAGTTCATTCCAGAACTAGATGCTACTATTCGAAACCTTTTGGAAGAAGTATATGTGAAGTCTAAGCGTCTTCAATACTGGTCTATTGCTCGTCAAGTCAGTGGTCTGCTTTCCAAGACAATGCCTACCTTGACCGAAAATTTGACAGACTTGGTCATTCGCCAAAAACAAGTCAGCATTGGCTCTGGTTCTCGAGAACTTTTGATTTCGTCTCCTTTGGGTCCTGATGCCTTGAACAAGATTATCTCTGAACAAGGTTTGGATGATGTTCGTGAGGGTCCTGTTGTGCAAGAAATCATTATTTCCTTGGGTAATTTCATCCGTACTAATCCTAGTATGTTTGATGGTATTTTGCGTCTTCGTACCCACTTTATTATCATTGCCTTGCGTGAAGAAATCAGTCGTTTGAATGGTTTTAATGAAGAAGAAGCTATCGAACACTTGATGCAGCTCTCTCCCTTTGAATTGCAATCATTGCTGGGTACAGTCATGTCTGGTCCTGGTATGTGTGAAGAAACAACTATTATGGTGCGTGATAAGCCTGGAGGATACTTGATCTTGTCTCAAGAATTTGATCCCAATCGTCAACTCAGTTCAGAAGTACCATCTTTGAAATTGCCTCCTTCCAAGAAGAAGGAGCAAGTCAACAAGGAGCAAGAAAAGGCAAAGAACACGATCTTTATTCGTGCTCAATCTGGTGGTTACAATGCAGGTAACTTTGCTCGCGCAGAAATCAATGGCAATATCTTGGCAGCCAATACTCGTGGTCTCCATGTTTGGGCTATTGATCGTTCCGAAAAGGTAGTGATGGAGCATGCTTCATTTGATACACATATTTCTACAGATGAAAGTGAAGATCTTGTTCAATTTATTCGCAACTTGAGCCCTGGTTTGATTGTCGTCGTGGCCTCCAAAGATGATTTCACTGAACATCTCACCAAAGACGCTGCTGAAGCTTTGAAGAGTTTAGGTGCTCAACAAATTGACAATGTCAAGTACCGTGACTCTTATGTTTTGATTGCTGAAAAAAATGGTGATCGTGCTGTTGAAGCTCATAAGCCAGCAAATGATGGCCCTACTGATTTGGTTGAAGAGGAGTTTGCTTTACTTAAGAAGCATGATATTTCACCTTCAGAAATCAGTACTAGCAACATTAGCCATTTCTGTCCTACTTCCAATGGTCGTTGGTTGCGTCGCAGAAAGAATGATGGTGCTCTGAATCGTGTTCCTTCTCATTTCTTCTCACGTACATGGTCTGTGCTCGATAAATGCCATGGCTTCCAGATTGGTAATCAAAACTTGCCCCGTGATCCAACCGTGTTTGAAAAGACACCTGAAGAATTCAACTTTGCCTTAGCTGTTGAGGGCTTTTTAGGCATCCTCAGAGACCCTGCCGAGCGACAGATTGCTACTGAAATTCTCTCTTTAATTTACCAAAAACAAAAGGAAAATCCATCCATCCAATTCATTGAACAACTTATTGATATTCCTGCTATTATGGATGGTGCTATTGCGGATTTCTGGAACAAGTGGGTTGAGAAGAATAAGGAAACATTTGAAAAGAGTCCATTGTTTGCCAACGGATTTGACTACAACGATCACAAAGAAATGGCACATAACTTGTTCTATGATCTTCCTCTCGCTAATTCTGAAGAAAGCACATCTACTTATCTTTCTAGAAGCATTTCTAACGCTTTGCATATTTAATTCTATTGCTATTATTATTAAATCATTCTTTGTTTGCCTTGTTCGTGAACAATACGTAAAATACTTGACATAATATCTCTATCACCCATACCATTTCTTTGATCTAACCAGAAACGATGTTGTTTAATTTTAGGCTCAATGCCCTTGGTTTGCTCTAGATAATATTGTTTTTCGAGTGTTTTCTTGTTTACCACCCAAGTCATGAGTGATGAGTTTGTTACAGGCATCAGGTCTTTCAGTTGAAGTGTAGTTGTACGTTGACGAGCTAAGAGATCAAGTGTCTCGATAGAGATCATTGTATTAGGTGAAATGGGAGGTTGTCTTTTTGTACCATCATGATGAGGGATATGAAGATGAATCGAGTTTACGTAAGGTGACAATAGGAATGACAAAGCACCTGTTGAACATGCACTGGCTACCATAGCTAAATTATGTCAATACAGTCATAGAAAAGAAAGAAAAACCACTTACCACCGAGAAACATCCCGTTTGATACTTCAGCTACTTGACCCATTTTGATTAAACTCAAGAAATAACATAATTTCTTTATTTACCTGCTGAAGATTCCCAGAAATACATGACTGTAGGAGTTGAAAGTGCCGAGATCTATGAACGATGAAGATCAACATGAACATACTCTTGAAATGAAGACTTACACCCAAAGTAGATAACGAGAATCTCTTAAACAATTTGACAAGACCTATTTGCGGAGAAGTGTATATGAGCTTCTTTTCAGTATTGGGAGTGGATAGAGTTGCAAAAGCTCTTGCATACTGTAACGTTCTTGATAGACGGTGCATCCTTTTTTTTTATCACTTGTAGCAAAAATTAGATTGATTAAGCGCAAGGCTGATCCTCCTTTTTTTTTTTTTTTTTTTTTCAAGCACAGAATTTAAGGAAAACTGCCTTCAACTCAGAAGTGAGATTCTTTTTTATTATATAGACTATAAGAAAAATCAAGGATAAAGACCATTCATGACAGTTTGAGCACATTTGTAGTTTTTGTGTGTTCTTTCGAAATGAATAGGTGCACCATAATACGTTCCTTGGATCGTTACATTCACAGCAGGGCGCTTGGATTTAGCGCAAGGAATAAAAATGCTATCAAAAGCTACTAAATCACCATTGATGCTGTTGAGTAAATCACATGCTTGTATTGGGTGTGGATGGTTCCCACCAACAGGATCGCAAGATAATTCATAACTTTCTAAAGTCGAAGGATGTTGAATATCAAGTTTTAATGATACCTTGGGATTGCTTGTTTGTGCTATTGTTAAAGGAAGTAATAAGGAAATAATGATTGAATACAACTTCATGTTATTGTAACAAAAGAAATGTGTTTACATATTTTTCAATCATATTTAAGTAAAATTAAGGTTTGCATGTGTATGTATTGACATTTATTCTATTAGAGAGAAAGAGAGGATGGGGGGAATATGCATAATATTTACAAGAATGGTATAAATCTTATTTTTTGCTTGAATTTGGTGTTCTTTGCAATGAACCATCGCCATAAGCAGTGACAAAAGATGAAGAAGAAGAGGTTCTTTCTTGTTGAGATGTATTTGAATGCCTGCTTGATCTTACACTGCCTACAGATCGCATGCTTGCCTTTTTTACAATCCTGTTGCGTTCGACTAAATAATCTGAATAGTCTCTCCAAAGTTTGTATGGAAACAAAACTGTTTTTTTACTCAACTTGAGCATGCAAATCACAATCCATACAATAAGAGCAAACACTATCCAGGATTAGTTTTCTTTTGTGTGTTCAGATATAAACAGACTTACATGTAAGCAAATAAGATAGTAAAGCATAACCTGTATCTAACCAAGGGTTTTTAGCTCTTTTAGACAAGATGGACTCAATATCAATCTCTAATTGCTTGAGCTATATAATACAGTTAATTTGAAATGACCTTTTTAGTACACTAATACTTACTGCAGAATAATGAGACTCGGGGATGTCCTTGATATACGTCTCCATTCTGTTTCTAAAGTCATCTACATCTACTTGTACATCATGCACTAATTCTTCTGTACTGTCCAAGCAACACTTGAATTCACTAAGCTCCTCTCCAAGTGATTTTACTAGAAAAGTAACGTCTTTAATCTTATTATCGAAAGGGTCTTGTTGCTTGAATAAACTACTTTCATCATACATAGAATGACGATGAGAAGCATACTTGTTGTCTGTAGAAGAAGATGCTGCTGCTTCTGGTATAAATGACTTTAGTTGAGGATTAGAAACAGTGCGCGGTAGTGTATGAGCATAAATATCAATGGATTCCATAGTATCGAAATGTTCTTGTAAGAAATGCTAGACATGGTTGTTAATTCAATACTCTGTACTATTTTTACTTACTTCAGATTCCTTTTTAAATGCTTTAACAGACTTTATTTTTGCTTCCAAATCTCGAAGCATATCTTGAATATCTTCTTCTTGTTGATGACTACAGATATGGTTAAACAAGTTCTTGATGGATTATCCTTACCTGTCAAAATCAAGATGAGCATCACCAAGCAAAGATACATGTAAATCAAGCAAAGGACCATTCTCATTTGCTTGTTGACTTGGTATTTGCACCAGCTTTGTAAATTCGATATTCTCAGACTCTGTCGTGGTCAATATGGCTAATAACAGGTAATTAGAGCAGCACCATGGATATCACTACATACCAATATCTCGCACTGGATTTGACCTGTAATTGACTTTTTCGGCTTCTCCTTTAATGATATGCTTATGATAAACTGGATTTTCTTCATTATCATCATCCACATCTTGCTCTTCCTCCTCTTTATTTAACTCTTCGTCTTCATCTTCATCGTCAATGGTAAGCACATTACTGACTGTATCACTATTGACTCCATTTTCATACCACACTGTTTTTCTAACATGCTTCACCTTTCCCTTGTATTCGTATGCATCAATTAGACTCTTGAGTTCTTTTGGTAGCGAACAATAATCAAACAGCAATGTAATTGTCTTTTCCTGAGGTTGATTCTCAAATTCGCTTGTTATCTGAATGTTTGATTCTTCTTTTGGTTCTTTCTGAAATGAATGAAAACTGTCAAATGAATGTCTTCTCTTCAAGAATGGTTCTAAACTCTCTTCTTCCTCTTCCACCATCACCACATCCTCTTCTTCTTCTTTCACTCGACCATGCTTTTGATAGAATTCTTCAACCATGCAAGCTGCAGGTGTTTTTTGAGAAGGCTGTTCATCAGATATTATATCATTCTGTCTTGATTTACTCTTTGATCTCTGGGGCTTTTTCAGTTTATATAGCCAAGAAGATCGTTTTCGGTCATGTTCTTCATCCAATAAGATCTCAGAACTATGTAAAGAAGGTGCCGGTTGTTGATCAACTGACAGTGGATTGTGCTTTTCTACTTGTCCATATGATTGAGTTATCATACATTTATTTATTTATTATTACCTATAGTTCGTTGTTTAGGTGGTGGTTTTGAATTGTTAATTGTTGGTTTAGGTAGTTGAACTGTCATTTCTGTCAGCTTTAAAATGTCTTCATCAGATACAGCACCGAGAATGTCTAGCGAATAGGATAAATATGCTTTATTAAACAGAATGTATATATACCTTTTTGAGATATATTTGTCTTTATATGCTTTTTTGTGTTATTAGAAGGCATGTCATTTGTAGCTAATGATTTCCTATCTAAAGAGTGCGAAGGCTTAACTTGAACAGAAACAGATTCCAACCATCCTCTATTGTCACTACCAAAGGTGTCCAAGTTGGAAGCCTGTGAGGACTGACTGCGGACATGACTCTTCTTTATGAGCGAGTCTTTTTTCTTTTCAAGGTAGTCATTAGCAGCGAGAGCCATGAGAATCCTCTTTTGTTTTTTTTTTGTTTTTTTTAAATAAAAGCAAGAAAGGGAGAAAGAGAAAAAAGGGGAGAAAAAAAGTAATGCTGTTACCTTTTTTGGAATTTCCATTGTCACCAAAACTTTTTTAAATAACCCCACTCAATTCTTACTCACTTTTATCTTTTCTTTTATTTTTTTTTTTTGCACAATCTCGAGATGTCAACTTTGACGAAGAGGAAAAACAACCCAAAGCCTCGCCGTCCTCCTGCCCGAGAATTACCCGAGGATATTATGGCAGAGGCTCGATCAATGATTTTCAAGGTCAAAAAACCATTTTATAGACGTAAGAGGTTCAATTTCATCGTAGGTGTTTCGGTAGGGTTGTTAGCCATGTATGCAGCCTCAACCACACCTGCTGCACAGACATCTTTAAACACCTTACATGACTATTTATTGTTGCAATTGGCGGATATCGATCTGGCAAACATTTTGCCACAATCAGAGATGGTGGATGAATTTCTGGGCAATTTTACGAACTTTATCAAGCCTACTCCTGCCACAGAGATTTCCTTTATGCCAGCCGCTGACTACAAGTAAGTCAAGAACGAAAGGCCAATTTTTTATTTATTCTATTAAAGAGAACAACTTGATTTGAAGCCTCACTTTCCCGTTGTCATGATTCCTGGTATTGTCTCTTCTGGTCTTGAAAGTTGGGGAACATCAGAAAAGTCAAGAAAATATTTCCGCAAGAGACTTTGGGGCACCATGAGTAAGTATGGTAGATATGGCTACTCAACTTTAAACTAATGTCAAACGCAAGCCATGATTCGCTCTGTCTTGTTGGACAAGGAAAGCTGGACAGAGCATATTATGCTGGACCCTATTACCGGTTTAGATCCTCCTGACTACAAGGTCAGAGCAGTTCACGGTGTAGAAGCTGCAGACTACTTTATTACAGGTTATTGGGTATGGGCTAAAGTAATTGAGAATTTGGCAACAATTGGCTATGACACGAATACGATGCACTTTGCTTCTTATGACTGGCGTCTTTCATTTGCTAATCTTGAAGTACGAGATCTTTACTATTCTCATCTAAAAAACACCATTGAACTGTCCAAGAAATCTTCAGGTGGTCGTAAATCTGTTGTGGTGACACACTCAATGGGTAAAAAGAGACAACATTGGCATTTTGTTTATATTTACAGAGCTCTTATAGGTAGTACAATGTTCCCTTATTTCTTAAAATGGGTTGAAAGCGAACAAGGCGGCAAAGGTGGACCCAATTGGGTCAATAATCACATTGAATCCTTTGTCAACATTGCAGGTCCTTTAATGGGTGTACCTAAAGCAGTCACCTCTCTCTTGTCTGGTGAAACAAGAGACACAATGGCGCTAGGCAGCTTCGGCGCATATGTCCTTGAAAAGTTCTTTTCTCGCCGTGAAAGAACAAAACTGATGCGTTCCTGGTTTGGCGGGTCTTCCATGCTACCCAAGGGTGGCAGTGCTGTTTGGGGTAGTCAAGAAAGTGCACCCGATGATGAAATGAATGAAGAATACATGTCATTTGGTAATATGATTTCGTTTGTTCCTCGCCCTGAAGGCATGGATGAGAATTCAACCGAGATCCCTAGCTCATTGCATGACCCTTTGATCAGGAATTACACTGTAACTGGTGCTATTGACTTGCTCTTATTGAATGCGGATGATGCATATGGTCGACACTTACATGCAAACTATTCTTTTGGTCTCACAACAGATAAAAAGCAATTGGCTGACAATGACAATGACCCTACAAAATGGTCTAATCCTTTAGAATCTCGATTACCTAATGGTGAGGTTCAATTTTATTGGATGCTTTTTGTTCTAATAACTCGTTTAGCTCCTGATATGAAAATTTATTGTTTCTATGGCGTTGGTGTATCCACAGAACGTAGTTACTTCTATGCTGTTGCAGACGATACATTAGAAGAAGATTGCTTTGATCATATCAATGGTACTGGCTGTACTTGTAAATCAGCACTTACTTCTGAACCTACGTATCCTGTTCCTAAAGCACCTAACTTGGTATGTAATTGATAACACCAAATCATTTAATAACAAACGCTAGTATATTGATGCCAGTGTCAGTGACCCCGTACAGCGTATTGAGACAGGGATTCGGTTTTCAGACGGGTAAATGGATTCGCGTTTGTTGATATAGTCTAACTCTATTCGATACAGAGATGGTACAGTTCCTCTTTTGTCTTTAGGCTATATGTGTGCTCCTTCAGGAGGTTGGACCAAGTACGCCGACCTGTATAATCCAGGTCATAGTCCTGTCATTCTTCGTGAATATCAACACGAAATCAGTCCTAGTAAGTTAGATGTACGTGGTGGTTATAAAGCAAGTGATCATATTGATATTCTTGGCAATTGGGAAATGACTGTAAGTAATGTAACCTGTCGGAGGAGTTTTTACTTAAGCATGTAATAGCTGGATTTGTTACAGATTGTTTCCGGAAAAGGTGATAATGTGACAGGAAGAATTCTGTCGCCTATTGATGAATATGCCAAGAAAATAGAATTGACTCAGGCATGATACTAAAATAATAGAAAAGTAATTGCAATTGTGTTTAATATTCATGAAAGTTAATAATGTACTAAAACAAAACAAAGTCGTCATACAGCTTTGTATGTTCACGACATGTGGACAAAATAACCCAACCAAAGCTTGAGAAATGTTCAAAACAGTTGTCTTTCAGTTGCCTTTCTTTTCCTTTCTTTTTTGATCTTGTCATCGCAGCCGCATCTATCAAGAAACCGGGAAAAAAAGGTGTGCAACAGCAACAAAGAAGACTCATTGTTTTGTTTTTGTTTAACTTTCATGAACCTTGATCTGTTGCAGTGCCCACTACAACCTTGAAAACTACCAAGCTGATATTAGAAACCCGCCTACTTGGCACCATGAACAAACTGATATCATTTAAGAGTGCTTTGTTTCATGTGTTGGGAATGAATTTAGTCAGTGTCCTTTACAAAAGAAAATAAGGTTTTTCAATATTTTGTGTTTTTTTTTTGAAATCCAATATTTATTGGTGCTCTGTTTGTCTAAGACATAAAACAAAAGACCCAAGTTTCATTTTCTGTATTAAAAAAGCAGAATATTTTGTTCTCCTTATGAAATGTCGTCTTTTGTCACTGATTTAATTATTGTTGAACTCGGAACGACAGGTTGAACACAAACAAGTACCACTGTTGCAAATACAAAAAAAAAAAAAAAAAAAAACCCCCCGAAATGTGTCTAGAAGAAAACGAAAAAGAAGGTTTTTTACTGCTTTAATTTCAAATCAAAAAATCAAGGTCAGTGCTTTACCATCATGTGTTAAAGCGCTTTTTATTTACAAACATATTCTAGTTGTTTTTATAACCATATAGTACTAAATATAGCATTGGATTAAGGTTTGATTATTCAAGACAGGTCCTTTTTTGTTGCAGCACCCGTGTCTCAACAACAAACAAGCCGAAAGCACAAGAGAAACATGAAAACAAATAAAAGATTCCCCTCCTCCCTTTCTCCTTTCGACTTGCCTCAGTCTAGTGTAGCACAATGGCAAAGCAACCTGTTGTAAGTCGTACAATCAGAAAAGTAATAATAACAATACGTCTATCCAGAACAAGCAATGAGTGGAATGAGGCTAGTAAAGCCAAGGAGAAAAGAGAAAGAGAGAAGGAGCTATTGATTTACGTTGGCAAACAAACTTGGGCATATCATTCTAATTTAAGAACATTTTACTGTGCATTTGTAGTTGGGATTTAGCATTTATTTTCGTTCTCCATCACTCATCAATATGTGTATTATATACTTGAAGAAAAAAAAATTTGCTAATAAAGCTTGTTCAAATTCATTAGTTGTTTTCAAATCGAGGTTCAAATACCCAATTCTAATTTGTTACTGAACCAGTCAAATATTCGTTGTGTTTATTATGAACCTTAAACTGGCAGGTTATGTCAAGGTACCTTACCCTCTAAAGCAGTGTGGCTTCTATTATAAGAATTTATGTGCAACGTAGCAAATTATATCCTTGCTAAATACCCCATCAGGACTATATTCTTTAACGTACTCTAACCATTCAACAGCTTTTTCTCTCTCTCTCTCTCTCTCTGAAAAATATATATGGTCCAAGGATTAAGATAAATAAAAAGAAGAAAACAACAAGAAAAGAAAAAATGAAAGGAATATCACTATGTACAGAATGTTCTTTATAAAGCGCCTTAAATCTAGACAAATATACACACACAAACGCATAACAAAAAAGAGGTGTTCCTTCTGTTAGTATAACATAAAAGCAAGAGCAGATCTCTTCCTTAATTGTCAAAAATAAAATCGATTTTTACACGAGATTCCTAATAAGAGAGATCAAACTCCTACTAAACATTTCACTTAATTATTTTTGTGTAGCCTCAACATCAGCCTTATTCCATACATGACAATGAGTCCGGTGTATTAAAGGTCTCTTGTCTTTAATAACCTTCTCTTTTTCTCTTTCTTTCCATCTTTTCCTTCTTTTTTTTCTTTAACTCTTTTCATTACCTTTCCTTAATTCTGTCATTATATATAATGAAGTTGCTTATTTGCATTTCTCTTTGCGCACTTGTAATTGCTTCCCTCGCCAATGTTGTTCAGGCTTACGAAATTCGTGGTCGTGGTCTTGCCACCGTCATGGACTTTAACAACGGTACATCCCTTGAAAAGCGTGGTGGTCGTGGTACCTGGTATGGAATTCAATCATGTACAAGCAACAATCGACTAACTTAGACAATCGTCATTATAGGTACAGTGGTAGTGATTTGAAGAATGCCGCCTGTTACGATCGTATCGGTCTCCCCGCTTACTCTGCTACCATTTACAGTATGATTGGTGCCATGGTAAGTAAATCATATTGTCTTTTATTTGTTCTAACCAAATCTATCATAGGCCATGCACAAGTTTGAACAATGCTACAAGTGTATGAAGATTACCAACAACAAGCACAAGACAAAGACTGTTGTTGTCAAGATTGTTGACAAATGTGCTGGTTGTAAGGTCAACAAGGCTATTGATTTGACTCCTGCTGCCTTCAGGAAGCTCGATAACCTTGATGCTGGTGTTGTTGACATCTCTTGGAAGTCCGTCAAGTGTCCTAGCAACATCAAGCCCAAGTACGGTCCCAAGAAGAAGTAAATTCAATCTACATTTCTCATTATAAACCTTTCCGTTCTTTTTTTTCATTTTGTACTTATTCATATACTTTAAAACAATGAAGTTGTAGATGAATTAAAATTTCACTTTTATTTTTTACAGCACATATTTATTCATATAAAAATAATAGCAAAAAATAGACCATTCAACATCATTTCTTTTTTATATTTTTCTGTTGTTGTTTATCGTTTGAATTCGTTATATGCTGTGATTTTATTTAAATTCGACATTTAAAAAGACAATCTAATTCTTTTCTTCGGCCTTTTGAAGGAATTCACGAATGAAAGCTTCTTCGTCGGTAGAGCTGGCTTGGATAGGAGGAGTGGTGGGTTGAGGAGCCTTAGGCTTCATCATAGCAGCAGCACCAAGAATAGCATAAGAACCAATGAAGAACATGGAAATCTACAGGGAAATATCAGTATTTGTTTTAATGATGATCTAATATCGCGTTTACCTTGTGGTTAGGGATCTTCTTTCCGGCGATAACGTAGTGACCAGCCATTTTTAAATATAAACCTTTTTTTTATGTAAGAAAAAAAAAGAGAGAGAAAGCAAGTCTTTAAAGTAAAGAAAAAAATAATTTCAACAGGGGAAAAATTCTCACTGCGAATCAGAACTCATACATACGTCATCACTTTGAGGAAAGCGGCTAGTAAATTTCCTTTGCGCTCTCTCGAGGCGCATTAAAAGGCATCGTGTAAAAGAAGATGGGTTGGCTCAATGGTAGAGATCTATCAAAAACACAAAGATACTCGATCTATTGGTTACTATCAATATGAATCAAAAGGATTATATCTATTATTCTACAACCAATATAGCTCAATGGCTCTCACAAATGATAAGCACACACTTTTTGATTCTCAAGTCAAAAGAAAAAAGTAAAAAGATGAAATAGAATCAATTAAGGTATTATTTCCAGAAAAAACATTTCTCATCTAGAAAATCAAGTTACTTTCTTAAAGTTTATACTAATTAGGAAAAATATAATGCTTTCTATAGAATGCAAATACCTTAAAGACTTACTTGTATAGAATTTTTGCGATAAGATCCGTAAAAGAGTCACGCAATACCACTGCCTGTAGTTTTGGGGGCCAGTTTTAACCGATTTTTCCTGGGCTTTCCCGGCCATTTTTTTTTTCTAAAAAATAAATTATTGTTTTTTTTCTTTCTTTTCCCTCTTTTTAAACCCTTCTCTTTCAGAGCTTTCTCTTTTTCTTATTTTATAGACCATGTCCGCAGCTATCAGACGTCAACTCATGAGAGGTCTTTCCTCTACTGCTCGTGTCGCAGCCACTAGAACTACCCCTATTCTTGTCAAGCACGTTTCCGCTCGTACTTTCACCACCACTAGGTAATAGCATATACAACAACAACAACGAACCTCATATTGATGTTTTGTTTATAGTGCTCCCAAATTTATGGCTCTCCGTGCTTTGGGTAACCAAGTTGCTGCTAAGGATACTCGTCTCTACAGCTCTTCTTGTAAGTTTCAAAGAAAAAAAATTTATAAAATCCGACTCCCCAAACTAAACTTGTTTATCACAGCCTTCCCCAGTCATAATGTCATTGCTATGCCTGCCTTGTCTCCTACGTACGTAAATCAAAAAGAGAGTAAAAAAAAAAAAAGAGAGAGTTTTTTGTATTGATTACTTAAATAGCATGACTTCTGGTGGTATTGGTGCCTGGAACAAGAAGGTTGGTGATGAAGTTGTTCCCGGTGATGTTTTGGTTGAAATTGAGACTGATAAGGCTCAAATGGACTTTGAATGTCAAGAAGAAGGTTACCTTGCCAAGGTCTTGATTGATCAAGGTGCCAAGGATGTTGCTGTTGGTCAAGTAAGTTTGTATGTTATTGATTTTGAATGCTCATGTTGTGTTCTTTATTAGCCCATTGCTATTTTCGTCGAAGATGCTGCTGATGTTGCTGCTTTCGAAAGCTTCACTGCTGCTGATGTTGAAGGTAGTGCTCCTGCTCCTGCTGCTGCTGCTGAAGAAGAGCCCAAGAAGGAAGAAGCTAAGGCTGAATCTGCCGCTCCTGCTGCTAAATCTTCCAAGAGCGAAGCTACTGCTTCTCACGGTGGTAAGTTTTCTTTTTTTTTTGTATGGATGAATGAAATATTCATGTATGTGTGTTGATTAGGTCGCGTCTTTGCCAGTCCTCTTGCTAGAGTAAGTCATGAATGTTAAACGAGTTAAATACAGTCTCTAAATTAGTTTCTTTAGAAACTCGCTAATGAACGTGGTATTGATATTGCTCAGGTTAAGGGTTCTGGTCCTAATGGTATTATCTCCAAGGAAGATGTTGAATCCTTCAAGGGTAAGTGTCTTAGTTTTTTTTTGGAGACCATAAAAACTCACTTTTCTTTCATAGCTCCTGCTCCTGCTGCCGCTTCTGCTCAAATCCCTACTGCTTATGCTCCTCAAGGTGCTGCTGGTGAAGCTTACACTGATATTCCTACCACCAGCATGCGTAAGATCATTGCTTCTCGTTTGACCGAATCCAAGCAACAAGTTCCTCACTACTACTTGACTGTTGAAATCAACATGGACAAGGTCAACAAGTTGCGTGAAGTTCTTAACAAGTCTGCTGAAGGCAAATACAAGCTCTCTGTCAACGACTTTGTTGTCAAGGCTTCTGCTTTGGCTCTTAAGGCTGTTCCTGAAGTCAATGCTGCCTGGCAAGGTGATTTCATCAGACAGTAAGTTTAGTTTAAATCATAAAAAAAAAGAGCAGGTCACTCATTCTTATTAGATACAACTCTGCTGATATTTGTGTTGCTGTTGCCACTCCTTCTGGTTTGATTACACCTATTGTCACATCTGCTGAATCCAAGGGTTTGTCTACCATCTCTAGCCAAGTCAAGGACTTGGCCACCCGTGCTCGTGACGGCAAGCTTGCTCCTCAAGAATACCAAGGTGGTTCTTTCACTATCTCTAATTTGGGTATGTACGGTATTAGCAACTTCACTGCTATCATCAACCCTCCTCAATCTTGTATCTTGGCTGTCGGTGGTGCTCAACAAAAGGTTGTTGGTGACGAAACTACCGAAAGCGGTTTTGCTGTTCGTAATGTTATGGAAGTCACTCTGAGTGCTGATCATCGTGTTGTTGATGGTGCTGTTGGTGCTACTTGGTTGCAATCTTTCAAGGGCTTCATGGAAAACCCTCTCAAGATGATGTTGTAAATAATCTGATGAAAAGCAAGAGAGACTTTTTGTTATCAAAGACTTAATAAGAAGAAATTAAAAAAAAAAAAACTACACTATATAATACACATGTTATTGATGTCCATCCTCATTTGTCCAATGCATCCTGAGAACATTACCATCTGGAGAGATGGTTTCAAAGTGAAAAAAAAATTCAGTTCCCGACTATATTCAGTACGCGGCACTATGTGTCTTTTTTTTTTTTTCTCTTTTTCTCTATCGATCTAAAGCATGAGTTCAGCACCTAAATTATCAGGACGTAACAATGTAAGGTTTTGTCTCATCCATAAGCATAAACTAATCTCGCTTTTATAAGGTACGTTTACCACCAGAAGTCAATCGAGTTTTATTTGTAAGGTAATCAATGCTTACCTTGTTAGCCATACCCATACTCATCTATATATAAATAGAAACTTGCCCTTCAAGATCACAACAGACGAAATATATGAAGTGTTTGGAAAATACGGTCCTATTCGTCAAATCCGAGTGTAAATGAGTCGTGTATTCTCATCCCATGTTCTAACACCATGTCATATAGTGGCAATGCTTCTGATACGCGAGGTACAGCTTTTGTAGTGTATGAAGACATTTTTGATGCCAAAAATGCATGTGAGCATTTACAGGGTTTTAATATTCTTGGTCGATACTTGATTGTCTTATACTACCAACAAAACAAGGTGACCAAGAAGATGAACTTGCAAAAGAAGGAAGAAGAAATTAGAGAAATGAAGGCGTAAGTTACAGTTCTTATCTATCTATCAGGCACTTACTCTTCTGTATAGTCGTTATGGTGTGGATGACGAATGATAGCATACACGCATAAAACGTTCTATTGTATATAATTCAACATTTGTTTGCTCATGAAATAACAGGTCATTTTAAAATAAACAAGTAGAAATTTGATAACAAACAAGTTGATGCTATTTAAAGTTGAATTACATTACTATTAAAAAAAAAAGCTTATTCTTCTTTCTTTATATGAAGTCAATTGTACTTGCTGCATTGTTTATCTTTGGCACCTATGCTGTTCCCATTCAAGAGAAACGTATCAAAGTAAAACTGACAGGTTATTTTCATGGCAGTGGTAAATATCTATTGTACAATGTACCATTTATCTCATTCCTTAGGTTATTATGGTCAAGTAAGGATTGGTGAGCCTGCTCAATTGTTTGATGTTGTGTTTGATACGGGTAGTTCAGATTTCTGGGTCGTTTCAAATGATTGTCAAACAAAAGAATACTGTTTGAAGCATCGACAATTTCAACCAAAACTATCAAGGACATACAAAAGAGACAAAGGAGATCCATCCTTCAGTGTTCGATATGGTTCAGGATCTATTCATGCTCGTATTGGTCAAGATACACTGCGTATAGGAAGTGGCACTCTTCAAGACCAGTTTGTGGCAGATGCTACTGAGCTATCCACCATTTTTAAAAGGCTACCCATTGATGGGATTATGGGATTAGGGCTACCTAAGCTCAGTAAGTCTGATCCAAATAGACTAACTTTGATAGAAAGTATGGTGGATCAACAGTTGGTCGACAAAGCTATCTTTTCCATCTATATTCAACCCTTTGGTGGTCAAATTGATTTTGGAGGCATGGATCCTAACTTGTATACTGGATCTATTCACTATGCGCCCTTGACCAGCGACAACTATTGGGCAACACATATGAACAAAGCTTCGTTTGGTAATTATTCAATAGATTCACAATCTGTTATTGTTGATTCAGGTAAATGACTTCCCCTTCCAAGAAAAAAAAAAGACTCATGGCTTCATAGGCACCACACTGTTGATTACTTCTCCTGATCATGCGAAACAAATCCATGCTCACATAAAAGATGCTGTGACGAATGGAGATGGTACTTATTCTATACCTTGTCAAATGAAAGGAAAACTACCTGACTTGGTTATGTCTGTCTATGGCCAAGAACTAGTGATCACATCAGAAGATTATATATTGGCTCCTACTGTATGGAACAAGGCCATGTGCATGTCTGGTATTTCTGGTCAAGCAGTCAAGCGAAACCATTGGATACTAGGCGATGTATTCATGAAAGCATATTATACCGTAAGTAGATAGAACACAATAGGATCTAACTGTACATGTAGATATTTGATTTAGAGAACATGCAAATTGGTTTTGCAAAGAGTATAAGAGATCCTCAATTGACATTTGAAAAGTACGATGAATAAAGTTGCTTTTTTTTTTTCTTTCTTTTTTTTCTTTTTCTTATGTGTGGAGATCAACCACTGTTTCAACATAATGTACCCATAACTCAAGAAGAGTTTCATAAGGAACTTTACCGAGATTTATGTGATGCTCATTGCCATCCTCATGATGATATAGACAAACTCGCCTTGATTCCCCAACTCAAGACAGGTCATATTACAATTATGGGTGTTCGACAAGACGACTGGGACAGAGTATCCCAAGTAACAGAAGAGTGCAATCTGAAATATCAAAAGAGATGTGTTCCATGTTTTGGTAATGATCACAGTAACTATCATGTTTACATCGTATCTTAGGCATTCACCCTTGGTTTTCTCATTTTGTCATGACACAACAAGAATCTGAACTACAGACAAAAGAAGCTTATTATCAATCAATACTCCAATCACCTCAACCTCAAGAATTACAAGACATGGTCAATGCACTTGCTGACCCTTCTCCTTATGATACATGGTATACTCATTTACACCATAAACTGCAAGACCATCCAGAAGCACTGGTGGGTGAAATAGGCATTGATCGATCTGCTCGACTTTTACCTGGTGGTGCTATTGACTGGCATGGTAAAAAGCCTACTCAAGTTCATACTTCAGTCGACCATCAACTCGCTATTCTTGATATTCAATGTCAACTAGCCCGAGAACTTAACCGAGGTGTCAGTCTTCATTGTGTGCAAGGTCAAGGCCATCTATTTGACTACATGAAAAAGCAGTCGCTTCAATTTAGTACACGTCAACTAAGAAAACTAAACTATCAACCCAACACATTACGTGTCTGCCTGCATTCTTTCGGTGGTAGTCCAGCCACCATTACTCAGTTTATGGAACTCAAGGGGTTTGAGTTTTATGTTTCGTTTTCTGTGGCTATTAATGCACAACACCTTCCAGCTCATAAGATGCAAGCCTTGATTCAAGCTGTGCCTGAGGATCGTTTGTTGATTGAATCTGACTTAAATACGCCTGAAGGCATTGATATCTGTATGGTAGATATAGTTAAAATTGTAGCTGAAGCAAGAGGTTGGTCTATTGAACAAGTTGTCAATATCACCAATAAAAATTGGAAGCGATTTGTCCATTTTTGACGGTATGCCATCGTCATGCATGCTGAAACTCCGTTCCAAATTGGCCTGGGAAATGTATTTTTGTTTTGTTTTTTATTGATTGATTTAAGCACCCAAAGTAGGGAAAGCACTAGCATCTGATAAATTGACAGATCCTTGTTGACCACGATGATTGCCACTATGGCGGTTATTGCCACGACCACCACGACCACCGCGTCCACCACCGCGACCACCACCACTACTACTACGATGAGCAGGTTGATCAATTTCCAAATACACTTTTTCTTTCTTGTTCTTGTTCTTTAATTTTACTTCACTTTCCTACAAAAGACGTGAATTAAAAAAAGAGGACAAAGGTTTATTTGATAAATTTATTATTTTTTGTTTACCTTGCCAACAAAAAGACGTCTTTTTCTTTTTCAAGAACAACCGTGTTTTTCCATTGACTGTCATCAGCACCTTCGTTGGCTTGACGGCCTTGGTTAAGACGGAGATTGTGGCTAGCATTTTTCTTTTCAGCGAGATATTCATCCAAAGTCTTGGTATTATCTTCCGTGTCTTCGTTTGCACGAGCATGACGTGTTTCGCCAGCAGCAGGATCATTAGGATCCAATACGTCATTGGCACTATTTTTTTTTTTTTTTAGAAACTAGTCATGATGATGATGGTTTTTTTTTTACCCTTCAAATTCAGCAGTACCGGCTTCACCCCAACCTTGGTTGATTTTCTTTTCATTATCACTAAAATAATATAAGCCATGCATACTCATTTCACAGAGGGAACACTTACATAATACCAGTACCACTATGACGGTCAAATTGACGACCGCGACCAGTAAACTCTGAACGTCCTCCTCCAGCAGGTCGAGGTGGTCTTTGCTTGTTCGTTTCAGTCGTATCAATAGCAGCATTGGTTTCAGACAGGTTCTTACGACCACCACGATCACGTCTTGAAGGAGGAGAGACTAAAATACAATGATCAATCAAGAGTACAGACACACATACACACGCGTCATTTTATTATTTACCTGCAGGTTGTCTATGACTTGTTCTTCTCAAGTCGCGTCGGGTAGGTGGTTGAGGTTCACCTTTTTTTTCAACAGGCTTAGTGTTTCCGAGCTTATCAACTTCAGTTTCTTCTTCGCCCAAGAGGACACCAAAACGGTTATGTGTAAATGACATTTCTATATGAAAACAAAAACAAAAAAAAAGAAAAAGAAAAAAGAGGTGAGAAAATAGAAAAAACAAACGCCCTTTTTCATGGCTCTGGCTTATGCTTCTTCTCCAATCATGTCTGAGCGGGAATACAACTTTATTGTCTCTGTTCTTCTTATGGATCGCCGCTTAAATGTTAAAAGAGCTGCATAAATGCGTTTCAAAAAATCTAATTTTTTTTATTATTATTATTAAAGGTATACATCGTACAAGAGATTAAAGAGATGAATTTAAATGTCCGACGGCTTTGGTTGTATCAGGATCATAAGCACAAGCATGAGCATCAATCACCATCTCATTGATTAATGTTCTCAAGAAGGCTTGTTCATATTTTGAGTTTTCAAAGACGGTGGTTAGACTTTCAGAAGGGCAACGTAAGAAATTAGGTGCAAATACCATAGCAAGATTATTGACATTCATGAGTGTATGTTTGATAACTGAGGGATCCGCGAATTCCTATACAGAAGATATGAGTGTCTAGTATAAATATTCACCATATTTTACCTGTAAGAAACTAATGGTAAATAAAGCAATACGCCTGTTTGTGTCTGGTAATCGATTGATGATAGCAATCGCTTTTTCGGGTTCTTCAGCATATTGAATACAGTCCTCATAGTCCTTTGAAGACACAATGGGTTCAGCAAGGTCTCTTAGCCAGTATTTCAGCAAAGAAGCAGGCACATTGGGATCTGTGATACCAGTCGCATCATAATTGCCATTCTCAATGCGTACTCTCTATATAGTTGATGATATAAACATACATGGATACTTTGTGTGTAGTATATATGACTTACTAAATCAGTGACAGCATCTGCATCACCAGACACACGGAAGATACCTTCAGACATCTGTCCATGGGTCTCACGCACTGTGTTTGCTAAAAAGGGTACAATTTGAGGAATACATAATGGAGGATAACGATTGGCTTGTAATTGCATAATAAAATCCAAGGATTCACCAAACACAGATGGCTTAAAAGGTGCTTCTTTAGCTCGATTGATTTCTGCACTGGTCAATACTTTTCCCTTGGCTCCTCGAATACAGATACGTTTGAGTTTGATCGAGACATGCTGACTAAAGATGTCCACCTTGTTCTCTTCTACCTGGTGGTGTTGTTGTACAAAATCAGTCAAGTAAGATTCAAGGTTTTTTGAAGGAGGGAATGTGATGGTGACAATACAGAGCATTTCCCAGCCCTTCTTGATACTGTGACTGTGCGGATTATCTTCTAATTGTTTGCAGATCTGAACATAGATTTCATCTCGCATCTGTCCCTTAGTGATACCGCACGTAAGGATCGATTGAATGTCTTCAATATCATTGGAGTGACGAGATCGAGGTCTATCTCCCATAATCATCTGTAGTTGTTTGAAGCATTTTAATGCATCTTTATGAAGGTCTTTATTCAGCATCATCAAGGGTTGTTTGATGGAATCCTAAAATGATCAGCAACAGTATGTGTGTTAGGTGACTTACTTTAGTCCATTTCAGCATTTGATGCATAGGCACTCTTCTTCTGAATAAACCTCGTTTGTGGGTCGAGAAATACTTTTGAGCAAATCCATCAATAGCAAACCGAGTGATTTCTTGTTGTAAACCAGCAGGTAAAGTAGGTCTAGAATGACAGTCAATTGTCTATAGTCGCCCACTGACTTACTTTTCAGGCTGAGTGGCAAGTGAATATCTACTTTCTGAGGACCGAGAAACAAGGCTTTTGAGTGGATTGGATGATTTTGTAAAACTAGAAAAGGCTGAGAAATGAGATGCTCTTCTGGATGCTTTTGAATCATGGGTTTCCTGATCAAGCGTAAGTACATCAATGTTATGGACACAACTTACTTTTTGAACAGAACAATAGCTCTGTTTTCTACTGAATAAGGCAGATGAAAGTGAATGTGTATCTGTATTTTGTGGTGGCATTTGAATCATGACTCGGTCTATGTCTTCTTTACCACCGTCTGATGTGGATCGAGTATGTCTTTTGGTATCATGAGGATGGGGTAAATCGAGTGATTTGCTGTTGCGTTTCGAGATAGGTTCATGCATAAGGCTGGCAAATTCGTCTGGTAACTAGAGTCCATGAGTGAATCAGTTGTTTGGTGAGTGACTTACTTTAATATGAAGCAATGAAATGACATGCGCATCAGTGGGCTTGATCCAATTTGAGGTATTGGCACGTGTATGATAATAATAAGGCAGCTTGTTCTTTTCATCCCAGAGTTCCCACCAATCACTTTGTTGACTAGAGAGGAAATCAGTACATCATAAATCACTCCACACATCTCAATTTACATGATATGATTGGCTGGTTTAGTCCAAGAACCTTCACCTGTTGTCTATCCCTTCTATTGAATATGCCATAGTGTATAGAGAGAGTATAACTTACGAGATTAGCATAAAAACAATGGGTAGATATAGGATTGGGTATTTCAACCCATGCTTCTTCTTTTGTTGACATGGTAAATGAGTGACTAGAATAGATAAGATGAGAAAGGAATGAATAAATAAAAAAAAAGAAGAAGAAAAAATAAAGTGTCATACAAATTCAAGTGGGGTCTTAATACACGTGCAAAGGAGAAGAAGAAAAAAAAAAAAAAAAAAAAAAAAAAAAAACTCCTGTTGTTTAAAAGATGGATCATCTTAATGACCGTATACGTGATTTAGAGTTACCTTCTGGTCATTCATTATTGACATGGCGTCTTCAACAACAAGATTCAGAACCACCTAGTAATTACAACAGTGATACAGATGAACCAACACCTCGTCAACGTAATCCACAAGAAAAAGCAAAACAAGAAGTGGTACTTGATCAAGACTTTGCTTTTTCAAAACGATCTGTTTCTCGCGATGATTTCCAAACATTATGTGTGTTGGGTCGAGGAGCGTATGTGTATGCGTTGAATAGCATCTGTATTGATCATCATTAGGTTTGGTAAAGTATTCCTTGTCAAACATGAAAAATCAAAGGAATTGTATGCTATGAAGGTGTTGAAAAAGGCTTCTTTGGTATTGCATGGAAGACAGGCAACACAGGCAAAAACAGAAAGACAGATTCTAGAAGAAGTACGACACCCTTTTATTGTCAAGTTATGTTATGCATTTCAGACACCCACTGAACTCCATATGATTCTGGATTATGCTGTAGGGGGTGAATTGTTTCGCCATTTGGACCATGGTAAGATAACTAAATATATATATATACATATATAGACAGTGTATTGACCTATGTTTAGAGGGTATGTTCTCTGAAGATATGGTTGTGTTTTATGCGGCTGAAATATGTTGTGCTTTGGATCATTTGCATTCATTGGGTATCATGTATCGCGATTTGAAGCCAGAGAATTGTCTGTTGGACATGGAAGGACATATTGTATTGACTGATTTTGGATTATCCAAAGTGGCTGTGGATGGCAAGACAAACACGATTTGTGGTACAGCAGAATACATGGCACCAGAAATATTGAAAGGATTAGAATATGACATCACAGTTGATTGGTGGAGTTTGGGTATTTTGATTTATGATATGCTCACTGGTTCAGTAAGGAACATACAAAAGGAATCATCATTAGCATTTATATCTATTCTATAGCCTCCTTTTAGTTCAAGTAATCGTAAAAAGACCATGGATGCTATCTTGACAAAAAAGATTCCAATGCCCTATTATTTAACACAAGATGCCAAAGATATCCTGTCTAAGGTAAGTCAATAGGTTTATCGATGGCTGACTGATCTAGCATAGTTGTTGCGTAAAAATCCAAATGCTCGGTTAGGTGCTAAACCCAAGAAAGCAGACGCAATTCGCAAACATCGCTTTTTTCGTACAATAGACTGGATTGCTTTAGAGAACCGTCAATTAGATCCGCCCATTGTGCCTATTGTGGTAAGTGAGGCTATTTGACTGTATTGACTATAATGACTCACATACGCCAGACGGAACCTGAAAAAGCAGAGAATTTTGATCCTGTATTTACTGCAGAAGCACTTGTGGGTTCACCAGAAAATCATGATGTTCAGGCCAATAGTCATTTTCTTAATTTCAGTTATGTAGATGCATCTATACCATTGTAATGTGTACATATATATATATACACATATATATACATATATTCTTTTTATTACTATGACTATGACTGCTGTTGATCATTAGAGACAACAGTCAAATAATCATGCCATGGCGTAAATATAAACTCAAACTTGGGAACATATCGAGACTTGGTAGTAAACACGACTTTATCCACTTGATGACATACTATCGTAATGAGAGTGGTATAAACAGACGTCAATCGATGATAGCCATGCAAATATTTATCTGTTGTGATCTGAAGTGTCTCCATGGATCTCTGGCTTTTGACTGCAGTCTTGTAGACCAGAGACGCATTATCTTTCATGTTTAGTTTAAAAAACAAAGTTTTCATTTTGGCTGTCTCAATATTGAATGGGTTTAAATCAATCGATTTCAGTCTTGAGAGATGATGCAAGTCCAATACAGTGTTGTTGTGCTTGTCTAGGTAGACTTGGCAATCTTGCATAGACAGGTATTCAATGTTGGGCAAATACTCGTTGAGGGTAGAGAGAAGTGTGTCTTGAAGAGGCACATGCAGTAAGTCGGCATAGCGAATATTTTCCTTGGTGCTTGTGTCTGTCGGTTGAAACACAAAGGGTTTGCTGGCATAACAGTGAATTGTGCTTTCTTTATGGGCAACCGATTGGATCATGAGACATTGAAGACGACGACAAGAGATCAAGATACCTTTGAGTAGTTCAACAGGCAAGAATTCAGGTAACGAATCGTAGAGATACAGACAATCCATCAGTTCTGGCTGATTGGCTTTCTTGAAAGACGCAAGCAGGTCTGGCACACAGGTCATTGTACGATGAACATACATATGAACATGCGCCTTCAAGCGGTTTTTACGCACGTCCAGTTCAAGGCTCTTGAGATCCGTAGGACGAAGCGAAGAAAGACGGATATCGACTGTTGTGCAGACAGAAGGATGAAGCGACTTGATCTGGCCAAGGAAGCCCCATACGGTTGTCAATAGACTGGTGTTTTTAGACTGTCGAATGTCTGTAAAGAAACTATCCAGTTTGAGATACGTGATGTTCTTTAGACCTTGTCCAAACAGAGAAGCATAGGGACCAATCAGTGCATCATACATGGTATCGTCCATCAATTTGAGCTCAAAAGTATTCACTTGAGGTAGAATGAAATCCATCATAAAGGAAGCATAAGTAGGAGGTAAGTTCTGTGCCTTGAAACGGAAATCTTTCAAGACATGCGTGGGTTTAGACAGATCTTCTAAGAGGAGTGCTTCTAATGTCTGGTGTGTTTCATAATCCAACTTTTCTAGCGTAGGGCAGGCCAATAAGATAGACAGCACATTGAATTGATTTTCCTGCTGTTGTATCGTATGATCAGGCACAATGGTCAGGCACTTTAAGTTTTTAAAAGCGGACACATAGTCAAACACACGCATCCCATGCTGTTGATAAAACGGAGACTCCAAACCGCGCAGTTTCAAACGCTGAATGGTATCGCACAATCGATGCATATTGGACAGATACAAGTCTTTGATCAACACATCATGTCGATAACCAGACAAGACCATCTCTTGTAAATGAGACATATACTTCTTGTCCACATCCATCAGGCCAATCAAGAAAGTCAAGAGTTTTTCGCTGGATCCACCATAATACAGAGTGAGTGTTCTCAAGTGAGGCATCAGGCGAAACAAGTCAGTTAATTTTTGATCGAGGATGGGCTCAAAGCAAATGAGTTGGATATGTATCTCGAGTGACTTGACCCATAGACCCATCTTGACTTGATCTTTCTGTATTCTTGCAGCCAAAATGTCAGAAAAGCCCACACTTTGACAGAGGGTTTGTGTAGCTGCAGTTTGACTCGCTTTGCATATGGTTTGACATTCAGTAAGTGATTTCTTGGGTAAATATCGAAAGATGTGAAGGTAAATTTCTGTAGGCAGATTCTTAAACGACATGATTGAAAAGAAAGAAACAAAGAAAGAGATAAATAGACAACATTTTTTTATAGTGTTTGATTGAATCAAAAAAAAAAAAAAGTCGCATATGCAAAAAAAAAAAAAAAAAAAAAAAGTTCAATACCCGATATTCAAGAAGCCTGAACTTGTGTCAGGGACTTCTTTGAACCAAATTTGGAAAATTCACTCTGTCTCTCTTTCTCTACCTTACTGTTGAAAAAAAAAAATTTTTTTTTTCTTTTCTTTCAAATAAATAAATAGACAATATGGGTAACGTAGGTAGTCTATTAAAGTAAAAATAAGCCGAGTATTCAGTTTTTTTTTTTCTGTTTGGTTCTGGATCTAGGGAGCCAAGGCACAAATGAAGCGTGAGCGTAATGCTAAATCTGCCAAGAAGGAAAACTCTTCTCAGTTAAAGACAGTAAGTGAAGTCAAGTATATAGCGGTCTGTATTGACATACGATATAGAACCAAGCTGCCAAAAACATTATCTGCAAGACTTGTTTCCAAACTTTCCTCTGTACTTCTCGTGAAAAGGCGTAAGTACATGTCCTTCGTTATCACCAGAGTCAATTGACAGGGTTTATTTTAGTTTGACTGAACATGCCGAAAACAAGCATAGCAAGACATTGAAGGAATGCTTCCCTGGTAAGTTTTTTTTTTTTTTTTTTTAATATTCAGGGACAATTTCTAAAAAAAAAAAAAAATTGTTAGACTTCCAAGCTACTGCTTAAACATAAAAGTTTATTATTATGAATACATTGTCTTTTAATTCTTTAAAAAAAAAGAATGTTTTTTTTTTCTTTTTCTTTTGTGATGTGTGTATATATATATATATAAATTAAATTAAATCAAATTTAGTGTAAGGCAATAGCAGCTATAGCAGCAATACCTAAAGCAAATGCACTGGTACCTGCAAGAGAAGAAGCATCAGAAGTGCTTCCAGCTATATTGGCAGCAATGCCTGCAGAGGTAGAAGCAGCAGCAGGAGCTACGGTAGTAGTGGCAGCAGCAACAACAACAGAGGAAACAGGAATCGAGCTTGAAGCAACCATAGAAGAAGAAACAGCGGAAACAGTAGCATTGGTGGTACTGTTACTAGCAGGAACAGTGCCTTCTTTATATACTTGAACATTGTTACAAGCACCAGCGGGAGTCAAGGTATAGGCTTTCTTAAGAATAGGAATGACACGAATAGCAGCATCGACAGTAGAAGAATACAAATCATGTTCAAGAGAGATACCACCGACTTTAGCTGTCTTTGCATTATTGGCCCATTGAGTGACATTACCATCAATCCATTCTTGTTTATATGTGGCAGGGTTAGATTGAGCAGCCCAATCGTTGGTATCATAGTTCCAGATGATAGGAACAAAACCAAGAGCAGCAGCCACATCACGGACACGGTTATCAATATCACCATAAGGAGGTCTAAAGAAACGAGGAGACACACCTGTGACTTCCTTGATGGCCAATTCGTTCCATTTTAATTCAGCAACGATCTGTTCGTTGGTCAACGAAGTCATGTAGTTGTGGCTGTAGGTATGCATGGCAATTTCATGACCTGCCTTGTAGGCGCGCAAGACGTAATCAGGGAATTTGGTGACTTGGCCACCGACCATAAAGAAAGTGACCTTGATGTTTTCCTTATCGAGATAGTCATAAAGTTTAGGACTAAATTCAGAGGGTCCATCATCAAATGTAAGTGCCCATTGGTCTTTGGGACATTGGTAGAGATCGTCTTTACCGAAACAGCCAGTAAAAGTCCAATCACAGTAAGGATCTTGACCAGCTACTTCAGGTTGAGGACCTAGATGGAGATTAGTATTGATTTGTGTATATGACATGTCTTACTTTGTCCAGGAGCAACCTTATATACGGGAGCTTTGGTAATATTGACATTTTTGATCAATTCGAGCCATTCTGGCTTAGGCGTAGGAATGGAGCCAGGTTCAGGAAATTTTTCAGAGAAAGTGAATGTGGCAGCTGGGATAGTTTCAGCAGCTACATTCATAATTTTATGTGATCCAGGATGAGCATTGACAGCAGCAAGCGCGATGGTTGCCAAAACAAAGAGTTTTTGAAACATGTTGGTTAAAAGGAGAAAAGAAAGTTAAAAAGAGGGAGTAAGACAATAAGTTCAATGCGTGCTTCTCTTATATACAGTGAGAGGGATCAGTCAATAGGTACAGTTGAATTGTAATTTTAGACGGTACCACAAACTGAATTCTTGGAAGCAAATTCCTAAATTAGAATATACGTTGATGATGGATTCAAGTTCAACAAGGATAACTTCTGTAGATGCATGCTGGGTAGTTGACAATGGCCTATAAACTCCCCTCTTTTTTTTTCTTTCATCTAAACAAGCGATATGTGCTATTTTAGTTCTTGCAAAGCGAAAGAGCAAAAGAAATAAAAGAATGCCTATATACACGTTTTGCCCTTATCAAAATACACAAATCGTCTTCTTGTTTTTCTTTTTTCCTATGTATCTATTCTGTAAATTTATAATTAGGTAAAATTCTGTTTTTATACAGATTTAGGTTCATTGTTTTTTTCAGAGCTCCATGAAAGCATGCTACGAGCAATAGTAAGCTTAAAAAATGTAAACCTGTTGATTTTTGTCTAAATGGAGAAAAACAAAAACAGGAGATGACCGTAAAAGCAGTAAAGAAAATCATATTTTTTAAACAGTAATGGCGTGCAAATAAATACTAAATGACAAAACAAGCATTTTATCTGATAGAGACTTAATTAGAACTTTGACTTGTTTTTATAAAAAGCACATCTTACTCATTTACAAAAATAGGTACCTTTTTTTTTTAAAAAAAAAAAGGGTATCGCGATTTCCTTTAAGCGAGATTTCATTTGAATGCTCTGTCTCTCTTTCTCTCTTTCTCTCTCAATATTCAAGTTTGTGAGTTAGAGGCAGGCGTTTTAATAATTTAGCTTTGAAGCAATCGTTTATCAAAGAGCGGTATGTAATTGAGACGATACAGCCCATTTTGATGCATCCGATTCTTGGTTATATAATAGACGGATTAATATTTTTGTATTGTCCGACTTGAATGGACTTTCTGCACCATTTATAATAGTGCGCATCACTGTAATCTATTGGACTTTACATTTTTTTGAGTTTCATCATTTATCATGCACATACACAAAATGGCTGTCATCGGAGATTAAAAGCTATAAAAATGGAAGCAGCTCGATTTTCTTGTGGGGCATCAAAAAGCAAGTTCTTTGCTAAGAACTGCATAAAGAAGAATTTATTCAGCTTGGCTACAGTGACAAAAGCTGTAGATAGTTGCTTTCTGAGTCTATGGATGTAAAGAGGATAGCAAACTTGGTACTAAAATATTGAGCAAATAGGCAAAGATGTTTGCGAGGCTTTTCACTCATATCTCATCATGTTTACTCGAGAGTTGGCAAACAAATAATTTGGTCAAAAACTCTAATCTTTGACGCACATTCTGAGTATTTAAACTTGACAATAGCTCCGTTTTTCGTCTTGCAGCGTGTAAAAGAAGATTTTTTTTTTTTTTTTTTTTTTTTTTTTTAAATGTGTTTATTGATTGAGCCGCGTACACTAAGAGTAATAGTCAAAGTGAAGAGGCGGGTGCAATTAAAATGAAAGTTAATAAAATAAAGCGAAACACACTAGATAAAATAAACTAAACTAAAATAAATTATATAGAACAAAGTTACATGATTGAATGGCATTGATCCTCTTCAATAGTCTGACGAACATTGAATCGGATGCTTGCTAATATGGCCGTAGGTACAATGGGGGTCTTGTCAAAGATAAATCTCATATGAGCAAGCCAGATTTGTGAAAGAGTAATTATGAGGATTCTGTATGGTTTGATTCCTTTCCGTTGGCAGTACCAGATGTACGAGAAGTCCAGGGACAGAAGAGCCTCTTGGATATCAGATATTGAAGTGGTAGGCCAAAGAAACTCAAAGATGATTTCCTGCCATACCTTCTCTTTAGTTGGACAATGAAAGAGCATATGGTTAATAGAGTCAGTGGTAGTTAAGCACACCGGACAGAAGGGAGAGTCAAACACGTGAGGCATAATAAAATGTAAGAATCGACGATGAGGAATACACCCCAAGATATACCGGTATGTCACATTACGTTGAATGGTGGTAAGAGACAGAGACCAAAAGAATTTCCATTTCACTTCTGTAATATTTCTCAAGGCCAAAGGAGGAGCCATAGCCGAGAGAACTGACTGACGAAATGTCTTAGCCGATGCCTTGATACTACAAATACCTTGATCATCTTGAAACCGAAACTGGTTGATCAAAGGCGCAAATGAGACCGTCGAGTCTTCAAGTGGAGCAGGACTACATACAGAGCTAAAAAATGGCTGAAGTTTCAAACTCCCAGATGCAAGACCTTTGAAGACTGTGGAGGGAGTACGCTTCCAATAAAGTAGTGAAGGATCACGAGTATCTTTCCAGTGAACAAAGTTGAGTCTAGCATCAACTTGAAAGACATCTGACACCATCATTTTCTTGACACGTAGGGGGACAACGAAGGACGAAGAAGGGGGAACGTAAAGCACAGCTTGCAAAGGTAGGACCATAGCGGTAACAGTATTAAAAGAAGATTAGGAGTTGTCAAACGGGCTTTTTTCATGACTATGTACCCTTTGGTCGAATGGTCATTTTGATCAAATTTTACAAGCCGCTTTTTTTTTGTCTAAATGAATACCAAAGGTACCATGGATGTTAGTAAACACTGTTTGTAGGTGTTTGGAGTACAAATGCGTGCATGAACAGGCTTTGTACTCTCTTTGTCTAGTTACACAATCCTGTTTATTTATCTGCTCTTTGAAGGATGTAATATCATTATTGGTTAAGCCAATGCATAGAAAGCATCTGAGCGCTTCTCTGATAGAGAAAGATGCACCTGTTTTAGGATGAAGAGTGTGCTTTGTGCAATGTAGTAAAATCAATGATACCTTTGCCTAAAAGCGAAATGGTTTAGATAAAATATTTTTTTTCTTAACAAATGCTTACAGGTACAGCCCTTTTGAGATACATACAAGAATGGTCACTTTTTGCTATAAACATAATGGTGTTTCTCAATGAAAATTGCTTTCGTACTATCAAACCAATTGCATGGAATCATGCTTTTCGAAATAGATTGCATAAGCATTTTCTCGGGAAAAAGAAAAGCATCAAACGACATAATGTACCTATACGAATCAAGCAAGCCTACTTTCTTCTGACTCGGTTGATTTCAGTCCTGTTAAAACCTTTTTTGTTGGTGGCCAAGAAGACTACTCTACAGAAATAACTAAGGCATGTTACATATATGCTCTTTTCAAAATAGGGTTGTCATGACTCTTGAAAAATTCACTGATTGGCACTGGATGTCACTTGGTTGCCAAAAAAGTAAAAACATAAGGATGTGATTTTTGTCAAGTCACAGATTAATCCCGGGGCCAACAAAACAAGTCTTTTTATCCCGTCTTTTTTATTAGTATTCCCGTACTGCACATTCTTTTTTTTTTCTTTTTTTTTTTTTATAGAGAACACCTTCACGAAAAAAAAAAGAAATGCATCGTTTAGCTAGTCGTTTAACTCAAGTGACCAAAACCTCTTCTTTAGGTAAATAGTACTTTTTATGTGTGTGTGTGTGTGTGTGTGTGTTGGTATTCACCTATTATTCTAGGTTTTCATACTTCTGCTACTAGTTCAGCCATCAGTCGTTTCAACTTGCCAGCCATGAGTCCTACTATGACTGAAGGTACCATTCATAAATGGATGAAGAAAGAAGGTGAATCTTTCTCTGCTGGTGATGTTCTTTTAGAACTCGAAACAGATAAAGCTCAAATTGACGTTGAAGCTTCTGAAGATGGTGTTTTGGCCAAGATTATTGTAAGTTCAAGATAAAAGTCACTCTTACCTATCTCTTTTTTTTTAAAAAAAAAAAAATAGCTTCCCGATGGTGGTAAGGGTTCTGTCAACAGTTTGATTGCTCTTATTGCTGAGGAAGGAGACGACATTTCCAATATTGAAGTGCCTGCTGATGATGCTGCCCCTGTTGAAGAAAAGAAAGGTAAAGTTTATGGATAAACGAGTGATGTCTAAACCAAAGTCCCTCTATCTCTAGAGGATGCTCCTGCTGCTGCTGCCACACCTCAATCTGCTCGTACACCTGCTGTTGCACCCATTTCTCACCATGATATTGATACAAGCAAGCTCAAGAAGCCTTTGTCTCCTGCTGTTTTGAACTTGGTTTTGAAGTATGGTATTAAGGATTTGGATAGCATTAAGCCATCTGGTTATGGTGGTCGTATCTTGAAGGGTGATGTCCTTGCTCATCTTGGTCTTATTGCTCCCAAGCCTGCTCCCAAACCTACGCTTACTGCTGCTCCTCCCAGAGATCAAATTGTGTTTGCCAAGGTAAGTCTATATATCTTATGCAACCAACGTCACTCATTCAATATATATATTTATGTATGTATAGACTGAAAAGCCCGTTGAAAAGGCTGTCAAGAAAGAACCTCTTCCTTCTTTTATTCAAAAACAAGTGGTTGTTGATGATCTCTTCAAGTTGCGTCAATCTTTGAATGGTAAAAAAAGAAAAAACAAGGTTGACAACACAATAACTCATTCTATATATATATATACAGAACAACATGGTACTTTTGTCAGTGTGAATGACTTTATTGCTAAGGCTGCTGAACGTGCCTTGCAGGATGTCACTGCCAATCAATCCAACAAGGCTATCAAGAACCCTGTTGTCTATGGTACCTCTGCTTCTGCTTTCTCTGACAAATATACAGGTGGACAATTCAAGTAAGTTTCCGATCCACACGATCATAGGCTCAATAATAATAAATAGGATCTTCAACTTGGCTGAACCCACGTATGATTTCATTACAGATGCTTATGAACCAGCTAAACCTTATGTGATGACAGTTGGTAGTCATCAACGTATCGTCCCACCTACACCTAAGCGCTCATCTGATCATGAATTGCTTGATTTGATTGATTATCTCGGTGGTCAATCGACCAAGAAGGTTCAAGAAGAGCGTCGTGTCCAACTCACTACCAAGTCTGCCACATTAGATTTCTCAACTCAACCCAAGCAACTTCAATACCATGTCCAAGTCAAGTTAGATGGCGGTGTACCTGGAAAGATTTTGGGTGATCAAAAAGCAAATGCTTTCCTTGACCGTGTTGAATATTATGTTAGAAATCCTACTGAATTAGTTGTATAATAAAAGAAGGAGAAAAAAAAAAAAAAAAAAAAAAAAAACTCCCCTTTCTTGACTGAGCCACAAAAAAAACAAAACAAAAAAGAAAGGGAATCACAGCCACTATAAAAGGTCTTCATTTGGGCCCATGCTTAAACATAAAAAAAAAAAGTGGAATGATCTATGCATCACGATGGTGGCACACACACACGCACACACACACACGCACACACACACACACACACACACACAAATATTCTCAAACTTATTTATGAGGGTGGGAGGGAACAATTACTAAAATAGTTGAATAGTTGACAAATTTATCGTGAAACAAGTGAACATTTCTTGTTTCACAAGATATGATAATTAACAAAAAATGACATTACAGAAATCGTAAGAGGAGGGGGGGGGCTGAAAATAAATACGCGGGCACTCTTGATACGTACACGTGGAATGACACACGTGAGACAGAAGAACTAGACACTGTTGTCGATCCTTATATTTTTATTTACAATTTTAGATATGTGTGTGTATGTACACTATGTGCAAGTGTTGTATTGTATATATATATATATATAAAATTAGAACCATTGTTGATTAACAAATGGAAGATAATAATTTGTATTGGCAGGTGTAGTGGGTGTTGAATATGGGTTTGTATAGTATTGTGTAAAATCAGGTTGAACAATCGGAATAGATGAGGACCAGCTCAAAATAGGTTTGCATACATTGTAGTCCATCCATCTCTTTTTGGACATGTGTGGCTGTTCGTCTAAAGTGTCATAGGTGCGTTTCATAGATACTGGTGGTGGTGATGGTGATGGTGGCAGTAAGCTAATACACCATTGTTGACATTGATTCACCCAACTATAGAATTCATCTTGAGGTAAGTGAAGATGATAATCTAATGCTGATAAAAATTCCATTTCCATAATATTCAGTTCACTGATTGAAATACTGGATACTTCTGACCATGTCTATAGATTAAAATTTAATATATGCATATAGAATTTTTTTTTTTTTTTTTTTTTTTACCTTGTTGGTAAATGTATTATCATCCAAATATTTGTTTGCCAAAACAAGTGCTGTCGTAAACAATCTGACTTCTGATCCAATCGAGGCATGAATAGAGGGATAAGCTGCTCGTAATTTCTGAATATAATAAAGGGCGAGAATCATGCAAGTACATGATATCTGTGTTGCTTTCAACACTTTTTGAACATATAGTTTAAAAGTAAGATGTCGTTTCGGACTTGAGATGATGCTCTTAAAGGATCCAGCCCAAATACAAGGTATAATCACTGCACAGAATTCAGCAAGTTGTGATGGATTAGTGATAGTTAAAATAGACGTTGTCATAAAGAAAAAAAGTTAAAAAAAAATAATAATAATAATAATCAAAGGATTGTATTTATATAGAATGTCGGAAACTGGAATTGGAGTTTTTGTATTCGTTCTTTCCGTTACCACCGACTCTCCTAAAAGATCATGTACCCAAAGAAATTAAACTGTTCCATCGTCACACACGATTCTTTTTATTCTCTACCCCCCCTTTTTTTTACCCCCAAAAATTTCATCTCCTCTCCCATAAAATCCTTCTTTTCTATTTTTGTTTACCCCCCCCCAGCTTAATAAATATAGCTTTTTTCAAACTATCTCCTTTTTTGATCATGACGCATTTTAACGCAGTTGCCAATGCGATAGTTCCGTGATTAGACTTATTGGTGGATCTTGTAATTATAATGACAAAAAAAAAAAATTATTTTAGTGCAAGTGCGTTAATTAAACATGTCGAACACTTGGATTCTTACGAATTGATTAGCTAAATCTCAGGTACACAGAGAACTTGATGAATTCCATACGCACTCACACATAAATAGAAATTTCGACGTTTACTTATTCTTGTGTTTCAAGTGATACTAAGTTGATCATAAACAAGTGATGAAACGCCAAGGGAAAAAAAAAAAAATTTCTTCAATCATCAGGCTCCCATAGATCATGATAAATAAAGAAAATAAAACCAAAGCAATAGTTGTCTTTTTAGCCTAGTACATTGTACACTCTAAAGTGATACGCAGATAAAAAAAAAAAAAAAAATACAAACACAAATGCTGAGTTTTTGATCGTATTTTAGTACTACAATAAAATGGAAAAACCGCGGATTCTAAATAATCAAAAACCCTGTAAGAACCAATAGAACTTGTGTCGCATTTTGATAGTATATCGATTGGGTAAATTCTTTCCGGAAAAAGATCTAAATAAGTTGTACGCAGCCGTAGATTGTGGAACAATTTTTTTTTTTTTTTTTGTATTATATCTTTTTCTGCCCTTGACGTAAATAAACCTTAGTGGATGATGTTCTCAGATTATTCATGTATATATAGTCTCTTTATCAACCTGATCCAGACTCTTTATTCCCGTACAAGGTTTCATACAACAATGAATAAAATATATATATATATATATATATATAGGGTAAATCTAAACGCCATTTGAATAATAAACTGACGAATATCCATTTGCATAAAACAAACAGGGTCATATCGGATATTGAATACATGATGAAATAAGTCAATAATCAAGAACATGTGTATCTATGGGTCTCAAGTACAACATGTATATATATATATATATATATCAGGTACAGCCTAAAATATGATTGTGTACATTATGATAGAATGCCAAGGAGTAACTATATACATTTTTAAATGAAATGTACATTTTATTAATAAGGAAGGCAACAGTAACTAGAAGTAATACACAGAATAATGAGTTGATAATTGTACTACACACGTGCAGGATGGGATGATATACGCACACACCGGAAAATGATGCTTTCTATCCTTGAACAAGTTCCCCAAAGCATCATAGATGAATACTATGTAGAATAAAAAGTGTAGGTTGTTTACTTGACTAACACTTAATATAGCCACTATCTGCATTAGTCACAGCTTAGTATTGGTGGTTCATATGGTCGATCAAGCATATACTGTTACCCTTCTCTGCTGTTTCTTATAATCTAATGTAAGTAACAATATGCTTCATTTCTATTTTTTCAATAAAGTGTACGCACACACCATCTTAAAACATGATCTTTTTGTGTTTGGGTGAAATGTGAATACCGGAGTTCTTTTAAGGAGTCCGGCAACCCTATTATGTAATCTATTATTTATCACACTAAAGTTGCCTGATGTCTTGTGTGATATTAAACCAAGACGAATCCTTGTTCAGTATAAACTTGTTAGTAGCAAATCATGAAAAATAAAAAACATAAAGAAAGAGAGACAGAGAGAGAGAGAGAGAGAGGCAGGGACAACATAGGACTGTAATATATATATATATAACCCATGTTATGGATCATCTGCATAAAATGTATACAGTAATACTCTCCGGCGGGCCTTATAACTTTCCCCCTCCCTCACTCCCCCCTTTTCTTTCTTTCTTTTTTTGTATGATGTTGGCAACAACCACACTAGAGGCTTCTGTTACTATACCTTGTTTAAAGAAACAACTGAAGGTCCATATTACACAAGGTCAAAACATAAAAGATATTGTTTACCATCTTGTTCAAACACACGCTATTCCACCTTATTTAACCAACTCCATCTATTCTAATCTACTTGTTCTGATGAAACAAGCCTGTGAGCAAACACTTGCTTATCAACATATACATCAAAAGCAAGATAAACAAACATTACGTCAATTATTTCTAGACGCGTATCAATCCAACACCCTTCAATATAACAATAAACCTGAAGAAGTAAAGTACATCAAAACGCGTTGTAAGATTAATCTGTCTGGATAGGACATTTTCCCTCGAGCCTATCATACCTTGGTCCATTGTCCTATTGCTGCTATCTTCGACACATTGCTTGAACTAGAAAATAATTATGCAATGGCTGTTCAGGAACTACATATGGCGCGTGAAGATGAATTAGCCATGATTCAAACAAGGTATATATATAGATAGATAGATAGATACAATAAACAACGAGCGTAAGTAGTGACCAACAGAATCCATAGACAAGCACAAGAAATAGAATCCCCTAGTTCAGGCACAGCCTCACCACGTCATAGTATGGCCAGTGTCAACAGTAACATGACAAGCATCTTTACTCGCCAAGTAGAAGAAATCGAAGTGTTTCAGGCCACATGGCAATCAGACATGCTTCAAACCCGACAAACACAGCGTCAGGAATACCGAGAATTCGTGATCGAGCTCTACCGTGAATACCAAGCTCGACTTGCTTCTTTATCAGACGAACAACACTTGAGACCTGAAGATACGTTGGCCATTGCAGAAAAAAAGATCGATGGAAAGGACATGGTGGCTGCAGCAGCAGGGCGTGTCAAACAATGGGACACGCAGAGCAAGACAGCTTCTTTGCGCAGTGAATCCACAGGCTCTAAAAAATCAGATCAAGCGCCTTCTGTGAATGAAGAGGTTATCAAAAGTATCCAGGAAATGGGGTTTGAAAGAGACCAGGCAGAGACAGCACTGGTCTTGTCAAACCAGAATTTAGAGGCAGCCATCGGTCTGTTGTTGGAAAACCCTGCCAAAGTCGATGCACATCTGAACGAACAGAAATCACAGCGACCCACAAGTTCAACACTTTACCGTCGATCCCAGTCCTTGAGCCAAGTACCTCGTCCTCCACTGGCTTCGCCACAACCAAGCAAAACAAGTAGTTCGCGTCATGAACCTCGTCGTCATTCATTGCAGCGATTGGGTGCTTCGACACCTACTTTTCTCAACATGATGGGACCCAACCATACAAAATCCAACAGTAGTCCTAATCTTATGATACCATCTCAACCCCAGCCTTCAGCTTCTTCTTTAGGAAAGAGTTGGATGAATTCATTTTTGCATCAACAAAAGCAAGCCATGGAAAACACAAACCTGAGTTCAGTCAGAAAACTCGGTGGTTGGCTTGGTAAAGCCATGGAAAACTTGGGTATTGATGAACAACGATCCCTGTTGAACAAGCAGCAACAACAACACCAGCATTACAATGTGCCTCAACTGGTTGAATCATTCACTATCATGATGGGCTCAACGCAGATCAAATCTTCACATAACCTGAGATTGTTAGTCACAGACGAGGCCACAGAAATCTTTCATCCCTTTTATGATCCACCTCGAGAAATGGCTTATAGAGCAGAGACTTCTACCAAGTTATACACAAGTCACCTTAGTGCTGTCATTGTGCTTGTGGAACTGTCTGAACTCATGCGTCCTCAACAACAAGGATGGAGGCAGTACAAGACGGGTAAGGGAAGTAACAAGGCTCTGTTTGAACGGTGTCAGCAATCAACCGAGTTTCATTTTGCTGATATTGAGACCCAATTGAGTCTGATTGAACAAGATTTTGAAGATCATCCCAACAGTCTAGTGGAAGGATCCTTCTTTGTCACGAAACATGCCAACTTGCCATCCACTCAAGTCGTATTTCATTTAGTCGTCGACAGTGCAGGTAAAATCCATTGTGAAAGGGCCTAGACTGATCTGTCAATCATAGGAATGACAGCCACAGATATCACAAATCGACATCCAGTCATTCTTGGTTTACGCCATATTTTGAAAATGACATGTCAATTTGATATTTCATCCCTCTCTATTCCCTTGTTATTACTACCTGATCGTTTTATGGATCAAACAGACCATTACGCACCAGACCATATGTTATGGCTTCAAAAAAGAGGCGAAGTTGTCATGAAATGTATCAAGGGATTCTTGATTGAGAATTCACGTAGTGGTAAACGAGTCCAAAGTGAAGGATCAGACCGAACAGAGTCTAGTATGGGAGGAGGAGGCATGCGTAATGTAGAATTCTTGTTGCCTAATCGTGCTGAAGTATACAAGACTGGCTTATCTTCACCTCTTGCTATGCCTTCCACCAATAACTCCAATACAAACACAAGCAATAATAATGTAGATACAAACACGATACCACCTGAAGTTGAAGTTGCATTTCAACAATTCCGAACACTTTTAGTCAACTTGTTTAGAACTTCCTGAATAAACAAAAAAAGAATTTATTTATTTATTACTGAATTTACAAATTACCACTGAAAAGCATTTCAATGGCTGCATTCACATTACCGCCTGTAGCAGTTAAGGCGCGAATGTTCTTGGATGCATCCCAAAAGCCCATTTCATTCAATTGTTGTAATTGAACCTGGAAACGTTCTTCAGGTGGACGTGTGTCTGTAGGTGTAGTCTGACTACCACCTAATAAAGCAGCCATACGTTGTTGTAATTGAGGATCAATAGGAGGCACATTACCAAAACCAGCAAAAGGGTTCTGTTGCTGTTGCTGATCTGTTGTGTTGGATGGCATACCACCAAATCCACTGCCTTGCATAGCAGAAGCCATGGTAGCCATTTGACGAATCATATCGGGATTGGATAGCATTTGTCTGAATTCAGGTGATTGCATCATCGTACGAATCTCAGGGCCCATATTAGCAAGTTGAGGATTGGTCTGAATGATGCTGTCCAGAATAGCAGGATTTTGGAGTACATTGGACATGTATTGAGCAAACATGGGGTTTTGTAGCATTTGGTTTGTCATGGTAGGATCCATAGCACCAAAACTGTTACCCATAGCACCTGCTCCAAAGCCTGAACCAAACATATTCAAAGGGTTAGATTGAGAATCTGTTGGCATGCCTGCAAGGCCTGCAAAGGGATTAGGTGCAGCGTTTGTTGGTGTAGTAGTATTGGTAGTGGTATTTGTAGTAGATGGTGTTGTTGATGGTGTTGTTGATGTTGCTATTAGATTTCATCAGTGTCTTGTTATGTTCAGCCATAAACTTACCTTTTGTACCTGGTTGAGAACCTTTGACCATATGTACCGTGTTACCGTCTGCTATTTTACAGTCTGCCAAAGTATCATGGTCTTTTAAGACACGACCTGAATAGATGAGACGTTGTCTATCGGCTGGTACTTCTGTTTGTTCAGCAATAGCTGTCTTTAAGTCCAAGACAGTTTTTTCAGTTTCAATAGTGATGACGAACTTTTTGTCGCTAGAAGACTTTATGTTCACGTTAATAGTAGAAGACATGATGAAGAAGGGAGAATACAAAAAAAAAAATTCTTTCTTTTTCTATACGAATGACAAACTGTCTGTAAAAGGAAAAAAATGCACTGGGTGACGTGTTTACTCCTTTTTTGTCATTCTGCTTGAAGTGTCTTTGGAGTTCTAATATCGCCATGTCAAGCAACATGGCAAGCGATTTTTTTAGCACTGTACAACACTGAGTTTGATGGAAATGACGGACCCAAAAGAAGTTTTTCAATTTCAATATGCTTCATTACTTTGTTAAAATATCAAGTTTTGATGACTTGCTGGAAACAAATGAATAGACACACACAACACTCCCTTCTAATTTTATTTTCTTTTTGGTCCATATGAAAAGGTTTATTTCTTTTTGTCCTTCTTCTTATCCTTCTTCTTGTCTTTTTTGTCTTTCTTTTCCTTTTTGGCCTTCTTTTCAGGTTGATTTTCCTCTGCTTCTTCTGATCCAACACGCTTTCTCTTTTCAACTACTTCTTCAACAGGCTCTGAATAATAACCATAAGGCTTAAAGCGCATTTCCAATCCTTTAGGTTGTTCTCTTTTATAAACAGGTGTCTCAAGAATGGATTGCGCTAATGTTGTTGTGTCAGGAATATCCACTGTTTCATTCAAAATCAAGTATTGATCAAATTTCTTGGGAGCTATGTATTCTAAGTGATCTGCGTCATTTTCTATTGATAGCTTACCGAACGAAAGTTGTCCATTGTGTTCACGAGAAGGAACAAGACAGTCAAAAGAAACCATCTCATGTCCACTGATGCCTACATCCACATTATCTTCAATCAAATCTTCATTGTCTGATTGAGTTTTTAAGTTTTCGGCAGTAGGTACTTTGTATAAAGCATATGTATCGTTCTCTTTTTCAAGTTTACCCAAGGCCTTCTTGTTAGCCTTTTCACCAGGCACTTTGAACTTGATATGAGCAAGGTCTCTTTCAGAAAGCTAATAGAAAAAAAAGATCAGTTTTGTGATGACCATAGTTTTCTCTTTTTACATTGTCAGGAATACGGATCAACCAAAGCTCATTGTCATCGTCTAAAAGAGTTTCTTTATCAAAGGGTGAGTCGAACTTGGAAAGTGCTGGTTTAAAGTCTTTTGGAATGCTGTCAATATATTATATATAGTTTAGATCAACACTAACAAGAGAGTCATCATATCTACCTAATAGTCATTGTCTAAGTTATCAAGTGTCCATAAAGCAAAAACGCTGTCTAAAGTTTTTTTGAGAAACAGTCACGCATACAAAGTCACTTGAAAAATGGTTATTGGGCTTGTTTGTTTAGCCGAGCATGTCGAAATCAAGAAAAATCGATCAACAAACAAATGTAGTCTGTTTAGTAATTTGTTCGACATGAACACACGGAGTGATAGTCAGCAATGGTTAGCGACATTTAATGAAACCAAGAATCATGTTTGTTACAGTACACAAAAAGGAGGTCAAAACAAGATGTCTTGTTTTAGAAAAAAAAAAAAGAAGGTTATGACGATGCATCTCTTTCTGTCTCTCCCCCATTCTTCTCTCCTCTTTTGAATTAAGGTTTGGTAAGAGGCTTAGGTGATGCAATTGAACTGAGAACAAATATAAATTTGCGCAGTCTTATCTCAAGTCACATCTGGACTGCCTTATTCTTGAAAAAGGAGAAAAAAAAAACTATAAAAGGAGGCTCAAAAGGCAGAAAACGATTTTTTCCTTATCCTCTCAGGCCTTTTGGCTAAGATCAAGTGTAGTATCTGTTCTTTATAGTTTAACAACTATAATGAGGGACATTGTCCCTCACGTTGTTAATCTAATTTTTTCCGCCGGGAATCCAAGGCTCTGGCTTGCTATCCTTGGAATCCACAGGTGTCCTTTGCCTTACACTACCCGCAAAGTGACGCCGACCCCCTCTTTAAGATAAAGAAAATGAAAAAAGAATGAATTCTAAAGGAAAAGCAGGGTATATATCTACCCTTCTACAGGATCAAAACTTCGATGAATACATATTATAGATGATCTTGTGGTATTGTTTTATGAAAATAAAACAAGTTGAATATATATTTTATTTGCTATCTATAGAAAGATAGGAGGGAAAAAGTGTGAAAATTAAACATGGCTCAGAGAGCTTATACTATATTGGAGGTCAGAACCGAGTCAACAAGCGATTGTTTTAGGAACAGTTGTGATTCTGTCTTGATTTATTATGCCTTTTGACGCTATTTGGAACATGTAAGACTTGCATTTTTTATTGATATCTTGTATATATACATAGTTTAAATACGGTATGCTATGCATTGTGAAAACGTAACTAGGAAGGAAACGTAACATAAACTATTGAAACTGTATACAAGATGTCTTTTTCAATTAGAATTTAAAGCTACAAGTCATTGTGTTCTATAGAAAAGGCGTGAGCTTGATGAAATAACATAAACCTTAGTAGGCATAGTAATTAAAGTAGGAATAGCGTTCAAAGACATAGTCTGAATCAGGTGTATAAATATTCATTATTAGTTGAGGGTCTCTTCAAGATAACATAGCATTGTATCATATAAATAATATTTCTGCTATTTGAATAAGCAGTCTGATAGTAAGTTACTTATTGATGTATTAAAGACACCAAGTAAATACATGTTTTGATAGTAAAGAAGACAACCATGCACATCCTTTTCCTTCTTTCAACTATACAAAGAGAATACAAAGCCTGTTCATGCACGCATTTGTACTCCAAACACCTACAAACAGTGTTTACTAACATCCATGGTACCTTTGGTATTCATTTAGACAAAAAAAAAGCGGCTTGTAAAATTTGATCAAAATGACCATTCGACCAAAGGGTACATAGTCATGAAAAAAGCCCGTTTGACAACTCCTAATCTTCTTTTAATACTGTTACCGCTATGGTCCTACCTTTGCAAGCTGTGCTTTATGTTCCCCCTTCTTCGTCCTTCGTTGTCCCCCTACGTGTCAAGAAAATGATGGTGTCAGATGTCTTTCAAGTTGATGCTAGACTCAACTTTGTTCACTGGAAAGATACTCGTGATCCTTCACTACTTTATTGGAAGCGTACTCCCTCCACAGTCTTCAAAGGTCTTGCATCTGGGAGTTTGAAACTTCAGCCATTTTTTAGCTCTGTATGTAGTCCTGCTCCACTTGAAGACTCGACGGTCTCATTTGCGCCTTTGATCAACCAGTTTCGGTTTCAAGATGATCAAGGTATTTGTAGTATCAAGGCATCGGCTAAGACATTTCGTCAGTCAGTTCTCTCGGCTATGGCTCCTCCTTTGGCCTTGAGAAATATTACAGAAGTGAAATGGAAATTCTTTTGGTCTCTGTCTCTTACCACCATTCAACGTAATGTGACATACCGGTATATCTTGGGGTGTATTCCTCATCGTCGATTCTTACATTTTATTATGCCTCACGTGTTTGACTCTCCCTTCTGTCCGGTGTGCTTAACTACCACTGACTCTATTAACCATATGCTCTTTCATTGTCCAACTAAAGAGAAGGTATGGCAGGAAATCATCTTTGAGTTTCTTTGGCCTACCACTTCAATATCTGATATCCAAGAGGCTCTTCTGTCCCTGGACTTCTCGTACATCTGGTACTGCCAACGGAAAGGAATCAAACCATACAGAATCCTCATAATTACTCTTTCACAAATCTGGCTTGCTCATATGAGATTTATCTTTGACAAGACCCCCATTGTACCTACGGCCATATTAGCAAGCATCCGATTCAATGTTCGTCAGACTATTGAAGAGGATCAATGCCATTCAATCATGTAACTTTGTTCTATATAATTTATTTTAGTTTAGTTTATTTTATCTAGTGTGTTTCGCTTTATTTTATTAACTTTCATTTTAATTGCACCCGCCTCTTCACTTTGACTATTACTCTTAGTGTACGCGGCTCAATCAATAAACACATTTAAAAAAAAAAAAAAAAAAAAAAAAAAAAATCTTCTTTTACACGCTGCAAGACGAAAAACGGAGCTATTGTCAAGTTTAAATACTCAGAATGTGCGTCAAAGATTAGAGTTTTTGACCAAATTATTTGTTTGCCAACTCTCGAGTAAACATGATGAGATATGAGTGAAAAGCCTCGCAAACATCTTTGCCTATTTGCTCAATATTTTAGTACCAAGTTTGCTATCCTCTTTACATCCATAGACTCAGAAAGCAACTATCTACAGCTTTTGTCACTGTAGCCAAGCTGAATAAATTCTTCTTTATGCAGTTCTTAGCAAAGAACTTGCTTTTTGATGCCCCACAAGAAAATCGAGCTGCTTCCATTTTTATAGCTTTTAATCTTCGATAACAGCCATTTTGTGTATGTGCATGATAAATGATGCGACTCAGGACACACAAGGTCAAAGAGACTATGTTTAGATACATGACTAGAAGACTTACAAAGAATACTGAGAAGCAAAAATACCAAAATATCAATGCATTTATGATAGGAGTAAAGATCAAAAGTTTCAAAAAAGGGACTATCCTAGGGCATAATAGGTCTACAATTGTGTTTCTAAAATGAGCATAAATGACTATCATTATTAGTAAAATGGGGCTAAAAAGTAAACAAAAAAGTGTTCAAGAATGCTGGATAATGAATCATCCAACTAAAAGTGCGTGAGCAGTATTCTTTATTTGTTTGCAATTCAAACACGGGTTTCAGCAGCTAAAAAAAGCTTGAACCTGGTTTTTTTTTTTTTGGGTGGTTTAGATAACACTTTGTGATAATTAATAGGGTTGTTTTGATTTTATAAGGTGATGGCATTGTGTCAGAGTATTTGGTCATTAAGACAAACAGGTTACGAATGAAAAAAAAAAAATGAAAACTTGGTCCTTGATAAACACACATCAAAGAATTTAAACTTTTATTCAAACAAGGGATGTATTATATATTTCGTTTGATATGTAGTTCCTCTTTTTTTTTTTCTATAAAAGAAAACATGTCTTTATGCACTGATCCTAAGATAAAATATACCAAAACTTCATTTTGTTCATTTTGTAGGCTAATAGAGTACGCTGTCATCATCATATGGTAATACATCTTAGACTATCTGGACCTAAAAATCAGTTTAGGTAACTCATAAAAAAAAAATATCACAAATAAATTCTCCTTTCTCCCGCATTATTTTTTATTTTTTTTTATTTTTTCCTTTCTTAAAGAACATGTCCCATTCTCCCAAAAGACAATTTATTGGTGCCGTTGATCAAGGCACTACTTCTTCAAGATTCTTAATCTTTGATCAAGACGGCAAATTAATCACTTTTTACCAAGTAGAGTTACCACAATCACAACCACAACAAGGGTAAAGATATAAAAATAAAAATACATAGAGAGTCTAACACGCATCAAGATGGCTTGAACATGATCCTCTTGATATTCTCGATACAGTCAATGAATGTATTGATAAGACTATCAAACGATTTGAGCTGATGGGATACCAAGTACAAGATATCAAAGGTATTGGTGTGACCAATCAGCGTGAATCTGCTGTCGCCTGGAGCAAAAAAACAGGTGAACCGCTTCGAAACACGATTGTATGGAGTGATGTTCGCACAGACGAGATTGTGCATCAGATGAAACAAAAGGAGAACGCAAGTATTGTTCAGCAAAAGACAGGGTTAGATATCACCTCTTATTTCACAGCAGTCAAGTTTCGTTGGATGTTGGAGCATGATGAACAGGTCAAGAAGGCCTTGGAAGAAGATGATGTTTGCTTTGGTACAGTGGACAGTTGGCTGATCTACAAGCTAAGTGGTGGCAAGGCACATGTGACTGATGTGACGAATGCCAGTCGAACTCTATTGATGAACCTTGATACATTGAAGTGGGATCCAGACTTGTTGGATTTCTTTGGCGTGCCTGAGAAAGTACTACCCAAACTCTGTTCTTCTTCACAAATCTATGGTCATGTCGGCTTAAAGGATTGTCCCTTAGAGGGTGTGCCTATCGCTGGTTGTTTAGGTGATCAACAAGCTGCTCTATTGGGTCAGAAATGCTTTGATAAAGGTGAAGCCAAATGTACTTTTGGTACAGGTGCCTTTATGTTATTTAATACAGGTCAAGAGCCAGTGGTTTCTTCCCATGGTCTGATTACGACTGTCGCTTTCCAGTTAGGTGAAAAGTCAAAAGCTACCTATGCTTTAGAAGGATCGATGGCTGTTGCTGGTTCTTCACTTCGATGGCTCAGAGACAATTTACGCTTAATTGATTCAATGGAAGAAGTGAGTGAATTAGGTAAGCTCTCAGGACAATGAAATAAAAAGAATGGCATGATTGACATGAGCGGTGCATATAGCGGAACATGTCCCTAACACAGGTGGTGTTGTGTTTGTCACTGCTTTTGGTGGTCTTTATGCTCCTTATTGGCGTGACGATGCGCGAGGCACCATGGTTGGTCTCACAAGTTATACCTCTAAATACCACTTGGCCCGTGCTACACTGGAATCCATGTCGTTTCAAGCACGCGCCATTCTTGAATCCATGAACCAAGATGCTGGTGTTCCACTCAAGACCCTGAAGGTAGATGGCGGTGTCTCCAATTCCAATATTGCTATGCAAATCCAAGCCGATCTTTTAGGGATCAATGTCGATCGTCCCTCTATGCGTGAAACAACAGCTTTTGGTACAGCCATTGCTGCTGGTTTGGCAGTAGGCTTATGGAAGGATGTACATGATTTAGATAAGGTCAATAGTGAAGATATCACTACCTTTGTTCCTAATCTAACAGAAGCCGAAAGAGAAGAAAAATATGAAATTTGGAAAAAAGCAGTAGAAGCTTCACTTCATTGGACAGACGATGTAGAAGACTTAACTGATGAAGAATGATCATCCTATATAGACAGACATAGATAATTTATTACATTCTTTAATGACTCTTGTTTTTTCAATAATACATTTTCCTTCCTTGTATTTTTGATTTTTGGCAGGTGCTTTGATGTAAATCCAGCCTATGACAGATCTGCATATCTGGCAAGAGATGTCTGCTACTGTATGAGTTCCTGTTAATAACATGCGGTCTTCTCTTTGACCTCTAGACATATTGATGACTTTTTCAACAAGAAAAGCAGGGCCATGCTATACACTAAGTGGGGATATCCATGATAAAAATAAAGCTCTTACCATGCCTTCAAATGCTTTAGAAATGATATCGTTTTGAGACACTAGATGTGAATGGCATGTAGAACAACTGAAGAACACAGACTCTTTCAAGTAATTAGGATGATATCGTTTCATTGAAAACAAAGAAAGAAAAAGGAATTTTATTATTAAAAAAAAAAAATGAAATTACAAGGCCAAAATAGCATTGACAAACTTATCCACCTTATTTTCATCTTGTCTAGCCATTTCAATAATCATCAAAAGCTTCTTTACACCCAACGTCAATTTGTGATCCATATTGGCTTGTGTGAGAATAGAAAGCGCCCTTTCTCTTTCAACATCACTGAATAGTTCTAATTGCTGCAATACAATATCAACAGCTTCTAGAGAGGTGATGGTAGGAACATAAATCTCTGCTGAAAATTCACTGATCATGTCCATTTGATCCAAAATTTGACGTTGAGTTGTGGTGGCAATGATCAACAGACGACGGTCTTTTGGTGGCTTCTTTTTCAAAAGTACCATGAGAGCCTGCAACACACTGTTAGAGAAGCGAGGACCAATAGGTACATAATCTAAAACAAACAAGAAGTTAGAGAACCATATATATATATATAAGGGACAACTTACCCAAAAGACGTTCAATAGAATCAATCACAATCACACTAACAGGAGACTTGTAAGAATCATTAAAGATCTTGTTGATCTCAGTGACTTTGGCTGTTTCTGTCATGCCAACCATGTTTTCAGGTGAAATCAACTTGATAAAAGGGAAATCACTCTTCATAGCAATGGTGGCAGCAAGAGCCGTTTTGCCACTGCCTGCAGGACCTGTCAATAAGAGACTGACAAGAGGAGTACGGCTTGATTGACGCACTTGGTCAACGTACAGACGACCATCTTCCAAGATTTGATCCACAGAAGGGTTGAAAGGAATGATATGGTTCTGAACACATTGCTGCAGCTCTGCTTCTGATACACCAAAAGCAGGTTGAACTTCCTTTAATGCGTTCAAGAAATCGTCCATACACACTTTCATGTCTTCGATATCAGCAGAAATGCCTGCCATGGTGCCTACTTTGATGTGTCGACTAAAGGCATAAGACGAAGCTGCTTTCACAACACCCGAGATTTCTGCACCACTATAATTCTTTGTTAGATCAGCCAAATCTTCCAAGACAACATCATCATCAAGCACGTCGTTCTTTTTCATGTTGCCTGTATGGATCTTGAGGATCTGAAGACGACCCTTTTCATCAGGCAAACCAATTTCCATATGAACTTCAAGACGACCAGGACGTAAAAGAGCTTCATCAATCATGTCCTTTCTGTTGGTCATACCAATAATCAAGATATTATTGAGTTGTTCAACACCATCCATCTGATTGTAAGTTTAGACATCATGGCCACGAAACGTAAAAAAAAAAAAAAAAAAAAAAAAAAAAAGGCTTACCTTGGCCAACAATTGATTGACAACAGAGTCACCTACACCTGTATTATCACTTCGACTACCACGGGACTTACAGATAGCATCCAGTTCATCAAAAATGATGATATGTAAGCCAGAATCTTCTCCCTTGGCACGGTATTCTTCCTCTGCATCAGCAAACAGTTTACGAACATTCTCTTCAGATTGACCCACAAATTTAGACAGGACTTCAGGACCACTGACAATCTTGGGTTCTTTGGCATTCAACATTTTACCAATTTGACGGGCCATCAAGGTTTTACCTGTACCAGGAGGACCATACAACAAAATACCCTTGACATGCTGAACACCCAGTTTCTCTACAAGAGCAGGAGGGAAAATACGGGATGCAAAAGCACGACGGAAAATAGCATTGAATTCATCATCAAGACCACCAATACCAAGGTCTTCAAATTGAAAGTCAGGCTTGATCAATGCTTTAGCAGCCATCCTATGCATTCTTAGTTTACGCCTATCAACAGACATATAGACTTACGCTTTTTTCTTGGCTTGCTTTAGATTCAAAAAGGAACCCTCAGCTTTGGTGAATTCAACATTGGTTTCTCGCATTAAGACACCACGTATAGCATGGCTCGGTTGTTCATGACGAGCGTCTACTTCTCCTCTTCTCAAGACATTCAGATCAACGACGTCCAATTCTCTTACAGTCGCTCTGAATTTGACACCATGGTATTCAAACACAAAGAATTGACCCCGAGTAAACATTTGACTATGAAAGTTCTGCATGACATCAGTCCTTTTCATGTTTCTCTAAAGATAGACTTACGACTGAAAATGCTTTTGCAAGGTCTTCTTCTTTGAATTCATCAGGAAGTCGATTACTTCTCTGGAAAAAGTCAATGTCCATCTTGAGATTGCCTAGATAGATGTCTACGCCTTCAGCATGTATATCATAAGGGTCTACTGTCACGCGCTGCCCAATAGAGAACGATGCCCAGCGACGATGAGTACCGTTAATACCAATCTGATTTTTTTGAAGTGTTCTGTCTACTCTATATTGTCAAAAAGAAAAAAAATAAGCATGATGAGATTGGCTTACAAGATGACTTGCCTGACAGAAAATACATATTCACGAGCAACGATAACATAATGAACCTGAGGATCAATCACACCAGGTGCAATATAAGCATAATTTGTTAAAGCAGCTGAATCACTAGGACACTGGGCTACTTCAAAAAGCCCTTGGTCTGGTTCATCAAAGCGAGAATAATTCATAAAGAAAAAAAAAAAAAGAAGAGGAGGGGAAACGTGTTACTGAGCTGGATTCTACCGGCGCTCAAATACACGCATAGAGCGTCTGTTTATTATGATTGGGCAATCCAGTTTTTAATATGATCCATCTGTTGATGTTCAACAGAGCACGCCTCAAAGTCAATTGGGTTATCGATATGATCAAACTTGAAATCTTCACCTTCATAGCCTAAATAAGCTTCTTGTTCATCACTCTCTTGTTGTTCAACACGGGCAGTACGAGTAGCACGCAGACGATGACTATGGTATCCATATTAGCCTTGTTTCTTGATGAAATTACTTACATTTCAGTTTCCAATAAAGCCTTGATTTTCTCGGTAGGTAATGCAGTAATCATGTCTGATTTGTTGCAGGCAATCAAGATAGGCATACGTTGCTTTTGTACATCAGGTTTGGCCAAAATGTCATAGAGATATTCAGCGACAGGGCGAATGTGTCGAGTGATGCTGGTACTATCCACCAAAAACACAATAGAGCGTGTCACTGGTAAAAAGTCAACATATCTGTAACGGACACGATCATGACCTGGCACATCGACAAGATCAAAGACCTAATCATGTCAATATTGTCCTTGTTTTTGTTTTTTGTTTCTTACTTTATTGTTGATGGTAATCTGTCCTTCATTTTCTTTCATGGAAGAAACAGTGGGATGCTTCTTTCCATTCTTAAGCTAGAGACATATAGATCAATAAAGAGATACAAGGGTCTATTGTTTACCAATATATACATGGCTGTTTTGCCTGCATCACTAATACCCAACAATAAGATGGTGTTTTTGCTTTGTTTTTTGGTATACACAGTCAGTGCAATCACTAAAGAACATGAGTTATGGTTTACTACAAAGCATATTACATGTTGCCACAATAAGAACAGAAATAGCTGCAATAGCCTTTATGAGTATATCATTATCCATGCTTTAAAAAAAAAAAACTAGGTGGAAGAAAAAGAGAAATTTATTTTTGATGACAACGCTTTTTGATCCATTCAATATAGTATTGACATACTTGATCTCTTTCAGGAACAGTTTCATTATGTACTAATCATCAATGAGTGTGTTGTTGAGCAATTTGAACTTACATTCATGATATAATCCAGGCCATGTCTTGAGTTCTTTGTCCTGACTGACGGTGAGTGCATAAGCCTCAGCAGTACCTTTGTATGCATTTATAGGATCAGCATCACCATGAGAGTACAAAATAGGCGTCTTAATCAATTTGGCTTTTGTCTTTAAGATATCTGCACCAGCATCAATAAAACTTCTCACTACATCAAATAAATAAATAAAAGACAGTTTGTTGCACAACATTACATGTGGCTAAGGTTGCATAATCATGAAGCAAAGGATCATTGATATAAGCTTGAATTTCATTTTCATCATGAGAAATGCCTTTGGGATCCACATTAGCCTGAATAGTGATACTAGGAAGAACCATAGAGATAAGTCGAAGTGAATAATACTTGAGAGCAGGAATAGGCATCGATAGAGTGATAAGAGAAGCAGAGGCAATGGCACCCGTCAATAGCTTGACTCCTTTGTATGTATCACCCCTTGCAAGATAGTTAAGGACAAGACCACCACCCTATAAACTGGGTTATTGTTTCTTGATTTGATTTTGGTGTGCTTACCATACTATGGCCCATTAAGAAATGAGGTACATTTTCTTTCTTTGTCCTGAGAACTGCGTCATCAATATCCTTTAGTGCTGTGTTGTAACTAGTTGATAGAGTTAACTCTACTGCTTTAATTTTTTTCTTTTATTATTATCATTATTATTATTATTATCATTACCCCTGATTGTTGCCGAATTGACCAGATTTCTTTCCGGTCTCTCCCCAACCACGTTGATCATAGCCATAACATTCAATGCCATGACTAGTAAATACTTCGAACATGCGATTGTATCGATTAATATGCTCTCCAAAACCATGAATCATTCTAGAGAACATCATTAGTCTTGTCATATATTCAATTCGCGTACACTAAGGTGGCAATAGGCTCTGAAGCAGGTTTCCATGTCTTTGTAAAGATTTCATTTGTGCCTTCCTTTATCCATTCAAGAGTAGTAGTAGCCATAGTAAATAATAATAGTAAAAAAGCAAAGAAAAAAAAGGGGGGAGAAAAAAAAAGTTCTTAAATTGAGTTTTAATGCATGAAAATATCACATGCAGTGAAGAAAAAAAGTACACACACATACACACACATACACACAAAAAGATAGGCGCATATATGGTATATATTGTTTATGCTCTTTCAAGGTGATACAAACCAATTCTCCTTTAAGAACCTATTGTTCTTTTTCTTCTTTTTTCTATTTATCTTTCATATGCCAGAAGTACGTGTTCAGCCTCGAAGTGTTTATGAACATCATATTTCTATTCAGAAATCAAATACCACATTAAGCTGGTCCTTTTCTACTAAAAAGAACAGTATCTGCTTTGGTCTTTACTATAGACCAAGTCAGAAAAATGGTACGACTTTGGATGAAACTCGTCCTCAAAAGGCCATCAAAAGACGAAATCTATCACTAAAACTCACACCGTTAAAATCACACAACAAGAGCGAAGACACTTTGGATGAGGAACCCAAAAGATATAACAATAGACGAAAATCATCTTCTGCTACCTCTATTACTCATTTATTAGATAATGATTTCATTGAATTGATACCTATCGATCAAGTCAATTCATCAAAAGAAACTATTGTTGGATCATTTTTGGCTCAACATCCAGGAAATTATGTGCTGATATTTGGTAAAAACAACCAGATAGGTATGCTGTTTCTGACTTGTATAGATAACATGTTTTCTCGTAACACTTCAAAGCTACTTTCGTTTGCTGTCACAAGTGATGAACCTATTGATGAAGGATTGGATCTTGATAGTGACATGTCTGGTTGGTTATTGAAAAAAAGGAGAAAACGAATGCAAGGTAATATGCCAAAGGAGAAAAAGGGAAATATTAACACACACACACACACACACACACACACACACACACACACACACACACACACACACACACACACATAATAAAGGATGGGCCAAAAGATGGTTTGAGTTATCTTCTACAGGCGTATTGTCTTATTCGTTAAGAAAGAATGATCTAAAACGTGGCTCGCTTCAGATTGCATTGGCTACTATTGCCATTTCAGCAAATCAACGTATTCTTCATCTTGATTCAGGTACTACTGTGTTTCATCTAAAGGCACTCTCTGAAGCATCATTTGAACAATGGCTCAAGTGCATTCGAGCAAGAAGGTCTTCTCAACATAGTGATGTGCTTGTGTGGAATGAAGACACGCATCTCCAAACAGCAACCAGTGGCTTTAAGGGAGAGCAGCAAGAGGACGAGATTATATCAAAAGCATTACTTGACCTTGGGGCCGAGATTCAACATTTAAAGCAATTGGTACTGACAGAACTACCTTCCTTGCTATCGCATGACAGTATTCAACACAAAGAAAATGAAAGCAGTTCGCAACCTACATCACCTACACATATCAAATTCATTCGGCTACCTTTTAGGCGTCACTCTTCTATCCACTTGGAAGAGAAACAATCTCAGGAACAGATTTTAGAAAAACTGAATGCTTCTATTGAATCTCTCCATCAATATCAAGAGATCCTCTTGAACACGTATCACAAACAACACTACCATCATCCACTGGATATCCCAAGCAGGACAGGAACAGGATTTTTATCCCATCGCTCTGCTGGTAGCTTTTATTCCTATAGTGTCTTGTCTGATACATATTATGATGCTGAAGACTACTTTATTAGTACGGATGACAATGATTCAATCCATGACTCTGTTGCTATTGATTCTGAAGATGAAGATGATGCAGAAGAAGATGACAAGCAAGAGAAGAAAGGTAAAATACACATGATGGAAGCAACATGGGCTGATTATTTTTAAAGAAACCCATGATGCTCTATTTCAAGCCAATACTCTTTGTGTGACTAGAAGAACTCGATTGCCACATCCTGTAGCCGTCAAGAGTATTTCATTCTTGGGTATCCTTCGAAAAAACATTGGTAAAGATTTATCGACTATCACGATGCCAATCACATTGAATGAGCCCATCAATTTGCTACAACGACTCTGTGAAGAACTAGAATACACAGAATTGTTAGACAAAGCCTCTACTTTGCCTGATTCAATGGATCGATTAATGTATGTGACCATGTTTGCTATTTCAGGCTATGCTTCTTCTCAATACCGTATTGGCAGGAAACCTTTTAACCCGCTATTGTGCGAGACATATGAATGTATCCGACCTGATAGAGGATTTCGCTTTATATCAGAAAAAGTCTCTCATTCTCCCAATATCATGGCAGTAAAGTATTATTTTAATCAAAAGCACGCTATTTATGTTATTGATAGTGTCATGCAGAATCAAGTACATTTGAATATCGACAACACTATCAAGGCAAAACAAAATTCTGGGGTAAATCTATGGAATTGATTTCAGAAGGACAGAGTTACATTCAACTTAAAGGTCATGAAGATCATTACACGTATTCAAAACCATCCAGTTGGTTAAGAAACTTGGTAGCCGGGGCTAAGTATCTAGAGCATGTAGGTGAGATGAAGGTCTGTAATCATGCTACAGGCGAGACTGCCATGGTTACCTTTAAAGAAGCCACTGTGCCTGGTAGCGGATTCTTTTCAAACTTGGCTTCCAATCATACTGAATACCGAAATCATGTTGTAGCTAAACTTTATGATAGTGATGGTCATCTTTCAAAAGAAATCAAAGGAAGGCATAGTGAGTTCTTGTCTGAGGTTGTGGGACCAGATCAATACACTGTCTTGTGGCGATGTAAGCCGCCATGTATCCCTGATTATGATGCTTATTATGGGTTTACATCCTTTGTGATGGAATTGAATGAAATTACGCCTATTGAAATCAACAGATTGCCTATGACAGATACTCGGTATCGGCCAGATCAACGCTTGCTTGAAGATGGGAAAGTAACAGAAGCAGAAGACAGAAAATTACTTCTTGAAGAAAGACAGAGAGAACGAAGAAGAAAGTACGAGACAGAGGGAAAACTATGTCAACCTCTGTGGTTTGAACTAAAAGCAGATGCGTTATCGCCTATTGGAGAATCATGGCAGTACAAAGGTGGTTATTGGGAGGCAAGAGAAAGTGGGCAATGGCCAAAAGATATGCTACAACTCTGGTAGATCATAGAATAAGCATATCAAATGTTCCCTACCCCTTTGCCTTGAACCAAAAGGAAACACTAAATAAAATATTTTTGATAGTGAATACCGATGAAATGTAATCCAATTCAACTAGGTTGAAAACTAAATTCTTTTTTTTTCCTTCTTTTTTGGTTTTTTGACAAGGTCAATGTTCAAGCGAGTATTTTTTCAAGTTTCTCGCTATTCAACCAAAGGTTAGCCACTTAGGGAACAAGAAATATAAGTTAACAAACAATAGCAACCACTCCTTTTGCTTTACAGTCAAGTAGAATTACACCTCCCCTTGAAAACAAACTAAAGCTCTTGTCCGATCGCCATGACAACCTACTGACTCAACTCAATGACAACGGTTTGAATCCAGCAGATCTTACACAGGCTTCAAAAGAACTTGCTCAACTTACAGCTCCCAAGTCTTTATTTGAAGAATGGATGAAGCATCGTTGCGATCTAACTGAACTCCATGATCTCTTGTCTACCAATACCACTGATGATGACATGATTGATATGGCAAAAGAGGAATATACAGATATTATGGATCGCATTCAACAGTTAGAAAAAGAACTGATTACTGAATTAGCACCTAAAGATGAAGCAGATGATGCTAGTGCCATCTTAGAAATCCGAGCAGGTGCAGGTGGTGATGAAGCTTCTATTTTTTCAGCCGATATGGCCAGAATGTATGAGCGTTTTGCACAGTTACAGCGTTGGAAATGGGAAGTATTGGCTCGATCAGATGAAACTGGAAATAAGGGATTTAAGGATATTACAGTCAATATTGGGGGTAAAAATGTATTTGGTCTGTTGAAATATGAATCTGGAGTCCATAGGTAAAAAAAGAAAAGAAAAGACAAAGCATCTATTTATGGTTTGTTAGAGTGCAACGTGTTCCTGCCACAGAAGCACAAGGAAGAATTCATACATCAACAGTAACCGTGGCTATTTTACCACAACCAACTGAAGTTGATGTTCAAATCAAAGAGAGTGATTTAAAGATTGATGTTTATCGTGCCTCTGGTGCTGGTGGTCAACATGTCAACACAACAGACAGTGCAGTCCGTATTACACATATGCCAACAGGCTTAGTGGTGGCTATGCAAGATGAACGTTCACAGCATAAAAACAAATTGAAAGCACTGAAGGTGTTACGTGCCAAAATCTATGAACAAGAGCGTCTCAAGACACAAAATGAACGTAGAGATTCAAGAAATGCTCAAATTGGCAGTGGTGATCGTTCTGAAAAGATTCGAACCTACAATTATCCTCAGAATCGTGTAACAGACCATCGTATTAACTTGACACTTTATGAGCTGGAACAAATCATTTCTGGCGAAGCATTGATGCATATTATTGAACCTTTGCAGGAGCATTATTTAGCAGAATCTTTATTAGAGGAATAAAATAAAATAAATTAGACTGGCTTTTATTCTTTTTTCTTTTCTTTTCTTTAACGTTTATTCAAGTTGTCGAATAGAAATAAAGAAAAGAACGCGATAAACTCGCTAGACGTAGACCCTTTGTTTGCTCAACAGCAGGAAGCAGACGAAGGATTTGCGTCTTCTTCGTCTATCGAACAAGACCAAATATACGAAGTTATTCGACGCAAAAGAACAAGTCAACAAATGCAACCCACTTCCTCAGTAGTTGATACGAGTCGAAAGTTATTCGAAGATAAAATCAAAATGGCACCTGTAGAGTCTATTTTATGGATTTTGTCGTTTTTATGGGTTTTTTATCAGCTGTTGTTTACGCTTGATAACCAAGTCATTACAGGTACATTATTACATAGCAATCAAGAGTGACTCACCCTATTCTATCTAGGTTGGTTGTTTAGTATTTGGGTTGGTTTTGGATTGGTACGACTCACTGCAAAAAAGAAAGAGAAAGAAATGAAATGCGAGGATCATGCCATATCAACTTCTTCTGATGAAATATTTGATAGCCCTGCAACAAAGGCATATGACGGTGACAAAGAATCCAAAGTCTTGAATGAATTTGTGATCAGACATAGTACACCAACTCATTTAGAGTCTGTCAACCGTATTTATGGTGCCAACAAGACTTCATTTAGGTAAGCATGGATTGATCTTTTTAGTTGTAATTAAATTCTGTTCTAGAGCAAATGCAGATGATGGGTTGTTATGCGGTGTATTGTTATTGCCCATGGTGGCTGCATCAAAACTCATTGATGCATCAAAAAAAGAGATGGATCAATATCACATAGGCAAGTACTATTGTTTTTTTTTTTTGCTTGCTTGCTTACTTGTTTATTGATCATTATATATATATATATATATAGCCTATCTTAGTGTTCGACTAGAGCTTGTCTTGTTTATGAGTGTGATTCTTTTGATTCAAGTGTTTGTAAATGAATATTTACATCCTCTTAAGCGAGTGATTCGAAAGCGTGGTTTGTTTGTCTCAAGTATTTGTGTTGCTGGATTGTTTACAACCTTGCTCAGCTATTCGCCTTTGGCACCTACTTTATCAAAAGCACCTCTTACTATTACGATTATGTCAGTCACTATGTTTCAATGGTTTCTTTATATCTGTGTAGTCACGTTAAAGAAATGCTTCACATTAGGTGAAATGTGCATTATTTCTCAAGCAGCAGCAGTTGTTGTTCATGGTGCAGCAGAATACATTTGTGTCAGTGTAAGTGACCATTCAAACAGAATATATGCCTTGTTAATTATGGTCTAGTATTACCCAGACTATATGCCATTTTATATGCAGTTTATAGAAACTTCATGTAGTACTGTTCTGATTCATGCGCTTGTGGTTGGTATGATCTTTATTGGGGTAGTTACTTACCCTTTGCTTCGACAATCAAGACGTCTGGCTCAAAGACCTTATTGGAGATCATCTACAAAGCTTCTTCAAAACAAAAAGGTACCTGTTGCTATCACTTTTTATGCTTTGACGGCTGTTATCGTCTTTTTCGTGATTGCGCCTATTTGTCAAACAATTACAGGTGAAAATCCTTTCATGTGGTAAAGTAAACGATGAAAGATATTGAGTCACTCAATTTTAGATAGGACACTGGACTTTTTATACATGTCTCCTTCTCGTATGTTTCTGTGTCTCTATTGGTCATTGACAGTGATTACTACGGTTGTGATTTGGGTTCTTGTGTTGGATTTTGTTCCTCAGTCAAACCAACAAGACCAACCGTTTTATGCAAACACAAATGTAGAAGGCAAGGCGTTAACAAGTTCATTAAACAAGAAGCGTAAGTTGTTTCATGCTTTAGCAGTCATCATGTTTGTGCCTGGTGTTTTGTTTGAGGTATGTTTTTTTTTGAATGCCTATCGCTTATTGTATTAGCTCTCTTTTCTTCAATTGGCTTTTGGTGTTGCACTGTCTGCTTTCATTTACTTGGAATATTTGAGATATTTTGCTATTTGGCCTTGGGGAAAAAGCCTTCATGTCTTTTTGACTGAATTTATTGACAATCGAGACCTTGGACCTGTCATTCTTAGTCATATATATTTGTTATTAGGATGTGCTAGTCCTGTTTGGCTTGAAAGGTAAATCAACACAATGTTCGACTGGGGTCATCGTGGCTTATACACACATAGTTCCAACGTACTGGCAAGTTTGTCAGGTATCTTGTCTTTAGGTTTTGGTGATGCTGCTGCATCTATCATTGGCAAACGTTTTGGTAGATATTATTGGCCTGGCACAAAAAAGACAGTGGAAGGCACGATGGCGTTTATTGTGGCTGTTTGGTTAAGTTCTTGGATCATTGTTTACAGTGCTGCATTGTTAGGTATAGACGATGCTGCTCGTTTTGTTGCTTCGGCTGGCCGAAGTGAATGGTCTGATTATTCTTTTGTGATTACTTTAACAGGTAATGTAAACTTGTATGTAACCATAGACTTAATTTGAATCGCATAGGCTTATTGGAAGCATTCTCAACTCAAAACGATAATATCGTTATACCACTTTATATGTATGCCCTTGTTGTTTTAGCGCATGCAGTATAGAAAAAGGTTTATGGCATAATAATCTTAAATTGAACCGAGTCTTCATAGGCCTATGTGTAACATTCCCACCTTTGTGTATATGCAATGAACATAACTGCATAGGATTTTCTCTCTCTCTGTCTATACCTGGTTCTCATTTAAGACTTCTTTCTCCACCCCCCTTCTTCCCATGAAAATTAAACTTTTTTTTTTTTTTTTTTTTTTTTTAATGCGTGACACTGATGTGAAATGTACGAAACATGAAAATTCATGCTTAAATATACACACAAAAAAAATGTGGACATTTCACATGTACATGAACAAACCATTTATTCTTCTTTTCTTTTTGTACTTGTTATGAAATCATATCCAGACAAACTCATTGTAGTTCCTCTTGAGAACAAAGTCTTATTACCCTCTGTTGTCTTGCGTTTGTTTATTCGTGGTAAACAAGCCAATGAATTAACAAAGTCTTATTTTCGTCAAGAAAATCAAAAGACATCTCAAAAAGATACTTATATTGCTTGTGTTCCACTGGAACCCATTCAGCATCCACCACAGGATCGTCATTCACAAGGTTACGATACAGTGGGCACTCAAGCACCTCAATTTCCATTAACAACGACAAAACAAGTCGTAAGCAATAACAATAACAACAACAGTGGCGTGTTAGTTTCAACAGAAGACAGACATCGACTTTTATCATTTGGTTGTCTAGCACGAATCATACGTGTCCAAAGATCGGGTGCCAATCTTTTTGGTGTCTATGTTGAAGGTATTCAGCGCTTCAAGGTCGACAGGTTTACTCAAAATACACCTTCCATGGCGTTCCCAGGCTGTTGGGTTGCACATGCCTATTACCCTGCTATTCAAACAAACTCGTCATTCATGCATCTTGAAAACCAGTTCAAGGATTTAAGCCAGACATTTGTGTCCAAAATGCGGGAATTACAACTCTCAGAAAGTTTATTGACTCAATTGGCTAAACTAGTCAATACAATGCAGGTTTCGTGTTTAGCTGATCTTTTGGTCTCGCTGATTGAGACAACATTTGAGGAGAGATGGTCTATGCTTTCTACGTTTGATGTAGGACAGCGATTGCAAAAAGCGTGTGTATTCTTGACACGACAATTGCATGTCTTGCAAATTTCGGATAATTTAGGTGCAGGTATTGATGGTCGATTAAGTAAACGACAACGTGAATTTTACTTGAGACAGCAGGTAAGTCTGTTCATAGCTGGTCTTATACAAACACCCGTCATAAAAAGTTAGAAGCCATTCAAGATGAACTGGACAGTAACAATAGTCATACACCCGTTCATGTGTTGACTTCGCCCAAGCAAGAAGAAGACGAATTAACTGTACTGCATCGTCAACTTGTCCAAGCAAACTTGCCTAATGATGTTATTCTTGTTGCTCAGCGTGAGCTTCAGCGCATTCGAAAACTATCGCCTGCTTCTTCTGAATGGGGTGTATCTCGAAACTATCTTGAATGGTTAGCTGAATTACCTTGGAGCACAAGCACACCTCGTTCAGTGCTCAACATACAAAAGGCCAAAAATCAATTAAACAATGATCACTTTGGCCTTGAACAAGTAAAGAAGCGTATCTTGGAATACCTTTCAGTGATCAAAATCAAAGGCGATCTTAAAGCACCTATCATTTGCCTTGTAGGACCAGTAAGTTGTGATTCCATGTATGCACTGTATTCATGCTCTCTAGCCTGGTGTAGGCAAGACATCGTTGGGTAGATCCATTGCGCAATGTATGTCGCGCGAGTTCCATCGTATCTCTTTAGGTGGTGTACGAGACGAGGCTGATATGAGGTAACCATCCATATGACTGTTCTTAAACTCATGCCAATACGCTAGAGGTCATCGACGCACATACGTAGGTGCCATGCCTGGTTTGATTATCCAAGGGCTTCGCAAATGTAAAGTAAACAACCCTCTTTTTCTTTTGGATGAAATCGATAAACTTGTTCATTCTTCTCATTATGGCGATCCTGCTGCTGCTTTGCTAGAAGTCTTGGATTCTGAACAAAACAACAGTTTTGCAGACCATTACCTTAATGTTGGATTTGATTTATCGAATGTCTTGTTTATTGCTACAGCTAATTCTTTAGACACCATTCCAGGTCCTTTGTTGGACCGTATGGAAGTCATTGAACTTCAAGGCTATACCATTCAAGAAAAATTACATATTGCCAAGACACACCTGATACCTAAACAAGTATTGGCTCATGGACTGACTTTAGATCAAGTCAAATGGTCAGAAGAAGCAGCCTTGACTCATTTGGTTGAACATTATACCAGAGAAGCAGGCGTAAGACAATTAGAACGAACGCTAGCCTCTGTTGTACGTCACAAATGTGTTGAACTCGCTGAACTTAGAGACCGTGGACAAGAACTGGCTTATTCTCCTTCTATCTGTATTCAAGATGTCGAGCTTATTTTAGGCGCAAGTATATAACCATCATGAAAGAAATAACCATTGACCTCCCCAAGATTAGAATATCAAGTTTGAAAAAGAAGTATCTGAACGCGAATCGTATCCAGGTGTAGTAACAGGCTTAGCTTATTCTGGCAGTGGCAATGGAGGTATTCTATTTGTGGAAGCCTCTAAAATGCCAGGTCATGGTCGACTTGAATTAACAGGTTCCTTGGGTAATGTCATTCAAGAGTCTGCTAAATTAGCTCTATCTTGGGTGAAATCAAATGCCTTTGCACTCAAGTTAACAACACACTCAAAAGAAAAGCTTATTGAACAAGACGATATTCATATTCACTTCCCTTCTGGTTCTATACCTAAAGACGGTCCAAGTGCTGGTAAAGTTCTTTTTTTTTTTGTTAGATTACTTAATCTCTTCTTAAGGCGTAACGTTAGTTTGTGCTCTTGTCTCTTTGTATTCTGATAAATGTATCCCAACAACAACTGCAATGACAGGCGAAATTTCTTTAAGAGGACAAATATTACCTGTAGGCGGCATAAAAGAAAAAGTCATATCGGCACATCGAGCAGGCATTCGTAAAGTGGTTTTGCCCTTCAAAAACAAAAGAGATGTCGAGAGTGATATACCGAAAACTATATGTGATGATATTGAATTCTGCTATACAAAAACTATTTGGCAAATGCTGGAATTTGCTTTTGAGAATCATGCTAGAACGACACATCCTCGCATGTTGGAAAGCCATCTATAAATTACACACTTGATTTATTCTTACAATAAAACAAAGAAGAGAGACACTTCTAGCTTATTTGGTCTTGAATAATCTTAGCTTATTGGGTGAATATAAGTAGTTGTCAGCGTAAGCCTTCTTGACAAATTTCTTAGTCTTGGGCTCTTGAACATAATAGTGCCAGCCTAAAAGAAAATCAACACATATCCCCATATTAACGGTCCAACGTACCTTGCTTTTCGGCAAATCGAATAGCATCTTCTTTAGAAAGGAACTTCATGGTCAAGCCTTGTTGGTAATCAGAACTAGAATGAGGTGAGTATCGATATAAACAAAGCTATTGTGCTGTTACCTAGAAGCCCAACCCATAAGAGGGTTTTCCCAACGGTTACCATCTTCCAAGATATCAAATTCGATACGCCAGAGTCTGGTGCCGTTCTTGCCTTGTTGAGCAGGTGTACGAGAAGGCTTAAGGATACGAACAGTACGCTCTAATAAATCATCTATAGAGAAAAAAATAGTGTAAATTGCAAGTGCTTTGTTTTGGTGTATGTATTCTAACCAGGAGCGCCGGAAAGGTTATCAACACTGAGAACAGGTTGGTTTTCCAAGTGTTGAACATCCTTGGTTTGAGTAGAAGAGAAGCGAATAGTAGAAGCACAAGCAGGTCTGATTAATGTAGAACGGCAGAGAACTGCTGATCTGGCAATGAGTGAAGAGGACATGACTTGAGTAGTGTAATCAAAAAGTAAGAGAAAAAACCGCACCCAAAAAATAATGGTAGCCTTTGAAGCGGGGGCACAAAAAATGACTTAACGCAAATACCCTACCCCACTTTAAGTGACGTCGACCAAGTTTGTGGCTTTTATTTGATGAATTTCTAAAATAGTTAACGAAGTGCATTTGTTAAGAGCGCGTTGAAACTTAAAGTATATATATACATATACATTCGGGTCATGGCATCAACAGCAGGCCACAACAGCTCTCAAGAGGCCGAGATGACCAACATGCCTTGAAAAGCACCATCAGCAACACCTTTGTAGGTTCAATGGTAAGTAAATTCTTTTTCAAGAATAACAGCCACTAAAGCTAATGTGGAATATCGACGTAAAACCTTTGGGATTGTTGAAATAAAATCACTTTTCAGTCTTTCAAAGTCAAATCACCCAAAGGCACTTTTCTAAGCAATATGGATATCTTTACCTCTTAAAAGTCGTGTTGACCTGTTATTGACGTGATATTCTGTTTATGTATATTCACATGAAGTGTTTCTTATGCTGAATGCAGTCGCAGCATCTCTAGCGAAGAAAAAGGATGTAAGTCTGAATTCTTTCTTAGTTTTGGCTTGGCCAGCAACAGTGCGAACAGCATGATCATCTGTCAGCTTTTCGCTTAGAGTAGTTGTGGTCAGGTTTTCATAGAACTATGGATAGTACAGTGAGTAAATGTTTGTCATTAGTTTATACATCCATTGCGTTGAGTGGACAATAGAGTGAACAGAATATGCTTTATCGCTCATTGGTCACTGCAAAGAGGACTTGGCTCGTTGTAACATTCTTTAGATCCAAAAGTGTCTACAACAGGCAACAGGAATGTTGGACATCTTTGTTCCGAAAACTGTAATGCACATATCTCGATTCCATCCAAATTTGTACATCAAACTAAAGCGCTCTTATATGAGCTGTTCTTAGAGTTTGGATGGAACTTGTTCTTGCATTTGTCATTCTTACTAGCTACTAGATTGCCATAAACAAAGAGAACAATGTCTTTATTTCTTTGCAAGAGGGAATTATATGTGCTCTTTAGAGCTTGATTTCTTCGATAAGCTTAGAGGTCCATGGGCACCAATGGCAACCAGGCAAAAGAGTATCACAGACTTGATCGAGGTGACGGTTGATCCATCGAATACCCATATCGCAAACTGCGTCCTCAGTTGCGTTGAAGAAAGAAATTGAGTCAGGTTCGACCATAAAGCTCCAGGGATAGTTCCAGTGTACTTTGGCCTTTACGATTCTGCCTTGAATATGAGGGCTTTCTGTTGTGTTGCCACTGATAAGCTCTCTGGCATGCTGAATCAAAGTACTGTTTGTAAGCTTGATAGCAAATGTGGGACTTTCGTTTATGAATCTGAAATAAGCTTCCTCTGCACTAGCAAAGTAAGCAAAAGCAATCAATAAAAATGAAAACAATATCTTCAACATGGGGAAGAAGAGAAGGTTGAGAGAGGGACACACTTTATATACTAACTTGTTTTATTCTGGGATGTGTTTTCAAGAATTTGATCTGCATAAAAAGAAAAAGCATATATGACATTAGCTTTCAAATGAATTGTCCGTCTCTAAGTTTCCGAATGAAAAAGAATGCAATGGTCCTGGTTTGGTCATTCTGACCCAGAAGTTAAAATATTGTATCGCTGTGTTCTTTACAAACAGAGCATATTTTTAATGACGACTTGTAAATATTTATATTCCTTCTTGGCTAAAATTATGCAACTGAATTCTGAGTCATTAAATGACAAATGTCAGGTTAGCAAAGATAACCAAGCGAATGCCATGTCAATTCGTAAAAAATCGATGCTTATAACCCTGAGAGAGAGGTTTTATGGCTTAGTAGTTTCGAACCACTAAGCTTATCTATTACTGACTTCATTTTTATGGAAAGTGAAATCATTAGACCATTCAAGATAATGAAGCCAAAGATGGTTTTTGTGATCCTCCAAAAAAAATCCTTATTTATCCTAAAAAGAGCTAATTCAATTGATAAAATTTGTACTATAATATACCTAATTTTTGACATGAATACGAAAAAAATATATATCATTGGCGAACACAATGAGACATGATTGCCATTAAGCAGAATACAATGACCCATTGATAAAGGGTAGTCATAAAAGGGAAAAAAGAACTCATAAAAAATATGCCAAGCCAATAATTGTACAATGTTATTTAAGACAATGAGGAATAAATGATTCATTCAAGTACTATGGTTAACAGAAATGCCCAGCTTTTTATAGAAATAGCTTGCATCGAACAATATGTATATAAACAACTTGTGTTTTAATTCAATTATTTAAAGATGAAGTCTATAGCAAGAAACTCAACGTTGGCTATGACTTTACCAATGTTAAAACACAATCCTTCTAGAAATAATCAAAGCATAAACTATCCAAACATAGACAAACAGTCAGACAGAAAATGGATACAGAAAATCAAATCAGCATATGTTATAGCACGTCCTATCGTTGCCATGTTTTTTTTTGATATTGTTTTACCATTTGTTCTCTATTATATCCTTAAGCTACGGTTAAGTCTTCTTCTTTCTTTGATCTTATCTAGTATTCCTCCGCTACTAAGAGTGTTTTACGTGTATTGGAAAGGAAGATAAATTGAAGCGCTTGGTGTTGCCTTTGTGATTTCGCTTATTGTCTCCGCTGTGCTTTCTGTGGCCATAAGTAAGACATATGTCCTTGAAAATATACTAATTTAAAATGTAGATGATGTTCGATTAAGTACACTTCGGGGCTTGGCAACGACGTCAATTGTAGGCATTGCTTTTTTAGTAACGCTTATTCCAATAAAAATAAGACAGTACAAGGTTCAACCTTTCTTTTTCTCAATTATACAGCAGATGATGCACGAAGACTCGCCTGCAGAAATATCCATAGATCATTCGGAGTAAATGTGTATCAACAGCAGCACTTATCGCAAATTTTGTTACATCTTCGGTGCTATTTGGGGATGTGCTCTCACTGGAGAACTCATTAATCAAATAAGTATGATTCAAAGTACTGTGACAACAAATGATATTATTCTTTATGGCAATATTATTATTTTTTTTCTTGTTGGCAGCTTGTTAATCATTAGGTAGTGGCTCTCAATCTTGTAACTAAAAAAGTAGAACAAAGACTCATCGTATGGCACAGAAGTAACAATCACGCTGATTATATATATGTTTAATTCGATTTGTTTATTTATGTAACAAAATAAAGTATCTACAAGCTAAGGAATACAATAGCAATGACTAAAGCTACTAGAGATAATATTGATTTTTTTGATCTCCTTGCAGCGTATATGAATACATAAGGTATGCCGTTTAGTTAAAGAGCCATAGTATTCTCCAGCCTTAGAAGTTTGAATACAATCCTTTTCGCATCGATAGTAAGTATCGCCTGCTTCTCTATACAATTTTATATAGAACAAGTTGTTTGATACGAGATGTGTTGATGAGATAAGCGTAATCATGTCAAAGCAAGTATAGGGCATGTTAAAAAAGTAGAAATCTCTACTATTGATATTGTAAGTACCATGCGAGTTCACAAGATTTAGACCATTGATAACAAGTTGATTTAAACTCGGGAGTTGAACAGAAAAATGGTATAGGATTCTTTCGTAATAGGAACAATTGTCAAGTTCTAGTGTTTTGATTGAATTATTCAGTTTTGTTTGGTAACCAATACGAATGACATTTGCATTTACAAGTTTTAGCTTCTTGAGTCGAACGCAATTGTCGAAAATAAAACGAAGATAGTTTTTGAATACCTTGCGTTTATGCTCATCATGATCATTTGAGTTAGCTGTTTTTCGAGGAGCAGTGCATTGTATAGTCAATTCGTTAAGTTGTGGAGCAATCTCTGAAAGAAAGTGCGATATAAAGTGTGTAATACAATAGCTTTTCATCAACAATGCTTTGTTTGGTGGCGCGTCTTTTTCGTAAATAATGTTTGAGATTTTGTATTTGATAATTTCGGTGCAATTCTCGGATGTTACTTGGAGAGACAAATCCCCATCTACAATCGCATTCATCAACTGACAGGTAAGATAGACTATGTTAGATATGTTGATATTCTGGATACAGAATCTCTTAGTGCCACTTAAAAAGGCTGAGAATTGTTTTAGTATCTTCAAACCTAAGACTGGTGTTGGATACTTCTCCTCGTCAATCAAGTTTTTGTATAAAGCGAGATCTGTCTTCAATTCAAGTTGATTGACATTTGGAAACTTGTTCATGATATAGACGAGTTCTTTCTCTGTATAATCTGATATATCCATGCTAAGATATGTTACATTAAGGGCTGGTGTTATTGCAGTTGTTGTCATTTTATCGTCGTCATTCTTCTTTAACATCATAGTAGATTCCCGTTCGGGACAAAGAAGGATTTCCACACTTTTGAGTTGCTTAAGAACTGCGTCTAATGTGCTATCTAATTTATGCAGAGTGTACGTACTATGGTGAATGATCTTCAATTGTTCAAGTTGAGTAAATTCACTCAAGTGATCGACCAAGAAATTGTATCGTTGAGAGCTCGGTTGAAGATAAAGAGGATACAAATAATCGCACACCAAAAGATTTTTCAATGAACTGCGTATACCAAGAGCAAGACTATTGTAGCACTCGAGTTCGTATTCATTTGAAGGATAGGAGATGAATCCCAAGTTGCTCAAGTGTCTTTTGTCCCATTCATGCTTGAGCCACATCCAAAAAGACAAGCATGTTTCTGATAATTCGATTGCTTCGAGGCAAGGAGTAAAAAGTGTTAGGTTTGTAAGCATAAATTTAGCATGCAAACGAGCAAAATCCAAAAAGGTAATATTCATGGATAATCGTCTGAGGTGCTTGCCAGGCACAAAATGCGAGTATTTGAGTGACCAAACAAACCTAACCATCTGATCAAAAGTGTTTATTTGAACGTTGGTATACATGGTCTTTTGGGCTATTTCTGACCATTTTTGGCACACAAGTTGACATTGTTTTAGGTCCCTGAGAGACAGATATTCAAAAGTGATTTCGAGCACTTCTTTTGATAGTTCAGTCCAAAGTAACATGAACAAGCTGCTTAAAAGAAAGTAAAGAATTCTGTTTCTCATTTTTTTTATTGCTGTTGTTCTTATCAATTTATCAAAAACACAGTTCTTATTCATGCTTTATTGTTTAAATTACAGCTTTTTTTCTACATGTTCTTTTTGCTTTTTAACTTGCTCAAAAATGACTTTTACAATACGTGAAGTTCTTTTATCAGGACCAGAGCCGCCTGTATAGCCATTAGTAACATAACCAAGACCAATCTTGTATTTTCTGTTGTAAATAAATACAGAACCACCAGAACCGACACCACCTTCGAAATTGTTTTCTTCATCTGAAATATCGAAATGAATCTTGTTGGGGAGGACCATAAACCCACCTTTTAGGTTGTAAAAAGAGAAATGAGGAAGGATTGTGTCAGTTTCGGAAGCAATATAGCTTGTTGCTTCTTTAAATGTCTTTTCCGACATCAAATCAGGTTCTCCTTCAACAATGGCTTTACCTTCGTTAGCCATCATGGCTGCCAACTTGGCAATCTATAGTCGCACAAACGTTAAGTCTCTCGTATCTCTCTAAAGACTATACATACAGATTCTGCATTGGTATGACCAGAATAAGAAGGAGCCTCAATTGCTCGATGAACAGGATCTCGGTTGTTTATGACTCCGCGTGTTTGATCAATAGTAGGATTTATAACTGTCTTTGATACCAAGCTGTTCTTGTCAAACAGACCCTGAAGAAATGTACTGTCTGCAAATGGATTCAAATAAGTCTTGAACAAAGGAAGGAATTGGCGTAACGTCGATTGTTCATAGAAAGGCGATATGCGATTGATATCCAAGCCTTCTGTTACGTCGGGTTTCATGTACCATTCAGAGCCATATGTGTCCTTGAATGTATGTGCAAGGTCATCTAAGGTTTTCCCACCTGTAACACGGCGTACAATCTCGTTTTGATACCATCCTTGAGTGATGGCATGGTAAGCATGTTTGGGCTCACCATCAAAATTGTGGGATTGACTGGCCAAGATATTAGCAAAAACAACAGGATCTGTGACATTGACAAGTGAAAGGGGTTGATCCAAGGCTCCAACACCTGCTGTGTGACGCATCTTTCGAAACTTAATGAATAAAGAAAAGCAAACCTAACTTACTAGATCTGAAACAGTAACATTTTCTTTGTTGCCCTGAGCAAATTCAGGCCAATAAGTTGAGATCTTTTCATCGTAAGACAAAAGTCCTTGATCTACCAGTTGCGCAATAAGTATTGCATCCTATACAGAAACACTTAATACTTTGAAATTCACACCACAAAGCAAAGCTTACTAATGCCTTTGTACTCGAGAACACCATTTGTAGTGTATTGTTGGTATATTCAATCTTCTTTTCCAAGTCTTGCCAACCTGCTTGGATATTAATCACAGGATGGCCATCTACATATACAGAAAGGCCTGCTCCAACTTCGAGTCCTCGTTTGAAATTGTCAATAAAGATGTCATAAGCCTCTTTGTATGGCTCCTCTGCAAAACCATGAATAGGGAAGTCAGTAGGACATCCATAATTGATCAAGAAACAGGCTGTGCTTAAATAAGGGCCCTTATTGGCATACTGATATGATACGTAAGAGAGCAATGGTATGACTAAACTAGCAGCTTGTAGTAACGTTGGCATGATGCATTAGAGAAAAAGAAATAGAAATAAAGAGAGGATTGATCTTTATTTTGATATAAATACACGCGACAAATCAAAACAACAATCACTTGCCGCAGTAATTGTAAAAATGCTTAGTAATACTATCGATCGGAAGAACCCAACTGACTCGAACGTTCAGCGAACATGTTTTAGGCTATTTCTTTTTGTCGCACTATAAATTTCAAACGAATGTTGATATTTGAGTTTACAAGTATGGTGACTTACAGGGACATCACTACGCTGCTAATCATCAATATGAATGAATAATTTTTCACACTCCTTGTTACAAGCAATGTTTGTTAATGCATAATGTAAGATATTTAGAACAGCAATGAATTTCTAGATAAATTAGCTGCTATACTCTTTTTGAAAAAGCTTACAATGTCCTGCAAAATTCAAACAAAGATACAAAGTTCGTTTGAGCCATAGAAAAAAGAATTACGTGATTTTTATACTTCTAGTAAAAGAGCCAATGCTATCAGAAGGAATAAACTGTAGAATACTTGTGTGCACCTAAAGATCTATAATCAAGAAAAGAAGTTTGTACAAAAACAATGTAATAACTGCTCATGATAGCGTATGATTGGTATTTATTGTGTCATTTTGAATAGGTCCTAAGAAGTTAAAAGCTTGTTTATTTGTTGAAGATCGAGGTCTTGGTATTGGCTCAAGGATAAAAGGGCATAGAAGGTATGGAGGAAAATGGAAGCAGAGACTACTCGGAAGTACAAGTATTGTATGCATCACAAACGAGCATAATACGTCCCAGACTTGTCTTTTGTTTCCAGAAATTAGTCCACCCAGTTAACAGAACCGAAAAGGCAATAAGAACAGTGAAAGGTGCTTTCTATTGCTTGAATAAGGACTATGTTTCCGTAAAGAACAAGAAGGCAACTATGTCTCGTGACCGATTGTCAGCTCTCTGGCGATTGATATTGTTGGTCTCTCTATGTTGTTCGGTAGAACGCTCCCGGCATTTTCTCATAAACTCAGTCAATACTACACTGAAGATGATTTCAAACAATTCCTAAATTGAAGAGTGTGTAAGGTTGATGATGGTTCTGCTACTATCAATATGGATGGTAAGTAGTAACATGTCTCTAAATTCAAACTTCTCTAATGGTCTTATAGTTAGTGGTATTCTCTGAGTGACTGCGGATATTTTTTGAGTATTTACCTTTTTTGTTAGACAAGGTCTTCTATCAAGATTCAACTTAATATTGAGCGATAAGAAACTGTATGCGTTAATACGCGTCCTGGCTTGATGACGCGTTTATGCCCATATCTGATTTGCTAAAAACGGAGCAATCATGCATTGCCATACAAAATAAAGATCATTTTAAACTCTTTATCTTTCTAAAAATATCATTTGTAATTTATACATTAGTTTATTTGCAATTAGTGGATGTATTGCTATCAACATATGTTTATCATTTTTTTTCTAAAATTTTACTTTGCAATGATGCACATAATGATATCAGAATCCTTGATTATAAAAAAAAATAATAAGAATGCAAACTTATCGGGATCACCGATGTAAATCATAATTTAGCCGATCTGATTGGATTTATAAAAGCAAGTCTCCCTTCTTGATTCTCCGCATAAGAGAGCCATTCAAATAAAAGCAGAAAAAAAAGGTGACTGCATTCACTGAATAAGTGCAATGTAGCTATTGTTGCTACAGCAAATGAAGTAGTAATGTTTTACTTGCTATTGTTACCATTTTAGCTGTTAAACACACAAAATAGAAAAAGACAGAGTGGCTTGTTCTAGTTACACACGGTATCGGAGATCAAGATCAAAAGGGGTTCTTCTAGGTATAAAAGTTCCAATGTACATTCAATGTTTTCAACTAGAAAGATTATTTTTTTCTTTTCTTTTCTTTGAAAACCAAAAATGTTCAATACAACAAATGACATCATTGATAATGCTACCAATATCTTGATTGAAGAAGCAGCAAGCTTGAATGATGCTGCGCAGCGATTAAAAAACAATGCAGACACAAGAGATGGTTTTGAGCGAGCCATTTATCTAATGACCAAATCCTTAGACGCAGGTGGAAAAATTGTAGTTACTGGTGTAGGAAAGTCAGGCAAAATTGGAGAGAAAATAGTAGCCACCATGCTCTCAACTGGTATTTGCGCAACATTTTTACATCCTGTTGAAGCTTTACATGGAGACCTCGGTACAGTTCAGCCTAATGATGTTGTACTCGCCTTATCATTCTCGGGAAACACAGAAGAATTATTGATGCTCATGCCTAGCTTAAAACATCGTTCTGTTCCTGTTATTGGTCTGGGTGGTAATCCAAAGAGTAAGCTGGCTAAAGAGAGTGTGGCATGGATTGATGGATACGTCAAGCGTGAAGCAGGAGGAGATATACCAGCACCTACTTCTTCTACCACATTGACATTGGCTTTGGGTGATGCTTTGGCTTTGACACTGGCAAAATTAAGGTCGTTTACAACAGACGGATTTGCTCTTAATCACCCAGGCGGCTCCCTTGGTAGAAGATTGCTACTCAAAGTAAAGGATATCGTAATTGATGCTCAAAAAGTGGCTACTGTCAGCAAGAATACATCGCTTGATGTTGTGATTATGGAAATGACAAAGCATCCCCGAGGATCTGGTGTGATTGTGTTGGAAGATGATAGGATGGAAGCAACATTTGATGATAACCAAGGCTATCTTTTCCCTTCACCACCCATTTCAGAGACATCTTCCCTAGACGAATTTGACGAGGCATTTGTTAACAAGGCAAGCAAGATAGCAGGCGTGATTACACACGGTGATATCCATCGGGTTCTTAAGTCTTCAACACGGGAAGGAATTTTTCAAATTCGCGCAGTAGATATCATGACAGCAAATCCTGTGGTGTTTGATGAAGATGGTTTAGCCTCTAAGGCCGTCAAATTAATGGAAGAGAAGAACATTCCTCTTTTGCCTGTGATAAGCAATGATAAGAGTTGGACTGGTGTTATCACACTCAAAGACCTTCAGGAGCTCTTTTAAACTATTATTTTATTTATTTAAACCTTGTATTTTTATTATTACCATCCCCCTCCGCTTTTCTTTTCATATATATATATATACATACATTGTCTTCCTTTTTTTTTAATTTGTTAATAAAGAAAAATAGCTTCAATTGCTCTAAAAACCCTTATGTCCGCCTTTACTATTTAAACGATTGTTTCACAGTAAAAAGTCAGTTTTTTTCGAGAACAAGATAGACGGATGTCGCGGCTACAAGTACCGATATAGAAAAATAAATTTATCCAATGGCTCTATTTCTTTTTTTTTCTTTTTTTTATGATATTGCTACTTGATATTTGCACTGTTAAAAAGAAACTAATTCTCGAGTATTTCTTACAAACTCAAGAAACGGCAGATAGGTCTTATACATTTTAGTTCTTATTTGCCTGTGTTCTTAATCACGACAGAAGCTTCCACAAAGACATCATTTTATTGTGTTACCGTCCCCTTGTGTCTTGACTGCCAGGTCACTTAAATTAAATGCGGGCCATAGCCAAACTAGAAATAAACGTCATTAAGTAATTTATATAGCCTAACAATAGCGCAATATGAGACTCTTACTTAACAATAATAAGTCTTTCGGATCACCAAAGTGATCACTGTATACTTTTTGTGTTCCCTATCAAACTTTCTTGACTACAAGAAAATTCCTTCTCAATGCAATTCATACGTCTACTTTCTGTCAAACTTTAATCAACATAAATCAACCCTTTTTTTTTGACCCTTTGTTTATGTATCAATAAATTAAAATAAATAGATCTATAGAAATTGCTTATAAGCAGCAGCAGCAGCAGCAGCAGCAGCCATTTGCATTGTCTCTTTTTTCTTTTTACTTGAGCCACAAGGTCTTCCTCTTTTCTTTCTCTCTGCATCGACACAGGTGTCTGCTTTGTTTAGTCGAACACATCTGGCACAAGGCCTCTGTACATCACAAGCAACATGCGATTGCTTACATGATACACATGCTTTTCGAACATAGACTTGGTTTGTCTGTCCTCGGTCAGTTGAAGAAGATAGAGACGATGTTGATGAAGTAGAAGTAGAAAGTGATGGCATAGGTGGTCCATTCATATAGGCAGCAACAGCAGCAGCATGATGATGGTCGTATGGAATAGGATAGTTTATACTGTTTGTAGACGAATCTAAAGGTAAATTCTCTCCTTGTTGATGAGCATGGAATGCCATCATAGGATAAGTGCTCAAGGAAGGATAATTTGATGTCTAATAAAAAATGAGTGTTCCGTTGCATAAGAGTGGACTTTAAATCTTTACCTGCAATGGGGGATAAGTGGTAGGTGGAGTTGTGTTGGAAGAAGACGAGCAAGAAGACGCATAGTCGTGTGATTGTTGCATGGCTGTTTGGTAACGCAGCATTTCAAAGGACTCTTGTTGCTGAAGATGTCTTTGTTGTTGTTGTTGAAAAAAGTCAAGGTAAGCTGTGTTGAGATCAATGGAGGGATGTGTCATTGTTGCAAAGGCATTAGCATCAAACATGAGTTGTGAAGCATAATCATAAGTATTTGGCTCAGGAAAAGTATGTTTATCATTAGTTGCTGTGTCTTGATGGGACTCGTACATTTTTATTAAGTGAAAGGTAAAAAGAAAGAAGACACTATTAAAAGGGTTTTCGAAAAAAATACCTGTTGAATCTATTTGTGTGTATGTATGTGTGTCTAAATAGGTCTATATGTCATAAATAGAGTTCGCATATATTTGCTTGGTTTAGGAATATTTATTTCCGTGTTGATTATGACACTATGTTTTTATGCGGAACAAGATATGTGCATTTATCTTTGTATTATGATACAAGAAATAAAGGGTTTTTTGAATGCAATGGCACCGGAAAAGTTCCTCACAGCATGAAGTACACAAAACTGCATCTCGAGAGTTTCTCCGAGTAGATTCTTCCAGTTGTGATCCTAAGCAAAGAGCTATTGTTTTGATTGTAAAGCTGACTTGTGCTGACACATCTTAACAAACATACATGTTTCGATTCTAGCGTATTTGTTTAAAAGGCTAGCTTTTTAATAATAATAAAGTTGACCACTCAATGAAGGACATTGAATACTATGTACCTTTTTTTTATGTATATATATGCGTGTATGTGTGTGTGTATGTATATATATATGTCAACCTTAACTTTACTCCTTGAAACAATCTTTCTTCATCCGTACCACGTGACCTATATATTTTCTTTCTGTCTCTCATCAGTTTTAAGGCACGCAGCATGATTTTTTTCTTTCCCTTTTTTCTTCATTTTTTTTTATGTTTATCCTACTATCACTATTATGTTTGTGTTCATGGACACAGGCACTTTATTTTCAAATACCTTTTCAAAGCCAAAAACAAAGTTCACTTAAGCTGAAAAGCATATACCACCACGCTTCTGTTCATGGTCCTATTCCTCACTTGTTTCGAAAAATAGATATTGACCCAGAAATATCTATCGATCAACAAGATGAATATGTGCTTCATAGTAAATATTCAGCCTATACTAGACCAGCTTCCACAGATATTAAGCAACTATTCTCTTTACGAGACCAAGGTCAACTTGCTCGTTGGTCTCAACCTACTCATTATTTTGAATCAACGATTGATCTCGTACCTGATGTGACAGATAGACAAACAGTGACTTCACTAGCCATGATGACGAATAATGCATATCTAGATATCAATTTAAACAATACAGAGTGGTATGATATTGGGGCACCATGGCAATTGGTAAGTGATATAGATATGCTATGCTATAACTGATATACTTTAAGAATGATTCTTTTGGCTGGGAGTCAGATGGTTTAAGAGGTCATATCTATTCTACTGATGATGAATCTCTTGTTGTGGTCAGTATTAAAGGGACCAGTGCTGGTTTATGGACTGGTGGTCCTACAGGTGAAAAAGATAAAATCAATGTAAGCATTTGCCAAAAAAAAAAACAAAAAAAAAAAAGGAATATTAAACAAGTTTAGGACAATATGCTATTCTCCTGCTGTTGTGCCAGAATTAGCCGTGCTTGGACGCCTGTTTGTGATTGTTATGAAGGGAATGAATACCAATGCGAAAACAGTTGCTTACAAAAAAAGATTCAAAAGTCTGAATTCTATTATGATAGTGCCCTTGTAAGTTGAAGAACGAAATAATAACATCACTCAAATATCTAGAACATTATTCAAGAAATTCAAGACAAGTACAAAAACAGTACTGTATGGATCACAGGTCATTCTTTAGGTGGTGCTGTTGCTAGCATGGTAGGACAAACATTTGGTATTCCGACAGTGACATTTGAAATCCCAGGTGATAAACTCCCTTCTACTCGACTTCATTTACCTCATTCACCTGGTGTTGATTTGCCTATATGGCATTTTGGACATACAGCAGATCCTATTTTTGTAGGCGTATGCACTGTAAGTAGACAAGACGCTAGAGTTTATTTCTGATACGCTTGAATTAGGGTCCTGCAAGTAGTTGCTGGTATGGTGGTTATGCTATGGAAACACGATGTCATACAGGAAAAGTGTGTGTATGGGACACAGTGAATGAACAAGGCTGGCGTGTTGATATTCGTTCTCATCGTGTACGAGATGTGATTGAGAACATCCTTTTAAAACCAGACGAATTTCCTTTACCTAAATGTGTAGAAGAAAAAAACTGTGAAGACTGTGGATTATGGCAATATTATGATAAAAGAGATCATCCTAATACAGACACTTTGATAACTACCACAACCACGACGAAACAACAACCTCCTACAGATCCCTGGTTTGCGTAACAAATAAAACACGTCCATTTTAAGTCTAGTTTTGGTTGAGATTGCATAAATCATTATGCGAGAAAAACTATCGCTTCCTTTTTTTTTGGAGTTTCATAACAATGACTAAACCTATCAATGACTTTGATTTAAATGTATTAGACGAAGCTATGCTTCAACCTGAAAAATCAGAATATGTAGACCATTTTGGCTTTACTATTCAAGTCAAGACAGAGAACGATACTGATTCCAGTGAAGATGAATCAGAACATGAAACAGAGTTTGAAGACGCGCAATCACTACCTTCTTCAACCAAAGAAGAAGAAGAAGAACAAGAAGAAAACAAAAGGCAGCCACAAACTATGGATGACTGGCAAATGGTTTCTAGTACAGAGAAATCTGGTGTATCTTCTTCTGTATCTTCTCCTATACCACATACAACAAGCTATTATGATCTCTTGCTATCTAAATTCACTAGAACAGCTTCTTCTAACCCTTCAAAACAAGTACAGCTAAAGCAAGAAACAAGTAATAATCTAGAAAGACTTAAAGAACAATCAAATAATAATGAGACAGATTGGGGTAAGTATATAAATCATTTGAAATATGTCTTCTCTAATGTATTTGTTAGAGTTCTGGGCTTCTGTTATCTCTGATTTTGAACGTATTAACCGTGCAGAGCATGCTAAACTACAAGAACAATTGAGTGTTGGTATTCCGAGTTCTTTACGAGGCATGTTATGGCGTATCTTTTCGAATTCTGAAGCCAATAGTGATTTGATTGAAAATGAATACCGTGTCTTGCTAGAAAAGACAAGTTCACATGAAAAACTGATTCGAAGGGATCTATCGAGGACATTTCCAACCCTGCCTTATTTTAAAGAAAAAGACGGAGAAGGACAAGAAATGCTGTTTAATGTGATTAAGGCATACAGCTTATTTGATAGTCAAGTAGGATACTGTCAAGGCTTACATTTTGTTGTTGGATGCCTCTTATTACATGCAAGTAGTTGTGCAGTTTTGGTATACATAGTCTTATTTTACAATCATTAGATGCCAGATGAAGCAGCATTTTGTGTACTGATCAAACTCATGAGCCAGTATCATCTTCGAGGACATTTTACACCTCAGATGGAAACACTTCATGAACGCATGTTTCAATTCAACCAGCTTTTATCTATTCATTTACCACAAGTACATCGCCATTTAGATGCACAAGGTGTCTTGCCGACCATGTATGCTTCTCAGTGGTTCATGACTCTTTTTGCCTACCGATGTCCCTTAGAATTAGTATTTCGAGTATTTGATCTTGTGTTTGTAGAAGGGTCAGATATCATGTTAAACTTTGCGCTGGCATTGATGAAGAAGAATCAATCTACAATCCTCAGTTTAGAATTCGAATCTTTATTGGATTTCTTCTCAGGACAGATATTTGAGGTCTACAAAGTAAGTAGTATGAATGCAAGTGATTTTCTCATTACTATATTGTAGGATATGGTATATGAATTCGTTCAAGATGCCTATAGCTTTGATATCTCTTCAAAGCAACTAGCCAAGTTCTCCAAACAATACCAACAAGAAGCAGCTAAAGAAGCAAAACTTCGATCTATACAGGACGCCATCAAGAAAGAAAACCTCGTTTTACATGGCCAAGTTAAAAAGCTCCGGCATGCTTATAAGACACTTGAATTTGAGCACCAGGACGTATCTCAGCAAGTGATTGAATCCAAAGTAGCCATGGCGAGCCTTGATATAGAGAACCAGCAATTAAAGCATGAACTAGCCATCATGAAAGCAGAAATGGTCAAGATGACATCCGTCATGAATGAGGAACGTCAAGCGCAGTTTGATGCTCTTGCTCAGAAAAATGCAGAGCTTGTGGATGCTAATGCAGCATTAGAAGATCGATTACAAGAAATAGAATCTATCCTGATTGAAATGAAATTGAAATATGCAGAAAGCGAAAACGATTATGAACTAATGAAACAAAAACTTCATGAAGCACAAAAGTTGAGCATGCTCCACGACTAATAGACCTATTTATTACGCATTTCTCTTTTTTAAAAGAAAGCTTATTTTGCTAGAAAGATATCCTTCTTTTTGACAAATCTCTCCTATTTTTGGAAGAATAAATAGTTTTTTTTATGCAAAATAGCGCATGTAGCTATGTTTGTTCAATGCTTTGCTTTGGTGTTGGTCAGATATGAGATTGCACTGAAACTTGTGTAATCAAAAGCTATACATAACAGCTGATTAGCTGAAGAGAAGGTATGCTACTGATTCAAGACTGTCTCCTTTTGGTTCTGCTTTGGTTTGTTGGGTGAGCTTTAGGATGACCAAGGCTTTTCTCTAGTCAGGTTGGTTTCTTAGGTATCTGCAAGACGCTTGATCAAGTGGTATAGGGCTTCCAAGACCTTTTCTTCAAGCTCTGCCTCTCTTTGGCGTTTGGAAGATATTCATTCAAGACTTGGTAGGTTTTCGTAGTCTAGGTTTACTTTTTTGAGTTCGTTTGTTTCTGTATGAGAGTTTGATTCATTCTTGTTCAAACAAGAAGAGGATTCGAAAAGGCTTGATTGCCCTGATCAAATCCACAATACATTTATGTTGAGTATGGTCCTCTTCTTTATTGCTATCTTTGCATAACAAAAGCGATACATGTAACCCACTTGCATAAAAGATATACCCACTTAAATCTTTTACCTTACTGCCATCCTTTATTTTCAGTATGAATTGATCAGAGTACGTTTTAGTTGGGAAAGTATGATGATGTCCTCAATAAGCGTTGTTATTCATGTTCAAAGCTGCTCCCTTTGGTCTCAAAGCGTCATATAGCACTGTAAGTATTACTCGTCTATACTTTGCGCATAGAATGATATAAGATCAATCAGTCATTTGCTATTCGATATTACCAGAAAAAAGGCCATTTTTCTATCAATTACAGTGTATCACGAACTTTGAATGCAGATTTGAAGGCAATGCTCAAATCAAGCCACCTTTTTGGTCTTAGTAGACTCACTTTCTTTTCTTTTGAAGTACTTGGAGATGGCCTTACCTGATTTTTTTTTATTCAAAATATGCTTTTTTAGTTACACAGCACAGAGGGATGTAACGTGGATAGACTGGAAAAAAAAGGAGCGCATTGGCTGGAATAGACCTACATTGGGTCATTCTAAAAAATTCTTGATCGAGTTTTTTTTTGTTTTTTTTTTTTTTTTTTTTTTTTTTTTTTTTTTTTTTTTTTTTTTTTTTTTTTTTTTGCATTTTATTTTATAATTTTGAAGTAAAAAATAAAAATTTAATTAAAAAATTTAGATTTTATGTCTCCATCTGATCTCACTCAAGCAAAGAAAAAGAAAAAGAAAAGGAAAATTGGCTTTCACTTGGAATTAGTTCTTTAGAATTGTTTTTTTCTTGTCAACACAAATGATAAACTTGTGTATCTGCATAAGTTTCGTCAGATTTATTGATTTTACATGAAAAGCAATTTTGATGATACGGCTTAATTTAGTCAATTCATAAGAATAACTAAATCAAACTAGACTAAGACTAAAACTCCCTTTAAAAAAACAAGGATAAAAAACGCACAGAGAAAAAAGTGTTGATCTAATGATGTTTGTGGATGTATGTTTGCAATCAAAGAAGGAAGAAAAATAGCTGATTGGTTGTCGGAAAGAGCAAAGCATTCGCAGCACCATGATTTATGGAAAACATCTATGACAGAAGGAAATGTACAGAAGCTTATTTGACACATGCTGTGAGTTAGTTGAACATAGTATATATATTAAAGTACTGGATAACATGTGTATGAAAGAGATATGCGCCACAGTAACACAACTTAGGGCTATCTCCAGGCAGTCAAGCCAGTCGCCAGTAAATTAGACGGGTGCGCTTGAGATTGGTTCTAGGAAATTAAAGAAACAAGTGTTGTTGACACCAATACACTACTGCACAAGCAACGGAAGAAAAACGCATTCAATAGAAGACTTATTTCACCAATGAAAAAAAATGTAATTGATTACGTTGTATTGATAGAGAATAGCATATCAGAACTCTTTGATGAGTTTAATGGATACACCAGACCCCCCCCATTATCTTCAGAACGTTTAACTAATTTAAACCACTAATTTTTTTTTTTTGTAAGGGAGACTTGCTCCGATTTATTTAAAGTCCTTTGGACGTCAAAAGAGTGGAAGAGAAGACTGTGGTATTATAAGAACTAGACTAAGGAAAGGGAAATGAGCCTGTGGTAGAAGAAATTGAGAAAAGAATAAGAGTTTAAGAGAGCTTGATAGATACTTGAAATGGAGAGAACATCATGAGTAGTGAGAGAGGAACTGGAAAGGAAAGCGGAGGAGAGAATTTACGGTTCATAATCAAGGCGGGATTCATCATGCAGCTTATTTGCTAAGCGGAAAACTGTCTTGGTTATAGTTTTGGAGAGGAATGGGTTTTCAGAAAAACAGATTGCCAGTGAGCTTGCTAGAGGGCTAGAGCAGTGCATGCAAAGATTTGGAAGGTACTTAAGGAAGGAAGATGGAGGAGAGAAACACGAGGGATAACAACCCGAAGGGGGAGGACTTGACGTAGGAGATTGACCGAAGGTGCACGGATGTTGGGATTGATGTACTTGGAGAAGACATGAGACCAAACAGCATACTTGGTAGGGCAGAGGAAATAAAAGTGATCAAGGGTATCAATGGAAGTAATGAGATTTGAAGGACAGTGGATACAAAAGCTATTAGGAACTGTATGGGGCATAAGACGATGTAGGTGAAAACGGTTGTTGACTTTGTTGTGAAGCATCCTGTAGAGGACATTGCGAGCAGGGAGAGGGATCTTGAGAGACCAAAAGCGTTTCCAGTTAGGCGATAGGCGGGGATCAGGCGGTATAGGAGGGGAGGAGCTATGGTCTAATTTACGATAAGAATGAGTGGAAGATGTAATGGGGAATTGAGAGTATGTAAGGGTTGAAATGAATGTCTGTAAATCAGTGGGACTAATATGAGAGGTTGAAGGAAGAATAGAAAAGGAAGAAATACGAGGAGCAGGAGAAAAGAGTGACAGGACAAAGGGATTGAGGAAGAGCTTTTTTTGACGAAAGTGTAGTAAAGCACGGTAGGTGGCCGATTCAAAACGAGGGACTTCTTGCCGAGAGCGAAACCGAAGGCATTCACTAGAAGAATCAAAAACAAAAATGTGATTACCTGTTAAGTCTAGCATACTGGGACTGTGTTTGAAGTATTCATTTTTAGAAATAGGAGGGTTGGATGGAGGTGGAGAAGGATAGATAGAATGTAGAAGTTCAGGAAGTGGAAGGCGAAGGCAAACGTGAAGGGGGACATGACAATTGGAGAAGTTGTGGGGTAGATAATCTATAGCTAAGAAAATACGGTTGAAGTAAGGAATGTCAATAGAAAGCTTTTTTCGTATAAAGGGGAATAACAAAGGCCAGTGGTAAGTAGGGTATTGTGGGGAACAAAGGAAGAAAGAGAGGGTAAATTGGAGATAAGGAAGCGAAGGTAAAGAAATAGCAAAAGAGTGAGGAACTAATAAAGGGTAGACCCATCGCCATTGAAGAGCTCTCTGTTGTAGATGAGGATCAATGACGCTAAGTCCACCTTGAGAACGAGGTAAAATGAGTGTTGAGAAAGGAATGGTACCAAAGCGGCTGCTGCCTTTATTATGGATTAGGACTACTTGTGCGACTCGTCAACAGTGAGGCGTGTATGGCCAACACCAACGTAGATCAAAAATATAGAAATCAATAGACCACTAAAATTTGTGATGCTTACACAAAAATTAAGCTAAAGCCATAAAAGATTCACAGTAATAGCTGTAGGTGTCAGGAACTACTCATGAATGCAATGGATTCACAAAAATTGTTTAAACGTCGCTCGCATTTATGCCGATGTGCAAGTATGCCAGTTGTGTACTCAAAAAAAAATTTTCTAAAAAAAAATAAAACTCACTTTTGATATACATCGAAGATGCTTTCTATAGTCATAAAAAATAAAAGAAAAGTAGAAATTCTTAATTTTTCTGTTTCAAATTAATAGAAGAAGCCGACCTTTCAATTTTCTAGTTTTAAATAAATAGACGAGTCTACCGGATGATGATTCTACTGTTTTAGTTTAAAAGACAAATTGCTACCTGGTAGATTCGTTTTTAATTCAAAACAGAAAAATTGAAAGACAAGGTTTTTTTTATTAATTTGAAACAGAAAATTTAAAAATTTTATTTTAAAGTAGCGGTTTTAATTTTAAAAAAGTGTTTTTTATTATTTTCAAAAAAAAAATTTTGAGTACACAATTGGCATACTTGTAATTTCGGTATACCTGTTGATATTTTTATTATTTTTGAAAATGTTTTTTTTCTTTATCTTTTTTTGTAAGCGTATCACACGGATCATGAAGGCCTGAGATCTACGAGTATTTTCATACTTTTTTTATTGCTCTAGCTAACTTTTTCGTAGAGTTATTGCAATCTTTGGGAAGAGGCTTTGAACACTAAAATTTATGCTTGGACCAGAAAAATAGAATAAGAAAGGTATGGCTCAGCATCTAAGCTTACTCAGCCAACGGGCGACACTGCTCTCAAAGCTGTTAGTTCTTCCTTTTTCTATGAAATCGGGCTCGAGAGTCAACTACACCCTTCCCTTAAATAAATTTTAGCAAATTCTAGTCAAGTAAGTAGCAGTTAGAAACCTTATTTGGAAAGCAACTGTCAGCCATCTGTAACGTCTTCACCTCCCAAATGACAACACCAGTAATCTGAACTCTTTCTTAAATGCTTTTGATCATCAGATTCTTGAACAGGTTCAATCTTACAGCAGAATGATTGCTACAACCATAGCAATCAAAACAACCATAATAGCGGCCATAGCGATCATACACCACAGAGTAAGCGATTACATTTTTCTTCCGTCCCTTACGCTGTAGCGATAAAAAAAAACCTACGTAAAAGCTCGTAAGCCTCAGGCATACGTGATCAGTATGAAGGACTTGCAAAAAAAAAATAATAAAAAAAAAATATTCTCAAAATTAATAAAAATATCAACAGTTATGCCGAAATTACAAGTATGCCATTTGCATACTCAAAAAATTTTTTTTTGAAAAATAATAAAAACCACTATTGTAAATTAAATCAAGAGTATTTTCTGCAATGACAAAAAATAAAAAGAAGTAAATTTTCCAATTTTTCTGCTTAAAATTTTAAAAGAAGCTTGTTCTTCAATTTTTCTGTTCTAAAATAAAAAACGAATCTACCGAATAATAATCTTACTGTTTTAGTTTAAAGAAGAGATTACTGGTTGGTAGATTCGTTTTTTATTTTAGAACAGAAAAATTGAAGAACAAGCTTCTTTTAAAATTTTAAGCAGAAAAATTGGAAAATTTACTTCTTTTTTATTTTTTGTCATTGCAGAAAATACTCTTGATTTAATTTACAATAGTGGTTTTTATTATTTTTCAAAAAAAAATTTTTTGAGTATGCAAATGGCATACTTGTAATTTCGGCATAACTGTTGATATTTTTATTAATTTTGAGAATATTTTTTTTTTATTATTTTTTTTTTTGCAAGTCCTTCATACTGATCACGTATGCCTGAGGCTTACGAGCTTTTACGTAGGTTTTTTTTTATCGCTACAGCGTAAGGGACGGAAGAAAAATGTAATCGCTTACTCTGTGGTGTATGATCGCTATGGCCGCTATTATGGTTGTTTTGATTGCTATGGTTGTAGCAATCATTCTGCTGTAAGATTGAACCTGTTCAAGAATCTGATGATCAAAAGCATTTAAGAAAGAGTTCAGATTACTGGTGTTGTCATTTGGGAGGTGAAGACGTTACAGATGGCTGACAGTTGCTTTCCAAATAAGGTTTCTAACTGCTACTTACTTGACTAGAATTTGCTAAAATTTATTTAAGGGAAGGGTGTAGTTGACTCTCGAGCCCGATTTCATAGAAAAAGGAAGAACTAACAGCTTTGAGAGCAGTGTCGCCCGTTGGCTGAGTAAGCTTAGATGCTGAGCCATACCTTTCTTATTCTATTTTTCTGGTCCAAGCATAAATTTTAGTGTTCAAAGCCTCTTCCCAAAGATTGCAATAACTCTACGAAAAAGTTAGCTAGAGCAATAAAAAAAGTATGAAAATACTCGTAGATCTCAGGCCTTCATGATCCGTGTGATACGCTTACAAAAAAAGATAAAGAAAAAAAACATTTTCAAAAATAATAAAAATATCAACAGGTATACCGAAATTACAAGTATGCCAATTGTGTACTCAAAATTTTTTTTTTGAAAATAATAAAAAACACTTTTTTAAAATTAAAACCGCTACTTTAAAATAAAATTTTTAAATTTTCTGTTTCAAATTAATAAAAAAAACCTTGTCTTTCAATTTTTCTGTTTTGAATTAAAAACGAATCTACCAGGTAGCAATTTGTCTTTTAAACTAAAACAGTAGAATCATCATCCGGTAGACTCGTCTATTTATTTAAAACTAGAAAATTGAAAGGTCGGCTTCTTCTATTAATTTGAAACAGAAAAATTAAGAATTTCTACTTTTCTTTTATTTTTTATGACTATAGAAAGCATCTTCGATGTATATCAAAAGTGAGTTTTATTTTTTTTTAGAAAATTTTTTTTTGAGTACACAACTGGCATACTTGCACATCGGCATAAATGCGAGCGACGTTTAAACAATTTTTGTGAATCCATTGCATTCATGAGTAGTTCCTGACACCTACAGCTATTACTGTGAATCTTTTATGGCTTTAGCTTAATTTTTGTGTAAGCATCACAAATTTTAGTGGTCTATTGATTTCTATATTTTTGATCTACGTTGGTGTTGGCCATACACGCCTCACTGTTGACGAGTCGCACAAGTAGTCCTAATCCATAATAAAGGCAGCAGCCGCTTTGGTACCATTCCTTTCTCAACACTCATTTTACCTCGTTCTCAAGGTGGACTTAGCGTCATTGATCCTCATCTACAACAGAGAGCTCTTCAATGGCGATGGGTCTACCCTTTATTAGTTCCTCACTCTTTTGCTATTTCTTTACCTTCGCTTCCTTATCTCCAATTTACCCTCTCTTTCTTCCTTTGTTCCCCACAATACCCTACTTACCACTGGCCTTTGTTATTCCCCTTTATACGAAAAAAGCTTTCTATTGACATTCCTTACTTCAACCGTATTTTCTTAGCTATAGATTATCTACCCCACAACTTCTCCAATTGTCATGTCCCCCTTCACGTTTGCCTTCGCCTTCCACTTCCTGAACTTCTACATTCTATCTATCCTTCTCCACCTCCATCCAACCCTCCTATTTCTAAAAATGAATACTTCAAACACAGTCCCAGTATGCTAGACTTAACAGGTAATCACATTTTTGTTTTTGATTCTTCTAGTGAATGCCTTCGGTTTCGCTCTCGGCAAGAAGTCCCTCGTTTTGAATCGGCCACCTACCGTGCTTTACTACACTTTCGTCAAAAAAAGCTCTTCCTCAATCCCTTTGTCCTGTCACTCTTTTCTCCTGCTCCTCGTATTTCTTCCTTTTCTATTCTTCCTTCAACCTCTCATATTAGTCCCACTGATTTACAGACATTCATTTCAACCCTTACATACTCTCAATTCCCCATTACATCTTCCACTCATTCTTATCGTAAATTAGACCATAGCTCCTCCCCTCCTATACCGCCTGATCCCCGCCTATCGCCTAACTGGAAACGCTTTTGGTCTCTCAAGATCCCTCTCCCTGCTCGCAATGTCCTCTACAGGATGCTTCACAACAAAGTCAACAACCGTTTTCACCTACATCGTCTTATGCCCCATACAGTTCCTAATAGCTTTTGTATCCACTGTCCTTCAAATCTCATTACTTCCATTGATACCCTTGATCACTTTTATTTCCTCTGCCCTACCAAGTATGCTGTTTGGTCTCATGTCTTCTCCAAGTACATCAATCCCAACATCCGTGCACCTTCGGTCAATCTCCTACGTCAAGTCCTCCCCCTTCGGGTTGTTATCCCTCGTGTTTCTCTCCTCCATCTTCCTTCCTTAAGTACCTTCCAAATCTTTGCATGCACTGCTCTAGCCCTCTAGCAAGCTCACTGGCAATCTGTTTTTCTGAAAACCCATTCCTCTCCAAAACTATAACCAAGACAGTTTTCCGCTTAGCAAATAAGCTGCATGATGAATCCCGCCTTGATTATGAACCGTAAATTCTCTCCTCCGCTTTCCTTTCCAGTTCCTCTCTCACTACTCATGATGTTCTCTCCATTTCAAGTATCTATCAAGCTCTCTTAAACTCTTATTCTTTTCTCAATTTCTTCTACCACAGGCTCATTTCCCTTTCCTTAGTCTAGTTCTTATAATACCACAGTCTTCTCTTCCACTCTTTTGACGTCCAAAGGACTTTAAATAAATCGGAGCAAGTCTCCCTTACAAAAAAAAAAAATTAGTGGTTTAAATTAGTTAAACGTTCTGAAGATAATGGGGGGGGTCTGGTGTATCCATTAAACTCATCAAAGAGTTCTGATATGCTATTCTCTATCAATACAACGTAATCAATTACATTTTTTTTTCATTGGTGAAATAAGTCTTCTATTGAATGCGTTTTTCTTCCGTTGCTTGTGCAGTAGTGTATTGGTGTCAACAACACTTGTTTCTTTAATTTCCTAGAACCAATCTCAAGCGCACCCGTCTAATTTACTGGCGACTGGCTTGACTGCCTGGAGATAGCCCTAAGTTGTGTTACTGTGGCGCATATCTCTTTCATACACATGTTATCCAGTACTTTAATATATATACTATGTTCAACTAACTCACAGCATGTGTCAAATAAGCTTCTGTACATTTCCTTCTGTCATAGATGTTTTCCATAAATCATGGTGCTGCGAATGCTTTGCTCTTTCCGACAACCAATCAGCTATTTTTCTTCCTTCTTTGATTGCAAACATACATCCACAAACATCATTAGATCAACACTTTTTTCTCTGTGCGTTTTTTATCCTTGTTTTTTTAAAGGGAGTTTTAGTCTTAGTCTAGTTTGATTTAGTTATTCTTATGAATTGACTAAATTAAGCCGTATCATCAAAATTGCTTTTCATGTAAAATCAATAAATCTGACGAAACTTATGCAGATACACAAGTTTATCATTTGTGTTGACAAGAAAAAAACAATTCTAAAGAACTAATTCCAAGTGAAAGCCAATTTTCCTTTTCTTTTTCTTTTTCTTTGCTTGAGTGAGATCAGATGGAGACATAAAATCTAAATTTTTTAATTAAATTTTTATTTTTTACTTCAAAATTATAAAATAAAATGCAAAAAAAAAAAAAAAAAAAAAAAAAAAAAAAAAAAAAAAAAAAAAAAAAAAACAAAAAAAAACTCGATCAAGAATTTTTTAGAATGACCCAATGTAGGTCTATTCCAGCCAATGCGCTCCTTTTTTTTCCAGTCTATCCACGTTACATCCCTCTGTGCTGTGTAACTAAAAAAGCATATTTTGAATAAAAAAAAATCAGGTAAGGCCATCTCCAAGTACTTCAAAAGAAAAGAAAGTGAGTCTACTAAGACCAAAAAGGTGGCTTGATTTGAGCATTGCCTTCAAATCTGCATTCAAAGTTCGTGATACACTGTAATTGATAGAAAAATGGCCTTTTTTCTGGTAATATCGAATAGCAAATAAACCCTAACTTTTACATCAAGATATACTATAGTATATGCCACTATTGACGATAAAGAGGGCAGCTTTGGACATAGCTTACAGTTTTTTTTTGTATCAAGTGGACATAGTTTACAATAGATGTCTTGTAAGAGGAGGATTGGCCTTTTCAAACGTCGACTTTTTTTTTTCTCGCAGAGGGCCTACTACGCTTCCACTCTCAATTTACTGGATTTCTGAAAACATCATTCACTTTTTTGAAAAGATTGCCTGCTGATACTAAGCTAAATTGCCCATAAAAAAAGACTAGTTTGGCCGGATGTTTGAAATTGATTTATGCCGATAAATTTGAAATAAATAGTATATTTCTCTGTGTACAATGGTATATTTTTCTTTTTGATTACTAATTATTGTCCAAATCTCAAGACACATCGACGCGTGCTGTCTTGAGTTGCATCAATCATATCATCCAAATTCACCAGAGTTTTTTTGTATCTTTTTTCAATTATATCGGGTTGCTTAGATTTTTTGCAAAGGCTCCAAAAAACGTCATTGATCCCAAGAAGTTTTTTGATATTGATCATACTGAAGAGAGAAGGTAAATCATCCAGGGATTGAGGAAAGCGTAAGTGAGCAATTTCAGTAAAGGTATATATGCCCTTGATAGTTAATTGTTGGAGGTAAAAAGTGATGTTGAAGCCATGGATTTGGAAGGCGAGAGCACCATCAAGCTTGTTGATATCAATTGCATTTTTAGTGAAAATGGCCAAACGGAGGGTATCCAAACACAATAATTTGGTACAAGAACCTTGCTGGGCTTTAGCCTCACCATAACCAACACTACTTCCAAATGACAACTGTAGTTTTTCACTAATCACCGCATCAGGTCGAGATTTCCCTTTTTCCATGGGAATAACATTCGTCCAGCGAAGGTGAATAAGTCGGTCGGGATCGCTGATGAGGCAAGACAATAGGGGATCAAAGTAGGTGTTCCACAATTCAGTTTCACTAACTTCCTTGTAGTTGCTTAAAGGTTTTTTTGGGAGTTTCTGAATCCTAAATTCGAAGCACCACCAAAAAGTCAGTAAAATCATAATTTTTATAAAAATCATCTAACTCACAAATTGATAATACCAGAAAGAAGACGGTTTTGGCCATAGCTCATCTGAGAAGCAAGAACTGTAAACTCCATAATCGTTTGCTGTCTTGTTTTGTTTGCCAAGCTGAGATCTGTGAGAGTTTTGCTGATTGCCACAAAATGGTTTGAGGGGAAATCAAGATCATGATTAATTGTTTTTCGTTCAAAGAAATCCGTCAGTTGTTGGAGTGTATCCAAAGAAAAAACCTTTTCTGCAATCTCGCTATGTTGATCTTTGCAAAGAAAGAAGATATGCGTTAAAGATGCGAGTTCATGCACATAGGATTCCAATGGCAGGGTCTTATGTTTCATGAGGATTTCACTAACGGTAGCCTGATATTTGCGGAATAAATGACTAATGTTAATATCTTCAAAAATCCATGGATTATCGTCTGTATCTGCTTCATTAACAAAGTCAATCATGATACTGATTAAATAATTCTTCATTTCAGGCAACATGGTACTAGAGAGACTTGTTGACTCATTGGGAGAAGAGGAATCACCAGGGACTTCGGGAGCAGAAGAATCACCAGAAACATCAGGAGGAAAGGAATTGCTAGAGACAACAGGAGAAGAGGAATTAACAGCAAGCGCTTCACTGCTTGCAGCATTGGCTTTTAGAGATTTGAGTCGCTGCTCAATCGCTATATTAATAATCTCACTAGAACCCAAGCCAGTTTTGAGTAGTATGTTTGAATCTGAACGTGTAGACCAGAACTGTATATAGTCTGCACTCAACGTCCATCTCTTGTAGTCATCGCGAATCTTCTTATCGCGATTACTTTTTGACTTGAAATATTCAGTAATGATGCTCCCAAATCGTTGTTGGGCCTGGTTTCTATCAAGACAACCCCATTGCTCAATGTAGTCTCTGAATGACAAGCGGTCAGAACGATCAAGGCACCACTGGGCATCTTCTGGGATCTTTTTTTTATCCTGTAGCACTTTTGCTTTCTTCTTAGGTGGCATTTTGTAGGATGTTATCAGCCTTTATAAAAGTAAAAACCGGACAACACAATAAATCAAATTGTAAAAGCGTTTTATACAGGAGTATCAAAATGCTTAAAATAAAAATGAATGAAAAAGCAATGAAAATCAATGGAAGTCAAAGAAAAATCAATTATCGTTTACGATAATATTACAGAGCATTTAATTTCACAGAGCAAAATAGAAAAAAAAGACTCAAAGAGCTAGTATGTAAAGCATCATGCATTTTAGAAATCACATAGTAAAGTATCGAAGATAAAGTACCAAAAGTAAATTTTATATGAAGTGTCACCCTTCAATTCATCATGTAAGGCTCTACCTTGTAAAGCATCATATAAAGTATTGCTGTAAGCATATCTAAATTATCTAAAAAGCATATGAAACATCGTCTTGTAAAACCCTCTTATAAAGAACTGCCCTATTGTAGCAGAAAAGAGTATAAAATGCTTCAACTGACTAAGCTCCGCGTGACCAGCATTTTCAATGTTGCCACTATTTTTTTTCTTTTGCTTTTCTTGGCTAGCCGTTTGTTCTAATACCATTTATAGAGCTGTTGCAACAATATCTGCAATCAGTTTAGGGCTAGTCAAATGAAAATGAGACACTCGCCTTGATTTTAGACAAGATGATATTTTTAGAACACAAGAAATACTTTTTATCTTTGAAGACCTGAAAAGGTAAAATGTAAAAAAAAAAAGCGTGTTCATCTGGAAAGCAGTGTGGACTTGCCGATGGTTAGTAGCCTGAGAAGACTTGCTGGAGGAAACTCGGGTAAGATTGGAGGCGAATTCCATGGGTCACTGGTGTTTGATTGGTTCTTGGATGTACATACATTGGGTTTCTTCTGCACATATGTGGGAGTTGCAGGGAGATCAGTAGTCAGAGAAGATTTTGCTGGAAGAAGCTCTTGTTTTTTCGGGTAAAGTTGGAGACAAACTTCTCAATGTTACCAATGTTATGACGATCTGAGTTCATCGTGCATTGGGCTTGCTCTACACAGGGAGTTGCCGATGGTTAGTAGCCTGAGAAGACTTGCTGGAGGAAACTCGGGTAAGATTGGAGGCGAATTCCATGGGTCACTGGTGTTTGATTGGTTCTTGGATGTACATACATTGGGTTTCTTCTGCACATATGTGGGAGTTGCAGGGAGATCAGTAGTCAGAGAAGATTTTGCTGGAAGAAGCTCTTGTTTTTTCGGGTAAAGTTGGAGACAAACTTCTCAATGTTACCAATGTTATGACGATCTGAGTTCATCGTGCATTTGGGTTTCTTCCTAGCCACAGTTGAACATCCATCTATTATTAGGCTTATTACTAATAATACTTTTTTCTCACTACATCATGTATGGTTCAACTTCCATCGTAATCTTATTCAAAAATATCTCCTAAAACCCAATTCGATGACCGCTCAATACGACATGAAAACTGAAGTACCTATAAAGTCGAATAATGTGCACTAGTGGAACTTATATTGGCATCATGGCAATGCCAATCTTTGCCCTCTATTCACTATATCGTTGGTTCTGTAATTATCGAATGAGGAGACATACCTCTATGACTCCGTTTTATTCGTCTGTGCTCAGCCTTATCAGACAGTTCTAGAAAGTTTTAAAGGATAGAGTCAGAAGAAGCAAGTTGACTGATGTAGAAACCTTCACCTTAAGGGTTTTCGAAGGAAGTAAAGATACCCCAGTTAAACATTTGCAGAGTTTTATTCAGCATTCCTTAAATTGCTTTCCTAAATGCGTAACTAAAGAACCTTTGTGACTAATTTGACCAGAAATTGGTCAAACTATTTGCAAAATCTGGTCAATTTGTTCTTGCAAAAGCAGTCAAATTAATTTCAAACATCCGGCCAAACTAGTCTTTTTTTATGGGCAATTTAGCTTAGTATCAGCAGGCAATCTTTTCAAAAAAGTGAATGATGTTTTCAGAAATCCAGTAAATTGAGAGTGGAAGCGTAGTAGGCCCTCTGCGAGAAAAAAAAAAGTCGACGTTTGAAAAGGCCAATCCTCCTCTTACAAGACATCTATTGTAAACTATGTCCACTTGATACAAAAAAAAACTGTAAGCTATGTCCAAAGCTGCCCTCTTTATCGTCAATAGTGGCATATACTATAGTATATCTTGATGTAAAAGTTAGGGTTTATTTGCTATTCGATATTACCAGAAAAAAGGCCATTTTTCTATCAATTACAGTGTATCACGAACTTTGAATGCAGATTTGAAGGCAATGCTCAAATCAAGCCACCTTTTTGGTCTTAGTAGACTCACTTTCTTTTCTTTTGAAGTACTTGGAGATGGCCTTACCTGATTTTTTTTTATTCAAAATATGCTTTTTTAGTTACACAGCACAGAGGGATGTAACGTGGATAGACTGGAAAAAAAAGGAGCGCATTGGCTGGAATAGACCTACATTGGGTCATTCTAAAAAATTCTTGATCGAGTTTTTTTTTGTTTGTTTTTTTTTTTCATCTTCACGGACCTCCGTGGATCCTCCATGGTCAAAAACATAAATATCACCCAAGCGCCAAACCAATGATACCATTTGATTGATGGGCTCGAAAGAGCATGTTTTAAATAAGAAAACGGGTTGTTTTGATAGTCTGGTTGTCGAGCAATGACGGATCAAAGATTGGCTTGTTTAAGCAGTGTTTTGAGCATTTTTAAATGATTTTGCTCTAGATGATATATAAAATGTATTATAAATGAAGTTACAAAAGATAATATGTATTACTTATAGTTCCAAAAAAAAAAAAAAAAAAAAAAAATAGAGAAATAGAAAAGTGTGCACTTTATAATGTAAATGTGGAGGCAAACAAACAAATGACATACCAAAGGGCTATATTGCGAAGATTGAAATGGAAGGCAACTCCAGTTCTTCTTCCCGTCGCATCAGAATCGGGCTTTTGCTGAAAACTGCGTAAAGATGCAGTTATTCGGCTTTGCTGTAGTAACAAAAGTTGCAGGAATTTGCTTTCTGAGTCTGTTGATATAAAGATCACAGCAGCTTTGCTGTCAAAACATTGAGTAAAGATTCAAAAATGTTTATGAGGCTTTTCGCTTCTATCTCATTGTTTTCATAGGACAATTGGCAAGCAAACATATCCACCAAAGACCACAGCCTCTAAAGTACGTTTCGAGTATTCAAGCTTGTTGTTCGCTCTATTTTTCGTCTTATTGTATCAAATAGAAGCTCAAAGAGTTGTTGGCTTGGTGATTTTCATCAACAGTACCCTTTGGTCGAAGGGCATATTTTGACCATTTTGGACATGTCACTTTTGGTCCAGATTAATTCCAAAGGTACCATGGATGTTAGCAAACACAGTTTGTAGGTATTTAGAGCATATACAGGCTTTGCGCTATTTCTGTGTGTTGATGCACTTCTATTTATTTGTCTGTTCCTTTTAACGAATGCCATCTCGTTGTTGGCTAAATGAATATACCAAGACGATTTGTGTATTTACTCATGAGGCACAATGTCCTTTTCATCATTTGATAAAACCAATGACACCTTAAAGCTGAAAGAAATTAATTCTCTGTGTATAAATTATGAGCATATCGTTTGAAATCAACGAGTCCTTTTGCACTTTACTCTCTATTTTATATAAAAAAAAGAACGTCAGACTTGGTATTAAAAATAAGCCCTCATAACATATCCTATTTTACATATGAATTGAATATACTTAGCATAAAGTTATTTTATTGATAAATAAAAAAAAAGGAGCACTTTGTTTGGTTCTCAAAGACAAGCTTTGATACTAACAGGATCAACCACGAGAAGGTAAAAGTGCATCTGATCCCAAAAGGAATGAAGTTATGATTGCTTTGTAGGGTAAACTAATGTCCTTGCATGACTTTACCACGACCCAGAGAATGCTTTGCGTAGTGTTGAATCACCAACAGCCAACTTACAGGAAGACACTCCCCAACTTAGGCACCAGAAAACTCGATTCAATTGCTTTTGATCTTGATTGCAGTGGACCCAGTAACCACAACCAACATCGTTTGGCATCACCCAAACGCACCAAGAAACAACCAAATCGATGCCGCCTTGCAAGTGTACTGCGCCATAAAAGAGACAGAAAAGAGAGAATTGATTTTTTTGATTCACTTTGTAGAATGAACAAGACAACGCCAGACTTTAGGCTTCAATATCATGACTAACCAGTGTTTTTAAAAAAAAAAGAAAACCAAGTCGGATCCGCCCATAACACCAATTAGCCACAAACAGCCCAAAGTACAGAGAAGTCAGGATATCACACCATGCCCCTATACCGACATTTCAAAGACTAGTGTTTCATAGCTTTTGGCCATTCCCTAATGGAAATGTCTACGCAGCAAACCAAAGATAGCCATCAGGTAGTGAACCATGACCCACGACTT